CAACCACCCCGTATCTTTCAGGCTCCATCAGCGCAGGCAGGAAGTAGTTCTTCCACACCCAGAAGCCAGTCGTCTGGAGGATAAAGCCGGGATCCTCCCCAGAAAATCGACTGAGAAGGCCCTCGTACATTCCCTTCGCGATGTACCGAATTCCAAACGGCATGCGGTGCAGGAGTTCCTCCAGCGCAGTGAAGAATTGATCCGCCGTATCCCGAAGGTCTTGCAGGTGTTGAATGAACGTCGCTCGCGTTTCGGGATCCCTGATGGCCTCTTCTCGGGGGATGTCCGGTTGACGTCGGCTTCGTCGCCCTGTTCGGAGCTCCTCGTTGTTGATGGCTGACCGGTAAATCTGCATTGGGTCACTCTCCAGGTCCAATTCCGGGTTGTCGATGATGTTCTCCCTCACCACGGGACCGATCACGTCACGCAGGAATTTTCGATCGCGGGGCGATTTCATGTACGATGCGAAAAGTTTGGTCCAGAAGGAGTTGCAGCGTAAGTACTCATGGAGGGAATCGAAGCTTTCAATCTCCTCTCGTGAAGAGCGGGCCAGCAGTTTAATGAGATAGTACTCCTCGCGCCTCTTCTGCGAGTAGCCGAACAGCCCCATCATGAGGTGCCGGATTCGATCGTACTCCTTCTCGGGCGTGTTGAGCTCACGCAGCCTCCGGAACAACTTCGCAAGATATTGCGCTTGCGTCTGGAGAAGGAAGAAGAATGCTTGGTAGTGTTCCAGCTTCCTCCGCGAGGTTTTGTTCAGGGCCTTTAAGTCGAATGGATCCGTGGACGAGATTTCTCTGTTGGGAAGTAGGTTTCCAACATGGCCACCAAAATGTTTCTGGTGCTTGACCACTTCGTCCAGCGTAATCTTGTTCTTGACCAGCAAGGCAATCTTGATATCAAGCTGGCCGATATACTGCTCAGCCATCTCGTTTTGCCGCACCTGCTGGACGACCATCTTCCTGACTCGCTCGAACTCAATTTCCTCGTCGAAGTCGAATTCGCTGTCATTCAGAAGATGCACGAAGCCCTTGACAGTACCCACCGGTGGGTTTTTGCCACTCGTAAGACTTTTATATGCCTGGCCCTGGATTCTTCCCCGCACAAAACTCTGGGCTTTGACGACCTTCTCCATGTTTTCCTGATAGTAGCGACGTTTCTCTTCGAATTTTCCGCGGACAACATATCCTCGAATGTGCGCTTGGAAGTCGGTAATGAGGTCCTCCTCGGCGGCCAGATCGGCCAAGTCCTGACCAACTTCGACTCTGACGACCATACCTCGGATTTGGGCTTGCAATTGGCTGATTTCGTCGTGGCAGTCGTCAAGCTGTTCAAGGATACCGCCGACATGGATCCGCAGGACGGCAGCGCGCCCAAGGGCTTGAAGTTCGGTGATCATTTGCTCATGCTGTTGCAGCGCTTCCGTATCTGCTCTCACCCGGTCCCTCAACATGACACCGCGGGCCATAGACTGCAACTCCAAGATGTTTTGTTCTTCTTCAGCCAGCGATGCCCGCTGAGAGTCTAAGGAGGACCGGACCGCTTGAGCGCGACATATGCTCTGGAGAGTGACGACAGATGGTGTGTGGTGTGACAACGCCTGGCGAAGGTCCTTCAAATTCTCTCGAGTGGCGCGACCGCGCACCATCGCTTGCAGGTCGATACATTGAGCGTTCGTCTTTTGCAATGCTTCGACCAGCTCCATGTGGCGGGTTCTTGCTGCCAAAGCTCTCGCACTTGCCTGTAGGGAGATGATTGACGGCAACTCCTGAGCGAGCAATTTCCTCGTGTGGGCGACCGATTCACGAGCAATCATCCCTCGAATTGCCGCCTGCAACAGACCGGCATCGTCGCGGGCTTCGACAAACTCCCCATGCTGCACACTCATTTGTCGTCTCACAAAGGCACCCCGAATAAGAGCTTGGAGTCGTTCGACATCGCGTTCGGCAGATTGTGTTCTTTTGCGCTGCTGGGCGAGCCCTTGACGACTCAAAGCACCTCTGATGGCTGCTTGCAGTAGCTGAACTTGGTCCTCGGTATCTCTTGTGTCGTCGTAGAGGTCACCCACGGCCTTGCGTTGTAGAGCGCCTCTCACGGCGGCCTGAATCTTCCTAATTCCGGATTCCTCTTTACGCACCCGATTGTGGAGGCGATTGACCTGGGCCCTGGCCTTGGCACCTCTAATAAGAGACTGCAGCTGCAGAACATCGCCCTCCCGGGCCTGGTAACCCTCAATGTCACCCTTTCGGTGGGAGCGTGCGATAAAGCCTCGACAATGCGCTTGCAGGTTGATCGCAAACGTGCGCATATCCAAACGATACTGAAAGACCTGACGGGCCCAGTCTCCTCGTAAGCGCGACTGCAGGTCAATCAAACGAGGCTCGAAGTCCCACAGGTCATTCATCGTATTTCCCAGCTTCAGTCGGAGCATTGCCCCTCTGATCTGACACTGGAGATCCGCGATTGAGGCTTCGTTCTCGTGCAATTCTCGGTCGATTCGATCCTGCTCGGACTCTACCGGTTCGGGCTCGGGCTCGGGCTCGGGCTCCGCGCCAAAGTTTGCGGCCATACCCGAGAAACTGGGCATGCTGACCCCGGCTTTGTCCAGGCCCTTTTGCATCTGCTCCAGTTCATGATGCTCGAACTCCAGTTGGCCAACGAGATTACCCATCCGGAAGTCGAGGAGACCTTTCTTGAACAGCAGCCATGACGTCGCGTGGATGCAGTGGATAACTTTGGGGATGTTCTTCTTTTCATACAAGTCGATTAATTCGAACCGGAAAAGCTCGGGCAACTCGATCTCGTCCAAGAACCGAAAGAGCAAGGCGATATTGTCCGAATGGCGGTACTGCAGTTTTGGGTGGCGGAATATTCGGAACTTGCGATTGGGGTACATCGCTTGCACTACCTCTGCCAATGTTACACCATCGCGGAGGGCCTCATCCAATTGGACAATGGGCGGGATCTGCTTCTGGATGACCTCCTCAATCCACTCCTTCGCTTCTCCAATATGGCACAGATACTCATAGGCCTGAAGAAACTGGCGCTGTTTATCCATCCAGTTTCCGGCCACCCATGACGATGCGCTTTTCTTCTGGACGGCGCCACTGTTCGGGGCCACTGAATCGGCTCGCTTCAAGCGCCGTCGACCCTGGAGGCCGACCACGGACGGAGAGTGGCTGGGAAACCCTTCCGTATCTCCCGACTGCGCAATTTTGGACAAGGTACGGAGATGTCCGGTCGATGATTTTTGAAACGTCTCCAGCTCTGGCGCCGAGAGGGCAGCTGTGAGGGTGGGCGGGTTCGACAAACTGTGGGAATGATTTGCTTTCACCGGCGAGCCGGTCTGCGGTGATCCGGTTCGCGGGGACCACTGGTGAGGGGAGGCGGTCTTTGGCGACTTCTGCGCGACATATGATGCCCCGTCTCCGAATGACTCCATTCCCGCGTTTGACTTCGGTCGGGACTCGGGTGTCCGAGGACGGTTCTCTTGCCATAATCGCGGGTCATCGACGGTCTGGCTCCTGGTATGACGGTAAACAGCGTGTTTGGGGGTCGGCGGCGTTGCATTGGGGGTCTGAGAGATCTGAGAAAGCGGTCGCAACGAGCGTCGAATGTTTTCGTATGTTGAGCCGGCGTGCGGCGGACGCGATGAGGAATTATTCGCCGGCATGGTTTCGGGGATTGTTCTGTTTACTTCGCTCTTCCCACGTCGGTGCCCAATGCTGTAGGTCGAGCCAATTGACGCACTCGAGGAGACGGTGCTCGTGCGACTAGGAGCAAAGGAATTCGACGAGAGTGAATAGATGGATGAACTCGTAGAGGCATTCGATCCATGGCGCAGCGGACTCGATGTTTGGAAGGGGAGGTCCGTCTGTGCGTGTGCGAGCGAAGCTGGGTGGCTTGACATCACTAGTACTGTTCGGGGGAGAGGAATGCTATAAGCGACGGAGATGGGAGAGTCTTGCACTCACTGGGCCACATACCCCGTTCAGCGACCGAGGCAGTATTTTGGCCAAACGTTATGGACGAGCCTGGGGCCAGATTTTCGCTGGAATGGAATGCTTAATCAAGGGATAGAGGCAGCATGGCCCGGTGGAAACGGAGGGGATCTCGGGTTGATATAGAAACGGAACTAAGTGGGTTTGGTCAATCGGACCCAAACAACGATCAGGCCGAAATCGTGGGAGGGGAAAGAATTGAAGAGACAAGTATACAAAAGAGAGAGGAAAAGAAAATCGTCAAATAAAACAAAAGAAAGTCAACCATCCAATCCACCCACAGTACTTGAGTGGATCAGTATGCGACGGATGATGAAAAGTAAATAAAAGGAAAACGAGGCAGAAGAAGAAGCGGGGAGGGACGAGATCGGGTCGAGCTGGAAACCAGGAAGTAAATCGACGGGAAGGAAAACAAATCTCCCAATCGGGTTTAGCCAGTCCTGTCAGGTGACCACGCCATCGATCGGGGGATCTCGTGACGTCGATCGGCCACCTGCTGAAGCCACCGACTGCCCCAGGCACGCAGGTCCCGACCGTGCTTCTTGATCTGTCATTATTCGAGTATCAACTAGTTAAAGCTTAGTGTCTAGTGCTGGGAATAAGAAATATGACTGGTGATATTGTCGAGAGATTATAACGTAGTCTCGATCAGATTATGTCCGGAGTTTCTGTCTCTCAACCTTTGATTACGCAGGTTGATGCACACCTTGCATATATGTATCAGGGACATGTCTTGAATATAACCTTAATTACCCAATCCTCTATAGTCATGTTGAACTGAAATAATATTGAATAACCGGAGAATCTGGTCAGTAAATCTAAATATAGTTAGTTAATTCCCACGGAGAAACACAGACCTTAATTGTTCGAGCCCAAGTATCTGGCATCCCGTCGTCATACCTCGTCGATCCAGTCACGGGACTCGGCAGTCGCCATGAAGATCGCCCCCACCAATAATAACCTGGAACGACGACCCGACATGCTGGCTCTGCACGCTCTCTTGTCACCTGAGATAAGTCTATTTTATATCCTAGTCTCTTTGTCCCCCCATACCCGGGAATAGTATATTATCCCACACATACTCTACTCATCAATAGCAGAACAAGACGATGGCGGATGCAGAGCCTCTATATGTCTACAAACTCGTCCCCTCCTCCTCGCCGGTGCGCGAACCTCTCCCCGATCGACTCCCGGTCAGCGACATCGACAGGTCGTCAGGGTTCATCCACCTGTCCACGGCCTTCCAAGTCCCAAACACATTGAAGGCCTTTTTTAACGACGAGCCGCTGGTCTACGTGCTGCGAATTCGCTACGCGCACATCGCTGGAGAAACCGTCTGGGAGTCCCCAGAGGGGAATGTTTGCGGGCCGCGACCGAAAGAAGGTTTATTCCCGGTACGTCTGTCTTTGTTCCTTCGTCTATCTGTCTATACTGATGTGGTCGCTAGCACCTATATAACGGGCTGAGACTCGGTAAGGATGAGGTCGAAAGCATCGCCATCTGGAACAATGAAAACGGCTGGGATAAAGCACTACAGCAATCCAAACCGTGGCTTTTATTTTGATTAAGTCCTTAAGTTAGTTATACAGGCAGCTCATTTGTGAATTTATTATGCATATTGAGTCATTCATATTGTTACATTATGCCACTACATGTTTGTCCTTGTTTGTCATTATTTGCCATGGCAATAAGACTGATTCCCATACATCCCACATCCACATACCATTTGCCATTAATCGCCCAGCGGGTAGCAGTGCATCACCTGACCATCTGCTGAGAGTAAGTATCCAACCACACAATGACTGGGGTCGAGGGGTGTGAACATACAATACAGGGAGGAGTCAGGGCTCGCCAAAAATACATAGCTGGTTGCAACCTCCACCGGTTGACCAGGCCGTCCAATCCGGGAGCTTTTGCCCAAGCCAGCCATCTGGTCGGGCTCTCGTGTGTCCGCTTGAATAGGTGTGTAGATAACACCCGGTCTACCAAAAAGCGTCAGCTCGCCTCAGCACTTATTAAGGCCAGAGCCTGGATACTTACGCCACACAATTCACTCGGATCCCCTTTGGCGCCAACTGGGCCGCCAGCGCCCGGGTGAAACTAACAATAGCGCCCTTGGTGGAGGAGTAATCCACCATGCCACTAGATCCTCGGAAGGCCGTAACAGACGAAGAGTTGATAATGCTAAAAGCACCATGTCAGCATCGATTCTCCAGTCATCATGTTTCGCCTACTTACGAGTCGCCGTTAGACATGTGCGGAAGGGCAAACTTGGTAACCGCCATCATCTGAAGGACATTACACTGGAACGTCTCTTGCACTTTGTCGAGGTCGATGTCGGCGAAGTCCTTGCAGATATACTGCTTGGATGCATTATTGATAAGCACATTAAGCTTCTTGTACCTGTGCGATCGTGAGCTCATGAGGTCTACCAATGTAGGTCGGCGGAATCCGGCTTACTTCTCAATGTGCTTCTCAACCGTTGCGCGACATGTATCACGCTTGGACAAATCCCCGGGAACGAGAAGGCATGATCGCTTCTCCGCCTCTACCGCTTTCTTCGTCTCCTCGGCATCGGTCTGCTCTTCGGGAAGATAGGCAATCGTGATATCGGCTCCCTCTCTTGCCATGAGGATGGCAACCGAGCGACCGATTCCGGAGCTGCCGGATCGTTAGTATCCAAGCATGTTTGATCTATCTCATATACCTCGGGCAACATACTCTCCACCGGTGATGAGAACCTTCTTATCCTTTAACTTCCCACTACCCGCGTATTCTACCAAACCATCTGGTGTCTCTACTTTGGTAGCTTCACTGGCCGGTTGCATCTGAGATTCCAGGCTAAATGAAACTTGCACATTAGCGATTGATCGAAATATTTGCTGCACCGCAACTGGAAACCTACCCTGGCTTTGCTTGGGCCTGCGGGGTCTCCGGCACCCCAAAACCACCGCCTTTGTCTGAAGAAGTCGACATCTTGAATAATTCCTTGGTAGTAAGCTGGGTATTAGATTTCAAAATGAGTTTAATTTCAGAGAATCCAGCAGGATTTGTTGTGTCTTTTAAGCTGGAAAAAGTGGCGGGCGAAAGCTACACGGTAAACTGGCTATATCATACAGATCAAGTATTCCTCTGGCGTCATAATGTCGCAATGACCCACCGGATGCGCAGAGAAACCAGTACCGTCCGCACGAGCTTCTGGTTACATGTTGGACTGATGCAAGACAAAATGTCCATCTTATCGGTTCTGCCAGATTTGTCGTTTTTCTCATTGCAGGTTTCAGGGTATGGCTAGCTTGGCGAGGCTGTTCTAGGTCCATTCTTGAACTTTGCCAATATTAGCATGGTGGGTTCTAAGCCCATAGACAGGAATAGAATAATATCCTATGGCCAGTATTCCTGTGTATTCCTATTGCAACCGCACAGGCACTATCTCCTTATGAGCTTGCAACTTGACACCCATAATCATCACCCGGTTCAATGATAGGAAACCACATGCTGTACCTGCCCTAGCTGTTACGACGTTTCTACTAGTACTACTAGTGTTTATAGTCGATACCGAAGTCAGGGATAATGATCCTAAGCTTCTAGATAGCATCAAATCAGATGCGACGAACACCAAGATAAAACCACGCATACAATTCTCTTCATGACTATCCAGCATCCTTTGAATCCTGCATGGATGAGTCATCCAATTTATCCGGACGCATTAAGGTTTTAAAGTTAATCCGGCCGAGATTAACGTGACCCCTCCATCCTCACCGCCTTGAAATCTTTTCGTTAAGCAGCCAATGGGCGTGTCGGGATCCCGGCAGTTCCAGGCGCCTAACCAGGAACGGAAAGGTTTCTGCAGGGATTACTAGCCTGTGCGTCGAAGGTACAAAAGCCAATTTTTTCCTCCTCTGATTTTTTTCTCTTTTTTCCTTCTTTCCTTTCTTTGGGAAAGCAAGGCTTTCTCCATCAACAGAACGTTTCTATCGTCGATCTGTTGATTCTCTTGTCTCATCTATCCTTTTATCAATCTCTACGAGTTTACGATAGAACTGTAGAGCCTTTTTTTCTACAATTCAGTCATGCCGATCTCCAAAGGTGACTCGTTGGGCATGGCCATGCCGGCCGAGATTCAGGACTACTCCAAGGCCCTTGATGTCCTGGAGAAGGATTACTCCTCCAGAGATGGCCTGGACGTTGATACGCTTCTCGACTCCGATAAGCATGGAGCCTTGACCTACAATGACTTCCTGATCCTCCCCGGTTATATCGGTAAGGGCTGAAGAAATTTTTTGGAGCTCTGGAGTGCCGAATATTCATATCTTGTGACAGGCTTCCCCGCTTCGGACGTCGTTCTGGACACCCCCGTCACCAAGCGTGTGACCCTGAAGACGCCTCTCGTGTCTTCCCCCATGGACACCGTCACTGAGCACAACATGGCCATCCACATGGCTCTGCTCGGTGGTCTGGGTGTTATCCACCACAACTGCTCCCCGGATGAGCAGGCGGAGATGGTCCGCAAGGTGAAGCGGTATGAAAACGGCTTCATCCTGGACCCCGTGGTTCTCGCCCCGACGGCCACCGTTGGCGAGGCCAAGGAGTTGAAGGCCAAGTGGGGCTTCGGTGGTTTCCCCGTGACTGGTAAGCTCATCTTCCTCGTTCTTCGTCTTTCCACCTGCACAAAACAGCCTTTCGTGATGATTATCATTCTTCTATTTATAACTTTCGTTCCACTGGAGCAACGAGAGTTGCGTTGTAGAGAACCGGATTACAAACTGATCCTTATTGTTCCCATCTTACTTGTCATACCAACACATGTCCAAGCCTATGGTTCTAACTTGCAATCATAATAGAAAACGGCACCCTCCGCTCCAAGATCATCGGAATGGTCACTTCCCGTGATATCCAGTTCCACAACAACTCTTCTGACCCGGTCACCAACGTTATGTCGACCGACCTCATCACCGCCCCTGCTGGCACCACCCTGGCGGAGGCGAATGACGTCCTGCGTAGCTCCAAGAAGGGAAAGCTGCCCATTGTGGATGACAATGGAAACATTGTCTCCCTGCTGTCCCGGAGTGATCTGATGAAGAACCTCCACTATCCTCTGGCCTCTAAGCTTCCCCAGTCCAAGCAGCTGATCTGCGCGGCCGCCATTGGCACGCGCGAGGAGGACAAGAGCCGTCTCAAGCTGCTTGTTGAGGCTGGTCTTGACATTGTCGTCCTGGACAGCAGCCAGGGCAACAGCTTGTACCAGATGGAGATGATCAAGTACATCAAGCAGGCTTTCCCCGAGATCGATGTCATTGGCGGTAACGTCGTGACTCGCGAGCAAGCCGCTTCCTTGATCGCTGCTGGTGTCGATGGCCTGAGAATTGGCATGGGCAGCGGCAGCGCCTGTATCACCCAGGAGGTCATGGCTGTCGGTCGTCCCCAGGCCGTGGCTGTGCGCAGCGTCACTTCGTTCGCCGCGCGCTTCGGCGTCCCCTGCATTGCTGACGGCGGTGTCCAGAACGTCGGTCACATCGTCAAGGGTCTTGCCATGGGTGCTTCCACCGTGATGATGGGCGGTCTCCTGGCCGGTACCACCGAGTCCCCGGGCGAGTACTTCGTCAGCAACGAGGGCCAGCTGGTCAAGGCCTACCGTGGCATGGGCTCCATCGCCGCCATGGAGGACAAGAAGGCCGGCGCCGGCTCCAAGGACGCCAAGGCCAGCAACGCCGGCACTGCCCGTTACTTCTCCGAGAAGGATCGCGTTCTGGTTGCCCAGGGTGTTGCCGGCTCGGTCCTGGACCGCGGCTCCGTCACCAAGTTCATCCCTTACTTGGTCGCCGGTGTCCAGCACTCTCTGCAGGATATCGGTGTGGAGAGCCTCGACGCGCTCCACAAGGGCGTCGACGGCGGCGTTGTGCGCTTCGAAGTGCGAAGCGCCAGTGCCCAGACCGAGGGTAACGTCCACGGTCTGCACAGCTACGACAAGAAGCTCTACTCTTAAGCGAGGGCGAGTTCTCTATTGGGTTGTTTTTAATAAAGATTTGCCCACGCCATGATACGTGGACGACATGAAAATAAAAAGTATGGGTATGAGGGTCAGGAGTTATGCTGCGTGGATTGCGCTCAGAATCGGTTTTGTTTTGATGGTATCGGAGGCACTTGGTTTTTTAGAGTACCTACCTAGCATGATGGCGCTGTGAATGAATCCATCGATTACATGCTATAGGAGTGGTTACGTTTATGATCTCTAGTACATAATATGTAAACTTAAATCAAGGACAGGGAGAAGAACTCTGCAAAAATCTGGAAAAGAAGCATCGACGATAGTTATGTATGTACCTGGTAGTTAAGCCGGGACCTCCGTAGCTAAGCGTTGCCCGTGGAGACTACCACATGGGCTTGGCCAACCCCAGCAGAACCTAGGTTAACCCCGCGTGCCGGGATCAATTAACCAAGGTTAATCATTCCCTTCTATCTTCACTAGTCCTTGAAGATAGTCTACCACCTACTTACTACTATAAGTAGCTAAAAGCCACCAGAGTGCATCGGCTGCAGCGACTCTGCTCTAGTGGACATGATCGCCTTCTCCCATGCACCCCTAATCTCCTCATCCCGGTTGATATCGCGATCTTTATCCGTTCCGCCTCGGCTTCTTTCCCGCGGCGATTGGCTTGTAGGGTCTGGGGAGTATAGGACTTCTACATTACAGCAGCGAATTGCGTGTCGGTGTCACGGCGGGCTTGTTACTGCTAGGAGATTCTCGTCTGTTTTGCCTGCGCAGGAAGCGTCTATTTCGCAGAAGATGTCATCGCAAGGTGGTGGTTCGAAGCCGAAGCCGAAGCCGAAGCTGGCTGTGCCGCGGCCGAGTTCGAGGTGAGTTTGTTGTCTTGTTCTCCAATTGTGCTTTGCGCGCATGTATGCATGCTTTATCCTATCTTTACTATCCCTTTTCAATTTATTTTCTTTGCCTACTCAAATCATCCCCCATCCAACCCCCACACATCTTCCCCCGCATTGAAAAACACAACTAATATACACAGCGTAATCCTCATATCCCCCCAAAACGAAGTCCTCCTCCTCCACCGCGTCAAAACATCCACCTCATTCGCCTCAGCCCACGTCTTTCCCGGAGGCAACCTCTCCCTCCAAGACGGGACATGTCCACCCGCCGAAGACCCAAAGCACCACGAAGACGCACCTTCGTACAGGAATGCTGCGGTGCGCGAGCTGTTCGAAGAGAGCGGCATCCTCCTCGCCAAGGACAAGAACACAGGCAAGATGCTAGCTGTTCCGGAGGAAGAGAGGGAGAGGGGCCGGGGATTGATCCATCGGCAGGAGATGACGTTCGATGAGTGGTTGAGGGGGAGGGATGCTAATGCGGTGCCGGATACAGGTTAGATACGACCCACCTTACTCTGCCCATTGCTCGCCGTTCACTTGCTAATCATCATGAGTATAGATAAATTGATCCCTTTCACGCGCTGGATCACACCCACCAATGTCCCCAAGCGCTACACCACCCAGATGTACCTATACTTCCTACCACTGCCACTCGAGTCCGAGAAGCCGCTTCTGAACGAGATCCCCGCCGAAGGCGAAAAAGAGGAGATCCAGGTTCCGACGAGCGACGGAGGCGTGGAGGTCACCGAGGCGAGATTCCTGCCCGCGTCAGAATGGCTGCGGATGGCGCGCGCGGGGGAGATCATCCTGTTCCCGCCGCAGTTCCTCCTGCTGCATCTGGTGGCGGAGTTTCTGGATAAGAGTCCTCGGGCTCCGGGTGCTGTTGAAGAGCTGAAAAGGCGGCGCGAGGGCCTGGTGGAGTTTGTGCACTCTGGTCAGCCGCCGTGGACGGATAAGTGTATCTCGCCGAAGATGCTTAAGATGGCTGAGGATGGGCGCGCCGTGTTGGCGCTGGATGATCCCGGGCCGGAGTTGAAGGGGACGGGTCGGAGGGGGGAGGCTGATAGGGTTGTGAAGGTGAAGTTCAAGCAGGGGAGTGCGCGGGAGTTGGAGCTGCAGTGGAAGAAGGATGTGTTTAGGGAGGATGGGGGTGAGAAGAGTAATCTATAGTCATATCATTGCGGTGGATATGTCTGGCTGGTGTACATATTGTCTTGCATAGATGGATAGACTAGACTGGATAGAGTGGTATGGATTATGGATTGTCCTCGAATAAGGTTGGATGTACCACGTACTAAAACAACAAAAGAAATAAATAAAAAAGTGTTATTGTTACTTATTTCCATACATTATCTTGAATGAAAGAAACAAGAACAAAAAGAAAAAAAATAGACAAATCAAGTCAGTCGCCATCTGGCGCTGCTGGGAATCGAACCCAGGTCGAATCGGAATTGTTGTTTTAACCACAACGATTCATGATGACCACTACACTACAGCACCTTGATTTGATGAAGAAACCATCCTTAGAGCGACCCACAAGCCTAGCAACCCCCTCCCCTCCTTCTCTTCCCCTTCCCGTTCCCTTCCAGACAGGGCAAATGGTTCGCCCACCGCCTGCCCAAAACAGGCCAAGCCCTCGACAAAAGATCACATGACCCACACAACCCGAAACTCAGCAGCCAGCATTTTCAACGACACTTCCGCGCCCAGTCCAGACAGTCCATCTCCGCCAGCCGCACCTTTCCTTCCTCACCGTCGTCGACCTCACGTCTACAAACCCGCCAAAATGGAGAACGAAAAGGGAGAGATCGTCGATCTGTATGTTTACCTTTTTTTGCACTTTTCTTTTACGCCATCCTGGATATATGTGTGTTTGTGTGTGTGGGTGGATGGATGGGTTGATTGGGACTCTGCGCCTCCGGGGGGATGTTTATCGATCGCGACATGGATAAAGGAGTCGAGATGGGTGGCTGTGGAATTTTCAACGCCTGCAGGATTTTTCCAGGGGAGAAAATACTTTTCGATCGCAACCCCAGATGGACAGGAAGCAGAAGTCCATACACCACACGCCATCCAACCACCCACACCCACCACCACACACACAGAGAGACACATATCCAGGGCCTGGTAAAATCAGACACAAGAGATGATACTAATTATTTTTAAGCTACGTGCCCCGCAAGTGCAGCGCCACCAACCGCATCATCAAGGCCAACGATCACGCCTCCGTCCAGATCGCCATCGGCAAGGTCGACGAGAACGGTCGCTACACCGGTGAGAACCAGAACTACGCCATGTGCGGCTTCATCCGTGCCCGCGGCGAGAGCGACGACTCCCTGAACCGCCTGACCCAGCGTGACGGCTACATCCGCAACGTCTGGACCGCCAGCCGCCAGCGGTAAAGATTTTTTTCCTTAATGATCTTATCGATGATGGATGGGTGGTGTTTGGGGCGGTGGTCGGTTGATTGATGGTATGATCAAACTCTTTTTCTTGGGGTGTGATTGATTTGGGGAATATATGCTAATGAGTTGTTGGTATTAGGGAATGGTGTGCCGTGTGTGTGATGGGTTTATCTACCTCGGAGAAACTTCCTTCAATTCGATCTCAAGTGATAAATGAAATGAATACAAAAAATCATATCACACGTCCTTACTCTTCATCGTCTTATTATTCCCCTCGCTATCTATTGATCTGCCCATGCAATTTCCTACGGTCTTATCACCATTTTCTATGAGCCCTGTAATCCACCAGCCCAACTTTCTTTTTCTTCTTTCCCCCGTTCCCCGGTATACACAACTCAAGAGACAAAGCAGTGCCCACTCCCCATCGTATACATACATATATCCCCCACCCAAAAAAAACCCCCCAAATTCCCCTAAGGGGGCAAAAAAACGGCCCATCAAACCTCCTCATTCGTAGTAAAAAAACAGATCGGAAGCGCTCACCCGCATCCATCTACCTTTTACAGCCCCATGAGCGAGGAGGTAAGACAATGACAAAGTATAATACTATCCGTAGTGTTGTCTTTGCAAAGCCGGATATTGAATTTGACTGCCTGCTGAAGAGCCACTGTTGCGGAGATTTTGCGCTGGGGCACAGATACGGGTGGGACATCTCTTTTTTTTATCTTCTTCTCTTCGTTTTCTAGATGGGAAATATATAAATTGTATAGAATATGGTTTATATATATATTGTACTTCGTGGCATGATGTTGGATATCTGGCTGGCTAGCTGTAGACACTGTAGATGGTTGGTCTAGGTTGATGAGGTCTGCCGTGAGCAAGATATATAAGTGCAGTGGTCTACTCCGTACTTCTGTCTTGATTCCCTTCTGTTTTTACTCTTTATAAAAAGTAGATAGATAGATATCTACCACACTATACTGTATCTGTCTGTCATCCGCGTAATCTCATAAACCCGTGCTTTTCAATGAAGAAATAACAAATCAATAAGAAAAGAAAAGAAAAACAATATCATAATCTGTGAAAAGACAGCTCTATACTCCCGTCACATCTGTCTAGCTCTGCTCTCTTTATCTTAATATGACCCTTTTTTTTTTTAATCTCCACAAGCTTAGTCCTTCTCCAGTCTCACGGCCGGGTTGGTCTCGATGAAGTTGAGGTCGACTTTGTGGCCGAGGAGTTCTCGGATGTTGCTCACGCCGTATCTAGGATTGTCAGTATTTGTTTCTGATGATACTCCCCTTGGAGGCAAAACAAAGAAAGAAAATGAAAAAAAGGGTCTTACTTAATCATGGTAGGTCGCTCCAAACTCAACCCCCATCCGTAAACTCTCATATTCTTAGGAATACCCATCGACTCGAGCATCTCCGGACGGAACATGCCGCTGTTGCCGATCTCCACCCACTTGGCCAGACCCTCGTGGTAGCCGAAGATCTCCATGCTGGGCTCGGTGTAAGGGTTGTAAGCAGGCTTGAAGCGCAGCTGGTGGATGCCCATCTTGGCGAAGAAGACCTCCATGAAGCCGATCAGGCCGCCCAGCGTGAGGCCGAAGTCGGCGATGACACCCTCGATCTGGTGGAACTCCGCCAGATGGGTCGCGTCGACGGCCTCGTTGCGGAAGACCCGGTCGATGCTGAAGTAGCGCGCGGGGCGCGGGTTGGCGGCCAGCTTGTGCAGGACGTACGTCGAGACGGAGGTCGTGTGCGTGCGCAGCACCAGGCGCAGCGACTCCTGCGGGTCCCACGGGTACCGGTATCCGATGGAGCCATACTTGCCTTCCTCGTGGACCTGGCGCACGTTGTCCCAGTACTGCTGGTAGTCGCGGGGCTTCTCGGGCGTGGTGGTGCTGGACGAGGTGAGCTGTGCGGACCGGAGCTGGTGCGGGTCGTTGGGCGGGTCCTCGCGCGGGGGGTCAGCTGTCGCCGGGTCGGAGATGTAGAAGGTGTCCTGGAGGTCGCGGGCGGGGTGTTGCTGCGGGACGAAGAGGGCGTCGAAGTTCCAGAAGCCCGTCTCGACGAAGCGGTTGGTGGGCATCTCCTCGAAGCCCATCTCGAAGAAGATGTTGCGGAATTCCTGTCGGACCTTGTTGAGCGGGTGGAAGGCGCCGGCCGGGGTCGGGGCGCCCTTGGCCTTGAAGTTGTAGGGCTTGAAGTGGGCGGACTTCCACGACCCGTTAACCAGCATGTCGGCCGTCAGGTCCGTCTCCTCCTTGACGAACTCGCGCGCGAACTTGGGGCCCTTGGAGATCTGGAAGGTGATCACCTTCTGGATCGAGACCAGTTTCCGCCGCTTCAGGTCCGTCAGGGCCTTCTGGTCGTCGAGGGTGTTGGTCTTCTGCACGGTCAGCAGCTGCTCGCGGGTCTCGTCGACGATGGACTCGGCGGTCGCTCGGAGGAGGTCCTTGTCCTTCTTGATCCAGCCTCTCTTGAAGGCATTGCCCTGGCCCAGCTTGGCGTTGTCCTTGCCGACAATCCCCGGCAGATCGCCGATCTTCAACCCGTCCATGGCGGCGACCACCGCCTGGAAGACCTTGGCCTCGTGGCTGCCATTGGCGGCGATCTCGTCGCCTTCCTTGGTCAAGGCGACGACTTCCTTGTCGATTGTATCATATTTGACCATATCCCGCGAGGCTAGCCGATCGAGCGCGCTCTTGATATTTAACGAGGGGGTGGAGGGGAAGGCGGTGCTGGAGAGGATCGGGGCATCGGACGCGGACAGGGCGTCCAGGATGGGGCTCGTCATATCGGACGCCATGGCTAGAATCGTAGTCCACACGGGGGGGGACGCGGTAGGAGGCGAGTTGGAGGAGAAGAGGACGGAGGAAGGAGGCTGGTGGGACGGGCCAAACCTGGGAGATCTGGAGAGGGGCGTTTTTTGACTCAGATATCGATAAAGCCGAATTGTGACTCTTTTTTGGCGGGCACAACGAGTCACTTTACGGTAGGCGGTGCGCACCACTGCCGCCATCCCGTGACCAGTACCCCGCCATCATTAATCCAGATGACTCAGGCATACATATCTCGCATAATTATCATAGTGTATAGGTCGGACTCTTCTAGTGATGAGAATGGATGATTATAGCCACGCATCTGCATGCTTTAGCCGTTAACCCTCCTGTCGTTGTATACATCGGCTAACAGACCTGGTTTGGTTCTAAACCAGCAAAAATACAGACGCCGGCGCATGCAAGGTCGACGCACGTCTCAGCTGAGCTAGACTCCTGTCCTGTCCCATGATCTCGATTGAAGGATCACAGATCCGTACGGACTGGCAACCCCTCGATGAACATCATGCGTGGGACTTTATCACGGGGATGACAGCTGATTCCTATGCCTAAATGTGGTAGAATCGGTGATTCCATGACTGCTCTAGCCGGTTTCCACAGATATAGACATGTATATACTTGGTTCATTCCAGGCCAGTCTAACAGAACGCTCGTCTCACATGCTGTATCCGATGATACTTACGATTTAATCCTAGGACCGTGCAGATCCTGGGCCTGTCTGTATCTGTCGCCAGATCCCGGTACGGACTACAGTCCCGCGGAACAAGGTTCCCGACTCCCGTCAGCCTCGTAACCGAAGCAAGCAGTGCAGCAATCAGGATGGATCTGCTGTATGATGTTTGGATATAGGTGGGAGGAGATTATTGCTTTTATGGTGGTTTAGAGTTGGAGAGTGTTCATGGCGGTCAACAGTATCATAGTACTGTTGAGTCGCTCCATGATATATATGTCCCATGATATACACGGCACACACTGGGATGGTCATTTAACCTCCACATATAGCTATAATATCAAAGCATATCTAGTCCTCTCTTATCAAGCTTCATCATCCAGCAAGGCTAGTGAGATCCCCAGTCCATAAGAGCTAGAAGATGGTGGGTTCAAAAAAGCCAATATACACAAGTACCATTCCCACATGCTCTCCGCGATGACCAAAAACACCCCAGAACCCTGTGTCTCCTGAGTCAGGTCACAACCGCTAAGAACCACAAAGGCATGATCTTCTGCCCTTTTTTTCTTAGTTTCTAGTCTTTCATTAATTCGACTTACATAATTTGGGATGCATGGCCCTAATCGGGAATAGTTGCATGTGGCGGCCTTGGACGAGGGAGGGAGTCTTTTCCAGCCTGACAGCGTCGATTGGTCTTGCGTGCATTTGGTGGATCCCACACGCGACCGTTGTCAAGGGTTGGAGGGTGGTTGGTTTAATATATGTAGAGATTTTGGGAAGTCGTAGGACTGTATTAGCGATGAGTGGTAATAATAGTAGGTACCCGGTACTCGTAACGACTAGGTAGTAAGAGGAGAAAGGTCCAAATGATCTCGAGAGAATGACCCCTTGATAACTCCTGATTCGACCCTGATCGGTTATTATTTCCCTGATCCCCGAACATATCAGAGAACGAAGCCTTTGGGTCAACTTCAAGACAAGGGATATTTGCCACGGAGATGAGAAGATGACTAGTAAGGTGATTGCTGGACGATGGCTTGGCACTTCATTTGGAGATGAAGAAAGCCACCGGAACACGAGAATGGGAGAGATCGATTTGCTTGATCCGTAGCCAGGCTGTGTTCGGAGTAATGATGCCAGAGAAACCATCTCACTGACTGAGTACTCCACGGATGATTTAGATTGGCCATCCCATATCCGCGCGGTACAACCGTTCCGTATCCGCCGTGTTCCAGCTTTTGTTTACAGACGATGTTAGTGGGACGTTGAGTGACGGATGTGCGATCGCCATGTTGGTGTTTGGGGAGATGATCGCCGTGCTTCATTTGCAGGGTTGGGTTTGACATAGTATCCACATCAATCGAGGGATACTCTTCCAGATAGCCTTCGAGTCTCCAGCGAAGTAGATGAGGGCAATGGTGGAGAGTCAGTGTCAGGAACCGTCCTGTACGGTGAATACCATACCGTATAGTAGTATAGATTACCTGATATCTTAAGGGATAATCTTAAAAACAGCCGTGGCAATTGTGGTTGTAGAGAGTCAAAAAGACGGCAGAGTGGTGCGTTCGGTCCACGCACCGGGTGATTTTATAGAGCCGTCTCCACCCTGGTAGTTGAAAACCAACTTAACAATCCCATCGGCTCTACCCCGGGGTTTGACTGGATACAGAGGGGGATTTCCACGGTCTTGGTAGATTGACCTTGTAGGGATTTTGGTTGAGTATCGCTAGATGTCCCTGGCTCGCGACCAACCGACTCAAAGTATTTATATCAACGGATGGAGAATGTTCCCCATCCCCAGGTAGATAAATAGATTGACTCCATCAGAGACTCCGTAATTAAGGTAAATTGAAAGCGAAGAAAATCATAGCAGTCGAGTGGAGGAGATCCGCGTTCCTCCTGACCAACAAGATTGGGTTGAACTGACCCGGATTAGATAAACTAGGCCAGAACAGTCTTGTCTGTTTCTAACATTCCAGGTTTCGAGGGTTTTGATCGAGGGTTTTGATCGAGGTTTTGATCTCCGTTAGCATGTTACCCTGGGGGTTCCAGGGAGTTGTGTCTGGTTCAACCTTTCTTGTGTTCTTTTGTTCTTTCGTTCTCGTCTTGGGACTCCACTTGAATCAAACCAACCAAACCAAGAGGTATCTGTCGTTTATTGTATTTGTTAATTGATCGATGTTAGGAGTTATTTTATTGTTATATCAGTATTGGTATTGTTTCTTTCGCCCCTTTGAACTGTCACATTTTTGGACGAGTCAAGTGGTTTTTACACGGTACCCCGTACAGTGTGTGTCCCTTGGGTTTTCTCCCCCGCTGGATCTTTTTTTCCATTTGTTTCCCATTCTTTATTTTTCATTTTTCAATGAGAATCTTTCCATATTAAGATCATTATTTTCTTTGGCACTTAAATACATACTAAATATTATGTATGTTGTGATGAAAGTTATCATACACTGTTAATCTCCATCCTTGACTAAACCTCTCTCCGCTTTACACCTTTTTCCTCTTCCTCTTCCTCTTCCTCTTCCTTTTCCTTTTCCTTTTCTTTTTCTTTTTATTTTTTTTTTTTATTTTTTCCCCCTTCTTGGTCAATCCTCAATTAATCATTCCTTTCCTGACGCTATTCCTCCACTAAATACCTTATTCCTTCGATCCCTCCAATTCCCGTCCCTTTTCTCTGTGGGATCTTCTGAATCTCAACTGGTTGGATCTGGACACCCCTCGTCATTCCTCCATCATCCACTTGATATATCCTTTTGTTTGAGGGAAAAGGAATAGCACCGAGAAGCAACAAAGATCTCAGGAAAGAGATTACAATAGAAAGAGAGGAAGAGCAATCAGAAGAGAAGAAAGGAAAAGAACCGTCCATGCCTTGAGACTCTCGCCGTAACACCACCAGGTAGGTTCGTCTCTCACTCTCTCCTCCCCCCAGAATCCGATTCCTCGCATTTTTCCCGCCCTCTCTTGACTTCCCTCTGACTTCTCTCTGACTTTCCCCCCTCCTCTCTCTCTCTCTCTCTCCCTCTCTCCCTCCTCTCTCTCTCACATCATTATCATCTCGCTTTCTTTCCCCCCCCCTCCTCTCTCTCCTTCTGGACGAATCATCCGCTATTTTCTTCCTCTTCATCGATCTTTGACCATTTGTTGTTCTCCCCCCAGTCTCCACTCCCTTCATTTCCTCTTCCCTTCTCTGTCCTTCCTTTCCCCTTCTGGTCCCGCTTTTTCTTCTTTCCACGATCCCTCTTAGACTCGTTTTTTTTTTTTTTTTTCTTTTTTTTGTTTTTGGTTATGTATCGCTGCTGAACCTTCTGCCCTCTCTTCTTTTTTCTTCCTTTCTTCATCCAACCTGATAGCTGGGACCCCGTTATCATTACCCTGCCATCGACTTCCTCTCCACCCTCACAATCTTCCCCCTTCCCTACTAGCCCCCCGTCCTCTCTATTCTTTGTTCTCCCTCCTCCTCCCCCCCACAACCTTCATCTCTTGCCTCCCCTCTCTTTCCCCCTCCCCTTAACAACACTCGCAGATTCCTTTCTCTCCATCCGATTCTCATCCACTCACCCGTTACCCTCTAGACAGTTCTTGAACGACAACAAACCCTCGACCAAAAATTCTTATCTTTCTTTCTTTCTATAGACACCACAATACTTATGTCCGTTTTTTGATCGAGTCGTCCCCAAGGCACAATGGCTGGCGCGGACGAGACGCTCGCGGCCGCCACTGCCCTCCTCCAAGGTCTGGCCAGAGACGTCCCCGGCTCCGGCCCCTCTCCTCCCTTCGACTTCCACTTCCCCCATTCGACCACCAATGGTTACAACTCCAAACCTCCCAAACTGCCCGGGGACCGAAGCCCAGCGAAAGCGGCGTTTGAAAATGAATTAGAAGCTCTGATCCGTCGGGTGCATCACTTGGAATTCCAATCTGTCAGTCACCAGCCGTCCCTCGGACACCCCCTAGGACTCGCTCAGTCTGCCTTGTGCCCTAGCACTCGGGAAACTGAGTTCCTCTGCTCATTTGGTCTCTCTCGCTCCACCTCCCGGGAAGGTTCTAACGCATCTTCCATCCTACAGCAGCAAAATCCCAGCCAACCCGCCCGCCCCAGACGACCCAGCGTCGATCCCCATGACCCCGAGCCCGAGGAGGATGACGACGAAGAATCCGACGAGGACGACGAACTGGAACCCGGGACCCGGCTGGTGCGCGAAGAGGATATCAGTTATCTGCGGAACCACGTCCAGAAACTCGCCGAGGAGATCAGCTACCAGAAGGACATCATCGCCCAGGTCCGCGATGAATTAAAACAGCAGGAAGAGCAGACCCGTCGCGCGTTGACCAAGGTCGAGAACGAGGATGTCGTCCTCCTCGAACGGGAGCTGCGCAAGCACCAGCAGGCCAACGAAGCCTTCCAGAAGGCCCTGCGGGAGATTGGCGGGATCATCACCCAGGTGGCCAACGGTGACCTGTCCATGAAGGTCCAGATCCATCCCCTGGAGATGGACCCCGAGATCGCCACCTTCAAACGGACGATCAACACCATGATGGACCAACTGCAGGTCTTCGGTAGCGAGGTGTCGCGAGTGGCCCGCGAGGTCGGAACCGAGGGCATACTCGGTGGCCAGGCCCAGATCACGGGAGTCCACGGCATCTGGAAGGAACTGACCGAGAACGTGAACATCATGGCCAAGAACCTCACTGATCAAGTGCGCGAGATCGCCGCGGTCACCACCGCGGTCGCTCACGGTGATCTGAGCCAGAAGATCGAGAGTCGGGCCCAGGGCGAGATCCTGGAGCTGCAGCAGACCATCAACACCATGGTCGACCAGTTGCGAACCTTTGCCACGGAGGTGACCCGCGTGGCGCGCGATGTCGGGACGGAAGGTGTCCTGGGGGGCCAGGCGCAGATTGAAGGGGTCCAGGGGATGTGGAACGAGCTGACGGTCAACGTGAACGCCATGGCCAACAACCTGACCACCCAGGTGCGCGACATTGCCACGGTCACCAAGGCCGTGGCCAAGGGTGATCTGACCCAAAAGGTCCAGGCCAACTGCAAGGGGGAGATCGCCGAACTGAAGAATATCATCAACAGCATGGTGGACCAGCTGCGGCAGTTCGCCCAGGAAGTCACGAAGATCGCCAAGGAGGTCGGCACGGATGGTGTGCTGGGTGGCCAGGCCACCGTCAATGACGTCGAGGGCACGTGGAAGGATCTGACCGAGAATGTCAACCGGATGGCCAACAACCTCACGACCCAGGTCCGCGAGATCGCGGACGTGACCACTGCGGTCGCCAAGGGCGATCTGACCAAGAAGGTCACGGCGAACGTGCAAGGCGAGATCCTGGACCTGAAGAGCACCATCAACGGCATGGTGGACCGACTGAACACCTTCGCCTTCGAGGTGAGCAAGGTCGCCCGCGAGGTCGGGACGGACGGCACCCTCGGGGGCCAAGCCAAGGTGGACAACGTGGAGGGCAAATGGAAGGACCTCACCGATAACGTGAACACCATGGCCCAGAACCTGACCTCCCAGGTGCGGAGTATCTCCGACGTGACCCAGGCCATCGCCAAGGGTGACCTGAGCAAGAAGATCCAAGTCCACGCCCAGGGAGAGATCTTGACGCTCAAGGTGACCATCAACCACATGGTGGACCGACTCGCCAAGTTCGCCACCGAGCTCAAGAAGGTCGCTCGCGATGTCGGCGTGGATGGCAAGATGGGCGGCCAGGCCAACGTGGAGGGGATTGCCGGAACGTGGAAGGAGATCACCGAGGACGTGAACACCATGGCCGAGAACCTGACGTCGCAGGTGCGAGCCTTTGGCGAGATCACGGATGCCGCCACCGACGGCGATTTCACCAAGCTCATCACCGTCAACGCCTCGGGTGAGATGGACGAGCTGAAGCGGAAGATCAACAAGATGGTGTCCAACCTGCGAGACAGTATCCAGCGAAACACCGCGGCCAGGGAGGCCGCCGAGTTGGCGAACCGCACCAAGTCCGAGTTCCTGGCGAACATGAGTCACGAGATCCGAACCCCCATGAACGGCATCATCGGCATGACACAGTTGACCCTCGATACGGACGACCTCAAGCCGTACACGCGCGAGATGTTGAACGTCGTGCACAACTTGGCCAACAGCTTGCTGACGATCATCGACGACATCCTGGATATCTCCAAGATCGAGGCGAACCGGATGGTCATCGAAAGCATTCCCTTCACGGTCCGGGGGACCGTGTTCAACGCGCTCAAGACGCTGGCGGTCAAGGCCAACGAAAAGTTCCTCAGCCTGACCTATCAGGTTGACAACACGGTCCCCGACTACGTGATCGGCGACCCCTTCCGCCTCCGTCAGATCATCCTCAACCTGGTCGGCAATGCCATCAAGTTCACCGAGAATGGCGAGGTCAAACTCACGATCCGCAAGTCGGATCGGGAGCAATGTGCGATGAACGAGTACGCCTTCGAATTCTCCGTCTCTGACACCGGCATCGGTATCGAAGAAGATAAGCTTGATCTCATCTTCGACACGTTCCAGCAAGCCGACGGGTCGACCACCCGGCGATTTGGCGGCACCGGTCTGGGCCTGTCGATCTCGAAACGTCTGGTGAACCTGATGGGTGGTGATGTCTGGGTCACGTCGGAGTACGGCCATGGCAGCACGTTCCACTTCACCTGTGTGGTGAAACTCGCGGACCAATCGCTGAACGTGATCGCCAACCAGCTGTTGCCGTACAAGAACCACCGGGTGCTCTTCATCGACAAGGGCGAGAATGCCCACCAGGCGGACAATGTCATGAAGATGCTCAAGGAGATCGACCTCGTGCCGCTGGTGGTGCGGAATGAGGACCATGTCCCGCCCCCGGAGATCCAGGATCCGTCCGGCAAGGAATCCGGTCACGCCTACGACGTGATCATCGTGGATTCAGTGGCGACGGCTCGACTTCTCCGCACGTTCGACGACTTCAAGTACGTTCCCATCGTCCTGGTGTGCCCCCTGGTGTGCGTCAGTTTGAAGTCGGCCCTGGACCTTGGGATCAGCTCCTACATGACCACGCCGTGTCAGCCCATCGACCTCGGGAACGGTATGCTGCCGGCCCTGGAAGGACGTTCCACGCCGATCACGACCGACCACTCCCGCTCGTTTGACATCTTGCTCGCCGAGGACAACGACGTCAACCAGAAATTGGCCGTGAAGATCCTCGAGAAGCACAACCACAATGTCTCGGTTGTTGGCAACGGCCTAGAGGCATTTGAGGCGGTCAAGCAACGTCGTTACGATGTCATCCTGATGGACGTCCAAATGCCAGTCATGGGTGGCTTCGAAGCGACCGGCAAGATCCGCGAGTACGAGCGGGAGTCCGGTCTGACTCGGACACCAATTATCGCCCTCACGGCCCACGCGATGTTGGGTGACCGGGAGAAATGCATCCAAGCCCAGATGGACGAGTATCTCTCGAAACCGTTGAAACAGAACCAGATGATGCAGACCATCCTCAAATGTGCCACCCTGGGCGGTTCATTATTGGAGAAGAGCAAAGAGTCACGGATCTCGAGTAGCGGTGAAATGCATCCCGTCCACACGGGCGATGGCAAGCGTCCGAATATGGACACACGATCCATCACCGCTACGAGTACAGTGAATCGTGGTAGCAGTAGCCTGACAGGTCCCAACGTGGACAAGAGCGATGAACTTGCTATGGAGAGGGTATGCCGAGCCCTCTTTCTCCCGAAACTACCGTCTTTCAATAGTGAAACACAATACTAACCATCCTATCCCTACAGGCTTTACTGCGATCCAACAGCTCGTGACACGATTTGAAGATATTTTTGTGCTTTTTTTTTTTTACTTTTTTCTTTCCCCCTTTTTCCGAGTGGCTTCGATGTAAAACTTATACCCTTTCTATTTGCGCGCTTGCAAGAGATGTTCGGCATCGCTACCATCTTCTTCTCATTTCATCCTTTATTCGACCCCCCCTGTTTTGTCTGACAGGGCCCTCTTTAAACTCCCATCCTACTAAACCGAACCTCCTTACAACCTACCTACCTACGCCTCTCGCTCACCTTCCAACCTCCGGTTGAATCCTTTTTTCTCCTTGCATGTGTTTGTCGCTGGAGCCACGTCGACATTCGGATCTCACTTTGCGTTTTCTCTTTGCCTGGCCATAGTACATGTTTTGATTTCGGTTGTCTTCCTTGTCAAGCCAGTTATATCTGGTGTAAGGTGTTTGGCGCATTGAACCACAGGCGGGGATCTCTTCCAATAAATAAATCTACGGCACGGGACGAAGGCAGATTTACGGGCGAGTTCAACTCCGACTTGCTGGAGGGAGCCAGCATCCCACCACTCCGGCAAGCGAGTGTGCCTTTTCATTTCTTTCTACTCTCTCAATTCTATGCCCCAGATTCCGTTCTATTTATCTTCCATCTAAACAAGCCAGCCTTCTTCTTCTTCACGTCTCAAATATAGCGCATGCTCGCCTTGGATGTTTGAAAATTTTTCATCTTTGCCATCTTCTTCGACTCTCATCCTTTGTATTGTATTTAATCTTTCCGTCATTTCTTTTCTTGTTTCCCCCTCTACATTCTAAGCAGATGTAAGACTCCAATTTATTGGATTCGGGGTCAGGTTGCTCCGATTCGACTGATTATAATGACTCTTTTCCCTTACTCTACTGGTTGGCCTATGAACCTTTTCTTCTAGGCTATAGCGGCACGTTGCATCTATCTATTTATCTTTATTTATCTATCTATCTAGCTTTTGATTAGCCTATTATCCCCACGTAAACTCCATTTTGTCTATTCTATACTACACCATGCTGGATATTACAGCCTGATATAGTACATAAGTATAATTAGTAGACTACGACGTCCTTCGAGTGGTATGATGATGATGAAAAGGTAGGTGAACAGACTCATTGCATCAAAGATAGATACATACGTACGCCGTACAATGCATATCATTAGCTGGTTATTATATAATTATTATTATGATTATTATGATCTCGATCATTCTCATTAGAATTAATATTATCATTATCGTGATTATCTTATTTTCAGTATTCTTTTCTGTGCTTTTCTTTTTCTTTTCTTGTTCTTCTTCTTCTCTTTTCTTTCGGAAGAAAAAAGAACTGGGGTGAGAAGAACATATAAAGAAAAATAGATAGATGAACAAATGGATTAACAAACAAGTAGACCAAAAATAAGAACACAGACAAGTGAATAAGATAAACAGAACAAACAAATCAATTTCTCCAATGGTACATACATCATCTGCATCAATATTAATCTTAATAAACATTACTGTTCATAGATCCGTGACCAATCCCTCTCATTGTGTATTATATGAAGTCCCACAGATTGCGGACCCGTCGGGGTATAGGAGGAGGCGTGTACGTCTGGTTTGTGGATATCGTCCCGTTTGTGGGGATCGCTCCTCCGCTGCTGCTGCTGCTGTGCGTAGTTGCTCCTGCTGTTGTTGAGTTGGATGTGGTTTCACAGGGCGTGGTCACGATTGTTGTTATAGGTGGGGGAACTGGAGCGGTGACGGGTGAGGTGACTGTTACTATTGATGGGGATGACGAGGCTGGAACGGGCGTGGAGCTTGGAAGGGGGGTGGTTGATGGTGCTGGTGTAGTTGGGGTTGAGATTGGGAGTGTGGAGGTTGTTAGGGTTGTTGGTGGTTTGGTGGGAGTGCTGCTTGATGTGGGTGGGGTTGATGATGGAGTTGGGATGACGGTTATGGTTGTGTTTGTTGGAGGGGTGGTTGGGGTATGAGGTGGGATTGGTGTCGTTGGGATTATAGGGGGAATGGCTGGAACCCCGGGCGTGCTTGTACCCGCGGGAGAGGTGCTTGATGTCGTTGGGGTTATTGGAGGGATGACCGGGACCCCGGGGGTGCTTGACGTGGTTGGGATTATAGGGGGAATGACCGGGACTCCGGGGGTGCTTGTACTTGCAGGGGTACTGGTCGAAGCCCCAGGAGTGCTTGAAGTCGTTGGGATGACAGGTGGGATCACCGGGACCCCGGGCGTGGTTGTACCCCCAGGGGTACCGGTGGAAGCCACGGGAGTGCTTGACGTGGTTGGGATTATAGGTGGGATGACTGGGACCCCAGGTGTGGTCGTACCTGCGGGAGTGCTGGTCGAAGCCACTGGAGAGGTGCTTGATGTCGTTGGAGTTATGGGTGGGATGACCGGGACCCCGGGCGTGGTTGTACCTGCAGGGGTACTGGATGAAGCCACGGGAGTGCCTGACGTCGTTGGGGTTGTAGGTTGGATCACCGGGACCCCGGGCGTGGTTGTACCTGTAGAGGTACTGGTCGAAGCCACCGGGGTGCCTGACGTCGTTGGGATTATTGGAGGGATGATCGGGACCCCGGGCGTGCTGGTTGAAGCCACGGGGGAGCCTGACGTCGTTGGAACTATAGGTGGGATGACTGGAACCCCGGGCGTGGTTGTACCTGCAGGGGTGCTTGACGTCGTTGGGATTATTGGAGGGATGATCGGGACCCCGGGCGTGCTGGTTGAAGCCACGGGGGAGCCTGACGTCGTTGGAACTATAGGTGGGATGACTGGAACCCCGGGCGTGGTTGTACCTGCTGGGGTACTGGGTGAAGACACGGGAATGCCTGATGTCGTTGGGGTTATAGGGGGAATAACCGGGACCCCTGGTGTGCTTGTACCTGCAGGGGTACTGGGTGAAGCCACGGGAGTGCCTGACGTCGTTGGGGTTATTGGAGGGATGACCGGGACCCCTGGTGTGCTTGTACCTGCAGGGGTACTGGGTGAAGCCACGGGAGTGCCTGACGTCGTTGGGGTTATTGGAGGGATGACCGGGACCCCGGGGGTGGTTGACGTCGTTGGGATTATAGGTGGGGTGACGGGGACTCCGGGAGTGCTTGATGTCGTTGGGATGATAGGTGGGATGACGGGGACCCCGGGAGTGGTCGTACCTGCAGGGGTACTGGTCGAAGCTACAGAAGTGCTCGATGTAGTTGGAATTATAGGTGAAGTAGTTGGAGCCCCAGGCGTTGTAGTACTCAGAGGGTGTGTGGTGTGAGCAGTAGAATGTGCTATCACTGGAGGAGTGCTTGACGTGGTTGGGATTGAAGGACTCGTTGGTACCACAGGTATGATGGTAGTCGGAGTGGTAGCAGAAGTGACTGGTGTGCTGGTGTTCAAATGAGTAGTTGGTCCCTTAGAACTGCTCGACTCCACTGGTGGAGTCGTAGAGATTCCTGGTAGGACTGATGACGATGGAGTATGGGGTATGGGACTGGACAGTGTAATAATGGTCACGGTAGGTGAAGGAGTTGCAGAGGAAGACCCTGGAAGGACTGACGAGGGTGGATGTGATGGTGTGGGTCCCGGGACATGTGTAGTCGGCCCTGACTGTGATGACGATGTCGAGCAAGGGACTGTGGAAATCTCGGGAGACGAGGGAGCCTCAGGAGATGATGGACGAGGGGGTGGGGGAGGCCGGGGATGGGGCGTAACTGGGGCCTCAGGAGACGACGATGGAGCCTCTGGAGAGGTCTCTGGAGGCGGAGGCGGTGGTGGCCTGGGGTGAGAGGTAGTTGGAACCTCGGGAGACGATGAAGCTTCGGGAGTGGTCTCTGGAGGTGGGGGTGGAGGTGGTCGGGGATGAGGTGTAGTTGAGATTCCAGGAGACGACGATGGAGATTCAGGGGTGGTCTCTGGAGGTGGGGGTGGAGGTGGCCTAGGATGAGACGTGGTTGGAATCTCTGGGGTCGATGATGGAGCTTCGGGAGTGGTCTCCGGAGGCGGAGGTGGCGGTGGCCTCGGGTGGGGTGTAACTGGAACCTCAGGGGACGATGATGGAGTTGTAGGTGAGGTCTCCGGAGGTGGAGGAGGCGGTGGCCTAGGATGGGGCGTAACTGGAACCTCGGGAGACGACGTTGGGGTCTCTGGAGGCGGTGGCCTGGGTTGGGGTGTAATTGGAACCTCTGGAGTTGACGATGGAGCCTCCGGAGAGGTCTCTGGAGGCGGAGGGGGCTGTGGTCTGGGATGAGGCGTAGTTGGAACCTCGGGAGACGATGGTGGAGCTTTAGGAGAGGTCTCCGGAGGTGGAGGCGGTGGTGGCCTCGGGTGGGGTGTGACCGGGGCCTCAGGAGACGACGATGGAGCTGTAGGTGTGGTCTCTGGAGGCGGAGGCGGCGGTGGCCTAGGATGGGGCGTAACTGGAACCTCTGGAGACGACGATGGTGTTGCAGAAGAGGTGGCCGGGGCTTCAGGAGAGGTTCCTGGGGGTGAATGCGGCGGTGGCCTGGGACGAGGCGTGATTGACGTTCCAGGAGGCGATGATGCTGCAGGCGAGGTGCCTGGAGGTGGAGGTGGTGGCCTGGAAAGGGGCGTGACTGGAACCTCAGGAGACGACGAAGCTGCAGGGGTAGTTTCCGGAGGTGGAGGGGGCGGTGGCCTAGGATGAGGCGTAACTGAAACCTCGGGAGACGACGAAGCTGCAGGGGACGTGGCTGGAGCTTCAGGGGTAGTCCCTGGAGGTGATTGCGGCGGTGGCCTGGGGCGAGGCGTGATTGACGTTCCAGGAGACGATGATACTGCTGAAGAGGTAGCTGGAGCTGGAGGGGGTGGTGGCCTGGGAAGGGGCGTGATTGGAACCTCAGATGATGACGCTTCAGGAGAGGTTCCTGGAGGCCCAGGTGGGGGTGGTCTGGGATGCGGCGTGCTTGGAACCCCAGGCGATGATGCTTCAGGAGAAGTGGCTGCTGATGTATGGGAGAGTGTTGGCCTGGGAGGAGCCTCCTCGGAAGATTGGGGCCCTGCAGAAGAGGGGGGAGGAGGTGGAGGGGGTGGAGGCCTAGGATGGGGCGTGGTAGGAGCCCCAGAAGACGGAGGAGTCGCAAAAGAGACGCCTGGAGGAGGAGAAGGAGGGGGTGGCCTGGGATGAGGTGCGACTGAAGACGACTCCTGCGGCGCGGATGGCATTGGCGTTGGACCAGGTGGATGCACAGCCCCGGTAGTCTCAGGCGATGGACCAGACGATGAGGGGTGAGGTGGAAGCGGTGGGCGAGGCCGTGGCCGTGGCGCAGGTGAGGTGCTAGCCATGATAGACGACCCTGACACCGGACGAGTAGACATGGAAGCGATCGTGATGGAACTCGATAACCCGGGGGTCATATGCCCGGGTTGAGCTCCTGGACCCCCTGGACCTGGACCTCCCGGACCCCCGGCACCTGCACCACCTGCACCTGCACCACCTGCACCTGGACCTGCGCCTCCTGGACCTGCGCCTCCTGGACCTGCGCCTCCTGGACCTCCCGGTGGCCCATGTCCAGCTCCGGGAGCACTGAGTGCTACCCCTCCTGGAACAATACCGGGCTGGAAAGGAGGCGGAGGAGCTGGACAATGGGTAACTGTGGTCGAGATCGTGGTAGATACTGTAGCCGAGACAGTTTGAGTACGAGGAGCTGGACAGTCAGTTACCGTGACCGTGACCGTCAGCGTCAAAGGCGCTGGCGGTGGGGTACACTTAGGGCACGAGGGGGACGGAAATGATGATACGCTCGGAATTGGAGTGACAGAGGAATGAAATCCAACAGACGACGAAGATGGTCCATGACTTGCAGAAGTGGACACACGCTGGGAAGTTCCGACAACAGATGACGAGATGATAGGGGTCACACTTCCCGGAGTTGAAGAGGGTACAACTGAGCTGTTGAAACCGCCTCGTGGGGGGAGCGCTGCCGCCTTCTGGAACAATGCCCATGAAGCAACTAGAGCTTGGGTCAACGTGTTTTCCCAAGGGGACATCCTGGTGTTCAACGAGCGCATACTGAGCAAAAGATTAAAGCCCTGAATATCACATAGATCAACAAGGACAAGAGGTAACAGCGTGGGTGGGCAATTATATGTACCTGGCCGGCCCTGTGTCATCGAGATTGGCCCAATACATGTATGATACTGAGAAAGGTTGTGGCTGTCTAATCAAATCATGTTGTGATTCCACCGAAGTCTAAAATTCAATCATGACCTTGCTCATCCGTCATAGGGACATTTCAGGAACCCTTACATAGGGCTACCCGGAGTAGATCCCCAAGAGGGCATGTCCTCTGGTTTGCCTCGATGGACTTCGAATCCTGAACGTTTTGTATTCAATCGAATCGGCACGAATGCGTATATGTCTTAGTGTTTTTATTGACCCGCCGGTCCAGAAAGCCACTGGATTTTTATGGCATCTGGGGCCATTTCCTTGCCTAGAACAAGCGCTGTATTTACACATTGCCATCCCCTCCCCTACTTAGTGTGCTTCTTATCGGCGCCATGGCGTCTATAGTCGAATTTGTCTTCCTCACCTGCCTGGAAGTCATTGAGTCGTTGAATCATTAGGCCATTGAAGTGGCTTATTGTGATATAATCCATTTTCGAAATGCAACTGCCAAATTCAGTGTCGGATGCAGCGGCTTCGATGCAGCGGCTTGTGCGGACGACATGGGCAACCAGTGATCCTTTGCTTAATAGAGGGCCCAGGGTTGACGCCATCCGACATGGACCAACTTGGCTGCAGTTACACAGGCTAGACCGACAGCGTAGCAGCAGGTGGTAAAGGCTATGAGGCCCCAGTAGTCTCCGTTGCAGCGAGCCAGGATCTCACCCGCGATTGGGATACCTGTCAAAGTACTTTGAATCATTAGCATACGATTTCTCGCGGAGTTTGGAAAACAGAGGAATCTTAGCTTACCCAAAGCTTACTATCGTGTACGCTGTAGAGTAATACCTCCCATAATTCTCGATTTTGCATAGTTGTGAAATGCAGACAGGGGTAAGACTGATATTGCTGCCACTTGCAAAACCAAAAATGACGCAGTATACAATCATCAAAGGGACGTTATCACCGGCTGGGAGCCAGAGACAGGCATTGCACACTAGACATAGTGCCACGGTGGCAATCAGGGTGTTGAATCGACCCAGGTAGTCGGCAACAAACCCAGGGATACCTCGCCCAAAGAAAGAGCCCACATTGAGGATGGCTAGTAGTTGGTAGGACAATGAATGAGAAACACCGTGGGCCAATGCATAAGAAGAGATGTAGCTGATCGGAATGAAGAGGCCCCATTCCACAAAGAAGATCCCAGCAGTTGTAAGTGCAAACCGTGGCTCTCGGAGGATGCGAAAGTCAGGCAGAACGTTCTCCCTGGAGGCTGGCTTCTTGGGCAGTCGCGATTTCACCAGGAGACATGCGACAACCACCAGAATCAAACAAATTAGGGCAATAACTCGAGTTGCCCATGCGAACCCTACAAGCGGGAATAGTCTTTCTAAGATCAAGGGGAAAGCAATACCGCCTACGGAACCACCCGTTGCCGCAATACCAGTTGCAACACCACGCTTTTTATTGAAGAAGTGACCGACGGCAGAAATCGCAGGTGTAAAGATCAAAGATGTCCCTAGACCTCCAGTGACGCCGATGACGAGCATAAAGTGCCAATACTGGGTACAGAATCCTATCGTAACCATCATCACGACGGTCAAGATAGAACCAGCAAGAACCAGCAGCCGGGGGCCCTTGGCATCGAAGATGGGGCCGATTTGGACACCGCAGAAGAAGGTGAGAAAGGCATACATGCCGAAGATCCACCCAGTTTTGCCAGAGCCTAGATCTTTGAGCTGATTGTTCTCCAGGTAGGCTTGGAAAGTCCCGATGGAGTTTACCAAGCCGAGAGTGCCAAAAAGGCCCGCAAAGCTGCCCAGGACCACCAGCCATGCATCCCGTCCGCCTTCAGGGTAGGTGTTCCCATCGGCATCGGTGGTCACACGGCTCACGGGCACCCCATGAGCTGACAGGTCCGACGGACAGTCCCCGGACGATCTTGGGAGATCCTGCTCGACTGAGGTTGGCGCATCCGGCGAACGGGTGGAGGAGTGTTGGGGAAGTTCCTCGGGAAACCCCTGTGGATTCTTCTCTCGATCACAGTCTAAACCTCCAAGGGGCCTAGAACGGTTGCATGTGTCGCCCGTGGCGGACTGTGCTCCAGGGGACGGAGATAATGGTGTCTGGTGAGTTTGATAAAGTTGCTTTTCCGTTCCATGCTGCTGGGTTTCGTCTTGGACCGGGGATCCAGGATCTCTGGAGTTAGTGAGCATGTCAGTATAGATAGCTGGTTGAAGTGGATCACGGTTGACCTTGTTGCTTCCACAAAACCAGTCTGATTTCGCTTTGCTGCCGATTCGAGTAGAACGATTTGATAGACAGAATGAGAAGAAGTTGAAGCTGCTGAACGATATTCAGCGACCAAAGTCACTTGAGGAAATGGCTCATCTGTGTTTGAGGTGGGAGGCAGCGAAGCGATATGACTGATGAAAGCCGAAAGAGAGAGGGGTCATCGCTGGAACCGATGGAGCCAAGCCTATTGGTTTCTTCTAAGCAATATTTTTCTTCTTTTTTTTTTCTCTTCGGGGAAGCTGCTCTGGAACAGTTCCTATTGGCGAATCCTTCACAGAATGGGGGTTGCCCGCGGTAAACAACAGGGAAGGCTAGACAGGAACAGGAAGGTCGGTGGAGAACGATTCGGAAGATATATAAGACAGACTTCCATCGGGTGGACTTGTTTGGGGATTCGATCTTACAACACTAGCTTTGACATTGGTGTAGGCAATTAGCAGGTTTAGAAGTGGCATACAACAGGGAGACTAAGTACAAGCACAAGTGCCCGACTGATCCTGAAGAGATAATCAATCTGGATGAAGACTAAAAATGGGGGCACCGTTTTCGGTGCCCCGGCGGGAAGTGGGGCATCCCGGAATGGTGTCCATTTCTAAGGCAATTCTTGACTTTTCGATGATGATCCATTCAATGGCTATTGTGGCAGAGAATCTAACGATCTCTCAGTAGACGCAGGGACTGATGGCGTAGGCATGCTTATGGTTGTCCACATATGAGGGGAGATTTAGTCCGATAGCGCAAGTAATGGGAGAAGGACATCGGTACCATGAAGATCAGAGACGATCTAGAATATATGAACAGGATAAAGAGACCTGGATGGATGGTTGGATATGAAGTGAAGAGTGAAGCAGAATGAGAAAGGAGGAAGAAGGAGTTGAGCAGGTGACCGAGAACCTTAGTCGTGACACCTGACCTTTACCTTCAACTTTCCCCTCTTCTCTCCTCCCGTCCACTCGGGCCATTTATCAGACAGAAATAATCTACCTCAAAAGGTTATCTCGCACCAATTATTATTTTTGACAATTCGTCATCTCGCGATTGATATAGTGTTGAAAGATCATCCAGTGAAATGGCGAACGACTTACACAGTGTAAGTCATTCCCAGACCAGCCAGATCGGTGGTCTCATCCTTATAGGTCTTGGCTTTGACATTTCATGGATAAGGGGATGATCGAAGGCCTTTGCTCGCTAATGTGCCGACATCTTACAGTAAGGTGCAGCTGTGTGGAGCCTAGCAGCCAACAATGAGTTGCGCGAACCAACAATGCTCTTGTTAGCATGAGCCCCTCAGGAGCTAGTGGTCAAGGATAAGAAGGCTTAAGATGAATCGGGCTTCCCGATGAACGAAAAAGGCTTGGATCTTTCATGGGCTACTAGTGGGCTGTTTCCCCTCGTTTCCCAGGCAGACGTGTCACTGATAGCTGACATACAATACAAGGGCACAGTAACACTGGACTCTGATCATATAAATTGGACCGTCCTCCCTTTGGAGACGGATCGGTGTGCTCAGATGACCCGGTGCTATTTATTTAATTTCCCATGAAATTGCCAAAATGTGGAAGTCTCGAGCTCTTCATCTCCCATATATCCTGCTGATAATATTAATCTGCACCGGCACAATCTCAGCCGCTGAACATGGGCCATTTGGACAAAAGGTCCGCGACGCGCAGAGACTGTCTGGACGTGCCGTCCCGCAGCAAGCGCCCTTAAAACTCCCCCAGGATGACTTCCGCTTCCTAAATCAGGAGACACAACGTGCGCCATCAATATCCGTTGACACTTCATCTATAATTACTGCCCCAACACTGGCTGATCTGATATAATTCCACAGCGTACCTAGTTGAAAGCCTACCCGATGTCCCTTTCGACATCGGCGAAATCTACTCGGGGTCGGTGCCCATCGATCAAGGCAACGACTCACGATCTCTTTTCTTCGTATTTCAACCCACTATCGGGGATCCTGTGGATGAGATTACCATCTGGCTCAACGGTGGACCGGGCTGCAGCTCGCTCCAGGGCTTCTTCCAGGAGAATGGGCGGTTCCTCTGGCAGAAAGGCACGTATCTGCCGGTGCAGAATCCGTATTCCTGGGTCAATCTCACTAATATGCTGTGGTACGTTGACGTTTGGCGATAATTTCTCCATTTGTTTATGCTTGTTTCTGGTCTGCCCCGAGGCCTTGACCATGTGCTAAATGAACCAGGGTTGACCAGCCTGTCGGGGCGGGATTCGCCCTTGGCACGCCGACAGCCACGTCCCAGGAGGATATAGCCGACGACTTTGTCAAGTTCTTCAAGAACTTCCAGCAAATATTCGGGATCAAGAGATTCAGGATCTTCGTCACGGGGGAGAGCTACGCGGGCCGCTATGTGCCGTACATCTCAGCGGCCATGCTGGACCAGAATGACACGGAGTACTACGACATGCAGGGTAAGTGGCCAAGCCAGACAGCTCTTTTAAAATGAAAACCCATTCTTAATCTGACCAGGCGCCCTGGTCTACGATCCCTGCATCGGACAATACGACTACGTGCAAGAACAAGCCCCCGCCGTGCCCTTCGTCCAAGAAAACGCGAATCTTTTCAACTTCAACGCTAGCTTCATGGAGGAGATTGAGAGTCTGCACAAAACCTGCGGCTACGAGTCCTACATGGACGAGTACCTCACCTTCCCACCATCCTCGCCCCAGCCGCCCGTGTCGTTCAACGTCACGGACGAAGCAACAAGCTGCAATATCTTCGGCTCCATCAACGCCGCAGTGCTACAGACCAACCCATGCTTCAACATCTACCAAATCTCCCAGATGTGCCCCCTGCAGTGGGACGTGCTAGCCTTCCCGACAGCCTTCCTCTACCAGCCCGCCGGCGCCACCGTGTACTTCGACCGAGCGGACGTCAAGCGCGCCCTGCACGCGCCCGAGCACATCACCTGGGCCGCGTGCACAGAGGACCCCGTCTTCGTCGGCGGGCCCGAAGCCGAGGGCGACCTCTCCGCCAACCCCATCGAGACGGTCCTGCCGCAGGTGATCGAAGCGACGAATCGGGTGCTCGTCAGCAACGGCGACTACGACATGATCATCCTCACGAACGGCACGCTGCTCGCCATCCAGAACATGACGTGGAACGGGGCGTTGGGGTTCCAGGCGGCGCCGAGCACGCCCATCAACATCACGCTGCCGGACCTGCAGTACCGGGACGTGTTTATGGCGAATAACGCGACGGGGTGGCAGGACGGGCAGGGGGTGATGGGCGTGCAGCACTATGAGCGCGGACTGATGTGGGCGCAGTCGTTCCAGACGGGGCATATGCAGCCGTCGAACCAGCCGCGCTTGACTTATCGTCACTTGGAGTGGTTGCTGGGGCGGGTGGATGAGTTATAATTGGGAGTCCGGACGGTTATACCTCACGTGGGGTGTAGTTTACTGTCGCAAATATTGATAGTGCATGAAAGGGTACCCACAGAGCTCAGAAGTGTCTAGATATCTTTGTAGCTGAGTGGCATCCTTTTCGACATCTACTCTTCATATTGAAACTCTCCATATTGAAAATCATCATCCACTCTAGTTATGAGTTACCCATCATACATAGAAACATTTAGTGTATTCGAATCATTATATTGGAATCTTCAGAGCAATTACTTCAGTAATACAAACCGGGAGAAAGGAATCGATCTTATCCCCTGATCGAAAGACGTCCAGCCGGTCTAGAACGCCACGTGCGTGATGATCGCAAGGGTCCAACAAGACTGTGGTTGCCTTGTTTGCCTGAGAATTTTATACAGAGTTTAAACCGAGTTTGAACCGACCCCAGCGAGGTAGCATCAAGTGGATCATACATTGTCGCATTCTCCGTCGACAATAAGTAGTAAAGTCTCACGCAGGTAAGACACCATGTGGTAGTTAGCAGTTAACCAGGATAGTCAGGTACTAAAAATTACCACAACAATAAAAAGAAAAAGAAATCAAATAAAACAATAAATAAAATATAATCAACAAATCCCCAACACCGGACCGGGCAAACGCACGCAAACCGCAAACAGGCAAACCCAGCCCGGCGCCCGTGGCAGGCAAATTCGCAAGCGGAAAGCCAACCAGCCAACCCAAGCGCTGGACCGTACTAAGGGTCCCGGTGTTGACATCTTGACGATCTCTTACTGGGAGAGGACAAGGCTCGGTCGCTAATGTAGCGTGGTGATTTATACTAGTTACCGAGTATGAAAGTTTCTGATGCCAAGAGGGGTTTGTCCCTCTTCGTATTGTCTTTGTTTTTTCTCTAGTATAATGGTGGTGGTGGCAGGCCGTGTGATCGAGAGTAGTTTGTAATACTTAATACCGATGGAGACTAGATTGATACGGGAATGAGGTACCGACCGAGTGGTGTGGCTGAATTATGCAGGGCTAGACTGCATTCGGTTAGTATTTATCATGTACCTCGAGGTGGAATTGTACATCAGTAGTGCACGTGGAGATGCGGAATACGAGAGATCAACCGACCCCCTTGCTTGATTTTTGAACTTCATCTTGCGATAATCTGAAACCAGAACGATCCAGATAATTATAATTATGTTGATAGTGAGAGGAAAAAGAAGAAGACGGCAGACACGGGTGGATCGCGCCCATAACGCCATCCCGTCAGCGCCAACGGCTTATCCTGCTGTGGTCTAGTACACACTACGCCAAGGGTTGGTATTACCTACTTTACCTGGGTAGGGTATGTCAGTGGCAGATTTTGAGGTATGCATATAAAGACTTATTCAATGAACTCATTGAACTGAAGTCTAAACTAGGTATCCTCAATTTACCAGCAGGATGGTCTGTATACCTACCACCTAGTAACCCTGAAGCACTACGGAGTACACCTATCCCCAATCCCCATGGGCACCTGGCAGCGTTCAACCCCGCCAGAACCAACAATTGGAATTAATCCCAGTCCATCGAAGTAGAGCAAATGGACCCCGTCTACCAATCAGTCATGAATTCTCTGCATCCTTGGCAGTTTAACCCAACAGGGAAAGAGAAGTCGCGCGCAGTTGCCACTAAACTGCACTAACTGATCGTACAGATACGGACGCCATACCGATTATCCCTCACGATCATATCGTATCTCGCAGGATGGGCCACCACCCGGGTATGGTCTGGTATTTTACTTATTGGGCTAATAATATTAAGATTATCATGAAATCTTGAATATTGAATATTGAAATTAAAAAAATAAAATAAAAAAAAAGAAAGAATGGATGGAAACCAAATAAAATGCCCTGATCGCCGGTATCTCTCTGTTTGCGTCTTTTCTTCCTCTCGCTTTCCCCTCCTTCTCTGATCTGGAGATTTCTTTGTTTTCTCTTACCCAAATCGCATCAACTGGTGGAGTTCGATCGCATCCTACTCACCTGTTGACATCTAGATCGTGGCTAGTATCTGATTCAAACAGTTCCTACCAATTCTACCACGTCCCTCGTGAAAGCTTCATCTATACAGCGCAGTAGCAGCAACACTTCCAACCCCGATCCCAGATCCCAGATCCCAGCGCGGCGCACCCGATCCCGTCCTCCCGGTCCAACTGCCATTGCGCCTCCCGCGATCCTATCCTTAACCCTGTGCGACCATTGCGACAGCAGCAGATCCCCGCAAATCAAAAGTAGATCTCCCCGAAGCGAGCCACCATGGTCTGGATCAACCCCTTCCAGAAGCATGACCACACCGACTTCCCCGGGGTCGTCGTGCCCCTCTCCACTGCCACAGCGCCAGCGCATGCCCAGAGCTCCCCCGAGGTAGACAACAAGACCGGTTCCGATGATAAGAGCGTGGATCAGGCCCCGTCCGAGAAGGGCGAGGGGTCTGTTCGCAACTATAACCAGATGACGATTGAAGCTTTGCGCGCGGAGGTTGAGGGTGATGTCGTCGCGTCGGGTCATGATACTACTTATGACCGTATGTTTTGCTTGAATCTCATGGCTTTTCTATTGGCTGGGATATCTTTGCCAGATGTCGACCCTGGTGAATGTTCGATCTGACTCTCTGTAGGCAAAGCCAAGGTTATCAACCGCGCGATTCAGGATATCGGCATGGGCCGGTATCAGTGGGAGCTGTTTGCGCTCTGTGGGTTTGGTTGGTTGGCGGATAAGTGAGTATTCGTACCCTAAGGCGCGTGTTGTTGATTACTGACATCTGGTTTAGTCTCTGGCTTCAGGTATGATCGCATAGTTGGATATGGCTAAGATATACGGCGATACTGATGTTTTCTCTAGGGTGTCGCACTCACCTTGCCCCAACTGTCCATGGAGTTTGGTGTGTCCGCTTCGCAAGTCCGTTTCACCACCTGCGCCTTGTTCTTGGGTCTGTGTCTCGGGGCTTCGTTCTGGGGTCTCGCGTCGGACATCATTGGACGTCGTCCGGCGTTCAACACGACGCTCTTCATCGCGGGTGTCTTCGGTTTGGCGGCCGGTGGTGCCCCTACCTGGATTGGGTATGTCTCTCTACTCCATTCATACCATGTTATTAGTCTTCTGGTGTGGGCATTTCTAACTGATCTAGTGCCTGTGCCCTGTTCTCCTGCTTGGGTCTCGGCGTTGGTGGCAATCTGCCCGTGGACGGAGCGCTGTTCCTGGAATTCCTGCCCTTCGCCTCGGGGAATCTCCTCACCATGCTCAGTGTCTGGTGGCCCGTGGGCAACCTGATCGCATCGTACGTTCCCCTGTACTCCCTCAACCATCCACATCGCTAACAATTCAATCCTACAGCCTCCTCGCATGGGCATTCATCCCCAACTACACCTGCGTAGAAGACATCCCCTGCACCAAAGACCAAAACATGGGCTGGCGCTACCTAGTCCTCACGCTCGGCGCCCTAACCTTCGTCATGTTCGTCTGCCGCTTCTTCCTCTTCCACCTCTACGAGTCTCCCAAATTCCTCCTCTCGCGCGGCCGCCAAGACGAAGCCGTCGCCGCCGTCCACGGCATCGCCTACAAGAACGGCGCCCAAACCTGGCTCACGACCTCCATCCTCAACGAAATCGGCGGCCACGCCGAGATCACCCCCCAGGAAACCCAACTCAGCACCGCCGAGATCCTCAAACGCAACGTCTCCAAGTTCTCCCTCCAGCGCATCGCGCCCCTCTTCGCCACCACCCGCCTCGCAATCACAACCCTCATCCTCTGGTTCTGCTGGGCCACCATCGGCATGGGCTACCCGCTCTTCAACGCCTTCCTGCCGCAGTACATCAAGCAAGCCGGCGGCGAGCAGGAACAGTCCACCTACATCGTCTACCGCAACTACGCCATCACCTCCATCGTCGGCGTCCCGGGCTCCATCCTCGCCTGCTACACAGTCGACATGAAGTACATCGGCCGCAAGGGCACAATGGCCATCTCCACCATGATCACAGGCGTCCTCACCTTCTGCTTCACTTCTTCCCCCGACCCCAACATCCAACTCGTCTGCACCTGCCTCGTCGCCTTCTTCCAGAACATCATGTACGGCGTGCTCTACGCCTACACCCCCGAGGTGTTCCCCGCCCCCAACCGCGGCACGGGCACCGGCATCGCCAGCTGTCTGAACCGGATTGCGGGCCTGTGTGCCCCGATCGTCGCCATCTACGCCGGCGACGCCAACCCCAACGCCCCGATCTACGCCTCCGGCGGCCTCATCCTCGCTGCGTTCGTCTCGATGGTCCTGCTGCCGATCGAGACGAGGGGCAAGCAGACTCTGTAGTCACCTTTTCAGAGTATACGTATATTGTTGTCTCCGTATCATATGGTGGTCCCCGTCAACCAACGCACCCTGGTGTATGCATGCATGCATGCATGCAATGACCCGCGGGTTCTGTCTGCGGGAGGGATGCGTTTGCCTTTTCTTAACTCTTAATTTTCTTATTGTATTGTTCTTTTGATACCAACGTTGCTTTCATCCGATATTTTATCTTTGTCTGTTTTTGGACGTGTTGATGAGATTCTTCAGTATATACATGTACATACATACATACCTATATACATACCCGTATACTTACTGCGCTATCTACGCTTATATCGACATCTATATCTACATCTATATCTGTAAAAAATCTATATCTAGCGGTAAAGTAACAGCAAGGTCATACGAGACATCCAAGTCATAAGTTATAAAGCAGGACTACAAGTAAGAACTACAAGGAAAAATCGACAACGACCAGCCGTGTCATGGCATGCCATATATTCTCTCTCTCCATGTACAAGGTATATATGCATTCCATAGAAGGAAATAAAACAGAAAAAGAGGGAAAAAAAAAAGATCAAAAGCATGTGACAAGCGGTCTTTCGCATGACACAGAAGAGAGAAAATAGAAAACAGAAAGAGAAAGAAATGAAAAAAACCCATAACAAATGCTTTGTCCCGACCGAACCGAATCCAAAGAAAAAAATAATACCCACAGATGTAAATCAAACAAGATTGCATAACGAACAATGGTAAGAAATAGCAGAAAAGAAAGAAATGCAAACTGTCATCCGATCACTCAGGATTTCCGATACGATACCCGTGTGATCAAGGAAATTCGTGGCGGTAGACTCAAGGAGTGAAAAAGAAAAGACTAGATGACTGGCGGGTTGCGCCGGCCTCGCTTTTCCAGCAAGGTGGCGTTGTTCAGACTCAGTTCGAAAGGCGCCTTGCCCGAGCGCGACAGGTTCTTCCGGGCTGCGTCGGCCACCGCCGCACTGTGCTGCCCGTAGCCCTGCCGGGGCGGTTGCCGCGCCTGGGCGGCGGGAGCCTGGGCCGTGCCGGCTCCCAGGTTCGTGGACCGCAGCTTGGCCTCCATGGCGGCGACCCCCTCGGGCGGCTGACCGGTCTTCTGCATCTGGGCGGACAAATTATCATCCTTGTCGAGGGGCTGGTACGTGACCGGCGGCGGCGCTTCGTCGTCCGAGTCTTCACTCAATGCGTTCAGCGGGGTCTGGAACCGACCGGCCGCGTTGTTGTTCGGGTAGTATTGCCGGAAGTGCTTGCGTCGCTTGCTCTCTTCCTCTTGGCGGTGGACCGCGTTACTCACGTCGAACACCTCGCGCAGATTGATGGCCCCGGGGGAGCGGAAGTCCATGGGACGATCCAACCCGGCCGAGGGCTGGTCGTACATACGGGCACTGGCCGGGGCGTAGGGCGCCTGATCGGCGGCGACGGCGTCCAGAGGCGAGTGCTGCTGCGGCTTGGTGAGCGGCGTGGCCAGGGGCGGAGCGTCGGCGGCAGCTTCGGTGGCCTCGTCGGTGCCGCGGATCCAGGGATGCGCGAGGAACTCCTTGATGGTGTACCGCTTCTCGGGGTCGACGGTCAGGAGGTGGGAGATGAGGTCTTGGGCGGACTTGGAGATGTCATCCCACCAGGGGGACAGGAACGTGTACTGGCCGCGGGCGACCTTCTCGGTCAGAACCTGGATACTCTCGTCGTAGAAGGGCGGGAAGCCGCAGAGGAGGGTGTAGAGGACACAGCCCATGGCCCACATATCGACACTCTTGGAGTAGCGCTCATCCTTGACGATCTCGGGGGCGGTATAACCGACGGTACCGCACGGGGTCATGGTCTGACTATCCCAGATGACCTTGGAGAGGCCGAAGTCGGCAATCTTGATGACGCCGATACCACCGGCACCCTTCCCGGGGATGAATTCCCCTTCATCCACTTTGTCTTCATCGCCGGGCTGGCGGGGTTTGGGATTTTTGGACGGGACGAAGGGGGTGGGGTAGAAGAGGAGGTTTTCAGGTTTGATATCTCTGCAAACAAATTGATTAGTGGGTGTTCTGGAAGGGGGGAGATGGAGGGGGAGGGGTACCGATGAACCACACCCGAGGTCTCGTGGAGGTACTCGACGGCCTTGGCGACTTGGGTGATGACATGGCGACTGAGATCCTCCGAAAAGTAGGTCAAACGGACGATCTGGTGGAACAACTCCCCACCGGGGCAGAGTTCGAGGACGATGTAGTAGTATTGGCGCGACTCGGAGAAGTGGATGAGTTTGATGATGTTGGGATGGTCGATCTGTCGCATGATCTGCACTTCTTTGAGGATGTTGGCGCGCTGTAGATGGAGTTAGCTCGTATCCCGGTGGTGGCTAGTGAGACATGGAGAAACTGAGATAGAGGGAGACAATGAGAGGGAGCGGGTGAGGGAAAGAAGAATCAAAGGCAGGGAGGAATGCGCACATCCGTGGGCTTTAGCGGATTCCGAGGTCGGAAGTCGGGATGGAGATGCGAGGACTAGAAGATTGAACAATGAATCCAGGTGACGATGGCACGATAGGACAGCGAGGGGACGCGACGGCCAACCCAGTCTAATCAGGAGAGAAGCGAGTAGGAAGAAAGAAGAGAAGAAAAAGAGGGCGCTAAAGAAAGAGGTAGAGTAAAAGGAAGAACGAAGAAAGGAAGAGATAGACCTACCTGTGTACTGTTCATTTCAAACTTGCGAACGACCTTGATGGCGACCTCGTCATACTCCCCAGTAGTATCCTTAGCGCGATAGACGTTGCTAAAGGCCCCGTCGCCCATCTTGTCCAGCAAGATCCAGCGTTCGAGGCCGGGATACTTGGGCAAATTGGCCTGACTGCTCTTCTCCTCGGCGACGATCTGTTCAATCTCCAGGTCCCGAGCTTTCCGATCCGGGGAGCGGTGGGAGGCAGCGGCGGGTTGTTGTTGGGCCTGGCCGTGACCCAATTTACTGTCAATGGCATCCAGATTACCGGCGGCGGGGGGGTAAGACCCCTGGGGTTGACGTTGTTGCTCGGCATGGATAGGGGAGACATTGGTGGTGGGCTCGGCATGAGGGGTCACCAAGCGGGCCTGTTTGCCATGACGTATGAAATTCTTCAGATTTTGAATGGTACTCATGATGAGTAATCCGTGGTAGGGTAAGGAAGTAGGGTAGGGAGAGAGAAAGGAAGGGGAAGGAGGAAACGGAAGTCTAGAAGGGAGGTGAGAAAGAAGAAAAGGAAGAAGATAAAAAGAAGAGAAGTCAAAATGAGGTAATGGAGGCTCGTGGCGAAGAGAAACGGTCGGGCGGGGGAAATGACGCTGGAGAGAGAAAAAAAAAAGGTCGGGACTGGATCGGGTTGTCAGTGCACTGTCCAGTAGGTTTGCGGGGGAGAAAATAGGCGACAGGAGACCCCATCATCATCATCATCATCATCATCATCATATCATACTTACCAGATAAGATCTTATAACTCTAACGGTGAAACCTGGGTAATACAAGAGGTGAATGATTTGAATAATGAGAAGAATAGTCCAACAGAAGTGAGAGGAACAAAGCTCAGTCCGAGAGTAGAGACCAGAGAGAGGAGAAAAGAAGAAGAGAAAAAGGTTAAGCGAGTTGGAAACAAAGGAAGTTTATTGGAGGGGATGGAATTAATTTAATTTTTTAGAAAAGAGGGAAAGGAAAAGAGGGCAGTGGGGAAAGATGTGACGGGTGGAGGACCGATGATGTTATCTTTTTTTCATGGCTGATCGGTCATTCTTCTCTCTTTTATCTATATTTCATTGATTCAATATTCTACTCCGTAGTTATAACTGGTAGACATGGTCTTTATCAACTATTGACGATGGTATGTTGAGACTTCCGGATTTATCAGAAGATGTAATGTGTTCATGGAAACAACAATGACGTAGGAGGAGATCCAAGATATCTAGCCTGCTGACTCATGGATCAGTCAGCCATTATATGAATGACCTCAACTGTGCCTCTCTCTTGGTGGTGTAGCGTCATTCTTCGTCATCTCATGTCTATATATTATATAAATTATATAAATTATATCAAACAATGGAGGATCCCAACAACCAATCATGTGCATATCCAATATCCTGTATAGTTATCGAGATACTACGGGGTATACTCCGGAGTAGCCTCCTGTATATCTACTAATGTACTTCGTACATGGCAATGATTGTATACAAGTCGACCTGCAGGGGTCGCGATGCTTTCTCCCCCTCCATCGGATCCTTTCCCGAAACTCTCCCTCGGACTTCCTGTCAATGCTGCATCTTGCAACCCTGGCTTCTTCTTTTCTTCTTTCTTCCGGGCCTCTTCCCCCCTCCTTCAGTCTCTGTTCTAGATTGGACCACGCTCATCTTCCATCCCCCCACTTGATCGCAAACAAACCCGCCCCGTGGACCCGGATGAGATATCCGCCAACGCTGCAGACGGTCAATCCGAACCAGACCGCAGACACCTTCAACCAATCTGGAATGTTCTCCCTCGATTCTTGATGGTCTCGCTTTCTCTCTCTCTCCCTCTCTCTTTATCCCCCTCTCTTGGCTTTGCATCTGGAGAGCCTCCCATTCGCATCGTGGCATTCTTGTCGCGTCACTTCTCTCCCTCTCCCTCTCCCTCTCACCGTGGAATTTGGATCCCCTCCATACCCCTGGAAGATCCTCATCGATCTGCAACGTGGGATCATCTCTCTTTCATTTCTCTCTACTCATCTTGAACCTTTGTTGGTGAGGTTTCATTCTTCCCTCCGATCTCCTTACACCTTGCCTCTCCACTCCCTCACTGGCTTTCTGCATCCATCAATCATGCGACGACACTGATCGAGGTCAACAATCAAAGGGGATTTCAAAAACAAAGAAAGAAAATCAAGAAAACCAGAATCGTTGCCCTGTTTTCTTCTTTTATTTATTTTCTATCTTATTATCTCTCTCTGAATTTATTTTACCCACTTTTCCTACCTCTCATTCTATTTGATTTAATCCTGTAGGGACACGACCGGTCCCGCTATGCAACGCCCACCTCTGCTCGCCTGGTCCAATCTCCTTTGAAACACTTGCGGTGTCATGCTCCTACGCCCAATCATTCCCCCATCCGTCCTCACGCCCAGTTTGCCAACTGTACTTGGGCCCTCCCGGTGGGTTCGTCGGCTTATTTGTACCCTCGAATGGTCAGGGACCGTCACCAAAAAAGCAAAAACACGTACCCAAAAAAAAAAAATAAAAAACAATAAGGGGGGAGAAGGAAGAGGAAAAAAAGAAAGAGAAAAAGGAAAAGAAAGCGAAGATGCCCAGCGTCGCGATCGTTGGCACCGCTCCCGCCCCGCCAGAACACCTGGACCGCTCATTGTTCAGGTCCCATAAGGCCCTTCCCCGAAAGACACATGTCCTCCAAACCGTCCAGTGTCTGCCTATAAAGCCCGCTGGTCAGGATGGCAACCCCGGGAGGGATGCTGTTCCCCCGACAGCTCCCAGTCTCCCTTTGACGCCTCCCAGAGTCTCTCACGAAGACACCCGCCCCAACGACGGTAACAAACAGAACGTCGTCTCTCCATCCGTGATCGAAGGGCTCACCTCGCCCAAACCCTCACACCCCCCGACCCCGGAGTCCACCCCACCGCGCCGCACCCCGACTAATCGACGACCAGGCCTGAGCCACGGCGGGCGGTCGTCGTGCTCGTCGCGCGAGGATTCCTTCCAGACCGCCCGTGAGATGTTCTCCGACAGCGAGCCCGACACCCCGGGCCGCTCCGTCCAGTGCCTGCTGCCCAAGACGTTCCGACGGAGCGAGGCCAGAACCCCGGAACCGAAGGCTCGCGCGGACCGGACCGCCTCGACGGGCTCGCCGAAACCGAAATCGCGACCGTCCGCGAGGGCGCGACGCGCGGGGAACCCGGAGCCCTCGACAGTGACGTCCGCCCGCGCCCAGCCGTCCGCTCACCAGACGGCCCCGAGAGCGTCGGATCTGGCGAGCAGCTCGGAGGGCCCCGTGCCCAGTCTGTCGATCGAGCAGTTTCGCGAACAGGTTGGATGGCCGTCGGGCGGTGGGGCGGGTCTGCCCGAGCCCGATGACAGCCGCCGGTCCTCGGGGATATCCACCGCGTCCACCGTCGAGGTCATGATCATCGACCCGCCCCCGCCCGGCACAGTCTGCGGCACAGCGAGAAGAGGTCCTCGTTGCGCTCGACGAGCTCGCCCGTCACCAAGTCCGAACGCGCCTCCACGTCCTCCCATTCGGATGCGCATCACCGCTTGGTGCGTAAGATCGGACGCATCTCGGACAGTGATCGGCGCAGCATTGCGTCCGAAATCTCCGCCTCGGAGATGTCGACGTTCGGCGGGGTCGCCTCGCCCCAGGTGGAGGTTGTCCCCGTCGTGGTGATCCCCGAGCGACGCTCGTCCCTCAAATCGTCCGTGCAGTCGTCCGCCCCGAGCAGCAGGGATCCGTCCAAAGTGGATTCGTCTCGTCGCTCGCGTCGACGGTCCGGGAGCCGCACCGAGTCTCTCGATCAGTCCCGGTCCCGACGGCGGACCCGATCCCCCTCGAGCGCCCGCTCCACGCAGAGCGCGTTCGGGCACCCCGTCGTCCCGCCCCGGAGCTCCTCGCTGTCGGCACCCACCAGTCGCAACAACTCCCGCTCCACGTCCCTGACCTCGGAAAGCCTGCGCCACCACACCCTCGCTATGGATGCCGTGCCGAGCCAGCCCCAGAAGCCCCAGAAGCTGGGGCGAGAGTTTTCATCCACCGACGTCCCGCGGACGCAGTCAATCTTGATCGGGTTGGAAGACACGGCGCACCTCCATTCGCCCGCAGTGACGGCGACGCATCCGTCATTCCCGTCGCTATCCCCGGGGCCGATCGAAATCAACGAGGCCATCACCGTGGCGTTCTTCCCGCACAACAACGAGTCGATCTTACTGGTCGACCCACAGGTGCGCGAGCAGGCGGAGCGCCAAGCGTCGCAGCTCTACCAGGAAACCACCGAGCCCCGGACGCCCGAGATGCAAATGCAATGCAACGCGGAGTCCCCCCTGGTCAACCCCCGCTCGCCGCCCGAGCCTCCAGCCTGCAAGGTCATCCCACCGACCGTCAGCAGCGCGACGGACCTCACTCCCGCCACGACGAACCTCAGCCGCGCACCGACAATCCTCGGTCCCGCAGGGCCGCACCTCAGCCCCGCGGCGACAAATCTCACCCCGACAGCGACCAACCTCAGCCGCACAGCAACGAACGACACCAACCCGGGCCCCTTCCGCCGCGTGGCATCCGCGCGCCGTCCACGGATCCGGCCAGGCTCAGAGTCCTTCCACTCCTTCATACGCTCGCTCTCCCTGCGCTCAGCAGAGAACCGCAAAGCCGGACAGGAAATCGACCACAGCCTGCACCCGTTCTGGCGGCCCCGACGCTTCTGGCCCGAATCGTCCGAACCAGAAGACGACTCCCCGCGCGAAGAGAGCATGCGCTTCCGCGACACCGACCCCGACAACGTCATCAGCAATTCGCTGGGAATGCCACAACAGCGCGTGGCCTTCAACGGACCTCCGCCACCGTCCCCGCACCGTCCCGCCCCGCGGCCCTCCGACATCACAATTCCCTACAGCGCCGCCACCAACCGGCACACCGTCGAGACAAGCGTCTTCAGCCCCGAAGCCTTCCGCTCGCAAACCTCCTTCCACCAAGACCGCTTCCGCTCCGTATCCTGGTGGCGCCTGCGCCTCCGCCTAGGCAACGTGCGTAACCTGCGCAAACGCCTCCGCCGGACCTTCCAGAAACGCGCCGAGGGGAAGCGCGAGGCGCGCCGCGAAAAGCTGAAACAGAGTATCGGCGAGATGAAGCCGCTTGGCTCGAGTACGAGGGGGATTGCGCAGTGGTGGCATGGGTTGCCTGATAATTCATGATGACCAGATTGATTGATTGTTCCTTTTTTGCGATTTTATTTTTTTGCGTTTCTTTTTTTTTGTTACAAATTGATGTCGTTATGAGATATGAGTTATGACTTGATGAGGTGAGATGAGATATACCTGCTTGCTTTTATACTGTTGTTGAATTTGGTTTTGAGTTTGACTTTGTTGATTCGGCATGATCGATCCCAACTTGATCCAGTCAATCGATCTATCTTGCTGTTTCATGCCTTGATTGTATCATATCACGAGTTAGCATTTATCCTTATCTACCTACCTACCTACCTACCTACCTACCTACTATTTACAGTACGTAACCAACAGTATACGCCATCCACAGTAATGTAGTATCAAACAATGCAGAAACAACAGCGCAGTACCCCAGAAACAAGAAACAAGAAGCCCATCATCAGAGTCATCATATCAAAGAAATAAACAAGAAAAACAGATCATCGATACCCCCTCCTCACCCCAGTCCTCCCCCTAACAGCCATCCGCCCATACTCCGCCTCTCTTAGGCTCTTCTTGCGGTCTTCTTCTTCTGCTTCTTTCTCGTTCGTTGCGCTTTTCTCCCTATTGCTTACTCTCGCACCACCAGTAGCAGCACCAGTAGCAGCAGCACCACCACCAGAAGAAGCTGCAGTAGACGACGAAGTAGTAGTAGAAGAAGAAGTAACCAAAGAATCCACAACCTTAATATTCTCCCACAACCGCGGATCCAGAAACGGCTGCGGGATGCGCGCGAAATCGTATTCTGTAGGTTGGGTTTGTCCTTCTTTTTCTTGTTCTCCCGGTTTAGTGGTGGTGGTGGGACTATTATTGAATGTTTGGTGCTGAACAGCCTTGACTTTGGTTTTGGTAGGCTCGAGGAGGGGTCGCTTTTTGGGGATGAGGAGGGTTTGAGATGGGCGGTGGGTTTGGAAGGGCATTTTTTTTTTCTTTCTCCTTTCTTTGCTTTTTTGTTTTTTTTTTTGGGGATTTTTTGTGTTGGTGGTGGTTTTTCTTTGCTTGGTTTTTGGTTCTTCTTGTGGAGGTGTGAGGTGTGATGTGAGGTTTGATCAGATATGGATGGAGGAGTGGTTGATAGAAAGAGGGTAGTTATTTAGGTATGATTTACATCCATTGAAACGGGGTAGTACTACCTACTACGTAATGCTTGGCATGATCATAACGTGGGAGGTATATCGTATTGCATATGTTCATGACATTCACTATACAAACTAGCTAAGCTGACAAGTATTTACTTCAGAAATAGATCATCGCGGCATGTCTTCCATAACTCAATCAATCAACGCATCAATCAATAACCGAATAAAACAATAATCAATAATCAAACCAAACTCCACGTCCATCCAACCGAATACTATACTCCGGTGGCGTCCGTCCCATGGTATATGCAAACAGGAACGCAAAAAACGCGTAAAATCATAATAAGTAAGAATATAACGACAGAGGCTGGGATTGGGCTAGGCAATTCCCTGCGTCTCCATCCCCGACATGGTCGAGTAAGACGAATAAGGGAGATCCACCAGCCCGTCTAACAGCCAGTTGAGCGGATCGAAAACTTCGTAGTTGGGCTCCATGAAGCCGCTCGGTAAGCCGCCGACTGTGTTTCCTGTCGTTATGCCGAGAGTGGAGGGTGGGAGGAGAGGGGCTGGGGCTAGGCTTGGGTCTGCGCCTGACACGCCTGGGGTGGTTGTGTTCGGGACGACGCCGACGGAGGACGATGCCGAGGAGTCGGCATTGGAGTCTGGGTTGGTCGGGTTTTTGAGATATGCTGGTATATAAATTAGTTTTTGTGGGTGGGTTCCGTTTGAGAATACGACATACCTTCGATGTTACGCCCCTTGGTCCGCGCATCCTCTCGCCAACGCCACACCGAGTCGAACAGCAGAGACATGCTCATGCGACAGCGAACCTTCAACATCAACGAGTTGTCCATCTCTGCGTTGTCCGCCTGCTTCACCGACGTGGTGCTGCCCAATCTCCACATCTGTGCCAAGACTTCGGCCAACCGCTCGGGGAGGTCGTTGTTGGACACCGACACGCCGCGGATGGCCCAGATCGTTCGGTTGAACAGGTTCTTCGTGTACTCCATGTCGATGTGGGACGCGAAGAAGCTCTTGGACAGCTTCAGCAGCGTGCAGCTGCCGGCTACCATCATCTGGTACACATAGTATGGCGTGTAGGACAGCACGGGCCCCACTCTCGTTTCCAGGTTCATTGCGGCTTCGAGGAATGACGTCGTTGCCAGATACAGCGCAAGCAGCCGCTCCCGGTATTTCTTGGCTGTGGGGTCATCGAAGAAAGCCGACAGGTGCAGGTGCAGATTGGACGCGCGCAGATAAAGGTGTGTTATGCCTAAGATCTAGTCAGTCGATCGCTCTCCAACAGGGCCAGTCGAGACATACAGTCATTTTGGGACTTGAGCTGGTTCTCAAGCTCGTCAAAGTCCCGCGAAAGAAAGGAGATCAAGGTCGACCGTTCCTGGTCGCTACATAGCCCGACCGGATCGCGACGATTCGTGTAAAGCGACTTGGTGACCTTGTCGCAGAACTTTTCGATCTCGAGCTTAGGCCGGATGTCCTCAGATAACTTAAAATTCATATCGGCCGATTCGCTGGATGATAGAGTCCAATCGTACAGCGTCGATGGCGGTTGTCCATAACCGGTCGCAACACTGAGGCCTGGTCAGCAGTGACCGGAAGGTCGTGGAGGAGGGAACATACCGCTGCGCGACAACATTACACATTGCCCACGTTTGCACCTTGTCTCTCAACTCCTCTTCGATCAGCTCCACCCGAAACTTGCTGAAATCCTGGGTGTGTGAAGGACGATGGAGCCCCAACTGCATGGCGACCTGCATCATCATGCCACAAAGCATGAAAGTCGGATCCGAGGAGGTGCTGCTGGTCGGGAAAGGCCAGGAGCAGAGCAGACAGAGCGCCTTGACCACGTGGTAGCTTTGTGGAATGTCGGCCAGTGTACTCCACACTAATCGTGACACCGGCCCCGCGAGCGAATTGAGGAGGTTGGTATCGGGCTGGAATCGCCGTGCGCCCACGCTGATGATGGTCCAAAACAACAATGGCGAAGCGCTGTGGTATTCTTCCGGAGACTGTCGTCGGTCGAGGAAAGGCAAGAATGGATGGTAGAATGTGAAGAAGCTACAATGCGGGTCAGATCGCGCACTCCCAAATGGGCCCAGTATAGATAGCTTACAGGTCGAAGAGCTCCGCAACCCTGTCAGGCACCACCACGACGTCTTCAATCCGCTTAAAGTGAGCATTCCCATTGCGCATGTAGCCAGAGCCGTCGAAACCCGAGCGCAAATCGAGGAGGGACGCCACCGCTTCATGGGATCCCATGTACTGGTCGGACATGGCGGAGGGCGTGTGGTATACGGCGGGGCTGACCTGACTGGACGACTCTTGCTTGGGCGTTTGCTGGGCCTGCGACGAATTATTCGACTGCGTGGCAATCTGCTTCCTCAGCTCGATGATCTCGCGCTCCATCTCAGCATTCCGGCTCCGTTTTCCGACCCGCTTGAAGCTGGATTCGATTTTGCAGTCAAGTCTCAAGCGCCGACAACGGGAACAGTCAGACCACGGGTCTTGCGACACATCGCATCGGAGCTGCCAGAAAACGAAAAAAATGGCGTTAGTTTCTCGGTTCCACCAGGGAAGCAAATCATCGACCAGCGAAAGAGCCCCTCCAGGGTCCGACCGCATGCTGCGACTCACCTTCTGCTGCCGGCATTCATTGCAAGCGCGTTTCACGGGCTGTCTCTTCTTTTCATCGCGCAGTTCGGAGTCGTCGACATCCTCGATACTGCCTGGAGAGCTCTCGAACCCGGCCATGGCGATGGTGCGTTTCCTGGCCGCCGCCGCGCCCGCGTCATCAGCGCCGACGGGCTGGGGGACAGAAGGATGGCCGACACCTCCCATTACGGGGCGGGTGGCAGCCGAAGCATTATTTCCCGCACTGGGCTCCAGATTGATCCCCTGCGAAACCCCGCCTCCGATTCCGCTGGACGATCTTTGGACAGGTAATAGGCTGGTTGGTTGGTTTGATCACGACAGGTCTCCGATCAAGGCGAGTCGGAAGAATCAACGGAGTGAAAAAAAAATTATAAAGATTATTATGGGGAGTAACCAAAAAAAAAATAAAAAAGACTAAGAAATAAAAGAAAAATAACAAGGAATAATCGACACGGTGGAGGGAGACTAAGAGGTGGTTCCACTCGGAAGAGACCAGTGTGTATCACGGTAGTATTCTGCTAGAGAAGAAGAACTCCGGGGCGCGTTAAGAAGAGGGGTTGTTTCACTAGTCGAGATGGCTCGAAAAGAGTCACCGCACTTGATGGCCAATAGTAACCGCCAACCCCTCAACCAATTGAGGGAACGCAAGGCTAAGGAAAAGCGAGGAAATCTGGCGAGTTTGGGTATAGTCTTGCAGGAAAGATGGAATTATGATGAGGAGGAGCAAAGTGGCGCTTCCGATCTCGCTCTCACGTGGTATCTCCACGTGATGATGCCGACGATCTTGTCGCTTATGTCATCTGCACAGATTATGCCTTGATGTTGGAGCCTGAGGCTGAGTTTCATTCCTATAGTGATGGATTGATAGACACGATAACTACAGCATACCCACCCCTTCCACGGAGGACGAGGAGATTCTTCAAGAACTCGCATTGAACATGCGGAGCCAGCAATAGTCCACCACTGTCGAGTAGATAGTGTGATAGCTCATATATGCCTTGGGTAACCCATGGATACCCCAAAAGCAATATGGCGAGGTCTCCAGGTTACCCACGAACTCGATATTGACATAGACACCCATGCACCAGAGAGCTTTCCAATCCATTGATTATCAGATAGCTTCAGCTATCTTACACTCTTGAACTGATATTCAACCCCCCCTCTGAGTGTGCTAAGAATGCAACCACGCCTGCGCTATGACGACGTCGCTTGGGAGAAAAGCGAAGCCGTCGCCGATGGGTGGGTTCTCCAGTTTCTTGAACCCGAGGTCCTACAACCGGTTGGCAGATTCTTGGTCAGACAACATTGTCCTGGCGATGCTGTTGAATTCAGACTTCTCGAGAAAGGCGCATACAACATCTCTTTACAGATGAAGTACAAGAATGCAACCACTGCCGTAATCCGTTTTTCACAGCCAGGTGCCACCATGTTTCCTGAAGAGAAGGCTCGCAATGAAGTCGCTATCATGCGATATATCCATGGTCAAACTTCAATTCCTGTTCCTTTTGTCCATTACTGGGGGACAAAGAAGGAGAGCCCTCTGGAGTTAAGCCCTTGTATTATTATGGACTACATTGACCATGATACAAACATGTATGATGCTCTTAACACCCCTGGGTGCCCAAAGGATGTTCGTGGAACTCTTGACCCGGACATCAATGAGGCAAAATTAGGGACTGTGTACAGAGAGGTTGCAAGTATCTTACTTCAGCTTTCTCAACCCTGTCTACCCCGGATAGGGTCACTAGATCAGGTTGATGATTTCACCTGGAAAGTGACACATCGACCTTTATCAATGCCTATGAATACCCTGATTCAGCTGGGATCCTTACCCCAATCAAAACTACCAACTACGACATTTGACACCACGTCCTCATACTTCGAAGCCCTAGCAGAGCTACATATCGCCCACCTCATCAACCAGCGTAATGATGCAATTGACTCAGCCGAAGACTGTCGACGCAAGCTGGTTGCTCGATATCTGTTCCACAAGCTCGCCAGACAACATCGTTTAACAAATCAGTTAGCGTCCTTTGATAAAGGCCCGTTCAAACTTTGGTGCGATGACTTCCGCCCAGCTAATATCCTTATGAGCGAGCTGAAAATCGTCGGAGTTGTAGATTGGGAATTCACATATGCTGCCCCAGCCGAATTCACCTTTGCACCACCTTGGTGGCTGTTGATTGAAAGGCCTGAATACTGGCCTCGGGGCCTTGACAACTGGTGTAGCGAGTATGAACGACGTCTTCAAACCTTTCTCAGCGCGATGAGATATCAAGAGGACAGGGCAATCGAACAGGGCAGGCTCAAGAGTACGCAGCGGCTCTCTGGCCCCATGCAAGACAGCTGGGAGAGTGGAGACTTCTGGATTGCGTACGCGGCGAGGAATAACTTTGCCTTTGACTTGATATACTGGTACAAGATTGATCCGCGATTTTTTGGGCCGACTTCTTCTCCCATCGACGATGTTTGGAAGCACAGGCTTGATATATTAGAGCCTGAAGAGAGAGCTGATATCGAAAGATTTGTGGCGATGAAGCTCGAGCAAATGAAGACCCGGAAATTGGCTTGGGACCCGGACGATTACACCAAGGAGGTCGCAGGCAAAGGCTCTGAGGATAACGCAGCGGACGGAGATGAGATCGGAGGAGCCGAAGCTGGAGCGGACGACAGGTGATATTGGCTCGGATAAGCCGATGGGTTTGTTGTGTCTGATGGGCGGTGTTGCATTGGGTATCACAGTTATTTACTACAATACTTATGAATTTCTTAGCAGTTATCTATATTAAGGGTAGGTTTCTAAAAACGGATTCTGTGAAGCGACTCTCGCCTACATCATACACTTGGAGTCGCATATGGGTATACTACGTATGTTGAAGGAAGTAGAAAATGGCAGGGTGAGTAGACGTTCTCTGCCTGAGGCGTCAGCCCCCTATCCTCGTTCTCATTCCTCATTTCCGACTTCACCTTCATCTTCATCCTACTCCCCTCTCCATCTTCAACCCCATTTCATTCTTATCATTGGTCCATATGTTCTTGATGCTGATTCATATTAATCATAATAACCATTCTGCCTCTAACCAGCTTGGGATAATCCCTCACAGCCTGGGGGATCATCAACCCGGAACCTAGTCTTTTCTGGAAGTTTCAATCTGAGCACAACGTCAGATTAGATGACATATTGAAAGGCTGATCGGGCGCTTAACTTGCCACCTCGTATCACTCCCAATAAATAACCAGCCTGATGACCCCCTTTGAATGGGGTAATATTCCGGCCAATTCCTGGGGCTGTGTGTTTAGGTCTCTTGGAACGCTCATGAGCCCCGCAGAACCCGAGCGGTTCCATTGAAAGATCGTCACTCAGCCTTGCACTGCCGCCCAGGAGGGAAGGAGCGACGCCCCGTGCTAGTTTACTAATGAGAAAGCTTGAACACGTCTTTGTCGGGGCAATGCACACCGTCCTATATCCTTTGATAGGCTGGAGGATACTCGAGACATTGCCCTGATGAGGTGGGTGGATATGGTATAATCGATGCCCAGCCATCTGTTTGTATTTCTATTTATACTGATTCCTGAGACCTGCGATCGGCTTGAGCAGTAGATCTTGACCCTATGGAGGTTTGACGTCTGGAATCCGAGGCTCTGATGGCCGTGACGCCAGTTGCGCAAGTCTGACGCAGCGTCCCCTATTTAGTCCCGTCATCGTACGGAATACTGTTCCTAATAAGATCTTATATTCTCCCCACCTGCGGTCGAACTGGATATACACATCTCTACCCTCTCCGATCTACGATGAACCCAACCCCTCAACGAAACTTTAATGTTGTATAGTCTTGCAACAACTTCTCTCAAACCATGTCTGTCAACGGAAAAAGTAAATTAGGGGACGATCCCCCAGCATACGAACCCACCACTATGCCGCCACAAGTCGATAAACCGCCATTGATCATTCCACCGCTGGATTTGCGCAAGGGAGCCTCCGACCCTACGACTGAAACGGTTTCTAGGGATGAGTGTGTAGCTCATCTCAAGTTCTTGGCGGTATTGGCCGACCTGCGTGAAGCGGTGGCCGGAACAGACGGCCTCTTCGGTCTGATGGACCCAGACCCCAAAGTCTTCCTGGAAGAAACCAGCGAGGCTAGTGCCCGCATCAAGGAGAAGCGATGGGCGATCTATGTCACCCGCGCTGTTGACCGTTATGCGGTGTGGTGGCGGACATGCGTGCGAGCCTCGCGGGAGCCCGTCACAACCGTCGATCTCGATACGAACGCCTATGACTACATCACCGAATGGAACAGTGAAATACTCTGGTCTGCAGAGCGGTTGCCTCCTCTAGGTGAGTGGCAGTAGTCTTACATTTCACATAGGGCCATGAACCTTTGCTAACGCTGGCACCGGCAGACGTCTTGATGGTATGGCATGCACACATGCTGAACCCGCGCGCCTTCTTGGAAGACTGCATCCGAGACGGTAAGATGGGCTTCTGGTGTACCGGCTTTCCCTGGGCAGTGATTGACACGTGCATCGATAACCGATCGCTGGAATACGAGCCGGGCCATGGCGCACGGGACTTTTTCCTCAAGCAGACTCGTTGCCCTTGGGACAATCTCGTTGACTCGGCCCCCAAGTTCCTCAACTGTCCCGCTTGCAGCAAGGAGGTCGCCGTCCCTTGGACAAACGGAGCCATCAAGCTTCCCCTCGTCGTGGCGTTCGAAGACTGCCAGGGATACGCGGACAAGAACTTCCGTTCCCAATGTCCCTCGTGCGGCATCGTCATCGATCACGAGCGGCTCAAGATCGCCAAGTTCCGAGAGGACGTACGTGCCCTCTACGACCATAACCGACCCATGCCGGGAACATTGTACAGCGTCCGGGGAATCCCCGAGGGCCGTCGGTCTACCAAGCGCGAACACGCACAGACGACCTTCCCGAATCGATTCGTCAAGGCCGCGTACGTGACGATCCTCGAAGACACACACGCCAGCCAAAGCGGAGCGCGGTGCCCGACGATGCTCAAGCTACGGGAGAACCTCGAGACGCAGCTCCGCAACAAGAACGTCCTGCGCACGGCCAACCCAGGTCTTCTCGTTTCGACCCTGATCCCCGCCGAGAGGATCGCGTTCCGGCGCATGATGTCGCGGTACTGGGACAATGTGACGCCCTTCGCGTTGGACCTAGTCGGCGCCGTCATCCGGCAGGGTACCTTCGTGCAGAAGATGGACAACATCGACTGGCTGCATTCGCCCACAGTCATGGAAACCATGACACGGCTCATCGCCCGCTACGCCGTCTTCTTCTACATCATGGCAAGCAACCCACGGCACATGGCCGTGCCAACCCTCGACATCGACCTCGCATGGCACACGCACCAGCTCGCCCCACTCCGCTATTTCGAGTTCTCTACCGCGCAGACCAAAAAAGAACGCCCGTTCCCCGTCTTAATCGACCACGACGACAAAGTCGACGAAAACGCCCTCTCCGACGGCTTCGAATGGACCAGCCGCATGTACAAGAAAATCACCAACGGCGAAATCTACAGCGAATGCACCTGCTGGTACTGCGAAGCGGTCCGCGTCTCCGACCTTCGCGACGGCATCTTCGTCTCCTCAACTACCGCACGCGCCCGCACAGCCGCCGCCCGCCTCCACGACCGCCCAGACATCTCCTCCAACCCGGACGAAAACCCACACATCTCCGCCCACAGCGCCGTCCGCCCCACCACGTCCCGCCGAATCAGCTCAGACCCGCGCCAAGCCAAATTCCTCCGCCTACGCAGCGACTACGAGAAGGCGTGTCGGCGCGCGGAAAAGCGCGACCGCAAGGAAGGCAAGGAGCCGCGGAAACGATCCGCCGATGAGGCCGCCGTCGCGGGCTACCCGCTCATGTGGGGGTATCCGGTCTTCGTGCCTTACTATGCGCCCTACACCTGCGACCCCAGCGTGCATGCTAGTTCCTACGCGTGCAACCCCAGCTGTATGAGCCTCGACTCGGGGGCGCATGGCAACTGCGCCGCGGGGACGTGTGGAGGCGGTGTCGCGGCTGGATCATGCGGTGGGACGTCGGGCGGTGCATGCTCTGGAGGGTGTGCGAGTGGGAGCTGCGGGGGATCATCCGGCGGTGGAGGAGGTTGTGGAGGAGGAGGAGGAGGCTGTGGGGGAGGAGGAGGCGGTTGTGGTGGTGGCGGTGGTGGTGGTGGTGGTTGTTGAGGAAGCCGTAGCAGCGTCTCTTTTCTTCCCTTTTTTCCTTTTAGCTTTTTGCTTTTTTTTTTACTACCTCTTTTCTCTGCGATGTACGAGTACGACTAGTTTGATACGCTCTGATTCCCCCTTGATTACGACAACCACGTGCTTTCTATACTGAGATTGATTTTTGAATTGAGCTTGATTTTGAACTTGAACTTGATGGGTTATAATATGTATGAAAATAGTTATTTATTTATCTATTTTCCAGAAACAAAATATGTAGAGAAATGCCCAGTCACACCCGTAGTCAGTAGCGAGCGTGGGGGGAAATGAGGAAGTATTGACCAGAATTGACATGAATACCTACTATCCAACATGCAGCATCGAATGGGAGGGTGGAATGAAATATTCTCTCCATCAGATGCTGTACAAAAAAGGGGGGAAAGAAGAAGAAAAAAAAGCCATGTACTGTAAGATCAATTGGGTATATGTAACAAACGTAGCCCCTAAGAGAAGAAAAGAAAAGAAGAAATAAAGAAGAAATAAAACGAAAGAAAGAAAAGTCAAGGGAAGAAGAGCGACGATGAATAAAGATGTGGTATCAGGTCCAGCCAGGTATCGAAAGATAGGACATCGCATCACATGACTACACACTTGCTTCGTTTCTTGCTACGCTCGCTGATAGTCTGCTCGTTCCAGTCCTCGATGCGCCGTCTCCAGATGTCGTGCGATGCTAAGGAGCTTCGGGAGAAAGTAGGCTCCGTGGAGACGCGCCGGCTGAGGGGCTGGATGGCCGGCCCCATGGGGGATGACAGTTGCGTGATATCGTGAGACTGGGAGCGCCGGTCTGCCGGACGTTGGAACCCGCTGCGGTATTGCGGGTACCAGCGCTGGGGCTGGACGTATTGCGGGTTTTGGACCTGGAGGTTGGGCGAGGAGCGGAAGTAGGGGTAGTTGGTTAGGTCGTTGGCGGGGGGTTGTCGGCCTGGAGCGGACCCGCGGCGGATTCCGTCTTCGGGGGATTGGCGGATGGGGTTGAAGCGCTGGGAGGCGCGTCGCGCGGCGGATATCCAACTGGGTGCTGCAGTTGACCATAGACCTGGGGAGTTGTCTGGCTGGGGGGCTGGAGCTGGAGCTGGAGATGAGGCGTGGTTCGCCTGTGGTGTAGCTAGAAAAACGGTAGGGATGTGCTCGGGGAGGGGGGGAACCGCTGGTTCCTCATGTATTTGCACATGCTGGGTAGTGGAACTCGCCCTCCTTCGGATGGAACTGGGAGGTCTTCGGTTTGGGACGTCGGTGTCGGAGTCTACCGTGTTCCTTCTCCTGCGAGAGGCCAAGCTGGAAACGCTGATGGTATTGAGTCGGTGCAGTGAGCCCCGCGACGAACGCTCGGATACATCTTCTAATCGCGTGGTGTGGGATCGGCGAAACAGACCCGGCGCCTGGCTGACCCTCCTGAGAGGCTCTGTCCTTGAGGGCTGCAGGGTTCGCCGTAGATAGTCGGGAAGTGGCCCATCCGGCTCGCGGGAGTAGGGGGGCGGGGGAGGCACCCAGTTGTCCGCATCACTTTCATGAGGGACCTGAAATAGCGGATGGACTGGCGTGTGGTCGTGCACGCGGCGGGCCTCTTGACGCTGCTGGGGGTTATAGCGCCCACGACTGGCGGCTGCAGCAGTAGCCGCTCGGCGGAGGGTGTCCCCCGACCTCGGTTGGGTGTTATTATAGGGGCTGTCAGGGAAGGAGGACATATCTCCCTCGCCCGACCCAATGGGCATGGTAGAAAAAAGGGAAAGGTCCCGAGAAACCAGGTCGGGGGACAGCTGGGGTGTAGATAAGGAAGCCGGGTACGATTCTCGTGCAGGGGCATTGGCCCGCTGGGGTGGGCCGCCGCGGCGTAGATGCGTCCTCCGTCTTTCTAGCTCAACCTCGGTATCCAGGCTGGGGTTAGGTTCCCCGAGCATCTTCGGTTCAGCGTCGCCAACTTCGATGTTGATTTCGACGGTTGGTCCATTCTGTGGGGATCGGTCGAAATCCAATAGCAGCACCCGGCCACCATCGACTGGAACATCTTCCTCGCCCAGCGTTGGAGGCCGGATGCCACCCGGGGCCACGGCTACCAATCGACGATGATCTGGAGGCTTCGTGGTCCGTCGGACCCAGCTGGCAGCAGTAATGCCCGGCATGTCGCTCATTTGGTGGCCATCGATCAGCCATTTGGGACGGGTAATCGACTCCCGCAAGCGTGGCAGGTTATTTGGGGCGGTTAACGACGGCTCCTCGAGGGCACGGTTGTGACCGTTTCTCTGGGCCGCGTGTATAGCCCCCGCGGAGGTGGCTGAGGGGGCTATGTCCAAACGAGCCGGCACGCCAAACACCCACAGCCCCGAATCCTCAAATCCCAACGCGATGAGCTCTCCCTGACCATCAACGGTTGGCAGCAGGGACGGTTGGCATTCCTGGGCACCCCCTGACGATAAGGGGCTTCCGAAATACGCCGTCCCCGAATTGACATCGCTGGCTCCGATAGCTCGGAAGGCCCCCACCTCACGGTCAAAGCCGAGCAGCCAGCTGCTCTCCCCCTCAGCATGCTGTGGCAGTAACGACGCATGGCTAAACCCCCTGGTGATGTCCGGGAAGAGGACCTGGCTGGTCCACATTCGGATCTGAGCGTCTCGCGGGGAAGCCTCGACGTCGGCATCGGTATAGAAGGGCACGGTGATGGTGACCAGGCCGTGAGTTCTTGAACCGACAGACGAACCGAGTAGCATGAATCCATCGGACGAGAATGAGATCGAGTCCACCCCCTCACAGCGGACCGCCCTTCGTTCGGTCACGAGGGTCTCTTGGCCGATCGCATAGACCTCGATCCGATCGTCATACGCCACGGCCAACACACCCCCGGTGGGCGAGAGAGTCAAGGTCCGGGGAGCGTCGTTCAACTCGAGGTTCTGGACGAGTTTTGCGTCACCCGTCGAGAGGTCGTAGATATTGACCTGGTGCGTCGACGAGACGACCGCCAGGATAGAGCCATCATCCAAGATCGTGGCATTCAACGGGCGTCTCCACGTCTTGAGTTCGTGCCTCACGACGGCACGATCTGGAGTCACGTCGAGGACTACGATCCGGGACGAGCTGATGCAGAGGATCAACTGCGCATTCGGTGAGAACGCGAATCGAAACGCCTCGCCCTGCGGAAACGCCGTCGAGGAGCTCAAGGAGGTGGAGATCAATTTGATGAGGGTCCTTCGGGGACGAAAATATACCGCGAAGCCGTTCCGTCGGATTTCGGTAGCAAAGCGGTGCTTCAGAGTGGCCAGGTCGCTAGGGTGTTCGGAGTTCGAAAACGCTCTCTGGGTGAGGGCGAAGGAGGGGCACCGCGAGAGATGGTGATCGTAGAGGATATACGAGTCCGAAATGCGCCTCCATTTCCGATTCAGCAGGGCCAGCGATGCAAACGTGCTCGGTTCGGCGACGTAGAGAATGCTATGCCATCTGTTAAACGTTCTATTCGCGCCAACTGGGGGCTGATTGCTAGTCCTGGAGGGCTAGATCACTTACAGCTCAATGACCGTCCGGGGCAAGCGGTTGAAGAGTGCGGCGATCTGCCCTCCCGTCCGTTCCCGGGTCTTTTCCAGCGACATGCGCCGGTGAGGTTGCGATGGTAGTTGGAAGGGAAGGACGTGGACCAGCTGCTCATGACCGTTCAATTGTTCGGCGCCAGGCAGACTCACATCCTTTTCCATGATCAGTCGCCACATGTATGTTCACATCCGTGGAACCGAGGGCATCTCGAGGTTTCAATTGGACAGGGGGGGCATTCTTTCACGATTATGTTGACGGAGAGGATGATAGTAGAACCAGATCAACCTGGATGATTGCTCTCTTTTTTTCCTTTCCTTTCCTTTTCTTTTCTTTTTTTTTCTCTATGACCCCTGGCCCTCTTTTTTTTTCTTTACCTCTTTCCTCTTTCTTCTTTAGTTAATCGGTGTTGTCCGGGTTCTTATTCTCTAGTAACGGATGTCCGTATCCCGGGGATTAAACGTGGATAAAAATGTAAGCTCTAGTGAAAGGATTGACCGGGGACCACCAATTAATAGATAGTAGTTTAGCGATAGCGGTGGCTGTGTTGTGCTGGTCCGATGCGCCGTAACTCTGGCGTCTCGGAGGTTGTCTGAAATGGGAATTCGGCGTTTCAGACGAACGATGGAGTCGGGGGGGAACCTCCAAGGACTCAGTCACATCCTTCCAGGGAGCCCTGAAACACCAGAAGATCAGAGACAGAAGAGGAAGCAGAAAAGAATGTGGAGAGAAGAAGCAGCAGCAGAACGCGGGACCAGAAATGACGCCAAGAAGGAGACTACCGTTTAGGTGCTTCTGGCACTGACGCTGTCCGATCACAAGCACGGCAGGATATTAATAGTAACCCCGTCCACTTTCTGGAGAGTTTAGACTACTCGTGTGTCCCTCCATTGGTGTTTGGATCCTTCGTATTCTCCCACATGGTCTCATTCATGGATTCTAGCGTCTGGTGTGTTCTCCTGCTGCATTTGGTCCTCTTTGGGTTGCGATCAGGTGAATCCTATTGCTGCCTGATTGGTTGTGCCTGATGGCTGAGTCATCTTCCCCACACTGACACTAGTCCCGATCGGGACGACCGAATGACGCGGGTTGTGCACAACTATGATCAGCTGACTCATCAAAACTTTTATGCGGCGCGTGAATAATCTTTCGAATCTGCTCCACTCCATCGCTGACCTCCGATGCATTTCTCGATGGAAATTTCTATCCCCTCGGCAGTGTGTCCACAACCAAAGGGGGGTATCTGGGTTCTTGATTACTATGCGAGTGTCCTATCGTCGGCGCGACTGACATCACCCGGTTCAATGTTTCTTGCGACCTCCCGGTGGTAATCCATGACTCTACCAGTCTCTTTCTCTTACCCCTCACAACCGTGCCCCAAAAGTCAGCTCCGATTAGCGCGCAACTCGCGCGGTGCTCGATTGGAGCTTTTCCGCCTTCCTCCGAACCCTGATGAATACGCCTCGGAACCTATACCATGCCTCCCTCCACGATCTCGAATAACCCCTCCCAGAAGCTCTCCTCCCCGGGGTTCAATGCTGGCGCACGTCCCTACCGGTCCCACAAGGTCCGCGCCTGCGACCTGTGCAGAAAACGCAAGTCGCGCTGTACGGTGGACATCCCCGGACAGTCGTGTTTGCTCTGTCGCGTCCAGGGCGCCGATTGTCACTACCAGGAGGAGGGCAGTCAGGAGCCCGTCGCCTCGAACGGATGCGAAATGAGAAGCTGGTCAGCGGACCACGCGCGGGGAGCCTCGGTACCAGGCCAGAAACGCAAACGCTCCTCGGATATGAGTCCCCCTCCCAACCCCGGTCGCCCCCGGGCTGATACCTCCCCGAGCGGGCCCCGCGAGGATCCCGCGCGCGGGTTCCGGGCCAATGGATCTCGACGGCGGAGTCTCGAGGACCCGCATAATGAGTCGATGCACATCGTCGGGCCCGTCGTGGCCGATGATGCGCAGGTGATTGAGAAGCTCATGCCCACGGAAGGGTCGAGCAAGTCGGTCGAGCCCAAAGGCCATCCATACAACGTTTACTCCAGCGATCCGAGGAAGCCGATCCTCTATCAGACGGTGTCGCGACGGCGACAAGGCGTGCGCGTGGGCATCCCTCCCGGGGAAAACCAAAAGGAGATTCTGGAACAGATACTGGGGCCATTCCGGCATGATCTAGTGAGGCTGTAAGCTCTCCATTGGCGTCCAAACCCAGACAACTGGACACACAATCTTACTGACTCGCGGGAAACAGGTTCCTGGACCGGTTCAATGTCGCGTTTCCGATCTTTGACGGCGATAGTTTCTGGGAGGCGTACATCTCGGAGTCGCCCGGTGAACCCCCTGCATCCCTCTTGTGTCAGGTGTACTCCATGTCCCTTGTGTACTGGAAACACACGCCGAAATTGGCGTGTCACCCCAAACCGGACGTCCGGTACGCCGTCAACATGACCGTGGCTGCGCTGCATGAGGAATTCTCCGCGCCGGGTCTGTCGACCATCAGCGCAGCGCTCGTCGATCTGACGGGACGGCCAATCTTCTCCATGACCGGCAACGCCATCAGCTGTGGTCGGATGATCTCCCTTGCGCACTGTCTGGGCTTGAACCGCGACCCAATTAACTGGCGACTGTCCCGGCAAGAGAAGAACAATCGGATCCGTTTGTGGTGGGGCGTGGTAATCCACGATCGTTGGTAAGCCATTTTCCAAGCCATTTTCCGTTATCTTACCAGATCCCAACTGACACACCCTCCAGGGGAAGTTTCGGCCACGGCGTACCACCCCAGATCGCAAAGAACCAGTACGACGTTCCCTTACCAACAGTCGATTCCCTCGTCCCACCTTCGTCCCGTACGACAGAGCGCGTGCGCGCAGCGCATTGCCACATCGCGCTATGCCACTTGACAGAGATCCTGGGCGAATTAATGCCGCTAGTCTACGGACTCCAGCAACGACTACCGCGCGAGACGTCCAAGAAAGTCCGACAAATCCGCACGGACCTAGACTCCTGGGAGGATTCATTGCCCGACTGGCTACGATCTCCCACCAACGATTCGGAGGATCGCATTTCGGGGAGCTGCAGCCTCCTGCTGGGTTTCCTGGCTGTCAAGATGCTTGTTGCTAGAGTAGAACTCACGGTACGATCTTGTCCCCACTCCCACCTCATCTAGTTGCGACGTCCGTTCTCTAACACAGATTAAATGCAGGAGGTAAACAGCGGCGAGACAGATAACCCCGAAGCCCGACGCTACTTCCAGACCGAGTGCCGGCGATCCGCTGAGGAAATCGTCCACTTCATCTCGTCTCTACGAAAAGAGAATTTCGCCGAGTTCTGGCTTCCCTGTATGTGCCTTTCCATTCCCTCCATCCATCCATCCATCCACAGCCAAAAACATCCAATAAAAACATTGCACAAGAAAAGAAAGAAAACTAACACCCAAAAGACAGCGCCTTCCACCTAACCTCAACAGCCACCCTCCTCGTCCGCTGCGCCCTCGAAACAACAGACACCGAAATCGCCCGCTCCTGCCTCTCCAACGTCGACATCTTCCGCACCATCCTGCGCCGCGTCCGCGACGAAGAAGACTGGGACGTAGCCGACATGTGTCTCGACCACTGCGAGCGGCTGCTCAACCGCTTCCCGTCGTCCAGCGCCAGCCTCTCAGACCCCAACTACAGCGGCGGCGGCGTCAGCTTGGGCGGCCACGCTGATGGTGGCACTGCGGGCCGGCTGGTCAACCCGGCGGCGATTTCGCTGCCCGAGACGCAGACGAATAATGATATCGTGGATGATATGATGTCGATTTCGGGTACGTTTGGGACTATGGATGGGTTTCCGTTTGATATGACGGGGATTTGGGATGTTTCGGTTTTTCAAGATGTTAATCTGCCGACGTGATCTCTCTCTCTTTCTTATTTTTTTTTTTTGTTTCTTGGTTGTTTTTTTTTTTTTTTTTTTTTTTCGGGATAGGAGTATTGTGTGGCGGGGAGTGTGGAAACTATGTGTACATTTATTACGGTCGATATTATATACCCTGGCCTACTAGACGACAACAGCCTTGACATGATGCAAAGATCAGATAACTTACTATCTACTAATAATATTACCATCTCACGTGCCTTCCACCATACACAATGAGCTACTGTATTTGTGATGTTTTTATATGTTCTTGTTTCTCCTGAGATCTATCCTCTAACCAACATTCGCCATTCGCATCCCATTCCCATTCGCATACAAACGGTACCTAATAATTCAGGGATCAACTTTTCCATCAAATAGATACCCAGCAAATCCGCCTCCCAGCAATTAAAAACAGAATCCAATTTATACAGACCATTAAAAAACATCCAAATGCTATTTTACAATCGCCCTTGACAATGATGCTCAGGAGTCAAACAAGAACCCTCTAATATGAACCCGCCCCGGACAATGAAACGAGAAAAGAAATCAAACACCGCAGGCACACATTATAGAAAGACAGATAAGGGAGGAGGGGAGAAAGGGGAAGAAGAAGTAACAGTCAAGCACACTTCAACAGTTGAATTACTCCTTCTTGCCAGCGCCGAACATGCTGGTGAAAGAGCCCTTCATCTGGTCCATCTGCTCCTGGCGGGCCTTCTCCTCCTCGGCAGCCATCTCGGCCAGCCACTTCTCGCCGTTCGCGCGGATCTCGCTCTCGATCATCTGGTAGTTCTTCTGGCCCCGCTCGCGGATCTGGTCCCAGAGCATCTTGCCTTGCTCGAGGCCCTCGGAGGGGGACTGCTCGCCGTCCATGGTGCGGCCGGACTTCAGCCCCAGAGCGGACGCCAGGGTGCCCATCCCGCTGCGGGGGCGCTTCTTCTGCTCCTCGGCCAGTTGCGCCTCGAATCGCTCGCGCATGGCCTTCTCGCGCTTGCTGAACTCCAGGGGGATGAACGTGCCGTCGAAGGACTTGATCACGGGTCGCACGTCGTCCACACCCATACCGGCCAAGTACTCGAGGAAGGGGATCAGTGCGACCAGAGTCTTATCCTTCGAGTCGCCGTTCCACTTGTCGAGGATGATGGAGTTCTCGGGCTGCAGGTGGACGTGCTCCTCCTTGGTATCGATCACGATAACCTTGGACAGGTCACGGTTGAGGTACGAAAGATCCTAACCAGCGGAATCAGCATATATCTAGAGAAGCTAGCTCTCCGCAACTTACCTTGACATATTCACCGTCCTTGTACTTGGTCGCTTCACGGAACAAGGGCCAACGGATGATACGGTAGGGGTCGAGCTTGCGGAGAACCTGGTCCGCCATCATGCTGGGCACACTGGTGAAGAGGACGAGCTCATAGTACTGGTTGAGGTAGCGCAGGAAGTAGTCGACTCCCGGACGCTTGGCCACCCGCCATCCGTGTTCACGGCTCCACTCGCTGTGCACGAGGAGATCTTCCAAACTCAACACCAGGGTGTACGGCTGGCGGTAGTTGGGGTCCTCATCGGGGAGCAGCTTCGGGAAGGCAGGGTCTTTGTAGTAGCTCGTGAGGTCAAGGAAACGGGCGCGGACGCGGTTGTACCAGAGCCCCAGACCCCAGCCGGAGGGCTGCTCCGGATGGAGCCGCTCCTCCTCTTCCGTATCCCAGTTCCGTCCCAGGTAGGACACACCGCCAGCACCCGCCATCAAGAACAGCACATACATCAGTTTGGCCATGCGGGCCCTGCGGCGGTCCATCGAGGAGACGTAACCGTCCTTGGGGATATCGCCGCCCGAGCCATCATCGGTATACTCCTCCGCTCGCGAGGGGTCCTCCGTGAGATTCAAATGGGTGGGTCCGCGGCTCTTCTGACGGCCTTCCAACTCTGCGGCCAGCGTGGAGGGAATCCCCTGGGTGAGATCCGGGAGCGGTTTCTGCGACGCATCCGTTTCGGGGGCGGCGGAGGTGGGTTCGGTCTAGATGGGCTCAATGAGAACAGGTTTATAGTATCCCGACGATCCAATTCTACTCACCGGTTCCGAAGTCTGGTTTGCGGTATTCTTCTGGGCATCGGCGGGCGTCTCAAACTCCGGTTGCTCTGCTGAATACTGTTTCTGCTCCGAAGACGGGGCCGGGTGGTCGGCTTTGGACGGAGTGACGGAATCGGGGAGCTTATACGGAGCCTTAGGCTTGCCCACTTTGGCGTACCATCGCGACTGGGCGACAGAGGAGGCTGATAGGCGGACGGTAGAAGGGAGGACGTTGGCCCTTGCCAGAGGGAGGACGGCGCGACTAAGCATAATGGAAGGGAGGAAAGGATGTCTTTATTATAGAGTTAAGCGGACAGAAGCAAGCCACACATGCCCCGGAAGGAGAGCTCGATCTTCTTCTGTTCAAGGGAAGTGTGATAAAAGCGTATCCGATATGACCAGAAGACAAATAACAAGGTCAAACCAAAGCACCTCAAATCAAGAGTGCTTGTGGGGAGAGAAGTGGGGGGAGATGACAGCAAGATAGAGCTCCAGACGAGGTCTCAAGAGTGATGAAATTCCATCCACTTCTCTCTCTCGAGGTTGTTCGGAAAAGTTGCGCTCCCGATTTTTCCGGCACCACACAGAAACCACGTGCGCAGGTCCCGTGCTTTAAATTCTTTCCGTTTCCGCTTTTTCTTCTTCTTTTCTTTCTCTTTTTTTCTAACAATTTGAAAGTTGATTTTCACCCAGACAGTAAATTTGACCCAGCAAGCACTCTCCTTATGCATGCTGGGTTGTATTAGCTGGGGAGACCGATATTCCTATACCCAAGAGCCGCAGCAAAGTTTCCCCCTGCAGTTGCAGCCCCGTTGTTGGGATACATAACCCTCCTTTTTTGAATCTCTGTCAGTCCATGGTGACGGGAGACGCCACTCGTTCGCTGTGGATCTGTACTATCCTTAATACTTTGATAACTCCCATTTAATATGCGCGAATGGGATGAAATGTGAATCATATACATTTTTGAAAAGTCTTCTCCTTTTTCTCTTTTTCTCTAGACAACGTGTGCTGTATTTTTGCCGCGTGGCGAACTGTCCTCTTTTCCCTAGTCTGCGGTGACGCAAAGGTTCCTTCATATTCTATACTCTACATAACAACATGGCTTCCCTGGCAGAAGCCTTGGAAAAAGTGCATTTGAACGGCACCACATCGCCGGATGCAAAAGCACTTCGTGAGAATCATGAGACGCAGGAAGAAACAAAAAAGGAGACCGAAGATAAGGTAGAGGAGGAAGAGGCCGAGGAAGAGATCGAAACAGGACCAGTGACGCCATTCCCCTTCTTCGACCTACCCTCAGAGATCCGTCTACGCATCTACTCCTTCGTCCTGTTCACTCCTCGCCGTCGCAAAAGACAAAGACAACAACCAATACCCAAGCGCCCCAACGGCAGCGTAGGCGCCTCGTCCAAGAACCCTCCCCTAGCCCCCCTCTCCGAGCGTCTCGCTCTGTTCCTCGTGTCGCGCCGGATGCACAACGAAGCCACAGACTTCTTCTACTCCTCCCAGACCTTCCGTATCTTCCAAATCCAGGACCACTCGCGCACGCCGACCGTCCGCTTAATCCCCTCGCAGTACCTGCCCTCGGTCGCCACCATCGAACTCATCCTAGGCTCCTCCTGGACAGCGCCACCCAAGTCGTGGACGGTCAACCGCAGCCTGGGCCTGGAGCAGATGACGCGGGTCCGCACGCTTAAGGTCTTCATCGAGTGCGACCCGTCGCACCCGGTGTTCGAGGGGTTTCGGATCTCGCCGAATTTTTACACGGAGTTCGCGGGCGGACTCCTGCGTCAGATTCTCAAGCGTCTGCCGAACCTGATCTATGTAGAATTCGATGGCTATCCGTCTGTGCGCAAGAGTGGGTCCTTGATGAAGCGGTTGCTGTTTGAGACGAGGGTCTCGGGCGCGAAGGTGGCCTGGGGCCCCGAACGGGGCTGGACGGATTGGGATGGCGAGGAGCTGGAGCCGCCTTTTGTGCGTGGGACGAAGGTGAATGAGTTTGTTTGCCCGGATGAGGTCCCGCCTCCGGCGCTGTCGATGTTGAATGCATGAGTTGGATTTCTTTTTCTTCGCTTGGGAGTATTATAGATTTTGGAATCTTGGAGGACATCGCGAGCGACTATATAGTACAATAGAAACTACATATTCCTTTAGATCCATTCCATGTAGAACGTCATCGTGAGTCTAGCCAGATGTACTATTCCTACGGTAGCCGACGCTGCCTAATCTTGCCGTTTATTTCAAACAAATAGCATTCCATGTCCACGCGTTATAAATTATCTATTACTCTTCGTCCACTTCCATCCCACTGCCATTCTGGGATCCTTTCCCGCTGGACAGTCGAGCCACCGAAGCCTCCTTGTCGATCATCTGCCGCGATACCGCCACGATGTTGTCCTCGATCAACTTCTGGCTCATATCCTCAATGTCTACAGGTATTGTTAGTAAAAACTCGTATTCAGACAATCGTAAAAGCACAAAGGACGTACGCTTCTTGGGGTCGACCTTGCCGACATATCTCGTCTTCAGCTGGTCCTTGGACAACTCCGTCTCCTCCTTGACCCGCTTTTCGTAGCCTTCCGCGAGGGTGACAAGCTGCTGCATTTGCTCCACGTTGTGCTGGCCCTCCTCGTGGAAATCCTTCATTTGAAGAGCCTCCGTCCAGACACTCTTGTGGAGATTCATCAGCATGTTCTCTTCCAATCCGGTCTTGCGATAGGCGATCCCGATGCTGTAGTAGTGTCTGTTCAGGCCGTGGATAAGGGCCTGGATCGACGGCTTGTTCAGGTGGCCCAAGTTAGACGTCGTTTGGCGGGGTTCCTGGCCCATAACGACGGTCTGGGGCTGGATAAGACGGAACGCATCAATGACGACCTTGCCCTTGACGGACTGGATCGGATCGACGACCACGGCAACGGCGCGGGAGTTGAGCTGCTCAAAGGACTGCTGGGTGTTGATATCGACCGACGAGAGCCAGCAGCCAAAACCGGGATGGGAGTGGTACCAGCCAACGACAGTCTCCGGTCTGTAGGATATCATCAATCAGTCAGCAGAGCACGAGCAGGAATGGCCGATTGAGAAGACTGACCGTCCTGTTTGCCGGAGCATATCCATCATCTTGGTTTGGAAGACGGGATCCACAGCCTCGACACTGACACCAGTACCGCTCTGGGGCATCGCAAAGACATCCACCACTCGAACCGTGTAGTCATCCACAAACTCTCCCAGCATCAAACCCATCACTTCCATAGGCACACCTGCCCGACCATGCCGTAACATCTTCAACAAAGCGAGCGACGAAATGTGGACGGTTTCGGAGTTATCGATCAGGTTGGGGGTGTCCTAAGAGGATATATGTCAGTATGTCCCTCCATTCAAGATCATCTCCGCCGAGTGTTGGAGAGAAGAGTGACAAGCATGGCCACCTCCGCAGCCCAGAGGGGAGCTATAACAGGCGCGTTAAGACTGAGGGAAGAGGATCAACTCACGCCTCCGGGGCCTGCACCACCCATGCCCATGCCCTGGGCAGCCTGCAGCATACGATTCAATCGATCCATGGCTAATGATGAGGTATGATAGGGAGCAAAGGGAAATCAGAGCGTTCCTACGCGGAAGCTCCAGGTGGTGGTTGGTAGGTGAATGGGTTCAGAAGTGACCCTAAAGGGAATGGATATCAAGTACTTCAAGTCTAGAATGATTTGAAGTGAATAGAGAATCAACGAAGCAGGCTGACTCTGGTGAATCGGAGGAAGATGTATGATGAGATGGCAATCGAACAAGAGGAATGATGGTCAGTCGGATGAGTGACTGGATCGATCTAGTTAGCGGGTAAGGTAAGCTCCCAGCCTGACGAAGGCGGTGAGCGCAATTGACGCTGCCACCTTTTGCTCCCTCGCCTCCCCGTTCGTCCTCGCCGTTGTTCTTCCAATCTCCGCGCCATGGGAATGTGGCGGAGTCCTCTATCCACCACCATCTCTGTGACTTGATTGTTTCCGTTGGCATTCGGCGGATCTGTCAATTCGTGCTTTCGAGTCATCATCCATAAGGTAGTGCTATCCTCTGCTTCTTTGGTGTCTCTCGATTTCCCTATCTGTTGTTGAGCCCGAGAAAAGTCCGTGTCTAGAGGGCTTACTTCTTTCACCTCCTGAAGATTCCTAAAGTCTCCTGAAGTCCTCCTGATCGATCCATCGGTTTGATACGCTACCTTCCAAGATGGCTTCATTGCCTCCCTTGGACCCCCTTTCGACGTCTGCGTCGGACCGGGGCAAGAAGATCGCCTACTTCTACGACTCGGATGTGGGAAATTATGCCTACGTCTCGGGGCATCCCATGAAGCCCCATCGCATAAGGATGACGCACAGTTTGGTCATGAACTATGGGCTCTACAAGAAAATGGAGATTTATGTGAGTGATTCTCTTCCGCCATAACCACTAGTCCGGGACTTCCTTTTAACAATCATATCGACAGCGCGCGAAACCGGCTTCGAAATACGAAATGACCCAGTTCCACACAGACGAATACATCGATTTCCTCTCGAAGGTCACCCCGGACAACATGGACTCGTTTGCGAAGGAACAGAGCAAGTATAACGTCGGAGATGATTGTCCTGTGTTTGATGGTCTGTTTGAGTTCTGCGGCATTAGCGCTGGTGGCAGTATGGAAGGCGCGGCTCGGTTGAACCGCAACAAATGCGATATCGCAGTCAACTGGGCCGGTGGCCTCCACCACGCCAAGAAGAGCGAAGCCAGTGGATTCTGTTATGTTAACGGTAAGTATGGGAGGGAATGTAGGCCGGGCTTTTCCCACCTTGTACTGATGAACCGTTTCAGATATTGTTTTGGGCATCTTGGAGTTGTTGCGCTTCAAGCAGCGAGTTCTCTATGTTGACATCGATGTCCACCACGGCGACGGTGTCGAAGAAGCGTTTTACACTACCGATCGCGTCATGACATGCTCATTCCACAAGTATGGCGAGTACTTCCCCGGAACGGGTGAACTTCGCGACACCGGTGTGGGGCAAGGCAAAAACTACGCAGTCAACTTTCCACTTCGCGATGGCATCGACGACGTCTCATACAAGAGTATCTTTGAACCTGTCATTAGAAGCGTCATGGAGTACTACCGTCCCGAAGCTGTTGTCTTGCAATGCGGCGGTGACAGTCTTTCGGGTGATCGCCTGGGGTGCTTCAACCTTAGTATGAGAGGCCACGCTAATTGTGTCAACTTTGTCAAATCCTTTAACTTGCCAACTTTGGTCCTCGGCGGTGGTGGTTACACGATGCGGAATGTAGCCCGGACTTGGGCCTTCGAGACCGGTATCCTTGTTGGGGACCCACTGGAGTCTGAACTTCCGTACAACGACTATTACGAGGTAAGCCCATTGGTGCAGCTCGCGGTCGGACTTGACTAATGAGACCAGTACTTCGCCCCCAATTACGAGTTGGATGTCCGCCCGTCCAACATGGACAATGCCAATACGAAAGAGTACTTGGACAAGATTCGCACACAGGTTGTTGAGAACCTCAAGCGGACTGCTTTTGCGCCATCCGTTCAGATGACCGATGTGCCCCGGGAACCTCTCGTCGAAGGCATGGACGATGAGGCGGATGCCATCTTGGACGACCTTGACGAAGATGAGAACAAAGACAAGCGTTTCACCCAACGGCGCTTTGACCGACTTGTTGAAAAGACTGGGGAACTGAGTGACAGCGAAGACGAAGACGAGAGCGGCGCCAACGGGGTCCATCGCAAGCCATTCCACCTCAAGCGGAAAAACCAGGTTAACTATCGAAATGTCGACGCGGCTGATTCCGGGCTCGACAGCGGCATGGCAACACCTCAAGACGTGTCGTCGGTTGCGGATGAAGATATGGATACGACTGCCGATGTGAAGTTGGGCGAGATTCCCGAGCCTGTCCCTGAAGCTCGCCGTTCCACGTCCGCGGTAGAGGCCCCGTCGGGGACTGAGCAAGCTTCTGCGGCCGACAACAGCGAAATGCCTGTTGACGGGCAGGAGGCGGCTACCACCGATTCCGTTCAACCCTCGCGCCAACCGTCGCCCAAGCCCCATGACGAAGACACGCCCATGGAAGACGTCAGTGCGGCTGCGCCGGAGCCGGAGCAGCAAGCGGATCAGACCCCTGCAGACAACGAACCGCAAAAGCAGGAAGAGGACAAGACGTCGACTGAGCAGACCACGGCACCCGAAGAACCCGCGGCAAAGCCGGCGTCCCCCCTAAGGCCCAGTCCCCGCCTCGCGAAACCACGGAGCAGCCCGAGGCCAAGGAAACCACTGAAGCTGAGGACACAACAAAGACGACCGAGACGACAGAACCTGCCGAGAAGGAGAAGACTCCGGAGGCGCCCAAGGAGGAGACCGCACCGGCGCAGTCGGAGTCGGAACCGCAAGCAGCCAAGGAACCCGCCGAGCCCGCCGCGGAGCCGCAACCTGAGGAGCCTGCAAAGAGCGAGGAATTGTAGACTCGCACTGAGCGCGGCGTTTTCAGGATCCTGGCGCAACGACTGGCACTGGTGTTTTGGTGATAACTTTTGCATGCGAAAAGATGGAGGGATTCTGTTCTGGACCATGAATGATTTATTTTTTACTAGCTATGTTATTTGTTGACTTTGAATTGGCCTGTACTAGCATGACTACCTATCTAGAGACTTACCAGATGGGTGGAGTGTCTACATTGTAAGCCGTAGTTCGTAGATAAGAGTGGTCTCGATCTATACGTCAATGTCACGTGTTTCTGTTATCTAATCAAGCTAACCCCATCCAGATTAGCCCTAGGGCAAACCACCCGGCGCCCCACCGCCGGAAAACGACCAATGAGGGTCTCGCCGCCAAGATTTTCCACACGACGCACACTAAGCGAGAGCGCAATTCCCCATCCGCGAAGTCCAACCTGAACCCTCCGCTCCGACCTTGTTCGACCCTCTGTCCCGTCGCCCCCTTCGCCAATTTTCGAGTATCCGACACCGTCAAGCGATACATAGCCCAAGATGTCTAAGAGAGGGTGAGTTTTTTCCTGACTTTTCCGCCGTGTCCGTGGCGTCTGCAGCAGCTGGTTCAAGAGACGGATTTGATCGACCGGTGATCGATTGATTGATTGAGACGACGATGCTGGACGAGTGCTATTGTGTGAAGACGGAAGATCTGGAGGGGAGAGACAACATGGAAGAGATGGGAGGAATGGGATTGAGGAGGAAAATTTCAGCAACGCTTCGAATCCATATATACGCCCGAAGAGAAGAACGCCAATTACCAACCGAATCGAACCAGCTGCTCGGACTCATTATACACGGACTGCTGCCTAAGGAGAAGGCGAACTGGAGATGGGAATGAGTACTGATTGAGATTTACAGACGTGGTGGTAATGCCGGCAACAAGCTGAAGATGACGCTCGGTCTGCCTTGGTACGTTCATCCCGATATCGAATCCGACCCGAAAGAGAAAATACAGTTGGATCCGGGCATCGAGTCAGAAACTAACATCCTACAGCGGCGCCGTGCTCAACTGCTGCGACAACTCCGGCGCCCGTAACCTGTACATCATCTCGGTGAAGGGTATCGGTGCTCGCCTGAACCGTCTCCCCGCTGCGGGTGTCGGAGACATGGTCATGGCCACCGTCAAGAAGGGTAAGCCCGAGCTGCGGAAGAAGGTCATGCCCGCCGTTGTGGTCCGCCAGAGCAAGCCCTGGCGCCGTCCCGACGGCATCTACCTCTACTTCGAGGACAATGCCGGTGTGGTATGTATACATCTATCTATGAGGGTTGCAACCCTTGCTAACGCCCATATAGATCGTCAACGCCAAGGGTGAGATGAAGGGTTCCGCCATCACTGGCCCCGTCGGAAAGGAGGCTGCTGAGCTCTGGCCCGTACGTTCTTCACCTACCCGGATATCCTACCAAAAACGCTTGATCAGATACTAACTATGCAACAGCGTATCGCTTCCAACTCCGGTGTCGTCATGTAAACAACCTCCACGAAAGAAAAAGCACCTTCGAAAGAACGTCGTCATGAACCCCGGGCAACAGGAAAACAGAAGGGCCATATAGAAACGAGAAAAAAATGAAGAAAAAAGTAATCAAGGGAGATTGCGATTCCAAAATTTCTCAAATGGAAAAACCTGAACGATACCACCACGAGTTAGAAGGGAAGCGGAGCGGGCTTGTTGCGATTTGCATATAAGTTTTAAAGACACGAATGCAAACAACGATCGAACGAACAAACTGTCCGACCCTTCTCTTGGTCTTCCTTTTTCTTCTCCTTTTTTCTTTTTCTTATATGTGGTCCGTTACGTCGGGTTCTACGTACCCTGGAGGATTGACGAACGTGCCTTTGATTGATACGATAAAAGAAACCAACCCTCTCATCCTCATCATCACTATCCTCATGAACACCTTTCCTCCGTTTTCTTTTTCTTTTTCTAGTTTGATGCTGGTTACATGGCGATCTGGAATATAAAAATTCACCAAACGGTTTATCGGACGTAGTCTTAACATAAATTGTTGTATTGGATATCTAAACCCTATCACTCGCCAATCGGTGTTACTTGGTTGAGTGGTCAAGGAAAGATATGCTAACGCGGAGTATATAATATATGATTAGGATCAGTGTATCCGGCGGCTATACAATGCCATAGTACTACATATATCTTCTAATTATATCAGCATCCAACTCATCGTCCATCCATCATATCATACAACATCAATCAATCAATCAACGTACACCCCAGCTAAATCTATCTATACATATGTATGTGTGTGTGTGTGTGTGTGTGTATATAACTCAAGTATCCCCCTCCTTCTCCACAACCTGCTTCTCCTTCTCTCTCCCCTTCTCCCCAGGAGAGCTGCAACCAACATTAACTTTATCCCCGGACACCTTAGCCACATCCCCAGCCTTAACCTGGACCTTAGGTTCAACCTCAGTCCCAGCAGTAGCTGACCCCAGCGAACCCAGCAGAAGAAGACCATAAACACCCCCCACAATCAACGTAACAAAACCAACGACATGCACAGCCCACCAAAGATGCTGCACGCCCGCAGCACACATCGTAATCTCGTACCTCCACTCCAAGACAGCCGGGTCGGCGTCGAACCACAGCGAGAGGAGCGCCGCGTTGCCGCCGTATTCGCCCATCATTGAGCGGAGGGTTACTTCTCTGATGGAGGGGTTCGCCTCTTCCATTTCTTTTTCGGGCTGGTGTTGGGGCTGTAGCTGCGGCTGGTGCTGGTTGAAGCGTTTGGCGGACCAGGTCCATTGTGGTTCTTGTTGTTGTGGTTGTTCTTCTTCTTTGGAAGTATCGGCCTCGGCCTCTGCGTCGTCAGGCGTAGAAGATACAGGCGCAGACCTATTCACAAAATGCAAAACATCACACCCAGTGTGATCATGACCCGTAAGAACAAGCCCATTCCTACCCCGTCCAGCAGCGGGGGCAGACGCATCACCACTCATTCCAAAAATCCCCTGCAAGACACCCGTCGCACTAAGATGCTCACTAAGATGGTTCTGCTCTTTCAAACCCCCTTCATGAAAACGCGGCACGCCATCGGGCCCATTCTTATCATCTTTATCGAAGAACGAAAAGTACGGCCCGTCCGTGCAGACGCCGTCTTGCTTGTGCAGCGGTAGATGTGTCAGGAGCAGGGTGAACGTGGAGCGGTCTTCGACGGGGTAGCTTCGTTTGAAGATGACGTCGTTGAGGTAGGTGTAGGTGTGTGACTGGACGGTTGGTGAAATGGCGGGCGTGTCTAGTGTGAGGGTGTTGAGGTTGATGAGGTGGAGGGTTGGTGTGATTGTGCTGGTATCATTGCCATCGTTGATATGGACAGGCGGCGCACGGAATCGAATATCGTAGTTCGCGCGCCCGAATACCCGCTCGAATCGCTCCAGTCGCGACTCGCTGGCGTCCCCTGCGTACCCGACGTCGTGGTTCCCCACGATATTGACGATGCGCTGCGCCCAGGGCGAGTCTGTGCGCTGGAGTTCTTCTAGGGCAGATGATGGCTCCCCGTCGTGACCCCCCGTGTAGTCTTCCGCCCCCGTGACGGTCAACTCATCAGGAACGCGCTGACCCCCCCGAAACACACGATCCCAGTATCTACCTCCGCGACGATCAAACTCCTCATCCGTAACCCATTGACTGCCGATGAGATCGCCGAGGACAGTGACGTGCGTAGGACGGCTCCACCAGTGGAGCGTGCGGTATATATGCGCGAGGTAGTAGTCGTTCCCGAGGAGGTCGAGGCGTTTGCGCGCGGCGCGCAGGGCGCGGGGGAAGTCGTCTTCGGCGAGGGCGCGCACGGCGGAGGAGATAGTCGTGCGGATGGAGGAGAGGGCGGTGCGGGTGTCGTTGTCGTCGTCGTGCCGGGGAGAAGGCAGGGCGCGCTGGACGGAGTCGCTCACCGACTGCCAATGATAGCGCAGTCTCGCAGGGAGCTCATGTTCAGGCTTGGGGAGCGAGCTGTCGCCTTCGAGTTGTGGGTCTGCTAGCACGAGGACTCTGACGAGGGCGGGGTCGGAGGCGGAATGCGGTGCGAGGTGTTGGTGGAGGGTGTGTTGGAAGGAGAGTCGGGGATTGGAGGGCTGTTCGTTCGGGGTTGGAAGAGGGAATGCGCAACCTTGGAAGACGGGGTAGAGGTAGAGGTATAGACTGCTTGTTAGGGCCAATGGGAGGAGCACGCATAGCACGCGCGAGAGGATTCGGCGGAGGAGGAGCAGGAGAGACATGGGGGTGGCATTGGCGGTGGCGGGGTTGTTATTATAATTATATAATGTGGATTGGTTGTTTGGGGGGATGGGGAGTAGGGAGGGACTTTGTTTATTGAGAATGGAGAGGATCCATTGTGCTGTGGCCCCGAAAGAGTGAAGGGGGAATTAAAGAGAGAGAAAGAGAGAAGAAGTTGAGGCGAAAAGAAGGGGAAGATCGAAGATCAGCGCGGTATAAAAATAGATGGTATTATCTATCCACCACCAACAAAGGCTACTATTTCCAACAGTCTTGATCTTTTTGATAGACGAACTGTGAATATCATTAACTATTCTAATTTTCAGTAAGGAAAGTGATCATGAATATATACATGTGTTGCATTATCTACCTGTATCGGCCTACAAAGAGAACATAATATATATATATATAATCTCGCCATCATTTATTACCCCACAGACACCACTGCAACATCAAGTCAAGCTTCATCGACAGATCCTAATGTATAAAATGAGAAACTAAGTAATATTTCTGACGGATTGGGTGATGCTAGTACATGGTTTTCCAGTCTACCGTAACAAATAGCCTGATCAAATTCGGACGACAAAAGAAAGGTCGTAGAGACGCTTAATCTACACTCAAGACTAGCAGAGCGCGCAACATCCTCTCGCTACATACGAACCAGATCAAAGATCCAGAGTCACAAGACAAATGGATTGCAAACTAACGACACAAAAACGATGGGGGAGGAGGGGGATTAATGACAGAGGTAAAGAATAATCCAAGGCGGATCCAATAGGGGGTATATCACATTAAACGCCAAGCAAGGGGGGTAGAAAAAGAGAGAAGAACAAACGGAAATACAAAGGAAAGGTCCTTGTCATAAATGAGGGAATAGGGTGGGTGAGCCGTCCAAAAGACATTGCACGGTTTATTCGGATCTCGTCATCGACTCCGGGAGTAACGAGGTCGGTCCCGTGTCCAGCTGGCCTAGTTGGTTCGACGCCGGCTTGTCTTCATCGACTGCTGTCGCCGGCTCGTCCGTATCGGCTGCCGGAGGCGTCGTGCCGTCAGCGCGGAGACCCTGGGTGCGTAGGCCCGTGGCGTCCGACGGCGGGGTTGGTAGTGGTTGCTCCTGCGTCTCCGGCTCCTCCGGTGTGGGCGGCGCGGCCATCAGGGATGGGGGCCGTTGGTTCATCAGTCGCGCCTCTTTAAGACTGATGGTCCGTTGCTTGTTGGACGACTCCACCGGACTCTGCAGATCCCGCTCGATGGTCGCCTTCATCAGCGCGGCCATCCACAGACGCCCCTCCTTGACGTTGTCCACCTGGAAGTAGTGGATGGCCGGCTTGGTGAACTGCACCGTGCGCGAGTGGCCGGTCTTGGGCGGCACCAGCTTGAAGAAGAAGGGCCCCTCGTTGGCCTGCTTCGGGGCCCGCAGCGTCGACTCGGACAGCGGCACCTTCTCCGTCGGCGGCGAGGTCGGCGACGCGGTGGCGCCCGTGAGCGTGGCGTGCAGGGCGACGATCGGGTCGTGGTCCGCCCGGAGCACGCGGTGGGCGGTGATGTCGATGAGGCCGCGCTCCTCCGTGTCCTGCTCCGAGTAGTAGTAGGAGAGCCGTCGGCCCCGCAGCACGAAGAGACGGGGCTTCCACGTGGTCATCAGGTTCGAAGACCGCTTCTTCATCCAGCCCGCGTAGTCGCAGCCCCGCATCTGCTCCTGGGGCGACTTCTTCTCCAGGCCGCGCGTGTAGGCGCTGGTGTCCTTCTTCGACTTGGTGCCGGCGCCGTTCTTGGCCGCGGTCGTCCGGCTGCGCGGGAGCGACAGGCTGCCGTCCGCGTTCTTCGCCGACCCGTCGGTGCTGTGGCGCTCCGAGCTCTTCGAGGTCGACGGCGTCGTGGAGCCGGTGCGGGCCGACGCGGGGTCAGCGTCGCGGGCGGGCGACGCGGGGCCCACCGTGGTGTCCAACCGCTTGGGGGCGACGTCGGATGAGGTGCGGAATCCCATCGCCCGGCGGAACTTGGGCCCTGCGTTTTTGACGGGATTCAGGGACATCGCCCGCGTGTCCCGGTCCGGCTTCTCGGACCGGTCCGCCTTGCCGGTGAACGGGGACAGCGCGGCGAGGATTCCGGGGCTCGAGGCCTTCTCCTCGCTGCTGCGGGCGGTGGCAGACGGGTGAGCGTGCCGGTCGGTGATGCGCGTGCTCAGGCTCCGGAACCGACCCTTGGGCACCGCCGGTGCGGGCGCAGCGTACGACGAGCGGGCCGAGGCACCGGCCGCCGGCGGCGGTGGCACGGCGTCCCGGATGGAGTCGGCGCTGCCGATGCGCGAGTGTCGCCGGCGGGAGCCGGGGCGGAGCCGGTACGGCAGCTCATCCGTGCCGCTCGACAGCCGCGAGGTCATGCTCCCGCCCATCGAGGTCCGCTTCTGCAGGCGCTTGACCCGACGGGTGTCCGCCTCGGGGCCGGAGAAGTAGCCCCGGTCGAGATCGTCCGTCACAACGATGGCCGAGTCGGATCCGTTCGATCCGGATTCGCGGATGGCGTGCGGGGGGGTGATGGCGTCGGGGGACGCCGTGACGGGGGCCGCTCCCAGGGACGTGCCCGGGCGCGGGGGTGGCTGCGCCCGCTGGCTCCCCCCTCCGTTCAGGGTCCAGCTGCGATCAAAGGAACCGCTCTGGTGATGACGTAGAGGCGGAGACCCGTCGGCGGCGGTGGAGTACCGGTTTGTAGTGTCGATCGACGAGTGGCGTCGCGAGTGGTTGACATCCCGGATCGACGCGGCGGAGGGTCGACGGGCATGGTCCAGGGGCCCCGGGCCGGAGCCGGGAGCGCCGAAGCTGGTGGGCAGGGAGCCGCTCAGGCGGTGCGAGCCGGTCGAGCCGCGGACGTGGGGGATCCGCGGGAGGACGTAGCTGGTGTGGCCGGCGCGGCTGAGGCTGCGGTCGTCCACCGGGGTGGCGAAGCCGGAGGTGGAACCCCGCGAGGACTGGCGTTGGGACGATATCAGGCCCTTGACCTCCTCCTGGAAGGCCTTGATCCGGTGCCAGGTCTTGAGGCGGCGGCCCATGACGCCAAAGTCGAACTCCTTCATAAAGAGGAAGTCCTGGTCCATGTCGAGCAGCACGTCGCCGGTGATCTCCTGCTCCTCGAAGATCTCACAGTGACGGGCTTCGAGGCCCAGCTGGCGCAGATAGCGGGCGGTCTCGGCGGGATCCCACTGGCGGACCTCGTCCTCGGTAAGGTGGTTCTCTTCCTCCTCATCGGTCTCGTGGCCGTTGATGTAGGACATGCGGTTCTCCAGGTGGGAGCTGTACTCGCTGGCGGAGTCGTTGGCGACCTTGCTGCTGTTGTTATTGTTGCTGTGCTCCTGATGGGGGGCCATGCTGTGACGGGGGGTGCTGAGGTCGGTGATGTGTTCGTCGATGACGCTCAGAGTCTCGTTCATAACGGGACTCTCCTGGCCAGGGCCGGCCAGCTGGCCGTCGATGCTCTGGCGCAGGGAGCGTTGAACGTCGACCGCCATTTTGGCCGTCGGAAGGGGGGAGGAGCTGGCGCGTTGCGGCGGCTTGGGCGCAAACGAGGCCGCATCCAGGTCGGGAGCGCGCATATCGGACAGACTCGCATGACGCGAGGCGTGAGGGGTGGATTCACCGCTCTTTGGGACGACCGCCGTTGTCTCGGACGACAAGGACTTGCCTTCGGAGGTTGATTGCGCGTTCGTGTGGGAGGTATCGGCTTCAGACTCCGTCCGTTGCCGAACGGGGATCTTGGGGGCGGCGGTTGTGTACACTGCGGGGGCGATCCATCAGCTTCCTTCTCGGCGGGGACAGACCGATGGGAACCCTACCTCCTGGAAAGAGACCCGAGGCACCGGAGCTGGTATCCTTTCCGAGATACCACCCGTCCCCGAATCCATCATCCATCTCGACCAATTCGATTTTCTCGCCGCGTCGCAGGGTCAGTTCGTCGGGGCCACGGGCATCGAAATCATCTGGGTGCAGAAACAGTGAGTAGATGGATCGGAGGCAGTGACGCACACCCGCGCGCCTCGGTTGCAGGACATGCGACCGACGTCGGGGGGGTGGGGGGGGGGGGAGGAAAGCTTACGGACGACCAAGAGATGGTCACCGGGCTTCACGCCGCGGGGGGGTGAAGTTAAAGCCATTGTCAAACCCTCGAGATAGCGATTCGAGGTAATGGGGGAAGAGAGAGGAGGGGAGGAGGGGGGAGGAGAGGGGGTAGGGGGAGGATTAGAGAGCCAGATCTAGGAGGACGGTCCGCGGGCGCAACGACGAGAGGAGAGGAAGCAATGCGCGGAACATGGGGACCCAACAGCCCTCTCGGGTCGGTCGAACGTTCGCGGTCAAATAAATCACCACACCCTTGGAACAGGAATCTGGCGAATTGGTGAGTGGACCGACGGAGGGAGTATGCGGGATCGGAGGTCGCAGGGTCGAAAGGGGGGCGAGAGAGGGAGCAATTGGCCGGGGAGAAAGTGCGAACGGAATGTGACTTTTTTTGGAGGGACCGAAAACGTTGAGTAAATTCCGCCCAGCCCTTGATTGGGAGGTTGGATATGAACGATTTTTCTTCTTTTTCTTTTTCCCCTTTGATTCAATTTTGATTCTTTTCTCTTCTGCCTTTTCTCTCCCTCTTTCTTTCCTCCTTCTTTTTGTCCTCTTTTGACTTAAAAAAAAAAAAAGGTTGTTGAGTGAGGTCGGTGGGAATGAAGATTGATATGAATTGATCTCGAGAAGATCGGACGCAGGTTCACGTTCGACCAGGAGTTGGAGAATCAGATGGCGGGGGTCCAACCGCCGGTACTTGGACCGAGGAAGTCGATGATATCAGAAGACCAGGATTCGACCTAGTGCGGAGGAAGATAGATAGATGAAGATCTCTCCGTACTCCGTACTGTGTAGAGAGATGGAACGAAGAGAAGAAGGAGGATAGAATATAAGATGAAGAGAGAAGAGAGATCCAGAAGGGAAGAGAGAGGAGAGATATATGACTGATCAGTGGAGAAATAAATGATTGATTGAAAGCTGGTGGACGATGATTGATTGATGATGATGGATCGATTGACAAGCCAGCGCTAAAGCGGAGAGTGGGCGATTCGAGAGGAGACAATCTTGTCGATCATTTGGTGGTTCAGAGGAGGGTATAACCATGAATCTCTTGGTGGATAGAGATAAACTGGGTGGGTCATGAGCGTCACCACCCGAAGTTAAAAAGGAGTGGATGGAGAGAAGTATGTCGAAGTGTGGGAGAGAGGAGAGGAGGTGGAGTGGAAGAAAGTGTAGAAGAGAGAGAGAATGAAGAGAATGAGGCCCAACTAAGACGGTTGTTCTGATGCAACGGTTATAAATAGTCTGGTTTCTTCTATTTTTCTCTATGATTTCTCTATTATTTTCTATAGTTTCTTCTCGATTTATTTTCCTACTCTCTGTTCTAGTCTAATTAGTATTTGGTATCAGGCTGACCAGCTGGACAAGTCGTGGCGCCAACGGGGATGCAAGACCAACTGGACCAGGATGGACAATTCAGCGTCTCTGATTGCCTCGTTCGATCCAGGGAAATTGGATCAGTCTGTCAACTAGATGACATGGATCTTGGACATGGATTGGGAGACCGTCGAGATGAGAATCCATCTCGTTCTTGGGCATGTTGCCAAATAACAAATACAATAGACTGAAATATATATAATAAACAAAAAAAAAAAAAAGAAAAGAAAAACACAAAACAATAGAGCAGAGAGAATATCTCAATAGTATCCAGATAGGTAATATAATATAAATAAGATTGATCAGATCGACGGTATAAAACTTCCAGAACGGTGACAGGTCGCGTCCGGTCGATCCTGCAGGGGAATCTCCACCTTCTTTTCTCTTTGTCTCTCTCTCTTTGTCTTCTCCTTTTTTGTTCTGTTGATTTTTCTTTTTCACTTCTTCTTTTCTGGTCTTTTCTTTCATTCCCCTGTCTCTCTTTCTTTCACTCTTTGTTTGTTGTTTGACGGTGGTGTCTGCTGTGACTGCGGTGACTGTCCCTGTATAGATCCAGATATGAAGATGAGTAATCCCAGTGATCATTATCTCACTTTATAGTCACAGTCAAGATTCTGGTCTCAATCTCAGGTGAATACCAGTTGATACCAAGTCAAGATCTCAGTTAATATTGTATATATATAATCTAGATATAGAACCACTGCAAGAAAGATCGAAAGATCCAGACACTGATTCAAATGCAGTGAATACACTCGATCAGGCCCATATATAAGACCCTCCCCGTCTCCTCCAGCCATCCTTCTTTCTTCTTTCTTTTTTTCATCCTCCTTTCTTCTCCTGTCATCCACCTTTCCTTCCTCTGCTTGAATTCCTCCATCTTTCCAGGCTCCCTTTGGTTCTAAACCTCCTCTTCCTTCCACTCTATCTTCCACACTCTCTTCCACTCTTGTTTGTTGAATCCAAGGTCCAACCAACTATGAACGTACCCCCTCATTCCATCATTGTCAAGAAGAGAAAACGGCATGAGTCCATAGAAGGAATCTTTCCAGACACCAAACTAAGAAACCATGAAGATGAAAAAGAAGGAAACCAAGGAAACAAAGACGACTGAGATGGCGGGCAAGAATCAATGCAGTCCCTTACCTAATCCGCACAACTCCGGTCATAACTCCGATCACGATCCTGATCATTCTCAGCCTCAGGCCATCCACTCCATCAACACCGACAATTCTCTCCATTCAACTTCTTCTTCCTCCACTTCATCTTCATCTTCCTCCCACCACAACCAACTTCCTCCTCCTCCTCCTCCTTCTCCTCCCCCACCTCCCCCTTCTTCTCCGCCTTCTATCCTATCCTCCTCCAATTCCACCGCCAATCTTTTTCTCGGTGGGGTGCGCAGATCGTGGATGTTGGATGCTCCGGCGGCGTCAACTCCCACCTCTGCGACCCATCGTACGCGTCGTCGCCCGCTCGCTCCCTGCTCGCTTTCCATAGTCACCACACAACCCCGCCAGGAGAATGCTGGGCCCGTCTCTACTGTCTCCGACGACGCTCCTCCCCCCGCCGACCCCCCCTCCATGTCGTCCTTCCCGCCCTCCCTCACGGCGACCACCACCCAGAGTCAACCGCCTCCGCCCCAAGCAGAACCTTCAGGACAACCGCCCCGGCTCCAACCAGAACCAACTGAACAATCGTCCCGATCGCTTCAGCGTCCGCTGCCCCCGGCCCTACACTTGACCACCACCGGCGCCGCCATCGCCCCGTCGCCGCGCCTCGCGACCACGACCACCCCCGTGGCCTCCTCGACCGCCGCTCCGCAGCCGAGTCCGACGGGGACCGGTGCGCCACGCGATGAGCGCAGTCACGCCTCCAGGGCTCCCTTACCGTCGCCGCCCCCGACCGCCGGATCGGGACCGCGGTCGCGCTATTCGCAAGACCAGCTCGTCCAGGGGGACCGGGGTGCACAACCGCCGGCCGCATTGTCGTTGACATCCCCGGTTCCCACCCCGACCCCGGTCGAGATGAGCGTCGACGCATCGAGATTCCCCTCGCATCCAGCCTCTCATCACGCCCCGACCGAGTCCCCCCGGAGCATGTTCCTACCCACGCCGTCGGCGCATCATCCGGCTGCGGCCCCCTCGGTCTACCCGTCCGTCCCCGCGGTGGATGCGGAGTTCTATGCCCTCGCCTCCCAACGGTTGAGCGTCTACTCGCAGCACCGAAATCGGTCGGCGGGTGCTGACATGTCGTCCAAAGTGGTTGAAAACCCGCGACTCCATCTCCTGCAAAATGCCTGTGGCTATGGCGACACGCTCTACATGGCCATCCACCAAATCTACTGCATCCACAGTATTGCCCCCGCCCTGTTCTACCAGATCCCGGGATTCTCCACCCCGCAGGCCGACGGCTTAACCATCCTCCGACAGCTCCTGGTCGACAACCAGCGTCTGTCGCCCGACTTCCTGCAGTGGGTGATGAACTTCCCCGCCCCCGTCAGCATGCTGATGCACTCGCCCGTCTACCGGCTGGCCTTGGACCAGGCCGCCCAGTGCCTGGCGCGCTTGACCGAACAGTGGCCCGCCTTTGACCTGCGCGTCCGCAGCCGCGACTATCCGCCCCTGGTCGACGAACTCCTGATCGTCTTTGGCATGGCCTCCCGCACCCTCCAGAACGTCGTCTTCTTGGCCATGGCCCGCCGACTGCCCGTGCTCCGCCCGGAGGCCGACCTGGAGGCCATCTGGGAACGGGACGTCGGCCACCAAAACCGACGCTCCGCGCAGCTGGTCACCCAGGCTCAGATGCGCTGGGAGAACGAACAAATCATTCATGCCTACCAGTCGGTGCCGCCCCTTCCGCCCGCCGAGTCGCCCGGGCCTCTGATCGCTGGCCCCGGCCGACGCCCCTCGAGCCGACGCCCCTCGACGCACACCCCGCGGGGGAGTGCGAGCCCTCATCTGCGGGTCGCCGTTCAGCGGGCCCCGGGCGGCGAGCCACAACCCCCCGGATCGCCCGCCCGTGCCTTCCACCCGCAGAGCTATCGGCACCCGGCCCCCGTCTCCCACGCGACGGCGGCGTCCCCCCGCATGGCCACATTCGCGCCCTCGGCCGGCGGTCCCCCAGCGATGCGGCCGCCGTCGCGGGGGGTCGCGTCCCCGACGACCGGGGTGGCCCCGTCCTCCCCGCACGGATGGGCCGGCCAGCCGCAGCCCCGGGTCGAGCGGCGCGCCGAAGGGACGGCGGCCGTCACGACGCGGTCGGGCCGGGTCCGGATGCCGCCCCCCTTTTCCCCCCAGCTGTCTCGCGCCGCCCCCGCACCGCCGGTCTACCCTCCCCTACTCCCGCCGCCGGGGGTCATCCCACCCGCGACGTCCCGCAACAACCCGTTCCGCCACGCCCTGCACCAGGCCCACCTCCGGGACCCGTACAGTCGGCTCGTGGCGCGCGGGCTGGACGGCGAGGAGGGTGAGGGCGAGCTCTTCCCATACCTGTCTGCGTTCCCGGTGGGCCCGACGCCCCTCGGCCCGAAGCAGTGCGCCTTCGCGTGGGAGTTCACTCTATCGCCCACGGACTGCCAGCGGTTCCCGCAGTTTCTGGGGACGCCCGTCGGGCAGCGCTCCTCGCGGGTCGTGCGGGATGGCAACCAGATCTACCGACTGCGCTGCATCCGGGTGAGCCCGCCGACCACGGCCATCAGCCCGTCCGCGTGGAGCGTGGCGGACGCCGTCTGGCCGAGCTTGGCCTACGTCTTCGTCAACGGGGCCGAACTCTCCTTCCGCCGCAAGCTCCACCACGGCAAAGACCTGCCCCTGGAGATCACGCGGCACCTGCGCCCGGGGACCAACACCGTCACCCTGCATCTGATCCGCAACGCGGCCGAGTCCAAGGACCAGTTCTACGCCGCCGCGGTGGAGGTCCTCGACATCACCTCGTTCACGCGGGCCATCCAACTTGCCACCTTGCTTCCCGCCGGCCAGTGCCGCGAGCGGATCCGCCAACGACTCCACCCGGCCACGCGGGACGACGACGACGTGAGCATCGTCAGCGAGGAGCTCACCGTCAGCCTAGTCGATCCCTTCACGGCGCGGATCTTCGACCGTCCCGTGCGGGGCCAGCGCTGCGCTCATCACGAGTGCTTCGACCACGACACGTGGATCCGCACCCGCGCTGCCAAGTCCGACCGACAGGCCTTGAAAGACGACTGGAAGTGTCCCATCTGCGGCCGCGACGCCCGACCTCAAAACCTGGTGATCGACGGCTTCTTATGCGAGGTGCGCAACATCCTGGCAGCGACCAACCGTCTGGAAGGCGCGCGCGCCATTCAAGTCAAATCAGACGGCAGCTGGACCCTGAAGGAGGAAGCTGACCGCCCGGCGCCGCAGCACGGGGGAGCCGGTCCCGAGGTGGCCCGCGGGCCCCCAAAGCGCAAGTCGATCAGCGTGGACGATCGACCTGCATCCTTGACCCAGCGGCCGAAGATAGAGCAGGCCCGCTCCCATACTCAGACTCAGACTATGGGCTATGTGCGCTGTTCCCCAACGGAGGTCATCTCTCTGGATTAGCGGATGACAGTGACGACTCAGCGTGGATAATGGGGAGGATGGATGGTGGATTACAGCATACGGCATACAAAAGAAAAGAAAAGAAAAGAAGAGAAGAAGAATCAACTTGTTCAAGCATGTACCCAGGCGCAGCGGATCATTTCAGATACCCGATCTATTTACGCACATGAATTGATGATCTTATGGGGTTTAAAGGGGTGCTTTACGGATACTGCAATGCGAGATAGATATCATTACCATTACTTATGATTAGACATGATAATAGCATTGAATTATTTAATCTAGTTTACTCTACTTTACTTTGTAGGAACTTGGAATTTACTTCGTCTGTTTTTTTTTTACATTTGTACATTCCGTTGTACATACCTCGAAACCATCTACCTCCCCATTCCACTGTACACTCTGCACTCTGCACTATGCACTATGTATGTACATAGCATATATGATCTTGCTAATATCCATCCATCCACCAGATATGTAAGTAAGGCAGTATCACCAAGTATACAGCTCCCGAAAGATAATGTAATCGCCGACACCAATGACAGGATCATCTACGTCTTCTGGAAGACGTTCTTCTTTCTTTTGCTCTCCCCATGGTATTTTCTTCTTCTCTGCCTTCTTCTCCACGGTCTTCTTCTTCTTCTTGTTAGGTTCCTTCTTTTTCTTCCTCGTAGTCATCTTCTCCTTTCTTCCATCCCGATCTCCCTCCCCACCCCAATCCCCACTTAGAGAAGAAGAAGAACCAGAAGAAACAGAAGAAGCCAAAACCAAATCCTCCACTCCCCTCCAATCCAACCCGCCCAGCCCAGGCGGCCTAGGCTCCGGCTTCAGATGTATCAGCTGACACCACTGCTCGGCGGAGACCCTGCGGAAGGTTCTCACGATGAGAGCGACTGTTCGCCAGCTGTGGAGTCTTTCTGCGGGGAGCATTATCTGCATTTGTACTTTTCTTCCCTTGGACTCTTTCTGCTGGTGCTGATGCTGATGCTGGTGGTGTTGTTGGGCAGCATGCAGAAGAGGGAGGTACAGGCCCTCTTGGAGGTTGCTTTTTTCGAGCGTTGTGTTGAAGTTGTTGATGCGTTCTTTGGTGTGGACTTTTGGGACTTTTCCTCCTGTTCCTGTTTCTCCTGAAGATGGGGTGGTCTGGAGGGTTAGGGTTAGGAGGAGGGAGTTGTCGTTTAGACCGATGAGGTTGGCGAAGTGGAGGGTGGTGCCGCCGCTGCTGTTGTTGCTGCTCTTGTTCTTGTTCTTATTCTTGATTTTGCTCTTAGTGTTGCCCTTGGTGCCGTTCTTGGTGTTGCTGGTAGTAGATATCGGGAAATTCATAGTAAACGTCCACGAAACAGGCCTTTTCGGAAGCGGAGTCCGCGAAGTATTGATCTCTTTCCCACCACCATTGCCACCACAAGTAGAAGAAGGCGTATTAGAAAGAACACGATAGATAGTCTCCTGCAGAACGAGCCTCTTATTGATAATGTCAAAAGTGATATCGAGGTCTGCGTCGGCGTGGTGGATTGCGATTGTTTTGGAGGTGGAGGCGTCGTGGAGGGTTAGTTGGATTTGGCGGTTGGGTTTGGGAGGGGCTGGTTGGCAGGTGCAGGTTGGGTCGTCGCTGTTTGAGGTTATTGAGATTAGATTCTTCTTTTCGAATTGTTGTTGTGTTGGTGGTGTTGGTGGTGTTGGTGGTGTTGATGTATAAGTGGAAGGGTACGTACCAGCGGAGCATGATGAGGGTTAGATTTGATAGTTTGAAATCTTTGAGTACACTTTAGATAGAGATTGATGCTTTTCAGATATCTTCAGATAGTTGGAGATAGTGAGATGAAGAGATGGAGAGACGTAGGAAGACATTTCTCAGATTGAAAGTCTTTATAGATGGTTCAGAGGGGCTGGTCTGTATTCACTTCTGATGTATTCACTTCTGCTGTTGAGCATTCACTTGACTACCTGAATGGATAAATAGATTGTGCCTTCTGTTGTCCTTGTCTGTTGACGCTCTTGGGCTTTCTACTTCTGGAATGGTCGTCCAACAGGCAGTGAATTGATATTATATTGTTTATTTGGTATCAAGTCAAGAACTGCACACATTATGGTGCTGCATGGACTAGGGTAGATTGTGCTTAGACTGCTGCAGCATCTTTGATGGCTCTCTCATCTACAGCTATAGCATTGCATGGCTGATTTATATGATCAATAGAATAGAGGGTTATTTACAATGGATTGAGCCATGACACTGGCGAGGCCGTGTACAGATGTAGATCAACGCTGACTTTTGTACACGAGAAGTCTACTACAAGCACATTGTATGCAATTGATGGTCTATGCATCAGTCAGGTATGTGTACTGATCAAGCCTGCATCATCATCTCTCCCTCTCTCTCTCTCTCTCTCTCATCCTTTGGATATAAAAGACCCAGGGTGACTGGCAGGAGTAAATAACAAGGCTTTACGTGTTATATCTGTATATTTCAGAATGGATACAAAATAATTCAATCCATATAATCAAATAGATAACACGCGTGTATCATTATTCTCTACGTACTGTAATTAAGATAAAAAATGGAAGTATATACATAGTTCCATACTACAGTGCATCAAATCAAATTGCTGACATAATCACACCGCAAGCTCCGCGCTCCGCAGCCCAAGAGCTTCATATTCATCTCCATTTCACTGCATCCCACCTAATCCACAACCACGACCGTCATTCCCTCCTCCTCGCTCACTATCACGTCACGAGAATCCGTTCTAATTCACCCTACTATATTGTCTACATCATGTCTGCCGAAATGGACGTCGATCAGCCCGTCGCGCACGAGGAAGCCGAAGTCCCCGCGCAATCGGGCGACAAGAGCGTCGACCCGCGAACAGACAGTGGCGCCGTCGCGGTGCGCAGTATCGAGGGATGGATCATTATCTGCACTAATATCCATGAGGAAGCGTCTGAGGAGGATGTCACGGATTTGTTTGCTGAGTATGGGGAGATTAAGAACTTTAATCTGAATTTGGATCGTCGGACGGGTTATGTTAAGGTAGCCTATTCCCTCCTATTGGGTGTTTTGAGAGACAAGAAGAAGAATGCGCACGTTATACTGACATACACTAGGGCTACGCATTAATCGAATACTCCACCCTCCCCGAAGCCGAAGACGCCATCAAAGCCCTGAACGGGTCCAAACTGCTCGAGCAGACCATCGGAGTGGACTTCGCTTTCGTGCGACCACCTCCCACCAACAAGGGCAAAGCCGGCGGACAGCGGGGTGGTCGCGGCGGTGGTGGTGGTGGTGCAGGTGGACGAGGCCGCAGCAGGAGCCGGAGTCGCAGCCCCGGGGCGGACAACGACCGGGAGCGGGAGTGAGATGATGAACTGCTTTGATTTTTTCCCCTTCTTTATTCTTTTTTTGTTATATTGCGTGGCACATCTGTGGCTTGAGACAACCTCTGATGGAGTACTTTGGCTTTTATCTTTCACGGTTGCCGACTTGAGGATGGCGATATACTACTACCACTCTACATATGGCTATGACAGAACTCTCGACCCATACTGGGCGACGAACGACCATGGCCGGCACGACCTAAGGACGATGGGTCCTGGGATGATATCCCGAGATACTGTGCCGGCGCTGAAATTCATTAGCAATACGGTAGGCCTGCTGTGTCTCCTCTGCGTCGCATGTTGCTGACTTGGCTTAGAAGATTCCAGACAGAAGAAAATTGTTTTAATTAGACGTCGAGTATACTGGGCTCGTTGCTAGAATATATTCTGTGATATGGCGTGTCATGCGCTGGTTATAAGCATTTGCACGGTCTTCTTTTCTCTTTTCTATTACCTTTGATTCTATTGTTTCGTGATAGGTGTATCTTACATTCGGCCTGACTACCTTGTAGATCTGACCTTATCATACGGTCTGCTGTGGCAGGCGAGATATGTGAATGAGTAGATATTCCTAAAAATCGGCATCACCAAACACGAATTGAAGCATCAGACCTACTAAATTGAGGATTAGTTTTATGAACTATAAACCAAGTTTCCTCCTGACTTGGGTTAACCGGATTGAAGATTGACATATCTGACCCAACTTGGCGCATTCGCCATCAGCGGTTTGCGGCCGGAAGGAATTCCCCGCATTGGAATTTAAACCTGCCCGATTCTCTCAACCTCTTCGCTCTCTCCATCTTCTCCTCTTTCCTTTCCATCATCCTCCTGTGTGACCTCGATGCAGGGGTCAGAGTATTTTTCTGCATGACGGGACGTATCCTTATTCTTTCCCTACGTCTTGCCCCGTCCATTGGTGCAGCGCTCCTAGATCGCATTCGTTGATTCGATGGCACCGTGCATTCTTATCTTGGGTTGATTGCTTTCCTTGGTGCTTGGGAAAGAAACATAAAATAAAAAAACAGGAAAAGGAAAAAAGAAAAGGAAAAGAATCAATAACGAAAATACAAAATGACCTTATTTATATGGAGCATTCTTTGCATGCTCATCCCGACCAATGCGCTGGTACTGCGCTCTCAGCAGGTTCTCTCCCCGCACGCCCTGCCAGACACAACCTCAGAACAATTTCCTCTCTCTCCGACAGACGAGCCAACAGATACTGCGGCCGACCGCACCCGGCGTGATCTCCTAGATGCCCTCAATGTCATGCAAGATGAGTACTACGAATTGTGGCAAGGGACCTGGCCCACCAGCATCGATTGGACCGCCGCTGTTCTAGGCACGCACGTCTCAGCCACCCTGTCGTCGTTCACCGCGGCGGCAGATAGCCCACTGTCTCTGGAAATGGAGAACCTGCTCAATCGCTTCTTTGGTCAGATCTCGGCGTTCTATTTCGGCGAGGACGCCTTCTCAGTCCGCAACCAGGCCTTTGACGATATGCTCTGGATCGTGCTGGGGTGGCTGGAGAGCATCAAGTTCCAGGCCCTCCATTCCGACCTGCACTACGACGAATCGGCGGGGACTACTCCCGCCGGTGGACGCTGGTATGGGAATCAGCTCCGGATTCCCGCGGCTCACCGAGCGCGCCTGTTCCAGGAACTGGCGTCAGCAGGCTGGGACACGTCGCTGTGTGGAGGCGGCATGGTCTGGAATCCACGGCTGTCTCCGTATAAAAATGCCATCACCAACGAGCTCTACATCTCGGCCAGCGTGGCCATGTACCTCTACTTCCCGGGAGACACCATTGACTCGCCGTTCGTGGCGGATACGCTGGACCAGAGCGTCCACTCCGACGGGTACCCTCACCATCCCGCCCACCTGCAGGCCGCCATTGAGGGGTACAACTGGCTCAACAGCTCCAACATGGTCGGCATTGGCGGGCTCTACGCAGATGGGTTCCACATCAGCGGGTGGCAGGGCTCGAACCGGCCGGGGTCGCGCCGCTGCGACGTGCTCAACCCAATGGTATACACATACAACCAGGGAGTCATCCTCAGCGGGCTGAGGGGCCTCTGGCTTGCCACGGCGTCGCCAAGCTACCTGCAAGACGGCCACGAACTGGTCCACCGTGTCCTCCGGGCCACCGGCTGGTTCAACCGTTCCAGCCGGCAATGGGCGGGTCTCGGTCGCGGGGGAGTCCTAGAAGACGCATGCGACTCTTCGGGCGGATGTTCCCAGGACGGACAGACCTTCAAGGGCATCTTCTTCCACCACCTAGCCGAGTTCTGCCGACCTATCAACCCGCAGGAAACGCGCTTCCTAGCAAGCGCCAACGCGACCCAGCCGGACAACTCTGACTGGGAGCACATCTACGAATGGCACCTGCGCCAGTGCGGGAGCTACGGGCGCTGGATCGAACACAACGCCAATGCGGCGCGAGCGACGCGCAACGAGGAGGGAAAGTTCGGGACCTGGTGGGGCACACATTATCGCTCGTCGGAGACATCCACCGACAGCCCCCTGCCTTTTGGGGCAATCGACTACCGCAACTATGGGGAGCGAGCAGAGGGTTCAGAGCCGCTGGTCGGGGCCCTCCGTAGTCGCGTTCCGGAGGGAGATGGCGAGACCGCCATTGCGCCAGAACCTAACTTTTCCCACCGGAAGCAGCTCCGTTCTTTGACACCGTTGGAGGAGACCTCTCAGCCCATCTCCGAGACAGGCCGTCGAGACGCCAACGACCGCGGACGCGGACGCACCGTCGAGACCCAGTCTGGCGGTGTAGCGGTGCTGCGGGCGCTGTACCAGTGGCAGACGAGCTTGATGTAGTTCAGCATTACACCGATGCTCCCTTCTTTCTACTTCCGTCGCGGTTTTGTAAGGCGTTGTTGGAATAGTTTTAGTCGGTTGGTTGGCGTTGGATGGATGGATGCTTAGATATAGAGGATAGGTCAGGCAAGGATGGGTATTTTTAGGCAATTATAATATTCTTTCATTATATTATTCTTTCTTCATTTTCATTTCATTCCTATTCCTAGATGGAGATCTACTACTCCATCACGGTAGTATTTTTTTTGAAGCAACCTCGTATATGCCACCTACCCACCTAATATCTAGAATACTACTTAGAATACTACCTACCCCCTTCATTCATGCATGCATACATGGATTCATACATGCATATAGTCACTACAAAATAGCTGAACCAGGTTCACGGGCCCAGGAAGTAAGTAAGTAACAGTCTCGGAAGTGAGTCCTGAGGTAGGTAGTCCGAGCCAGCCACATTGTCTTAATTCTACCCTCTTTCTTTGATTTTCCCGAAGAATGAAGTGGATATATTTGAATAATTATGTATACGCTTGTTAACTATATTGGGTGGGTTGCGTGTTTGTAACAAGATATTGCATTTTATATGGACGGTGCTATGGGTGGTAGTTAATACGGCGTTGGTTGGCAGATAGGTACTACCTACCTAGGGAGGTAGGATTACTTTTCACTTTTTGTAAACTATATATTATTCCGAATAAATATATCCTTCTCTTACCAAAGGAGATAGCATTAGCAGTAGAAAAGATAATATCAAACAAGCAAAGTAGGTAAGAAGAAGAGAAGACAAATATCAAGAGAAGGGCAAAGCATACTCCCCACCACCTCCGCAAAAAGTACATACATACCACACCCAATACCCCAACCCACAACACTCAATCAATGACGTAAGAAGGGCAGGAAGGGAAGAAACACAAGTACGATGATGTAGAAGTGCAGCACTAGACTGGTGGGATTCAAGGCAAAGGCAGGGCTAAACTTAGCTTGTGCGTATATCATATCATATATATTATATCATATCCTACCTTATAATATACTGTAGTATGCGGCGGAGTAGTATAGTATACTGTAGTACGGGGTATACAGATACAGTATACACTTACTATACTATGTAATATATGTAGGCAGGCAGGTAGGTAGTCTATATCATCGTGCGCGAGATCAGCGGTTTTACAGTGGGGAATTGGATTTTGGGAGGGGCATTGTTCTTCGGATGTGAGGGTGGGGGTTCCGATGCAAGGTTAATGGTTTATTCCTCTTCTTATTTATTTGATTTATTGATTTTATGGTTGATGGTTTTGTTCGTGTTGCTTACTTTGAAGCATGGAGAAGGGGGGTGTGTAGGTTGCTTGGAGGCTGTAGTCTGGGTACACTATTCTGGGTTGAAGTATATCCATTGTGGGGTTGTGGATTTGATCTACTACATTACTGCTCCATATGTCATTGATCTGGGGTCGATTCTTTAGAGCGAGTATTGGAAATCATGGTTATGATTGAATAGTTGTTTAGACTGGATGGTTTGTTCATGGATATTTTCTCATCCATGCTTAGACTGACGTAGAATACTAACCTGCTACTACAGTAGTTGCATCAAAGCCATGCTATATTGACAACTAGTATAAACCACATCTCCTGCTCACTACCCCAAGATATAATTATCCTCCACCCATCTAGATATATAGAGTATCCACGACCAAATCAGATAAAACAGACAAACAACCTCTAACAGCCCTGCCAGTTGTTTGATATAGTACGTTTGAGCACGCGCCGCCGTAATGCGACCTATCCAATACCGCTCCTTACAGAAATACACCGACACTCCAACAACCGGACAATGCATTCTCTTGATTGACACCATCAACTATACACTCCTTACTACCTTATAGACACCAGACACCAAACCAGGCTACATTCCTACCCAACACCAGCCACCATTATAGCCTTGTGTATATAGCCAGTTGGACCAACAGTCGGAGTGACAGCACTCGGCCAGGTCACAAGCACAAGCACAGCACGCTTACTTCAACTCAACCAAAGAATTCAAGAGATGCGATGCTCGGGGGAGAGGAACGGATTTTACTGGTTTGTTTCAGCTGACTTGTAGCCTTGTAGACTGTCTGCTCGTAGATTGTCTATCTACTAACTGGACACAGAGACATAGAATGTGTTGGCGCGTGCAGGTCATCCGTCATATATGTACACCCTGATCCATTCATTCATTCCGTGTTCAAGAGTCGCATGTCCCGCCATCAGGGTAGTACATCTTACGTGCTAACAAGTACACCATCGAGTAACCGCCAGGATCTGGATAAGTCCTACACTACATTCTCGATCCACACACGATAGACACATAAAGCATATTTGGTGGACACTGCAAAATGCGGTGACGATCCCCAGCGCGGAAGTCCTCCCGGCGTTTCAACACGCTGTCTGGCATGCGCCTGCGCCTGCTCCTGCGCCTTGCGTGGGTTCAGACTGAGTTCACAGCTACAGTTTGAATGTCCTATTTAGTACTTATTACTTACCCACTCACTATTCAACTAGTACTTTGTACTTTACTACGTACACGGAGAGGCTAAATCCGGCGTTTAGCCACGGTGGGGAAGATCTGTTGAAACGAAGCTAGCGAGGGTCCGGAATGGGGCTCAATCAGGACTCGTCCGGTATGTCGGTGTAGATTTAATCAATTATTAGTCAGTTGTTGGGTACGGAGGGATTCCTTCAGTTGATTCACGAATGAAGGTCGAGAGACTCGAATGGACTAAGGCAGAGGACGGACGGGATGGGGATTGGTGACATGATGTCATTCGTCAGACTGTCCAACCTCTCCAATGCGAGGGAACCCCGATTCCGATGCAATAGTATGTTATTATATTATCTGCTTGTATATGTATATTTCATTTTTTTTATTATTCTCTTTTGCAAAAAAAAAGAAAAAGAAAAAGAAAAAGAAAAAAAGTAAGCTGATTCGGAGCCGCTTGGTCGCACAACGATCAAATCTCCGGGGGTTCTCTTAGTCAATGACTTATTAGTTAGTATTATGTAGGATGTACCACCTACTGTTCTCTTCCATCCATTCAAGAGCCGGACAGATCAGATATCATCACCCATGACGTGATGCTCATGTATGATTTCTTTTCTTTTCTTACATATATTCGATTTATTCTATTCCATCCTCTCTCTCTCTATTTATTGGAATCATTTGATTGATTAATTTATGGATGGATTCGTTGCTGTCGATCCTCCCCCCAAGTAAGAACGAAACAGTGGATCAAACCGGCAAATCAAGCCGTATGAAGAACCGCTTTGAGGGGAAAATTCTTCTTCTCGCCCGCGTTTCCATGGTTGAATCCCATGTGTTCTTCCCTTTAAAAGTAGTCCCTATTTATATTCCATAGAAAAAATAATAGAAGAAAAAACCCAGACTGGATATTGCAGCCGTAGTGTCACCGGAGAGAAGATGACGAAAAAGGAGGAGAGAGGAGAAGGCGTCTGCAGACGTGGATATGGAGACAACGCCACCGCAGAATATCATCCAGCCATAGGAAAGGGAAAAAAGAAGAGAAGATCGCCGTTATTTTTTGTTTTTTTCCTTCTGTCCTGTCCTCATGCTCTTTCCCATGCCCTTCCCATGTCATCAGACCGGAGGATCAGACCGACGTGGTTAGTCGAGGACTCCAGTTGACGGGGCTATGAGAGATGATTGGTATTGGGGGGGGGGGGAGACCCAGGAGATCGGCATTGTTCATCTTTTGCCTCTTTGGTTTTGTGTTCATATATTTTTGTTGGTTGATTTTGTATATTATTGTTGGTATTGTGATTTAGGGATTGTTTGGTTATTGTTTGTCGCTAAGATGCCAACCCACGGGAACGGATCATGCTGAGGATTCAAATAATATCCTCATCCTATATTTTATACCGTCTATCTATCTTATATCTGAGCTGATACCTTGTACCTTATACATCTAAATGTCTCTATACTAATACCATCAAGATAAAGGGATACAAGAATGAGACTGCAAGACCTCATGAGAGAAGAGATAGATGCCGATGAGGATTTGCCGCGGTGGCGGCAGAGCATCCTCGTCCCTTCCGTCAGCCCAGCGTACCGAGGATCCCTGATCCATGTTATATTATCATAATAATATAAGGATGATGATAATACTATTAGGATATAGAAGTATTCTATGGACATACTAGCGGTATGATGAGGATCATCGCCAATTTCCCACATCCTCGGCTGGTGGTTGGTGGTAATGCAGCCCGAGAGGGAGAGAGGAGGGAGAAGGAGAGGGACTAAGCGTCCTTGAAGGACCTCCACCAATCAGGAGAAGAATAGAGCGAGACTAAACTGGAGACCGATGGAAGAAAGAAGCTTGAAAGAAAGGGAAAAAGGGAAAAAAAAAGGGAAAAAAGGGTAAAGAATCCCCACAATTCCCAACACACCGAAGTTTGACGGATACGTGCGTGGAATCAGGCATACAGACGGATACCATATAGAATACCATCTGGAATACCAGACATAATACCAGATATATGGAGGTGTTGAACCCTCCGCGGTGGCGGCCACGAGTTTGGAGCCACACTTTGATTTATATTTTATATTTTCATGATTATTTTCATGATTATTCTCATTCTTGATTATCTTGATTCTTACTTTGTACTGTTGATTGATTTGTATGAGGATGAGTTTGGATCTCTTGGATATACTTTGTTCCTGATACCGTATCTGATACTCCATACGGCAAGGGTTCCTTTCTCCTGATTCACGATCAAATGATGGATTGGGATATCCATTCCATCCATCATGCGTCATTACATCTGAACACGATCTGAGATATTATAAGGAGGTTGAATATATGGAAGATAATAAAAAAAAAATACAAAATAAAATAGAAAAGAAGAAAAGAATGAAGACTAGTCCACCACGAACTATTATTTCCTTAGTTTCTCTCCACCAGTCATCACACACACCTTTCTCTTCTTTCCCCTCTCCTTCTTCCCCTCCTCTCTCTCTCTCTCTCTCTCTCTCTTTCTCCTTCTCCCTCTGATCCTCTCTGGACTTGACTGACTTCTCTCCCGTCGCGATCTCTCCCTCTCCCTGATTTCGACTTCTTCTCTCTTCCTTCCTTCGACCGCCTCATTGTCTTTTTTTTTTTTTTCTTTTTCCGGTCTTTCCCCCTCTTGCTCCCTTTAATCTTCCCTTTAGATCGGTATTGAAATTACCTGGTAGTTGTCCCTGATTTCCTACCCGGGCTCCTTTTTTGTTTTATTTTTCTTTCTATTATATTCTTTTCGCCCTTCGCTTGCCCGCTCCCTGTTTTAGTCTGTCCGTTTTCGGGATTTCCTCAACAACGCCCATTTTACCGCTGCAACCTGGAGCTTTTCTGGAACCCTTCCCGAACCAGTTTCAAGACAATAGGATTCCTTCTCCATATCCTCTCCTCTCGTTACCAGAAAAAATAATCATTAAAAATCACTTCCACCTCGACGGATTCCTACTCACGTTGGATTTCGATTCACGTCGGAACACTACACTACTCATCCTCCCCCCTCCTTGCCCCCACACGCCTCTGGGAAATTGCGTGGTCTCGAGGATCCGATCGGTCGCCTTCTCAACTCCGCCGAACACAACACTCGCTCTCCTCTTTTGACACCATCTTTTACTTTTTCACCTGTTCTGCTACTTTCTTTTCCGGTGAAATCATTCTCTGGTTTCCTGTGGACGACTAGTACTACCGCTATCGGATCGCCTTCTTACCCCCTCTCCCCGCCGACGACACCATCTCCGTTCAGGCCACCATTCCCTTCGGGTTCCTTCCCCCCCCCTACTTTATCCCCGCCAGCTACCTCCAGCGAAAACACAGATCTCCCATCTGAACGTCTTCGCTAGAGGTAGATCGCCAGCAGTCGATCTTCGTGTTGGACAAGGAATAAACAAAAGAAAAGGAAAAAGAAAGAAAAGAACAGCGAAAGGACAATCACACCAGGATTATATCGAAAAAAAAAAGGGGAAGAAAACCCTCCGTGGCTGGTGACTCCCGCAACGGTTCCTCCCAACTCAATTTCGACTGTCAGAGCACCACTCTCCAGAACGAACCACTGGTCCGCCTGAATTCTACCGCAACGCCACCACCTCTTAGACATCATGGCGTCGACGTCAGACTTGCACGGATCCTCTCCCGTTCCAACCTTACCCCAACCCAACGATAACGGTCGCTCCCACATCTCCTCCATCTCCTCATCCTCTTCCATCTCCGACGCCGAAACCGAACGAAGAGGTCGCTCAGAGCGTCCTCGCATGGCCAGTCGGAAACCGAGCGCTTCCATACTAGTCCCCCGAGATCACCCCGAGATTGAAATCGAAGAGGAGGAATTCCCTCCCGACGACGCCCGCGCTATGAGTCCCCGACGGAACTCGGCCGACCTGGAGCGACTGGGCAAGGAGGCGCGACAGACCTTGCAAGAGTAGGTCCCCTCTCTCTTCTTCATCTGTCTCATCATCCGCCTCTCGATACTGACTATCACAGACAAGCCAAGGCCCTCCAGTCTTCCCTCCAAGCCCTCGCCGAACGCATCGATGCCGTCAAGTCCGACCACGATAAACTAGAAAGTGAAAACAAGTTCTTGCAGGATTACATCGGTGGTCTAACCCGAAACATGACCAAGAGCGACATGACCCGACCCAGCACCAAAGTTAAGAAGTCGCAGAAGTAGACGCGCCCCCGCCCCCAGTCCCGTTTGCCGGATGCCAGCACGGTCGGGATCGTGAAGCATGTGCCGCATCGAACTCCTCTCGACCGCTCGGTCTTGATTTCGTTTTCTTTCCTTCTCGCCCCTTTTTCTTTCTCTCCTTTTCTATTTTGGGATGGAGACGTTCCTCCCATGGGATCCTCCACTGTGGCCAGATCATCCGCCACACCGCAGCATGTCACGCCAACCATACGCAGCGGCGGAAAGTCGAGTACCGCCGGAGATCATGGAACGGCGGAAGCGGAGGTGCAGCGACGGGACGACTCCGCGCTACATCCCTCCACCGATCCAATCCCGATGCGCTCTGTATCGTACGATGAACCTCGCCCCGTCTGCGCCGATCTGATGAGGCATGATCGTGCTTGACATGACACATGACATGGGCGGATATGACATCATGGCGTCGGCCCATCTAGCGGTGTGATCAGCTGCCACCAACAGCCAACCATCCATGACCGTGATGACCGGTCTCGCAGATGAGAACCGTGACGGCGCCGACACGTGACACCGAGTTGGGGAAACCGATCCCGCTTCCACTGTCCATATTGATAATACCCTTATTCGCTCCTTGTCCTTACCACCCTTTACCTTTTTTATTTTTTTTTTCTTTCACCCCCTCTCTTTCCACCGTCATACTGGAGGGCCTTTTGTATTTGTGGCATAGCACGCGTGGCGTTAGGATGGGGATTCCCCTATTAGACTTGTTTGCCATTTTTCCTTCCCACGCTTTTTGATTGATCCATTTGCCTCAAAGAGGGTAGCTGAACCTCAGTCTCTCTCCCGGCAGCAACCCGCCCTACGCCAAATCAATCAACATCCTAGGGGGCGCATTTGTTTGAATCTTTGATTGTTTTCGTTTCATGGTCTGCAAAAAAAGAGGGAGGGCAAAGCATTTTCCGGAGCAGCCGATCTGGTTTTTTGGTCTTTGATATTTTTTTTTCTTTTCTTTTCTTTCTCATGGATTGCTACTGTCAGTCATCCATGGTATGTATATTGGGGACTCGTCCTGGTCCGACAGTCCATTTTGTTGGTTGTACGGTTGATGGTGATTGTGGGTGGTCGAGGTCGGATCTTGGTTTGCTCGGAAGACATTTGCTTTGAATACCCCGATGCGAGAAGTAGCAGACGAATGCAGGATCATCATACTTTACTACTATTCTATCGTACTGTGTAGACCGTAAGTCATGTTTATATTCTCTTTGTCTGGACTGCGTTGTTATTGTCCATAGATAGATATAGATATAGAGGTCTGGATACTGCCTAGAGATGGGTACCCCTATCAAAACCTTGGAATCAATTCATCAGGATTATATGTGATCAACACAATAGTCATATGTCAAGTGTGTAGTCATTGTTACAGAGAGTGTACATTAGCTATGTATTTATCTAGATGTAGAGTTACCCATATTTTCACTCCTCCACTCCTCCATATCTACATGTATTATAATGGACTGACTGACTGACTGACTGAACGACAGATGCTTCAAAACATAACCTTCACTATTCTAGTTTATCATGACTATTGTATCACTGTGTGTATATCAAGTATGGTCATAGGAAGGAAGTGAAGAAGTATCAGTCTGTTTGTCCTACTATCTGTCTCTCGCATTTCTTTCTTCCTATTCTACTGCCTAGTAATTACTACTACATACTAACCATCTACTATATAGTATATACCTACTACCTACTACCTACTACCTACTACCTACTACCTACTACTTAGTTACTAGGTACTTCCTACCTCTACTCAATTGGTATCTAGTTAGTCACTAACTAACTACCAGGCTACTTACTACTGATCAAATCGGTCTCCGATAATAACAATGATAATGATAATAATGATAATAATAATATACTACTCATAATAACAGCCATAGTAAATAGTATCAGTAGTGATAGAATATGTCCCCCTAACCCAAGTCCATATACACACACACATACACCCACTCACACCCATACTACCTACCTACATAGATAGTACTAAGATACCTACCTACCTAGGCAGGCAAACACCCACGTGTCCTCATTCCAACCACCCACCAAACATACCAAATCATATCCACTCACAAACAAACAAACAGACAAGAATGAAAATCATGACATCACTCAGTCAATAATAATAATAATAATAACAATCATATAGATTGTCCAAGGCGGAGAAAAGAAAGAAGGATCGTCGCGACGCGCCGCCGCATACGTCATGTCTCAGGTCGGGTGGCAGGGGTCTCCATCATGGATAGAGGCTGGGGTGGACGGGGCTGAGCGGAGTGGATCTGGATCTGATCATGTTACACGGCGATTACGAGGTCAACTACTCTAAGCAGATCCTATATTTTGAACTTGTTGATCGCCACTGTTGCCGGACTGTAGATCTAAAAGGAGCTTCATGGGTAAGGGCAACAAACGCCGTGCGTGGCACCGGCCATTAAGAGGAAAAAACCAAGTCAATATCCGTGACAAGAAAATCGCCCGGGTCTTTAGGTTTAGATAATTTCACTGGGGTGAATGTGTGAGTCTGTTTAATAAGGGAAAGGTACTCTTTGGGTAGTTGAGGCAATAGGCAAAATGGAGATAAAAAAAGGAAAAGGAAAAGGAAAGGAAAACGCAAGCGAGAAAGAAGATGAACCACAGGCAAAAGGGGGATGACTCGATAGCCGTTCACGGGAGCCAAAGTTGAGTCGGGAAGAGATGAACGAGACTCGCCCGACCTTCCGTCAAGACACCGCGGTGACATGACAAGCCCACGGGTCTCGTTCCTCCTCCCCAGACACAGGCCCACTCGCGATCGGGGTCTCCCTCCCATCACCTGCGATGAGGCGCGACGCCGTCATCTTTTCTTTACTCGGCGGCGGGCTTGTCGGCCTCAGCAGCCGGGGCCTCCTCCTTCTTCTCGGCGGCCGGGGCGCTGGACTCGGCAGCCGGCTCAGCCTCCGACGAGGTCCAGAGGGTCTAGAGGAGGTTAACACGAGCCTGAAGTGAAGGTCGCGACAGGGGCGGGGGGTTCTTACCAGGTTGTCTCTGAGGAGCTGCATGATCAGGGTGGAGTCCTTGTAGCTCTCCTCGCTCAGAGTGTCGAGCTCTGCACGCCGTTAGTTCCATGCTTAGGACACGAGCCAGGAAAAAAAAAAAAAAAGACATACCAGCGATGGCATCATCAAAGGCCAGCTTGGCGAGGTGGCAAGCCTGATCGGGAGCGTTGAGGATCTCGTAGTAGAAGACGGAGAAGTTCAGGGCCAGACCCAGGCGGATGGGGTGGGTGGGGGCAAGGTCGGTCTGGGCGACTTCGGTCGCGGCTTTGTAGGCCTCGAGGGAGGCATCGGCAGCACCCTTACGGCGGTCGCCGATGGCGAACTCGGCCAGATAACGGTGGTAGTCACCCTTCCTGTAGAACAAACACATCAGCATACGCGTGCGTCAGGGGAAAATAAGTCGGAAACGTACATCTTGTGGTAGAAGACCTTGGACTCGCCGCTCTGGGCCGAGGGGATCAGGTGCTTGTCAAGAACCTCGAGGATGTCATCGCAGATCTTGGCGAGCTCGGCCTCGATCTTTTGACGGTACTCCTTGATGAGGGAGACCTGAGACTCATTGCCCTTGGACTCCTCTTTTTGCTCGATCGAGGTGACGATTCTCCAGGACGCGCGACGAGCACCGATGACGTTCTTGTAGGCGACGGAGAGGAGATTCCGCTCCTCGACGGTGAGCTCGACACCGGCGGCGGCAACGACCTTCATGTTCTCGACCATCTCTGATGATGGTCAATGCGGATTCTGGGATGGATCGCACGGTGCAAACGAACCTTCGTAGCGCTCGGCCTGCTCGGCCAGCTTGGCCAGGTAGACAGCATCTTCGTGACCCATGGTGAAAGTGAAGTCTGTAGTTGAGGGGATGATGTTAGTGACAATCCGACGATCCGACCGACGTGTACGGGACTGGACGGGTTGTGGTTGGGAGAAAAAGGGAGAGATCAAGATCGAACGGGGTAAAAGATAAAATCCAGGTCAAAAATCGGCCTCGACAGTGGAGAGTGAAGGAAACAGAAGCGTGAAGGAACGCGATCAGTCACAGGGTAGCGAGTGAGGCTGTGAGGGAGAGAGGGAGAGGGAGGTGGGTTCACGGGACACGCAGCGTATCCTCGATTCGCCCTCCTTATCTCGACCGCAGCCCGACCACGCCAAACGAATGGACCTCGAGAATCGACGAGGATCTCTTTGCCAATCCACCCGCGTCACCGGCACCATTCCGAAACCACGGATGGATTGTAGGCAGTTCGCCCCGACGTTTTCTCGAGGGGAGTCGTCGTGACCTGTGCCGCGCGGATGATGGAGGGGGAGAGGGGGGCAAGAGCAGTCATGAGGGCAGACAACAACACCCGACAATTCCATCCATACCAATCTTCTTTAAATATGTTTATGTGTTGGTGAAGTAGAGAAGAGCCCGACAAATTGTAGATAAATTTTTTTTTTTTTTTGCGGGAGGGGAAAAAGGGAGGAAGAAGAGGGTTGAAAGGGTAGGGGTCAGGCCAGTGAGGTGATTGGAGGGGAAGAGGGAAGAATAGCCAGAAGGAGGAAGAGGGGAACAGGGTGGAAAGGAAGAGAAAACGGGGGGGATTGTCAGTGACTTACCGGGAGGAGACGGTTGGATTGAGGGGGGATTGTTGGGTTTGGAAAAGGAGGTTGAACGGAGAAAGAGATGTGGAGGTTGAAGATGGGAATTTAACTGGAGGGAGGAGGAGGAAGAGAGGAAGAGAAGAAAAGAAAAGAAGAAGAAGAAGAAGAAGAAGAGAAGAAGAAAGATGGATTGGAGAGGTGTAGTTTAGTAGTTGACTTGGTAGATTTAGTCGGTCTCGAGGAAAGAGGAGGGGGAGCCGTACCGGCCAATACCGAATTACACAATACACTCCCTTATACCTTTCTGTACAGATACACCTATGTATCTACTCAGGTAGAGATCACAATACTCCGCCAACTGGTCTCGATAATGACATCCCTAGGGTTAGCCACGCCATCATTCCTCCCTATCCCAGTATCCCTTCATCCCACTTCCTAATAATAACCATCTTCCGTAGACAGGATCATTCTATCAATAATTCCACAATATTCCCCCACCCGGACCAGCTGACTAGACTGGATTAGACCCCTGAGACTATCCATTTCAATCATTCATCCTCCTTACCAGAAACCTCCCCAATTTGAGCGGCGGTTTGTGTGGTTCGGTGGGCCACCCATCGTCATCCCTATTTCGCCCTCCACCAATCGTCCCTCTCCCTTTGAGATCCCACCTTTCATTATCCAGAAGGGTCTTGTCCATCCTTTCACTAGATTCAGGATGGAGATATACATTATCCACATCATTTCCCATTTCCCACCCTCGTGGCATCTATTGAGTAGAGGTCTTTTCTTCCGTCCCCATCTCCATCCCTCTCCCGGATCGATTCAGTCTGATAAATCTGAATCAATGACGAATCGCTCCAAGACGGGACCGGGAGGAAGGCGGTTCCACGGTTGTCATTCCGATCTCCAAGCCCGTCGAGGATATATCGAGATCTCCTTTTCGACTCCATATGGATGATTTGTCTGATCACCAGTACTAGGAATAGACGTCCAAATCCTTCAGTAGTGTATTGTCGGTATTGTCGGTATTGTCGGTATTGTCAGTATTGTTGACACGGTAATTTACACCATCAATCACCTGACCAACCATAGATGAGTCATCATCCCAGTCTGACATCACATGATGTCGTCATACGGTCTCGATCATTACTGCTACGACTACCAGGTAACAAGGGAACCAGTAGAATGTGCTAGCATTGCAAAGTACTTTCCCATACTATTAATACGCTCTGGTACCTCCTACCTTACCTTGCTGCTCTCTCCAACCCCTCTTGCAATCCATCTACCTGTCTTACACCACTCTCTACCAACATCCTATCAACCACCACCCACCTACCTCTCTCCAATTCATCAACTCAATCCCACAACTGGAACAATGTTGCGCCAGGTCTCTCGCCCTCTGTCCACCGCCAGCCGCTCCCTCCGCTTGTCCAGCCGGTCCTTCTCTGCCGTCGCTCCCAAGATGGCCGCGGGTGATACTAGCGGTCCTGCGCCTACTGCCAACCGGTGCGTCCTCTCTCTCTCATATTCATCCCTACTTCGTTCGAAGTCTATATCAATCAATCGATAGATGCAACAATTGACTAACGCGTGTTATCATAATAGGGACTCCTTCGGTCGCCGCGAAGCCGCCGAGGAAGCTGTTTATATCCGCCAGCATGAGCTTGAGAAGTACGTTCTTCATTATCCATCCATCATCCTTATATACTGTCCTATCGCTTTCATACGGAATATACACACCCGAAAGGAAGCATGCATTGAATGCTGCATGTGCAGAAAATAGTACACGTCTGACTGACTCACTCTATCTGATAGACTCCGCAAACTGAAAGAATCCGTCTCCGAGCAGCGCAAGCACCTTGATAAGTTGGATGAGCATATGTATGTTTACCTTTTCATCTCTCAATGTATTCTGATCCATGAAGCGTGCTAACTGATTCGTGCAGTGACACCATGACCAAGGAGCAAAACGAGAAGAAATAATTCCGTCGATGATACCTGCCTTTCTAGGCTGATGTATTTTATGAATATCACCCTCTCTTTTTAGTCTTGACTTGATGAAATGAATTACTACTGCATATTATCTTCTCCCTTTACTATCTTTACTATCTCTACTATCATGGATGGAATAGATTAAGGAGGGTAGGAGGAAAAGAAGAAATGATGAAAATCGTATCAAATCCATTGCACAAAACAAGTAAACACCACTAGCATAGCATAAAACTCAAAGAAAAATAATATCAAACCAGCCCATCGTTACATCCCACATCCAAACAGCAATCAATCGCCATTATTATCTGTATCTGTAGAAACGCCTTCCACTACCTATCAACCTCACCGACGACCCATATAAGACCGGTAAAAGTCATCCGCCGCACCGCCGCCACTGCCACCGCCCATGCCCATCCCGCTGCCGCTGCCCATCCCCGAGCTGCTGAAGCCGTGCCCGAACCGCGACGACATCGCCTGTCCGGCTTTTTGCGCCGCGGCGACCTTGGTTTGCAGGTCGGCGGTGCCTTGGTCGATGACTTGGAGTTGGGAGAGGTGCGAGTTGAGGATGCGGACGATTTGGGAGATCTATTTTAGTAGTTTTTGTTAGTTGTGTGGTTATATCAAGGGGGAAGGGATTGAGGGAGGAAGAGGGAACGTACAGGCTCGTCGGCCTTGTTCGTCTTGCTTAGTGTGGATGACGCCCCGTTGACTTCTTCGATCATGCTCGTCAGATCCTTGCCCACGTCGTCGAGGCGCTCGGAGAGTTTCTCCGCGAGTTTGTAGCTGTGTCTTGTTAGTTTACCTATACATTATAATTTGGAGAGAAGGAAAGGGAAAGGGAACGTACGTTCTCTCCCGCTCCTGGTCCGGTCCCTGAAGCGTCTCCCCAGGACCAACCTGTTTCGACATCATCTCGTCCACTTCCCGCTCGTACCGATCCAGCCACGAGCCCAGCTCCTCCTGCTGTCCCTCGACGGACGCCAGCTGCCGTTCGACCTCTTGCGTCGCCCGCTCGGCGTCCACCGTGCTACCGTACAGCTTCTGCACCTTGGTGCCGTTGTCCACCAGCATGCGGTCCCACTCGGCGACTTTCTCCGCCTGCTCGCGGAAGTCCTTCTGGTATTTGGTCAGGTCCGTGGCCCACCGCGTGATGATCTCGTCCATCGTCTTGTTCTTCAACCGCGATTGAGTCGGGGGTACCGGCCCGGCGGTGGACGCACCCAGGCCGCCGTTGCCGCCGAACGGAGCCGCGGGAGTGGACTTCTCCTCCGTCCCTGCAGGTTTAGCGGCAGTAGACCCCGTCGCGGCGGTGCTGGAGGGCTGGCCGGTTGCGGCGCTGGCAGCTGGTTTGCCGAACATCCCACCGGCGGGGGCTGCAGGCTGGGTGGCAGGTGCCGCGGTGGTCGTGCTGCCGGGTGCGCTGGTCTCAGTGGGCTTGGCGCCGCCGAGACTGGGAAAGAGGCCACCCGTAGGAGCAGCGGCGGGGGTGGACGACGGCGCGGCTGACGAGGTAGACCCGCCCATTGCCGGGAAGAGGGATTTTCCGGCAGTAGCGGAAGACGCGGCCGGGGCCGCCGAGGACTTAGCGGTCGAGGCCGGGGCATTTAAGGAGAATGCGGGTTTACTGGCGGAGTCCGTGCCAGAGGACGGCGCGGGGAACAAAGAGGATCCCTGCGTAGAGGGCGCAGCACCCGCACCTCCAAACAAAGGCTTCGACGCAGGGGCCGCAGACGACGTCGGAGTCGTTGACTCCGCGGGCTTGTCCTTATTGGCTCCTCCAAAGAGACCACCGCCGGCGGGGGCTGCTGGGGTCGAGCCAAGCGATGGCTTCTGCTGTGCGCCAGCTCCGAAGAGACCACCGCTGGCCGCTTGAGGCTGCGACGCTCCTCCAAAGAGCGATGGGGTGGTTGACGACGTGGTAGCGGGGGCAGAGGGGGTGGTCGATGAGGATGTGTTCGCGCCCAGACCTCCAAAGAGGCCACCCGGTTTCTGTGCGTTCGCGTTCTGTCCGAAAAGCGACGGTCCCTGAGCACCGCCGGTGTTGCCCAGTGGCGGAGGTCCGGCAGGTGTGGTGGAGGTCCCCCCGAAAAGCGTGCCCCCAGACTGACCGGGCGTGGCGGAGTTACCTCCGAAAAGACCACCTGCTGGCTTCCCGGCATTGCCAAAGAGTGTACCCGAGGACGCCTGCCCGGCAGCAGGGGCTTCGCTCGGCTTGTTGGGGGTTTGCGATGCATTGTTTCCAAACAGCGACGTCGGAGTGCTGCTCCCGGGTTGATTCTGTGTTCCAAAGCTGAAGGACGACGCGGGAGAAGCCGTTCCACTCCCACCACCACCAGCACCGCCAAAAAGCCCAGAGCTCTGTTGTGCTGGAGCCGCAGCATTTCCAAACGGCGAAGGTGCGGAGCTTCCGCCCGTCGAAGCTCCTACATTTCCGAAGAGTCCTGCGCCGGACCCTGCACCAGTGTTCGTTTTCCCGGCAGTGCCGAATAGACCGGCCCCAGAGGCACCGCTCGAAGCTGGTGGATCGAAAGAGAACATGTTGGACATGATGTGAAGTAGCGAGCGAACTAAATGGTGAAATGAATCGGGCTACCCTAGAGACCGTTAAAAAAAAAAAAAGAGCACAACAGAAAGAGAGTCGAGAAAGGATCGGAAGAAAAATCTATGCAGGGAGTTGGAATTGGAGAATACTTACTGCGCCCAGAGATGCGATGCCCGAGAGAAGATTGAACAGGCAATTCAAGGACGAAGAAAGGATTGCGCGCGATCTTCCACCCAAGAACAAATGATTATCGACAGCTGAAGAAGAGCAGGAAGAACAACAATTGATGGAGCGGCGCTTGGCGCGGATGGCGGCTAGTGCTGACTGCCTCAGGCAGCGACAGGGGCCTGAGTGTACACGGTGTGCTCTGCCTCAGGCAGCGGGTTCGAGACTCGCATCGAACCCGACCAGATCAAGTGACCGTTTCATGCTTGTTCTCCCATCCCATCCGTCCTATCTTTAATTTGCCCCTGCTGGCCCGCGGTTACTTGTTGATCGGGCTGTCTACATGATTTCTTTGTTCGCTTAAACTTATTCCTTCCTCATGTCGGAACGGCCGTCCCGTCCATCCAGTCCACACTTGGAGGTTCCCCCGAAAGGCGTGGAGTTGGAGGATCCCGGGACTCAGGACTCAGGTACATCTTCCAGCACGGCCGACAGCTGGCATGCCTACGAGGCACAGGGGTGTCAATTGGGACTAGCTACTAAGTCTTCTCCTCTCTCTAGTGAACAATAGTGACGAAGAACACTTCTCAGACGCTAGCGAGGGCCGCGAACGATCCGATTCACAACCGCTGTCCGATCGTGCATCCCCTGTCCCGCTGACTCGGGTGGAAAGGGTCGACGATAATCCCGCATATGGCGAAGTCCCCGGAACGTCCGCATACGAAATAAGGGAGCGGGATGCAATCCCTGATCAAATCGAGGTCATCCCCGAAGGGTCTCGTAGCCGAAGTGCTTCGACTGCGGGGCCGTCCCGCCGTCCGTCAGATGCCGGGGAATCCGCCATCCCCCGGACTGTGGTGGAAGTAGTCAATCCGGATGAGCCGAGCCACGGGGACGTCCCTGGGACCTTGGCTTATGAACAGCGCAAAGCGGATGCCGTCCCCGACGTGGTGATGACTACGCCTGGCCCCTCACCGTCACTCAGCCCGGAGTCAAATGCGGCCGATGTGGAGGTCCCTGAAACGGTGCTCTCGAGGGTAGATTCCTCTCCCGAGCAGGACGAATCACCTCACCCGCGGGCTCATCAAAGAAAACCAAGCGATGCACTGCCAGATGTGACGGAGACGGTCCCAGATGCACCAGGTAGGTTATACCCTTTTGCGGCGGCCTCAATGGTTACGGGCATTGACGAATCCAGACCCGCCATCCTCACCACAGCTCGTTTCTCAAGACCATGATGAACCTGAACCTTCCCCAGAAGGCGACAATGAGACAGCGGATGCCGAGCCCGCAGACGAATTTGATGACTTCGCCGAAGAACAGGAGATGGGCGAAGATGACTTTGGGGACTTTGATGACTTCGATGACGGCTTCCAGGAGCCAGAGCCGGTCCCTTCTCAGCCTCCCACTCCACCCTCCGTTGTGAGTATTCCAACATAATACGCTGGATTGCTACTGGTCAAACCGCATATGCTGACAGGGCGCCCGCCACAGCCACCATTATTAGACTTCGACTCACTCCAATCCCTCCCCGACCTATACGCCGCTCTGGACGAACCCCTAGACCACCTATTCCCCACCACAAAAGAAATCGCATCCCTCCCCCCAGTAGAACCGATCCAGAACTCCTCCGCCATCTTCAACACCGAGCGCTCCCTGTCCCTATGGTCGCAGCTGGTCGCACCTCCCCCACTGCAGCCCCAAAACTGGGTGAAATCGCGGATCCGCCGACTCTTCCTCGTCTCGCTCGGCGTCCCCGTCGACCTAGACGAGATCCTACCAGCCTCGAAACAAAAGAAGCTGGTCCTCCCCTCAATCAACACAGGCTTCGAACCACGACTCTCCGGCAACCACTCACGCTCAGGGAGCCGCGCCCGCGGCTCTCAACCCGACAGCCCGTCCACCACCTCGCGCTATCGCACATCCCGCCGACGAGAACCATCTCCTCCGCCCGAACTCGACCTCCCCTCCGTCCACCGGCTCTGCGCCACGACAGACGCCGCCCTCGACGGAATGACAGACCCGGAACTGAAGGGCCACGTCAAAGAAGTCGAACAGGTGACGCTGCGCGCCAGCTCCGTCCTCGAGTATTGGCTCAAGCGACGGGACGGTCTCGTCAGCGAGAAGGAAGCCTTTGAGGGCGTGATCGAGAATTTGGTCAGTCATGCCCGACGGGTCCGAAAATAATTATAATGTACAGAAAGAACCTTTATGAATTTCTACTTCTTGATCCCCTTCCCTACTGGTAAAGCTCCAGTTGGGAGGGGGGAGTTATTAAATATATCTTTTTTTATTCAATACACTACTGCTACTTTTTTTTTTTTTTTTGTTTTGTCTGGCATGGCTGGATCCTTTAGATTGAATTGGCTTTTGTAATCACCATACCAAATTGATTGTCAAGCATTTCCTTTGCTACAAATGAAACTGAAGATACTGATTATTGATGTATTTATCGTATTTGAGCGGAGATGTTGTTCCAGTCCACTAGTCATCTATCTCAACGGTCTAGGTTCTCTTAGACATCCCTTACTTGATCATCGGCTCCTTAATGGACGTCAGGAACGGACGCAGAATCGCCTTGGGAGGTAGTCCGCGCATATAAAAAATGATCAAAAAAAAATCACACGACCGACATAGTATTGTACAAAATGGAGATTAAGCAGCAGTCAATGAGTGAACAATGAGTGAACAAAAATGCGACCACAAATGGGCATCCACTTTCTTCCCAGAGACGGCTCAGCTCAGGCAGAAGCCGTGAAGGTCTGGTTGAGAGGGTGAGACGGAAGTCACCGTGCTAACGATATTTAACAAGCAATGTTACTAGTAGGTCTAGCCAAAAAGAAGTGGCTCTACCTAATGGAGGAGAGTCGCTTATTTCCGGTTGGAGCGTTGCATGCTGAGGATCTGGACCATGCGGATGAAGATGTTGAGGAAGTCCAGCTCGAGGCTGATGCTCTCGTTGACGACATCGCGGCGGACGAGACCCCTCTCGGCGAGGCGGGCGTGGTGCAGGATCTTCTGGATGTCGTAGAGGGTGAAGCCGCCGAAGACGGCGAGACCACCGTACAGCCAGAGCCTCTCGGACCACATCAGGGTGCGGGTCGCGGTGGCGGGGAGGACCAGAGGAGCGAAACCGGAGAGAGCGACGATGGTCACACCAGCGAGGAGAGGGCCACCCAGGTATAGGTACTTCTCCTGCTTAGCGGTGGCACCGACGAAAGCGATGGAGCCCATCATGCCGACAGTGTAGAGACCGGCGCGAGCGAGCAGAGCGGGGTGCATGAACATCAGGGGCGAGAGCAGCGCAGCCTGGGTGAGGTTGAACGCAGACCAAAGACCGTATTTGACCACATAGCTAGTTGCCAGGAACGTTAGCCAAATTCGTCCACGGGATAGAGTCTGAAGTACTTACTTGTCCGGCGAAGTGTAGAGAGTACCGTACATCGTGCCGATGCTCGCCACCAGACCGAGACCCATGACAGCCCAAGGGCTAGCGGACATCAGACGGAAGGACCATCCGTTCATGTGCAAAGCGCGAGCAGCAATACCGATAATACCAATACCAAGTCCAGTGTGCATGAAAGTCTCGTTCAGGAAGCTCCGTTCGTAAGCGGGCATGCCGCCATCCTCGCGGGTCTCACGGTTGAAGATCAAGTTGGTTACCAACACCGTGCCACCCACGATGGCCGCGCCGTACAGAAGTCGCTGGGAGAGATTGCCACTCGAGGCGTTGTAGGTCGGCTGCATGTACGTGCGACGGAAGGCATTCTGGAAAGTCTGTCTGGACTTTGCGAAGACGGAGGAGGGTCCAGCAATGGGCTTGGGCTGGCTAGGCTTTAAAGGCGAGTTGTGGATAAACCGAGTGGTGTTGTTGACGGTCTTGGGGACCTGACGGAGAGCCGTCGGGATAGCAAACGGGCGTCGCATGAAGAACGCCATGATTGCTGGACGATGGGAGAGGTGGATGAGATGGGTTGTTGAGATGTCGGAGAGACCGAGGAATATATTCAAAGCCGAGCCAGAAATGATGATGATATCAGTCATTAGTCATCGGTCTGCGGCTTTCCGTCTACGGCACGCCGAACTTTCGAGAAGCGCAATTTTGCATAAGTGACTCACAAATTACTCATAGTCCGTATCCGGTTAGACTGATCTCTAGTGGGGGAGGAGGGGAATTAGCATTCAATTGAGAACCCGATCTTGTTTGGAGAATCCATACGATAGATCACTTCTTTCACGATGTCTGCTCTCGACACTATCCACATTCCTCACCTCCCTTCGTCCATGCCCGTGCATGTGGCTCTCTACCGCGACGTCAAAAATGCGCCCTTTTTGCGCCAACAGCTGATCTCGGGGAATGGGGACTTTGAATATGCCCTTATCGATGCGAGCATGGTAAGAGGATAGAGCGATTCCAGATATACGTACAGAATTTCTTACTAGGACATAGGTTCTGTCAAGGACACACCTTCTCACCGCAGTCTTCCGCGCAGCCAACGACTACCTGAATGGCCGTCTGAAGTCGCGCAATATCCATTCGGAAATTGTGTTCTCCTTCAGTCCTACGAACAATGTGCGCCAGACACTCCTCTACTCTATTACGATCATGATCTTCTGACATTTGCAGATCGCCGATTCGTTTCGGAAGTTCGGTATCGCAGACACGACGACAGACTTGCTGGTGGTGAAGGTCTCCGTAACCCCCGAAATTACCCACGATTCCGTCGCAGCACACCTGAACCAATCGATCGAGGGTACCCCCGCGCCGTTCGACGACGAAACGCTCTCTGGAATCTCGGACGTTTCGAAGATCAAGAAGGTCTATAAGTTGGGAGCATTGGGCTCTTCGAACCCCAAGAAGGCGGCTGGTGTCGTTCAAGATGAAATGAAGCAGCTCGAGCTTTCAGTAATCGGGGCGATCACATTGCGTGGTGCGACGTGAACATCGGCCGTACTCGAAGCCAAATTCCTTGCCTTGGAGCTTTCCTGTGTACCGCACAACCCGGTCCATGGGTATCTGAAAGAGAGCCACTCTATGGACCCGTTGGGTCTCCCTTGGCTACACTTCCTCGATGGGTGTCCCTACCCTGCGTCCGGAAAAGTTGGCCACGGGGGATGACGGGTTAAAGCTGGTCGCGGGCTTGCTGGTACATATTGTGACGTTAGACGAGTTGCTGCTGGAACATGACGCAACCTAGATATGGATAATGTATATCGGTAGGGAAGAGAGGGAAAGACATTCCAGATGCGCCGCTCGTCTTCACAGACGGCCCATCACAAACTCAATAGATACATATAGCAGAGAAAGCATATCACTGAACATACCCAAAATGGCTAGCTAAAATACCTTGAAGCTGATTAGAATTATCATCCCAATCTGTAAATATAGATAAATGCCAACCGTTGCCCTGCCCACTATTGTCGGCTTCCCAATGCGGCAATACCGCAACTTTGCCAAGACATCGAAACCTGTGATCTCGACCCTTTGTTCCTCCATCCAAGTCTTACTTCACATCACCACAAACAGACCGGAAGACCAAGAAATGTGTCGCCCACTAGCTGGGTAACCACAGCATACGATATACGAGTCTCTTTCGCTTTACACGACCAGCGCTATCGGTGGCCAATTGTCGAACCACATCATGATCGATCGCGACCCGCCAACATGAGCGCCGCCACCGACGTTATCGTTGTCTCTTCTTCTCCAGAGCGCATACCCTGTCACACACCAACTGGGCCTCCAGCATATGACCCCGAGCGCTTATTTGGACTCTCTCCCCGAGAGTACTCTTCGCCTTCCGTACCGTCGCCATCGGAGCTCTTCCGAGCCAAATCGCAGTCCAGATTTTTCAGCACCAAAAACCAGGCGGATGGCGCGCGACCCGACGCAAACGAAATTTCTCGAGAACCCACGAACGCCGGAGAAGCGAACAAAACCGGACGGGAAACGAAATCGAAACTACTGGGGGTAGGGGAAAAGCGGAGGGGAAGGAAACCGAAGGTCGCTCGCGACGAACAGGATGCGCCTGCTGAGTTAGAGTCATCTGTTGCAGGGAAGAATGCGAACACTTCGGAAGTGAACACCGGCACGAAAAAGAAGCGATCTGTGGGCTCTAAAAAGCAAACCAAATCGGCAAATAAGACCCTCACTGGAAGAGTCGCGAAATCTGGCAGTGTGGCTACGATAGAACCTTTAAAGGCGGACTGCTGTCCATCGACTCCAAAATTCTCTTCAGAGCAGAAAGCCGCGGAGCAAACGGATGATTGGCAAAATGATGGATTGCAGCTGGAACCGGCGATGAAACGAAGGTTGGACTGGACGCCTGTCAAGAATACGACAAAGAGCGTTTGCGAAACCGTTGTTGAGTTGGAAGAGGTGTCTCATTCGGCCAATGATTCTGGTTTTGGAGGCCTAATCTCTGGCTATGGGTTCAATGGGGTCTCGGATACGTCTAGGGATACCCCTAACGTGGCTGAAGAGGCCGGACCGACCAAGCGGCGCCGGATAGAGGTATGTGCATTTCCCTTACTATCTTCCGATTATGCTAATTTTTGGGCAGCTTGTAGATTCAAGATGTCATCCTACGGCACTTCACGCATCGAACACTACCTCTGATAATACACCTACCGAGAGTGAAACACAATTTTCGAAGACGCAGAAACCCGAAAGGAAACGCAAAACAAAACCCAAGAAGATCACTACGCTCACAGGCCGTGTCACAGCACTGTATAATAATAGTGTTGCCGAATCTACCGACTCCGCATCCCAAGCAACACTAGATTCCGGGGAGGGCGCAGTGGCAACGAAACAGAATAGGGCCAAGTCTAAACGAAAGGGGAAAGCGACTTCGCAACCCCAGGAACCTCAATTCACTGTTCTCTCTCCGGAGGCGGCTGCAAAGTCTATCGAGGACCAGGATCTTGTCTTTGGTACCTGCAGTCAATTGGAGAGGGAAGAGTCGCCAGAGACGCTACGGGAGATGCAGGCTGCAATTTACGAGTCGGAGAGGAGTATGGCTACAGATCCTTTACCGCAAGGGTCGAGACCTGGTTTATCATCTAACACGATTACTCGATTCAACAACACAAAAAGCCTGTGGTCTATCGCAGCTAGGGACAGTGAAGGATCACTTGTTCAAGCAGAAGTTTTGGACATGGTGGATATGTCTGCTCTTTCGAAGAGCTCGAGAGAGAGCAACGAGGACAAATGTCCTGAGAAGAGCATTAGCAACGAACAAATAAACGACAACAGCAAACAGCACGCTGTAATCGAGCTAGAGACCGACAAACAAGTCCCGGTCGTAGACGCTGCTTCATCTACTGCGCCAACAACTATATTACCCCAAGAACCACAGATCTCGCAAGACAAACCACAAACACCTCAACTCCCCGAAACAAACCCTCCAATGCCGCAGTTCAACGCTTTTACAGATGCCGAACTCTCAAAGCAAATCACCTCCTACGGCTTCAAGCCGCTCAAAAGCCGCAAGAAAATGGTAGAGCTACTCCAGAAATGCTGGGAGTCCAAGCGAGGCCCTCACTCCAATGCCGATGATAAACAGCCGAATCCTCCAGCTTCACAAACTTCCTCATCCCAGCAACATGCGCCTGAGAAACGACAGCGGAAGACCAACACGACCAAAAAGACGAGCACCACATCCAAGGCAAAGTTTCAACCGCGTACCTCGGCCAAGTCAGCAGCAGTCAATGCTCAGTCTCAAGCCTCAGACCCAAAGGATAACAACCAGCCACCTAGCGTGCGCGCGTCAACCCCGGAAACAGTCCCACCAAGACGATCGTTTATCGACGTAGAAGAAATCGAAGACTCCGAAGACGAAGTCATCCCTTCCCCCCACCGTTTACAAGGCCGGTATACAACCAACCCCACCGAAAAAAAGCAACAACAATCTTTACCCATCACACCCCTCCCAATCAGCCCCTCAAAAGCCCACGCCACCTCATCCAAGACAGAAGCAGTTCCCCCAGAACTGTCCAGTCAAATCACAGCAGCAGTGCGCGCCCAAACCAGGACCCCAAGCCACAACGGACGTCTCACCTGGCACGAGAAGATCCTCATGTACGATCCGCTCATCCTGGAGGACTTCACAGCCTGGCTCAACACAGAAGGATTGGGGCTTGTCCATGAAGACCGCGAGGTCGGGGCCGGGTTCGTGAGAACCTGGTGCGAGAGTAAGGGGATCTGCTGCTGTTATCGGCGGTTAGGTAGTGGGGGGAGATGAGTGGGTGGGAAAGGAGGTCAGTGCTGGTTGTTGATCTCGCGTCCTGTGTTTATAATCGGTTTGGATTTGGGTTTGGGTTTGGGTTTGGATTGTGATTATCTTGTATTGCTGTTGGTGTTGGTGTTTCGAAGATCAGAGGGATTGGAGTTGGTAGTGTTAGGTTTGTATAATAGATATTGAGATACCCATATTTGTATAAGTACGAGAGGTGCATTTCGAAGAAAGAAAAGAACAGGATTGTTCTATTGGATACTAGCAGGTTACTATGCAAGGCATTGGATGGAAGCCTCTGCCTTACTCTCACTATGCCGCCGCAAAAAAATGAATATTAAATTCCAAGTAAATACCACAAACAACTCCATCAATGCTAAGCCCAAACCAAGAATCACCAAACCCCAGAGCAACCAACCCTATGCAATGCAGCACAAAAGAAAAGAAAAACAATACACCAGATGAAATAAAAATGCAAAAGAGAAACAAAAACAAGGAGAAAGGGAAAGGGAAATACCTAGACATTGAAGTAGGAGGGACGACACTCGGAACATCCCACCATATAGATATCTGGTAGTCCTAGTTCATTAGTGAGTTAGCCGCCAGGGTCTTCTCACTCACTATAGCATAGCATGGATCATAGCATAGCATGGGTAATCCCTCGGTATCCAAACCCAGGACAATCACGATCAGCGACGAGTCGGTCCTAGAGATAGCGCGTAGCACACATCATTAGCCAAACCAGCATCCCGCCCTCACCAGTCAGTCAAGAGCAAACCAAACCAGATTAAGAGAAATTCGGCATATCCGTCATAGACTGATCATCAGGAGAAGGCGCCATCTCGCCAGAAATCATCGGATCCTGACATCCTTCCCGGAAGGCACGGTCGACGAGTTGCTGTTCCTGGGCGTCTAGCGGAGTCTGGCCGGCGATGTCCTCGATTGAGAGAACCGGCTGGTTGGCGGGGTCGTGCTCGGCGAGGAGCAAGGCGTTGATGGCGTCGGGGTCGTGGAGGTTGGAGTTGGGACCGGCTTGCGAGAGGTCGAGGAACTCTGCCATGTCTAGGCGCCAGGGGCTGATTCCGCGCTCTCCTTGTGCGCCCGGGGAATTGGCCTGTTGGTTTGAATATCGTGCGTTAGTTACTCTTTTCTTTGGGGGTAGAAAGGAAAGGGGAGGGGGAGGGGAGCTTACGCCTGGCTGTCCGGGCAGGACAGATGTGTATCTTGAGAGCTGGCGGCGCAGGCTTTCATTCGTGTCTGTCAAGGCGTTGTACCGAGTCTGGAGGTTTTGATGCGATGCAACGAGGGTCTGGTGCGCCGCGAGGGCCTTCTGGTACTGGTTCTGGAAGGCCTGGTCACGGAACTGGGCCTGGAGGTCTTGGCTTCGGTTTTCCATGTCCTGGTCCAGCGCTGCCATGTTCTGGGTCGCCTCGAGGGCTCCGTACGACAGGACGAGGGCCTCGTGCTGGGCGTGAAGGTCATCGTATTGGGTTTGGAGGTTCTGGCTTTGGGCTGTCAGGTTCTGGCTCTGGGTTGTCAGGTTCCGGTTCGTCTGCTGCAACTGGGCGATCTGCTGCTGGAGGATGGCGATTCCTGCTTGGGGCGGGTTGGGGACTTGACCTTCATCATTTGCCTCGTCAGTGCGTCCTAGTGTATGCGTTGAATCAGAATCCTCACCATCGTCGGCCTGTTGTTGTTGTTGTTGTTGCTGCGGCTCGTCTTCGGAGTCTGAGGAGATCATGTTAACGTCAGTCACTGTTGCCTGTGAATCAACCTCGTCTGCATCCGATCCCGTGAGCCCTGTTTCTCCGTAGTATATAACCTCTCCGGTTGCTGGGTCCGTTACGGAACAGATCATCCCATCACGATTGCACCAATTGCAGCCTTCGGTGTCTATGATGCATCTTCTATTCGTCTCCTGTTGATTGTTAGTATTAGCGAACCACACCACCTATCCCGTGGGAGAAGAATGAAGGAAGGGAAGGAAGGAAAGATAGATGCATGCTTACCTCGCAATAATCACACGTAGGATCTGGCGTGGGCTGTCTCGTAGGCTGTTTCGTAACCTGCTTCGTAGTCTGTTTAGTAGGCCGCTTAGTAGGCTGTTTCGCAGTCTGCTTCGTGGTCTGCTTCGCCGGCTGCTTCGCAGTCTGTTTCGCAGTCTGCTTCGTAGCCACTTTCTTCCTCTTCACAGCCCTCTCAGCAGCCAAGCGTTCTCTCTCCGCGCGCTCCTCTTCACGAGAGAGCGCCTCATACAGCTGGGGAGGCTTTCTATCCCGTTCGCTTTTCCGAACGCCCTGCGGTCTCGCAGCAGCAGCAGCGGATTTAGCAGTGGGGTTAGTCTTACCTCCGCCAGTCGTGGTGGACTTTCGCACAACGGAACGTGCGTCTTTCGCGGGTTTCTTGGCCGTGTTTTCTCCAGCTGTTTTGGTTCTAACCTTGGGTGTTGGCATCCGGTTGGGCCGCTTTCTGAGGGCGTAGCCCTCGTTGTTTGCTGAGGAGGTTGGGACGGACTCTGAGATCGAGAGCCTGTACTCCTGGTCCAGGTTGGCTTGCTTGGCGGTGCGCTTTCTTGGGGCCATTTTGGAATTGCGGGTGTAACTGTTGATATAACTGTAAGTGTAGCGGGGAGTCTCTGACGGTCAACGTGGAGATGTGCAGATGGAGTCTTGTACTTAACTAGCAAAGTAAGATGCGGTTACTGGATGGCGAGTGTCGGATGCTGAGAGCTGATGCTTGATAATAATGATGATAGGAAGAGAGAAATCGTCGACAGGATAACCCATGTATTTATCCTCCTGACCATCGACGCTGTTGGCCATCGTTAACCAGAGTCGATCGTGTTTCGAGTTTCCATAATGACAACAAAGCGGTTTGAATCTGATGGGAGATGACTGGATCAAAGTCATTGTTTTCGACAACGCCGAGTGCGAGGCTACGATGGGATCAAGGGAATAATGGCATCGGGATTTCTTGGATGTCCTTTTGTTTCGAGGTATTGGGTCTTTATCATTGTTTGTAAAGCGAACAGGAACAAAGCGTCATTCGTCTGAAGGAGGTATACTCGTCTGCCGTCTTTGTTGGTTTGTTGTCTCCTTGTTGTTCAGACATTGGATTGTTGACTTGGATGATAGTGAAAGGGAGAACAAAAAAAACCACAAGAAACATGAATTAACAAAGGAAACAAAGAAGGATATCACTCTATGATCTTTGTTTCCCAAGAGAAATCAAAACCTGCACGCGTAGGTACACTTCTATTCAATTACGAGAGGTATCTCCAGTAACATAAAGAAAAAAGCAAGAGAAAATCTAAGATACAGAGTAAGTTGTCGAGGCCGCTTGCCTGTTCCGCCTCGACATGCAAAAATGGGAGTAATACAAAACCAGTCCTTGAACAATTTATGCTGCCCTTTCTATCTCCAGAGTCAAAACTCCTTCCATGCCCGAGTTCCCATATAGTACCCTGGATAGAAATCGTAAAAAGCGTCCCAATCGAACCCAGAAAGGAGAGAAAAAAGCAACCAAGAAGAGTAATAGAAAACGGTTAGATGTCGGGGGGTCAATGCAGTCCAGGCATCGAATGTGATGCAAAGCAGACCCAGAATGATCATCAATCGTGATACACCGGAAGATCGAAGACGGTCACAACTCCTGAAGACAAGAACACCAAGGCAGACCAAGCGAGTGAAGTAAGGAATGGCAAGTAGGACTCGAGAAACATGGATAGATCAAGGAAAGAGGTAAACAGGTATACAAAGAGAGAAATAGAGGATATTAAGCAATAGATACTCGCTTATGTCGAGTGAACCTGTATCCTGTGAGGATATTTCAAGCCAATAGGCCGGATATGTTAATATATGGTTGATGTGGTGATCAAATAAGAAGATCAAGCCAGAAGGATCATCGGAACACTCGGCCATTTTGGGCGACAGTCTCGAAGAAGATCCTATTACTATACTTATCTGGACCGCAGTCGTCTTCGATCCAGGGGGTCAGGTTCTTGCACTGGCTGACATCGAAGGACTCGAGCTGGTTACAGCCGTCCGCGACCGCCTCAACACCGGCGCCCGTGACCCGAACACACCCACGCACAGAGAGTCGCTTCAGGTGCAAAAGATGGAGGCCGATGCTGCGAAGGGACGGATCGGAGATGGCGGAGCCGCAAAACGACATGTTCAAATACGTTAACTGAGAGCACTGGAGGGCAAGCACTTCGGTTGCTGTGTCGGACAAAGCGCAACAGAATGACTGCTCAACGTAAGTGTCTACCTCAGAGTAGCGACGGGAGTAAGGTCTTACCAAGTCAAGCTCCTGTAGTTGTTTTGCAGCATTCGTCAGATAGACGATTGCGTTATCCGTCAGGTAGGTGCAGTCCGCCAAGGTTAACTTTCGCAGGTTGGTAAATTGTGTGTTCCCCCAGTATTGGAACCCTTGGTCCGTAATCGTCGTGCAACGGGTCAAGTCCATTTGTTCAATCCTGGAAGCCGCGTGGGACGCAATATGATGCATTGACCGATCCGTCACATGTTTGCAGTAGGACAGCGTCAACCTCTTGAGCTCAGGACAACCATACACCGTGCCAGCCTCGGTTTGCATGGTAGGCTTCAAGGTCGATTTCCCCGTCTTGTTCGGCTCATCAACAGACTTATGCTGGCCCGGGACAACCCATCCAATCATCCGAGCCAACAATGTGTCGCCGACCTTGCGGCAATTGCTCAAGTCCACTTCCTGTAATCTGGTTGCCTTGCTCGCCATTTCGAGGATGGAAGATGCAGTGACATCCCAGACGCTCTTCATCTTCCAGGAGACAATATTTGAGCCACATGTGATGATCAATTTGTTGAACCCCTCGTCGGTGATGTGAAAGCAATTGCCGATATCTACATGGCGCGGTCGGTTGCCGACAAACGGGCAGATGATTTTTCCTAATACATCATCGGTGACCACTCGATTATAAGTGCTGAGATCGAGGTAGTGAAGCAAGTCGGGCGACTTGGTGAGAATCTCCGACCAATGGAGGCAGACCCCCCGAAGGCGCAGAAGGTCATGAAGGTCCAGGTAGTCAAAGACCTTGACAAGGATCTTATCGGGAAGAAGACCGATGTTGTCCCGGTGGGATTCGCGGGGAGACTTCGGAGTGGGTGAGACCACCGCGTCAGATCGAGCGAGGAAGGACGAGCTGGAGCTTCGAGGCTCCGACGGCGGCGTGGACCGCTGTTGTTCCCCAGAGACTTCCTCCGGCGTCAACGGAGCGACTGACCCGCGTCGACTGCGCAGGCGAACCTTGTCCAGGCCGACATTGAGAAAGGGGTCGGGGTCCGATGGCCGTAGGACCGTCTGATCATCCCTCCCGTTCGGTTTGTGAGACCCGTCCAATTCTGTTTCCGTCAGGGTGAGCAAGGGCATGTGCTGCGCTCTGGGGGGCCGGATCCCGGCGCTCTCATCCTCGACGGCGCCCGCCGTGTCTCCCGCCTCCGCCATGACGACGTCGCCATCGGCGGCGGACTGCAGTCGTTCCTTGGCGGTTCTCTCCACCTGCTGACGGACGCTCTGGGGACACTTGTCCCAGAATTCGGCAAGCACGTCACCATTGATCATGAGACACTCGACCGCACTGATGGAGCGGACCGTGGCGGTTCTGCGCGGGGCGAGAGACAAACTCACCACCTCGCCGAAATATTGGCCCTGTTTCAACCTGGCCTTCACTTCGAAGCCAGGATGGTCGAGAGTGTTGATGGGAGAGCGCGAACCCGGTTGCCCCGCCCGTTCGGAGAGGACCTCCACCTCGCCCCGCACAATGAAATAGATTTCGCGGCCTTGGGAGTCTTGCTTGATAATGTCGGTAAAAGGAGGGTACGAACAGGGCTGCGCATTGAGACCCAAAAAGTGGAGGATGTCTGCCGGTAGGCTCGCAAACAGCGGCAGTTCTTTCAGCAAGAGACGGACATTCACTAGCCCGTTGGCCAGAGCGCTCGAGGCCCCGTCCTTGATGCCCGGACTGGGCGACTTGCGTTTCTTGTTCCCCGTACCGGACTTCAAGCTCGCACGATCGGGGTCGGCCAAAGTCTGATCACGGGAAAAAGTATCCCGTAGTCGCTTGGAACCTCTCCGAGCGGGGCCGGCGAAGTCGACCGCAGGCGCCGAGGTTTCCTTCTTCTTCTTCTCCAGGATCATCAACCGTTCTTGGGCCTCATCCCGAATGGCCCGTTCCACGTCGGGAAACCGAGGGAGGATGCTCCGAAAGTCTTCTTTGGTCAGAACGACCAGCATACACCGGGTGCGGGCGATGATGGTCGCCGTCCGCGGGCGATCCATCAACACGCCGATCTCGCCAAAAAAGGCACCCGGTTCGAGCTCTGCATATACACTTTCACCATCGCGCGAGGTGACGGAGACAGCCCCGCGAACCAACCAGTAGATCGCTTTGGCATCATCCCCTTCCGTCAGGATATAATCGTTGGGAGCGTGGAGCTGTGGCCGTAGGTGCTGACCGACGGCAAATAGGAAGGATTCGGGGGTGGCTTGGAATAGAGGAAAGGAGCGTAGGCGGTCGACGAGGTCCAAGGGTAATGCCTTGATGTTCGACGACGCCAGCGGTGATGGGCGAACCGGACGATTGGGGTTCGTGACGGAATCGAACGAATGGATTAGCGAGACCGTGTCGGAGACGGGAGTGACGGCTTTGGTCCCTCCACTAGCCCTGCCATGACGCCGCATGATCAAAAATGTGGGATCTCTTCGCGCAGAGAGACCGACAGATATGGTCGAAGATCAAAAATCGGAGAGATCAGAAGATGGAAGGTCGTGTATCGGCAATCGGGGTAATGGACCGATGACGTCGACGAGACGGGGTGGGAAACCGCACGGGAGCTCTAGAGAGACATTTCTGAACCACGGCGCGGGGGGCGGAAATTCGGGGAGCAAAGGTGGGAGTAGTCTGAAGCGGGACCGCGTTCGCGATCGGGGCCGGTCGAGATGGAATGCGACTCAAATGGTAAAGATTGAACGGGAGAGATCCGAAGCGATAGATTGAGGCCGGAAGAACTGAGAAAGAGCATGACGATGAGTTAGGCGAGCGAGAGAGCCAGACGGGAGAGAGAGAGCAGAAGAGCTTCCAGCACTATGAAAGCGGGGATCACCAACGTCAAATAAAATGTGGTCGAGCTCCACCGGGGATTGTCAGCGCCAAGAACCGCGCCGTCCGAATGCTTTTCTCACCGTATCCGACTATCAATCGTCTTCTCTTCGTTGTATTGGGTGGGAGGAGGAGGATGGGGTATTTATTGGTCACTTGGAAGACTGAGGATTGAGTCGATCATGATGGAAGATGCCGAATCAGAAGACTTTTGTGTGAGGAGGGGGGACTCTTTCGGCAGTGAGTGGGGTGGATTGACGAATGTTTCGTCTTCTTCTTGCCCCCCCGGCTTATTTGCTTTTGTTGATTGTTGTAAACTCGTCTCTTGCGTAGAGTCATATATTGGATTGATTTTCTGGCCAGCTTTGATTATATGTGATAGTGTGGGTGTTGTATAACAGAGGTGGATTGACAAGTGTTGATAAGAAGAAGGATGGAAGAAGTGAGTTGGGAAGTACGGAGTATCTAGATGGTCGTAGATTCGCACAAAGATCGGATGAAACCGATCCAACAGACGACGCAATACACTAGAGACGAGGTCTAGGAACTGTATGGAACAGCAACCCCTCCCCGACCAAGATCGTCAGGTCGTCGGTTCTCTCGGTCCAAGAATGGCAGATGAATAGATGAGACAGGGTAAAGAAAAGAAATCGGTGAGAGACCTGAATGGGTATGGATTGACCAGCCGCTCAATAACAAGGATGATATAACTTCAATTTCTTATAGTTGATACCCTTCCACCGTAGAAGATTGAATACTCTGGCATTCCACACAGTCTCTCCATACCTCGTTCGACTCCGATTGGAATGTCCGACTGACTGTATTACAACGACCAAGTGCACCTCAAGGGATCCATGTGTCCCATTTGGTTTGTAGTGGGGATATAACTTCCCGCGGGGTAATCTCTACTGTTTCTTCTGTACAAGGATCAGAAGTACAATGGGGTAACATACCCCTCTTTCCCCAGAGCGTGTCTGCATCTAGTGGATTTCTAGAAGCATACGAATTTGTCAGACATTTGGAGTCTCACGACGATCAAGGACACCTGGAATCATGGATGGGATGGGCTTGAAGCTCTTCAATTCTGACCAAACATCTCCATCGTGAAGGAAGGATCTTTGTTTCTGTATCTTTCCCGAACGTCGGAGCTAAAGATAGAATCCACGAATTCCCCCGGGGTGCTATGGGAGGGAATCTAACGAGAAAAGGAACCGAAGAGAGCGAGTAGGACATGAAAGGCTGGGTGTTTACCCACCTTTCACAGATCCAAGCTATCTAGTACGGGTGCAGAAACCATGGATCCTAGTACGGGGTAGTCGATGCTTATATCCCATAGTTTGGAAAGGAATACCTAAGACGATGTTTATCTGGTTGATCGACCAAGTGCAGAACACCTGAAGCATTCCAATAGTGTCCCATCTCCTTGATGTGTTTGAATTCTATTCAAATCCAAGCTAGACATAGACAAAGCATATCTCTTGATATCGAATGAAAGGAGAATACTGGTACCATGTAATGCGGTTTCAGATATGGTTCATCCCTTCAACCGCGAAGCCACAGCGACACAAGTATTGAGATCAACCCCCCGCATAGACGGAAAGTAGTGCGTGGTAATAGGTCTTGTCTAATAAATAATCCCAGCCTTATAGGGCAATCTACTAAGCCCACGGCCCAGCTCACTTAGGGAACACGCACTCCGGCTGTTGCTCGGAGCAACCGTCAGCAGAAAACACAACCCCCTGTGTCAACAAGTCAACAACTCTCCACCCGAATGAAACGGACGACGAGCTAAGAATGCAACTAACCTCACTCCACCACCGACCTCACCGACAAAACAACGATCACCGACAGCAACAACAACGAAAAGGGGAATTCCTGGGGGCTACGACTATATAGCTCCGGAGTCAACATTCCTCACGCACTCATACGACCCCGCGACCCGACTCGACTAACTGTTCTTCGATACACACGCTTTCGCTATCCGTTTCTTTGCCTACGTCGACGGAGTAGGCCGTCGTTGGACACTCTACAAATCAACCAGCCATTTCTGGCCCATAGTTATTCCCCATCAGATCTACCCTCCTCGATCGGGAGGGACGTGACGCCTTGGTCGACACTAACTAACAGACACGATGGCGTCTGCTTCGGATGCTGCTTCCATCTCTGTGGCCGTCCGGGTCAGGCCGTTCACTATCCGAGAGGCGGCGCAGCTTTCGAAATGTGAGGATGGTCCGCTGTTTCTGGGAGAAGGCTCGTTGGCAGGGGCTCCGACTCCTAAGCTCAACCAGAAGGGCCTCCGGTCCATCGTCAAGGTGATTGACGATAGATGCTTGTGAGTGCTGACCCTAATCTCCTATTTCTGTCTTAATCTTCCTCTTCCTATTCTCTCTCCTTTGATTTGTGTTGTTTTCTTTTCTTTTTATTGCATTCTATCCTCCTTTCTTTTACCTGAAGAGCAGCGTTAACCGATGTCGGAACAGGGTCTTCGACCCCCCGGAAGACAACCCCGTACAGAAATTCTCCAGAAGCGTCGTCCCCAACGGTAAACGCGTGAAAGATCAGACGTTCGCCTTCGACCGCATCTTCGACCAAAGTGCCTCGCAAGGCGAGGTGTACGAATCGACCAGCCGAACCCTCCTAGACAGCGTCCTGGATGGGTACAATGCCACAGTCTTTGCGTACGGCGCAACCGGCTGCGGAAAGACGCACACAATCACCGGAACAGCCCAGCAACCGGGTGTCATCTTCCTCACCATGCAAGAATTGTTCGAGCGGATCGACGAGAGGTCGGGGGAGAAGGCAACTGAAGTGACGCTCTCGTATCTGGAAATCTACAACGAAACCATCCGTGATCTATTGGTTCCCGGAGGAAGCAAGGGCGGCTTGATGCTGCGGGAGGACACCAACAAGTCGGTTTCGGTAGCGGGACTGTCGAGCCACCACCCACAGAACGTGCAACAGGTGATGGACATGATCATGCGAGGCAATGAATGCCGAACCATGTCCCCGACGGAAGCGAATGCCACCTCATCCCGATCCCATGCCGTCCTGCAGATCAACATCGCCCAGAAAGACCGCAATGCCGACGTTAACGAACCACACACAATGGCCACGTTCAGTATCATCGACCTGGCAGGCAGCGAGCGGGCTAGCGCTACAAAGAACCGAGGCGAGCGTCTGTTTGAAGGCGCAAACATCAACAAATCTCTCCTGGCGCTCGGGAGCTGCATCAACGCCCTCTGTGACCCCCGAAAGCGAAACCATGTCCCCTACCGAAACTCCAAACTGACCCGCCTTCTCAAGTTCTCCCTGGGCGGCAACTGCAGGACGGTGATGATTGTCTGTGTCAGCCCCTCGAGCCAGCATTTCGATGAAACCCAAAACACGCTCCGCTACGCCAACCGAGCGAAGAATATCCAGACCAAGGTAACGAGGAATGTGTTCAACGTCAACCGTCACGTGAAGGACTTCCTGGTGAAGATCGATGAGCAGATGAAGTTGATCAACGAGCTGAAGGCGCAGCAAAAGGATGCTGAAAAGTCCGCCTTTACCAAGTTCAAGAAACAGACCGAGAAGAAGGACGCCGTGGTGCGCGAGGGAGTCTCGCGAATCCGCAACGCTTACGAACACTCGTTGCCTGAGAGGCAAGAGAAGGCCAATCACATGATCAAACTGAGACAGATCAGCCGCCGGATCGGCATGCTGTCTTCGTGGATCGCCGCCTTCGATACCGTGTGTGAGGGGTCGGAGAATGAAGTGCCTCTGGCGAATCTCCAAGCAATCCGCAGGACGGCGCAAGGGATCCTCCTGGAGTTAGAAGGGAGCCGGCAACACTACCACCAACGACTGGCGAAGAGCAATTGGGACCGAGGGCTGAACTCCGCAGTGGAGCATGCCATTCGCCAGCTGCAGGAATTCGACATCAGCGACAACAGCGACTATGCCAATTTCGATCGCGAAGCAGAGCTCCTGCGATCCAACGCCGACCGCGAGGCCCTGTCCGCAGTTGCCGAGCAGGACAAGGCGGGTGAAGCGGCCACCGTCCAGCTGCTGCTTCAGGCCCAATTTGAGACCGTATCAGCGGTGGAGAACATCATGGAGCTGAGCGAAGAGGAGGCGATTCAAACGGGCAAGAAGATTCTCACGAAGATGCTCGAGTCGTGTTCCACCGTGGCCTCTCAGATGGTGAAGCCGGATGGCAGCTTGCCCGCCATGCCACCCATGAGTCCTATCAAGTCCAGCCCAGTCAAACCGAAGAAGAGGACCAGCCTGGTTAGCCTACCCGCTGGAAAGACCCTGAGTGCGCCCATCAATTTTACCCCCGCTGAGCCCGGATCGCCTCCCAAGTCTCCTCGGCGCCGCAGACCGACGACCGGTAGAAAGAGCGTCGCAATCTCGCCGAAGAAGTCCCAGGTCCGGATCAACAAACGAAGTGTTCGATGGAAGGATGACGAGCAGGATGGTACCCTCACTGAGTTCCAGAGGACGCCGCAGAAGGCCGTACCGAAGGCCATACAGGAAGTTAGTCGCGAGGATAGCCCCGAGCCGACGCTACCGAGGGCTTCGCCTATTCCACGGGGCATCCCCGTGCCCACCCGTAGCTTCAGTCCTTCCGGTCGGTACTCCCCCGTTCCTGCGGGCCCCGAGACCTCCTTGAATGTCCAGAAGAACAACAGATTCAAGGCCGGGTTCTTGTCCAAGAAGAACGGCAGCTCCCCGCTGGGGCCACCTCCTTCCGCCAGCCTGCCTCTCACTGACGGTGATGGCTCCCCTCTCCGCGACATCGAGAACAGCAGTTTCTTGAACCGCGTCTACGCCGAACGTCCCTCCAAGATGCCGGTGCGGACCTCCAGCGGAAGCTACTCGAACAGTCCGGTATCGGAGGCCAAAGAGACCTGGACCGCCAACAAGGACGATGCTCAGAGAATCAGCTCCGCCATGAGACGGATCTCCAGTGGTAATTTCGGTCCCGGGCCGTCAATGAATGCGCTCCGTGTTCAACGTCGACGGAGCCCTGGGTCTGCCACCTACGGCAGTTCTCCGCCCGAGAACCTGATGTTCACGTCCCAAGCGCGACGCTTGGCCAAGAACGAAAAGGAGGCAGAAGCCAAGCCGAGGGTCTTGAGCCCTCGCGCGCTGCCTATCATGAAGAACACGGGTCAGCGACGGACCACGTTTGGTGGAGAACTCCGCTCTCGCGATATTAGCCTCACGAGCAGGGACGCCATCCGGCTCAGTGCCATGGCGACTCCCCATGTCGCGCGGTCTCCAGAGAACTTTTAGCTGGCTGACCGTTTGACACACTTTATGATCCTTTTTCAATTTTCTTTGCTTTGTTTTTTATTTCACTGCGGTAATGACATGGGTTGTTTGGACGGTGTTCAGGGAGACAGATACCATTTGCTTTTCTTTTCTTTTTTTACCTCGGGTCTAGTTCTTTGAGCGAACAAGACAGGGCGGGTTTGGATTCGGGTTCATTCCAACGCTGTGTTTTCTATAAATCCCATTCTGGGTGCCGGTTTCTGACCTTTGCAAGATGACTTGGAAACATGTTGCTGTATTATCTTCCTTCTTGTGTCGATTGTTCATGTGTTTTGTTATGGACATAGTTATTATTCTCGGGCCGCGTTCCTGTACAATACAAGACTTCATTGCAACTTTGTGCTATTATCCCGACAGCTGCATCCGCGTCTGTCTCTTGCATAGAAAGGAGCTTGCATTCCAACATTTTCAATAATAGATACGCACACCATGCTAGATATCTCTTGATTACCTCAGCAATCCTCACGGTGGGCACATCATTAGCTACTAGTTATGTCATGGTCGAATGACGCCACTGCGCGCATCTCCAACCGACCCACTTAATTCCCTCTAGAACCAAACCCCCAGACAATAGCTTTTAACTTGAGCTCCGTTCGGGGAGTTGTCAAATTCGATAGACCTTTTGGTTCATCTAGAAATACAAAATCTCTACCCGACACACCTTTCATCTCCAAGAGTTCTCAGGATAGTAATCACCATAGCCACAACAAACGCGACCCTTACAAGCCCGCCCCTCCCTCCCACCTCACCGAACGGAAACCGTCCGCGAAAGCGGAGAAAGGTCATTTCAATTTCTTCCCAAGTACGTACGCACGTAACTTGATGAATTTCACCGCATCAACACTCCGCTTCTCTCTCTTCTCCCGACTCACCCGACCATTCTCCACTAACACGCCGTTTCTCTCGCTTGCGCCGGGATCAGCAGCCTCGCGCACCATGTCGCACTCCACCGAAAAGGCCACCCTCGCCGCCGGCTGCTTCTGGGGCGTGGAGCACCTGTTCCGCAAGAACTTCGGCAACGGGAAGGGCGTGCTGGACGCTAAGGTGGGCTACTGCGGTGGCTCGACGGCGTCGCCTTCTTATCGGGCTGTGTGTAGTGGAGACACGGGGCGTAAGTTTGATCTTTCACCAGCCGCGAAGCGAAAACATCCTTCGCTTTATCGATAATGCTGATAAATGGAAACGAAGACGCCGAAGCCGTCGAGCTCACCTTCGACCCCTCGACCGTCACATACCGCTCTCTGCTGGAATTCTTCTACCGCATGCATGACCCCACAACCGCTAACCGGCAGGGCCCCGATGTCGGCACGCAGTACCGCAGCGCGATCTTCACGCACGGTGAGGAGCAGGAGAAGATTGCGCGCGACGTGACGGAGAAGGTGTCGAAGCAGTGGTACAAGCAGCCGATTTCGACGGCGATAATCCCTGCTGCGCAGTGGTGGGATGCGGAGGAGTATCATCAGTTGTATTTGAATAAGAATCCGGGGGGTTATGAGTGCCCGGCTCAGTATGTTACTTCTATCTTCGTGGTTAGAAAGAAGATAGAGTGCTAATTGTTTTTGCGCAGCTTTGTGAGGAACTTTCCGCCGTTGTCGGATTGACTCCCGGGTAAGATCTGAGATGACTTTTGTCTTCTCTGTCTATGCTCGTTGGGCTGCGTAAGGTAGGAAGCTATCTGTGTGTATGTGATGGTTTATGGCTGGAGTGGTCCGCTGGGAGGTCATGTTCGCCTGGCTGTTCGTTAGTTGGTGGTATGTGCTTGTATATTGATTGATGGGGCATGCATGGAGAGAATAGTAGAGCGATACTATAAATCGGACTGTGTTGAGTTCTACAGAGAGGCATAGCTACAGTTATCAATTCATGGGTCTTATTCTCCTAGTGTCATCATGGATTGTCTTCTACCATAAAGTGCTTTCTACATAAGATGTCTTTATAGAGACTATATGTCCATAGACTAGATGGATTTCAACCGACAAGAGTATTGAGAAGGATAAATGCTAGTAGACTGATCGATCGTGAATAAAACAAGTGAAGTAGAGGACAGTGGTAGAAAGAGCAAGGTGCAAAGTGCACTGGCAGCGTGCAATCACTCGATTGTCGCATGATGAATGAAGAGGGACGACCATATCTGCTGCGTTCGCTTCTCCCACACCCTCACTCTCTGTCTTCTTCTCACTCTCACACACTCTCTCCATCTTCTCCTTCGTTCTATCCTCTACCTTCACTTCATATCATGCCCTGAATCTTTTCTTCTTCTTATCGCTCTGGCCATCTCTTTCTTTCTGTTTGTCACTTTCTGGAAAGCTTCACCTCGACCGGCTGTTCTGCTCACTTCGAGAAACATCCTTCAAAGCCCAGGTCTTGAGTGAAGAGTTCTTGTCTACTTTGCTAGCTTCTGTCTATACTGTCACTCTGTTGCATCTACTTGTCATCTCTGTCGTGTTTCTAAATCTGTACTTCCTGTATCCTTCAGTGTTTTTAATTTCGCTGCTGTCATATCAGCGTGCTTCTCCCATCTGGGATTTTCAGTCGACAGAGCCTGTTCTGGCTTCATAAGGTGAGTCTTCCGCCATCTTTAAGTGATGCTTAAGGTAACCTGGCTACCACAACCAAGCCTCTCCACACAGGCTTCGATCTACATCCCACGGAAACACAGTGAGCACTAGGTACCTCCAGGTACAGCCACCGCCGACCCCCGAGCATTGCTATTGCTACTGGTATCTGTGAGATCCTCGGTTTCTCACAATGGTGGCCAATTCGATCGATGCGGCCATGGCTGAGGCCCTGGCTAACCTGGACCACGTTACAAACCATGTAAGGATTTGGTGGCTTGGCATAAGGGGAAGCAGGTCGCGCTGACACTCGTAGCTACGCAAGCATGGACAGCACAAGGCTGCAAACGAGATTGGAAAGCTGGGCATCATGGTCGTTACCGTGTTCTCCGAAGCCGTGGAAAACATCCCCGCTACTGAGTTTAGCCTGGATCATCCGGTGAACTTACCTCTCCAACCCGTGGGCATGAGACACGGACCTGACCTGCCACGGCAGTCTGGAAATAACCCCGGCGTCATTGGAGACCGGGCTATCGTCCACAATTCGCTCCAGAAGCAGGCCGTCGCCGCCCTCATGAGTGAGGTCGAGAGAGAAAACAAAGGACATACCGACGACCTGCGCGCTCCATCGCAGGAGGGCATCATCCACAACGGACAGCTCCCCCAGACTGGAAGCTGGGCTCAGGTGGCCGGCTCCCTCTCGGGTGCCGCGGCCCCTCCCCGGGAGACTGCGCAGTACATGTCGCCCATGTCAATGGTGTCCAAGCAGAGTCATACTAACAGTGACGACGAGGGCGATACCCAGGCGCAAGCCTTTGCGGCCCTTGCGCCTCCGCCCAACGTGCTTCCGGAGATCCCAGAAGCCAAGGCCGGCGTGATTCGGGTCTACGGGCGTATCTCCAAGGATATCATCCAGTTCATCACGACCCGGATCCACGAGGGCCCGTTGCAGGAGATCCGCCTCGAGACCAACGGAAGGACCCGCGTGACCTTCCAGCATGCGTCGCAGGCGCTTGCGTTTTTGAAGTCAAACCAGGAAATGGAGCAGATGCTCGGGTTTGGACGCTTTGGATGCGGCTACCATGTCGAATTGGCCGAGATCATCGATTGGAACGAAGATCACCGTCGCATGAACCAGCCGGTTCGAGAGCGCCGCCGCCTGTCCTTTGCGCGCAAGCGACTCTTTGCGGACAACATGTCCCCGGAGAAGTGGAAGCAGGACATCCGCGCCGTGGCGGGGCCCGGCAACATTGACTTTCTGTGGGTGTTCAACTCTGGGAATGGTGAGTCGTCCAGAATCCAGCCCTCTCGCGTCTCAATATCACGCGACTTGATAGATTGCTAACTGGGACCCGCAACAGCCACCGCCGTGTTCACCAACACCATTGTTGCGCGCAAGGTGCTGGACATGTTCAGCCGCTGGAAGATGGCGCGGACTCCCTACCACGGGGTGTCAGTGACCTTTTCGTCGGACCCATGCGAGAAGGAGCTAGTGTTGGTCAAGGAGACCACACGCTCGCACGCGGCCAAGAACCTAATGAAACGACCCTTGCGGTGATCTACTGGTCGCGCTGCGGAGACCGACCAACTCGGCGTCATTTACTCCGATTAAGCGGTTGACCTGACAGGACTGACTGCCACGACATGATCTGTCGCGCTTTGGTTGATAACCAATGGAAAATAAGATAAACTAAATAAAAATAAAAATAAAATAAAAAAAGCAAAAAAAAAGATAGAAGAGAAAAAGGAAAAGGAAGGCGAAAGCGACAGGAGAGAAATCAAGACGACAGGGGTTGAAATGAAGATAAGAAGCCCTATGCGAACCGGGTGACTTGGCGGGGTAGAACTAGGGGCGGGAGCAGGGCGCAACGTGGGTCGATGGGATTCGAACGTTGACGGAGGACACGAGGGGGCTTCGTTGAATTTCTCCTGTTTCTTTATTTCTTGATGTCATTGTCTTGTCGTGTTCTTGATGTTCAATCGCGTCCCTTCTTTCCTTCCCTATGAAGTCGGTGGATCAATGTCTATGTCCATGTCGCAAGATGGATTCGGTTCCAGGGGGAGAGACATCTTCTCCGCCGTCCGGGACAGAAGGATGAGAATTGCACCGACGACGCCGGGGAGGATGACACGGCATGATGCAGGGGCTTTTGTCAGATAGGGCAGGAGCGTCACTAATGCACAACGGTTGGGCGCGAGACTGTATTCAGGTAGAGTGGCATTGGCCCGCGACGAGATTAAGATAGTCCGCATGCTGCAGATGGGCCGGAGGTGGGCCACTGGGTTGATAGGTAGGTACTATCGCTCGATGGATGCTGGGCAGCGTAGGGTATTTCTCGTAGCGACGAACTAGTCCATACGTGTAAAATGAAGTACGCCTAGTATCCATCATTGTACCTACCCAGGACTACCGAGGACGGAATGTCTGAAGCCATTGTAATCCCAATACGTCACCGGTCTAAGAAACAATGATCGAGGGGGTACAGGTGAGGCATCATCTCATGCATATAAAGCTGCATATAAACGCCCATCCCTTGCGGATGATGATCCACGTGAGACCCTATCAACGGGTATTGATCCAACCGTTGTGGGGGTTCAACTGAGACCGTGCGACCAACGGTTTGGATAGGAGATGAGAAAGTCGACGCTGAAACCCCCTGTCCTCCGGTAAGGAGAAATGACTGACTCTGTAACTAGGCACCTAGGTATGCGTATGATGTTTTCCCGGGGTAAACTAGTTGGAAGGGAGAGACACCAAAGGAGTAATTAGCTTCTTAGCCCATGCACGAGGGAGGTAGTTCATGCAATGAACAGTGGGATTATAGGGAAATGAAAGGGAGGAGTCATATTCTGGACAATATCATGGATAAATATTGTCTATGATATGATCGGATGTTTTTCTGTTAAGATGGGGAAGTGGATCCGGTGAGACATTTTTTACGTATCGTATTACTATCGTACTATCGTATTAGTCTTGGGCACTACTCCTAAGGCTACCTAGGTACTACGACTGCCTAACCCAGCCTAACCTAGGGTCAGTAGCCTTGGCCTGTACGGAGGACCGGCTATCCTAACCTGAATGCTCAGGCCAATCGGCAGGCATTGCCCAATCGATACGGTATGATATGAGGTATACTACTATATGTAAAATACAATACAGATCTGGGAGCATCGATGGTTCCTTCATTTCCGTTTAATCAATCTTCATAAGAAATGGATAAAGGAGAGACATGCCAATATAAATCGTTCGTTTCGATCTGCTTTTCCCCTCTTTGATTTCTTTCATTTCTTTCATTTCCCTGAGATCCACTTCTCCCTCGACTTCTCCTCTACTTCTCCCTCTTAATACTCACTTCTTCCATCCCTCGCTTCTCTTCCCCCCCCCTCTCTCTCATTCTTTAGCCACTTCGTAGTATTTCTTGCATTCTTCCCAGCTTCGAATCCCGCTTCTCCGGCGGATTCTCATTGTTTGATTGGTGTCTGGATTCTCTCCTTTTCCCACGGTCCTGCAAGTCTGGTACGTCCACTCTTTTGCACTTTATCTATCTAGTTCGCCCGGTTTGGTACCACGGTTGAAAGAAAAGAAAAAGAAAAAAATCAATAAAGAAAAAAAAATATCAAAAAATCATTTATCAACCCACCACCCCGGACAATCCCCTTGTCGATTGAGGATCCCCCCGACTAACATTCTCCCCTTCTCCATTTCTCAGTCGGATTGGTTCTGTTCAGACAACTCCATCACATCCAGTCATCATGGTCCGCATCACTTCGTCTCTGTTGCTGGCCGCATTGGCTACCTCGGTCTGGGCCGGCAGTGCTCCCAAGTGTAATTCCGACAAGCAATGCCCGGAGAAATTCCCTTGCTGCTCTCGTGAGTTTTCTGTGTAATCACCTCCTCCCGTTCAGCATTGACCGGTCTTTAGAATACGGCGAGTGTGGAACTGGTGGCTACTGTCTCGGCGGCTGTGACCCTCTGGCCTCCTTCTCCGTCGACTCCTGCGCCCCCGAACCCGTCTGCAAGAGCACCACCTACAAGTGGGACAACCTCGACAATGCCGGCCTCAACACCAAGTACCTGGGCGATGCCTCCAAGACCGATTGGACCTACAGCGGCTTCCCCGAGGTGAAGGACGGCAACCTGTACATCAACATGCCCAAGAACAGCGTCGGCACCCTCTTCGCCAACAACCACTACGTCTGGTACGGAAAGATCTCCGCCAAGATCAAGAGCAGCCGTGGCGCCGGTGTCGTCACGGGCTTCATCTTCCTGTCCGACTCCAAGGATGAGATTGACCTGGAGTTTGTCGGCTCCGATCTGCGGAACGTCCAGACCAACTACTACTTCCAGGGAATTTTGGACTGTAAGTATACGCATTCAACCATCATGGCAAATCACTCATGCCTTGTTTCTTTAGACGAAAACGGAGGCAAATCGCCTGTCGACAATACCTACGCCGATTGGCACGAATACGAGATCGACTGGAAGCCCGAGGCCATCACCTGGTCCGTCGACGGCAAGGTGGTCCGCACCCTCAAGCGCGACGAAACCTGGAATGACAAGACCAAGCGCTACGACTACCCGCAGACGCCCTCCCGCATGCAGCTCTCGCTCTGGCCCGCCGGCCAGGCCAGCAACGCCGAAGGCACCAAGGAGTGGGCCGGCGGTGAGATCGACTGGGACCACGAGGACATCAAGAAGCACGGCAAGTACTCGGCCGCCTTCGGGCCCATCACCGTCGAGTGCTACGACCCGCCCAAGGACGCCGACCAGCAGGGCGACAAGGCGTACATCTTCACCGACGACAAGGGCATCGAGAGCTCCATCCGCATGACCAACAACAACACCGTGCTCGCCTCGCTCGGCGCCACCGGTCTCGACATGGACGTCGGCTCCAAGTCCTCCGCCTCGCCCTCCGAGTCCAATTCCGCCTCCAGCTCCCCGACCAACACCGTTCCCGAGAATCACGGTGGCTCGGGCAACGAGCCGGGAAGCAACAGCGGCGGCGGTAGCAGCGGCGGTAGCTCCGACGGCGGGGATGAGGATTCCTCCAGCGGATCAAGCCCCGGATTCAGCCAAGACGGCAGCGACAGCAGCAACGACAGCGGCAGTGGCACCAACGGCTCCAGCGGAGCAGCCTCGCAGAACGAGCGCGTCCTGCGCGGATCCTTCTTCGCCGTGTTGGTCGCCGTTGTCGTGATGATCACTCTGTGAAAAGCTTGACACTTCCTCATCTCTTTCAGCTTTTCCCGTGAATATTTTTTTTTTCTTCTTTACCCCGGCACTCAGCCCTGTATGATTTCGACAACTTCACTTCTCATGGCCATCTCCCGGGAGAAGCCACCTTTTTTGCTTTACATTTTCTTCCCTTCGTTCTATACCAACCATTTTAACTAATCAATATTTGATTGGATGTTTTTTTGATGTGATTATATGATTCGGCGCAGGATTGGCCGTGGCGGACAGACGGATTACCTACTTAATATGTTTGCTTTTGGGTGGCAGATAGTGGACGGACGTTAATATGTATGCTAGTGGATGTCAGTTAATACCCTGAATGAGTATTCCTCATGAGAACATTGCGCATAGTTGATCTAGTAGGCAAGCCATACTAACAGTAGTGCTTACATCTACAGTAGATCTACGGATAGAAAGAAGTAAATACGATGATCAAGTGGGTACGATAGACAAACAGGTCCACTGATCGATCGATCGACCTACCCATACAAAGGATACAATACATTTCTTTACCTTACCATTCTCCATCAATCAAAATCAAGATCAAGATAAATTGTAAAAACTAGATTATTCCTGACGGTTCTTCTGTTGCAGCGTTGGCGTTCATCAATGCGGGATCAATCCATCCGTCCATCCATCCGTCAATATCATTATGCGTTCGCATTTTGTTTGTGCTTCACGTGGGGGTGGTGTACTTTGTATACTTACTAAGTAAGTAGTAAGTATGTGAGTTTAGGTGTATCAAACGCTGAGTACGGTGTCTACTGCAGAATGTATGCTCCCTGCCTGCCTGCATGGAACTACCGTAGAACACCTGGAACAATCATGTTCTGGCTGGGCTTCTATGCGGGTGGGGATGTGTCTGTCCCTGCATACATACATGTGCAGACGTTTGTAGTTTAGAATAGAGGAATAATAGATCCTTAACTCTTTAGGCTTCTAGTTCGTGCGTGCTTTTCAGTGTAGCATATTGTGTAAAATAAAGCAAGGAATCTATACAGCAGTATGTAGCTCCCAACTTGACATCAACAGTGATGATACAAGTGACTAGTGAAGTGACCGATTTAGTATATGTTATATGTTTTATCATCGTCTGTTTCTGCTTCTATTCTACTCTACTCTAGTCTATTCTCCTTCTCTGGTTTTCTGCGATATTCCAATTGCGTGCTTCCTTTATGGGTGGGTGTGTTTACTTCAGGATTGCAGTTGTTGCTTTGAGTTCTACATGCGTTTACATGTGGTTTGCTTCTGGTATAGGTCTAGATTCTGCTCCGCTGGATAGTATATCTATCTATTTTCTAGAAGTATATGTAGAGTAGCTCGCTTTGCTTCAGCTTCAACTGTGACTGTGCTCAATTGGTCTTGATACCATCATACTACTACTCCTACTATCTATCTACCCTTCCACACAGCACCCCAGAGAGATATACCAAGCTCAGCCAAGCACTGCCAGAAGAGGGAAAAAGAGAATGTGCCAATACACAGCAACCCACCACCCCACCTGCACCCACACCTCCTTCCACCTCTACGTCTTCTGCCGGCGCATCCTGCACGAGCTCAACCGCATCAACGACCCCACTCAATGCGAGGCTTTCGACCTCCCTTTTGATCCGCCGGATTGTGAGCCCAGGATGGGCGTTAATGTTGTTAGTGTTGGGGTGGGGGGGAGGGGGAGGTGTCCTTTTTGTTTTTGATTTCGCCTTTTCTTTAGAGGGGAATGAGTGGAATGGGAGGGAGGGACAATATAGAGAGTGGAGGGAGTTGGAGGGGATAGATGGGTTGGGTTAGAATGTATTATACACCTTTTTAGACTGTGTTAGAGTGGTTGGGTTATAGACTTGATTAACTGGATATCAGGGTATACTTAAGAGTAGTAAGAATATCAGATGTAGTTGATAATACCCACACTTATATGCAAAAGGCCCAAAACAGACGCCAAGATATCCCTGTTAGTTTACTGTAGCTGCCGTCGATCGCGTCCTTCTACCCCGTACAGTGACATCCATACTCATAATGTAGGTCCTCCAACTCACAATGCGAATACAAAAGCTCCCTATCCTTCAATTTCCACGCGTTCACAAACTAGGTTCTCAATCCGTACGAACCATAACAGACTATCAACATCCACCAACCACCCACCCCAACAACGATCTCTTCAACTACACATCCGGAAGATGGATGTACGTCTTCCCCCACATTCACAATATCTTGACACTAAACTAATAACTAAATACAGCTACAACGAACAACCCCGCCTCCTAGAACGCACCCTCCCCTTCAACATCCCCGCTCTTAAAAATGTCATCGCCGCAGCATCCAACCGCCCTTCCACCTCCATAACAAGCCTATCCAAACTCTCCGAAGGCGGCTTCAACCGAATCATCCAAGCGACTTTCAAAGATGGCCGTTCCGTCCTCGCGAGACTCCCATACCCATCCACCCAACCAGAACACTACACTGTGTCCAGCGAAGTAGCCACGCTAGCCTATCTCCGCCAACACGGGTTCCCCACGCCAGAAGTATACGCGTGGTGTGCTAATAAAGAGAACCCCGTTGGAGCGGAGTATATCATTATGGAGAAGATGGAGGGTATCCCTCTTGGGGAGGTTTGGTATTCGATGACGCCGAAGGAGATGCATAAGGTTATGCGGCAGGTTGTGGAGTTGGAGACACGACTCATGGCGCTAGACTTTCCCGCGTGCGGGAGTATTTACTTTCGTAGTGAACTACCAGCAGAGGAGATGTTTCCCTTGTCAGGGGAGTTTTGTATAGGGCCAATGGCACATTATAGTTGGTGGCGTGGGGAGAGGGGCGATTTGGATATTGATAGGGGGCCTTGTGTGTATCCTTCAGAAGACGATCGTATAATTAGTATTAACAACAGCAGGGCCATCACCAACCGACATATTCCGCGCAGTCGGCGAGCGAGAATTAACATGGACAAAACTCCACGCAAAAGCCCGCCAACCTTTTGAACGACTCTACAGAGAAATCCACCAGTTTTCCAAAATCTCCCCCGACAGCCACATCAAAAACCTCACCGACTATCTCAAGTTGGCACCCCATCTCGGCTTCCAACCCGGAACACCCCTAAACAGACCCGTCCTACGCCATCCCGATCTCCAACCAAACAACATCCTCATCTCCGACACACACGAGATTATCGGGCTGATAGACTGGCAACACAGCAGCATCCTCCCCCTCGGCCTCGCAGCTAGCATGCCAAAGCATTTCCAAAACTACGGTGACCCGGAGTCTGATTGTCTCAGAAAGCCTCAGACTGATTTTCCGTCTGGCTATGACTCTCTATCCCAGTCAGAGCAGGTAGTAGTTCGAGAGACTCTCCATAAAAGACTAATCCACTTCCTGTACGCGGCTTTCACAAATCGCTTCAATAACGAGCATTACGATGCGATCTTTGACTCCGCTGCTATCCTCCGCCAACGACTGCTTGAAAGCGCGGGTGCACCCTGGGAAGGAGACTCTGTTTCTCTTCGAGCGGAGTTGATCAATACTATCCACGCCTGGCGAGAATTGACTCCATTATCATACTCCGAAAAAGATATCCAAGACACACTGTCCCTCCACGCCCAACACCAAGAAGCAGACGCCGCAATGGACCACATGCGCCAGATCCTAAACATCGACATCCAAGGATGGGTCCCGAACGAGGAGTACCCCGCCGCGAGGGATAAGGCAAGTGAAATAAAGGCTAGAATGCTCGAAGCCGCTGAGACTCCTGAAGAGGTTACTGAGATTGGGGAACAGTTTCCGTTTGATGATTTCGATGAGGGGGGGTTGATTTTTACCTCTTTCCTCAGGGCCTCTCGTCAAAATCTTAAAGCTTGACTTTAATCTTAACATTAAGCTTGAACTTAACCCTAACCAATCAACCTTTGACCACCTGCGGAGCACAAGCAGCTATGTATCTAGAAGCTGGGATACGAGTAAAAGTAAGATGAGGTCCTTTACACAGTTACACCCCACGCCCCGAATGTATAAATAGAAAAAGAAAAGAGAAAAAAACCATAACATAACCAAAGAAATACCGAATCAAGTCATAATATCACATCGTCAATGCCCCCCACACCCACACTCCCCCCCCTCCAAAGACCTCTTCAAGAAATCCACCCCAAATGACCTCTTGAAATCCCCATGATACCGATCCAGCCCCTCCGTGCGCACATTCTCGTCCAGCTCGCCCATCCAGCTCGCGCTGAGATCGGCGGCCTTGGCGCGCAGCTTGTCGGTGACGTCCTCCAGGCTGAGGTCGAGGTAGTTGGCTAAAAAGGAACCGACGTCGGTGTTTTCGTTGTTGCCGACGAGCGGCCAGGCGTCTTTTGTGGAGGAGGCGTAGATGTTTACGTCGACGCCTTTTTCAATTCTGTTAGTATATCTTGGGTGTATATGTGTATAGAAAGAAAGGGGGTAAGGGAAGGATGAAGAAGGATGAAGGAGGGAAATACCAGAATGTCCATGCGTAGCCCAGCCAATCTGAGCCCGTCGGCTGATGATATCCGCAAACACGTAGTCATGCTCATAAGGCAGATCCGGGTCGACGAGGACGTCTACCTCTGCGTCTGTAGCGTCCATCACGCCTAGGTCCTTCTCTAGGATGTCCCGCGCGTACTGGCGGGCGTCGCTCTTGTTGCTGCCCAGATACTTCTTCAGTTTATTCCCGGCATACTCCGATGAATGGCTCGCGTTGGCAAGCACACCCGGCAGCCACAGATACTCCGGATACGAGTCATGCAGCTGGCGCGCAGCAGCCAGACCGCCCGTTTCGTGGTCCGACGTGCTGACGAGCACCGTCGGGGTGGACTCCTTCTCGATGAAATCCAGCACAGCTGCGAAGGTCCGATCATACGCCATGACTTCATGCACCTGCGCCGCGGGATCATTGCCGTGACCTGCGTGATCGATGCGCGATCCCTCGATCAGAATGAAGAACCCCTGCTCGCTGTCCTTGGTCGCCTGGCTGAGTGTCCTGAGCGCCGTGCGCGCCGTCTCCTCCAGCGACGGATACACGTCGTTCTGGCCGCGGCGGTCGATCTCAAACGGGATGTCGCCCTGCGCGAGCAGACCCAGCAGCGGGAGTTTAGCCTCGGCGCCGCCCTCGAGGGCATCGAAGCCTTTCCTGTCATCGAAGTAGTTGAACCCGCCCTTCTTGGCCTCCTCCACTAGATTGCGGTCGTCGCCGCGACAGCTCCCCTCCGTCGAGTTCGGCAGGAAGTGGCACCGTCCGCCGCCGATAATCAAATCCACCACACGGCCAAGCGGATGCTCGCCAATCTCCTGCTCCGCAATACGATCTTCCGACTTGCGGGTGTTGACATGCGAAGCGAAACAAGCAGGCGTTGCGTCCGTGATGCGAGTCGTCACCACCAGACCCGTCTTATACCCCGCCAGAGAAGCCGCCTCGAGGACGGTCCCACACGGCGAATGATCAGGGAGCACGGAGATAGCGCCATTGTAGCTTTTGGACCCGCACGAGAAAGCCGTAGCGCCAGCCGCGGAGTCCGTCACGAGGCTGGAGCTGGAGCGCGTGCGCGAGGTGCCAATGATGTGGTCGTCCAGCACGAGGGTGTTATCGACCGGGAGACCCTCCGTGAACTGGCGGAAGTTCCGCGTCATGGTTAGACTGGTGGGGCCCATTCCGTCGGAGACCATGAAGATCAGGTTGCGTTTGCCGGTGGGCTTGCCGCCGGGGCCCCATGGTGCTTTGGAGCCGCTGCTGCGGCTGGCCTGGTGCTGGGAGACAACGGCTAGGACGATGACGGCGATGGTGGCGAGTAACGACCAGGTGAAGAGGCCGACATCTTTCCAGAAGGACCAGCCGCGGCGTGGTTGATGCCGGTTGGGGAGGTGTTCGCCTGTGAGGAGCGCATCTTCCTCTTCGGCGGTCCTGATTGAGGACCGTTCGGATGAGGGGCGCGCCAGGAGGGGCTCTTCTCGCGCCATTATTCTGAATTGGACTCAAAGAGAGGGAGAATAAACATCAAGATACGGTCTAGTCTAGAATGGCCTCCCCCGGTCTCGATGGAGGAAAGGAGCAGAGACGAAACGCCGTCAAGTCAGATTGGAGGTGCCTGGGCTGACTAACCTGTTTGGTCGCCCCTGGGCTTGGCAATACGTCACGTTCACCTGGTCGAACTGTTCTACTATGGGCAAACATTGTGGATGAGAAAGATTATACATATCGTACATAGTATGAGTATAGAACATTATAGCCACATCAATCCTAGTGATTCAGGTGATATATAATGGAAACTACCGCGCCTCCCACCCATTCCACCCAATAGGTATCATAGCAGCCGCCACCTCAGAAACACCTCTCTCCGTAGCCAGCAGATTAAACTGCGCCGCAGCATTCCGCGTATCCAACACATCCACCCTGATCCCCAGAGAATTGATCCGTCTCTTCGTCTCAGGTGACAGCGGCATAACATGCTCGCCCATTCCGATGATCAGGATATCTATAAAATCAGCACGAGTCCAGAAATGGCCAAGTCAAGGGGAAAAAAAAAGGGTAAAGAAAGAGAAAGAAAGAGAAGAAAGAACTCACCAGGCCGCGGCCATACAACCCCCAAAACCCCCCAAACGCTCTCATCCAACTCAAACTGTCCCTTCCCATTGACCATGCCCGCCTTCTCCCTCTTCTCCCCTTCCTTACCACTCCCACCCTCACTCCCACCCTTACCACCGGTAGAGGTAGAAGCAACCGCCCTCCAAGGCCTCCAAGTAAACACCTCCCCACCCACAAGCAACACCCCATCGCCCTTGGTAACCTTCAACCCACTATTCAAATGGAACCCGGAATCCAAGCACGCATCCACAGCCGTCGTCGGCACAGGGATACTACCCAGCACGTCGAGCGCCGCGAAGTCCGTCTGCGTGTCTTCGGTGGATTCGGGTCCGCGGTCGTGGTTGGCGGGTTTGGAGCCGTGCGCGCGCGGAATCATGCGGACGGGGGTTTGGGAGTGGGTGCTGTTCAGGCGGTGGGGGATGACCGAGGGGGTGGTTCGGGGGTAAAGGGGGAGGTGGTGGTTCGGGTGAGGGGGGTGGTGAGGGCTGAGCGTGTGCTGGGTGTTATGGTGCGGCGGAGGGCGCGGAGGAGTTGGGGTGATGGGGGATGCATTTTCTTTCTCTTTTTGTTTCTTTGGTGGATTGATTGGCGGTGTAGTGTGTATAGAAGGTAAGCGATCGTTTCAGTTGTGTTACGGAATGGGGTTCTGTAGATCAAGCTCGTGGAATCAAGTTGCAGTGTAGTGGATATGGAGAGAAGAGAAGATGAAAACGTAGTGTTGCAGCGATCCAGACCAACAAACGTAATTTCTCTTGCCTTATTAATAAGGCATACCCTAGCTCCACCACCCAAAGCTCCATAACCAATGAACAGCCGCTCAATACTAACTGCATCATCCACCTATCTATATCCAGATCTGAGTCCACTGCTACCTACCTCAGCTGGTTCTCTCTTGACGGTTTCAGTCTGATTGTCGAGACATATTCTGCAATTCGCTCAGGCTTGCTAGAGGTTCATCGTTTATAAACTAGGCATCTCATATGGTTTTCTCGAATTGCTTTGAACCTACGTAACGGACTACAGAGAGAGGAAGAAGTTGCAAGTCTGATAATATTACTGTATAATAGTGAGCTACCGACATCGCTAGTCAACCTATATAAATATGCAATTCATAAGATCATTGATTGTGCGATGGTCTAAATATTTTATCAACCAAACCTGCGACCGCCCGTCCCATGAGATAATGGCATGCAAATCGTAACCCGGATGAAACGCCCCCGAATGAATCAAAGAAAAAAAGGGAAGAAAAGGAACGGAAAGGAAAGGAAAGGAAAGGATAAGAAATGGGGATAAGAGTAAGTGGGAACCCGAGAATAATGATAATAATGATGATTTCACCCCATCATTCTAAATGTGATCCATATACCTTGGAAATACGGAAGAGATCACTCAAATTGGCGCGAGCCAACCCGGACACACGTCCTCGATCAGTGTCTCTCCGCATCGACAGGCCGACCTACGGGCTGGCCTTGCGCTTGACGCGCCGCGGCTGAATGGGCGTTGCCGTTCCGGTCCTCGTCGGACTGGCTCGAGCTGTCGTCCTGCATGCCTGCGGCAGATGCACTCCGCAGGCGCTGGGCGCGATCCTGCAGCACCTGGGCCTCGGCAGCCGCTTTCTGGGCGCGGATCTGCTTCCGCCACATGCTGGCGTAGCGTCCTTTCATCGCCAGCAGCTGGTCATGGGTCCCGCTTTCGACCACGCGCCCCTCGTGCAGAACGAGGATCTGGTCCGCGGTGGTGATGGTGCTCAGCCGGTGCGCAATCACCAGCATGGTCCGACCGCGAGACAGCGTGGACAGTGCCCGTTGGATATGTTCCTCGGTCTCGGTGTCCAGCGCGGCCGTCGCCTCATCCAGCAGGATGATCCGCGGGTTCTTGATGATCGTGCGGGCGATGGCCACCCGCTGTTTCTCACCACCCGACAGACGCAGCCCGCGTTCCCCGACCTTGGTGTTGTACCCGTCGGGGAAGGACATGATCTTGTCATGGATGCTGGCCGCCCGGCAAGCTTCGTAGATCTCCTCATCCGAGGCGTTTTGGTTCGCGTATTTCAAGTTGTACATCAAGGTCTCGTTGAACAGCACGGTATCCTGCGGCACGACACCAATGTGTTTGCGGATGGAATCGATCGTCAAACCTTGCACGTCGTGCCCGTCGACACGGATACGCCCCCCTTCCGCATTGTAGAACCGGAACAGTAAACGGAAGACTGTGGACTTTCCACCGCCCGACTCGCCCACCAACGCAGTCGTTGTCCCGGGCTGACAGTGGAAGGTCAGTTTGTTGAGTGCAGGCTTTCGGGAATCGTACGCGAACTCGACGTCCTCGAAGGTGATGTCGCCCTTGCACAGCGGCAGAGGCTTGGCATATGGGCTGTCGACCACCGTCGGCTGCTCCCGGAACAGCTCCAGCAAGCGCTCAGAGTTGATCAGGGCCGACTGGATGGAGCGGTAGAAGGTACCGAAGAAGTTCAAGGGCCCCTGCAACTGTGCCATGTACGTCAGAAGGGAGACGAACTGGCCCACGTCCCGCTGGCCCAGGGACACCTGATACGCGGCGATAAAGCATGCGATTAGCAGGCCCATCATGAAGACGGTATTCTGAGATGTGTTCATCAGATTCAGCGAGAACAGGACGTGGTACTCGGCTTTCTGGAAGTCCGACACCGCCCCCCGGTATCGCCCAAACTCGTAATCTTCGGCATTGAAGTACTTGACGGTCTCGTACGAGACCATAGAATCGTTCCTGAAGAAAAGTAAGCACTTCTGCAGCGGTAGCAAGGAAACGATCCAAAAAAAAAGAAAAAAAAAAAAAAACCTACTTCACGGCATCCTCCTGTCTCGACGCATTGACCATCTGGCGTCGAATCTCGGCTCTCCACTGCGCCATGCGCACAGTCACATAGAGGTAGCAGAAGGTCACGATGGTGACGACCAGCGCATAGTAGGCATCGAGAGCGATCAACAGAAAGACAATGGCGACGCAGAGGTCGATCAACATGGGAACCACCTGGAACGTAACCTGTTCGAGGAAGGTGTTGATGGAGCTTCCCTTGCTCAGGGCGGACAGAACTTCGCCCGTCTTCTTGCCCAGGTGGAAATCGAGACTGAGACCGTGCACATGTTCGAAAGCGGCCGTGGACAGCTCCATGTAAGAATACTGGCTCACCGGGATCCAGAGACTCGAGCGCAGCGATCCAATGAGGCCCTGGTTGCCTTGCAACCACCGATAAAGGATATATAGGCAAATTTCATACCAGGGGACGCGGAAGTCACCATCGTTCTTGGATAGGATGTTGGTGATGACCCCGACCTGGTACGGGACGAGCACGTTGACCACGCGCTGGAGGATGATCAGCACAAAACAAATTACCACGACGATCTGCAGCCGTCGGGATTTGGAGGGCCAGAGGTATGGGAAAAACAACGAGTAGCCGCTGAGATACTCCCACCAGCTGGTCGACGGAACCGAGGTGGGTCGGACCCAGGGGTCGGCGGGTTTGGACGACTGCTGGTGGCCGTGAGCGCCATTGGTGGCACCATAGTGGTCACCGTGCTCTGCCCGGGATGAGTCCAGCAAGCCCGTGGTTTCGTGGGAACCGTTGGCGAGATTGCGAGCGGCCTTGCGCCCGTGGGTCTTGACCTTGATCGCGCTGCACATATACAGCAGGGCCACGACCAGCAGGATCATAAGCCGGACGGCATTGGACACAACCTCCATGGACTCCCATCCCGTCATGCCGTGACGAAGACGTCCGCCGGCGGGATTACCCACGACGGGCTCGCGGTGAGCGCCTGTGTATAGGGAAAACGAAACCCCTAGGATCGCTAGTTCGACCGGGATTGCCACTAGCCAGGAAACAAACTGGGGAAAAGTCGGTGAGGGATTGGTATCCAATAATGAGATTAAGATGATCGCATAATCAAAGAAGGATCCCACAACGTATATCTTTTGAGCAGATTAGATTAGCCAGAACATTGGCGCCTCTCTCCCAGGGCCATCCCGAGGGTGGAGTCGTCACTCACCACGACGGATTGACCGCACCACCAGTGCTCATCCCTGGCCACCATCACGTGGGTGATGTTAATGGCCGCATCGGCGACAATGGTCACTAAGACCCCTGCCGACAGCCATTTGAACAATAGCTTAGTGGCCCGCGAGAACTGGTGCGCGGGTTTTGCCACCGCGGCCGAACTCCTTGCACGCTTGGGCAGCGGTCTCCCGCCAGGGCCGGTCCGGGTGCCCGTAGAGCTTTTGTTGACATTTTTGGCCGTGAGGATCGAGTTTGCGATAAAGGACGAAACGAAGACGAGGAGGAGCAGGATGGGGAATCCGGTGCGGAGGTACTCCAACAGTTCCCGGGTAGCGTGATGAGAGTCCATGATGCGCGGACCTCACCCACAAAAGATCAGAACCAGAGTCAAACCAAAACCATCCAAGTTATTTCCATGACAGGGTGGGCGACCGCTTTTGTTCCGGGTTAGACCGAGAGACACGGGAAGTGTGGCGAGGCGGTAGGGATCGAGAACGAACGGCGAACTGGTATGAAAAACGACCGAGCGAGTGTCGATCGAAGGGAGGGTCGGGAGTTGGGACTTGGTGGACAGATCGGCAAGACACGTGGGACAGGACCACTTTCTTGATATGCTTGTATATGAAAGTGGAAAAAGAAAAGAAAAGAGAGAAGAAACGAAGAAGGAAAAAAAAAAAAAAAAAAAAAAAAAAAAGAGGGAAGAAAAAAGAAGGGGAGAAGAAGAATGAGAGCGTTATCTAAGACAAGCCAGGGTAAAAGGGCACTATACAAAGGTCAATGCAGGGAAACTATGGTATCGGTACCGCAGACCACGCGCGCATTGAACACAGGGCTATACCAGGAGAAAACTTCCGAATCACAATGACGAAACGAGAGGGAGAAAAAAAAATGCAATTAACAAGAAGAAAATAAAAGAAAGAAAGAAAGAAAAACGAAGATGAAAAGGAAAAGAGGAGAGAGAGAAGCACGACGTTGGGAGAATCCGCTTCAAGGTAGGTGAATAGTATGAGAGAGGAATTAATACGGGATGAAGGGAGGGATGGAAGAGGGGAAGGAAGGGGAGGAGAACAAGGACCAAAAGAGCAACAAGATGATGAGGAAAGATGCGAGTAGAGGAAGAAAGAGAGAAGAGAAAGAAAGAGAGAGAGAGAGAGAGAGAGAGAGAGGAAAGAAGAGAGACAGAAATGTCGGAGGCGAAGAGGAAAGGATCGTTGGGATACCAATCGATCAGAGAGACGGAGAGAGAGAGAATCAAGAGAATGACGGTGTGGATGCGGAAAGAATCGAGAACCAGAAACGGACTAGAGCTAGACTAGTTTGACCCAAAGAACTGCCAGTTGCTGCAGTGGATTAGAATATTCTTTACCAGGGAAGTGGAATCGACTGATCCAGTCCCAGTCCGGAGGCGAATATTAATAACCGATTCTTATAAGTAGACACTACCCTGGGAACCATTTATATTATTTGCTTGATTCGATTGATTCGATCAATTCATAGAGATAAAAGAATAGATAAAAGAAAGAGAGAAAGAAAGAAGAAAGAAGAAAGAAGAAAGAGAATAACAGGAATCAAGAAAGCAGATATAAAGAAACAAGTACTAACCAAGTGACTAAACCCAACAAGGTCATCTGTCCATCAAACTTACCGGTCAAGAGAATCGGCCTTCATTTTTCCCCGATCGAATCCCCACTCGGAGGTTTTTAACCTTTCTTGTTTGGATTGTGATGGAGGAGGAATGAACTCATCAGGAGGATCATTTCCTCTCTTTCATCATTATGTTGAGCATGTTTCCCTTTTATTTCGATCTTTTCCCTGCCCCTCCTTCACTCCGTAGTTCGTACTATACTCCACTATCATACTAGACCATTTCGTCAGCCATGCAGGATGAACCATGGATAGATCAAACTACATCCCGAGAGGTCAATGCATGTGGCCGTTGAGAGCATTCTTTCGGATGGAAACAAACTGGAGGTCATGTACCTGACGCTGACTGGATTGTGAAAAGAGGTCTATGCTCAATCTTTCCAGGGGTGGATGGCCTCTTTGGTTTCCTGATTTGACTGATATTAATAGTGATTTGCAATTCATTTCCATTTTCATAGTTATCATTTCTATGCTTACCCCCTGTTTTTCTTTGTCATGTCCAGGTGAGGGATGTGAATCCATTCCAACCTCAAGCAAATAACAAATTATATATATAGTACAGGAGGGGTCCGGGAGAGGAGGGGGGAAAAAGGCTGGACTGATGACCTTGACCTCGAACGGTGGGGAACACCCGACCCTGGACTGGGGCTAGGTTTGATACCCGTTCGAGAGCTTCGATCATGAATGGACCCTCTTTATGTTCTTGGACGAATTGAGCGACAAGCCTAAATTGGAGCTACCAATGTTCCCCATGAGGTTGTACGGGACGGGTAGTTACTGTGTGACTCGACCAGACGGTCGAGGGAGTGGACGTTGGAGTCGGGGTAGGGAGAGGTACAGGAGGTTGGAGGTACCTAGTAGGACTATGGCCCCTCCAGTCCGATCAATACTGGATGATCGATTCGTTGGCTTGATTGGATGGTGCAGACCGGGGTAGTTGACTGTTTGCTGGGCTGGGGCTATATTCTTTCTCCATCACACACATCATTCAATCATCCCATATTCTATGATTGGAAGTGTTAACCCGATGGATTAATAAGATGGTATTATTGAAGTTTTATGAATCCACCTGCAGTTCCCCTCCAATCGATCCCGAGGGCACTTAGCGCCCTTCACAGGGTTATCGGTGGCTGAAAAGTAACTCAGCGCCAGGGGCACCACAAACCCTTGTTTGGACTTGGTGGCAATTATCATATCATATCATATTATCTTATAATATATTATAATACTATACTATGTTATATGATATTATTTGTTCGCATAATGATCTTGTTCTATATCTTAACAAGAAAAATCATCCCAATATCATTTCGCCTGAGACATCAGGCCCCCATCGGTATGGGATGGATCCATCACCAGACCTGGGGAATGCATCCAAAGGGAGAGACAGAGACCAGGGACTCAGGTCTGGCCTCGAGTCGGTAAGGAAGGTAAGGTACGGTAATCCACTCCCTCGAACCCTGTTAAGTTTGTCTCTCTGAGTCTCTCCGAGTCTCCATCCATCCTCCCAGGTCCACCCCCTTTAGGTTTAGCCTGTCCCACTTGGAAGTCCCGAGTGACCGGATGATCTAAAACAGCAAAACCATGGTTGCTGTATTACCAAACACTCGATCTGGGGTCGATCCATACTCTCTACCCTACCCTACTTATACAGGCATCATCCATCTCAATTCTCCAGACTTGATCATTCGGGCTTCTTCTCCATCGTAGGCTTATTGGTGCTTTTTCTGCAGAATGAGGCTGGCATCCCTACTTTCCAGGCAATCCATTCCTTCTTGGGTATGGTCCCCCTCGGGGATGTATGTATGCATCCATCATTATGTCTGACAATTTACCCTTACAGAATCAATACCGCTCAAGCGCACGGGCGCTACTGCTTGCACACCGCCTGGGAAGAAAACATAAAAAAGAATGAACCACATGCATGCATGCCATTGCCCGTTCCTTTTTCCCTCAACTCTTTATTCAACCCGATTACCTGGTTGTTGCATTCGGACAGGTCTCCAATCAGGCTATCTCTCGATTCTACGGAGTATATTATATGGATATATATCATATCGATAGATAGATAAAGATAATAAAAAAAGTAAAAAAAAAAAAAACCATGAAAGAAAAATTGGTCGATCACCTGAGGCCATAACAGATCCCCGTTGGTGATCGATCTATCAACTTTCGATCCATCAGCTGGACAGGTCCAAAATTGAAACAACGAACCATTCTGATGCCCTAGACAAGGACTGGGGTAGATGGGTTGGTTTGCCGTTTTGAGATCTGAGTTGGTTGGATTGAGTCCTTGATTGATACTTATACTCTTGGCTCAGTATGGGTTGTCTTGGAGTATGAGTATACATATCTCTCCATCAATGATCAGCTAGTAATACTAATCGTGAAAATGATGGGAATTTATGAAATGAATTATACTTCTTCATGATTCTTATTAAATGATAATTGAGTATATACTATATCCTATACACTATGTACGAGGTATAGAGTTAAGTTCAAACTCATGTTTCCAGTACAGTAGTGTACATACTGGATGACTGACTAATTATGCACTAACACTCCACCTCCGGCTTCGCTCCGCCCAGACTTTCTTCCCCTTCCATCACAATCACAACCTCCACTCTTCCATCCCAAACAATCCCCCATTTGGATCTTCTTTATGCCGTACCTCCACACATGTTTATCGTTTGATTGATTGATTGATTTGGGTTCTCAAATCATGGACCCTCGGGTTCAATCGGGCTAGGTGGAGGTCTTCCCTCCGTTGGATGAAATCATGTCCGATCTGTCGCGACTACCCCGAGGGAGCTCGTCATCATCGCCGGCTCCTCCTCCCCCCCCTCCACCAGCTCCCCTCCACCAAGGCCATCGTTATTCCAACCGCGCGGCCAATGCTCTGGCTAGATTCGCCCAACCGTTCTTTTCCGGGTCCAGACCTCCAAGCCCGCAGACTCTCCCCGGAAGTCGTGCAGACTTGGCGGTTGCTCCCCGGTTTACTACTAGGTCCAAGTCCTTGTATAGTCCACCCCCTCTTCTTCTCCCCCTCCCCCCCCCTCCCTCCTTTATTCCCCCCTTTTTGATTCTTCCATCCCCGCCTGTCAATTCAGCTCGGATCCCTCTATCGCATTACCCCGCTTGTTCCGATGGGATGGTTGTTTTGGGAAAGAGGGAGATAGAGGGAGACGGTGCCTGGTGGGCTTCCTTCTCTTCATTATTATTCCCCTTACTTGTCTTTTTCAACCCATGATGAAATGGAAATTCAATTGGTTCAACCCTACACATGCATGTCGACGATGATCTGCAATTCTCCGTCGCTTAAGCCTCGAAAAGAATGACAAGATAAAGAAGCAAACTAAAAACAAAAACAAGCGTGCATCTCTAACGTTCCGATCAGGCCGGGAGCGTCCCAAACCGTTACGCATAAGACGGGAATCCCCATAGCCGCGGTGGATATTTCCCCTCAGCGGACACATGCAGTCATCGGGGGGAAAGAAATCCTCAAGACCATTCGGGTCTCTCCCGACCATCTGTCCGAAGAGTTTAACCTTCGCAACACGATCATCAGTTATGCTTCCACCCACCATGGTGGGAGCGCGCTCTCCGCGCGGCATAAGGACCAGCTGACGGTACGCGATGTCAAGTGGTCACATGGGCATTATGACCAGATCATCGCCACGGCCGTTGCCAATGGGCGCATTGTCCTCTATGATCTGCATCGACCGGGCCTAGAATTCTGTCGGTTCCAGGGCCACAGTCGCCAGGTCCACCGGCTCGCATTCAATCCGCATCACCCGCAGTGGCTGCTGTCCGGCAGTCAGGACTCATCCACCCGCCTGTGGGACCTGCGCATGCCCTCGACGGAGCGCGGGGTCCCCGTCTGCGGCAGCAAAGAGCACTACATGGGGAACAGTGACGCCATCCGCGACATCCGGTGGTCCCCCAGCGAAGGGTTCGCGTTTGCCACGGCGACCGACAGCGGCGCCATCCAGCTGTGGGATTCGCGCAAGAACAGTGCCCCGCTGCTGCGCATTACCGCCCACGACCGCCCGTGCTTCTCCGTGGATTGGCACCCGGACGGGAAGCACATCATCAGCGGCGGCGCCGATCGGCAGGTCAAGGTTTGGGACTTTTCGTCGTCCGCGGAGCGGAGACAGAAGCCGACCTTCCAGTTTCGAACCCCCCAGGCGGTCCTCAACGTGCGATGGCGACCCCCGTCCTGGGACCGGGAGCCCGAGGGGAACGGCGACTGGCAGTCGTCCCAAGTCGTGACCTCGTATGACAAGGAGGATCCCCGCATCCACCTGTGGGATCTGCGACGACCGTACATCCCCTTTCGAGAATTCGACCGCTACGAGTCGCATGCGGCCGATCTTCTGTGGCACTCAAAAGACCTGCTGTGGACCGCCGGTGAATCGGGGTCCTTCACGCAGACGGATGTTCGATATGCCCCGCACATCATCAATCAGCGACCGACCTGCTCCGTGGCCTGGAGTCCGAGCGGTGAGGTCCTGGCCTTCGTCCAGAAACGCCCGGCCCGACGGGCCCTGGGTCTCAGTGCCACCGAATTTGTGGGCCAGGCGGAGGAGGAGAACAGCAGCGGCGAGGTCTTCAGTCAGAGCCCCGCCGACGATTCGCCCGACGAACCGTCGTTCACCGTGGTCAACCACCGACACAGCAAGTCTACCGGTGCCAGGCCATCCAAATCCTTGGACAACACTCCACCGGGCGTCGCGGAGTTCTTCCCGATCCTGTCTTTGGAGAAGACCCTGGCGAAGGTAAAGCCCCCCGGTCCCCGGCAGTTGGGCGCAATTGGAGGCATCCTGGGTGCCACCATGGATCGGGGAACATTCCGGTATCTGGCCCGAAACTACGCCTCGCTCTTCACGGACACCGGTAACGCCCGCACCGACCCGGCACGATCTCTACTGGAGTCACTCGATCACAATGCAGGTTGCGCCGAGGATGTCTCCCTGGTCAAACTGGCCCAGACGTGGCAGGTCATCCGAATGGCAGTCGCGGAAGAACTCCGAATGAGAGCCCAGGAACAGCGCCAAAATCCCGAGAAGGCGACGCGTGCGGCAAAGAAGAGACTCTCCAAAGAAGAACCGGGGGCCGAGAAGACACGCACCACAGAAGATGGCAAGCTCGAGAAGATGAAGAGTCGGTTTTTCAAGGGGACCCGGGAGATTGGAGCGTCCAAGCTCTCCCTTGCCGACACCGAAAGCGCCTCGAACATGACGACGCCGCTTGCACAGCCTTTGCCCGATTCCCCGATTGGCACCTCAGAGAGCTCCGCCTCCCACATGACGTCTCTGAATGATCCGACTGACATCCAACCGCTTCCGCCATCGCTCCTCAGCTCACGGTTTGGCACCATGGAGTCGAACGAGTCCTCGTCCATGTCGGAACTCGGTACCGGTGCACAGGAGCATGGGTTCGTTGCCCCAGATCGTCTATCACCTGGCTCCGCTCGCATGGCCATGTCCCAGGCGTTCGAGGACGAGCAAAGATCAGCCCCGCGGGCGATCACCGGTCGAGCCGACTGGCGTGCCTTGGATACCTACCCCGCCCGTGCAGACGACAACGAGGATGAAGCAGCCGTCCATGACTACAAGTCATTCCCGAAGAAGGCACTCTCGCTCGAATCCCACGGAGATGCCCCGAAAGCCGCCGAATTTCGTCGCCACGGGTCATCGGACAGTTTCCCGATGTTCTCCGCGTCGACGGGGAGTTCGCACCCGTCTCGGAATTTGGCCACTTCGTTTTCTTCCGCGAATAGGCTGCATGATGTCGCCGAGGATGAGGCCTCTGACGAGGAAGTGGACCGTCAGGCCCCTAGCGAGGTTTCGTTTCGGGCTCGGGAGGCCTCCCTTCTCGGCAGGGACGCAGTCCAAGGCAAAGACGCCCCTACAAATGGGGAATCCCCGGTTGACAGCCACTCCGATGCGGAACACGTGCACCTTGAGCGGCCGTCGAGCCCTCTACCGCTGTTGAAAGAATCGAGTCCTTTGCAGACCCCCAGCCGGGAAGAAAGTCCTAGCCTCGCTGCGCAGACCATACCCGACAGCCTGTTGGGGGTGACCATCCCCATCAAACCTGATGGATCGGGAAACAAACCATGGAGTGCCGAAGCATTGCTGAAGCAAGCCATCCGGTACTGTCACAGCAGCACTCGTGTCGATACCCAGTCGGCCGCCCATTTTCTCCAGAAACTGCGGGAACTCTTCCAAGATTGCGAGGAGATCATCCCCAGCCACGAGAGCGAGCTCCTATTCAAAGCATACAACGAGGACCTCCAGCGCCAGTCGATGTACATCGAGGCCGCCGAGCTCCGCCTGCTCTGCGTGCCGTCATACCCAGCCGTGTACGAGTACGCGCAGACAGACACCTACATGAACGTATACTGCTTCACCTGTAAACGTCCATACGAGAACCCCAGACCCGACAACCGCCGCTGCCACCGATGCCAGACGCCACAGGAACCCTGCGCCATCTGTATGAGCCTGGACCCACCCCCAGAGTGGGTGCTAGAACAGTCCGAGCCATCTACATTCCCACCCCACGGCGTAAGCACAGATCCATCATCATCAAGCAACATATCGCTCAAAACAGAGCCCATCCCTGCATCCGAAATGAACCACCTAGCAGGCTTCGACTCGGTCCGCCCCAAAGGCTCCACCCTCTGGACCTGGTGCCAAGGCTGCGGCCACGGCGGCCACATGGCCTGCATCCACACCTGGCTGAAGGACACCACCATCAGCGAAGGCGGCTGCGCCACCCCAGGCTGCGCCCACGACTGCGGGCCCGGGCCCCGCCGAGACCACAACCGCCGCATCCTCCAAGAAGAGTCCAAGCGCCGCGACTCCGTCGGCCGCAAATCCGGCACCGGCTTCGTCAAGCGCGACCCGTGGGCAAAGGGCGAGAGCAAGGCCGTTGAGAAAGTGCGCGGCATGTTAGGTGCCCAGACTACTGCATCGGGCGCCAGCTCGTCGGCGAATAGTGCTGCGCCGAGCACGACTTCTAATCTGATGTCGCCGAAGAAGGTCCGCTTGGTAACGCCTAGTGAGCAGGGACGGCGGCGGGGCACGCCGTCGAGGTCGAGTATAGGGGGGAGCAGTACTGTGAGTGGGTAGCCTTTACCTTGAGTATGGGTAAGGAGGGGGGTGAAGATGTCAAATTTCTGTTTCCTTTTCCTTGATGTTGTTTGCATGGCAGCTTGTTGTTTGGTTTAGTGTAGTTTCGTTAGTTTAGCATGAGATGGCGTACTAGGCTTAGGCCGTTGAGAATTTTTATACCTATACCATGATGGAAATTTGAGTTAACATGTTCCCTTACCTGTCTGTATGTATACTCTACTCTAACAGATATACTTTATCATCCTACAACCTATAATCCCTACCAATCAACGGCTCATCCACAAGCAAGCAACCGAGCAAGCAAGTAAGCCGGTTTAGCTAGTGCGAAAGTAGATTACAAAAATCTTATATAAGTAGTACTGATTAAAAGCCGACATACAAATGCAAGTGACATTATTGCTCGCTAGATATATAGATATAGACAGACACAGACTATTCATATGTTCATTGAGTAAGAGCAAAGAAACCGAAAGAAACGAAAACGGATAGAAAGATCCAGATACTCAGATAACACGGCGCTCTTTCTCCTCTGGAAAGATGAAGAAGATAAAAAGGCCAATCCCGGAAACTAGTCCAACCAACTCATTCGGGTGATACCTAATACCTAGATACCCAGTCACACCACGCTTGAAGAGTATTGAAATCATGTCACCACGACTGAAGTGGGGTGTTTCAAGAGAAAGGTAGGAAGGAAAGAAGGAAAGAAGGAAAGAAGGAAAGAAGGAAGGAAGGAAGGAAAGAAGGAAGGAAGGAAGGAAAGAAGGAGCGAGGGTAGAAGCGAAGGTAGAAGGTAGATGAAGATATGAAGTTATGAGTTTAAAATCGCCTCTTCTTCTTAGCCGGCGCTTTACTCTTCATTTCTAGCTGTCTTTTCAGCTCCTCTCGCTTCCGGTCTGCTTTTTCCTGCTCTGTTTCTGGTTCTGGTTCTGCTTTGGGGGGAGTTTGTGGTTGGTGTTTCTTCGAGGATGTGGATGGAGACTCCGTTTTCGTTTTCGAAGTTGGTTTTGGTGGTGATGCTGGTGATGATGATGCTGTATGATGGTGGTGATGAGTCGGAGAAGAGCGTGGTTCTGCTGATCGGGAGGCCCTGCCGCCAATGACGCCAAGCTTGCTGTGTTGAGTGGTCTTTTTCGAAGGTGAATTCGGAGCTGGTGGAGAAGAAGGCTTCTGCTGTTCTTTCTTCCTGCCGCCGATGACGCCCAGTCCGGATTTGGGATGTGTCTTGGTTTCTGGAGATTTGGGCTTTGGCGGTTGTCGACGAGAAGAGGGTGCGTCGAGATCAGAGGCAGAGTCCGTTTCGTCGTCTGAGTGGGTGGCGTTGGAGGAGGGGTGGGATGGTTTGTTACTTTTGGTGGTGGCCGAAGGTTGTGTTGATGGCTCTGGTGAAGCTGGCTTGCGGTGTCTTCTTCCCCCGATTACTCCGAGGCTTCTGGTGGCCTTTGTCGGGTGGGTTGGCTGAGGTGGAGGCTTTTTCGCGGGCTCTTTGATATTCTCGTCGGTTTCTTCTTCGTCTGTAGAGTCAGATGGTTTTCTACCTGCCTCTCTTGACTGTTTGAGTCGAGGGGGCGTCTCTTGTCTCTGGGATTTGGTTTAGTATCAAGCTTCGAGAATGAATAGACGGGCTTACCTCAAACTCATCCTCGGTTTCTGTACCAGCGTCGGTCTCGGTGGCGTCGTCTTCTTTGACGTCCTTCGTTTCAACGTCTTTGTCGCGCGTATTGTGCGTAGGCACTGCAAGTGGGCTGTCGTGTGTGCCAACCTGCTCCCACCACGCGTCCGGAGGCGGGTCCAAACCTTCAAATGACCCTGTACTGCTGGCACCGGTAAATGCTTTCACGATATTGGCAGCAAAGCCCAGATCGGGCGACGACTTGCTGATCTCTTCACGCCACGCTTGCTCATCAAACGGCGCAACGCCTTTGATATACCTAGCAGCCTGCGACAGCGTGGTTCCCTTGCGGCCTGTCCGCAAGCCCGACGTACCTGGGAATATCGTACCGAGGTCGATCCCCATGGTTTCAATCTTGTCGAATAGCTTTCCAAGGACCCAGTCCTTTTTGTGGAGCTGCTCTATCAGGGCTTGCTGACGCGCTTCCCAGTCAGCCTCGGCCATGACCAACGGAAGGAGAAGTTGGCTTGTTGAGGCTGACGGAGACTCTTTTGATAAGCGTAGTGTCCATTTGAGAGGCTCAAGTGGAGCAGGTAGTTCCGTGTAGGTGATTAGCTCTAGGGAGTCTCCGCTCGATTGATGATTGAGGGCTGCGCTGCTTCCAGCCTCGCCGTGGAGTGCGTCGCGTATCTTCTGCAGCAAGACTCCAAACTGCTCGACGTCTTCACTGGGATCGATGGTTGTATTTTCATCGTTGGCTCTCCGTAAGATGGCCTGACGGCTTAGCTGTTCGGCCCATACATTTGTGAGATCAGTCATGTAGATCTCGTATGTATAAGCGGTCGAGATGAATTTGTAGAGGAGAGGAGGCGTTTTCTCATCATTTGAGAGACGAAGTCTCTCCCATGTTGTCGTCATATCTACTATCCCCCTTCTTTCTGAGCAAAGTGGATGGTTGAAGGTGAGTTCGTCACCACGAACTGATATCAGCCTGGAGCCTGACAGTAGGCGGCAGACGGGGGCCTACACGTGCTCAAACAGGGTAGGTAAGCCGAGCGTCTGACTTGCCGCCTTCGGGTGGGTCGAGGCCCCATCGAACTTCTATCTTTCATCATACGGCGATCGGCCTTCCATCAATCGCAGCGCAACGGCTTCACATAACTCGTCACGTTTCTGTCACGTTTTCCCATCGCGCACAATGTCGTCCAAACTTCCGGACAGATCCAACTGGAAGCGAAGTCGCTCTCGATCGCCGTCGTCGCGCCCACCGCACAAGTTCGCCCGCCGAGACGACGACTACAACGGCTCCCGAAACATTAAGGATCAAGTCCGGTTGAACCAGCTCCAGGAAGCGGAACAGGCCCGACAATGGGTGGCACAGGAGGATGTCTTCGTTCTCAAGCAGGCGAAAAAGAAGGCCGAGATTCGGGTTAAAGAGGGAAGGGCGAAGCCGATCGACTGGCTTACCGTCACCTTGCGCGTTATCGACCCGACCCGGGATCCTCACGACGATGAGATCGCGGACTCGGATTTGGATCTGGTGGACCCGGATGGGGTGTTTGAGGGTCTTTCGCAGAGCGAGTTGCTGGATTTGGAGAAGGATATTGAGACGTTTCTGGGTCTGGAGACGAATTCTCAGAACCGGGACTTTTGGAGAGTAGGTCTACTTTTTCTATCTCCCATACCTTTCGGAGTGGTGACGCTAACCGTGGACCTCCTGTGATAGACTATGAAAGTGATTTGTCGCGATCGCCAAAAGTCCACTGCCCCCGAAGGCCGCGCCCTCAGCTCCGTCGCCGCAGACATCAACAGGCTACTGAGCCCCAAGAGCTACGAGCAACTGCAGAACCTCGAGGTACAAGTCCGCAAGAAGCTGGACTCGAACGAGCCGATTGATACAGACTACTGGGAGGAGCTCTTACGCAGCCTCACGGTGTGGAAGGCTCGCGCCAAAGTGAAGAAAGTCTTCCAGGCGGTCATTGACGAGCGTGTACGAGGGCTGCGTGATCAGCAACGTGAGGAAGCCGAATCAGTTCGAGATAGGCTCGCTCCCTTAGCTCCGGCGATCGAGTCAACATCCAATGCGCCCGACGAACGCGATTTCCGTGGTTTGGATCCCGACCCGCTGCTTCAGATCCGGCCGGAGGACAAGGGGTTGGAGATAGTGGATGAAGATGCTTTTCTCAGTCAAGTGGTGAGTTCCTTACGTACTGGTATGTTTCTTGTCTTTCTTTACTGATGAAAGTGGTAGGCCCGCGATCGTCAGAAGGTTCTGAAGATGGGTTACGTTCCCCTACGCCAGCGACAAGTGGAGAAACCATCAGCCATGCCGGTGGCCCAGACATCCAGCCTGTCGGTTTCTACCGCCCCCACGCGCTTTTCCGCCATACCCAACGAAGATTTCTCACAGGCCACCAAGGCCCTGTACGAGCGCGAACTCGCCAAGGGCGTCAGTGAGAACGAGGAGATCTTTACCGGCGAGGAGTCTGTCAGCACGGGTGCGCAGCCGCTATGGGCGAACAAATACCGACCTCGCAAGCCCCGGTACTTCAACCGGTGCCAAATGGGTTACGAGTGGAATAAATACAACCAGACTCACTACGATCACGATCACCCACCTCCCAAGGTCGTCCAGGGCTACAAATTCAACATCTTCTACCCCGACCTCATCGATAAAGCCAAAGCCCCGACCTATCGCATAGAGCGCGAACATGGACGAAAGCGCGGGCAGTCTTTTGCAGCTGCTGGTGAGGAGGATACCTGTCTCATCCGGTTCATGGCGGGACCCCCGTACGAGGACATCGCATTTCGGATTGTCGATAAAGAGTGGGACTATAGTGCGAAGCGGGAGCGAGGCTTCAAGAGTACATTTGACAAGGTATATTACTCTGCCAATCCCCATCCTGAATTATACTAACAGTTCTAGGGGATTTTGCAACTACACTTCCAATTTAAGCGGGTAAGTCACTTTTTACCTTGGGACGATCCCTTTGGCTATAGCGAAAACTAATATGTGTGACCAGATCTATTACCGGAAGTAAAAGCGGTACATACCATGTGGAATCAAACGACTCAGCATCTTATTTTTCATCAGCTGGACCCATCTGTAGCTCATCGTCGCATTCTTCTTTGTTCATTTTCAATGTCCTTAACCCTACCCCGCTAAATCCTGTCCTTCTCCACCCCCAATATGGACCTACAGCGAGATACATCTCCGCAGCTCTGATTGGGCTGGAGATAGCAACCACCTCACCAAGATTGGACCCCAATTCGATTACAGGCTAAGATGTATCAGACTGTCGGACATTCAGTGCCATGATCTGGGGCCAGGTTTCTTTTTATTAATTTTTCGGCACTTACGCCCCGCAGATCATGGCCGACACGTGCGCAGAGCCCCCTCGAGGCTTAATTCTACTCCCATAAAATATCACCTTGATCCTGGCCCTGTCATTCTTACTTCCAAGAACAACCTCTTCGCCATCACCTCTCTGGCCACGTCACGTGCCACATCGGGATAGGGCAAGTCGGCCACAAGCGTCACATTGTCTTCACAGGGTCAAGGGCTCGGGAAAACGGAAAGGGGGGGAGACGTCACGAATCGAGCGGCTTTCTGGTGCCACAGCGGCACTTGCATGGTCCATTGAACCATTCCGGCTGGTCGGGGAAGCGGTAGAAGGCTTCAGTATCTGCAGGATAGATTCAAAAGAATAATAAGGATCTCCAGGTTCAGCCCGAATGTTCAGTTCCAGAAAAGCTAGTGTTTCTTCGCCTGTCCGGCCGGTCCACTGCAGGTGGCCGGCACCATCCACCAAGCTCACTCAATCACTTCTGCCCCCCCGGTGGGCATCACCATCCAGTTGCGCCCCCTCCCCCCTTCGGTAACACCAGATCCAGCCTCTCCCCGGGCCCTGGGAAAGCCATTGGCGGAGGAAGGCGTGTCATGGATCTCAGCTGCATCAGAAATGTAGGAAGGACGAATGTGGTCAAGTAGAACAAAGCACCGCAACCATCCACAACATCCCCCAGTGTACACCCCAGTGTACACACCCTAGTGGCGACATGGTTGGCTGAAGGGTTTCCAGTGGGGAGGGAAATCTGGTTCATTCGCGATTTGGGATCCCTTTCCTTCTCGATCTTTTCCAGACCGTCTTTTGTTTGCTGGGGTCTAGAAATGCAGGATGGTGGCTGTTTGCAGGCCCAAAAAATGGGATATCAATTTAGTAAAAAAATTAATAAATAAATCAAATGAATCCAAATCAAATCAAATAAAATAAAATCAAATAGAACTAAAGAAGAAAGAGGATTCTGAGCTGGCAAGGTTGTTGCTTTACAGCTCGTTTCTTTTTTTCTTCTCTTTTCTTTTCTACTCATTGATTATTATTATTATTATGAGTATGATAATGGTTAGCATATATTATTTGAAGATTTGGACAGTTTACCCCTGGTTGATTTCTATTTCTTCCTATTTGATTCTGAATTCCCTAGTGATGCAGCTCAACATCTTCTGAATGGTCACACGTTCGGAGGTGCTTTTGTTCGTCTGGATTGGGGGTGGATTTCTTCTATTTTATTCTACTTTTTAGAGGATTATCTCGTTTACCTTTTCTTTCTTTTTCTTATTACTATTTTCTATTATTTTTCATTTTTTTTTCTCTTCTAGTTCCCCTCAATACAGAAACACCTTCTTACTTTACCTGCTTGGGCTCGTCCAGTTCTCTGCTTGGTCCATGGCTGTGTCTTTCTATTTTAATGCTCTTTGATCTACTCCTACTTCTCCTTCTTCTTCTCCCTGTTCTTATACCAACTATTAAAATCTAGTATTAATTGCCTTGTTCCCATTCCTCATTCCTCCATCCTGACCGCCACCCCGTTAAGTTCAGTCGTTGATTCCTCAGACGGTGTTGGATATAGATCTTGTCTCACCTGCCCAAACACTCTCCTACCACATCATTTCCTCAAGATGGATCGCTTTGTCCCCCATGGCTTGCCCACGGCGTCAGTCCCTGCTCGCCGAATCAACCCTCAACGGCTTATTCCAAAACAGACAGAGACACCCTGCCCCCTGGCGGATGGCGCTCTTCCCCAAACTTCACGCTCTTACGACCCCTGCTCAACCATCGACAACTGGACAAGGTCCAGTTCTAGTAGCCCTGAAGCAATGATGGCCTGTCAGCAGCATCCATGGTCCATGGAGGCAAATACCTCGGAATACATTCTCAGTCCATCTCACTCCCCCAAGGACACTCTGGCAGATGTATTGTCCGGCCAGTACGTGCACGACAGCGAGCACTCTGACTGGTCATCCTCGTTCATGAACCCCAATCCGACACACGCACCATCATCACACGCTAGACGACAACCGTCTCCCGAGTGGCCGCAGGATTCTCATGCCCCGGTGCTGGCGGGGGTTGACCGTGACTCTTACGGTGCACCATTCCGGCCTCATCAACAACGGTCTGGGACGGCGGCGATGGCCTACCCGTCTGCGCCACCATCACCTCTCTTGTCCTCTTCAGGATACCCTCCATCCCAGTATGGCCGGCCGGATCTCTCCCCGCTCAAGCCACTGGTGGAGCATGACGATTCACGGACTAGCCCTGACGATACGGAAGAAGACGGGAGCGCCGATCCTCCATACTCCCTGCTCATCTACCAGGCTCTCTGGTCTGCGGCGGGGAGGAAACTGACTCTCCAGGAGATCTACAGCTGGTTCGAGAAGAACACCACGAAGGGGAAAGATCGAACTTCGAAAGGTTGGCAGAATAGTATTCGTCATAATTTGTCGATGAACGCAGTATGCCTTTTTTTTTTTTTTTTCGTGTTCTTTTTAACCCTCCTTCTCCTGCCCCTCCGAGAGTCGATATCCTTCCTAGCAACCAATCACTGACACGCGAGTCGACAGGGATTTGAGGCCGTCCGTGAGGAGCCAACACCCGGCAAGAAGGCTGTGAATTACTGGCGCCTGACAGAGGAAGCATTTGCCAATGGCATTCAATCCACGACGCGATACAGAAAACAGGCGAATTACAAGAAGGCCCTAGGGTCAGACCCACCGGCTCCCCAGCGGCAGCGTTCTGGAGCTAAGGGGGGCAAGGCGACCAAAATCACGGCCAAATTCCGCGGACAACTGAGCCAGGATGAATTACGACGCGAACGATACCGGCCGCGATTGGCATCGTCATCAACATTATCGTCCTCGCCGTGGGGCCACCACCCGAAGGATCTTCATGGTCAATACCACCTCCCGTCCGCCATGCCCATGGTGGCACCGTACCATGTGGCTGTCTGTCCAACAGCACCAATGAACCGCTCAACAGCCTCGTCGGGTGAGCATCACTTCGACCTGGGAAGCGTCGTTGGGTGTGCTGACACCCCTCCATGCGCCCCTGTGTTCTGTGACATGGCGGGGCCGGGCGGCGCCGATTGCCTGGCGTTAGATCCAGGGTACATGGGGTGGTGTGGCAGCAGCCTCCCTCATCAATTTTCTTCCCACGCGCATCATGGCATGTTGACAGGCTCGGAACCAAGCTCGACAGATCTCCCATTGGGGGTATAGCTGTGGGGTGGATCGACTTTGATTGGGCGGTGCTGACTGACTTGCATGACCGTACTGTAGTGAAATCATTAGCCTTCTTCTTGGCCTTTCCTCTTACTATGCATTTTTCTTTCTTTTTTCTTCATTTTTTGTTTTACCCCCTCTCACCACCTCTATTGGTCATATTTCGGTCCTCTGCTTGTTTTTCTTCTTTTTTTTTTTTCTACTTTTCCTCCTATCCTGTTTGGGACCTTCAGGTTTTAATCATTACTCTGATTATTTAATTGTCTTAGTAAGAGTACGAAAAGGTGCGGCGTTGGGGTGAATATTGGGCATCTTTTTTCCTTACCCTTTTTTACCAACCTTTTTTTGATATTACAGAGTACTAGAGGTTACTAGATACCTCATCTATAGAATATTACCCTCAATGCAATATCTTAATGGCCAAACACTTCCACCAACAATGACATGGTCTTTCCTTAGTATACTTCCATCCTTCCCGTCGGTTAGTTAGTAGGTAGTAGTTACTACTTAGTGTACACCATCAAATCGTGGACCAAGCTGATTCGGTCCACAAAGCTTGACGAATCACCCCCTAGTACTGAACTAGGTAGGGGTAGGTAGGTAAATAACAATAGCGGATCATGAGGCAACCGAGACGCACAGATAAGGCGTCTGTCTGTCTTGTCTTCTTTGCCTGTGTCCACGTCTTTGGTTTTGCATGTCGGTATTTAGCCGGCCAATTACGGGCTGTTGCTTTGTTCGGAGCCGATGGTCCCATAGGTCTTGTGGAGCCGTCAATTCTTTACCTGTCTACTATATCATCCAACGTCTGTTTTACTGGGTACTAGGTAATCGTCTAGCTTAGGACTTGCTTCTTGTAGTCGGTGGGAGGAGGTGGTGACGGGGTCCGTGCCATCTGTTTCATCTCTAGGGTCTTCTACCGATCTACCTGTCTACTATGTGTGGAGCGCAGTTCGCATGGGATCTTGCCTTCGATTCATTTCGATTTCGATTTCTATTTCGATTTCTATTATGTCATATTCGTATAAATCCTTCTGTTGTTCTAATATGATATTCAAGTTTTTGTTTTTCGTAGATGTTTGTTCCATTTTCTTTTGTTTTCATACCTACTATGACCTATCTATAATACCCATGCTATTAGACCCTGATGCGCAAGCCAAGCACAACACGAGCCTCACGGGGAGGATGATAAACCCATGCCGTCAGACTCACCAACCTGTATAATTCATAGAAGAAAAGAAAATTGTAAACAGGAAAAGCAGATCAGGTGGTCACTCCATCCATCTATCCATCCATACATCATCGTGTAGCATCCCTCTATCTATCTATCTATCTGCCGGGGGTCAGGGTTGATCGACCCTGATTTCCTGTCACTCGCTCTGTAACCTGAGACTTTCCATTCGGCGGGAGAACTAGCCGGCCTTAGCTCTGGTGGGTAAAACTGTACTCGTTCCCTGTCGGTGGGGACATCTGAGTCTTTTACCGGATATCCTGATCGCAAGGCTCGATCTGCTGTACTGATCTCATCGAGCGAGAGGACGGCTAATTGGAGGGGGGGATCGAGGTTGAAGATTCCCTCCTCATTGTCATACCGTCATTCATTGAAGATCCTCAATAGAAAAGGAAAAGAAGGAATGGAAATCAAGGCATGACGTTCTCTTGAAGACATCACAGATACATCGAATAATGAAAATATAATAAAATCCTCTGATTTGCCATTCGTCTGGTCTTGTCGGCCAAGGTCTCCCAATCTCCTCCACCAACCAAGATCCGACGATCTTCCCCCCTCTCCAAGTTATCGCACCCCGCCTCTTCTCCATCCATTCTCTTTCGTACACCATTGTCTAGTCTTTAATCTCTAGTCAGTTTTTTTTCCTTTTCTTTCAACCATTACACTAACAGATCAGACACCAAGTGACAGTGACAGGTGATTGGGAAATTGAAATCTCCATAAGTGGGCTCCAGCAATGAAATCTTGACACCCGATGCAGCCAAGCCTGTCGCTGTCGCAATGACGGGATACACCTTCTCTCTCTAGGGCTATCGACCGGCTGAGTCCGCGACTCATCGTCATTGCTCAACTCCCCTACCTGTAGTCAGCGGGTTAACGTGCTGCAGCAATACGACACTAGGACGGTTTCAATGGGTTGAAGGGGGTGTGCAAAAACAGAAAGAGCAGCGCGAGTTGGTCTCCATGTCCGACCTGGCCCGGGCCTGACACAGCCTATCCCGACGTGCCCTCTTTCCGAATGGACGCATGCCGTATGTCCGTCAAAAGTGACTAAACAAAAAAGCAAATGGGGCATGAGACAAGGGGGGGAAGAAGAGGAAACATAAGAGAGAAAAAAGCAAAGAATGAATGGGAGGGAGAAGCAACGAGGTCAGTCCTAAAGTACTATTTTTATTCTCGGTGTACGCAAGGTACTGGAAGGCTCGTTCTCCAGTCCCTCGTGCGATCTCATGCATGCCCGTCGGGTCGCATTGGGTTTTCCCGGCCTCGTTTATACCGCGTATGTACGACGTCCATCATTCTTATTGACTGGCCGGTGAGAGGAGCGTCGGACCTGGGCAACGATGACGCAGTGGAAATGATAAGGGAGTCATCCAGCACTAGTTGGGATTGATATCTTGCCAACTCAGTCTTCGCTTCTCCTCATTCTAGAAAACCTACCCAAACCCCGGACTACCGACCTTGATGATCGACGTCGTCTCCAGATACCCCCTTCCTTTGTTGGGTATCGTCAAGTTCAAGGCAAATAGACTCTGCTGCCTCTTCGTCGGCCCAGTGCAACGCCCAAAAGTCAAAAGTACGACTTTCGTATTTGGATTCGAGGTTATTCATTTATCGCAACCACCAAACGGGCCGTGCCGAATGTCTCAAAGTCTTTTTGCATCGAGTCGCTAAACTCTCGCACCTGAGACAACGCTGCTGATGCACGTCGCTGCTAGCTCGGGCTGTCGTGAGCACTGCACGAGGATTACGATACCAAATGCTGGCTTTCTGACCACCGGTTGAGGATGACATCAGGCGCATGAAGCGGAGGTCTTGGCTCCGGTTCCTAGACCTTCTCTCTTGTAGAAGACATCGCGCACACATTAAGGGGGTTGTGGGGCGAGTTTGGGAGTAAGTTCAAGGGTGGGGTCGTCATGATCGAATTAGTGTCCTAGGTAGAAGGAGTCAAACAATAGCCATTGGAGAGGTGACGAAAGAAATGAAAGGGGAGAAAGAAATGATGTGGGAGAAAAAAATCATCAATGGCAATGACCAGGATGAATAAAGCTGCGAAGTTTGGGACTATCGCATCTTTGCAGCCACGAGTGTCTCGAGCTTTCTTTTTACGACCAGTCAATTTTTTTTCCTCTTTCACTCGTTTCTCATATACCAATTGGCCTACTCGGCCCGTCCTGGATTTCATGACAGCTGCACATCTTATTCATCGGCATTTTCTTCTGGGCTAGAGCAGCGTCAGTCTAGCGAGCTGCCTTCCACCGCATGGGTTGCCTTCTTTTGATGGCTTGTCGTGAACTGCTCTCCCTCAAGGACTGACCTACCTACTTGGGCACCGTGCTTAGGATAGTATCCGTCAGTCCCTTCTCTCAGACCGACATGATTCAGACTAGGAACGCGTCTACCCCATGCAGCCCCAAGTCCCTGACCTTACTTCGGCCGGCCTCTCCTCAGACGTTCCTGTACTTTTGTCTTGGGTTTCATGGGTATTCCCAGGCGCGTCCGTGTGTCAGATGCCAAATGGCTCGCTGAATATAGTCACAGCAGCGGCTGAGGCTGACCCTGGTATCACGTCGGCTTTTCCTTCCCGGGGGTTCGGTCACCATTGAGGAGTTCTCCACCGCGCTTTGACCGGAGGGAAGCAGAAGATCAATCGCCGGCAATTGGAAAAAAACGAGCACATCTTAGCAACCACTGTCATTAGTCAAGGCGCGTAATTGCACCGGAGAAACCTCGGGTTACATGGATCGGGACGGCCGAAGATAGAGTATCTGGACGCTCGGTAAGCGCCTTGTTTCATGCTTTTTGACCAAAACCAATGCTACAGAGTGTCAGATATCAGCCAATCTACTCAGTATATAGTAGTCAAATATCCATGACGAGAAGCCAGACGGGAAAGAAGGCTGCCTTCAATCCTGACCAGACCAACCCAACCCAATCGCCAACCACGACCATATCCACAACCACGGCAACCAGCTCCCCCTTTTGATTCAGCCCTTGGTATCCACTATCCACTATCCACCGACTTGTCTATAAGCCAGCAGCGAACCCCATCTGTCAGACTCTCCGCTGCACGCCATGCACCTGCACAGAGCACAGGCGTCGGAACATGGATCAGCCTGGATCGCCTGGATCGCCGCTATTCAACCTGCTGACAGCTGGTAACTGACTAACCACTGGGTCTTTCCCCTTTCCCTCACCCACAGAACAGAGCAGTGGTACCTGTCGAGTTCAACAGACGTATGTACCCTTGCCCCACGGTCTTTCCTATCTGATCACCCAGGCTCGGATACCAGCCAAAAAGACATGTACGTACTATCCATGTAGGTACGCAAAAATAACATCATAATTTCATCTTAAGATTAATAGCCATGTTATTATAATCATATTCCACCCTCCGGCTGCGAAAAATGGCCGGCCGGCCCAAAGGCTAGCTGTACCTCGAACACGACACGATGCCTACATATGCAGAGCACAGACAGCGCCTCTTTCCTCCCTCTCTCCCTCCCTTCCTATCTCCCTCCCTCACCAATCCTTCCCCCTGTCCATCCTCCCTCCCAGTCAACGGTGCCCATCTGCTGTCCCACCCTCCCAATGCCGAATAAGTCTCCTCACATCCCGCGGGTAAACGATCCCCTCCCCCCATTACCGGGCCCAGGTGTTACAAGCGGTCTAGCTCTAGTCGGGGATGGGAGGGAATTAAAAAAAAAAGACACCCCCCCTCCAGTAACGAGTAACAACTGTCCCATCATCTACGTACATATGTAACTATAGGCCATGTAGGCGTTCGCTAAGGGCAAGATGCAGGTCGCACACGCCGCTGCATTGCTTTCCAGGTCATGTCGGGCCTACATATGTTTCGAACGCCTGGATGGTTGGTTGGTGGATGGATGGATGGGGTGTCGGTGGGCGGTGGGTTTTGGGCCTGTATGTATGTCATCCCCTGGGTCTGGTGGTGTGGTGGGTTCTTGCATATAATGTGATGTGTTCGTGGGTTTGGGGGGAGGAGGGAAGAGGAGTGCTTTTTTGATGTGTGTATGTATGCATGGTGAGGTGAGGCTATAAGTTTATCTTCCTGATGACTTAACTGTGATTTTCCGGTCTAGGTAGAAGTACGTTTTTCTATACTGAGGTATTTAGGCTATTGCCCTACCTTAGGGAGCTATAGAGCCATCAGAACTATATGGAACGAGCGTCGTATGTGTAGAGCGCAAATTTCCCGAAAATAAATCAAGGTTATGTTTTTAAAAAAAAAAAAAGAATAAAATAGAAGATACAACCAGACCGCACCTTTGACTCCTACCTACTAAGTATTACCATCAGTACGTCGACCAATCTACGTGATCTGATACAAGCCCTTGCTCTATGAGTCCATCCTTCATCTTCTCTCCACCTCCCCGTTCCAACCCGACCTACCCTCGCATTCCTCCCCTCCCCCCTCCCCCTCCACCACCAGTACGTATATGCGTGGTTTGGGATACTGCTGTAGACATCTCCAGTAAGAAAATGGTAAATGGGTAATCACTGGTAGAATTTGAGTGTATCTGACTAGGCAGATGGGTAGCTTGGGTGGTTAACTTCCCGATTGTATATATATATATATATATAATTTGGGTACGGACTGCACCAACTGATTGAATTACCAGGAGTAGTAGGGGGCTCTGTGCATTGCTTTCTTTCCGTCTTGGCTTGTTGAGTTTGTTTTATCTTATTTTGTTATTATTTTTTACAGTTCAATTTTTTTTCTCTTGATTTTCGTTCACATGTTGAGTTGACTCAAGCAACCACTTGACCCAACACACACACACCAGAAGCACCGTAGGATATACCCAAGGCCACGACCACGATTGTACATAGGGAGGGAAGGGGACAGAAAAAAAGAAGTAACTGCTGCTACTACTAGATATATAACTAACCAATAAAGCCATTATACAAAAGGCAAGCCCTTCGCACAGTAGTCAGTCCTTTGCAGTGGTTTCACGCCAAGAAATGAAACGAAGAATAATCTGCAGTGGATTCGTTGCCTGGCGTGGTGACGACTGGCCATGCGTTTTGTGCTGGCCTTTCATTCTTCAGGCGGATTGTCAACTTTGGTGATGTTCAAGTACTTGCTCTCGATTTACAGATCTAGCTATATACTTGAGGTAGATGTCTGGGGATGGTTTGAGTTTGTGGCTTAAGTTAACCGTGTGTGGGGGTTGGTTGATGTGTATATCTGGAGGGGTTTTTGGGTCCAAGTTGTGGGTGGTTTATAGAGGTGTGGCTACTGGGCTGGATATAGCAGTTGAGATAGGTTTTGGTTGTCTCATCCTTTCCCCATCTGTACATACTTCGGTAGGTTGGGAAGCAGACGCTGGCCCAACTCAACCAGCCCGATCTTCAACCACCCTGTTACGTCCGGGTTGCCTGTACGGGAAGGATTCACTACATAACGGCAGAGCGGCAGTACAGAAAAAACTCATAATCGAATTTCTTTTCGATCTGAAACGCCAGAATTCATGAATGGATATTCATTTCGAGCCACGACTGGGTCGTGCGGCCGTGGTTCACTGGTCTAAGAGGAACCGTACCCTGCCGATTTTTTTCGTATTTCCATATCATTCGCTCCCACTAACCACGAACACCGAACATGAACGAGTCCATTTAGCGCTTGGAGGGCTTCTCCTGAGACTCCTTGAGGACCTTCTTGACGATCTTCTGCTCCTCGATCAGGAAGGCGCGGACGATGCGGTCCTTGACGCAACCGGCGCAGCGGGAACCACCGTAGGCACGGCTGACGTTCTTCTTGGGCCGGGAGATCTGGGAGTACTCGCGGGGGCGGAGCGCGGGGATCTAGTATAGGGAGAAAAAAAATCCCGTCAGCCTTCCTGTACCATCGCCTTGTTCCTCCAGAGTTGGTCCAACACTGGCGTGGTCTGAATTCTTTAAATTCCTTCCACCCCGCCTCCCCCGCCACCTGCTGGCCAAACCACACAACCACGGGAAAAAAAAAACCGAAAATTCACTCGGGAGTACTCACACCGGGGAGCTTGATGCCGCAGTCACCGCACTTGGGGGCGGTGCCTTGCTTCTTGATGTGGAGGTACCGGAGCTCGCCGCCGGGGGTCTTAACGACACGGACCTTGTTGGACCGCGTGTTGTACCTGTAGTCGAAAAATCAACATCCTGTTCATGTACAAGTCCGTTCGAAACCAAAATTCCTTTCCTGTCGCAATTCGGACGAGGCTTTCGACAGTCGGAGTGACAGGGGACTTTCGCATTTCATGCCAGGGGAGGTTGTGGGAAAAAAGTCACGTACGGGTTCCGTCTGCGCTGTAAAGTGCGAAAAAAAGATCCCGTCAGTATTTCTGTTTCGAAGATAAAGTCGCCGGTCCTGGATTAACTCACGTATTGGACTCTGTTGTTCGGCATTTTGACGGTCTTGAACCTCTGCGTCGGTGATCAAGAAATGGGCGGCGGGCGTCGTCGGTTGTCGTCAAAAAGCACGTAGGGGAGAATTCTGGCAGAGTCTCTGGGATTTGTGTGGGTTTCGCTCCGTGTGCCGCTAGTGCCGATTTGGTAATTTGGCGAGTCCGCGCTATCCCCAATCGGGATAGGTCCGGTCCGGGACAGAGCCGCCACCTCTTTTCCTTTTGCAAAGACATCAATCCTAGGGAGAGAGAGAGAGCGTGCCAGAAGTATCGTATCGTCCATCATTCTTGTCGTGAGAAGGGGATCGGCCAGAAGTGGATCCTTTACGTCTGACTTCTTGGGTGATACTATATTGAACCTTTCACCCATCTACTCTTTTGTTTCTTTTCCTTGTTTTACCCTGTCGTTTTGATGACCTAACCGCGCTTGATGAGCTTTTTCGTGACGTGAATCTCGAACGCGACTTGGTAGATTGAGCCGTCGACCCACCCCCGTGTGATCGAGAGAGACATCTCCAATCCTCTCATTATAACCATGGCGTCGTTGCCTCCTCCTCCGCCTCCGGGCTGGGGTGCAGCGGCACCTCCCTCGATGCCCATGGCGCCGCCGCCGCCGGGGTATCAACCTCCCGCGGACCCAACCGTCGCAAAGTTCGCTCAGAAGAAGACCGAATGGCTTCGATCTCAACGGAACCGATTCGGTGAGAAGAGAAAGGGTGGCTATGTGGAAACTCAGAAGGCGGATATGCCGCCGGAGCATCTGCGCAAGATCGTCCGCGACATCGGCGACGTGTCGCAGAAGAAGTTCAGCAACGAGAAGCGCAGCTATCTGGGCGCGCTGAAGTTCATGCCTCATGCCGTCCTGAAGCTGTTGGAGAACATGCCCATGCCCTGGGAATCGGCCCGGGATGTGAAGGTATTGTACCACGTGAACGGCTGCTTGACCCTGGTCAACGAGACTCCCCGGGTCATCGAGCCCGTCTTCCATGCCCAGTGGGCCACCATGTGGGTGTGCATGCGAAGAGAGAAGAGCGATCGACGACACTTCAAGCGGATGCGGTTCCCGCCCTTCGATGACGAGGAGCCTCCGCTATCGTGGTCCGAGAATATTGAAGACGTCGAGCCGCTGGAGCCAATCCAGATGGAATTGGACGAGTCGGAAGATGAACCCGTGTATGAATGGCTCTACGACCACCGACCCCTCTTGGATACCCCCCATGTCAACGGGCCCAGCTATAAGAGCTGGAACTTATCTCTTCCGCAGATGGCGACTTTGCACCGGTTAAGTCACCAGCTACTCAGTGATGTGGTCGACCAGAACTATTTCCACATGTTCGATCTGAGCAGTTTCTTCACCGCCAAGGCCCTCAATGTCGCCATTCCCGGAGGCCCGCGTTTCGAGCCCTTGTACAAGGACATTGACCCGAACGACGAGGACTTTAGCGAGTTCAACGCCATCGATCGCATCATTTTCCGAGCCCCTATCCGAACCGAGTACCGTGTCGCATACCCCTTCCTGTATAATACCCTCCCCCGAAGTGTTAAGATTCCCTGGTACTCGCACCCTCAAGTGGTTTACGCTCGGAACGACGACTACAACCTCCCTGCCTTCTACTTCGACCCTGTCATCAATCCCATTTCCTCCCGTTCCGTCGCTCCGAAGAACATCACAGTCAGCCATGAGGATGAGATTTTCGGCCCCGGAAATAACGAGGACGATGAGTTCGAGCTTCCGGCGGAGGTAGAACCATTCATGTCGGACGAGGAGCTTTACACCCCGGAGACTACTTCGGCTATCGCGCTTTGGTGGGCTCCTCACCCGTTCAACAAGAGATCGGGCAAGATGGTGCGCGCACAGGACGTGCCGCTGGTCAAGCAGTGGTACCTGGAGCACTGTCCCCAGGGACAACCCGTGAAAGTTCGCGTGTCGTACCAGAAGCTTCTCAAGACCTTTGTGCTCAACGAGCTGCACAAGAAGAAGCCCAAGGCCCAGAGCAAGCAGAACCTGCTTAAGACGCTCAAATCCACCAAGTTCTTTCAGCAGACCACTATCGACTGGGTCGAGGCCGGTTTGCAGGTCTGCCGCCAAGGTTTCAACATGCTGAACCTGTTGATCCACCGCAAGAACCTAACTTACCTGCATCTCGACTACAACTTCAACTTGAAGCCGGTGAAGACGTTGACCACCAAGGAGCGAAAGAAGTCGCGTTTCGGAAATGCTTTCCACTTAATGAGAGAAATCCTGCGCCTAACCAAGCTGATTGTCGACGCCCAGGTGCAATATCGCCTAGGCAACATTGACGCTTTCCAGCTCGCCGATGGTATCCTCTATGCTTTCAACCACGTTGGCCAGCTGACCGGTATGTACCGTTACAAGTACAAGCTGATGCATCAGATCCGGTCTTGTAAAGATCTGAAGCATCTGATCTACTACCGGTTCAACTCTGGCCCGGTCGGAAAGGGCCCAGGTTGCGGTTTCTGGGCGCCGGCCTGGCGTGTGTGGCTGTTCTTCATGCGTGGCATCATCCCCCTGCTTGAGAGATGGCTTGGGAACTTGCTTTCTCGCCAGTTTGAGGGCCGTCACAGCAAGGGCGTTGCAAAGACCGTCACCAAGCAGCGTGTGGAATCTCATTTCGATCTCGAATTGCGTGCGTCTGTCATGGCTGATCTCATGGACATGATGCCCGAGGGTATCAAGCAGAACAAGGTCAACACGGTTCTTCAGCATCTGTCGGAGGCATGGAGATGCTGGAAGAGTAACATCCCCTGGAAGGTTCCCGGTCTTCCTGCTCCCATTGAGAACATCATCCTTCGTTATGTGAAGAGCAAGGCTGATTGGTGGATCTCTGTCGCCCATTACAATCGTGAAAGAATCCGCCGAGGTGCGACGGTGGATAAGACGGTTGCGAAGAAGAACCTTGGTCGTCTTACCCGTCTCTGGCTGAAGGCTGAGCAGGAGCGACAGCACAACTACTTGAAGGACGGTCCCTACGTATCGTCTGAAGAGGCCGTGGCTATCTACACGACTATGGTGCATTGGCTCGAGTCCCGGAAGTTTTCGCCGATTCCGTTCCCCAGTGTCTCCTATAAGCATGACACCAAGATTTTGATTCTCGCTTTGGAGCGACTCCGCGAGGCCTACTCCGTTAAAGGACGATTGAATCAAAGCCAGCGAGAGGAGCTTGCCCTTATTGAACAGGCATACGACTCTCCCGGAACGACCCTGGCTAGAATCAAGAGATTCCTCTTGACTCAGAGAGCCTTCAAGGAAGTTGGAATTGACATGAACGACAACTATAGCCACATCAACCCGGTGTATGATGTTGAGCCCATCGAGAAGATTACCGATGCTTACCTGGATCAGTATCTTTGGTACCAGGCAGAGCAGCGTCATCTTTTCCCCGCTTGGATCAAGCCTTCCGATTCCGAAGTCCCACCACTTTTGACGTACAAATGGGCCCAAGGTATCAATAACCTGGACAATGTTTGGGAGACTGCGGATGGAGAGACGAACGTGATGATCGAGACTGAGTTGTCTAAGGTGTACGAGAAGATGGATCTCACCTTGCTGAACCGTTTGCTCCGTTTGATCATGGATCATAACTTGGCAGATTATATCACCTCTAAGAACAACGTGCAACTTAGTTACAAGGACATGAACCATACCAACAGCTATGGATTGATCCGTGGACTTCAATTCTCCGGATTTGTTTTCCAATTTTACGGATTGATGATTGATCTGTTGCTCCTTGGACTGCAGAGAGCCAGTGAAATGGCGGGCCCGCCGCAGAGCCCCAACGACTTCCTCCAGTTCCGGGATCGAGCCACCGAGACCAGACATCCCATTCGCCTGTACACTCGCTATGTCGATAAGATCTGGGTGTTCTTCAGATTCAAGGCAGACGAGTCAAGGGATCTGATTCAGCGTTTCTTGACCGAAAACCCCGACCCGAACTTCGAGAACGTGATTGGATACAGGAACAAGAAGTGCTGGCCGCGCGACTGTAGAATGCGCCTGATGCGTCACGACGTCAACTTGGGCCGTGCTGTGTTCTGGGATCTGAAGAACCGCATGCCGCGGTCCATCACCACGATTGAATGGGATGATACTTTCTCTAGTGTTTACAGCAAAGACAATCCCAATCTGCTGTTCTCCATGTCCGGGTTTGAAGTTCGCATTCTCCCCAAGAATCGCAACATGAACGAAGAATTCTCAGTGAAGGACAGCGTTTGGTCTCTGGTTGATAACACAAGCAAGGAGCGCACGGCCCACGCATTCTTGCAGGTCACGGAGGAAGACATCCAGAAGTTCAACAACCGTATCCGGCAAATCCTCATGTCGTCTGGATCGACCACTTTCACCAAGATCGCGAACAAGTGGAACACGGCTCTGATCGCACTGTTCACCTACTACCGTGAAGCCGCAGTGTCGACTGTCAACCTCCTGGACACGATCGTGAAATGTGAGACTAAGATCCAGACCCGTGTCAAGATCGGCCTTAACTCCAAGATGCCTTCGCGTTTCCCTCCCGCGGTTTTCTATACGCCGAAGGAACTGGGAGGTTTGGGTATGATCTCCGGCTCCCATATTCTCATTCCCGCCAGCGATAAACGGTGGTCCAAGCAAACCGACACCGGAATCACCCATTTCAGGTCGGGTATGTCTCACGACGAGGAGACTTTGATTCCCAACATCTTCCGTTACATCATCCCCTGGGAGGCTGAATTCATTGACTCTCAAAGAGTGTGGATGGAATACTCTCAGAAGCGACAGGAAGCCCAACAACAGAACCGGCGTCTGACGCTGGAGGACCTGGAAGACAGTTGGGACCGTGGTTTGCCTCGTATCAACACCCTTTTCCAGAAGGACCGCAGCACGCTCAGTTTCGACAAGGGATTCCGTCTGCGTTCCGAGTTCAAGCAATACCAGTTGATGAAGAGCAACCCATTCTGGTGGACAAGCCAGCGACACGATGGTAAATTGTGGAACCTGAACGCCTACCGTACAGATGTCATCCAGGCTCTTGGTGGTGTCGAAACTATCCTGGAGCATACTCTGTTCAAGGCGACCGCCTTCCCGTCGTGGGAGGGTCTCTTCTGGGAGCGAGCTTGTCTTGCCAAGGGAACACGGCTGTTGCGCTACGATGGTAGCGAGGTCGAGGTCCAGGATGTCCGAGAAGGCGATCTACTTCTTGGTCCTGACGGTGGTCCTCGTCGCGCGTTCAACATCGTGAACGGTCAAGATCGTCTTTACCGCCTGAAGATCGACGCAGGCAAGGAGGATCTTGTGGTTACACCCAACCATATCCTGGTCCTGCACCGGGAGAAGAAGTCACCTGCCGCGTCAGAAGCGGAGCCTTTTGACACCGTGGAGATGACTGCCGCTGAGTTCGCCGCTCTTCCTACCGAGGAGCGGAGTCAGTACTTGGCGTTTAAGTGCCCCGAGTTCGAAGGCGCCGAGCGCTCGAGTCCTCAGGAACGCAGCTTCTTTGTCAAAGACATCAGTCTCGAGACCGAGACCACGGAGTGGGCCGGTTTCCGGGTTGACAAGGATCAGCTTTACCTGCGTCACGATCACCTCGTCCTGCATAACAGTGGTTTCGAAGAATCCATGAAGTTCAAGAAGCTCACCAATGCCCAGAGATCCGGTTTGAACCAGATCCCCAACCGTCGGTTTACTCTGTGGTGGTCCCCCACCATCAACCGCGCCAACGTCTACGTTGGTTTCCAGGTGCAGCTAGATCTCACGGGTATCTTCTTGCACGGCAAGATCCCTACCTTGAAGATTTCTTTGATCCAGATTTTCCGTGCGCATTTGTGGCAGAAGATCCACGAGTCTGTTGTTATGGACTTGTGTCAGGTCTTTGACCAGGAACTTGAGCAGCTGGGTATCGAGGCTGTTCAGAAGGAAACCATTCATCCGCGTAAATCTTACAAGATGAACAGCTCGTGTGCGGACATCCTGCTCTTTGCGACGAACAAGTGGAACGTGACCCGTCCTTCCATCCTGTTTGACACGAAGGATACTTACGAGCCAACTACGACGAACAAGTTCTGGCTTGATGTGCAACTGCGGTATGGTGATTACGATTCTCACGACATTGAACGATATGTTCGTGCCAAGTACCTCGACTACACCACGGACAGCATGAGTATCTACCCTTCGGCCACCGGTTTGATGATCGGCATCGATCTTGCGTACAACCTGTACTCGGCATACGGTCAGTATTTCCCGGGTTTGAAGACCTTGGTTCAGCAAGCTATGGCGAAGGTTATGAAGGCCAACCCGGCTCTGTACGTGCTGCGGGAGCGTATCCGCAAGGGTCTGCAGCTGTACGCCTCCGAGAGCAACCAGGAATTCCTGAATTCGCAAAACTACTCGGAACTCTTCAGCCCGCAGATCCAGCTGTTCATCGATGATACCAACGTCTACCGTGTCACTATCCACAAGACCTTCGAAGGCAACTTGACAACCAAGCCAATCAACGGAGCCATCTTCATCTTCAACCCCAGAACTGGACAGCTGTTCCTCAAGATCATCCACACTAGCGTTTGGGCTGGACAGAAGCGTCTGGGTCAATTGGCTAAGTGGAAGACTGCGGAAGAAGTGGCGGCGCTTATCCGGTCATTGCCCGTCGAAGAGCAGCCGAAGCAGCTTATTGTCACCCGTAAGGGTCTCCTGGATCCTCTTGAAGTCCATCTGCTGGATTTCCCCAATATTTCCATCCGTGCTTCTGAGCTCCAGCTGCCCTTCCAGGCTGCTATGAAGGTCGAGAAGCTTGCCGATATGATTCTCCGCGCGACCGAACCTCAAATGGTCCTCTTCAACCTTTACGATGAGTGGCTGAAGTCGATCTCGCCGTACACTGCTTTCTCTCGTCTGATTCTCATTCTTCGTGCTCTCCATGTCAACATTGACAAGGCCAAGATCATTCTCCGTCCCGACAAGACCGTGATCACTCAAGAGCACCATGTCTGGCCCACGTTGTCCGATGAGGACTGGATGAAGGTCGAAGTGCAATTGCGCGATCTCATTCTTAACGACTACGGCAAGAAGAACAACGTCAACGTGCAGAGCTTGACGAGTAGTGAGGTGCGGGATATCATTCTTGGTATGGAGATCAGCGCGCCTTCGCTGCAGCGGCAACAGGCTGCGGAGATTGAGAAGCAGCAGGAGGAGCAGAAGCAGCTCACCGCTGTGACGACGAAGACTCAAAACGTTCGTGGCGAGGATATCATCGTCACCACGACGTCGCAGTATGAACAGCAGTCTTTCGCTTCCAAGACGGAGTGGCGGACTCGGGCCATCGCGACATCTAATCTCCGCACGAGGTCGAACAACATCTACGTTTCTTCGGATGAGGTTCGCGACGAGGGGTACACCTATGTTATGCCCAAGAACGTCCTGAAGCGCTTTATTACGATTGCCGATCTCCGCGTCCAAGTGGCCGGGTACCTGTACGGGACCTCCCCGCCTGACAATGACCAGGTGAAGGAGATTCGGACCATCGTTATGATCCCGCAGGTCGGCAACACCCGGGATGTTCAGTTGCCGCACACGCTGCCCCAGCATGAATACTTGAACAACCTTGAGCCTCTGGGTGTGATCCACACCATCTCCGGCAACGAGCCTTCGTACATGACGTCTATGGATGTCACGCAGCACGCCCGTCTGATGAACGCTCATCCGTCCTGGGACAAGAAGACGGTGACCATGACGGTGTCGTTCACCCCTGGTTCGGTGTCTCTGGCCGCCTGGGGGCTGACGCCTCAGGGTTACAAGTGGGGTGCCGAGAACAAGGACATGACATCCGACCATCCGCAGGGATTCTCGACCAGCATGGGCGAGAAGTGCCAGTTGTTGCTCAGTGACAAGATCCGCGGATACTTCTTGGTTCCCGAGGACAACGTATGGAACTACAGCTTCATGGGAAGCTCCTTTGGCAGCGTCGAGAAGCGGCCAGTCTACGTCAAGATCGATACCCCCTTGCGGTTCTACGACGACCAGCATCGCCCACTCCACTTCCAGAACTTTGCCGAGTTGGAAGACATCTGGGTTGATCGCACCGATAACTTCGCGTAAGCGTGGCATGAGGCGTTGGCAGTGCATTGTGTTGGATGAGTTATATATTGCTATTTCCATTTTCATTCTTCTTTTTCTTTGGTTCGTGTGTTATCATCATCATTCCCACTTGTTCCATTATGGCGATTTGTTTTTTTTATTATCATTTTGATCATTTCTTTTTAATTGATGTGCCGGAGAAAAATGTAGTGTTATCATTGTCATTAGCAAAGTTTCATGTCTCTGGGATGGGAAATAGGGAGAAGGAAATATTGACTGTATGTACAAGTATCAGCGAATCTAAACTGACTGGTTCATGATGTGTTTCTCTCGATGGATCTAATCTTCCTTCTCATTTCACTTCCTTTCCTGTTTCCTTAATTAGATTGACCAACAAGCCTCAGGTTCCAGTGATAAGCAAGCCACAAGCAGTGGGAAATTACTTGCGACGGTGCCTTGTAGGCGTAGAAGGATTGGATCCACCTAGGGCCATCAATGAAATTAAAAAGGTGTTCTCCGTCGAACTTAAATCTCCATAATCTGGGTTGCTGCGTCTTTAAGCGCGTTCTATCTTCTCCTTACCAGGATGATCCACCCAGGTAGAGAGACCAGGGGACGAGGACGGACCGGACTCCGAAGCCGTTGATTCTCATTTGGATCATATGAAGGGGAGTATATACATCTGCCTAAGGCAGGGGAGGTAGATTAGGAGAGGAACGACTAGCAAGTTAGTAAGTTAGTACAGTAACTAAGGGAATCCACACCAACCGGCCCGCTTCACTTTCCCACTTCCATCCCTCCCACTTCCCACTTCCCGTCCTCGACCTAAACCTAATAACCCCATCCACCCTAACTCGCGCTCATCGGAACTATCGAATCAAGCCTATTTCCCGGTCAATCCCAGCCTTTTCATCCGCTGAGCCTGTCTGTCTCTATCGTCTCCGGATGATCCCGAAGCAACTGAATCTTCGAGCCGGGACTCCGGACTAGAGTGAGCTGATACGACGCCAGCCTCATTCATTTATTTCCTTTGTCTAAGCCACTTGGCAAGGATTGGTCCGAGCGAGAAGACAGAGAGAAAATGCCAGACTAGCAGTTTCACCATTGCTTCACGGACCTAATTTCGGGCCCCAAAAAGTTAAAATGTTCTCCTCCCCCCCTCCTCCCTAAATCGCTCGGAATTGATAGCCTAGACTTCCAGGGAGAAGTGCTCCACGAGATCCTGCAGATAGCTAGCCTTCCCGTCGGGCTTGATTAACGTTGACTAACTAACAGACAAAACAGTTTGGTGACGACAATGATGATCCTACTTGTGCTTGGGGGGAGATGATGATGCCATGATGGAGATGGGCTGTTTTACGTATCTCTCTCTAGTCCGAGAGTAGTGGTTCCCCCTTTGGTCCACGGACACGGACTCAGTGCTCGTGCACTGCCCGCCTCCTGACTTACAGTGCGCCACAGAATACATGCCCACCCGCCTCCTAGAGGGTTTCTTTCAGTCACAAGTTATTCGTGTGCTCGCACCCGATCGCTGTCTGGGACTTGTCGAGGGAGCGAGCTTCTCGTGCGGCCCCGTTGATACACAAACAATTAAGGTTGATTGAGGTTCCCTCATGGCAGATAACCAGCGTGGGGGGCCACTAATGGAGACACAAGCTCTTGCTTGTCGAACTAATGGAGCGAGTGCCAAATGGGATGAGCGAGATCGAAATCCCAGAACCAACCCAAAAAAGGAACAAGGGGAAGAGAAATCGAAAGGGGATGGACAAAAATAAAAGATAAAAAGAAGGAAATGAAATGAAAAGAAAAGGCAAAGAAAAAGAAAGCGAACAGCAAAAAAAAAAATAATAACAATAAAAACACAAACCTGAGCGTGGAATAGGCGTGGGGACTGGTTAGATACCATGTTGCTGCGCGATATACTAATTTGGACTGCGGAACAAATCATTCGTCGCTGGCCCCCTCTCTGCATCTTGCTCAATCGCCTGCTCACAGCCCGTTTGGTCCTCCCGCGCCTGCTCATGGCGATGGACAAGAAGCCCTAGACCGGGGTTGTCATTTGAATGCTCGAGTCAGAGGCCGCGGCAATAACTCCTTAGCAAATTGTCGGTCCACCGGGATGCAGCTAGCATTGTCCGCTAGTAATTCTAATCACCCTTCCTCGTGGATGTTTCGCCGACGCTATTCACCCTCAACCATTGGCGTGCCACCGAGTGGAGTTGCTGCGATGGCGTCCATACGACGCGTTGGCGATGACAAGGGGCTGATTCCTGGCCTCTCCGCGGGACACTGTGCAGTGACAGGCTTGGTTTGATTGACTTGATTCTCTTGCTCCGAAGGCCCGAATCCACCAGTCTGCTCATGGTCGCATGCACGTTCGTATCCAGTGGTAAGTTAATTTTAGATTATATTAGGCCTTTGTGTGGAGAGGGATTGGGCTTGGATCTCCCCACCGGCGTTGATCATGAATGGCGTCAAAGAAGTTGGTAATGACACTCCTAGTGAGACTGTTTCTGTTTGGCTTGGTGTTTCAAGCTGTCTGCTTGCTGTCTTGTTGCTGCCCTACACGGACAGGTTCTTCGTCTGACTGACGGCTAACTGCCCTCTCTTTATCTCCACGCCTGTGCCATGGCTTGGCGTCTTGTCTTTTTATTTTAAATTATTATTCTCTTGCCAGACGGCTCGGAAAGCAGCAAACACCCACCTGCCGGACCTCGTCTGCTGCTGAACCTCGCCTTATTGCCCTTGACGGCCGTTGCACTCTCTTCAAGCTTAGCCTGCCTGGAACGCGGATCCGTCAAATGGGGGAATTTATTTCCTTTTACCCACCTGCAGATCTCTCATTCGGGCGAGATACCTCCGTGTCTTGCGCGCAATCTTAAGGGCCTAGTTTCTTTCTTTCCAGAACCTTTCCTCTACTGTCCGCTCCTGTCGGCCCGCCTATATAGACTGTAGCCTATCACTGCCCGGGGCCTTCTGGGTTTGCAGGGTGCAAATCTTTACCTCAACTTTTCTCCTGCCTTTATCTCAAAGCTTCAGTGACGGCAGGGGCCCGCGGCAGATTGCGGCCAATCTGCGGAAATATATCTGCTGATAATTTCCCACGAGGTGAGCCTACCAGAGAGCTTTCGGGCCTGGGTCTGGAGAAGTCGATTCCTCCCGTAGTGCGATCTGCGTCTGTCAAGAGCCAGTATTTGTTTTATTTTGGTACCATCTCGTTAGCCCAGGAAACCATCGGCCAAATCCCGGTGAGCGCAGCACATCCCCTAAAGAACCTAGACAGTTTCCAGGGTCACCTATCAGACCATGGATTCATCTAGTTCCCTTCCCTGCTACTGCATCTGATGGCCCCGTACGCTCAGTTTCACTCAGCCTAGTGCTCTCACCTTCCTTATAGCTTGAGCATATCTAGCCGTCCTGACATCGAACCACACTGGGAACACTTCCTGATCTGTTAACAAGAAAGCTTAGGCCACTGTCGAGATTCACGTTTTTTCCCTGACTCGGCACTTGGGTACATTGAAGTCAGTTCACTCATCCTGCTCCTCGGTTGTGTGGCATATTCAGGGCGAAACGCCGTCCTTCGACCGGCGCCGACTCCTTGGGCGCCTTTGGGTCACCCTTTTTGAACCACCTTTCATCTGAGTAGCTAGCCTGCCAGGGCTGTACAGCTCTAGCAGCGCAGATGTATGTCTGCGACGCTGGCGGATCCCTACCGAGACTATGCGATTAACTACCCTCAACATGCCGATGGTAAACCCGAAGAGCATGAAGGAGGACTCGTCTATCAACCGCAGCAATCCCATCTTCATCACCACAAATCGGCCGACACCACCTTCTCGCAAACCGGCTCGCACAATTCGGCATTCGAGCAACACCATGCAAACGCGACCGTCCTTCCCACAGCGACACCCCAATCATCCGTTCACGAGATCTCACAGACCGTCGTCCTCAACCCGGCTCAGATGCTCGGGCGACAGCTTCCAATGCAGTATTCTACTGCCGGCTTCGACGTCTCCTCCGTCCAGCGTGGCAAAAAGCGGCCCCATTCGGAGACTGAGGGAGACGGGGACGACGCCAGCCACAGGATCAGGCCACAGTTGCCTCTTCTCGCCACAGACAACTCGTCGGAAAACTCACACGGCCAGGAGATGCTATTCCCCGTCCATGGCGACTCGTCTCAACATCACCCGATGCGCGGCCATGATTTCGGGCCACCGGACTCGATGGCGCTCCCGCAGCAACACCACCACCACCGTCTCCCGCCCCAGGCCTCTTTCCGCGCCTCTCAGGGGGGCCAGGGGATCAATCTAGAATCATCTTCGTTGGCCTCCGGCCCGCCCAGTGTCGTTGGGCAACCCGGGATGCCCGACCCGGCACCGCGGCCGCGGGGGCCCAAGCTGAAGTTCACACCCGAGGAGGATGCACTGTTGGTGGAGCTGAAGGAGAATAAGAACCTCACGTGGAAGCAAATTGCCGACTTCTTCCCGGGTCGCACCAGCGGCACTTTGCAGGTTCGCTACTGCACCAAGTTAAAAGCCAAAGACGTGGCCTGGAGTGACGAAATGGTACGTAGCCCTAATCGAGACTTGTCGATCTCCGGCAGCGATGACGACGGTCGTAAACTGACTGGACATTGCAGACCCAACGGCTCGAGCGTGCAATGCAAGAATACGAGAATGATCGGTGGCGGATCGTGGCTGGGAAGGTTGGGAATGGGTTTACGCCGGCTGCTTGTCGGGAGAAAGCGACGCAGCTTTGAGCTGATGGGACAAATGCTACAGTATTTGGGAATGACGATGGCGCACTCTTGTTTGATTATAGCTCAGCTCATCTGATACTCCTTTTGTATGATCTTTTCTTCTTCTTTCTTCAATGTCACGCGTCGTCTCCTGCTTGGCTTTCCTGGTGGGGTGCAGAGTGGTCTGTTCCAACAGATAGGAAACGGATAGGGGGCGAAGGATGAAGGGTTGTATGACACAGGGACGCGTTCCTCGTCATATATCCATTCAGACGTACTGTAGATGCCTGATGCAGCTGGAGATCATACGATCACAGCCCTAAGCCCTAATCCGCATCCGGATTGGGAAGAAGTGCCAAGTTGGTCGGCGTGGACAGACGGAGTAGCTGCCGCAACCAATCAACCGGCGCTGCTGACTTATTCGCAATCCTCGTCCGACTAACGGGCCGAAGCGGCTTCAAACTCACCTCAAACCTCAGACCTCCATCTCCCGCCAGACCTCTTCCTGTCCGCCTCCATTGCATCCCCCAGCATCGCCAGGACAATGTTCCTTCAACGCACAGCCTTCGCCGCCGCCCGGCGCACCCCCGCCAGAGCCTTTGCTGCTCGCCCTTTCTCCTCCTCCATCATTCGCTGTACGTCTGCCCCATCAACCCTCGACCGCCGCGTCATGAGAGCTCAGGCGGGCGGCCTGGCCATACACTCTCCAATTGAACCCGAATAGGCTCATTGGTTTTGCTTTCTAATTGCTCTGCTTGTTCAATGGACTAACATGAGTCTCCCTGCAGGCAACGCCCCCAAGCCCGGCGCTGAGAAGGAGGGGAAGATCTTGCCTTTCGAGGGTATGTACCCGGTTCTCCCCGATTGAAATGGTCAATTGGCTCGTCTTCGCTATGCAAACAACTGGCACGCTTCCTACGATACTTGCTGCAATGAATTGGGCAACGGGGGCCCGCATTGAAATGCGCAGCTCCCCTTGCTCGAGATATCGCTCCAGGCGTAGCCTTGTCACTATCTCCCCGGATGACGCTAACTTCTTTTCCCCTTCTGACAGAGATCAAGACCGAAGATGATCTTCTGCCCCCCGGTGCCAAGCCCGGTACCATTCCTACCGATATCAGCCAGGCCACCGGTCTCGAGCGTCTCGAGCTCATCGGCAAGATGCAGGGCATTGACATCTTCGACATGAGGCCCCTGGATGCCTCGCGGAAGGGTATGATCCCACCTTTTCTGTCACGTCACGCGTCGAATGCGTTCCGCCGAGCAATCTGCTCGTGCCGGTGAGACCGAGTCTGACCATCTTTCTGCCCAACAGGAACACTCGACAACCCCATCATTGTCAAGGGTGCTGGTGACGAGCAGTACGCCGGTTGCACCGGTTACCCCGTCGACTCCCACCAGGTCATCTGGCTGACCGTAAGTCTAACTATGGGATCCTCTGCGCTTAAGCCCGGCTAACCCGGCGTCTCTGCAGGTTTCGCGTGACCGCCCGATCGAGCGCTGCGGCGAGTGCGGCAACGTTGTCAAGCTGGACTACGTTGGTCCCCTGGAGGAGGAGCACCACCGTGAGTGGACCCGAACCTTTGAACGCCCTGCCCCGTTATTAACGTGTATGCTACGCAGACGACGACCACGGCCACGGCCACGGCCATCCCCCTCACGTCGAGCCCAAGACCTTTGCCGACTACGTCAAGCCCGAGTACTGGTACCGGTAAATATTCGGCCGATTCTACCCTACGATAATTGCGCGAGTATGTCGGCTTGAGTAATGGATAAAAAAGAGAACTATCGGACACTGCAAAGGTGATACAAGGGCTGGCAGGCTGGCATGCAGGGTTGAGATCTGTCGGGTGGGCTCGGCCAAGGGAAGAGTCAAAACTAATATCGCATGACTCCTTCCCGGCTGCAAATGAGACCTCCCACTATCTGGATCTTGTATCTCCGGACTGACCGGTGAATTGGATTGGGCTGTCTGTCTGTATTCGTTTGAGATCTTCTGTAGAATAGTTGGGGTGTGTTGAACGAGGTTTTTTGACTTGATTAGAGTTCTTCTTTTCTTTTCCCATTGATTATCTTACCGCAGAAGCTTCAAGCAACACCACGAAATAAATATGACATGCGACTCGGCCCTCGGATTGCAGGTGGCACGACACCTCGGCAAGGTAAGGTAAGGTAGGTGGTAAGCATGGGGTGGTTGCATGACGACATAACATTTATGCTCCCCGAAGCAGAAGAGACAATGTCACGTGTTTTATACCTCGCTCTGCTAGCAACCTTAGGATATCAGCCATCCTTCTATATATAGATGATTCATGTAAATATGAATTTATCTATGTAGGTAGGTGGGTGTATACATTATGCAACTGGGTGTACTATCATGTTCGGGAGTATGGTTGGTTAGTCGTATGGCAATCTAACACGCCTACAGGCTTCTAGTGTCGATGATCATGTGTATGATGAATTTTATTTCATGTAGAGAGGATGCTTGCTTTGTAGTGCAAGGAACATACATCCCCGTCCAATATATTCATGGATAGATGCTATCAGACACAACTGCTAAATGTTATGACAACATAGCTCACTCGATGTACGATACTTAACGATGTAGACAGCTGTACGGATTAGCAAAGGCGGTTGACTGGCGCTTTGCAGCGACATCTGTAACGAATAGAACCTTTTGCAAATCTTGTCCATCCAACTTTGCAGATCTACCGGCCGAACACACGGAGCTCGATATACCGCAGAGGGGGATAGACGAGGCCGGCCCACGTGAACCCGATATAGTTTCCCATCTGTTCGGAATTGATTAGCCAACCTCGTCTTCGGATATCTTTTTGATAAATTGTGACTTACATCAGCGCCGTATTCGCCCACCAATCCAGCAATAGGTCCAATATACCACACCTGCGCCATGCACAGGATGGCACCGACCCACCCGACCACAAAGGCAATAAAGCCAGCAATCCCAAGCGGAAGCTTCGAGGGTTCGTTCCACGCATTCCAGTTAAAGCCAGATTTTCGCCGGAAGATGAAGCGTTCTTCGAGGAAGATGGCGATCCAGATGGCGGCCCAGTAGCCCATGAGGGCGAGGAAGTTGGTGAAGATCTCGGAGAGGTGTTCGCGGCCGACGAGGGCGCAGATGACGTATATTATGACTCCGATGGTGTTCCAGATGGCTCTGGGGACTCGTTCTGCGTAGCGCCCGAGGATCTGGAAGTCGACTCCTGAGGAGTAGGTCGGTGCGATGGTGTTTGCGATGAGACCGAGAGCGACGATGACGGAGCAGAACTTTCCGAAACCGTGGAGAGGTCCGAATCCTTCGACGATGAGAGATCCAGCGCCCTTGTTGTAGGCTGTTTCGTATTCGGGGTGGGACGAAATCCCCGAGGCTAGTCCAATGCCTGCCACGAATGCCATGGTGAAGGAAATGGCGAGTCCGCTCAATGACAGTGAAAACAATGCCGTCCTGGAGGCCCGTTGGGGGTAGTAGACAAAGAAATCGGCCGCGAGGGGTGAATATAGGATAGCTGCGCTGAGGCATATCGAGAAAAATGAAATCCTTTAACAATTCATTAGCGAGGGTAGCAATGGATTGGCCTGAGCAGTGAAGCCTACCGATTGCCAATAACTGTGCGGGTGTCTCCAACTGATGGTGTAGACAGGTCGAATTTCGTGGAGGACACGCCATACAGTATAGAAACGACGATAACCTGGGGCAGGAAGGCGAATCTATGCCAATTAGCATTCTCTCAACTGAAATACAACAGAATTGAAGCCTGTACTACTCACCGTTCATAGTAGTGAAAGATCCGAATGCCAAATGTTGCAACAGCCCAGCTGACGACAGCAACAATCACAATGCCTAATGTTGTCAATGGATGACATTCGATACCACTGCAGTTGATTCGACTTACCCACGGCGACTGACATGCTCCCATTTGGAGAGACAGCTGACAGAATTTGGCCTCCCACCACGCAGTCGATCAGACTGTAGCCGAGCATTTGGACCAAATTCAAGAGCACAACTATTTTACTGGGCCACCAGCCCATGCAGTACCGCCCAAGAACCTAGAGCGAATAAGCACATGCCACTAAACTAGCGTGAGAGAAACCCATACCATAGTTCGGACACCAGACACAGGGCCCCAGGTCGCCATCCAGGCCGCAGCGATGGATCCCACAAACGCTCCCAAGACAGCACAAAGCGCCGAATCCAGGAAGCTAAGCCCATAAACCGCCGGCCCCAACATCCCCAGCGTAATATTATTAGGCGCCAAATTGATAGACACCCACAGGAGGAAAGCCTGAGAATACGAGATCCAGGACAGTTTCTTCATTCGCTCGTCCTCTTGCACCCGTTGTATACCGCGGGTCTCAAGATTGTACCGAGCGAGCCGGTTCTCGACCCGGCGGACATAAGCAGCCATGCGGGGAGGCAGATGCGGTCCACCTGCCGTTTGATCATTGTGTGCTTCGCCTTCGCCATTTTCCACGGCGTTGGAGAAGCTTTCCTTCTCGGAGTAAGCCCCTACGGTGGGGTCTGCGTTCTTCGACGACATTCTGTTGTATGAGTCAGTGGCGACGTCACAATAGGAGGGGAGGGGATATCGCGCATGAGTCCTTTCGCTGGAATTATCCAGATCAAGTTCAACCGTATAATCTCAGAACGACGGTGGTGCCGCACAGCCTTGTTTCTCGAGTTTGATCGATTACTCGCAACCTCTGAGATTTAACCCAGGCCTGTGCGACACGCACCGGTCGAACACCGGTCTCCATGCGGGCAGATTATGTAGATACCTTGATCGAGAGACAAAACCAGGCTACTCGTCTTCATGGTAGCCAGCCCTTGTGTATGAGCGCTGTTAGGAGATGGAGAGGTGTACTAGAGGATGTGACGGCAGTCGAATGAGATAGACCTAGACGAATGTATGCAGGTTTTGTGAGCGACGCCGTCCAAATTTCACCGGGGGAGCAGTGGTGTTACCTGATCAGATGGAGACAGTGGATATCAAACTTTGTAAAATTTGATGCCAGTATGCTAGTCGATTCCGACTATGCGATTTAGCAGTCCTGACCGTTAGACGTGGATGAATCAATTTGCAGCACGGAAAGTGGGTGAAGCCCAGGGAAAAAAAAGTGGAGTCGGAGGAGATTTGCTGCGGGGGGAAAGCGGAGCGACCTCGGCCACTATCGGACTAGATACTCGAGGCAACTATATACATACGACCAGATGATTGAAGACTATCTGCATTTATAGATATCAGCGATTTTTCATCGACTCGATAAATGATCGCCGGTAATTCATCCAGTTAATGGCGCGGGATCGACATTTCGTCCATTGACCACTGTCCTAAATAGGCCAAGGCTGCCAATGAGCCTCTCCCCATCCCAATCTACATCCAAATTGAAAAGTTTGGTATCTACATGAGTCCGGGGGTTTTTGAACGATATATGACAAGTCATAGTGGGCCAATGACGGAGCACAACCTCGCATTGGACAAAATACCTATCAGCTGTTCAGAAAAAGGGAGACAATGCCCAAGGGTCTGCTTCAGTAATAGAAAGATGAGGAAAGATGAATGATAGGAAATTGGTGATATCAAAGACCAACGCAATCGCAAAGTTCAACTCCAGGAACCCTTCGCCCAATATTGTGCAACTAGCTGCCGAAATCATGCATTGCTGCGACAGTCAAGGAGCTGAGACCCCATTAACATATGGGATGGGAGTGGACAAAATGAAATGAAATGCAATCCAGAGTTGACAAAGGACAAGGGGGGGTAGGGGATAAGAAAAGGGAGAAGAGAATCAAGAGGGCGGGGAAATCATGATGCATCGTATGGTGCATGGGTCGTCACATCGTCAGTCTTATCAAGTGTCTAAAGGTCCTTGAAATGCTCCTTGGCATATTGTTCGCACGCCTGCGTCGTATATCAGTCGCCAACTCGATTCGAGGGACACAAACTCGGGGACCGTTACCTTGGCAGGCTTTCCAACTTTCTGCCCGATGACCTTCCACTTGCTGGCTTCGTATTCCTTGATCGCATCGCGGAGCGCTATCGACTACTCTTGCTTAGAACACGCGCCAGATTGACGGGCCGACAGTTTCCATGGAAATTACCTCGTCCTCGGCAAACTCAGCGTAGTGCATATCCTGCAGACATCGTTAGGGGCGATGATATAATGAGGAAAGCTGGGGGTGGGGGCCGCACTACCTTATACCAGTGTTTCTTCACGCTTCCCTCAGTCCGAGCGGGGAAGGTCTGCGACATCCCGGCACGTCATGTGAGTAACTGTATAGCGATGGACAAACAGATGGGCTAGGCGCTTACCTTGGCGATCTCGCTCCAGCTTCGACCAGCATCGCGCATAGTCTTGAGTCGCTGCTCCTCTTCCGCGGTCCAGGGGGTGTTGGTTCGACCCTTCTTCTTAGGAGTCCCTTCTGGGACGGCCTCCCCCGTCGCTCCAGTGGATGCTGGAGCTGCCATCGTCGACGCCGACCCTGACTGTGAAGCGCGTCGTTTCCGGGGATTCGAGGGGGGTGTCTGTGTTGGGGGCATAGGAATGCCCTCAAAGGAAGGCACTCTTTGAAAAGGGTTGATTTGCTGTTGAGCTAACAAGTGAGAGGGTGCGCTGGTGGGTACGGAAGTTTTGATTCGCTTGGATGTTGGAGGGGCCCTGGTGAAGACGAGGCGAGAGGGGTGACAATGGTTAGTGGACACCACACAATAGGAAGTGAAAACAATAGCCAAGTCACAATGGAGTCAAGCACAAAAGAGAGACAGGTCAACGTATACGCGAATCCGCTCTGGTTCAGCACTAGACAGTCCAGGAGAGAACCGTCGTCGCAAAATGATAACAATAGCGGTTATGGCCGTAATCAAAGAAGCGGGGCAGTACATAGGAGACGGTATATAGCCCCATGTAGGGTATACTCCAATCCGGTCACAGAGATCAGAACAGACAGGGAACAGAAACCAAGGTAGATGGCCTCCAATTACTCGGCACTATCTCAAGGCATAGTACCTCCGTATGTGAGCAGGATGAAAAGAGGAACTTACGACATGATGGATGATACGCAGTTATCCCAATCACGCTGCGTTGATTCATCTGTAGATACACATGCTTAGGAGATTAGCAAAACTGCTGTTCCAAGATGTCCCGTGAAGATTGGCCTGTCAAAATCTAGAGAAGCAAGCTTTGGTTACACCAGAAAGCAACGATGACACGGGCGCATACCACGGCGTGGCAGATGGAGGGGGACAGGAGAAAAAGAAAAGAGGGAAAGGGGGAGGACAGAAGTAGAAGAAGAGGTAATTAACCATTTCATCGCAGTAAGACGGATGTGGAATTTCACAAGAAGAAAGTACTCAGAAGAAAAGTAAGAGATGTTACATGCATATAGATTGATACTGGATTGGAGACGACGGGATATCAGGTCAAAGGCGGGGGGGAAGCTTGGAGGGGGAAAACGTAGTGAGAGGGGAAAGGAATGGGAAGAGGAGGAATAATATAAAACAGGCTTAGGCACAGTCAGAAGAGGACCGTTCTAGCACCGTCGCAGCAGCGGTAGTAGTGGTGGTGGTGGTAGTAGCGGCAGCAGGAGCAGTAGCAGCAGCAGTGGGAGTAGAATCAGGATACAGAGGCTGGAAATAATACGGATGAGGAGGCGTACTGGAAGTCGTGATAATAATAAGATGATCTGGTCAGGACGGGATGGAGAGAATCCTTGAAAGTCAACAAGAGGGCTTCAAAGAAGGCTTACTAGTCAAAGTTCATGGTTGAGGGACTTGCTCTCCTCAAGCGGGGGTGGGCCTGGTTACATAAAAAGATGGAGAACAAGTAACACTGGAGGAAGAGATCATGGATGATGAAGAGAAGAGAAGAAGAATGGCAGCTGTAGGAGTCGTCGTCAAAGAAGGCGTACCAGGGAGATACATGGGAAAGAAGGGAAAAAAAGGTCATGGGCTGGGATGAAGATGCAAGTGATAAATTTAGTCCTAAAGTGGCATCCGGACTATCTTGGGGAGTTGATATGATTGATGCCGGAGGGGCGAAAAAAGCACGAGTTCGAAAGGCTAAACTGGGCTCGAGTCACCAATCCCGTCAGCTCCGACTCGCTGCTTCTCTTTTTATCTTTCTTTTGTTTTGATTTATTTCCTCCTTTCTTTGCGGTTGGAAGACGGGCTCTATTTCTATAGATCTTTACTTTTGAGTTAACTCCAGACAGTCTTGATCATCGTGATTTAGTAGAAAGACACCAGTGGATGTGTAGTTTACTCCGCACTTGTGAGATATACACTAGATTGTACTACTAGGGTAGTAGTGGCCCGGAGCAAGCATAACCCCTCCCTCTAAACACCTAATCATTGTAGGTTATGGGAAAGCAAATGGGCAGACCTTATATTGATGATATGAATTAGCTTTCCTTTGCACGGATCACATACTAGGATATACTAGGATAACAAGGTGATCTCCACTTTCAACCTACACAAACTATATTAGTTGTATACTTCTCGAGCGGATATTCCTTGTTCTCGGCGTCGAATATCAAGTTCGATATCTAGATTGACATGTACCATTATCACAGTGATATTCCAGCACGCTAGTTAACAGCATGGAAAAGATGGTGATAAAGATGGTCCCCAGCATAGCTTCTGAGTCGGTTCAAGATCCCAAGGCATAGATTCGAAGATAGTATAGAGTAACCAAACACACTTGCTGACATGGGACAAAAGACCAGACCAGCCGACCGATAACACAGTCCCCACCCAAGCCAATGAGGAGTCAGACGGTGATCCGAGCTCCAGATCGACTATACTATATGAAGGGTTGTGGATTCTTCTTACTAGGTTTGGTAGGCAGGAGCCTTTTCTCCGCATCCGTGTCAATCAATAACGGGAGGCTGGGAAGCGGGGTAGGTCACCACCTCTTATCATTCACTCGATACTGAGGATGAAGTAAGCCAAACTTCTCATGGGAAGAATAATGAGTAGGGATGGTGTTCACAGTAGGACGATCCATAAATAAATAAAAGACTTGGGTAGCTAAGGTAGATATATATCCACGTAGGAAGTATGATCTATGCTACCAGTCGATCATGCCGTACTGTGTATGCTGACAGATGCTTGACATTGTATCTTCAAGGTACTAAATGAATGCTTGGATGAACAAATCAGGTGCTACTTCTGGATCATTATCGATGTTTTGTCACAATACAGAAGCCACGCTAGCATAGCGTCATTCACCAGAGGGATTCAATCCTGAGTTTGATACATTGCTGTTCTCTATCTTCAAACCAATTTGACAGAATTGTTCCATTCTGATATACCTGACAGTTGTCGGTATGAAGTGTACACCGGTACACCATGTAATCGGCAGATCCAGAGACACCTGTCAGATCTAGATCAATCTATTGACATCTGCTATCTATAGACCATTGCTCTGAAGTTCTGAGCGAATGCTTTCCCTCTCTGATGAGTGTCTCCTTTCAGATGTCTAGCTGGTGTATGTCACATTATACTAGGATATTTTAACATGATACATCTAGCAGTCCAATGCTATTGAATAAAGACGAGATACGGAGTACAGACGATGGAGAAAGTATGGATACGTCGATCCGGGTGATCATTGATCCGGGATCCACCGCTTGACGTCACGTTCTGAATCACATGATGGACACGCGGCTTACCCCAGAAGGAGTCGACAATAAGACACCTTAGCTGTGAGGAAAGCTTTCCGCTCTGTTCGTCATCGTCCCCGTGCCTCGCACACACACCGACTCTCACAGGCGTGCCTTGTGGAACCCAGCTGTCCCTCGCGCAAGTTTACACCTCCTACATACCTCTACCCATTCTTCTCTTTAGCCAGCCACCCTTATCCATCACACTTGTTGTCAGCTCCTCCCATCGACCACTTCCGCCTTATCTTCTCGAGGCCACTTGAGTTTCCAAGGTCGCATTCACCTCGGAGCTCCGTATATTGAAAGACCATACCGAAACTCATCGGTTGGTGATGGTTTGAGTGGTGACGTGCAACGGTCTGCCTCTTTTCATCGGAGATGGGTGTCTTGCAGCTGAACGTGTTTCGGTTACTGGGTGACTTGGCCCATATTTCCTCGAAATGCATCCTCATATTCGCCATTCAGCGAAACAAGAGTGCCGAAGGTGTGTATCAAATCCCGTCGGTTCGTCGTGACTCGTGCTTGTAGATCCTGACGACTCCGATTTCGCAGGGGTATCCCTTCTCACCCAGGTGCTCTATGCCGTGGTCTTCGTTTCGCGCTACCTTGACCTGTTTCGGTCAAGTGGATGGGCGTACGTTTACCTCGTGTTTTTCAAGTTCTTCTACATATTCTCCTCCTTCTATATCATCTTTTTGATGATGAAGGTTTATCCGCGGACACGAGAGAGGGAGCGGGCGTGGAAGCTGGCTATCGGCTCCGTCGGCATTTCCTTCGTTCTGGCGCCCATCGTGATCCCGATCTTCCACGGACGGTTCCCCGGACATTGGTTCACGGAGGTGAGTTGGCTCTTGAAATAATCAATGCTTGCGACCACGCTGACTGGTGGGGCGAAGATCTTTTGGACTTTCTCCATCATTCTAGAATCCGTCTGTGTGCTGCCGCAGCTGTTACTTCTGCGCCAGACCACAGTTCCCACCGTGCTCAACTCGTATTACCTCGTAACGTTGGGCTCCTATCGAGCTTTCTATATTCTGAACTGGTTAGTCCGAGGTCTGGGATCGGAGCATTACTGGGAGCCCATCGCAGACATCTTCGGCATCATCCAGACTGCCTTCTATATCGATTTCGCTTGGGTATACTATACGCGTCAACGCGTCAAGCTCCGCAACGGCAGCATAGTCGACGCGGAAGACTTCCGAAACAGCTGGCTGGTGAGCAAAGTATTGAACTTCCGGCAGCGCCGGAGCGTGGACGAGGAGCAGAGCCTCGGCGATGGGGAAGAAGACAACGGGTCATTGGAGGGAGACCGGCCCAGAAACAACCGTTGGGGTGCGCGGGGGGTTTCCATCGCGGCCGACAACACCCTAGATCGACATAACGGCGAGACCGGTGATGACCTCCATGATGGACATGGGGGGTTGGAGGGATTCGTGGAGGACGATGATGCTCACTGGGAGGACCACACGGACGGTTCCAAGCCTGACAGGCATTCTCCCACTGTGGCAGGCGACCGGGGTTAAATTTACATCCCGGGTGATCACGACCTCCAATCTTACTACCTTTTGAGAGAAATTTGGCTGCAATTTAAGAGTTGGTCACCGTCAGTCGCGATGTAGTATATGATCGACCCTTACGTCTCCCCTTTTTTCCCCCTTTTGTTCGTTTATCTTATCTTATTAGATGATGTCAGTTCTAAAATAGTGCGGCGCAGCATAGAAGCATACCATACCCCAAAGGACCATCCATCCATCCCCTAGCCAGCCCTGCGGCACAGTCATCTCGTTAACTTGAAAAAGAAAACCCCATACCTCGCAGAGCCATCGCGATAGTTATAAATAGCAGGCAAAGAAAACAGACCGAGATCGTTGTTTCAAAAACCGTCCGAGCCATTGCTGCGCCAGGACATAGCCACGACAGCATGTATACAAGCGAGCAAAGTGGTCGCGACAAGCGTAGCGTAGCGAGCGACTAACTAAGCCCACCCCTGCCAGGGTTTATAGTTAGTCGAACTGGCCCCGGGGAAGAGATGGGGGCGGGATTTCGTGGGGCTAAAAAGCCTGATCGGCCCCTCATTTCGTAGTAATCTTCGGGTGGAAACTAGAAACACCACTGATAATGTCAGATGGTAGGTACTTGTTTGTTTTCCTAATGATGGTGATTACGGTTTCTGCAATGAGATGAAACTACTTTGGAGTAATCATCTGACGGTTTGCGTGGGTTTCAACTTCTCACGCTCTAGGCGTGGGCCTAGGATTACCAGATAGATGATCAGGTATAGTAGACCGGCTGATATCACGTGACAGAGAGTGGATGCTGATGTCCGTAATGATGTTTTGCGGTCCACATAGTTAGAATCGGTCTGTCTGTCAGAGGGGTATGGTGATGACGTTGAGGGCGAAATGCAACGGTCAGGGTTGTCCTCGCATGAGAATCATACCGATCAAAGGCTTAGACGGGTGTTGTACGAGGGAGTGGACAGCAAGAACGAGGAGTTCAAACCTTATGGCTGTGCTTAAGCGCCGCCAGCGGCAACTCAGATCCACTACGGACGCCTCCAATAGAATGAGAGCGGGAAGAGAGTTAGACAGCAATGGACATCGCAGTTTTAGGTTTACCCTTTGTTTTGTTTTTATTGATTTACTTTTCTAATTTTTTTATCTATCTATCTATTTTTTGGAGCGCGTAACAACTTTGTTTTTATTATAGATTCTCTACTTTTTCCTGTTCGGGGACACGTGGCTGAGCTTGCATGCAAACAACCGACAGGATCAGAACGGGCTATCTTGCTTAACGTCACCTTTCCTTCCTGGGAATGGATGGGTCGAGTGATGTTTTCCACCGACTCTATCTCACCCATACCCATGTCACGTCTTTCAACCACTGGGCGAGGATTCTCTAAAGAGAGAGTGAGAGCATGAACTAAGTGGGCTATCACCGCAGGACCAGCGGACTCGGAGCGGTGGTAATCTACATCCTGGTCATCCCAAATGTGCCGGACCCTGATATCGACTAAGCCCTAAAACAGAGAGATACCTCTACTATCCAGGCCACGAACGTTGCTTTTTGCGCGTATCCCCCCCAGCTTTCGGGGCTATTCCTCCTACGCAGAGATCATCTTGGCGATCCTTTGCCTCTTCCACACGGGATGAGAACTCTTGGGCTTTTTTTTACTGCTTACCCTTACGCCCTAGGAAATCCTGGCGGATGACTGCCGTCGTTGAGACAGCCCGGATTTCTTCGCCTAGAATTTTCTCGCGCACGATCCTGGCCTGTTTGGGTTTGAACCATATTGTACCTACGTCGTCGTGACCTCCTGTCTCCTGATGGGTTAATTCATTTGGGTGACCGCTTCGAGTTCGAGGGAGAACGCCGGGAGGACTCGTGATGCTCGGTCCTCATCTGGCATGTTTTGTTTTGTAGTGTCTGCTGTGGCATCTGGTATCCAATCTCGCTTTCCCTAAACTTTAACCTATCTTATCCCTATTTTGCCTGCTTTCCTGTTAGATCGTCCTTCATTGTATCATCTTGATTCTTTTCTTGTCAGCTTCACACTCTGAGGAAGTCGGCCCGCTAAGCACTATTCGATTCCTTTGGCCCACCAGGGCCCATATTTCCCCGTTTTCTGGGCGCTCCCACTTTTCTCTCAACACAGTCGAACATTCAACGTACCATCCATGGGGTTCCAGAGCGATGGGAATGACGATCGTGCTTGCGGCTTTGCCCTCCTCGACACTACTAACCGCCTCTGCCTTACTCGACTCGTAGTAGACTGCCAGGTGGGCCTTAGGGATATGCAATGCCTGCGCCCCGAACCAGTTTGGGGGCTGGATTCGTCCCTTCCACACCCCCCATCTCATACCGTGTCATGTCGACGGAAAATAAAATAAGATCCGATAAAAAATAAATTCACAAAATAAGATAATAATAAAATGACAAAATTGAAAAGCCCAAAAAACAAATAATGAGACATGACTCTCCCTCAAAAGCGGGTGCCCTTCCCCTCCAGGATAAGCAGGGCGCTTAAGTGCAGGTACATCGTGGATTCTCTACCTCTGGTTAGGAAGCATCTTGTGCGGCAAAGTGATGGTCGGCGGTTCGTACGTCCCTTGGACGACCTCTCTCGACCTGTTGAAAGAAGTTCATCTGTCCGGTCCTGCCTTGTGAGGCATCCCGGCTTTGCCTGGTGTCCTGTCCGGTCGTATATGAACCTGCATGGGGGCTTGGGTGGTTGAGTCTATCTATCGTTCTTCCTTCTTTGAAGTCTTGCGGGTCTTGAATTATCTTTTGTGAACCCGGTCAGAGAACAAGCTGCAGGCAGTGGTTGTTGTTGCTTGCGAAGCACAACATCGATATCATCTTGTTGCGATTATAAGACCTTGGATATCGCCACCTCGAATAACCCGACTTAACTTACCCGCCGAACTCGTCCCCCTTCCCTGTCGTCCCTGTTGCTTGTCCTATTCGGTTGTTTCACCCTTGACCTCCTGTTACCGTATACCATCCTACCGGCTGTCCCCATGTTTCATCAGACGCCGGGAGACTATACCGGGCCAATGCCTTACGCCCAGAACCCTTCCCACCCTGGCGAAGGGATGGAGAATTACTACGAAAGCGTGCCATCCCAATGGCCCGGAGTGGAAGGCGTACGTACCATGCCATCCTGTTACGGGTCCGTCCCACTGGTACTGACTTACCCCTCCGCGGATTTCCAGACACCCTATGGCGACGTCGGCCATCCCTACAGCGGCGCAGCGGCCTTCCCATCCAGCCATATCCTAACGCCCATCAGCCTCCCAGACGCATCCTACCCCCAGCCGCGAGCAAGTCCCGTCCTCAGTCACCACTCACAAGAGTATGCATACCACGTCGCTGAATCCGTCCCGCCGCACGGGCTGGGCATCACGGCCCCCTTCCCGAGCGAATTCCCCCGAACCGTAACCGCCGATCTCCACCACACCCTAGAAGGCTCAGTCTACTTCGGCGAAACCTCGCTCTCCCCGGAACCATCACGCGCAAAGCGCACCCGGCGCAGCCCCCAGCCGATACTGCCCAGCCGCGAGACCCCCGTCAACATCCTCCCCCACCCAGAGGGTCTCCAGCGCCTCGAGCACGAGAGACAGCTCGGACCCACCGAGCCCCATCTTCATCGTCCCCGGGCTCCCGGCCGCGGGCGCAGAGACCCCCAGGCCGAGGAAGAAGACACCTTTGTGGAGCGTCTCCGCGAGCAGAATCTGGCGTGGAAGGTCATCCGCGAGAAGTTCCGCGAGAGGTTCCACAAGGATGCTTCCGAGGCCCGTCTGCAGATGCGTATGCTGCGGAGGCGCAAGGATCGTCTGGCTCGCTGGGACGAGAACGATGTGAGTATGTTCTCCCTCTCTTTCTTTTCTACTCCTGTCTCTCCCTCCTGTAGGATCTTGAAACTAACGATCTGACAGATTCAGCTCCTCATTAGGGCTCGCGAGTACTGGGAGCGCGAGAAGTACAACTTTATCTCGCAAAAGGTGGGCAAACCTCATCCATTCCACCTCCAAGAATGATATATCAACGATACTAACGAAACCAGATGAGAGAATTCGGCTCCCGAAGAGTCTACACCCCCCAACAATGTGAAGCCCAACTCCGCGAACTAGACGCCCAGCAACAACTCCCCCAGCGCATACCCCCCCAACGAGCAACAGACCCGCAACATGCCCGCCGAAGAGCAATACTCAAGGCTTCCCGGGCCTCCTCCTCAATTCCCGTAACGACGACCGTCCCTATGACGAAAGTATAACCCGCCTACTTTCCTCTCTTCCTCTTCGACTCATCACATTCTTCCCATCCATCCATCCATTCCCCCTTTCTTTGCTGTTTTCTGGTTGCATATACCCTTGCGCGGTGCACTACGAGTTATGTTGTTGCATGAGAATCCATTACGATATAGATGATTAGTACCTTATAATTTATTTCCTACAATTACTTCAATCGTTCAGTATCCGTGGTTCCTACGTATTGCTGTAAGCATAGCAAAAGTCTATGACATAAATTCTTACTATTGTCCACACAGTAGTAAATATAGCACTAGTCTAGTCTATACGACATGCATAAGGCATAAAGGGGAAAATGCAAATGAAAGAAAAAAGAAAATAAACCACACGTCTTATACTCCGGAAATTCTTCCGCACATGCATGTTCCCTGATCAGTGCAGGGGAAGGTTAGGTAAGAAAAAAAATTAAAAAAAAATAACAAAAAGGGAAAGAGAAGAAGAAATTGAACAACGGCCAGCAGTCTAAGCCCAAGGCATACTCAATCAGCCACTTTTGCTGAGCTACAGTATAGACAGACAGGGATGATGGATGATGGATGGATAAAGAATCTTAGTAGTTCATTCCGCGTCCTTGTTAAGCGCCACGCCCAGCCAATCCTATGAAATATCAATAAATATATGATAATAAAAGTTAAATAAATAAGGAAAATAATTTGATTCATTCATAAAATGGATCAATAAATCAATGAAAAAGGAAAGGAAAGAAAAGGAAAAGAAACAAACCCCAGAGCCGCTAACCTAATCCTATAGATTGACAAGGGTTCAACGCTGGCATGGGTCAAATACAGCCAATCGACTCTGGATACGACAGCATTGATAATAGATACTTCCAAAATGATAGGAACTATTAAGTTCCGCCAGGAAGATCTGAATCTCGCTTGGGTGCGGACAGTCTCCCTACTTTCTTTCTCCTTTCATTGTGAAAGGAGGATCTGAACCGGTTTCGGGTACGTACGTTTGTTTCGAGATGGTGAACCGTTTGGAGGAAACTTAAAGCATGTCTTGATGGAGGCCTTTTTATAGCCTCTTTCTTTCTTTCTTCCTTTTTTCTTTGTCTGGGGTGGAATTGGACAGGTACGGATGGGGACGTGGTGTTCTATTTCTAGGTTATTGACTTAACGGGCTAGTACACCAAGTGTCTATCCTGATTTGATTGATCATTTGTCAACGTTCATGTCGTGTCTTTGTTTTGTTTTCTCCTGGTTGGGCTTGTTCCGTCTCCCTTCCTACCTGTCTATTCATTCATGTATGTGCAGGATCCATAACAGCCTAAACAAAGGTATAATTGCATATGCTCGAGTGAGACACTCTAGACAAGGCGCATCCGAAGTGAGCGCATACAGGCTTAAATGTCAAGCTACCATTGGGTGTCCTGATAGATCGAGGGATTTTGACTCATGATCTTCGTCATCGTTTTGAACTGTACAGCCAACGTTACTGGGTATGATGTAATTCCAATGCAGACTCAACTGTCCTCCTCCGAGTCAAGATCCTCGTCCATAACGGGGAACGTACACAAGGCCGCGACGCCTCCCAAGCTATCCAATCGACGACCGCTCTCGTGATCCGAACTCAACACTCGGACCTCGCCTCCCTCGACGTCGCGCACGCGATCCACCAACGACACCCACCGTTTGCGCTCCGCCACGTCCTGAGACCGGAACAGACGGTTGGAGACGATCAGCACGCCGCCCCCGCGACCCACGGCGCCCTGGTCCACAGCCGACTCAACCTCCCGCGGCCCGTACGTCGCCCGATTCGTCTCCTTGCGCAGCTGCTCCTGGAACTCGTCCATCAGCTTTGTCTCGCGCGCGTACTTGGTGTCCGCTAGGATGCTCTTCACCGCCGGTGACTGCAGCACTTCGGTCAGGGAGTGCAGATATCCTGACGCCGAGTGTACCACCACTAGGCTGGGGACGAGGCGTCTCAGCGCCGGTGTCGTCGTCGCTGCAGCCGACTGGATGTGTTTCTGGAACCCGGCTGCGACGAACCCGGGGGATGCGAGCAGGATCGGCCGCACGGGCTCGTTGCTCGTCTGAGACGTCGCGCTCGTGTTGAACTCCATTTGCCGGAGGAGTGTGTCCAGAGTGGTTTGGTAGAACTTGGTCAACCCCTATCCAGCTCCTTGTTAGTCTCTGTTCGGCTTCTGTCTTTGAAAAACTGGGAGACTGGTGATTCTGTGATAGCTTACCTTATCATGATCACTACTACCTTGTCGCTTTCGCGGCACAGACATCTCCACCTTCTGCTTGAGAACAGTCTGAAACTGCCCGATGAAGCAGATATGAGCGACACCCTCCTGCATAACCACAGCAATAGCCTCCGCCCTCCTCTTACCACCCTCATCCACCGCATCCTTCAGCATTTGAATGGCGATACTATCCCACCCGACACCCTCCCCAGCAGCCCCGATCTCCTTCTCGAGCGTGAAATTGCGATTCAGCTCCAGATCGAGCGTGTGGTGCTGCCCGACCTTCGTGTGCGGCGTCTCGTTGATGATCTGTCCGCCGACGTGAAGCTGCGAGCTCTGTGGGTCAAAGTCTAGGCTCTTCACGCGGATCACGAGCGTCAGGTGCACGCGCGCTGAGCTTGTCGAGCCGGTGTCTTGCGTCGTGGTGACGCGGCGGATGGCGCTCGCGCGGAGGAGATCGCCGGGTCGGATGAGGTTGTATGCGTGCCACTGTAGGGAGAAGTTGGTTGGTTTGCTTGTCAAACTGGGTGGTAAAATTGGATGGGATGGCGGGGTGGTTATACCATGTCTTCGGGCTCCTCAGGACACAGGGTGACCGTTCCCGAGCCATTGAGCTCAACCTTATTTTTGATTAAGCGCATCGTGCGCAGTCTAGTAGATAGCAGGTAACTTCAAGTTGAGGTCCTATCTCGCTTTGTATTCTGTAGGCAAACGCGAGCCTGTTGAGGTGGGGTCGGGCCGATTTTCAAAGGACGATGCAGGGTGTCGTCGTCAAATGAGTGGCAAGTGGGACGGCGTGTTTTGATATATAGCAATTTAGAAAGAGCCTATAAGAATACCGGGTGTCTTGAAGTATGGTCGTCTGTGTTGTATGCAATGCAAGCGCCGTTGATCGACTCGAAAAACGAACTGTTGATGACGCTGTTGGAAGAGCGCACAGTCTGCCTCAGGCAGAAGCGGGACAATTCCAAAACGGACTAGTGCGGATAAGGAGTCCTTATCGATAAGGCGCAATGGCATCAAGGACTCACGTCACCGATGAGATCCCCTCCTGTTCTACCTCGTTTACGATATTAACTGATCTCAGAGGGTCATGAATTGATTTTAATAAGTCATTATAACTGCTCACTCACGAAGTCAACACCAAGATGCCCATCACCGAGCTCAATCAAACCGTGGGAGCCTCCGAGTTCGGTCTGCTAACACGGCATCATATCCGGCTACGGGAACCTGCCCCACGCTCCTGGCTCCGACGGCCTATCATTTACCGGAGAGTCTGTTTTTTGAATTCATTAGATGGATGAACAAGGATCCAGCTGGTGGGGTCTAACCGAGACGATGATATAATAAATAATAAATACCGGCGCCTCGGGGTCCTTGTCCCCTCGAGTTCTTATCAGATCAATTTACATACATCTCTATATTTGAGACCCCACACCAGATATTACCTACACCATGGCTCCCCTTTCTCTCCAGTCGACCCAGAAGATGGTTTCGGGATATGAGATCCCGATTGTTGGATTTGGTGTAAGTTTCTCTCTCCAATCGGACCTGTTTGTCTGGGAATTGGTGGAAAGCTTGGGGGCTGTAGCTAATTTCTTTAACAGGTTTACCAGACGTAGGCCTTCCCACTATTTTTTCCTTTTTTTTTTTCTTCGTCTTTTCATTCAGTTGACCTAGTTTGTGTTTTTATCTTTATTTTTCTTCTTGTTTATTAGTATTGTATTTTTTTTTTTTTTTTGAACTAGGTTGCTGACCATCATTAGTCCCCCCGACATCACGGAAAAGGTGACCATTAAGGCGCTGGAAACGGGATACCGCCACGTAGGTGCTCCGGATGGAAGAGAGATAGTCCCAGGCTGGACAAAGATTGATCTCTCATCATTATAGATCGACAGCGCAAAATACTATGCCAACGAGGCGGAATGCGCCAACGCCATTCGCAAGTCTGGAATCGACCGCTCTAAGATCTTCTACACGACCAAGGTCCCCGCTACTCACATGGCATACGATAAAGCCAAGGAGGCCATTGAAGCCAGTATCAAGGATGCTGCAGGAATTGATTACATTGATCTGTAAGCCGAACTTCCGGGACGATTCTGGGACACAAATTAACCTGGACAGGGTCCTGCTCCACGCCCCCTTCGGAGGGAAGGAAGGCCGTCTGGGTGCCTGGCGCGCTCTGGTCGAGGCCCAGAAGGCCGGCAAGATCCGTTCCATCGGTGTCTCCAACTATGGAATCCACCACCTGGAGGAGCTGGAGGCGTACATCAACAGCGGAGTCGGCGGCCAGATCTCTGTCGGTCAATACGAGATCCACCCCTGGTGCGCGAGGGAGGACATCGCCGGGTGGTTGAAGAAGCGCAACGTTGTCGTCGAGGCCTACTCGCCTCTGGTCCAGGCTACTCGGATGCGTGAACCCAGCCTGCAGAGCCTGGCAAAGAAACACAGCAAGACTCCTGCCCAGATCCTGCTCCGGTGGAGCTTGCAGAAGGTATGAGTCACCCTAAGGCAAGCGGGTTATTGAAAGAATACTGATCATTTGATTGTTTAGGGATATGTCCCTCTCCCTAAATCCGTGACCGATTCTCGGATCATCGAAAACACGCAGGTCTTCGACTTTGAGTTGTCTCCTGAGGACATGAAAAACCTGCAGACTGATGCGTATGAGCCGGTCTGCTGGGACCCTGCTCGGGACTCTCGTTTGTAAATGCCAGCTGAAATTTGTACCAAATTCTGGTATAGACAGTATATAGATTCTATTAGACATCCAGCTCTATAAAATACAAGAATACAATGTACACAGTGGAGCCATGCAAGGAGATAATCATTAAGCCAGTCGGCCGCAGATGGCCCGATAGTCTCGGCACAACGTAATGCCGTCAGTGCGCCTGCCGCGTTTATCGGTGTTTATCATCCTTACATCTCCGATCATCACATCAGCACCGCTTTGTGCTCACAGTCGCTTTGATTCATTGTTTGAACTACGATCATGTCCCTCTTTTTCCATGATACACCCCGCCCAAATGACTCTCTACCCACCCGCACCGGAATCTGATTCCCTCCCTTGAAGAAAAGCCCACCCACCCACCATGCCTACCTCCCCGCCTCGACGCACCTTCGAGAAATCCCGCACCGTCCGCCGCCGCTACCAACGCAGCAACAAGCGCCTGAAATTCAGCGCGTCCCAGATTGCGCGCATCGAACGAGAGGAGGAGCGCGAGCGCAAAGCCCAGACTCTCCGGGAGAAGGAGAAGAGGCGCGTCGCTAATCGGAAAAAGAAGGTTGAGAAGGAGGCGAAGGCGCGGGAGGAGCGACGCCGGCTGGGGATTCCTGATCCGCATGCTGCTACTGTGCCTTCTAGTCAGCCGCTTCTGTTTAACTTTTTGAAGAAGGGTGATTCCGCGTCGGTGACTCCGGAGGCGGAGACGCCTGGTGAGGAGACGGATCCTGGGGAGACTACGGAGGTTGTTGGGGATAGTGAGTTTTCTGCCTTCGAGGAGGAGGAGGAGGAGGAGGAGGTGAAAGAGGAGGAGTTTGGTGATGCGAATGTGTTGTTTGAAGATCATGTTCAGGGAGATACTCTGGAGACGGGGGGCGCGGGCGCAAATGGATCTACGGAACACGAGGGCAATCGGGAAGGCCCCAGGACAGAGGCTAAGGAGGAGGATGAGTTCTCCGACTGTTCCGTTTTCTACGATGAGGATATCCTGAAAAGGGTAGAAAACGTGACCCCAGCGGGCGGCATACCGCAGCAGGAGCAGGAGCAGCAGCCACAGCAACCTGGACGGCTCCCGATCTCCCTACCCGGAGGGGAGTCATTTTGTGACGATACGGCTATTTTACTCGAGGAGTTCAGCTATGAGTTTGATACCGACGAGGAGTTCGAGCGAGAATTGGCCCAGCTGGATGCGGTGTGAGTGTTCGTCTTATGGACTCTTTCTATTCCGCTATAGATACTCGACTCAATCATCCATTGACGGGCGCTATCCGACCCGACGGAGGGGAACCGCGCCGGTCGGATGACGGCGGGGCTGTCGGCTTACACGTTGATAAGCTGATCAGCGGTGTTCCCCGCTCTCCTCATGGGATCCTTCTAATTCGAGGATATTGTCTAAAAGAGGAGTGTATTGGGCATGTTGGTCGTTTTGAAAGAGCATGAAGCGTTCTAGAACTCATGACAGGATACAGGAGGCTCACCCGGGTAGGGTAGTTATATTGATCGGAAAGGCGTCGGAAAGCACAACAGCAATCGTGCGATGACGTCGATCTGCATCGTAGACGGAGGGGCATGGCTTTACGGGGTAGAAGTGTGAATTCGCTATCCGACAAATCATCGACCCCAACTTCTCACCTTCTCTCGACAACTACCTGTCGCTTAGAGACAATCAACAATCGCACCATCTCCTGAGTGAAATACCATCAACATGCCATACGTCGAAGTCAACAACCACAAACTACACTATGCAGACTCCCATCCAGATGGCGCGCCCGCCAACGGTCTAACCTTCATCTTCACCCACGGCCTCGGGTCCTCGCAGAACTTCTACTTCCCCATCCTCCCATACCTAACCACCAAACACCGCTGCATCACCGTGGACACGTACGGCGCAGCCCGTTCTCCCTACACCGGCCAGCCCATATCCATTGCGTCCATAGCCGCAGATGTCATCGCGGTGCTGGATGCGCTCCACGTCCCGCAAGCCGTGGTAGTCGGCCACTCCATGGGCGGACTAGTCGTGACTCTCCTGGGGGCTCAGTACCCCGACCGCGTGAAGGGCATAGTCGCCATTGGGCCGACCTACCCAGCGCCAGCCATAGCAGAAGTGATGACCAAACGAGCAGAGACGGTATCTTCATGTATTACCCCCTCCCCTTAAACTCTCTCCCCGTTGGACAGAAAATAGACACTAGAGTAGCAGAATCTACTAACACACCCCAGCCGGAATGGAACCCATGGCCAACACCATCCCCTACGGCGCCACAGGCTCAGGGTGCGCGCCCCTAGCGCAATCCTTCATCCGCGAGCTCCTCATCGGACAGAACCCGAAGGGCTACGCGGCGCTCTGCGGGGCCATTGCGAACGCCCCGAGCATCGACTATGCGGCCATCAAGGCGCCGTTTTTGCTAGTCGCGGGCGAGGAGGACAAGTCGGCGACGATGGAGGGGTGCGAGCTTATCTTTGGTGGGGTGTCGAGTGAGACGAAGAAGCTGGAGGTTTTGTCGGGGGTGGGACATTGGCATTGTCTTGAGGCGCCGGAGCTGGTGGGGAAGGCGATGGTGGGGTTTTTTGAGGGTGTTGCTGCTTGATTTGGATACTTTTCTTTTAGGGTTCGGTTTTATGTTATTTTGATATACTATGGTATCAGGATATACTACGGATTCAGAACATGTAGAAGGCTAGGAATTTGTAATATATTCCGAGAAAGCATAGATATAAAACACATTACATGGAGCTGGAGATTACCTCCAACAAGTACAAATAAAAGCAAACAAAAAAAGTAGATACAGAACAACCCCATCAAGCCGTCTTAGACTTCTCAAACGGCGCCATCTTCACATCATAGTTCAACTCAAGACTAGCCTGCGGGTCATCCTTGCGGGGAACAAAGTCGACGATGAGCGAGTCCTTGACGGCGAAGACGGAGTCGTTGGTGAGGTAGGGGTCTTTGCTATCGAAGATTTGAGTGGTGAGGGGTCTGTAGTCGTCGTGGGTTGCCTTGATATTATCAGCTTGGTGTAGGGGAGATAGCTAGGTAATGGGGTATAGAAAGTATGGGAAGTAAGAAGGTGGAGAGTTGGACGCACCATGAGATGGATGTGCGCTGGTCGGTAGACGTTTCGATCCATTAGATGGAGGAGTTGGGCTCCGGGGCCTGGCATATTGTTAGTTCTTCTTCTTCTTTCCTCAAAATTCGATAATAGCAAAGCAACTAGAAAAGAGAGAAAAAGAGAAGACATACCATCACCAGGAACCGGATAAGGCGTCGGCCTCAAACAATAAAACGCATATCTGCCCTCCTCGTCCGTCCGGAACTTCCCCCGGAGATTATGCTCGCACTGTTCCGGATCCTGCTGCTCATACATACCGTTCGTCGACGCCTGCCACACCTCGACGGTAGCGCCGACGAGGGGCTTCTTCGTCGCGAAGTCGACGACGCGGCCGTGCATGAAGGTGACCTCTCCGTCAGCCGGGGGGTTCTTGACGATGGTCTCGCCGTTCTGGCGTAAGGGCGTGTCGTGGCGGAAGAAGGGGCCGAGGATGGCTGTTGCTGTGGGGGCATCTTCGGCTTCTTCGGCGAGGGTGTAGGTGATTTCGTCGACGAGGCTATCTTTGTTAGACTTTTCTCTTTTATTTCTCTTTCGTGCGATACGGGTGGGTGTGTATAGCTAGATAGATAGGAAGGAGGAAACATACGACTCCAACCCAAAGATATCAGACATCAACTGTCCCTCATTTCGCTTCTCGGTACTCATCTGGCCCGCCCAATTCATCATCTGCACGGCGGCCATCCATTCGTCGACTGTTAGCTCGTTCTCGCGCGCATAGTCGTGAAGATGTCTGGTGAGGCTGGCCATGAGCTGGCGGAAGCGCGGGGTCACCTTCGGACCCATGGCGTTGATGACATTGTCTGTGAAGTTGGGGTCGAAGCGGTGGGTGGGCATTTTTTCAATCATTTTGCCTGATTTGGGTTTGTCGGTGTTTAGTTTGATATAGTTGTGTTGTATATCTTGGTATAGTAAGGTATGGACGGAGGAACTGTTTAGTAGATAGCTGATTCGGAGACAGACACTCCCGGGCGGAACATGAAATACTCAAGTCTCATCGACAGGGGTTCGAATCACGAGGCTGAGCAAGGTTGAGAAGACGAGGCTGAGCACGGTTTCGAAACGCAAGGCTGGGCCCATTGTTGTTTTGACCCCGCGTGGCTGTTATGGTTACAGTCGGAAGAGAGCAGGGGTGGAACTGGGGACGGGATGCGGGGATGCTGAGAGCCTGATCGGATGTAGATCGGATGGGTGAGTTGGTATCGGAACTGAGTCATCTTGATCATAGTATAAAATGGGTCGCAATATAAGGTTATAAGGTTTAGTCCTAAGGTCACTCTCGAGCGTTAAAGTGTTATATCTTTTGTGGTCGAGTGGTAATTCTTTTTGACAGAATGTTTGTAGTATGTATACTCCGCACATGATGGTCCACTATAGGCAATAATATAGCCAAGTGTATACAATAGATCTATAACTTCATTCAATCAATAACAACTACAATCACCTCCTCCTTCCTCTACCCCCTCTCCCTCCTCTTCCACCTCCCCTCCCCTTAGGAGTCCCCCGACTCGTCAACTCAACCGGCAACTCCTGCAGTACCTCCCCCCGCTCCCAAATCTTCCCCAACCCCTGCTTCCTCTCCACAACAACATCCACAAACTCCAACGGAAGGATCTTCTCCCCCTCTCCCTCTCCCTCTCCCTCCTTAGAAACCGCAACACCCTCACTCAAAACCACATCATTCTCACTCCTCCAAAACGGAACACCCGCCTCCAGCGCCCGTCGCAAATCCACATAAATCAACACCTGCGCGTCGCGCCGCATCCCCGACACAACCGGCGGATCCGCCGTCTGCGTCGCTGGCCCCTCCAGAACCGACTCCAGTGACGGACCAGTCGCAAAGTGGATCTGGTTCCGCTTCATGCAGCGCAGGCCGCCTGAGGCGAGGATGGCGGGCCAGGTGCTGTGGAAGGTGCCGTGGACAACGGTGCGGGGGAGTTTGTCTGGTTCGTCGAGGGTGAGGCGCTCTTGGAAGGAGGCGGCGTCGACGGATTGGATGCTGTGGCCTTGGGTGGCGCGGATGAGGAAGTTGGCGGGGTTGGTGTCGGGGACGGTGAGGGCTGTTGCTGTTGTTGTGTCTTGTGTGGGGGTGTTTTCTTCGCCGTTTTTATTACTGTCGGTGTTGTCGTTGGCGTTATCGGTTGGAGGGGTTGTGGTGGTGGAGGTGGAAGAAGGAATATGGAGAAGCGCAAAACGCTTCTTGTCTGATGTAGCGACGGCGTCGCGGACTTCTGGAAACGTCACTTTGAGGGATTTGAGCCTATTCCACGCTAGCTGTTTTTCTTTAGGTTAGCAAATATACCCTTAGAGACAAAACATCTGCTCCGACTCAAACATAGCTATAGATATAAAGTAACATACCACATCCGCGACATTCGCATACCCCTGCTCATCCATCTTCAGACCCTCTTTCTCGGCCGCATGGCGGAGCAGACGGCTCAGTGCTTTGGACACGAGGACATCGCGGCTGAGGGGGCCTCTGCCTTTTCCTGGTGGAGGCATGATTTATCTGTATCTTGGTTTAAAAATGGTTGTTTGTTGTGTGTTGTGTCTTGTTGTGAGTGGGTGGGCGTAGAGCGGGGAGATAGATGGGTGGTTGATTTTTGAGATGAGCTGTGAGGGGGTGGGGCAGGATCGGCGTTTTTAAAGTATAGATTAGATGGTGGGAGGTTCCTGGCTGACTCACTCTCACTCTTTCTCTTCAATAGTCATCTTGATACATTTCTTGGCAGTATATTCACGATGATATGACAGTGAGTCATTAGAGGTTGAAGTGAGATAGTTTATTATTGTATTCTAGTTAGAGTGTGGTGCAATCTAGCATATTGACATTCGGACACCATTAGAACCATCAATGTTGATATATTGATCAACATCTAGATATATTGATAAACACATAATTAATATAGATAATCTATAGCACACCAAACAAAACAAAATAAAATACTTCATCACATCAGCGTGAAATGGGTATATCGGAAATCGAAATCCTAAACAAGTACACCACCACCCTCCACCCAAACCAAACCCTTTCATCTCCATGCTCTTGAAAAACCACAATATAAAAAAAATTCAAACAGAGAAGAAGAAGACTACCTATCACAAATACAATTACACTCCGCAACTGGACAAACCTTATGTCTCGCAAACCACTCCCTCGCATGATGCGCATGAAACCCATGATTACAATTAATGCAAAACACCACAAACCGCCTCATCATGTCCACCTCGGACGGCGTGCGTGAGTCGTCCTGCATGATGCTGTCCGCCGCGATAGCCGCCTTGGACATCGGGTCCGGCGAGCCCAGCCACAGCGTGCACACGCCGCAGCGGGGCATGTGGCGGCCGCAGCGGGGGCAGATCATGCCTGACATGGCGGCCGTGCCGAGTGGGTTCCCCGGTGTCGGGTGCACGACGACCTCGCCTGAGGAGGAGGAGGGCGAGAGCTGGGAGGACGCGTCGTGCTGTGTTAGTGGCCGCGTGCAGTAGTTGCAGGTGAGGCTGACTTGCTGGCGCGGCGGCTCGATCAGTTTCTGTCCGTCCCAGGTGATGGCGAATTTGCGGGATCCGACGTCGAAGCGGGCACGCTCGAGTTGTAGTTTCCAGGAGTTGATTTGCCAGCGGTAGGTCTCGCGCCAGGCTTCGAAGCGTGTGCGGCGCGGGGCGTCGTTGATGAATCGGGGTACAGTGTGGCTCATTGCTAGGACGGGGGTTTGCACGTCGTTGAATTTTTGGATGTAGGATTGGAAGAGGTCGATTGCGGAGTGGCCTAGGCCTGTTAGGATTATGCCTTCGATGTCGCCCTGGCGGATTGCTTCGTCTGTTGTTTCCCGTAGGTAGGTGCTTAGCTCGTCGTCTGGGAGCCATCGGATGGCGACCTCGACGCGGTACCGGAGCGGGAGTGTGGTCTCGTTAATGACAGAGTGCCAGTCGCCTTTGCTCACGAGCGCTAGGATCGCCCGCGCGTATGGATCGGTCAGCTCTTTGGCGATCTCGGCGCACGTGTCTTCCCAGTCCGAGTCGGTGTCGCCCTTGGCAGCTCCGGCAATGGCCATGGCGAGAAGTTTGTGCGCTTGCGCGGGTTCGTTGCTGCGCAGCGCCAGGTACGCCAGCTTGGCTTCGTCTTGGAAGACTGCCAGCGCGGCCGCTTTGGTATGCTGGTTATCGGCGGACAGCGCCTTCACGGCATCCTCTAGTTCGCGGTTGGTTTGCGCTGCCCCGCAGAGTCGCAGGCAGAGGCGACGGTGCTCTGGGCGTTGTGTCGGACGGGATTTCATTTCCGGTAGGTTCAGTCGTTCCTGAACCAGATCGATAATGGCCTCGCCAACGTGGTGGTTCACACCCGCACTCGTGCCCACTCGTCGGGCATCAAAGCTTTGGCCTGTAACAGTCAGTATCACCCATCCAGCGGGGACAAGTGACGAGACTCACCTAGATCATTGTTCCACACATCGTACACCCCTAGATAGTTCATATCCAAGCCATTCTGGATCATCGTCTCGCCGGAAGCGTCGGTTCGTGCGCCTATTGCTGTCAGTCGTTTCCAAGCTATGAGTCCGTAAATCCGGCATCACGTACGTTCGATCCAATCCCAAAAGCCCTGGAGAGACGGATCCTCCGCCACAATTTCCCTGTTGCGCGCCTCGTCGAATAGATAGCCCTCCTTGCACCGAAGCCGGTTCACCGTCATCAGGGTCAGTGCCTCTTCTGCCGTGAGACGTTTGCCTCCGGTGCCCAGCGACAGCTCGCGTTCGCGCACCTCCCGGCTGGAAAGCGGCTGCGGAGGTTGGCTGTTCTTGACGGCTGGCGCCTCAGTTAACACATCACTGCCGGAAAGAACGCGCTCGCGTATCGTCTCAACCATGTCCGAGGCTTTCCACTCGGGGGACGGCGCCGGACTCATCGTTTTGAAGCCGGCGAGTTCGTCCGGGCTGCCCCAGACCAGGGAGCCTTGGGACGACAGTCGGACCGGGGGAGCGGGGGGTTTCACCGCCACGACGTTGACTTTTCCGTTTCCAGATAGGGTTATGGCACTGGGTTCGTTGGACGCGGTGAGGTTGAGAAAGTCAAAAGATACGACTCGTTCAGACTCGGGGTATCCACGAGAAGGGTGATTGAACGGACTGTAGATATCCCGGACATGTTTGGTGTAAACCTGCTCCGGATAGTTCCTGAACGAGCCGTGGCCGAGGGTCTGGTCCATCGAATGCCGATAGTCCTCTGCGAGGTATTCTTTGGCGATGTCGTACGTTTTTAAGTGGCCCGTACTGGACAGCACGCCCAGACAGCCTCGTTTGGTTCGCGAGAAGCGAAGACTCCAGATAGAAGACTTGGGCGCGACGACGTTCCGGAACTCCAGAGCCGGGCCCGGCTGGATGTCTGGCCCAGGCACGTTCGTCGGCCCAATGCCCGGCGCAAAGCGCGACCCCACCCGTCGGTCCCAGACGCAAATGGTCGCCTCGTTGGAGGGCAGACAGGAAGCGATGTAGTTTTCGTCCAACCAATCGATCGCCAAGTTGTGGACGCACCGGGTAGGGAACTGCAACGACGGATTTCCTGGTCCTTCTACAGTTTCAGTCAGCGAGAGTAGCGAAGTAGCGACAGCACCAATTCGCAGGGAACATACCTCGCAAATCATAGATCCGAACAAACTGCCCCTTGACACCAGTAACCAACGTATCCGGCTGATCGCGAAAGAACTTAATACTAGTGATAGGCTCGGAGCTCGCCAACTTCCTCAGCGGCTCCACAAAGCCCCTCGCGCCCCTCATAGCAAGCCGCTGATTGACGTCCCAAATATTAAGACAGAAGTCATTGCGCACGCGATCCAAACCCGCAGCCAGCAATCCATGCGTGCTAAACGCCACAGCATTACAGTACCGCTGGTGCCGAATGGGAAACGAGAACGACTCAGCCTCGCTGTTCATGCGCAGGATGGTCGCATCGCCGGAGGACTGGCCGACGGCGACGAGCGAGTCGTCGACAGGCGACCAATCGAAGGCGCGGAAGGCGGGGACTTTGGTGTGTGTTGACAGCACCTCATGCTGGAGGGTGTGCCCGTCGAATCCGTTTACCTTGCATAGGTGGAAGGCTTTGCCGGCGACGTCCACGGAGAGGAAGCGTTGTTCGGCGGTGGTGGAGGATGGGGACCAGCGGATGGCGGTCTCCATTGTTGGTTATTTTATCTTTCTGTGTATATTTCCACCTCTCCCCTTTCGTGTCCTCTCTGCACCTTATTTCCTTGGTTTACCCCCCTAGGGGAGCGTATGGCTGCCCACAGCGATGCGATGCGACAGTCGACCGAAGTGGATGAGTAGGTGGATGTGATGCGTCGACGGGGGTCCGGTGGGGGTGTTTAGAAGGTACCGGCACGCGAGCCGCTGACAATTCAAGCACTGAGGCGCATACCGATCAGCAATTGCACAGAAGTCCGAATAATCAAGAAAGCAATCGCATCGACAAGCAGTCGGAATCCAGGTACAGCTGAGCTTCACAAGGAAGAAGCACCCAAAGCACAGCTTAGTCATCCGCCCGTCATCGGCCGCTTTCCTGCACCTCTGATTGGCCGGCCGTCGGGGATCTGGGGAACCACCCGGACCGACCAAAGCTCCGGCCCTTATCAGTATTTTTTCTCTCTATACCCAGATATCTTCATCCAGACCCGGTCAACAAGACAAGACAAGACAACGTCTACAATACACGAATAGCAACCATGCCTCGCGACCGCTCCAGATCACAGTCTCCGGACACTTCGTCCCGCCCCTACCGCGACCGCAGCGACCCCCCAAAGCGCAAATACCACCGCGACGGCGACGCCGCCGAACAACACCACTCCCGGAAAAAGCTGCAGCTTCCCAAAAAAGACCACAAGTACCCGTCCGTCAACGAGCTGAAGAAGCGCATCCGCGATGCGAAGCGTCTGCTCAATAAGCCTGATCTGCCGGTCGAGGCGCGGATCGTGCAGGAGCGCGCGCTGAAGGGGTACGAGCAGGATTTGGAGGACGAGACGAAGAGGAGGGAGAGGTCGGCTATGATTAAGAAGTATCATTTTGTGAGGTTTTTGGGTATGTCTCCCCATTCTTGTCATTATCATTATCATTATCGTGATTATTGATATTGTATGTTCAACGCTAACAAATAATCGCGAATAGACCGCAAAACAGCAACCAAAGACATCAAATCCCTCCAAGCCCAACAAAAGACCCTCACAGAGTCCTCCAACCCCACGGCGGCAGCCGCCCTCGAACAAGAGCTCTACATCGCGCAGGTCAACCTCAACTACACCATCTACTACCCGCTCGCCGAGAAATACATCGCTCTGTACGCGACGCAGCAGAAAAAGAAGAAGTCGGCGGATGACGACGACACCAGCAAAACGGTGTACAAGCCGGTGCATGCTACTGCTGCGGAGAAGCCGCCTATGTGGCATGTTGTGGAGAAGTGTATGAAGGAGGGGACGCTGGATCGGTTGCGGGAGGGGAAGTTGGGGGCGGATGGGTCGTCTGCGAGGGTCGAGAAGGAGGGCAGGAAGGAGAAGGAGACGAAGGCGAGGAAGGAGAAGAGTGGTGGTGGTGCTTCTGGGAAGGCTGCGGATAGGGCTGGGTCTAGGAGGCGTGATGTTCCTGTTCCTGTTGTTCCTGAGGAGCAGGATGAGGAGAGTGATGGTGGGTTTTTTGAATGATTTGTTTGGTCATGCTTTAGAGTTTCGAGCATTTTCAGGAGTTGGTTCTCTTTTCTTCTCTCGTTCTTCGCATTGGTAGTGGGATGCTATCCTTGGGCTTGTTCATACCACACATTTACTATCTTACATATACTATGCTATATACTTCACAATCATAGATACTCAATATGTCAGATATCAGATGCAGACACCGTCCAGCACGTAGGAGTCTGTTTTGTAGTATATTCAATATCTCAATGAAGATATGACATGATTGACATGATGCGACAAATAAAAGTAAAATGACAATCTAAACCCAACCAGCAACGTAAACAACCCAGCCAGTCCAGTTCCCATTCAATCGGAGAGAACCGCAGCTGACTCAATACATAAAAAGAGAAAAGACCAAATATCATCCACAGACCGACTCTCCCAGAGAATCGATCTGGTTAAACCCCATTTTGACTCCAAACGCTCGATCATGAAACCGATGTCCGGACAACGCAAAGATAAAAAAACAGTCACGTCATCTGAATATCCGCAGTGCGAGGTAAAAGAACAAGAAAAAAAGAGGGTAGGAACGTCGGATCCATCAGATCGTCGTGATTGGTACATATCCGACGACCAGGTCGTTGCTTTCGCGGTTTCATGATTTCATCTCTCATAGACAAGAAACAATTCCCTCAGCCTTCCAGCACGGCTAGCATAGGCTGTCCCTTCTGCGAGAAGAAGGGCTGTTGTTTTTCGTCGAAAGGGTTTCCAGAACCTGATCAGAGAGTCGGTGATCGAAAACGAACGGACCGGCTCGATGCAATTTGCCATAGAGAAACACCCCGCGAGGGGATGTGGTGTGGAAAGAAGCGAGTAGATTGGGTAGTGTTCAGGTTCACATAATGACGCAGGAACTACCGCTACTCTGCGCTCGTCGGCGTCGAGCCCCCCCGGCCGGGTTTCCTTCGCCGCCATCGGCTTCCTCGTCTTGCTCGTAGACTTGCTCGGCTGCGTGGGCGCGGCGCCGTCGTCGGCGGGCACCGGCTCCCGCCGTGCCAGCCTCCTCATGGGCGATCATGTAGTCGGCCCATTTGCGATCCAGGCGGCTGGCCGCGGCGAGATCTCCCCGCAGGACGCGCTTGTTGTGCTCGTCTACGGTCATCTGCCATCCGTAGAAACACTTGAGCTGGATGACCGCACTGGGATACAACGGGGGCGACGGGGGCGGGGTGATGGACGAGGTGATTACAGCCGGGGCGGCTGCGGGCTGGTCGGGTAGGACCGTCTGGGCCACGACGGAGACGGCCTGCATGGATTTGCGCACACGCGGGACGTAGGCGTTGCTGGACAGAACCTCCTTGACGCCAGCCCAGGTCACGTTGGCACAGTCGAAGATGACCAGCCGCAAGCCCACCCGCGGCAGCTCTTCGCTGTAGCCGCGTCGGCGGATGCGGAGGCTGGCCTCCATCAGGGTGAGGTCGGAGACCCGGGTGTTGTCCATCTCGACCGAACGCAGGGCGGGGCAGCTCTTCATGATCTGCAGCATGCCGACGTCTCCCATGCTCTCGCAGTAGCTGATGTTGAGGTGCTCGAGGTGGTCGGCGCACGGAGCCTTGGCCAACTCGACGAGAGTGTTGTTGGAGAGGTGTTCGATGTCCTCGAGGTCCAGGTGTGAAAGGCGGGGCGTGGTCTTGATGACCGCCGTGACCGACTCGTCCGTCAGCTCGGAGCACTGGGAGAGCTGGAGGCCCTCCAAGTGGGGGACGTTGTGGGCGAGACTCTTGACCCCGTCGTCGGTCAACGCGGCGCACCGGTGGAGGTCGAGGTGTCGGAGCCGGCGCGGGGGGACGAGAGCCCGTTCGTCCAGCACATCCATCTCCGGGTCGAGACCGTGCATGAGGGCCTGCAGGCTCTTGTCGGTGAGATCGGTGCGACTCACCAGGAGGCGTTCCAGGGTATTCCGCTCGAACAGCTCCAAGGCGAAGTCGACATCGTCGAATCCGCGGATCTCGCTCGCGCGGAGGTCTTTGAGGTGAGTGCAGGCTTCGATGACCTTCGCCAGGCCCGCGGTATCGACACTGGTGCACCAGGACACGTTCAAGACCTGCAGCTGGGGGCAGGCCTGCGCGACAATTTTCATGGCGGAATTCGTCACGCTGGAGAGGCCGGATACGTTGATGTACTGCAGACGTGGGTTGCGCAAGAGGAAACAGTGCATGGAGGTCTTGTCGATGCGACACCCCTCGAGGGAGAACCGCTCGATGTTCCGACAGAGGTCCGTCATCCGCTCGCCTTCGGAGCGCCACTTATCCCTCAGCTGGACACAGCCGCGGAGGTTGAGGTCACGGACGAAGGGACCGGCGGCGGTGATGATCTTAACAAGGCCGTCACTCGAGACATCGCCATAGTAATCGGTGGTGTCGATCGTGGTCCACAGCTGGCCGTCATAGCACATCTTGTGCCACTTCTTCGAGACCGCCGAGCATCGCACGATCTCCTTGGGGGTGAGGTAGTGGAAGATGAGCACCTTAAGCTCGCTGGGCATGCTCGCCCAGAAATCGAAAGGCTTCTTGGGCTGGGACGTGGACGGCTGGGGGGTGAGGTCTTCGGATACGTCGGGCGCCGACGGTGACCCTCGGGAACCTGGTCTCACCTCGGTGGGCAGACGGATGACCCGGGAGGATGATTCGGAACCGACCAGGCGGATGCGGGCATTCTCATCGTGAGGCTCGGGCGGGGTGCTGGTGACTCCGGGGGCCGTGGGGTTCGCGTTCAAGCCGCCATAAAGCTGAGCGGAGCTCCCGTTTCCCAGGCACGGGGTGTACGCGGTTTGGGACAGCGAGACACAGGACAGTGAGGCCTTTCCATTCTGGCGGTATCCGGCGGAGGCGGAACGACCACGTCGGGTCAGGGCGGGACTGGAGGAGATGCGCTGAAGACTCTGGAGCAGTTTCCGACGACCCTTGAGTTTGGGGGGTTGTTCGAGAGGAATCTGGCCGGTGGAGGAGTGTGGACTGGCGGGGGAGGCGGATCCGGAGAGGTTGGCATCGCGGGGGACGGCAGCCATGACGCTGAGAAGCGATATCCAGCTGACAGCGAAGGAGGGACGATCGATGAGACCCAACCGAAGCTAGGATAGGACGTGCGGAAAGATGTGAAAGCAGGAAAGATAGAAACACAAAAAGAAAAAAAAAAAAAAAAAAAAAAAAAAAAAAAACCCAAGTCCCACCGACCCAACGATCGTCCAACTAGATGGACAAGCAAAGCGCAAGAATCAACGAGGAAGGGAAGTTGTTAGATGATCATGGTGAGAGGCCGGGATATTCTGCAACTCTATTTGGAGGACTCTGATCAATGATCTGGTGATCTGCGACCAGATACAGCAACACGGTTCTTACAGCGATGGAGGAAGAGACCGGATGAGATATTAGCGGGTAAGAGAGAAAGAGGCTGTGCGGAGGAGAAACAGAGAAGGGAGAAGAGGAGAGGAGAGGAGAGGTGAGGTGAGAGGTGAGACACGAGAGGCAGAGTGAGGAGTGAATGTGAAAGTAAGAGAAGAGATGAGAGAAAGAAAGAGTAAGAGAAGTGTGTGGGGGAAAAAGAAGTGGATGAACCAGTGGAATCGAAGAGGGAGAGTACCATGGGACTCGCGTCACGGAGAATAAGACCCAATATGGTCGTGTCATCAGTAAGAAGGACGAGGTGAGAAGAGGTCAGACGATGTTGATATCACATTACTTAGGATCTTTTTACCTTGAGCCTAAGGAATTCGTAATAATACTCAGACTGGCGGTAAGTATAGAGATATCCCCACATGGTATCAGTATCATTATGGATATGCATGATACTTAAAACAATACAACAATATCATAATACAAGAATAACTATACAATATAATACAATAAGCAGAATAAAATAAAATAAATACAACAAGTAAAAGAAATAAAAGATATAATTCAATCAAATACAAAGAACAGAAACGAAGGAAAAACTACCCCTCAACCGACAATGTCCATGGTGAGTGATTTAGCCATGGAATTCCCCAATGTTCCCCACATGGCAACTCATCCGACTTAATCACCATCATTGATAACCATAACCCATGTCTAACTGATGATACTTCAAAATAAAAAAACAACAATCATGTTAACAATGATGATAATATAATATCATGAAATATATACATAAACAAAACAATAGGATCAATACAATACATAGAAGATCATGTATATCAAATGCTGCGCCACCTGCGGGGATAACGGATAAGGATAACGGATAAGGTAGTCTCACCCCATTCGCCACTCTTATCGCTTCGACTAGCCACTTCCACCTCAGGCTCCCAGGACCCCACTCATACAATACCGTCATGAAAATGAGGCATTTCCTTCATTACTGGTAGTATCTAATATCAATACCTACCTACCTACCTGTTGATTCAAAAAAGGTCCATAGACAATTCATTATCCTGTGATGTGGTCGGGCGTGGCCTTCTATATATAACCACCTACAGTACTACATCTTCCATCTTTACCTATTCAGTCAAAACAGGATAAGCGTCCCTGCAGATCATTCGACTGGAGTATAGTATTGGTTACTGGTTAGTTATGGGGTACTTTAGTACCTTAGTACATCCCAAGTTAGGTACAACTACAGTACCTTACTACCTAAGTTAGGGCACGTCGGCACCGTTGAGCCTGTCCCAGTGTCACTGTCTAGTAGTGTCTTAATCGACCCTACCCATGAATGAAAGACACCCCGCTTTTATCCCCGCTACGACTCGTCCTGTCTTGTTTGTCTTGTCGACTGTGGATCTTAGCGGTTCAATACCGTTAGTTCCACGGACTGGCACAGCCGGTTCTCGGTTCTCGGCAGGGGTTTTCCTACCGACCTGATTCTCTATCGCCTCCCGTCTAACTAACTAGTAGTTAATCCGTCTGTCCGTGCCTACATGACTTTCACTTTTAGAGAAGTCTTGACGTCTACAGTACAATAAGGAAAAGTCTCGACGTCTACAGTTCAATAAGGAACAAGTAAATCTCCGTAATGTTCTTTCTAGCCAACTATATTGGAATCATATGGCGCGGGGGTATCTCTGCGTCTTTCTATACAGCCTGTCTGCCAGTTCAGTGCCAATGCTCACCCGAGGGTCGGTCTGTCTGCTAGTTACCATCCAATGACCGTTGTTTCCTACTTGTTCTCCACGCCGCCCAAAAAGTCATCGTCGTCAAAAGGGCCGGTTCCCTCCCCATGGTTCAATCCAGTCCAGTCCAAGAAATACCCGGGTATCATACATCCCACCCACACCCCCTCCCCCACTTCTCCCTCTCCCACCGTGACCCTGAAAGTCTATCGTTGCTGGTCATAAGAGCCGTGATATCTTTAAACAGAAAGAAAAAAAGAAAGAAAAAAAAAAATCATACTGATGCTGTCGTCCGCCTGGAATGCATGAGTCGGATGCTGTCAAATCAATAAAAGAAATGAAGAAATGGCTCGGTTGATGGTCAAATGATATCGGTATACAGTATAGATGATGGGTTCTAGCTCAACTGTCCGCCATCCACGGGTGTTCCAACACCTCCGTGATGGTCAGTCGGTTGTCGACGTCCCGGTCGAGCATCTTGCGCACTAAGTCGATGCAGTCTTCGGTGAATGGCAGGAACGGCACCCGCAGCGGATGGTCCAGGATCTCGTCGACGCTGTAGAACGGGTTCTCTTTGTACACAATTGTGTATAGGAGAATGCCCAGCGCCCACACGTCTTGCTCTTTGCCGCGGTAGGATTTGCCCTGCAGGACCTCGGGGGCAGCGTAGTCTAGATACCAACAACAGGCGCCAACGGTCAGTGATTGATGCAGGTGCAGCCACAGTGGCGTCATGACTTACCGATCGTTCCCACAAATACATCAAATGGCCCGTTCTTGATGTAAGCCGCACTCCCAAAATCGATCAGCTTGATCCGCCCCTCTCCGTCTAGGATCACGTTCTCGTCCTTGATGTCGCGGTGCACCACCAATGCCTTCGTGTGCAGGTGGTGGATGGCGTCGACGACCTGCTTGAAGATGTTTCGACACTCGGATTCGTCCATGTTCGTTTTCAGCTCGATGTAATCGAATAGGTCCATCCCCGGAAGGCCGTGCGGTTTCATTTCGATATAATAATTGACGTCGTCCTCGAAGAACCCCTCCATCGCCACGATGTTGGGATGTTTGAGGTCTTCCCGGCGCAGATAGTTCAGCACGTGGATCTCCAGCGGGACCGTCCCCAGCCGGCGATCCCGGGTCCATGTATCCACCAGGATCCGTTTCTTGGTCACGTACTTCAGGACCATCTTCTTCGCGGGGTTCTTCTTGAGCCGGGCAAGTTTGACTTCACCGTAGGCGCCTTGGCCCATTTCTTCCAGGATCACATAATCGGCAATCGACTTTTTCTGGGGCGACTCCTTGGCCCCGCCCGGCTTGACTTCCGGGACCGGCTGCACAGGCTTGTCCGTCAACGGTTCGGACGCAGCTTCGTTGAGCTGCTGGGTCAGTGTCGACAGCGGGACCCGGGTCTCCACCGACGTCCGCTCCAGGTTCTTTGGCGGAGCATCCGGGTTGGTGGGGGGTGATGTCTCGGGCCCGAGGTCACTGCTATGGCTGACGGCCGGGGGTCGAACGGGGGATGGTTGCGAGGGCCTCGAACTGCCCGTGGGTCCTGCGGAATGGATGTGTCGGGAGTAAGTGACCCACAGTGCGTAAACCAGCTCGGTCACAGCCTCGAACTCGTCGTAATCGGAGTCGGATCCACTGGTCCGGCCTGAACCTCCGTGTTGCTGCCTCGGGAAGAAGGTTCCGCTTTTGATGACGCGCAGCTGAACGTCCACGGAAATCGACGAACCATCGCGGTGTTTGGCGGCCAGACCGGTGGGCTCCAAGAACACCGAGGCCACGTTGGCCTTCCCGTCGCGAAGGATAGAGAGGGTCCGTGCCCGGCGAAAACTGGTCTCCGGGATCACGATCCCGTCTACCAATGGGACTTTTTCCTCTTCCGTGAGCACATTGAGAAGCTCGTCGAAGCCAGGGATCAACGCGTTGATATGCAGTCCTTCAGGCCGCTCCTGGCCAAACAAAGCGGAGGAGAAGACCGAGTTCGAGCTGATGATGTTCAGCGTCGACGACGACAGCACCATCATACCAGCGACGTGGGGAAAGCTAGACACTCGAAGACAACTGCCGCCTTCGTCCGACACGGTCGTCGGAACGCAGAAGCCTGCAGACGTACGAGCGGCAAAATGCTTCATGTCGGAAATTCTTGCCGCGCCTTTGTCGACCGCGGCATCCAGGCATTCCCGGGGAAGTCGGGGAAGGAAGTCCGTGATGGGCTTGCCAGCCTCTACCAGACCCCGGCCCCAGATTCGATCGGTATCACCGCGGGCGTTGGCAACCTTCCACGAACGGTCGCATTGAACATATGCGACGTCTTCCTCAATCTCCTCAATGACCCAGATCAAACCACCCCGCTTCTCCATTACCCAAACACTGGCCGATCCTTTGGTCCCGTTGCGCTTCAGGATAGGCACCACGTCACCACAGAGCAAAACGCCGCGCGATTTCGTGGCCGGGTGGTTGAGCTGTTTTGGCACGCGCTTACTGGATCCGTAGCCATCGTCCGTCTGGGCCCTCCTCGCTCGAGAAGATGGTTTATTGAGCAGCTGGGCCGTGACCCCGTTGCCAAAACCCGTGGATTTGGGATTTGCCGGTCTGGCACGGGACTTGTCCACCGACGACTGGACCTTCGCTGCGGCTTTGGTGACGGGGTCCCGCAGTTTCGATGCGAGCCACTCCCGTCGGTCTTCCTGCACTACTTCTAATATACTGAGTTTGCGGAGCTCGGCCTGCGTAACGCCGAATACGAGACAGGACAGGTCGTTGGCCGCCAAGATCACCCACGGGGCTTGGGATTCGGTTCGGAAGACGGCCTGGGAGACGGGGTTCCACTTGCTGCTGTGGGTGTGTAGGGTCGGGACCGGGGGCCCCATCCCCGCGGTGATGGAGCCGGTGGACGTATATGGATCGGTCGTCGTAGAGTAGGATTGTGCTAGAATCTCCATCAGCTTGCTCTCGAGAGTGACAGAACCGAGATCGCTGTGCGTACGTTTTAAGCTTACGCGCCTGGGCGAGGGGATGGACCTCCTCCCCCTCTTTTGGCTTGCGATATGGTAACTCGGTGACTGTGTCGGAGAGATCGAATAGTCCGTCGAGGAGTCATCATCCTGAAGCGTGCGGGGCTGCGACTCGGTGAACGCTCGATCGAACACATTGTCGCTGTCCACGCTCGCCGGGCCTGTCAAAGGACCCCTCGTCAGACCAGCATGGCCATACCGATCTTCTCTGGCCAGCACGTTCGATCTCGCCAGAAGATCTACCATGCTTTGAAGTTCCGAGTCGCCACTGACGCGAGCCTGCGCGTCGAGGATGCCCGAAGTGCTACCAGCCCATCCAAAGCGGTCGCGCATGAAATCAATCGACCTCTTGAGTATGTTTTGGCGGTTGTGGAGCAGTTCATCCGATTGTTGCGCGAAGGAGAAAGAGTGGAGAGACTCTAACGGGAATCGATGTAGGTCTTCCAGCGCACCGACATCCTGCTTCGGCGGGCGGTGGGTGGAATGAGCGCGGGATGACGACGCGGAGCGTGGTGACGGCGAATGGAAATGCGGAGGAATGGGAACCAGTGACGAGGTCGACAGATTTGGGAGGGTCAGGACTCGAGACGGCTGTTGGCGTATACGATCTAGCCCGGACGGGCCGAGTCCATGCTCGTTTTCAAGTAGGGGAGATCTGCAGAAGGGACAATGTTCTCTCTCAGCTTCTCCCGTCCCTATGTAATCGCCTATGCAGCTTGACGCAAGGAGGCGCCCGCTGATCATCCAGATCATCCACTCACCTCGGAAGGGATTCAAGACCTGTATCCGCCGAATATTTCATTGACTCATGCGTTTGCGCCTCGGGTCCGCCAACGAATGGATCGGAGTCTGGTGATTCTGAAAGGGGCCCCAACGGGGACGACAAGGGACTGATTTCATCTGAAGTTGTCGCAAAACAAAGTTAGCCCAAGAATCCGCGACTGACGTTCTCTTTCATCATTCCTTCCGCCCCTTCCGTCCCGTCGAAGCGGGTCAATGTGGTATGGAATGGGAATGCAGTAGGCCGCCGCCTTGAGATGAATATTATAATCTTGGAAGAAATGCTCGTCATGTAACTTTCCGAAACATTCGGTTGCCCATTCTCCGTTGATCTTCTTTTTCCTCTTCACATCTTCACCTCTTCTTCTTTTTCTCTATTCCTTTCTTTTTCATGATCTTTTTATGACGAATTCCCCAGAATCCGATAACAAAGATACCACATTGAGGACCGAAGACAGACGACGGAGGATTCGACCCTGAGCAAGAAAAAAGTCAAGGGAAGGGCGCGCGACTCACCATCGGGATGATATGAAGACGACCCCATATTTCGCCAACAGGTGACAAGGTAACGACCAGTACTGGTCGGGCCGAATTGAGAACAGAAGGTTCAAAACGGCGCGACACAGAGAATCTGTTAAGGAATGGAAATTGTTGTAAAATTGGTCGACACCGATATGATTGCTACATGAGATGATAAGTAGCAAAAGATCTTAGTAGAGCAAAGACCCTATTAGAGTTTTTTTTTTCTTTTTTTCTTTCTCCTTTCTTCTCTGGGATTTTTTTTTATTGTGTTCACCCTTCTCTGCTTCTTCAAGTCCGCTCCTGACAGTCCACCGACGCGACACAACAGCAATATCCGATTGTGTCAAGTCAGCCGTCGTGGACCGAAAGAGTTCAACCAGAGGTGTCAGCGGACTGCAGAACGGGGAGTCGGAGACGGCACCTGCCAGCGGAGGTCACAGGCACCATACGTATTTGCGATAGAGGCGCGGCACGCGGAGGTGCGGGGTGGGGGGAGGGGGGTTGAGAAGAAAAAAAAGATTTTCTCGTTGCTAGGTGATGTTCGGGGTAGGCAGCTGGATTTGAGTCCGGGCGCAAGCGAATGAGAAAGTTGAAGCTGGAGGAGAGAAATGTGTTAAGTCCGCAGCGATTTCTCCGGAGCGTTTGGTTTCGAGGGTTTCGGAGTGATGAGAAAAATGATCCAGGGACGTTGAGAAGCGTCCTCTTTCTCTCTCTCCCTCTCTTTATCTGTGTAAAGTAAAGATAGGCGGAAGTGGAGTGCGACCCGACGAGGGGTGTCAAGAGGGGAAAGGGAGGGGAGGGGAGGAGGGGAGAAAGGGAAGAAGAAGGGAAGACGAAGGGAAATGCTGAAGTGAGATTCGTTGTGGAGACGAGCTAAAAGAGAGGAAAGAAAGAGAGTGAGCTTAGTAGCTGGTAAGCAGGTAGAATCCCAACTGAAGGACGAGAGAAAAACGAGATGGTGGAGATGTGATTTGCAGAGTGTCCGTCTGTCTGGCTGATGGTGACGTTGGCGCTTCCTTTTCTGTTCTTTTCTTTCTTTGGGCTTTTTTGTCTTGCGCTTTTCATATCCCGATTTTTATTTTTATTATCATTTATTTTACTTTTATTCTTACTTGAATCCTTTTATTCTTTATCTTACATGTTTGTCGCACTATTGTATGTAGATTTCAAAAAGAACCTCTTAGGCAGGTAAAACATTGAACTGCAGACACGGACCCCAATTTTCACAGTCTCCTCCCAGCAAAAGAATCGGATGGAGTCAACCGAGGATGAAAGTTACTTGGCTAGCGATATATGAACGAATGAGCAGTCACTTAACTAATAGGATGTACTAGCATCTAGTCCAACCACTACCCAAATCCTTATTTAAGATCCGTCCCTTAAGAAAAGCGGTGGTGATGTAATTGGCCCCGCCTACAATCATACCTTTCGACGGCTGTACTGTCAATGAGGTGACAACCTGGCTGGCTGAAACATGCTGGATTAATGATCATCTGGAATAGAAAAATATGTTTGTGACAAGGGTGAAAGAAGTTCCTTCCGTAGATTGACTATCTTAGTCCAGAAAACAGTCTGTTACTGAATGAATCCGGTCACCCAGAACCATGGGTGGATATCGTACCCTCCGATCTGTCGATGGTTTTGGGAATGGGAGAACCAGATCTAGGCTCCTGCTTGGAACCAAAACCCAGTGATAGAGAATAATTAGGTTAGGTTGTCTTGGCTGGGTCCTGTATATTGTTTGATAGTTTTGTCACTGGCTGTTCATCTAAGAAAGTGAATATCATCCGGTGAAGATCTTCATCTTCATACGCAAGCCCAGATAACCGAATCTAGAATAATTGTCAAGATAAAGAAATCTGACAGCAGACCTTATGATCGACAGTGTAGATCAGTCACTAAGCCATGTTTCCCCTCTAAGCTTCATGATCATTGTCATTCGGTCCAAGTGTTTCACTGCAGTGTCTTGCTGATACGGTGGATTGTGCTTTGTTATTCACACCTATTCCCTGAGGAAATCATGGAAAATTCTAACCGAGAAAAAGGAAAAAAAATCATGCCGAATTCTATACATTGTCTCAGTTGTACTTCTGATCCATAAGCGCTTCAATGGACCATCTAGCCTGATATGGTTAAAGGAAATAGCATGCGGGCAGTGTATGTATCTCTTTCGGCCCGGGTATATCGGATGGGAGGGGCAAACACAACACAAAGATCTGGTAGAGGCAAAATGGAACAGAGAGAGAGAGAGAAAAGAAAAGAAAAGAAAAATTAGGAACAGGCTATTCGTCCCGGCCTTTAGAGCCACGAAGACTCTCCATAGCTAGGCTATCCGGTTCTTTCCTCGCGCCTTTTGGTTCTTCTTCACCATTACCGAAAAGGGAATTCTTCGTAGTCTTCTTGGTCTTGGTCTTGGCCTCGCCGTGACGACTTTGCTCGGGTGGGACGGACACAGGGCTCACGAACTTCGACATCTGTTCACTGCCACCTAGCATCCACGAAAACTCGGACTCTGCCAATGGTGGGCGGGATTCTGGGCGTCGTGGCATTATTTCCGTGGGTTTGGTCTTGGGATGATGTTTGGTTGATGCTTGGGGCTGTTTAGGTGTCACGGCGGAATCCTCCTTCTCATCTTTTGTATCCTTGGGCTTAAGTTCGGTAGTCGTGGGTTGGCTTATTGTAGAATCTTGCTTTGCAGGGCGCGAATCACGACTTGTAGCTGGAGACGTCTCGCGTTCAAGGGGAGCAGTAGGGTCTTCAAGACATGTCTGGACGGACTGGATTTCGGCAAGGGCTTTCTTCATGGAGTCGTCCGTCAGTGCCTCCTGTGCCTCGCTGGTCTTGGCTGAGGAGCGAATATCCTTCAAAGCATGGCTCAGTTTCTTCCCAAGCATTCTATTCCTCTCCTCAAGAGCGTCTAGCTTAGTCTGCAGAAGGACAAGTTCCCCGGTCCCCCGAGGCACTTGCTCGTTGGTCGGTTCGTTAGGGGTAACCATTGCAGGTATACTCGTATGCCTCGTGGTCGGTGGTCTGTGTTCTGCCTGTATCGTCTGCATGTTTCTTTTTGCTTCGCTCACGGCCCCGCGCACAGCTTTAGCTACGCCCCAGGTTTCTGTCCGTCGGTGGATGCCCTCCGAGACATCCTGGAATAAAGCTTCCAGACTCTTCGGGCTGTTTCTTGCGGGGGTCCTGGAGGGAGACGTTGACTCGCTTGTGCTCTGCAGATCGTCGCGGAGGTGGGACCGCTTGGCATTCAGCAGGGTGAGCTGCTTGTTGAGATCAGGCGGTTTTCCTGAATACTTCGCGATGATGAAACTTCCCCTCTCGGGAGTTGGGTCCTGTTCCAGATACAATGCATCGTGCACAAAGCTCTGTGGCGCGTGAGGCTGGGGAGCGGGGTAGCGGAGAAGGGTTGTTAAAACCGTTGAGGAATCACTCCTTAACACTGAGAGGTTGTCAGAGAAGGAACTGAGAATCAAGATGTGTAGACAACTCACGTTCCCAACGAATCCGTAGGAGCATCGCAATGCATACGAAGTCCACGAGTTCTGACCGCAGTCCCTCGGCAAAGAGCCGGTCCCAAACAACGAGCACCTCTTGGAACGGGAATTCCCGACCAAACAAGAGACGCATCCACCGGCTTTGAGAAATTAGCATCTGTCTTCAGCACAGATTATGCTGTGCACTCACGTAAGGAAAATCTGTGGAAGAACTTCGAGAGCCTGGAGGTGGCCCGCCAGCTCCAAATCCGTTGTAACCAAAAGCTCGTCGTGGATACGTTGACACTGGCTCACAATTGGAATAACATCCATTTGACCCCCTGGAGACCGGTGCCTGTCATGTTCGTAATACAGTCGGGTGGTCTGCATGACCGAACAGAAGAGTGCGAACGAATCATGCTCCACATAATCGGCGTTCAATAAATGAAGCAAGTCCTCATCAAACTTGTCCGTCGGATCAACTCCCTCCACTGACCCTGGATTAATCGCATCGCGATCAATGACCCACAGCAATGGCGCCAAAATTTCGTGCATCCCCTGGCGATAGCCAAGGTCGGGGTTCAGTTTCGAGTAGATAAAGAGAACATCGATCATCTTCGCCTTGGTGGCAGGTTCGCGGAAAAAGAAATTCTCCTGTAAGCACCTGTCGACATCCTGCGATATATCGGCTCTCAATTGCTCGTCCTGTCGCAGGGTTTGCCAAGGAGACTGCAACATCCAAAGGTCAGAGATACAACCGTCAACCCATTTAAACCCCCACACCAATATATTAGGCCTAGCATACCTGTTCATCATCCGCCAGCGGATCAACAGTAGACTGCAAATCGTCCGGATGATCGATGTACTTCAGAAAATGGTCCCGTAGTGCGACATAGGCACTTCGCGATTCAGCGAGTTTGCGCGACCATTGTGACCGGTCAAGGTTGTCGAAAAGCAGAAAGGCCTACGCGCAGGTAAGCATGGGAGCCCACGTAGCATTGACAATATGCGCATGCCTTCCAACAGATCGACCGTAGTCCGTCATTACAAAAAGTATCCCCTTGTTCTGTTCTCAGTGTGGCTCGAAGATCGGAGGTCGTGTCATTGTCGCGAAACAAGGTGTTCCATCGTTGCCTGGGAAGTCAGTCAGCTATGGGGAACACCCCAGCGAAGATGGGAATATTCGGTACCTTGCGTCTTCGATGCTCCTCATTTCGCCATAGGTCTCCCTAGCGAAATAGGGCTTTTGCGTCTGGGGCCGTTGATAACTTGGGACAACGGAATGAGGGGGAGTTCCGGTCAAGTGGGCAGGTTATCCAGCTTGGAGCGGTGGTCCCCACTAGTAATAACAGGGTCACTGGATGACGGAACGATCGACCACGGACAACAAGCCGCGGAGGTTCGCCCACCACAACTTTCTCCCGCGCCATTCCTATCGCTCACCCCACCCACACAACTTGCGTCCAAAGGGCGATCGAACCTGGCGGGAATTGAAAGTACTTCTCGATATGCCTACGGGAGTCATTTATTATCCACCGTCCAGCCGCTGATCTTGAAATTCCGAAATTGGATTCCCCTGCCGTCGTTCGGCTGCGTATTCGATGTCCGCCGACTTGTTCGCGGAGTTCGGAGCTGGGGTTTCTGCTCGTCAGACTCCTGGGACGTCACGTCAAAATAATCAGCCCCAGACCAGTTCACTCATTCCTGACCTCGAGGGGCTTGATTTGTCTACTAATTCTGCTCATGGCGGGGATGAATCTACTCTGCGACCCGTCCAACCACGGACACTAACAGGCCATGCCGCTTCTTCCAGTACCTATGGTTTCTCTCAGCCTCCTCATTATGGAGATAATGACGGTGTACTCTTTGATGCGAGTTTTGAAGAAACAGTTTCCAATCACGAAAGTGACGACTGGGGTGAATTTGAAGCCCCAGAGCCGCCCTCTGTACAAAGCCCTCCGGCAGGCTTCCCCGCCCCTCACGGCCCAAGGGGTCGCGACATCCCGTCTAATAGGAAAGACGTCCCACGGAAAAGTCCAGCTACTTCATCCAAACATATTGACTTGCTTGATTCATTATCGACTGAGGATAAACCGCCGTCGCAAGGGAAAGGCGCTAGTAGATCCGTCCAAGGCAGACATGGACCCCCGAGTCGCACGATCCCTTCTACGAAAGGGAAACGCTTAGAGCAAGAGGACTTTGAGGACGCTTTCGAGGACTGGGGTGATTTTACCGATGGGCCACCTGCGGAGCCTCCTCGGATAGCAAGCTCCAAGGGCAAACCTACCCCGAAGTCTACAGGTGGTCGAGCTTCGCTGTCTCGTGTCCCCGATAAGCCCGGACCGTCTTTCCAGGTGTCTAGCTCGAACAGCCCTTCTCTATCTCCCGACCAAATTCGTCCAACAAACATACCGCCGCCGTCGGTCTTACTAGAGTTATTTCTACGGCTCCTAGACCAACTACAACGGGATGCCGTCCAAGCCAAAAAGAACTTGCAGGACAAGGAACGTCTAGAACAATTGGCCTCGTTGATCTTTTACACCCTCAAGGCGGCAGCACGGGTGGTTGCCGGCCGCACGCTGCGCTGGAAACGGGACAACATTTTGAGCCAGAGCATGCGGATCGGGCCGGCGCGGTCGGGGAAGCCGGGCGGCATGAAGCTCAACACGGTCAACAAAAACGAGGATATCAAAGAACGACAAGAAGCCGTGGACGTGATCACCCTGTGGCGTGATCGGGCGGCGCTCTTCAACTCTGTTCTTCAAGCTTCAGGAAAGCGACCGATTCAAGTGATTGCGGAGAACGTCCGAGTAACGACTGCTACTGCCAGTCAAGGAGCAATAAAAGCATCCCATGCCTGTGCGCTTTGTGGGCTGAAACGGGACGAGCGTTTGCCCAAGGTCGACGAGAATGTGGAGGACAGCTTCGGGGAATGGTGGGCGGATCATTGGGGTCATGCCGAATGCAAGAACTTTTGGGAAAGCAGTGTCAATCTTTTGGATCGCCGATAGAGCGAATTTTGGATAGGCTCAAATGACACGGCGCTTCCGGTCGGGTAAGAGGCAGAGGTAGTCTCAGACCGAATTCTGGATGGTATACGTTGACCTACAGTGGTTAATCTCTCAGCAGTCTCACCTTACCAGCTCAGACATGAACATAAATCGAGGTGATCAAAGGTACCTCACAGCAGCGAGGGCTATGTGCTAGGTAGTTGTAGATAGATACCCTTGTGATGCGGTGGCTCATTGGCCTTGTGGTCTCGGGGACCATCAGCTCGACTCCTCTCGATCACAAGCGCAATGTCAATCTCGACTAAGACCAGTAAGACCCAGTCTTGAGAAGGGAGTCATCGCCCTCATACGAATCTCGCCCTCATTCGAATCTGCGCATGGCGACATCCTTGACCATGCTGGGAGCACAAAAAAATCCACCGGAAGTAAGCCACGAAAGAGTCTGTAACCTCTCTCTTCCCTTTTTGGCTTCAAGTGTTGGGTTATGGTTACCCGTTCCATCACGAGACCTCTCAATTCGAAGCCACCTAGACCCACTACGGAAAGACCAGCAGGAGTGGATGATGTCGTAATTCGACGCTCATCATATGAAAGCCCTCCCCAGTGGAAAAAGTCTCAGACCTTATTTGGTCGTAGGTGCAACCTGGTATGATAATTTACTGGTACACAATACAGACTAGTCTTCAACCGGCCGGGGATCATGGCGTCGGACAAGAAGAGGTTCGAGAATTGAGAGAGAGGGTACTCCGTAACTAGCGATTGAGTATCCATTCTTTAAGGCGGGTCCGCGATAACCACCGATAAGGCAACAAGGGATGACGGATGGACTGGGGCCCAGTTTTGACTAGATCGTCCAAGAAGGCAGACAAAGAAAGCGATTCATAGGGAACCAGGCTCCTCTTTAGTCCAGAAATTGAAGATATACTAGACCCAGCCAGTAGAGTGGGTAAGTGGAAGGAAAGAAATAAAGAAAGCTGGACGGACCGATAACTAGGAGGGGAACAGAACAGTGTCTGGTCCGATGCGGGGATTTTAGCTCGGAGAGGCGGCTGCCCGATTATAGACGTTCGACGCCCGCTTTGCTCAGCCTTTAATGTCTCTCTCTCTCTTCCTCTTCTTCCTTTCTGTCACTTCCCCTCCATCCAACTTCAACGACCACGGGTACTTCTACCGTCTCCATCCAACAATACCTCTTCCCTTTTTATCATCTGGGGGCTATTGCCACCTTCGTTCCTGTCGTATCATTCCCCTGTCTTCGCTGCGTGGTTCCGGAACCACTACCTTCACTCGCCCTGTGTTTATCTCGTGCTGTGCATGAGTTCCTTTCCCGCGTATCTCCGGCCACGCTGCTGCAACGACGTAATAAACGCCACATAAGATCGAGGATAGTCAAGTTGTCAGTGTTATCTTGCTGGAACGAATATCACCATCTACCTGCCAAGTCCTGTTTCCGTGACCCAACCTCCGAAACCGCATCTCCAACCCATCTCGAAACAGTGTGTTCGGTCGGGTGGTGGCTGAGACAGGTTCCCCTTGTAAGGAAGTTACTCCGCAGCAAGGCGGGGACCTCAAGGACAAATACAGTAGTCGTTTCCCGAACACGCACATCACACCACCTGGTGCTCTCACCCCCATCTGCACGAGCTCATATCGCAGGACGTACCTCCAGCCAACTGAAGTTGTTGAGGAAGGAAAGGCCGGGCAAACAGAATGGGGCTCGCGTATAACGTCTATCTTACTTCCAACAAAATCTTTGGGTGCAAGCAATGCAAGACACATCTAGCGGATTACGACGATATCATCAGTCGGGTAAGTCACCCTTTCAATCATGAGTTGATACTAGTACTGGTGCTGACCAGGTTTCTTGCCTATCTACAGAATTTCCGCGGCCAACATGGCAAGGCGTATCTGTTTAACAGCGTCGTCAACATCACCCAATCCGAGGCGGTGGAGCGCAGCATGACCACCGGGAAGCACATCGTTCGAGACATCGCATGCAGGCAATGCAGGGAAACGGTGGGGTGGAAGTACGATAAAGCCTACGAGACCAGTGAAAAGTACAAAGAGGGCAAGTTCATCCTGGAAGAAGAGCTCCTCTGCGTGGTAGCCTAGGGCGTTCCATCTTGGTTGACAGGACAAGGCATCTCGGTTTGGCGGGATTTATTACTGTGAGCCTTGGTTGCAATCATCCGCCTTCTTTTCAAAAGCTGATAATTGATATAGTGAGCGTATTATTTAACTACGGTGTTCAGTGAGGCGCAAGGGAAGGCGTTTATCAGGGCGTTATCTTTGTTTGGGCAGACTTTAGCCGTGAATCCACACCAGGCCTTGAAGGCACGATGGTGGTTCACTTCGATATGTTTTCTCTAGTTTGGGTCCTAGTAGCTCCTGCTTGAGTGTCGGGAACATCCTCTCAACTTCAGTATTGGGTGAGAGTGCTACTTGTCGATGCACCCAGCGTTCTAGTTGTGTCGTGTAGAGTGCTCTTGAAATACAACTACTTTTTTCAGCAAGCTTATCTCCAGCCTTACAGAACTACCACATACTTACCTAGATCCCTCTTGATCATACCGTTTTACGCAGCCCCTCCCACTGCAATCCACCATCAACAACTTCACAAATTACACAAAGCAACAACCACCGCCGCCGACTCCTCCTCCGCATTCACATCCCCAACATACCCCAACCTCCCCTCCCCAACCCTAGCAGCCACCACCGCAGCACCACTCATCCCCCCCCCACCGACTCCGGGCTCCACACCAAAGACTCCCGCACCGACTCCTCCCCCGTCCGATACCAGACATCCGCGGGTGCCACATTCTTCAAAAACACCGCCTTCTGGCTATACCTCTCCGGAAGAGCCTCGCGATACCGCGCCGGACAGTTCCCCCGCTGCAGACAGACCGTCGTGCGCAGGTACGTCTCCATATCCCACTGCAGACCCGCCCTGCTGAAGAAGGGCGCGAAATGAGGCGGTCTGGTGAAGCTGCTGGACTGGCCCATGCAGACGGCTGTGCCACCGCTGCGGATGTATTGGAGGACTGCGTCCCATACGTGGATGTGGCTTTTTTGGGTGAGCGCTGCGTCGGTGAGGAGGACGGCGTGTGGGGGGGCGGGTGAGGTGAGGACGCGGAGGGTGGCGTCTGCGGTTTGGGTGCGTTGGAGGGTTGCGTGCGTTGCGAGGAGGTCGATTTGGGGTGTGTACATGTCGTCGAAGTAGGGTTCTAATCCGAGGGAGATGAGGAGGATGGTTGGGGGGCATTTTGTTGTTGTTGTTGTTGTTGTTGTTGTTGTTGTTGTTGTTGATGGGGTTGGGTGGGGTTTGGGGATTGCTTTGGGAAGTGGATGGTGGGGGTGGTCCGATGGGTACTTGCGTGAGGTGGTGTGTAGGTATTGAATGAAGGAAGGCAATTGTTGTTAGATGTTACAGAGGTGTGTGGTTTATATGGCGGGCTTGTTTGTCTACGTCATGTGGTTTATTTACTCTGCAAGGGGATAAGTGATGGAAATCGACAGGTACAAGAGGTATCGAAGTAGTATGAGGTCTACGCATGAAAGTATCTCTAAAGCCAAGTGCATTGCAATCCCAGCACACAATCATCTCAATGTTTACAGACGGACGAGGGGGAAATCGACTGAGAATTACAGAGTACTCCGTACATGAGTGGACTTGTGGACCATATGGCTTCGGCCCCACCCCGAGCCATCCCATATCGCAGCAACGGCGTCGCCGTGTATCGGAGGTGAAATCTCTTTAAATTTAGAATATATCTTCTTCATTACAACTGCTAAGCCAACAAAATCAAACTCAAAGAAAAAAAGTGAGCGCCATCGTCTGCCAACAATGGCCACACAGAACACAATGCGCGCCGTGGTGTTCCACGAGCCTTACAAGGTGGCGGTTGAGGAGCGGCCGATCCCCACTATCCAGGATCCCGAGGATGTTATTGTGAAGGTGAGGTATACGGCGCTGTGTGGAAGGTAGGTGTGGTGATTTTGCTTGTTATTTGCTCTAGTGTGCTGTAGCGTACTACTTTCTGGGACAATGATAGTAACTCCTGGACTGATAGTGACCTCCATACTTTTCGAGGCATTGAACCTGCTGGATCTGGGTTCATCATGGGCCACGAAGTTACTGGGGAGGTGATCGAAGTGGGAGATCATGTCCGGTCTGTGCGGAAGGGAGATGTTATAGTGAGCGCTTTTACGACGTCTTGGTATGTCTATCCATGCACCGTTTCTTTGGCTAGGTTGAACTAATCACAATGCAGCGGTGCGTGTTTCTACTGCAAGCAAGGCTTCTCCTCGCGATGCGAAAAGAACACCCTATTCGGGTGCGACCACCTGAATGGATGCCAGGCTCAATACGTATGCTCCCCAGCCATGGCTAAAGGCTCAAGTGCGATGCTCGTAGCTAACCAAGACCATCCAGGTCCGAATCCCCCACGCAGACGGGACCGTCATGAAGTCCCCCGAAGGCATCAAGGAGGAGCTCCTAGTCCTAATGGCAGACATCTTCCCCACGGGGTACTTCGCCGCCCGCAACGCCTTCACCGGCTACACCCCGGAGCAGATCGCCGAACAGACGGTCGTGGTCATTGGCTGCGGACCCGTCGGTCTCTGCGCTTTGATCAACGCCCTGGAATGCAAGCCCAAGCATCTCCTAGCGGTCGACTCCATCCCGTCCCGCCTCGAGCTCGCCCGGTCCCTCGGCGCCGAGCCCTGGAACTTCCAGCTGGACCGCGCGGGTCTGGACAAGCGCGTCCTGGAACTGACCGATGGGCGAGGCGCCGATGCTGTGATTGAGGTCGTTGGGTTGAGTCCGGCGTTGCGGACGGGCTTTGATCTGCTGCGTCCTTGGGGGACGATCAGTAGCGTTGGGGTGCATAATGGAGAGGTATTTTCACCCCGACCCTTCCGCTTCCTTATCCAGATACTTATGCATGACAGATCCCGTGGGATGGAAATGAGGCGTATGGGAAGAACCTGCGGGTCCAGATGGGCCGTTGTCCTGTAAGGTCTGTGACGCCACAGGCATTGGAGGTGTTGAAGAGAAACCAGCATCTACTTGGGTATGTTTATGTTTTCTTTATAGCCCCTCCCCCTCCATTCTTGGTTGACTTTCTGTTTAATTTACCTTTGTTTTGTTTTTATCTTTTATCTTTCATCTTTTATTTTTTGATCCTGTCCGATCCACTAGAACTGCCTCCAAGTCCTGTCCGAAACTAACCATAGTAGATTCATGACGGACAAGATCATGCCCTTGACCCAGGCCGTCGAGGCATATGATATTTTCAATGCGATGAAGGTGCAAAAGGTCATTTTCGAGGCTGATAAATGAAGGAGCATTCATTCATTACGATGCTCTGTGGGTATTCGGGGGGTTGCGCAATCGAATGCAGTGGTTCTGCTGAGAGGTGCAATGCAGGAGACAGTCTCCTATCATGAAACAGCGAACAAAACTATGACTCGTAAACTAGAGAAAGAGAAAGAAGGAGAAGAAGAAGAAGGAGAAGAAGAAGAAGAAGCAAGATAGACGAAGGATTAAATTTGCAAGGTAGATGTTTGTTATTGCGATAGAATACACTGTGTAATCCTGGTAATTCAATACCGAAATGGCTGCCAGACAGGCCAATCACAACCAGCGCAGTCTGTCCCGTCCGGTCTTTCAGTGTTTCGACGCTCTTCCTCATTTCTTTCTGTTCTTTTCACCTCAGGCTCCTCCGCTCACTCATCCTCTGTTCTCTTCTCTCTCTTCTTCTCTCTTCCTCTTCTTCCTCTTCTCTTCTTCTTCTTCTTCCTCTCTCTCACCTTCACTCTTCATCATCTTCTCTCCCCTTCATCCTTTCTCATCTTCCTCTTCATCCTCCCCTCTTCTCCCTCCTCCCCTTCTTCTTCCTCTTCCCTTCTCCCCCATTATCCCCCCCTCCACCTTTGCCTCCCCGCCCAAACCCCTCTGAATTTCACTCATCTCCGCCAATCGTCCGCCTTCCCCTCCCGATCCTGTGGCATCATAATCCCCTCCTCATTCACCGCCGCATCTTCGCCTTCATCTTTTCCTCCCCTCCTGATTCCCCACTTTTCAAGTAAGTTGTCGATCTTTTTTCTTTCTGATGTGTGATACCACCGATGTCGTGTCCTCATTTCCCCCCTCGTTTCGCCTTTTTTTTTTTCACTTGCTTAACCCCCTCCCCCAACACCTCGATCAGCTCGTGTGGTGAGGCTGGGCCTTGGCAATCTGCTGTACAATGGTCGCAGTCATTCTCGTTCATACTCCCGGTTTTGAAACTCCATGCTAATCCATGATAGAACCTTTTCAGTCATCTCCACCGATCCTTCTTTTATTCTCTTTCGCAGGACTTGATCCCGTCGCACTATCGTAATAATGGACGCTTCCGATCTCCACGAGACCATCGTCGACGAGACCATGGCTGATTCCATCCCCATGGATGAGACCGATCTGGAGGTCACTCCCAAGACTGAGGAGGAATATGCCCAGTCTATGCTCACCCTTCGCGCCATCGTTTCTTCCAAGGAGGCCGGTGTCATCATCGGCAAGGCCGGCAAGAACGTCGCCGATCTCCGCGACGAGACCGGTGTGAAGGCCGGTGTGAGCAAAGTCGTTCCCGGTGTACACGATCGCGTCTTGACCGTCACGGGTCCTCTCCATGGCACCGCTCGAGCCTACGCGGTGGTCGCCAGGAGCTTGCTCGAAGGCGCTCCCCAGATGGGCATGGGCGGTATCGTCTCTAACAACGGTACTCACCGTAAGTCGATTCATCTCCTCCCCCGACGGACCCCCGTCGGCGACCAGGCTAACATTCTCGTGGCAGCGGTGCGACTTCTCATCTCCCACAACCAGATGGGCACCATCATCGGACGCCAGGGCCTTAAGATCAAGCACATCCAGGATGCTTCGGGCGTGCGCATGGTCGCGCAGAAGGAAATGCTCCCCCAGTCGACCGAGCGCATCGTCGAGGTGCAAGGAACCCCCGAGGGCATCGAGAAGGCTGTCTGGGAAATCGGCAAGTGCCTGATCGATGACTGGCAGCGAGGAACCGGCACCATCCTCTACAACCCCGCCGTGCGCGCCAACGTCGGTGGCCCCACGAACCCCACCAGCCCCGGCAACAACGGTTACAACAGCCGCCCCTACAACCGGACCGGTAACGGTGCCGACTTCAGTGACCAATCCGGCGGCGGTTACGGCCGACGCTCCAACCCCGACACCTCCAACCGCGGCTTTCCCCTGGTCACCGAGGATGGCGAGGAGATCCAGACCCAGAATATCAGCATCCCCGCGGACATGGTTGGCTGCATCATCGGCCGGGGCGGTACCAAGATCACGGAGATCCGCAGGAGCTCTGGAGCTCGGATCTCGATCGCCAAGGCGCCCCACGATGACACCGGCGAGCGCATGTTCACCATCATGGGAAGCGCCCAGGCGAATGAGAAGGCGTTGTATCTCCTGTACGAGAACCTGGAGGCGGAGAAGACCCGCCGCAGCCAGCTGCCCCAGGAATAAAGCACTCCCCCTGACCTCGCTCGACCTTTTCCTGTGCATGCTCATCACGTACCACCATGTGAAAAACGGCCCTGCAATCTACCCGAGGGAGAGGACTTGAATCCCTGTCTCGGGTGTCCTCATGTCCTCCTTTTCCTATAATCCTTTTGTGTCGTGATCTCATCTTACTTCTTTTTTTCTTCTCGTTCTTCCCTCTTTCGTATTGCGCGGCTTCTTTGGTCTAGGAGAAGCAGGAATTTGCCGAGGCCGATTGTATTTGCCAATTAGATACCAGGACCGAGCGGTCGTCACTGATCGTCTTGCTTTGAATGAATCCGAACAGAAACCTCCTTACCCCGTCTTTCAAGCTGATGTACCACCCGTCAACCATTTCCTGTCTCTGCTTTCCTGCTTCCTCCTGGGGCGTCCATCACTGGGGTTTGCCTATCATCGTCACGCCTTCTTTCACCCCTTGTTCTCCTCCTTCGCCATCCCACTGTACTCTCATAAACAAAAAAAGTTGCTCTCCCTATGCCCTCTATGTCTTATTTCCCGAATTGAAACGTCCTTACTCAAATCGTCCGCCTTGACTCCTTTCTTCCGCCCGCATCGTTATGTCCTACTTTTCTCTCGAGCAACCAACTGTCCATCACAATCCGCTTTTTAACGTGAATCATGTATGTACCTGTGGATCTTAACCTGCTTCCTTTTCCGCCGTGTTGATTCCTCAATTCTCTATCATTACTCTTTTATCTTATTTTCTGTCTTGTTTCCGACAATCTTCAAAGCGACATGTATATTCGGGATTGAACTTATTCTGAAGAAATGAATGCCGAAGAGGCTGAAAAATGACCCTTGTGGGCCCATATGGACAGGCCAGAATTGTCTGTTCAATGCCTTAGTAGATGGTAAACGTAAAGTAGATTCATAGAGGCCTATCTACCATCTGTCTGTCTCTCTGGGTACCAGGCTTTCTATCAAGGTCACACTTCTCAACATATACTTACCACCTAGCGTCTCTATCCACAATAGCTATCCAAGTAGGTACATACCTACCTATAGTAGTAAACACCTAAGTAAGGTAGGCAGTAGTTTGTAGGTACGGATAGTAAGTACTAAGTATAAACCAGGTATATACTATATACTACATAACATACAGCGAAATACAATGTACACAGCGAAGAAGAAATGGATATAGATATAGATATAGATATAGATACCCTCGTAGACAGACGGGTGACATGACTTCTACGTCGGGTTGCATGATATCTTTCTTACATGGGTGGTCAGTTCCTGTCTGTCAAGTATGTGTGTGTGCGTATGTGTGTGATGTGTCTATTAGACGTGGCTGTTACCTACGTACCTATCTACCTAGTACATAGTGTCTTCCTAGCAGGTACCTACAGGATATGTTTTGGGCTATTACCTATGTATTTTTTTGGATTGATCAATTGGGTGGGGATAAATGTAGATGACATCAATATATATAAATATCCATGTATTGACAGATAAGTAGCTCTTCGCTCTTCTAAGCATTAAACATAAGAAAAAGTGCCAGTAATGAGCGTAGGACCAGGAGGTATAAACCAATAAAGATAACAATAATAAAGATCAAAATAATAGAATGAATGAAACTCCAGCAAAACAAAACAAAACAAAGCACACCCCACAACACCATATATGAATCCAAGAAGATAACACTATCTCAACATATCAATTCAGTCAAGAGGCCAGAGTAATACACAAATAGAAAGAAGGAAAGGACAAGAAAAACATAGTGCATATGCTCAGACATGTAGGTGTCAAGCGTGCAGCATTGATAAGAAAACTCCTCGCTTTGGCTACCATTGTTTCATTGATCCATCAGTCGTGCGTGGCCGGTTAGTAAGAAAATAAGAAAAAATAAGGACAAGGAATGAAAATGACAAGGAAGAAAGAAAAGGCGAGAAGGTAGCAAAAATGGTCTTTTGTACAAAGCTGGCCAAACAAGGCAGAAATGGCAGCGAAACAGAAACGTCTAATTTGTGCGTTGAAAGGAGATCGACATTATCAAGGGATGTATGATGTTGAGCCGTGGACATCTGTTGTACATGCAGACCGGAGTCGATAGAAAAGTCGACGAGGCGTGTTGAAAGGGAAGAAATGAATTCAATCAATCGATTGAGCGCTCCTGAAGGAAACAAAAAAAGAAACAGTGATAGGTCGTATAGTAGGCCATGTGCACTACGGCTGCAGGGGCAGTCGTTGCGGTCCTATATTCAGGATCGACAATCGGATACGTCACAGGTCGTAGTATGCATGGAAAGAAGACTGTTGTGCCAAAGACGTGCAGGCAAATGCATGGTGGGATTGTGAAAACACCAGAAGCCAGAACACAATAGCAAAGGTAACGCCGGCTGAAGAACGACCGAATATCAGGTAGCTAAACTGCGTGAAGTGAGGGCGCGCGGGCGTGACAGGGTTCTAAGCCCAAAAAAAGTGCAAGTGCATCATACAATAAGGGCATTAACAATCAATCAAGGCTGTCATCAAAAGATCTCGTAACATTGTTGGCACCGGCCACGGGTCTTGTTGGCCTGATGCCAAACTTTCGGGCTCCAAGGCTGTTCGTTCGAAGACGGTTTTGCGTGATAGGGGTATAACTCGAGGCAATCTTGCTCGAGGGAGCAACTATTCGTGTTTGAGATTGCTCCTGTTGGGGAGACATGGGAGCATCATCTCCGACGGTAGAGGGGGTAGCACTGGCATATGCATATCGGCGAGATCCAGCCTGGATGTTTGAGCGGGGCGTCGCAGGTGTGTAATTCGACGGAGTGATAAGGCTTCTTCGCCGAGGGAGGTTCGTCTGAACCGTCGGGGTCCGCGGTTGGGATAACTGCGACGGCTGGGACAGTGCCGAGAAGCGAGAGGTCTTTTCCTGTTGGGAAGCAGGGAACGATTGCGACGTGGTGTATCGATGGGAAAGGCCCTGGCGAGGAGGCATCTCACGAGGCGACGGGGGTGGGTTCCCGATATCCGTCATGCTACGAGATATCGACCGTGCATGCGGACTTGCCGGGTCGTTCGAATCGTCCTCCGTCCGTAATCGCCTCGTCCGCAAGGAGGTAGAGAGACGGCTTAGTCGACTGGCCGGGACAGATCCCGGGGATTGCGCTTGTTTGCTATCCACCGGCGTGTCCTGTTTCTGGACATTGGGGCTATTCTCCGTCGAAGGGCCGTTGCTGCCATTTGCGAGGCTGGGCCGGCGTGATTCAAGACGACTTGTCATCCGATGGGTGCTCTGTCGTCTGACGATCGATTCAGGTTCTTGGCTGGTACTCCGCGAGAAGGACGTGGTCGGAGTTGACGTTCCCTCATCGGGACTTTTGCTGGCGCCATTTGTGTGTAGAGTCAATGTATGCTCGTCGTCCGATGTTTCCTGCTGTTGGCGGATCTGCTCATCAGACAGCGCCAGACACAGTTCAGTTAAGCCGCGGCAGACGCTGTCAGCTTTCCGCCGAGCATATCTGTCCGACGAGCCACAGCCGTTCGCGACCGGTACCCCGCCTGACGCGGTCTTCCCCGAGCTGAGTAGGGTGGAGAGGGACAGGGCATCCGTAACTGTCGCCTCCAAGGCCCTAAAAACTGGTTTGTGTATCACGGCTTTGGATTTGGACAGGGCTGATTGCAGGATAGGGTGCACGGGATTGGGCACGGCGGGGGTGTCCAGATCTGCGGGGGGTGCGCTGGCTTTGCGGCCGGGGCGTGGCGGGGAGGACAGTGTTGTCACCGTAGTCGTTGCCGTTCGTGGCCTGTCCCCCGAAAAAGAGGAGATGGCTTCCTGGGACGATGGGGGAAGCTTCCCCGTCACCTCGAGCTTCTTGATCCGCGATTTGAGGTCTTCCAGCTCATCCCAGACGGTCGATGGGGCAGTGGTGGACAAGGTAGATTCCGTGCCCTCATGCCGCGACCGATCGGACTCGAAGCGAGGGCGTTCGGTCGCCTCAGAAGCGGACGCCTGTCGACTGCTACGGATGGTCGATAGCGTTGTATTGCGATATCCTCGAGCATCTTGGAGGGAGCCTCGTCGGTCCGCGTTCAAATCAGAGAAATCGGGAGAAGCGTCTGCATTGGCGCGACTTAATCGACTGCGAGGGAGGCCGATGGTGGACCTGCTGCCAAACGAGGGATGGGCACGGGGGTGATCGTCCAGGGGGTGGGCAGAAGCCGAGTAGGAGTTCGATAGGGTACCCAGGGGGATTTGCGAAGAAATGGGTTGAGAATGCAAGGGGCTTTCGTAGGAATTTAACCGCCCTTGCTCAGGCGAAGGGGTTTGTTCACTTATATTTACATGCGAGCTGGTCGGGGAGCGCAGACTACTGCCAGACATTCTGAACCGCGACTGAAGTTTGTCAAATTGTCAGCCAACACGACAACTAAGAAGTGGAAGAGAGAGGGAGAGAGGAAAGGTCTACTGTGTCAACTACCATGGCTCGAGAGCGAGTCATGGACCTGAAACACGATGGAACAAAGGATCACTCACCCTCCTGAAATCTGACCGTCCGATGGAATCACGGCGTTCCGTATCCGTTCTCGCGATATTCAAAAAGATGTCATCATTTTTCGATCGAGTATCATCCGCGATGGGAGTGACGTTGCCATCCTGCGAAGCATACTTATCGAACCCATTGACGGCGCGATCGCCCGCCTGGGGTCTCCCTTGACTATACGAGAGAGTGGACGAAGGCATTCTCCTCTTCACGTCCGGCGTCTGCGAGGCATAGAAGGACTGTTTACGACGCTTTGTCGCATTGGGACTCAGCACCCGGACTGTTGGGCGAGAATCAGGGGGCGGCGCGCGATCCGGATCCGACTCTAGTTCTTGGGTGCCACGAGGAGAGGAAGGAAGCGAATCAAAATCGGTGGTCGGCGTGCGAGCGTAACTCAGGTTCGGGACTGAGCGCCGGTGTCGGCCATACAAGGATGAGCGCTGGGGAGTGGCGGTGGTCGTGGAGTCAGTGGTGGTGTTGGTGGTGGGAGACTGGTTGGAATCTGGGCCAGACGGCGTGGCTATAGTGGAACGGGCGTGCGACACGGAGGCCTGTTTGCGCAGGGGACTTCCGTACTCGAAACTGAAGCGACTCTGCGGGATACGAGGAAAAGAGTTGTTGTTTGTGGAGGCGGAGGGGGGAGAAGAAGGACGCCGATGCGATGGAGAAGATGGAAGGCGCGGAGATGAGAGAGCTGGGGTTGAGGAGAGGAAGAAGTCCCCATTTGTTGTGGTCGTTAGTGCGGCTGCTCTGGCCGTGTCACGGGGATCGACTCCCATAGTTAGTTCCCGGCTCCGTCGTGGATCAGCTCGATGTCGAGTCAACAAGAGATTGTACTCCCATTCACCTCCCTTGCGATCGTCCGGATTCTGGTCGCAACCCCTCAAGTCAAGTCGAGTCTATGTCGAATTATTTGGATCCCGCGCGGATCCCGTCGCGTTCGCTTATCTCTCACACGACGGTCTCGACAAATTCACAGCGCTAGGTCGAGTAATGCAGCGGGTCTCTCTGCCGTCTCTCAATAGCCTGTTTCAAGACGAGAAATGATCTGTGTGTCCGCCTCGAAGGTGCAAAACTTAAAAATAAATATAGACGTCGAAAAAGAGAAGAAAAAGGAAGGACTGTGGAGGCGACGAGTGTGATATTCTACGGAGAAAAAGTGGGAGGAGGGACGTGAGCGTGCTGCAGCAGCGTCGTCACTGCAAGTTGGTCAGGCACCCAGATGTCTTCGTTCATCGACTTTTCAATCAATCAAATCCGAATCCAGTCCAGACAGATGCAGCTGGCGACGGGCAGAAGAAAAGGAAAATCTTATCATTGGTTGCGAAACCAAGAAATGATGGACGTGGGTAAAAAAGATGAAGGGTCCTCTGCCTTTCTTTTGTTTTGTTTTGTTTATTTTTACCCTCTTTTGTTCTATGCTTTTTATTTTCATTATTATTACTGATTTCCTGTTCCTGTCTCTTACACGATCCATTATTACTGACAGTGGGATCAGTCATAATACTAACCCTAGTGCTAATTATAAACAGACGTGAAACGAAATGAAGGACTCTGTTTGTGTCTTGTTAAACCGGTGGCTGGCGACGAGGCGAAGGTGCCGAGCAAGTGGATCCTATCCAAGCAACAAACGGATCATCAGTGGAGCTGCAGCCAGAGACGCACCTCTTGAAGTCCTGTCCGGTTCAGCTCGTCCGGAAAATACTCCGTAATAATAAAAAACAGAGATTAGCGGGCAATCATTGTGATCTCACATCGGATGATCGATAGATGAGATATCGATCCAAGGACTACCTTTGTGTTTTCAGCTGGAAGATGGAAGATTGGAGGGTTTGCCCCGGATATATCTTCCATGCCCAGCTCGGGATGAAACCGATCTTTCAATCTCTTCTACGGAGTAGTCGAATTTTCTTTCTTCTGTTTGAAATATCCAACTAAACTAATTAACCTATGACATCGCAGTCCGGGTAGAATAATGACAGGGCAGCTCTCGCGAACCATGGTTCGTTATCCACAGTTCCCTGGTTGGTTCGTGGCATGGAACCATCTGATTTCATTACACACAAAATCATGTTATCTTATGCATAGTATTGTTATGCGTGGTATTCTTCGGGTGTTGTGCAAGACAGAATCGGATTTGTTGATACTATACACTGATGGATTGTGTTTTCGATTGAGATAGCTGAAAGTCCTCAGGACGTGAATATATATTAGACATAACAAGTAACTCGACGCAATCATCTTTACAATATCTATCGCAATCTCCCATGTCTTACATTGAGAGATCAATACATTATCACCGGCTACTACCTTTCTTCGCCAAGGCCAGTATGCACCGCTGGCTTTTCCTATCCACTGGTGGAAGCCTAGACAGCTATAGTAGATCTAACATGCTTGGAGTCATGTACGGAACACCCTTGAACTGGCTTTGAATACGGCAATAGAACGGCTGTAAAATAATAAGCACCTATATACTGGTCTAACATATCTGGACCTATGAAGAAGTGATACAACGTCATCCTGAAGGAATAGGACGAACGACTGAAACGAAAGAAGAAAGAAGAACACCCCTCTCAAGCCTGACCGTCCCCAAGCCAGCGAAGAAGGAGAAGAAACTTCAACAGAACTAACCAGCGACTAGAACTAAGAGGTATCAAGGTCCTCTCCGACTATCAGGAGACCACCACTACCAACCACCAACAGGATGATTGACACTCAGACAGCCGTCTTTTGAAGTATATATTGTATATATATCTACCTGATAGTACTAAGAACAAGTTCCAGCACAGGTTTCCCCAACTCACACCATATCCTACATGGCAAGGACAGCACTGCAGATATCTGGCCACAGTGTCCCGGTAGTCGAACCAGTATCTTTCCCAAAAGCAAGCATAACACACGCACTCATGCAGTCTACACCAACAGCCCACGGCCAGTTTATCTGAAGCAACCATGCACCCTGCCGTGTCGAACTCTAGCACGTGTACTCCCACAACACGCGTAAGCCGGAAAGGGCGTTGATGGATGAAACGTGCATATTTTAAAAGTATTGAGTTTGGTTCTTATATTACCAGGGTCCTGCGTGGCAGGACACGTGTGTGCATGTCATTTTGCAGCCGTATTTGACAGCTAGCTGGATTGAAGAGTGGCTTTTGGCTGTCTTAGCACGGCCTGTTCGCTGTGCTGTATTGAAGGACCTGTCCCATGTTCTCGGTGGAGGGTGGATTAGATGGTTTGGCTAGGGTGCATGTGTCTTGTGGAGGAAGGCGAAGAGTAACAAGGAGAAAGTTCACACTGATATCACTCTAATCTGCGAGGACATTCCCTTGAACTGCTATATACACGACTGGACGTGCATATCCACGTCATAATCAACGCTGGGGAAAAAGCATATACCACACTCCAGCACAGCAACCGACTATACGCCAGACAAGTACTCCATAGATGGGTAACCATCTCCTCTGCCCTCTACTAATCACCCAATTCCAAGCCAATATCGACAGCAAATCGCCTATCTATAGACCTAGTTCCTACCAGCCCAGCATAGGCATAGACATAAACAGACGCACAGTAGTTATGATACCAACCCACCTACATACCAATCCACCCACCAACCCAAGCTACCCGCACCCCAGCCTCACACTTCTCCCAGGTCCATCCAGCCTACGCAAGGCCTAGACTCCAACAAGGATCCCATTCTTCGAAGCTAAAAGGGCCTAACTCACGAAAGAGATTTACCATCCCGCTAGTCGCTACCCACTCATATCGTAAGAGGACAATTTCAATCGGCTAATGTGTGTGCTACGCGCTCTGGCTGTGTCCGTGATCCGATGTAGGAAAGCTTTGAGGGGAGTAATTTGATCCCTGGTCTCGATCTTGGCGGGTATACTAGTAGGTAGGTGGGTTGAGTACTGGGGCTAGCTGTGTATGTGTGTCTTGTGTTGGTGGGGGGATTGTGTGGTGTTAGCGAATATGTGGAATTGTCTTGGTATTTACGCTATAGTAGGTAGAGTCGACTCTAGGCGGGGAGAATAGCAGCATCGGATGCGTGTCCTGACCTCTATCTACTCCGTAATCCGTATGTGCACAGATGGGGATAACGTGACTGGTTCATGTAGCAAATTTTGTACTCTTAGTCTACTTTCAATATTCTATATTACCCGATCTAATAATATATTATAATATTAATATAATACTACCACAAGCGTCCGTGATACTATATTAAGCTCCAGTCGTGTGACGACCAGCGGCATCAGCGACGCCCCCCGAGAGCCAACCACGGACGAGCTATTGGCGCCGGGACAAAGACCGTTTCAGCAGACCACACAGGACACACCCATCACGGATCAATCTCATACATGATGGACGGAGGCAAAGGTTTCAGTCTGCAGTTTTCCAGGAGTTTCACGTTTCAGCACCCGCTTCAACCGGGGGTCCGGCGCTAACGAGGACTAAGGGGGGGAGGGGGAGGAAGAGCCGTTCCCTGAACCCGAAACGAGAGTTGAACTGGAGGTCCAAGTTTAGTTTGGTGGTGGGTTCGTTTGCACGTGGAATGGTTAGAGATATTTGAGATAGATTGGTTAATACTATCCGTGCTAACTAGCTGAGGTAGTTCTGTTGGTGTTAGCCCCAGGGGGTAGGTCAAGTTTTTTCCAGTTTCATGTTTCAACGGCGGGTTTCTGATTCGAATCCATTCCATTCCATCTTCGTTGATCTGTGCAATATGATGTAATTGACTATTGACCATCTCGCGAACTGCCTTATATGGAGTAACGCGGTAGGTAGCAGATAATTATGGGGAAGGGAGAGACGGACGACTTTGCCACCAGGGAGAATGTGGGTTGAGGATTGTCCTCTTTTCTTTTTCGTTCTTTGGTTCCTCAAATCGGCAAGGGATCAACGGGGGGGGGGAGGGAAAGGGGACGATCACGACCCGATTTCTCTGGCTGTTTTGACAGGAGAAGAAAGTGCCGGCTAGTGGGGCTTGGCGTTGGATTTGGCGTGTTTCACTTGGATTTGGCTTCCTTTGCGCCTGTGGATTTGGTGTTTACTGGTTCCCTGTGTGTTTTCTGTGTTTCACCTGTTGGGGCGTCATGCTCATTTCTTGTGCTCGGTCTCGTTTTGAGTTTTTCTCAGTAGACTGGAGGGAGGGACGTTGAGACTTGGAGTTGACACAAGTCCATGGGGTATAATTATCATCGATGATCCTCAAGAATGTTGACATCTGTCTCTTCCATCACCCGTCTGTGGACACTGGGTTGCTGGATCCCAGCGCTGGGGCTGTGTCACGTGATTCTGAACCGGGGTTCATTCACTGGATCGGGTTAGCCTGGCTATTTTTATTCCTCATTCTATTTGAATCTGTTTCCCTCTTTTCAAAAGGGAAAGATACCCTGGAACTGATCAGGTATCCAGGACTGATGGTAGATACTGAAGAGTTTGTCTGTCTACAAAATAGACATAAGAATCCCATATAGAAGGAGAATCGGGATCCAGAAGAGCAAACCACCGCGCCAAGACACCGTGCACAGTCATACCCTGGGGAGCGGGTCAGATCGTCTGGATTTGGAATTTTCTTTGTTGCCGGGGATTCGATCGTCTGCCTCTGCACTTGCAGCCTCGTGGGATTTCTGTAGGATCCAGTGGTCACAGTGTATACTCTCCATGATTCTTTACTATATTCCCATTTTTATCATGAGGGGTTCTAGAAAGCAATATTATTTTCTAATGACTAGACGAATGCGTCAAACAACATGGGGAGGTGGGAGTTGGGAGGGATGAGCAGGACGGTGGATTTGGCTCCATCGGCGGTGCAAATGAAAATCCCAGTCGGCCCTAGACCGGGTTGGGTTGGTCTGCTTTCTCCGGGTTCTTTTCCTTTCTTTGAAAGACATTGACTCTAGGAGAGAACACTGGATATCCATTTGGATATGCATTCTCTGTTGTGACTTGTTGATATCCTCTCTCGGTCGATACTGGTTATATGGAGGGGACGCTAGATCGCATGGTTGGTTCAATCCCGCCTCATTGCTAAGGTATCATCATTTGGCTTGGCGTCTGGTGGAGTATTCTCTTATTATCTTATTATCTTATTATTATATTATTATATTATTTTATTCTTTTTATTGATATTCTATTATTTTTTTGACATATTCTTTCTACTGTATCATCACAAATCCAAGAACAGATCAAAAACAGATATAATAGACATCCCACCATTGTGATCTGGTGTTGGCTACATCTGGCATCTGATTTGCGTGCTTTTGGCGCCCATGATGCACCTTTTCCTTCTCTTTTCCTTCCTGGGCGGCTAAAATTAGAGCTGCAGGCGATGGAATTCCGGTCTGATTGGCGGTCCACTCGTGCTTGCTGTGGGTTTCCACTGCAGTTTCCAAACCCCCTCTTTCACCGTGATGATTGGATCTTTTGCTCCTCCATCTCTTGTCCCGCGAACTCTTGATCCATCAGTCGATTATATTATATTCGGTATCTTATATTATCATACAATTATAATTATCTCCAGTTGGGAGGATTCCTCTCCCTCTCACTGCCACTGTAGTCTCACCCTCATTCTCTTCCTCTTCCTCTCTTCTCTTTCTCTCTCCCTCTCTCTCTCTCCCCCTCTCTTCCTCTCTCTCTCTCTCTCTCCTCTTTCATCAACTTCCCTCCCCGTCGGTTTCTTTCTCCCACCTCTTCTCTTTCTTCTCTTCTCCATTCTTCCTCCATTCCTTTCCTCGGTCTCTTCCAGCCATCCAAGGATCCACGTCTGACTGGTGACCGACTGGCTCATGTCGCGCTCTTAGTCATTCTCCGAGAGCGACTTGTCCATCCACTCTTCTCTTCTGCTTCCTCCCTTCCGACTTCACATCCCATTCCACTCGTCTGTGAGGGGGGGAGATCCTTTTTGATACCCCATACTTCTACCTCTTCTTCTGTTTCTTTGACTTGATCTTTTGATCTCAGGTTGCTAGACCTCTTTTTCTTCCCTCATTTATTCGAGTTTTTTTATTTTTATTTTTTTACATCTTTATCTTCTCTCGTCACTACTATTTATATTCTCTCCGCCCCATTGTTCGGAGATTTTCCACGACAGTCCTTTCACACTGGGATTGACATCTCTCAATAAAGAGATTGTGCTCTCATCTTCACACGGTATTCTTTGGTATGTTTGGTCCTGGTGAGAGATTCTCTATGACGGCTCTGGTTGAGCCAATGCCATCTCCCCACCCTTTGCTCGTCCGCCCTGGAGCCCAGAAACAAGCATCTCCCTCAATCTTCTCTTGATCCAATACCTGCATGGAAATCCCATTAAAGTTTACATGGATCGTCCACTGGGTTTCACCCTCCTTGCAGCGTCGCTGAATTGTTCCTCTTATTTGGGTGACCCTTCACCGGCGCACCAAAGCCACTCCAATGTTGATCAATGGAAACTAACTCTCTCCTGTCAAACAATTCAGAAAGAGTCCAAAGGAAGAAAACAAATAAAAAAATAAAAAATCAGAGAACCCCCCACAAATAAGGTCATTTGCGCTGGTAGCAAGTGTGATACGTTCTTCCGCCACCCCGAGGTTCCCAGAGTCCTTGTGTCACTCTACCGTTCTCCATCATCTGAACGCCTGGGTCCACCATGCCCGTCCAAACCAGCCCGCCGTCAGTCCCGGACTCCTTTCCTTCCTTCATGTCGGTCTTCGATGGGAGGTTGCCCATTAGCCACCCCCAAGAGGACCACAACTCCACCGTCCAGCCCCTGCGGGTTCCCACGAATGTCACTTCCAATACCACCCGACGACCCCTACCCTTCAAACATCGCACAAGCATCTCGTCCATGACCTCGGCGTCAACCGACTCCTCCCCGACCACCACCATCTCCACGTTCGATTCCGCCTCGGGTCCCGACACCTCCCCCAGCTCCTCCCCGGAATCCCCGACCTCCATGCCCCTGTCCTACCCGAAATTCATGCCGCCCGCCCGCCACCATCACCTCCCGGGCCAGACGCTCGCGTCGGCCCGGCGGACGACCTGCCCCCGCCGTCGTGCGGCGCCCCCAACCACACCCGCCCGGACTCGCCCGGCCGCCGGGCCCGGAATCTCAAAAACCTCTCTCTGCGGATGCCTCCCCCGAGCCAGTCGGATCGACCTCCGATCGCGACGGCCTCGGTCGTCGAAACCTCCTCCCAGCATCACCTCTCCGCGCCCCCGTCTCCGGCTTATGCGCCGGCCAAGAGCACGCGGCGGAAACCCGCCAACCTGACCATCCGCACGCCGGGTTTCGACCGCTCGCTTTCCTGCAACCTCTCGGAGATGGTGCCCCCGACCCCGCACGCTCTGCGCCACACCGAATCGTCCCCCTCCCTCTTCTCCCCGTCCTTTGGCCCCCAGGGGGGCATGCAGCTGCCCCGGCCCGTCACCCATCACGGCAGCGGCCGGCGGTCGGGCGCGGTGGACGACCCCCACGCGCCGCGGCCGTCGCGGTCCGACGAGGGCTCCCGTGCCGTCCTCCACGAGCTGGCGGAAGAAGAGGACCACCTCGACTCGCGCGAGTCGATGCGCCGCAGCGAGCGGGGGTACCCGAATGGCCCCGTCCGGATCTACGACTCGGGCGTGTATCTCTACCTCGAGCCGACCGCCGATGAAGCGTCGCACTTCGATGTCGTCGTCAACGTCGCCAAGGAAGTCGCCAACCCCTTCCGGAACGACCGCCCCGGCGCCGGCACGGTCCTGAGTGCCTGGCGACATGCGCCGGCGGGCGCGACCCGACCATCCATCGCGGAGCCCACCACGGCCTTGTCGGACGCTTCCTTCCAGTCGGCCTTCGAGTACCCGCCGAGCGACGAGAGCTCGCCCGCGACGCCGCGGACGGAGCCGGCCAGCCCGGAATACCTGCACGTCGGCTGGGACCACAACTCGGAGATCCTCGACGATCTGTATACGCTGTGCCAGCTGATCGACTCCCGCATCGCCCAGGGCAAGAAGGTCCTGATCCACTGCCAGCTCGGCGCCAGTCGGTCCGCCTCCCTCGTGATCGCGTACGGCCTGTACAAGAACCGGCACCTGGACTTCAACTCCATGTACGAGTTCGTCAAGGAGCGCAGTCGCTGGGTCGGCCCCAACATGAGCCTGATCTACCAGCTGACGGACTTCCGCGCGCGCCTGGCGCGGGGAGGCGCTTCGCCACCCGCCCCGGAGGCGTCATTCATGCCCGGAGGGCGACGCAGCTCCGAGCCCCAGCCGCCGCGGGCCGGGCGGATGGACCCGTCTGGTGGCGCCCCCCCGCTGCCGCGATACGGGAGCGTCGCCCTGGAGTCCGGACAGCCCGCGTTGCCGGGCCTCAACGCGCAAGCGGCCAGCTCCTCGCTCTCTGTTCCGGCCACGGATTCGGCCGGCCCGATCGCAGGCCCTCGGTGGGGGTTCGCCCCGTCGCTGTCCCACAAGCGGAGTCTGTCTCCGCGACCGTTGCCCCTGCGGCAATCCAGCTTCCACGCGCTGCATTCGGCATTCCGCGCGGGCCGCACGGAGTTCGGGCCCGGCCTGATGGCGCCCGAGCAGGGGCCCTATTCCTTGGGCAAGACGGATATCTTCGTCCGCGACGCCCCCGAGGAGCCGTCCGCGCTCTTCTCGCCCCGGACCACAGGGTTTCTGGCGGCGCCAGCAATGTCCTCCGTCTCGGACGCGTTGGCGAACCCGGGGCCTCTCGACCCGCGATTTCGGTCGCCCATGGTAGATCCGCGATCCCCTCCGCCGGGAAATGAACGGATAATCATGAGAAGTATTGATGAATTTCTATAGCCCTTCCACTGTTCCTCCTATGGAGGATATGTGGTCTTGCCGGGCGATTCTTGGGGATCGTCCCCGAGAAATGATTTCGATGATCCTGACTCGTGTTCTTAATGAACCGCTTTCGTTCCGTTTTCTTTAACTCACACACACACACACTCTTTCTTTCTTTCTGTTTGACACCCAACGGGTGATCCGATTCGTTCTCATTTCCTTTTTATCTTATTCTATTCTCATGATGTCGATGACCAAAGCGGGCCTTGCGGTCGTTCTCTTCCGTCAAAACTACTACATTCGTTAGCCTCCGGGCCTTATTATCTATTCTTTATTAGTCTCGCACCAGCACAGTCCGAGACGTTGCATGCTTTCTTTCAGGGTGGTTGGCGTCCCCGGTGTTCAAAAGAGACGAGCGGCAGGGATGGGTGCCGAGAACATGTAATATTATCTATTATTGTTGACTGGAGGGGATGAGAGTTGTCTTACATGATGGTCAGAGACAGCCGTTCGCTTCCACCGTGTCTGATTCCCTCTTTGATTTTTGTTGTTGTCGTTGTTATATACCTGCATAGTTGGCTTATTGTGGTGATTGGCAGGGGAATACCCGTGGTCGGAATATTACACTTATTCATTATTGAGTTGCCACTGTAGTTGATTCTATAGGGTATAAGATCAGTGTATTTGTATATTCATGTACCTCATCGAGGTGTTATCGTTACCATAGTTATAACTAGCCATAGTCGAGATAGTAGGGAGTAAGTAGTTCGGAATAGGTGGTGGACAACCCAACCCAACGCAATCTAATCTAATCGGCCCCGAGCGGGGAGGACTGCCCGCTCACTCTCTCAATTTTCATCACCTTTTTTCCCCCTTCTATTTTATTCTATAATTCATCTCACAACACCATCCACCCAACCCCGCTCAAAAAAACCAATCGGGAATTGAAAATGACAGACACAAATCATCCCACGCATCTGTCGCCCAGCGAACTCGGCACGAAAGATTAGTACGTATGATCTCTTCCGTGGACTCAAGTATTGAGTGCCATGATTGATGATTGATGAAAATACCCCGCTGTGTCCCTCCTCTGCTCTCCTTCTTCTTCTTCTTCTTCTTCTTCTTCCTCTTCTTCTCCCTTTACCTGTCTGCGCAATTGCATCTGTATTGCGTTTATGTTTGGGTTCATGTGGCTCATGTTTATATTGCTTGACGAGATATGCACTCTCAATTAACGAGAAGAAAAGAGAGAAAAGAGAGAAAAGAAAGAACTAACAATCTGAATTGACTAGTTGGGACACATTCTACGCGCGCACCCTCGCACACCTGTCTCAGAAACAGACCCCTACGAATCCCAACGAAGCTCAACAGACGCAAGTGGAGGCAGACGAAGAAGATGACGATGAGGATGAAGAAGAAGACGTCGACGACGACTCCGACCCCGGCACGTCCTGGTTCTCAGAGTACAACGCGCCGGATAAAGTTCTGCGGTTTTTGACGGGCGAGGAGTTTCCGCTTGCGCCTGTTAATACTAGTACCTCTGGGACTACGGAGGGGGAAGGGAAAGAAGGGAGAAAAGAACAACCGAGTATTCTCGACTTGGGAACCGGTAATGGAAGCATGCTTGCGCTGTTGCGGAAACGGGGCCACTTCCGCGGGGAGATGGTGGGGGTGGATTATTCCCGCGCGAGTGTGGAGCTGGCGAGAAGGTTGCAGGTGTTGAGGGCGCATGAGGCTTATTTGAGTGATTCTGAGGATGAGGGGGAGGATGGGGTTGAAGAGGGGGACGAGGGGAAAGAGATTCGGTTCGAAGAGTGGGATATTCTGCGCGCGGAGGGATGGGCGCTGGCGGATGCGGACAATGGCGGGGGGCGGTCTCGCGTGGATTGGTTCCCTTATAGTCGGGGCGGGTTCGACATTGTGTTGGATAAGGGGACGTTTGACGCGGTGTCGCTGTCGGAGGAGGTCGTGGAGGATGCTGAGCGGAAGGACGGGAGCGGGAAGACGATCCAGCGACGCGTTTGCGAGACGTACCCTGGGATTGCGCGACGGACGGTGCGCAAGGGGGGATTCCTGGTGGTGACGAGTTGCAATTGGACGGAGGAGGAGCTGGTGCAGTGGTTTACGAGGGAGAGTGGGGAGGAGGAGGATCGGTTGGTGGTCTGGGGACGCGTTGAGTATCCAACGTTTCGGTTTGGGGGGCGGGAGGGACAGGGGGTTGTAACGGTTTGTTTTCAGCGGGTTTAATTATAGATAGATAGTTCATGTGATTTGACTTTGGGAATTAACCTGGCGAGTTGTATGTTGTGTATTTGTTGATTTGGATGTAAGGGTGATTAGCCTGATGTGCCAGTCGCGCAGTAAATGCGTGATGGAGGGGGTTGACCGGTGGACTTGATCCATTGTAACGGTCGAGGCGGGTTTGAATTGATAGACGAAGAGGTTTTCGTAGCTGGTAGTGTAGTAGTTATATGACGGAAGAATCTGGAGATCAGGAGTAATGATTCCATCCCTGAAAGTGATCTTGGTTCCATCACATCCAGACCGAGGGTTTCCAAGTCTACCCATTAACCCACTCGGTTAGAAAAGGTCGGGGAGAAGTGGGTCAGACCGAGGTGGTATCATCATTCTCCTGATGGATCCACCATGACTCAACTGTAGCCATCATCTGGATGGATTGACTTAAGTTGACAGAGATAAATCGAGAATAAGAATGATGAGAGACTGTCTTTATAATCGAAGAAGAGAGAAGGAAGAGGAAGGGAAAGGAAGAAGTTATCAATAAGTACCTAGGATGAGTATGGAGTAAGAACTATTGATAACAGGCAACAGGATCCACCCAGTAGGGAGTTGGCATGGTATGGTAAGATAACGGTATGGGACGGTATGGAGACATGACATCATCCACGCCCAGACCGGTCGATGGATCTTGACACTATTTTTATAGTCTTTAGACATCGTCCGGAGTATGGCGTATGGGTATGGAGTATATAGAGGATGTAGTTGATGTAGATATATCTATATATATTTAGTAGATAGATAAATAGATATAGATAATCAGCTATAAAGATAGATAGATATCAACAGGTAGATAGAATCATAGATGCAAAGTAAGATAAATCAGATGATTAAGATACCAAGATGGAATGTAAATTGTAGTCAGGAACCAGTTCAACCTCACTGTCTGACACTAAGATGTCTTGCATGAAATCACCGCATGGTCAAATGACCTCCCAGACCACCTCGTTTCCCTTTTCCGACGAGGGGAGAAGACCGGATGATTTGACGATCGAGTTGGATCCCCGCACAGATGAATCCAGGGCATTTCAGAACTAGTGACGAACTAGTCAGTAGGTACAGTAGAAGTATAATACTGTATTGACTCTTACAGTATCCCTTGACCAGAGGAAACCCCGCAAAAAGCCAGAAAGCCAGAAAGCCAGAAACCGGTAAGAAATACGGAATCTTTCCATTGAGTTGGCAATCCGGAGCTGGACGTGGTTGATCCTTTCTTTCTTTCTCTTTTTCGTCGGACTTTCTTGCTTTCTCTCTTTCTCCTCTTTGTCTGACTACTTTTTTTTTTTTCCCTTCACATTCTCTCTCTCATCCTTCTTCTACTTCTACTTTACTTCTACTTCTCTTCCTCCTTATAGCACATCCTCCAATTCTAACTTCATCAATCTCCCTCCCGGCGAACACCCCCCACATCACCACTCAACCGCTCAACTATTGCAGTCCCCCCCTCTCCTAGGCTGTAACATTTAATTCTCTCCTCGCGTCTCCCACCGACTTCTGCTACGGTCGCCCCTCAATTCCACCATTCTCCCCCAGCGTGCTCAGAACCGACCTCTCCAACTTCACCGGGCTGTCAGGGGATTGACTGCCCGTGTGTTGACCGTCTGACTCAATCATGGCCTCCTTCAAGGTACCCCATTCAACCAGTCTCCTATCTTTTTTAATCTTCAATTCTTCTCGATTCTCGATTCATATATAAATCTGAAATTAATCCTAATTACTTCATCTGCAGGAATTGTCTCTCTCTCGTCCTCTCCCCCATCCCAACTCCCGTCACCATTCGCACTCCTTTTCCCTCGGTGCGGCAAACTCCACTCATCGGGTGACCCGCCGGAAAAGTGTCACCACCGCCGCCGCCGCCAATGCTGCCGCCGTCGTCGCCGCCACCATGAAGGATATCCCCACCGTCGAATCCCGGGGTATTCCTATGCCCTCACACCGTCGAGGCAGTCGGAGGGGTCTCGAATCCTCCTCCTTGGGGGTTCCCTCTGCGGCGGCCTCCTCTTATCTCTCCCGCTCCGGTCACAGTCCCAGTGACCACCACCCGGTCGCTCGCAAGTCCGCCGACGGCGGACTGGCAGCGAACTCCCCCCCGGGCGACGATGCCACGGGGGCCCTGGCGGACGCCAAACAACGTGACCGTCGGGCCAGCGAAGGGTCGCACTTGGTGAAAGGCGAGGGGAAGCGGTCCATGGTCGAGCTCCGCTGCGAACGCTGCGGCAAAGGCTACAAGCATGGCAGCTGCTTGTCCAAGCACATGTGCGTATCCTCCCTGTTGCGTGCTCTTGCCGTCTGGTCCCTCTCTCGCCTGCATCGTCGTTCCTTTCTCTCTTCCTCCCTTCCCATTACCCCCCTTTTCTCCCCTCGTTGGTTCGTGATCCTTGGTGATTGACCCTCTCGCAATGTAGGTGGGAGCATGATCCGGCCTGGGCCATTACCTCCAAACTCCTTATCTCCAAGCACCAGCAGGTTCAGCTGCTCGAGGCCGCCTCCGTCCTCGTCAACATGAACCAGGAATGTCCGACCGCCGACGGCTGCGAAATCGACTCGGACCTCTCCTCGGCGTCACCCGACGCCTCGTCGGAGTTGCGCGACGGGCTGAGCTCCGCCGAGACCACCCCGCCCCCGATGGATGAGGATGACGACGACCGGATGGAGATGTCGGTGGAACCTGAGCCCCTGGGCAAGCAGTTCAGCGTCAGCAACGCCTCGGGCCCCTTCTCCCGTTCCTTCCATTCCATTCCCGCGAGCTCCTTCACCGGCAGCGCCCCGTGGCCGTCCCCCGGCTTCTCGCACCACCGCCACTCCAGCATCGATACCCGACCGTCCACCGCCGAGGCCAAGCTGCACGACGACGACGAGGCCGACCTGGCCGCCGCCATCGGTCTGTGCAACTTCGGCACCCCGCGCACGCGACCGGTCGCCATGTCCCCCAGCGTCCCGACCGTCCCCGAGCTGCCCACCCGCGTGTTGGACCACCCCGCCGGCACGGAGAGCCGGAGTCTCGATCCGTCCACGGTCGGATTCACCCCCGCTACCCCCAACATCTTCCCGTCGCTGTCCTACAACCCATCCCTGTCGTACAAGGTGTCGGACGAGCGCGAGGTGCGCCGAGGCGCCACGGACCGTTCCTCCCGCAAGCAACGCAATGCGGATGTCGATTTCGGCAGCCGGCCAGCCCCCGCCGACGACGACGACGACGGGGTCTTTGGCCGGATGGAGGAATAACGGACCTGACTCTGTCTTTCTTCCTTTGTCTTTTTCCTGCCCACGTTTTGCATCTGCACCCCTTGTTTTTTATTCCCCCAAACTCAATTGAACTGCCACATTGCAGTACTTCATTTTCATGACATGTACGAACCTGCGCGCACCGTTGTGTGACCATCTTGATTTCTGGCCGAGCTGAAGGAGTTGAAACACCCCCTTTGCGTGTATGACTTTTTTCTTTTTTCTTTATTATTTATTTTTTTTTTTTTTGGATCTCCTTTTCGTATTTCCCCCCACCTTGTTTGTTTCTTTTTCCAGGAATTGTATCACCCGCGGCTTGTCCTGTGTGACCCGGAGCTTTTGAAACGCATAATGAATTCCGCGCCTTGCCAAGTTTCTTTTCCTCTCCTTGTTTTTTCTCCAGGTTTCTTCATTGCCCACCACCATTCGCTCTCTACGTCTATCTCTCCTCTACGGTATCATCCACCTCAACCTGTCGTGTACCACTTCTTTTCTTTTCGTTTTCTTTTCTTTTCTCCCCCTCGTCTTTCATCCTGCCAAACACGGCATGCGCATCTGCTGACAACACCACACATCATATCATATCATATCATATATCATACTAAATTATACATCATTGCATGGGTTTTGGATGTGAAGCCCCGTTCCCTCTGTCTCTGCCTCCCGATCTTCTCTTTTGTGTACACAGATTTCCCTTCTAGGGATGATTCTTGGAATGCATATATTATCATAATCTTTTACTCTACTGTACTATATACACTTTAGACTTGTTTATTTTCTAATTAGACTCCGGAGTAGATAGATCTATTTAGAAGAGAAGGCGGAAAGAAATAAAGAAAAAAAAGTCTAGACTAAGAATAAAGTGACAAATGAAGTGGAGAAAGTTCTTAGACAGTCTGGACTCTAGAGTGGACAATAAACGGGGTATTTCATTCTCGATGGAGCCTTCGTATCCACCTTTTTCCCATTCCTTTCCTTTCCTTTCGGTTTTGTTTCCCACTTCCCCTCTTCCCCGGCATTAGAAAACAGAATGTAAACAAATAAATAAATCAACCCCGGATTTTGATTAAATACATGGGTTGACTATTTTCCTCTTTCTTTTCCCCGCTTTTTGTTTCTTTTCCCCTCCCCTTTTGACTTTGGATTTTGTCTTTGCTTTGGTGGTTGGTTGGTTGGTTGATTGGATTGCAAAGTTGATGATCCTTCTTGCTTTTTGTTTTGTTTTGTTTTGTTTTGTCTTGACAATGGGGGGAAGGATAAATTAGTGTTTTGTTTCGGATTCCCCCCGCCGTCCGCGTCTTGTCTTTTCGCGCTTTGTTTCTGAGTTTATTCTCCGCTTTGTTCTCCGCTTTGTTCTCCGCTTTGTTCTCCGCTTTGTCCTTCTATTCTATTCTGTTCTCCGCTTGTCCTCCAATTCTATCTTCCAAGTCTGTCTCCGTTGGGTACTCAATTGAAAATTGAAAGTGTGTAAAAGTGTGTAGTGGGTATCTTTGGTTGTCATAATCGTCATCATCGTAATGTTCATCATGGCTGGACGTTGAAAAGCCATGTCTCTTTCGTGTGGGATGTTTTGTTCCACAATGTCAGACTTGCAAGGTAGCTAGCTAGGTAGCTATAGATGGATCGGCCCGGGAGATGTGGCTGTGGCTGTGGCCGTGGCTTTCATCTCTCCCCTTGATTTGTGTGACCGTTCATGGCTAGGAGACGGTTCGGGTGGCAGTTGACTGCCCGTCCGGTTCTGACAACGTGGTGTTTTTGTGCAACGGGCAGCCAGCCAACATTGGTTGTTGGGGTTGTCGCTCTCTATCGTGGAGGTTTTCTCCAGTGTCGTTGTCGTTGCATTACACGATATGTTTGAGTGTGGTCTGCGAGTGCGACGAGATGGATAGCCGCGAGGTTGTCCTCTATTGAAGAGGAGATGGTTCAATGGCAAGGAGACGGTTCAGGTGATGGTTAATTGTCTGTCTGGTTCTGACAACGTGGTGGTTGTGCGACAGGCAGCCAGCCAACATTGGTTGTTGGGGTTGTCGCTCCCTATCGTCCAGTGGTTTTGTCGTTGCATTCCACGATGAGTATGAGTGTGGTCTGCTCGTGCGACCAGAAGGATAACAGCGAGGTCGTCCTCTATTGAAGATGCTGTGATTTTTCTGCTCTCTCCACGTCGTGGTATGTGGATGTGGATGTGGATGTGGTGGTTCGTTGTGGGGTGCGCTTGCTTGGTTTTGGCTCGTTGTGTTTGTGTTTGATGTGTCCGCTGGTGTCGCTGTGTTTCTGTCAGCTGAGCTGTCGGTGGTCTCTGTTTGGACTGGTTGAGATCCACGGACAGTGAGATTGATGGTGTCTCACTTGACGTCGAGCAAAGAAAGATAGTGATTCTCGATCCCGATTCGAGGGAGGCAGGGTGCAGCCGAGCGAGAGTAGGTACTGATACTCGAGCCCGGTTCTGCAAAGGCAGACGGGTAATGATACTCGATATCCCGATTCCGGAAGGCCGATAATGATACTCGATCCCGATCCTCACGAAACGGGTGCCCTGCACGGACCGGATTGTAGCCGTTCATCATCGGGGAACCACGACCCCAATGGAAAAAAAAAAAAAAAAAAAAACAATTCTGGAATCGGCATGGTTAGCAAACATGATCTCCAGCGTCAATGTCTGAACAAGATACTATACTTACTAGAATAAAACGGCTACCATGCCGTACCGCCACTCACTCCCAACTCCACCATACCAACCGCGGACATCCAGCACCATAACACTCCCCACCTCCCGCACCAAGCGCCGTGGTCCGGACAGGGAAGGATCCGCTTCCCGCATCAGTTTCCCGGTTGCTCCGAAGAACAACCGGTCCGTGACACGGGAGGGATACAACTTCCCCTCGGCCCAATCGACAACTCGGCCCCCTGCCGAAGCAGAGGGAGGACCCTGCTAGACGAACTAGCAGGGCCCATGCGGGGGGCAAGGAGGCATTTGGGGCATGGGCTGGATGTCACCAGACGGCGGCGGATGCACGCCCATGACAGGCGTGGGAGCTGGGGGAGGACCGCCTTGTTGCTCATTCCTCCGCCGGGGAAACAGGACACCTCTATCGCCTGGATTAACAGGCCCCAGGTTTCGAGTGATCGGTGCCTGCGGCTCGAGGGGCCCAGGACCAGCCGCGAGATCGGTCTGTTCGACCTCTCGCTCCAGTTGTTCCTGCTGCTCTCTCTCGAGTCGCCGTTGATAGGCCCGCCTCTGCCGCTGGTTGGGTCGATTGTTCCGCTGTCGCGGGGTCGACTCGGGCTCCGCTCCGGCCTCCACCGGCGCCGGTTGACGGGGCACTAGGTCCCTCTGTCTCTCGGGCGGGTGGGTCGAACCGGTTGCAGATTCCGTGTCGGGAGCAAGACCGTCGCTTTTCGAGAAAGCATCGTTGGCGCCGTTAGGGATGGAATCCGAGTCCTTTTTGACGGTGCAGGGATCCACGTCCGGGACCACGCTGACAGAACACCGGCGCTCCAAGCAGGGGGTCGCTGCCTCCACCTCTTGGTGGATCATCACGACCCTCTCCACCTGTTGCTCCTCCGGTGGGGTCAGCATGGCTGGAGTGGTGAGAACGGCGTCGATGAAGCTGGCAGAGACCGCCGAGGGCATCGGACCTGCGATCAGAGCGTCCATCTCCTTGTACAGGGAGGACGCTCCGTCGGTCTCAAGGTAGTGAGCTACCTTGGGTTTGCCCCCGAGGAGTCTGCCGAACCAATCTCGGACCATTCTCAGTGTGTAAGCACCTGAAGAGCCGAGGCCCTTCCAAAGGAACCAAACGGAAGCCAGAAAACCCAAAGCGATGACAGTGAAGGTGACACCAGACGGCGTGGGCGATCTTGATGCCGTCGAGTGCCAGTCACAGACTGGCTGCTCGACGGCCTCCTCCCACAGCGGGATGACCACGCTGAGTGCCGTCTCCGTGGTGTCTAGCTCTACCCAGTCCCATGGACTTTCGAAATCAGTCCAGGGATCGTACAGGTCCTCGTGAGGAACCATGTACTCGGAGTGTAAGTCCTCCGCCAGGTGGAAGGCCATTTTGGCCGACAGTGTCACGCAAAAGGCGCCGCCGATGCGTTTCAGGAAACCCTCCTCAGGATGCATAAACCCCGGCACAGGGAAGAATGCACCCCAGAGGGAGACGGCCAGGAAAACACCGACAAATGGGAAAAGCATCTGCTATATGTTAGCTACGGGTTCAGTTTCGACGCGTGGGAAAGCGTCAGAGGGGCTCGAATGAATCTTTCAGATCCCACCTTGTTCGGTATTGATGATGGTGATGATTAAAGCTTGCTAGCTGTGTGTTTGTGATGATAGTGTTTGGTACTATGTGGATTGCTGATGGATGCAATGATGATGAGGAAAGAAAGAAGGAAGGAAGGAAGGAAGGAAGGAAGGAGAGGAGAGAGAAGAGAGGAGAGAAGAAGAAGAAGAAGAAAAAGAGGGGGGGGAGGGACTGTGGGAGGGGGCCAGGGCTAGTCCTGCTTGACGGGGAACGACGAGTGAATAACATGAGTGATTTCCTCAGATTCAGGATGGATGTTGTCACAGTGAATGGTGTTGGATACTTCCTGCTTCATAGTGGGTGACCATGGGAGACATGGAGACCTCCACGAGGAAGCAGTGACTGGTGGTGACCCAGGACCCAAGTAGAGCGAGTGAATATCACTATGTTGTCCTAGGCAATATGGATGAAGAGTACCACATATCACTACAAATTTCTCTGTTATATCGACTGGAAATGGCTCTGTCTACACAAGATATCCAGTCTACAAGATATCACTGCTGGATGATGGGAGAGAGTCATGTAACTGTAAGAGCGTCACAGTTGCAAGATGGTGCTTGTCCATGGAGAACCTATGTCGGTATGAGTCATTACAACCATTCAGTTTGATTTTGACCACTGAATTTCGCAGTAACAGTCTAAACTGAAATACACCACAAATAGACCAAATATCAAGATATCTGTCTATATTTCTCGCCATATCTCTTCTATATGTCTATAAATTGATGTGATGTTGATCTATATACTCCTGTTTGACCCGTTTGTCAGCGCTAAACCCAAACAGGAATCGGCCCGTCGCCCTCCGATTTTTCGTCTTGGCGGAACTTTCGAGGTTCTTTTTCTCTTCCAACGTCAGCCACTCAACCACTCCGTCAACTTCTCCTCTCCCGTTCCTGTCTCTCTCCACTAGACAACCCCCCTCGTCGGCTCTCCCACTTTATTCAATTCGATGACCATGTCGGTTCTTGTTATGGGCCTGGGCGCTGCTAGCGCTGCCTTTTTGGTAAGCTAGGAATGAATCCTCCCCTTCTCCGACCATATTACCCGCCCGACCAACTTTGCGCTAACCGCTGGGTCCTTTTTGCAATAGGGTCGCGCTGGCTATGTTGCCCTTCGTCGTTACCAAGGAGGTATGAATGCCGCGGGCAAGGCCTTCTACAAGGGGTAGGTTTATCGACACGACTAGCTGGAATGCGATGGGATTGCTAACCGGTGGATAGTGGATTTGAACCCCGGATGAGCCGTCGCGAAGCCTCTCTGATCCTGGAACTGCCGTATGTCCTGACACGCCGAGATGGAAACCCGCCTCTTCACAAACGAGATCACTAACCCAGCGAATAGGGAGCGCACGATGAACAAGGACAAGGTCCGCAAGAAGCACCGTCAGCTCATGCTCCTCAACCACCCCGATCGCGGTGGCAGCCCGTACCTGGCGACCAAGATCAACGAAGCGAAGGAATTCCTGGACAAGCATACTTAGAGATGTTCTGTGGATGGATGAGGGTGACTGCACCTAAAGCATCGCTCCGCGCGGGGTCGATCGGTGCGGACTTCGAGGGATGTCACCTGGTGTAAGAATATGTCTTTGGATGCATAGCGTGGCGTTGGCGTGGATTTTCTTTTTTTTCTATCTCTCTCTTTTCTGGTGACATGAGAGATCCCCTCTGGGGAGATGTTGTATGTTCATATATTCCGATGAGATCGCCACTCTGCCTGTATATTCTATAACTACGATTTTCCTTTTGGTATATCTGGATCTACCGTGCATTCTATACCCAATACTATTGTAAATCATTCTAGAAGGAATACCGAACGTCATGCAGACTGTGATAGAAGGAAGACCTAGTCGGAACGGATAGTTCGCTGTGGACTCGGAGTTGGAAAGGAAGGCATCCACTCTAGTATGGACTACGGATACGGATACGGAGAGTGTTTTGTTGTCTTAGGCTCGGGTTTCGGGGTTAACGGGTTCCGAGTCGGATCTGTCAGGTCAGGCCTGAGGCCATGTCAGAGTCATAGAGTCAGATTCTTCGAGAGGATTTAGAGATGCTTCTCTTGGACCCTAAGACTAGTTCCAGTTGAGTAACTCCTCTTTGATAAGTAGGTACTGTTTTAGAAAAGAGTTCTTAAATCAGCAGAAATACTCCCATGCTGAGTCGCATCGATCGGTGGACAAGGCAGCCATCATTATTACGGAGTACGGAGAGATACTGCTGCTTCCCGAGACCCATCGATAAGCTCCATTTCTTTATTCAAGACATTTCCGAGGATCCTCTGGATCAATCCAGTCTCTCTCTCTTTTCCATTCTTTCGTTCTTTTGAATTTGTGTGGTTTGTTATCTTGATCATTTTTCTGGGGACGTCTCCTCACCACGTGCCTCTCATTCTTCTCCGCCAAAGTTGAGTAAGCCGTAGTTCATCTTCATCTCGGTCGTGGGTTGAACTACGCTGGGATTTTCTCCTCCCCGCCTTTCTCTCCTCTCGCGCCTCCTGAATCTCTTCCCCCCACCACTCAAGATACCTGTCGACTTACCCTAGTCACTCCTTTGTCTGGGAATTTGCTTCCTCGAGCAGACACCGCGGTTGCGCCCGGATCGTTTTCGCGCATGCCTGTCGCGGACGAAACACGCCCCCGCATCGCCTTGTCTATCTGCCCTCAAAGGACCTCCTGATTCGCCCTTCACCTAGGACCCTCTCCTACAGCCACCGGGAAATTTACAACTTGGACAGTTCCACCTCACAGCGTGCCGGCTCCGCTCCTCCATCATGGACGGGATGGGGGAAGGCTCCGAGGGCATGGGCTTCGATATGCCAATGCTCATGAACCAGCAGCCGAACCTCTTTGGCGCATACGGCCCCGAGGGCTCCCCGATGAATTCAGCCCTCCCGAATCACGCGTACGATGACGCCGCGCTTATGGCGGGTGACGACGCTAATGATTCCAAGAGAAGGAGGATCGCACGGGTGAGTCGCGGCTGACGAGACGGTCATACAGGGTGCTCATCGTCTTTCTAGGCTTGCGACATGTGCCGGAAAAAGAAGATCAAATGCGATGGCAAGATGCCCAAGTGCTCGCATTGCCTCAACTACAAGACGGAATGCGTGTTTACACAGGTCGAGAAGAAACGAAATCCTCCTAAAGGGTATGTCTCTGCGGTGGTTTTCTCTCGGTTGCGGAGGCTGACTCGATGGTTGTGGTATTATGCAGGGCCAAGTATATCGAAGGCTTGGAGAACCGACTCGGGAGGATGGAGTCTTTGTTGAAACTCTCGGGACTTTTGTCAGAGGAAGACGGTGGAAAGACAGACCTTGGGACCTTGGAGAAACGCCTCGCCGATCGGTCCATGTCCGCTGGCGCCCCGTCCGCTGCGAAGAGCCCGAGTCGATTCACCGCACCGCCGTCGGCCACCCAGTCCCAGCAGAATACAGCATCCCGCCAATCGACCCCCCGGGTGGAATCCCAGCCGAGCCCGCACACGGCTCCCACGTCGCCCGAATCGCAGAAGGACTCGGAACCGGAGGTGGAGGGGTTATCGGATATGATGTGCTCGCTGGTGACGAACAACTGCGGCGAGACGCGGTATATCGGTATGCGCTTGTGCTATTTAGCCCCGTGATGATCGCAAAGAGATTGACGTTTGGCTTTTCAGGGTCGTCCTCGGGGTTCTCGATCTTCTCGCCCAAGGGTATCCAATGGGTCAACGAGAAGACGGGTGACACTTCCTTCCAGGATATGATCTCGTCAGCGTATGTCGACGATAACAAGTGGATGTATTGGAAGCCGGAGATCTTCAGCGATATCTTTGCTCGACGAGTCTTCAAACCGCTGCCGCCCAAGGAGGAGGCCATGTCTCTCTTCCGGGACTTCTTCGAGAACTTCAATTGCATGTTTCCACTCTTCCACGAGCCCACCTTCATGCACTTGGTGGAGCGCCAGTATTCGCGCGATCCTTACGAAGGTTCCGGCTGGTGGGCTAGCATCAACGTTGTTCTGGCCATTGCGCATCGATTGCGCGTCATGAGCAATTTGGTCCCTCAGGAAGAGGACAAGAAAGGGTGGCTGTATCTGAAGAACTCGATGGGGGTCTTAACTGAACTCACCATGCGAAACACGGATTTGCTGAGCGTACAGGCGTTGCTTGGCATGGTAAGTTCCACCGACGTTGTTAAACGTGGCGCTTTTCTAATAATTCTGGCAGTCTCTGTTCCTTCAAGGAACACCCAACCCTCAGCCGTCGTTCTTCCTCGTTGCCGCGGCGATCAGACTTTCCCACAGCATTGGCTTGCACAAGAGAGGGTCTGGCTTTGGGTTGAACCCGGTGGAGGTTGAGCAACGGAAACGGGTTTTCTGGATCGCCTACCTTCTTGACAAGGAGTAAGTACAGTTGATGTCTTCGTACCCGCAAGATTGTTCCGCGTTGTGCGACTGAGCTCGGTTCTAACGTACCTAATAGCATCTGTCTCCGATCTGGCCGTCCTCCGGTGCAAGACGACGATGATATGAATGTTGAATTACCGAGTGACGATCCTCCCGATAACATTGGCAACGTGCCCCTTGCCGACGGCAAAGGAAAATTCAACCTGTTTAGGTGTATGTGCCGCTTTGCCATCATCGGAAGCCGGGTCTATAAGCGACTCTATTCCGCCAAGGCCTCAAAGCAGTCGGACGGCGAGCTGCTGAACACCATTGGTGAACTGGACAAGGAGCTGGAAGAGTGGAAGGACAGCATCCCTCTGGACTTCCGACCGGAACACGAAATCAAAGCCTCACACACCCCTCTAATACTCCATGTGGTGGTCCTTCACTTTGCCTACTATAACTGCTTGACGACCATCCACCGAATGTCCGTGCACCACGGGTATTGGACAAGCCGTCTTTCCAACTATGCCATCCAGGGACTGAATGCTAGGCCCCTGAATCCCCGCGTGTTCCTATCGGCTGTGCTCTGTGTCACTGCTGCGCGAGCATCCATCAACCTCATAAAATATATTCCACAAGGCGACTTCGCTTGTGTATGGTGAGTCAAGGCATTGGCGATCCTACATTTAACAGCGTTGCTAACCCACCCCTCAGGCTAATACTCTATTACCCCGTGTCGGCCTTGGTGACCCTGTTTGCCAATATCCTGCAGAATCCCAACGACGCCCGTGCTCGTTCCGACGTCAAACTGATGAACGTCGTGGTCAACTTCCTCTCGACCCTTGTCTCCGACGAATCCAACGGTAGCATCAAGCGCATGCTCGGCCTGTGCGGGGAGTTTGAACGCATCGCTCAGGTGGTGCTCGACAAGGCCGAGCGAGAGTCTCACACCAAGAAAAAGCGCAAGGCGCCTCCCGATGAGCCCAAGAACGCGCAGCGACACAGCCCGGAGGAGTCATCTGCCCCTTCTCCCTCTGCAAAGAGACCCGCGAATGCACCTCCTACTACCGCGCCGTTCACCCCACCCATATACTCAGGCAACGTCCCCGAAAACGAACCCAACGAGCCCAACGTAGCGAGAACCTTCGCCCCGAGTCAGACCGTCCCCGGACCCACCGGGTTCCCACCCAACGTGCACGACAACCTCCAAGCCATGTCCGGCCTGGGACAGGACTTCCCGGAGATGCTCAGTCCCAACATGGACGGGCTCGGATTCGGCGACCCCGCCTCCTTCGCCAGCACCCCCAACCACCCGATGTCATTCCAGCAACCCTTTGTCCCACAAGATCTCTGGCAGATGCCGATGACCATCGAGTGGGACTGGGCGGACATGTCGACGAATTTCCCAGTCTTTGACACCAACGGACCATCTCCGAATGGACCGTGAAGCCAGCCAGCCAGCCAGCCAGCCAGCCCCATGATGAGATGCGAATGAGTAGAGCAGAGCTACGAATGAGACATACGACAGACATACCCACCACGCTCTTGGATATTTCCGAGAGCCATTAAAGCGGCGTCAATGGAGTTTGGGACTGGTACTTACTTACTTTACTTTCCCCCCCCCCCCCCTCACGTCTGAAAATCTCCGTTCTTCTTCTTTTTCTTTCCTTTCTTTTGCTTCTTGATTTCTTTTTCCCGCTCGTGACATACTTTGTGTATGCGATACCAATGGCGCAGTTGCTGTTTACCTGTCTGAGCGCACTCCTGTCCCCCGTTATCTTCTGCACGTCCTCTACAAAGATCATGTGTAGTCTGCGATCGGATGGACTTCCCGACTGTATATACAAGATGTAATCATTCCATAAGATTCTACTCTCCTCTATATGTGATGTCCCTGCGGCCATTTATTCGAAGAACGTGAACAGAAGAAATAATGAAACAAGTACACTGAATCCACTACTTTATGGTCAGAAAGTACTCTTACTCCTCCTTCTACTAGTAATCAGGCACGATGTTACTACATCCATAATGAGGTAATGACGATTTCTTGGCATTGACTCAAGAGCCGCGGCCCGGCTGAGTCATCACGCCGACGGAACAGCGAAAATTCCCAAGGCTGGACGAACGAAGGCGGGAAGAACAGAGAGACCGCCGAACTTTGATCTTGTCCTTCTCCGTCAACGACACTAATTCCCGGCTCCTCCAAGAGCTTCTTCTGTCTTCTCCCCCCCCCCGCTCCTCCTCTTTCCCCCACAACCTCTCCCCCTGCAAGTCAGAAAACTCCGACGAGGGTTTATGGCTTTCACTGTTTGCTGAAGGCTTACCTATCTATCTATCTGCTTACGATAACTACCACCACACCCCGAATCAAACGACATCCACTCGACCTCTCTGCTCGCCGCTAGGCTCCACCTTCCTCGACAATGGCCACCGCCCTCCGACGGCCAGGCAATCTTGCTCGATACTCGAGGAGAGCCTCGGAGTACTTTCTCCGCGCTGGTCCGCGCGCCCCGTACACTCCCCGATCCGCCCTCCCGTCGCTGATCAACGCGCGAACGTACGCCTCCAACGGCCGCAACGGTCCGAAACCCCCGAACAATGACCAGAACGGCCAGCAACCGCCCAGCCCGCCGGGGCCGGGGAAGGGCGATGGTCAGAACAATGAGGGCCCCGCGAAGCCGGAGCCGGAGCAGCAGCCCCAGTCGACTCTCTCCATGGTAGAGGAGGGGTTGCTGAACCGGGCTGCTGAGGACCTGAAGCGGAAACTTCCGGGTTCGCAACATGCGCTGGTGGATGAGGTACATGCATTGATCAAGGTGAGGGGCATGCCTCTGGAGATGCGGCGGTTTGCCCGCAAGGTGGAAGACGGCGAGTCGGTTTCCCTGATGGAATACGCGAAGATGGCGAAGTGGATGGACAGCTATGCTGCCGAGAGCCGTGAAATGGGTTTCAAACAGGGAGATGAGGGAGCGCACAACCAGCAGAAAGGACCTGAATCGGAGAAGGAGAAGGAGCAACGGAAAAAGGAGCAAGGAGAGGGAGGCGCGAAGCAGCCGAATTTCAAGACGTTTGAATTTCGCATGGACCCTGCCACGTTCCTGGTCACGGCGATGTTGACATACTACACGTATAAAAGCATCTTCCCCGGCACTTCTGGCAAGGAGATCACGTGGCAGGAGTTCCGGGCGAATTTCTTCGACCGGGGCCTGGTTGAGAAGTTGACCGTCGTCAACGACAGTCTGGTCCGGGTCGACGTGCACCGTGATGCGGTGCTTCGGACGTACCCCGACTCCCCCGCTGCTCAACCTAACTTCCACTATTACTTCAGTATCGGGTCTGTCGACACGTTCGAGCGAAGGCTCGACGAGGCACAGGACGAGTTGCATATCCCCAGCTCTGAACGGATCCCTGTCTCCTACGTCGAGGAAACATCGTGGGGTCCCGTGATTATGTCACTCGCCCCGACGGCCTTGATGATCGGCTCCTTCTTGTTCTTCGCGAGGCGCAGCGGTGGAGGCGGCGGCGGCGGCCTTTTCGGCATCGGGAAGAGCCGCGCCAAGCGTTTCAACCACGAGACCGATATCAAGACCAAGTTCGCCGATGTAGCGGGCATGGACGAAGCCAAGGTTGAGATCATGGAATTTGTCAGTTTCCTCCAAAACCCGCAGAAGTTTGAGAGGCTCGGAGCCAAGATCCCTCGTGGCGCCATCCTTTCAGGTCCCCCCGGTACCGGTAAGACGCTACTTGCCAAGGCGACGGCTGGCGAGTCGGGCGTCCCCTTCTTCAGCGTCAGCGGTTCCGAGTTCGTCGAAATGTTCGTCGGTGTCGGTCCCTCTCGTGTGCGTGATCTGTTCGCCAACGCGCGGAAGAACACCCCGTGCATCATCTTCATCGATGAGATCGATGCCATTGGTAAATCCCGAGCGAAGCAGGCCTACGGTGGCGGTAACGATGAGCGCGAAAGCACACTCAACCAAATTCTCACGGAAATGGATGGTTTCAACACTTCGGAGCAGGTGGTCGTCCTGGCCGGTACCAACCGAGCGGATGTGCTCGACAAGGCTTTGATGCGACCCGGTCGATTCGACCGACATATCACGATTGACCGACCGACTATGGATGGACGCAAGCAGATCTTCCGTGTTCACCTGAAGAAGATCGTGACGGACGAGGACATGGACTACTTGACTGGTAGACTTTCGGCTCTCACGCCCGGTTTCGCTGGCGCTGACATTGCGAACTGCTGTAACGAGGCGGCTTTAGTTGGTATGTTTGATTTCCGTTCTCTTGTCTTTTTTTCCCCTTTGTTAAGTCACTCACACTAACTTAATCGACAGCTGCTCGTCACAACGCCGATCGTGTCACCATGCAGCATTTCGAGCAGGCTATTGAGCGTGTGATCGGTGGTCTCGAGAAGAAGTCCGTTGTGCTCTCCCCCGAGGAGAAGCGCACGGTGGCCTACCACGAGGCCGGACACGCCGTCTGTGGCTGGTACTTCCGCTGGGCCGACCCGCTGCTCAAGGTCTCGATTATCCCTCGAGGCCAGGGCGCCCTGGGTTACGCCCAGTACCTGCCCGCTGGCGGTGACACGTACTTGATGAGTGTCAACCAGATGATGGACCGCATGGCGATGACCCTGGGTGGCCGTGTGAGCGAGGAGCTGCACTTCGACAGCGTCACCAGCGGCGCCAGCGACGATTTCAACAAAGTCACCCGCCTGGCAACCGCGATGGTAACCAAGTTCGGCATGTCGCCCAAGCTGCGGTACATCTACTACGAGGAGGACCCGTCGCAGCAGATGCACAAGCCCTTCTCAGATGACACCGCCCGAGACATCGACACCGAGGTTCAGCGCATCGTGGACGAGGCCCACAAGCAGTGTCTCACTCTTCTCACCGAGAAGAAGAAGGAAGTCGGCATCATCGCCGAGGAGTTGTTGACTAAGGAGGTCCTCAGCCGCGATGACATGATCCGTCTGCTCGGCCCCCGCGAGTGGCCCGAGTCGGGCGAATTCGCCAAGTACTTCGATGGTAAGAACGGCCAGACCATCGCGCCGCCGGAGCCTCCTAGCAATGATGAGATCAACGGCAAGAACGGAGGAGACCAGCCCCCTGTCCAGTGATAGAGCACTGATGACACTGCCGATTGAACCTGAACCTGAACTTCGCGGACAAGGGCAGGGCTGTGTGGTAGGGGGGATCTAACCATCGAGCCGTTTATATTGGCAAGAGTTGGAAAGGGAAAAAAACATCATCATCATTCACATATATGTTCTACAGGTTCTGTATTTATCTTGTCACGGAAGCATCTCCTTTCTTGTTTTTTCTTTTCTTTTCCTTTTTCCTTCCTCTCTCTTACTCGTTTCCTCTTCAGTTTCCTCTCCCACCTATCCATCCCCCTTGTACCCACTAACCTTGTCCACACTTGTTCTCCTCGGTGTCATGTCTGTCTCTCCCCTCCCTCCATCCTTCCCGTCTAGATATGATCTCCCTCTTCTTCTTTCTTCTCCTATCTTCTTTCCGCTGCGTCGCGTCGCGTCTCCTCCACTTTTTGTGTGCATGTTTGTTTTTGCTGCACTTTTCTTGTCTTATGAAATCGCCTGGTGTCCTGTCGTGTGTACTTGTATAGTAGTAGTCAAAGCTATTCATTTCTTTTTTATTTTCTTTGCTGTGTGGGGGGTAGGGGGAGGGGAGAGATTGGGTCTGGTTCAAAGTATTGGCTTGTTGGGTTGTAGGTACATAGTAGAACAGTTAGAAAAGTCTGGACTTCTCCGTGGTTGACTCTTTGAACGGATTGTTGGTATTATGTATGATGTGTAGGTAGGTAAGGGATGGTTGAGAATGACCAAATAAAAGTAGATTCGATAAAGCACGCCATCCCTGAACGTCCCAGATATCACTAAATAAAATATATACGGCAAATTCAAGAAAAAGAAAAGAAAAAAAAAAAAAAAAAACGATAAACGATAATTTTGAAAAAAAAAAAAAAGGCAGGTCAAATCCTGAGACCAATCCAATTTGGGAAAGAAAAAGGAAATTGATGATTCTACCAAATCGTCCACCCCTACTGGGCCTTCTTGCCCTCCTCGGTCACCGCCTGTTCGGCTCCCTGCGCCTTGTTCGCGACGGCCTTGCGGGACTTCTTCTTGTTGTACCGGGGCTTCACGGAGAACCGGGGAAGGAAGCGTCCGACGCGCGCTTGGTACTCGCTGTACTCGGGGTACTTGCCGGCGCTGATGGACTCGGTGAGACGGGTGCTGCCCTGGAAGACGAGGAGGTAGCCCAGAACGCCCAGGCCCGTCCATTGGACGTAGGTCTCCGTGCGGTAGGCGTTCCAGAGGTACAGCGAGAGCCAGATGGCCTGTTCGGAGAGGAAGTTGGGGTGGCGGGACAGGGACCAGAGGCCGCTGACGACGAAGCCGCGCTCCAGGTCCTCGGGCGTGTACTGGTCCTTGTAGTACTCCGGGATGCGGGCTTCCTTCTGGTAGGTGTGCTTGGCGCGGTGGAAGTGCCACTGCTGCTGGTCGGCGAAGTACTCGATGATCAGGAAGAAGAAGGCGACGCGCGAGAAGACCAGGTCTGGGATCTCGAAGGTCTGCTGCGATGGGAGACGCGACAGGAGGAGGAAGTTGTAGGTCGGGGCGGTGATGAGCAACAGTAGCAGGGACTGGGTCAGGCTGATGAACACGATGTTGAACAGGAACCAGACGAAGCGGTTGTTGACTTTGGCGCTCACGACTTCCCACCGGTAGTCTTCGGAGCCGATCTGGTAGCCGCCCTTGCGCCAGTAGTTGAACGTCAGGCGGAGCTGTTGACGTTTCATTTTAGATTAGCTATCGTTGCGGGGCGAGGGCTGGCTGTATCTTACACTCCACAGCACAGTGATGGCGGCGATAGTATCCAGGGACTGTGTCGGGAGCCCCGACAAGCGCGCCCACACCGCATAGTGTACATTGTAGACGGCGGGCAAGATACTCCAGAAGCGATCCACCTGGGAATAGTTGCGGTTGATTTCCGAGAAGACCAAAAAGAAAGCGGACATAGCCAGACAGAAGCCCAGCGCCGTAATGAAGGGGTTCGTCGACAGGTAGATATCCCTCAAGATGACCACATCTTTGGCCTCCGCCGCCACCTGCAGCCTCTCGGGAAGGGCGGATAATTGAGAAAGGAACGGTAAGACTGTGTGGTTGAAAGACGCACAGTCCGCGATGGACTGAACGGTCGGGAGGGGCAACTCCATGACTCAGTTAACTTAAATCTGGGGAACCTCGGGTGGGGAGATGAGTGACAGGCCACCTGTGTAAGGGGAGGATGACGATGATGAGAAAGAGAAGGATTGAGAGTCGAGGAAGATCAACGCAGCAACAACAACAACAAACAACCCCGGTCAGACGCTAGTCCGCTTTGGGCGAAGGAGCTTGGGCCAGCCTTATGGGTGCCTTAGGCCGTCAGGCTCACAGTCCCGTTGCGGTAAAGCGCGTCTTTACGCGCTTCGTTCTTTTACAAGAAGTACTCCGGAGTACATCTCTCAACTTACTCTGCTTTCATCCCACTTGGTCCTTTCAATTGTGGAAAGAACGAGAACGAGGTACTCAAGGGTCTCGGTGGAGGAAGCAGATCATGGATAGTATCTAGTAAAGATCAATTCCCCCCAGATCTGCGAGCATGAGTCCCACGAAGATCCTCTGTGTCGCTGAGAAGCCGGCCATAGCGAAGGCGGTGGCCCAACATCTCTCCGGTGGATCTGTACGAACAGTAAGTTACAGACAGGGCGATAGGCCTGGTTGGAAATAGAACGGCAAGGATGGATGCTAAGGGCACGGTAGATCCCCATTCGTGGGAACCCGTACGTCAAGAACTATGTGTTCGACTTCAACTTCGGTGCGCCATGGGGCAACTGTGCGGTCACCATGACGAGCGTACTTGGTCATCTGACGAAACTGGAGTTCGAAAAGCAGTACAGGGGCTGGCAGTCATGTCTGCCGGAATCCTTGTTCGAAGCTCCGGTATTCGAGTTGGTAGAAGATGTATGTTGCGGTCGTCTGCTCCCGCGGGGATCTCGCGGGCATGAAAAACCTGGCCGTTGACATTGAGAATGCAGGATAAAAAAGCAATTGCAAAGAACATCCAGGAACAGGCCAGGTACTGCCAGGCTTTGTTCATCTGGACGGACTGTGATCGAGAGGGCGAACACATCGGGACGGAGATCCGGAAGCATGCAAAAAAGGGCAATGCGCGGATCGTGGTCAAACGGGCTAAATTCAGCAACACCGAGAGGGCGTGAGTACTCAGTTCAGTCACAACGCCTGTATAGCCTACTAATACTCTTTGGATCCCGCTTACAGCCATATCTTGAATGCGGCGCGCGCCTTGATCGAGTTGGATGACCTCCAGGCGAATGCGGTGGCGGCTCGTACCGAACTCGACCTACGGATCGGTGCGGCGTTTACGCGGCTATTGTCTATTCAGCTGCAACCGCTGACAGAGGCCTTGGCTAACAAAGTCATAAGTTATGGTATGCCCTCTCTGATTCCACCCCTAATTTCTACATGGCTAATGTTGGGCAGGGTCCTGTCAATTCCCCACGCTGGGGTTCGTCGTGGATCGTTATCTCCGGGTGAAGAACTTCAAGCCAGAAAAGTTCTGGGGCATCAAAGTGATGCACACTCGAGAAGATATCAAAGTCAACTTTCTTTGGAAGAGAGTCCATCTCTTCGACAGAGCGGTTGTGACGGTGATGCTGGAGCGATGCTTGATGGCCAAGAATGCCAAAGTCACCAAGGTGAACCAAAAGCCCACAAGCAAGTGGCGGCCATTGCCCCTGACCACCGTGGATTTACAAATGATGGGAAGTCGATACCTTCGCATGGACAGTCAGGCCATTATGAAGGTAAGCGTCACGCAGTTAACAGGTCTTGACTTCTAGCTAATTACGAACCCCCAGGCTGCCGAATCGCTCTATACCAAGGGCTTCACCAGTTATCCACGTACTGAAACTGATCAGTTCGACAAAGGAATTGACCTGAAGAAATTGATCGAAAAGCAATTTCCGGACAACAATTGGGGCCAATACGCCCGAGGGTATGGTACAGTCTCTTCTGACTATCGTACATCTTACTAACGTCCCCTTTTTTGAGCCAGACTCCTCGATGGTGGATTCAGAACCCCTCGAGCCGGGCGCCATAATGATCATGCCCATCCGCCCATCCATCCTATCTGTTGGGTCGCCCCGACGGCTTTAAACGCGGATGAAAAAAAAGTGTACGAATTTATCACCCGGCGATTCCTCGCCTGCTGCTCCGAAGACGCCAAGGGTCACAGTTCAGAGGTCGAGATCGAGTACGGGGATGAATTGTTTCACGCCAAGGGTTTGACTGTGCTAGAGCGAAACTACCTTGATGTATACGTCTACGACAAGTGGGAGAGCAGTCAACAGCTTCCCAACTTCCGCGTGGGCGAACTCTTCGAACCCACAGAAGCCAAGATCTTCGACGGCCAAACAACGGCCCCCAACTACCTGACAGAGCCAGAGCTCATCGGCCTTATGGACGCCAACGGAATTGGCACGGACGCTACGATGGCCGAGCACATCGCCAAGATCAAAGACAGAGAATATGTCGTGGTACACACGCGCGGCAGTGGCCGAAATGCCGCAAAAGTATTCATTCCCACCTGGCTGGGAATTGCCTTAGTCGAGGGGTACGACAATATTGTTTCTGGACTGCCGGATAGTCCCTCGCTCAGCAAGCCGTTCCTACGCAAGGAGATGGAGAGTCGGATGCGGGATATCTGCGCTGGCGCCATGACGCGCCACGACGTTGTACACGAGAGCCTGGATAAGTACCACGAGGTGTTCATCCATACCGTACGGCGCATTAATATGCTGAAGGACGCTATTCGAAAGTATTCGAGTCAAATTGGCGCGTCGTGATACTTTAGCCATTGTGTCTTGCAGGGCTACGTGGAGTTGGTTTAGGCTAGGCGGCTTACTTGTCTGATATGATACCCATAATTGAATTTATACATACTTGGAAACGTGCTACATGAAATGATTCCAGTCAAACCTGTCCACTATCAAACCGTCACACTCATTGTCCTAATCAATCCTCCTGTGACGGCAGCACACTTCTGCGTTACGAGGCCCAGTCCTTCATGATAGAGGAATCTACGGCTAGAGTGACCTGCACTGGATGGTCCGTGATGTGATAGTATCATACTATCATAATCAGGCCCGATATCTCGCAACAGACCATTCTAGCAGTGTACCTTCTTACCAAGAGGTGGTTCCTCAATAACAGCAGCTGCGGCATACCGCCACATGCAAAGCCCATCCGTCCGCGATGCACAGATACAGGTAACTCCCCCAGACCCAAGCAACACCAAAATAAAAATACAAACGAGCCCGTCACCAACATAACTCTAGCCATGACTGTGCCTCACCCCATCTTCCCCGGCTTTCTGAAAGATCAACACAACCGGCGGTTGGCCTGGTTAACCCGCCGCCGGCGGATCCGACGGCCTTCCTCGAACTCCGCCGCCGTTGGATTGTACCCAACGGCATCCCGCCACGGCAGCCATATGAGCCATCTGGCGGTTGATCTCGGCCTCTATTTGGGTGTTCAGAGTCGCGTCGAAGACATCCATTTTAACGAGCATATTATCCCGTATGTCGGTGCACAGCCGCTCCTGCTCTTTCTCGAACTGCTTCAAGATCATGGAGACTTGATTTTCGTATCTAGTCATGACGAGCGTGATCTTTTCTATGGCTTGGACCTGCTTTGACTTGATTTCTTCGATGGCTTGTGCATAGGCGTCTTGCCGTTCCTTATACAGGACGCTGGCCCATATCAAACGGAAGAAGATACACGATTCTCTCATGATCGCAGTCCAAAGCAGGCCAACTTGAAGCAGTGAGTTGTGGTGTGTGAGAGAAAGAGCAGGAGCAAGCGCATCCGCGACCGGCTGAATAAGTTGCCCAGCCTGGTCGAGCCACGACGGACCCTGTCGGCCGTTCACTTCCAACAAGGGAGGGAGGCCGTATGCAGGATCCGAAGTGGACTCACCTAAGACTGGGTCAACAGGTGCTAGGAATGCACCCTCGGTGAAGCAGCCGGTTTCATTGGATGCGCAAGGCTGTGCATCTAATACGGGAGACAAATTCCATGAAGAGGGTAGGATGGCGCCTTCGTCCAGAGCTACAGCGAGGGTACCGGTGATGAGCTCGACTTGTTCGGCGAAGGTGCAGGATGGACAGATGCTATTGAGGGCGACGGGTTGGAAGACGGTGAGGAGGGCTGTTGTTAGAGCCAGCAGCATGAAGCTGCAGAGCTCCATGGTTTGGTTTGTGTCTCTTGTGATGATATTGGTATTGATGTTGATGGAGGTAATAATTGTCTGCAAAGCAGTGGTAGAATTCAATGTGTGATGGGAGATGGAAGAAGGAAGGAAGACATGACCTCAACTGGAGAAGAGAGAGGGTTTATATACCAGTCAGCTATAGAAGTCAGGTGTAGAAACAACCCTTTGTTCTGTGAATATTGCAGATGAGGTGAACATACAATTACGACATGCAGACTTGTGTGTGATAGCAAGTCTGACAAGGTACAGTGAATGCTGAAAATGCCTGCCATTGACCCCTAATACTTTGAAACAGCTATGAGCGTATGCATTACTGACTAGCCACTATTTAGGTAGTTAGATGTAATAGAGATATTAAATTTAGAGAAAATAGGTGGATTTCCAATCTAGAAAAGATATACCATGATATATACAGACATTTCAAATGCTAAGCATGTGCAATACCATTTGTGATGGTCCAGGTTCAATTTATATCAAGCACCATTCCTTTAAGAAAGGCGACCACCAAGAACAAAGCCATACCCAATAGTAAAGCCCAGGCAGACCATGTTGATCAGACTCGACACGCCATGAACACGACCAAACCTCTTGTTCAGGGTCTGCATCTCCTTGGAGTGGGGCGGGGCGTCGTAGCTCTTCTTGCCATCACGGGTTTCTATATAGCACAATAGTTAGTGAGCACCGCTCAACAATCCATTGAATACATAGATGGGGGAACCAGCTTACCCTGATGCTTCCGTTCCCGCATGATACCAATAGTCAACGGACGGAGCACGAACTGGTTCAGCAGCCCGGTCACCATAACCGTAACCATGGGAAACAAAGTGCTGTATCGGTTCTCTGGTGCAAGGAGTCCTGAGATCCCAAGGGACTGTCCATTCCGGCTAGCCGTCAAGGCAACCACGACAGGCAGAGCAGACTGGATGGTGAAGTAGATCGGGAATGTTGCAGTTTGCAGGGCCGCAAACTGGGGGCGGGGAAGAGCCCTAAAGGCAACTATGCCAGAAACAAAAGTCTAAACATACTCAGTAATTATTCATGGAAGAGGTATCCTATGTGGGAAATGAGATATGTTTGTGTACCTGGTAGAGCTGGACCCCGAGAAGGGAGCCATAGCTGTCGAGGTGTCAATACGAGAAGCCTTGTTTCTGTTGTACTCAGAGGGATACAAACCTGAGAATGTGATACGGGCGGGGATCCAGCACACTCATTTTGAATATTGTGGTAGAATATGTGAAGAGGAGGTGGGCAAACAAAGCTATAGAAAAGTAGGTGGAATGACAGATGAAGCTATCTGGATGCCCGAGGCTCGGCGGGAGATGGTGGCATAAAACTGGAGAGGGGACGGCTATCTAATCGCCACGCACCATAGCTTGATTCCTTATAGCCACTCACTGTGAGCAGCCAAACCCTTATTTCCACAAGTTCATATATAAACGTCACGCCGCTCCAGACCCATGATGTCATGTGCCTTCGCGTCCAGCCTTTTCCCAATTCGGCAATATCGCGCGTCTGCCTGACCAGCCTGTGAGACTATCAACAGCCCTTTCCCACCGCTTGGGCAACCTAGGTGGCTAGTTGTCCCTTTCTCCTTATTCCTCTTCCTACTAGACACAGTTCCTTTTTGTCAGACTCATCATGGCGGATAAAGAAGCTACCGTGTACATCGTGGACGTAGGGAGTTCCATGGGCGAGCGCCATCAGGGTCGCTCCGTCACAGATCTCGAATGGGGAATGCAATATGTATGGGATCGGATCACTGCGACGGTAGGTATTTTGAGTCATAATTGTCTGTTATCATTCTTACTGATTTGTCGTCTAGGTAGCTACTGGACGCAAGACGGCGAATCTGGGGGTTCTCGGGCTACGAACCGATGGTGAGACCCTATATGCCGATCCCTAAACAACCAACTGATAGCCAAGATAGATACTTCCAACGAGCTTTCTGATGATGTTCACTTTTCTCATATCTCAGTACTTTCAAATATCAAACAGTACGTTGACTGGGAACTTGGCGCATGACGGTTTTAACTAATATTACCAGATTTCTTATGAGCGATCTACGGAAGCTGGGCGATGACATCAAGCCCAGCACTACTGACAAAGGAGATGGTAATAGTGTCCAGTGCTCATTTCATTGATTACATCCAGCTTACTCTAGTCAATATGCAGCGATCTCCGCGATCATCTTGGCTATTCAAATGATCATCACCCATTGCAAGAAGCTGAAGTATAAGCGGAAGATCGTCTTGATCACCAATGGACGGGGCCGCATGAACAGCGAAAACCTCGAAGACATCACCAAGAAAATCAAAGAGGATAACATCGAGCTTGTGATTCTGTATGTCTTTCTAGTTCATCTTCTCCTACTTAGGACTTACGCTCCGCAGAGGAACCGATTTCGACGACTCGGAATATGGAGTCAAGGAAGAAGACAAAGACCCAAGAAAGGTATATCATTTTCTCTGTTAAATCAATTGACGTTATTAACAACTTTAGGCCGAAAACGAGAGCATGTTGCGCAGCCTTGCTGAAGATTGCGATGGTGTCTGTGGGACACTAGATCAAGCTGTGTCTGAATTGGAAATTCCCCGAGTGAAAAGCGTCAGGGTGATGGCCAACTTCAAAGGTTTTCTTCAACTTGGGGACTCGGAAGAATACGACAGCGCAGTCCGCATTCCGGTAGAGCGCTACTATAGGACATACGCGGCTAAGCCGCCGTCTGCAAGTTCCTTTGTCCTGCGTTCGGGCCTAGGTTCACAACAGGATCAGCCCGAGTCTCATACAACCGCTGCTGCCTCGTCAGACACTCTAGGGGTAGATGAGAGCTCGCTGACATCTGTGAGGCCTCTGCGGACATATCATGTTGCGGACGAAGATGCCCCGGGTAAGAAGGTGGATATTGAGCGGGAAAACCTTGCCAAGGGTTACGAATATGGACGTACTGCAGTCCATATCAGTGAGACTGATGAAAACATCACGATTCTCGAAACATTCGCCGGAATGGACCTGCTTGGATTCATCCAAAGCGATCAAGTACGTTCACTGCGCCTAAACCACCCATCCCCCCTTTGTTAATCTCTAGATAGTACGAGCGCTACATGCACATGTCGACCAGCAATATTATCATCGCGCAGCGTGCAAACGACAAAGCAGATCTTGCACTCTCATCCTTCATCCACTCCCTCTTCGAATTGGAATGCTATGCCGTTGCCCGTCTAGTATTAAAGGAGAATAAACCGCCTATTCTCGTTTTGCTAGCACCATCAATAGAGCCGGACTTTGAATGTCTGCTCGAGGTTCAGCTGCCGTTCGCCGAGGACTATCGAGCATATCGCTTCCCTCCTCTCGACAAGGTGGTCACGGTTTCCGGCAAAGTCGTGACTCAACACCGGAACCTTCCCAATGATGATCTGCTGGATGCCATGGACAAATATGTGGACAGTATGGAGCTTGTCGATGTCGATGAGGATGGGTAAGGCAAATCTCCTAACCTGGCAGAGGCCGTCTTCTAACCCCGAGCAGGGAGCCCGTGGAGACATTCCCCATCGACGACTCGTACTCCCCTGTCATTCACCGGATCGACGCCGCCATCCGCTCGCGTGCCATCAAACCGCACGAGCCCATACCAGCACCATCCAAACAACTGTTGAAGTTCTCTGAGCCACCAGAGAATCTGGTCGAGAAATCCCAGAACCATCTCAACAAGCTCGTCGAGATAGCAGACGTCAAGAAAGGTCAGACTTTCCCACAAGCATACCACCCAAACATACTGACCCCAGCACAGTCCCACCAAAGATCAAAGGCCGCAAGCGCACCCGAGAAACCGAGAAGCCACTCTCTGGGCTCGACGTCGACGCCCTACTCCACCAAGAGAAACGCACCAAGATCACCCCCAACAACGCCATCCCAGAATTCAAACAGATCCTAGCCCAAGCCGAGGATCTCGACACTATCCGCGAGGCAGCGAAACAGCTAACGACGATCATCGAGAGTCAAATCCGACATAGCCTCGGCGACGCAAACTACGACCGTGTCAACGAAGGACTAGGCATGATGCGAGACGAGCTGATTTCGTACGAGGAACCTACACTCTACAATGAGTTCATCCAGCAACTGAAAGAGAAGCTGCTGAAGGAAGAGCTCGGCGGTGACCGACGAGAGCTGTGGTGGCTTCTGCGGAAGAATAAGCTGGGTCTGATCGATCAGCGCGAGTCTGACCAGTCCAAGGTGACAAGTGCAGAGGCCAAAGATGTAAGGATTCATCCCATAACGGTTATACAATGTTGATTATATTGACTGACACTTCTGCCCAGTTTCTGTCCGCAAATTGAGTTAATCTAAGGGGGTGGGGTACAGGGTAGCAACAACAGATGAGATACCACTATGAACAATGCCAATTTTGAAGGAATGTATCGTGTGCTCGTTGATGGGTATCCTTAGTGTCCGTAGGGGATGCCGTAAAATGTCATGCCAAACAAGCTCGCTAAACAACGAAGAGAGTCTAGTAGATAAATATCGATGAAAATAACAAGAGCCAGCGCTCACGAAATGCGCCCAATTCTCTTCTTGCCTACATCAACCTTTTGGCCCAGCCTAGTCCCACTCAGTCAGCACATGAATAGGAAAAACTAACGGATCGGTAAAATAAAGGAAGGGGAAGAAAGAAGAAAGAAACATACCGTTCAGCATCCTCATCCGCCAACTTCAACAGCTCATTCTGCAGCTCGAGCTCATTATTAATAGCAATACCCAGCTCCTTCTGACGCGTCACGATCTTCATCAATTCATCCACACTCTGGTCCTGACTCTCCATCGTCTGCTTCTGCAGCTGCACCAAGCCCTGATTATCCAGCTCGCGCGTTCTCTCCGTCTCCCTACCCAGCACGCGGCCCGATCGGGCTGGTTTCCTGCCCGCTCCTCCCCCCCCTCCTCCGGCGGCCCCAACAAGGGCCTCTTTATCCTGGATGGACGCGACCGCGCTATCAACCCTGCTCTTAGCCGCCATGGCGTTCAGCAGGTCCTCGAGCCCGTCTTTCTCCTTCCGCGCGTTGATCAGCAGGTCCTTCCGCCGACGCATCTCCCCGTCGCCCAGCGAGGGTCCACTACTGCGGTTTGGACCGTCCCCGCTTCCAGACCCAATGTTCTTGAGCCCCGCTTCTAGAGACCCGATCAGCGTGCCGGCCCGCACGAGGCTGCTCTTCGCGCGAGCGGAACTCTCGTGCTGCTTCTGCGGCGTCGTCTCCTGGTCGCGGCGCGTGAGATGCAGTCTGGCGTCGTGCAGATGTGACTTCATGTCCCGGTAGCAGTCTAGCCACAGCGTTGGGTCTGAAATGGGCGCCCCTGCGGCGCCCGGGTCCGTGATGGCGGCGTGGAGGCGCGCGGAGGTGTTCGGCGCGCCGCGGCCGTTGGTGGAGGTGGTGGTGGTTGTTGTTGCTGCTGCGGCGGCGCTGGGGAGATTCAGGAAGCCGCGCCAGGCGGGCGAGTTACGCCATTTGGGGTCTTCGGTGTCGTTGATGGCGCGGAGGTAGGTCTCTAGGGCTAGGCGGCGGTCTTCGCGGAGGGAGGCGTTGGAGACGGTGCTGGAGAACCAGTTCTTGGAGGGGAGGGGGGCGGGGGGCGCGCTATTTGTTTGGGTGAGGAGGGTTTTGTGGAAGGAGACGAAGTCGGAGTAGCGCTTGGAGAGGGTGAAGGAGCGGAGGGGGAGACGGAGGGTGATGTTGTAGATTGTGTAGGCTGGGGTTGTCGGTGAGATGCTGGTTGTTGGAATGGAGATTTCGAGATTGGGTGCCATGATTGTGTGTTTCTTAATGTAATGATTCCACGGGACTACAGTGTCCCATGGGCAAAGAAGGTTGTGAGAAGGTAAAGTGAAGGGATGAGGAAGAAAGAGAGAGAAGAGAAACGATGACGAAGTGAGGCCGAAGTGGATCACTTGATAAGGTCACGGTATATTGACTATACCCGATCTGTCTTAGTTCTTGGTTCGATATCGGCGATGGCTCAACGGTCACAATTTAAGATTCAACCTTGAATATAGTTTCCTATGTATGATACATATACATGATTCTGTCTATCAGCTTCGTAATTCATCGGATCTACAAAAGTTCATGATGTCATCTTCGTTATCAGGGGTCATTCATGTTATGAGTCAAATAGCTTCAGTCGCTAGCTAATGTTGCATATTGGCAAGGTCATGGATTGGAGTTATTGGGCTCCTGGTATCATTATTGTTCATGTACATATTCAAACAGGGTAAGATGTCCATATTCAGCCCCGTTATTCTCAAATGGATGTGCTCCACATCTCTCGAGCTCCCAACAAGTCCCGCTGCCCGTAGAATTCTCCCACAACGGTGATGATCATGTCCAGCATGGCGCGCGTCTGCGTGGTAGCTTCTAGAGGATTGCTGTCATCCCTCGCCGGTGACTCGTTGCGAGAGTTGGTCGGATCGCTCGGCGAATCCTGCGCAAGTCCGTCTAGTCTCGCCTGTAGACGTGCCTTGGCAACTTCGAGACCTTCGCCCGAGGGATTCTCTTCTACATCAGGCATATCCTGATCGAGGCCGGCGACTTCCCTTTTCCCGTCTGTCTCTTCTTCCACAGGAGCGGGCCCGTCATCCGGGAGCTCCTCGTCGGATTCGTCCGCTGACACATCTCCTGCTGCTTCCACCTCCGCCTCCTCCTCCCTCATCTTGCTCAATATCTTAGTAGAGCGCTTCCCTAAATCTCGGATCTCCGCGACCTCGTCGGTTCCCAGTTGTCCTACCTCGCGGCACTTGGCCAGGAGACCCCACGCCCAGGCACCGATACGCCGTATGCGCGCCGCGTCGCCGCTCCGCACGTTCTCTGACATCAGACGTCCCATGATTCCCAACACGCCGAGTACACTATTCATGTCCATACATGCCAGCTGCGCTGTTTGCGGATCCACGGCTAGTAACAGACGGCGCCACTCGCGACAAGCATTCTTTGAGTGTCGGGGTAGGGTAATCGGATGCCAGTCGTCGAGGGTTGTGATAGCGGATGACGGTGGTGTACATTTTAAAATGGAGCGGAGGAGGAGGAATCGGTGGTGTAGGAGGTTGTAATAGCTGGCTTGCGCGTCGGATAACGTGAGTTTGTCTGGTGACGCCGCTAGGGTGGCAGATGCTGCTGTGGTGGTGACAAGGACTTCATCTTTTTGTGTTATCTCTTGGATAATCTCTACTTCTTGTTCGTCTTTGTTGGATCGTGGTAGCTCCGCGGCGGATGTGGCATCGCGCTGCGTCTCCGTTTCGTCTGGTCGGGGCGCAGTAAATGTGAACGGTAACGAGTTTGCTTCCGACCTAGAAGTATTCCATCCTTTATCAACCATCTTATCTCAAACTTCGCGGGGAATGGAATATCGCAGGCTAAAAAGAATACAAGCAACGCAGGCGTTTAGCAAGCGGGTGGCCACAGTAAAGATGAAGTGATGCGGGCTACAGAGAAAAGAGAAAATCTGCTTACCGGACCATGCGAAGATATTCCAACCCATCCTCAGCGGGGCCATAGAATAACTCATCATCTCCCCCCGTGTCGAGGCCCGGAAAGGCGCTCTTTTGGCCGTAGAAAGGATCGTTGCGTGGGCGTTCGTGCGCCGGCCTGCCGGAGTGGATTCCTTCTTCGTCATCGTCTTCGTCGGCGTAGGATGAACGGGACCGTTTACTCTGCATAGGCGGTTGTGAGAAAGAGCCGGAAGGCTTTCGTTTGTCGGGCATGCTGGCCATGGGAGTGGGGAGGAATGAGATTGTTGTCAGTCGTCGCAAGGTGGAGAAAAAGATGACTGCGATATCCAAATGGAGAAGCTTCGGGAGCTTGGGCCATCTGCATATGCACATCGTGCCTGATTATGTAATTATGTACATAACTTATTTTCTTTTCTATAGATATCAGATCTCCTACCTCTCAATGACACTACCAATTGCATTGCAGAGGTAAATTGGATACTTCACGAGCGTCTAAATTTAAAACCAGGCTACTGGGGAATACAGTAGTGTTCCGGGGAATCTGATAGCGCATATACTCGTCATCGCACGCTGCACAGCCCTGCAGAGCATATTGTATACCAGGATGTTATGTAGAAAGACTATAAGAGTAAGTTCTTTCCAGCATATAGCTTGTAGTGTGGAGAAAGCATTTCTTCGGTATCAGCATCCAGTCAGCTCCACAGGGACAACAGCCCCACAGTCTATTGGTTATCATTATGTACATACTCATGTGCGGTCATTCTCTACCTACTATGTAGGTAAATCTAAATTTCAGTGAACATCAATGCCAATATCCGTCCTTTTGAACGTATTGACGTCCGATAGATACGGCGCCGGTGAGTCTGCATCAGGCGGCGTTGATGCTCGGTGTATATGCACAAGCGAGCGCAAGAGGGCCCGACAGACACTGTACTGTCAAATATGCATGCATTCCGCAGGGACGACATCCTCACACCCTCACACTCTCAACTGACATCACAAGGGCGGATCCCATCAAGGACGATCTCGCACTCATCACACTCAGCCAAGGTAACCGAATTCGCATCGCAGTCGGTAAAAGAGAGACTCAACCAATCCGCTGCTTGCGCCGTACCCAGACCTCCTGGTCAGCACCTTCAGACTTCTCACCCGTCGAATTCTTCGCATCTCGCAGCTGAACTTCCCAAACCTTAAGCTTATAGTTCCCACGATCAGCCACCCCAGAATGGATATCAAAAGCCCACCCATGCTTAGGACACGTAATCCCCGCACTAAGCGTGATTCCGAAATCTTCAATATCAAAGAGGTTCCCCTGCGACAGCGGGAACGACGAGTGCGGGCATTGCTGTTTTCACCGTTCAGTAATTGGGATCTAGATGTGTTATCGCGGGGTGTCAACAACCCACATGGTCAATGGCGTGGAATTTCCCCTTGTATTTGAATACGAGGACTTGATCTTTTAGGTCCGCGTGGCTGTCGAGATCTGCCTCTACGGGCGCTTCGGGCCTCGAGGGGTCGTTTTTCTGAGGGATGTGGAAGGCTTTGCATCGGGGCGCTATTCGGTAGGCGTCTTTGTCTAGACTGAGGTCGGGGAACGATGAGGCTAGGCCTACTGGTCGCCAGCCTACGTCCGCTTGTCGTCTGAAGGGGTTTATGCTTATGTTCATGTTGCGGGGTGCTGTCTAAGACGGCGCTGGGAATATTCTCTATTTTAATAGGAGTAAGAGTGAGTAAAGTAGTGCTATGTTGACAGGCCCCGTTCCATGATTATTTTTCAGCGATGCCTCGGATCTTATGTAATCGGATAAGGGTCTCGGCCGTATTACTCTTTGAGATGGACTCTAGAATATTATGGTAGTAGTATGTTCAAATGTCCCGTTAATTTTCTTTTAATCCATGCAGATATCTAGTTTATTCCACATCCTATCTACGGAGATACGCTTAAGGACGCAGACGCTGGGGGTCACGCGGGAACAACGAGGCCAGGCGGATGTTAGGCAGTCCCAGGAAGAACATGACAATGCGGTTCAGACCCAGACCACCACCGGCGTGGGGCGGACAGCCCTGTCGGAAAGCATTCAGGTAGTCCTCGAAGCCCTCCTGGTGCGGGTTGAGACCCTTGGCGGTCATCGACGCCTCCAGCTCCTTGATGTCGTTGATACGCTGAGCGCCCGACATGATCTCCTCGCCGCGCATGAAGAAGTCATACGAGTTGGAGAAGCGCGCATCCTGGGGGCACGCCTTGGTGTAGAAGGGTCGCACGGCCATGGGGAACTTGTCCAGCACGTAGAAGTCGGTGTCGTACTTGTCGCGGATGATCTGGCCCAGCTGCTTCTCCATCGCCGTCGAGAAGTCGTTCTCGAAGCGCTCCTGCTCCGACACGTCGACGCCGGCCTCCTTGAGCAGTGCCACACCGTCCATGTAGTTCAGGCGCAGGGCCTTGCCGTCCTTGGGCAGCTTGAAGTCACCCGCGTTGGGGTAGGACTTCTGGATGACGGCGATCTGATCCTTGTAGCGCTCCTTGAGCTGGGTGAGGATAAAGACGAGGAGGTCCTCCGCAAATTCCAGGACCTCGTGGTAGTGGTTGCGGAAGGTCTTTTCGAAATCGAGACCGGCGAACTAGAAGGAAAACAGTCAGTACCGGGAAGGATAGAAAAGGGCGAGCGAACTCACCTCCGTCAGATGGCGGTGGGTGTTGCTGTCTTCCGCACGGAACACGGGGGCAATCTCGAAAACGTTCTCCATGTCACCGGCAATACAGATCTGCTTGTACAGCTGAGGGCTCTGCGCCAGGTATGCGTTCCGCTTGAAGTACTTGACCTCGAAGACACCGCTACCACCCTCCGTGGCGGCCCCCACCAGCTTGGGGGTGAAGATCCACCGCGATCCACTCTTGATCATGTACTCGGAGAACAGCTCCGCGACGGCGCTGGAGATCCAGGTGATAGCCTGGCTGGTCTCGGTCTGGAGGTCAAGCACCCGGTTGTCGAGACGGGTCTTGAGGGTGACGATCGGGGCGCCCGACTCATCGACCTGGAAGCCCTCCTCGGTCGTCTCCGGGGGCGGTCTCTCGGCGTCCTTGACCTGCATCGGGAGCATCTGGGCCGCCTCGGAGATCATGTAGACCTTCTGGATGTGAACCTCGTGGTTGCTCAGCGACGCCGAGGCGATCGGGACGCCGGGCTTCTTGACGATACCGGTGACCTGGACGATCGAGTTGACGTTCAACCCACCCGTGTACTTGATCATCTGGCGCGAGATGGGCTCCGCGGCCGCGATGACAGCCTGCAGCTTCAGACCCTGCTGTCGCAGCATCAGGAACGCCAGCTTCGCACTCTGGACACGGGCGTTGTCCACACGGGCCACCAGCGTGACCTCCTTCTCGTAGTATTCGTCATTGATCTCGGTGAATCGCGTCGCGGGGAGGACGTCTTCACTCTCGGGGAGAGGGCCGTACAGGTCCTTGGCGGTATCGTTGGCGTCCGCGGCAGCGGCCTGAGCCTTCTCCTGGGCAGCGCGAGCGGCGGCCTTCTCAGCCTTGGCCTTCTCCTTCGCGGCCTTCTTGGCCGCGTTCTTGCTGGCGCTCTTGGTCTGCTCCGCGCCCTCGGCGGGCTGCTCGGCGGGGGTCTCCTCCGGCTTGGGGCGAGTGGGCAATTCGGCGTCCGCCATGGTGATTATATGAGATGTGTTGGGTGTGCAGAAAATATGGGGACGGAAGACCGCAGAGGGATGGGCGAGGGCAATGGATGGGCTGTTATCCTCGAAGCTCACTTCGTTCATCCGTCCGAACAACTTCGACTCACGCCCTGTGACCCCGCCGGATGATCCACATGCCCTAAACCCTAAGAGGGGGGAGTTGAGGTCACGTGCACTATATGCCTAAGGAATACTGTTTTGGTGGATAAAACATTATGAATGTGACTAAGCACTAGAGTTGCCCGTTATACCGCTACATAAAATACACTCCAACCCTAACTTTTCCATACTCCGATAACCATCGTCTAGATACAGCCTGAAGTTTGCTCGTATTCCACTAGTGGTTATACGCTAAGCGCCGATCTTCTAAAAACAGCGGGGCTCAATGGACGCCTAGGAGGCGCCGAGGAAATTAGGGTCAGTCGTACTCCGTGTTCTGGTGAGGAGAACCGCAAAGTATTGTCCGATCAACAATCCTATTGTCTGATGGAAAGGGCTAGACTCACACCTACTACAGAGTAAACTCATACTCCTCTCTGCACCAATAATGGCTTTCGACGGCCAGACAGTCCTCATCACCGGGGGGAACAGCGGCCTTGGATATGAAACGGCGCGCCAGTGTCTGATTCTCGGCGCGAAGCGAGTGATCATCGCCGTCCGCAGCGTCGCCAAAGGTGAGGTCGCTGTAAAGGGGCTTAAAGACGACCCCAGTGTGCGGGAAGCCAACAGTGGAGCGGCGATTGAGGTATTCGAGCTGGATCTCGATGATTACCAGTCGACCATCCGATTTGCGGAGAAGGTCAAACGGGATGTGCGCGAGCTGGACGTGCTTCTCTGTAATGCGGGAGCTACGATGGGAGATTTTGAGACGAGTCTCAGTGGTCATGAGAGGGTGATGCAGGGTGAGTTTGACAGATTGATTCTTACAGTATGGTATATACTGTAGTATATACTCGGCACTCCCATTATCCCGATCCCCAAGTAACCGCTAAACCACAACAGTTAACTGCTACTCGCACTTCCTCCTCACCCTGGAGCTTCTCCCTCTGCTGCGCGCGACAGCGCAAACCCGACAGAGACCATCCCGCCTAACGATGGTCGGATCGTACTCCCAAGCCAGCCACTCGCTGACCGAGAGGCCCATCCCAGACGGCACATCAATCGTCGACCATCTGGATAACCCGGCCATCCACATCCGGTTCCGCCAGTATCAGAACAGCAAGCTGATCATGAATGCATTCGTCCAGCATCTGGCTACTTTAGTACCGGCGACCGACGTCATCGCTAATGTAGTCTGTCCCGGTGTGCTGGACACGAACTTCTTTGACGACTTCCCGCTGTGGCTGCGGGCGATCATGTTTGTCTGGCGCAAGACGCTGGCGCGGTCGGCTCAGGATGGAAGCGACTCTTTGGTTTATGCGATGAGGGGCGCTGAGAGTGACTCTCATGGGAAGTTCCTTTCCGAGGGTCAGATTACTTGGTTTGTCTACCAAGGTTCTCGGGTGGATGATCATAGGCTAATATTGCATAGTGGTGCCCCTTTGCTTGACGGCGCAGATGGGGAGGCATTCTCACGCCGCGTCTGGACGGATGTTTGTGCAGATCTCAACAAGGTCGTGCCTAATCTACAACTTCCGACTATCGACTGATCTCAATCATGATGATATTATTGGACTCTGTTCTTTCAGGGGAAACATTGGTCAATTGGTATATCTGGTTAAGAGGAACTGGTCTAATATGTATATAATGCAACATCTTTCACCCGTATCCATGCAAATGCTAGCTTATCGCTATATGGCGCTTCAAGTCTTGGAGGCGTTCCATTGGGATGACTTCAAGCCATACTCCACCGCCCGAAGTACACTGTCCTCGGTGGTCTCGGGGACCCACGTGGGCTCCCCACCGCTATAGACGCCCGTCCGCACGAGGATCGAGTGCCACTTGCTGCCATGGTGACTTCGATAGGTGTTGGCGCCGCAGATGTCCGATTCCGGGTTGTCGCCCACCATATACACATTCCGAATCGGCGGGAGCGAGTCCGACTTGAAAGTCCGGGCACGGTTGCGCAGGAGCTGATTCTCAGCAAACTCGTACGTTCCTTGGTGGGGTTTCCCGATGACGGTCTTCTTCAGCTCAACCCCCTTGCTGGGTCCACCGGTGACCCCGGCCCACACTCCGTCCAAGGCTTCGCGGAAGCCACCTTGGCCCAGGCGAGGGAGGTGGTAGGCCGCTGCCCACCACAGATCGGGGTTGGAGAAGTACAGATGCGGTTGGCCGTCCTGCAGGAAGCCGTGGTTGGGGAGATCGGTGCGGCCGTTCTTGTCAGAGACGCTTCCCATCACGCCCTGGGAGGACAGCAGGACGTCCATGATAACCTGCGTGTCCAGAGCCCAGTCGCGCGGGTCATTAAAGACAAAGATGGCGTCGATTTTCAGGCCTTTCGTGGGATCGTTGGGGTCTCGCGGGTTGGGTAGCGGCCGGGCGAAGGTCTCGTAGTAACTCTTGAAACCCTTGGAGAAGGGCCAGATGGATGGGTTCGCCATGAAAATGTCGCCGGGGGTCACGACGTTCTTGAAGCCGTATCTACGCTAGGTCAGCAATCGCTCGTGCATTGTTGCTCAAGACATACTGTTCTGCCACCTGGCGACAACGACCACCGTCGCCCCCCACGACCATCACACACTTGTTCTCCAAAGATTCTTGCTCGTTCCGCCCGCGCACCAATTCCGCAAAGGGCGAATGGCTTTGTATGATGACTGAAGGGTCCAATGACACCTGGAGCTTTTCGCTGATCTCCGCCACTCTCTCCGTTTCATGTTTTCCACCGCCATTCGTGAGGAGGATGAAGGGAATGCCTTGGTTCTTGAGGATGTTCAATGATTCCGCCGCACCGGCAATGGGCTTAGACGATCGGAGGAGGACGCCATCGATGCTGCGTTGTGTAAGCATAGGGTTTCCAGAGGAACTTAAAAATGACAGAATACTATAGTATCAAAAAACAATAATGACAAGAAGAATAACTCACTCAAAAGCAAAGGCAAAGTCGGGGACCTGAGGCGCTGAACTCAAGGCACGGCGACCGTGGCTCGCGACAAACGGACGCACGTAGGCGCGCTGCAGCAATCCAAAGGGGCGACAGAGCGATTGAGGACGCATTATATTCTATTGTATGTAGCGGGTGTTATAGATCAAAAAGAGGGAGGGGAAACCATGCAAACAACGACGATGTTGGATAGGACACGATGGAGTTGAGATCAAGGCAAGTTGGCGGGAAGAGCGGGTGATATCATCGTGTATAAATAGTCCGTTCCTTATCGATAAAGTCCGTCATTTCTTCCCCTCTTGGATCTTCTCTTCTTTTCTTTCTCCACAATCAATCAACCCATTGCGAACAACATGGATACTTCTCTAGATTCGTCCATCCACTTCTGACCTGTCCAATTCTTCATCCACCACCCCCAGTCGATCCTACAATGGCATTCCCCACCCCGATCGCCCGCCATGCCGAACTCAATCTATCTCCCCACAGAAATCGTCGTGCTCATCGTGTCCTTGGCCGCCGGATCCTCCGGTGAAACACAGCGTCAAAGCACTCTCTATGCATGCTGCTTGGTCTCCCAGCAGTGGTACTCGGCAGCGGTGTCGTTTCTCTACAGGAAGCCCCGACTGAAAACCGGCCGGTCGTTCGCGAAGTTCACCCGGACGGTCGCGCCGCCCCTCGGGGAGCGAAAGAGCAAGTTGAACCTGGGAGAATTCGTCCACCGGTTGGACCTGGGCAGCCTCGTGCACGAGAGCAGCAAGAGTCTGACAGCGCGGCTCCTGGGCCGCATCAAGACCAACCTGGAGTCCTTCGTGGCCCCCAGTCTCTCCTTCTCGTCAGTGACCTTCTGCCCAATCGACAACAATCAATCTTCATCCCACTGACGCCAATTCTGCTCTACATACAGATCCAACAGTCTCCCCGCACTATCAAAATGTACCAACCTGCACTACCTCGACCTCTCCCTCGTCGGCGACCCCATCCCCTTCACCAACCTCAAAAAAGCCCTCAACAACCTCCCCAAACTCACCACAGTCCGCCTCCCCCGCTCAACAAACCTCACCGACCTCTCCCCAACCTCCCAATCAATCCCCTGGCCCCCGCGCCTCCATCGCCTCCAGCTCAGCGGCCGTTTCTCCCCCTTCACAATCCCCACCTTCGCCTGGCCCCCTTCCCTCACCAGCCTGACCCTCAAAAACTGCCAAGACCTCTCAGTCAACCACATCGGCAGCCTAATGAGCAGTCCCCAGCTCGGCCGTACCCTCAGACGACTCACCATCTCCTGCGCAAACCGCGGCCTCCACCCAGAGTCCATCAACGCCGTCCCGGCCTTCCTCCCAGACCTCACCTACCTCTGCGTCCCCGGCGACCTCGTCGACGACATGTTCTTCGAGCTCCTGACCGACAAAACGCACCCCATTGCCCTCCAGGAACTCGTCTTCGACCACCCCTTCAGCGACCCAGAGCTAGGCTTCTCCACGCAAGCCCTGATCGCTGCCCTGCATGCTGGACTGGTGAATCTGCAGAATATAGGCTTCGCGGAGCGCTTCTGCACCGACGAGCGCATCATAGCTGACGAGGAGCTCGATACTATTCTTACTGAACGGGCTCCGTCAGGCAAAGACGACGTTGTATGCGGTGTGTATTATGTGTAATGAGGTTTGTTTGTTTTTTTTTTTTCATATATATACCTAGTTATAGACATTGCATCTACCGATAGGTCTCGAGATGAGCGACGATATATGTACATATATTGATGAATCACTACACCTGTATAAACCAGAGTACGATTCTCTAATGTCGATTAAGGCTCTCCCGTGCTGTCAGCAAGACAGTCAACCATGACCTAGTCAAGAGGATAAGAGGATGGTTCACTATATGACACTGGGAACCAATCCCCTACCTCTATCTCATCATAGGACACTCACTCCTCATCAACAGGAGAACAGGATATCAGACAAAATGAATAAGTCAAATAAAGAATAAAGATAAATAAAGTCTGACATCAATATAGTTATAGAAAATAATATTGAAATTGGAAATCTTTATAGCTGAAAAAGTAAAACAACAATGCGAAGACAAAGGCAAACCACTCAAACTTCAAAGTCCAATCGCCTAGATATAACCAGGACTCATCTCGACAAAAAGGAACACAATAAAATAAATAGATAAAAAAAGATAAAAAGGGGGGGATAAAGTAAAGAAAAAGAAAAAATAGTTATGCGCCTCCTAACAAGACAAGACAGACATGTTCTCCATTAACATCAATTTACAGTTTGACTCGCGCGCAACCCCCATGCCACACACCAATCCATCGTTTTCTTCTTTTTTTTTTCGTCTTTAATGGAAATTCTAAGTAAGAGATGCGATGACAGCCGCGGCGACACCTTCTTCCTCGGCCCGGACGGTGATCTTCGTTGTGACGCCCGTCTTGCTGGAGAAGGCCATCTTGATGAGAGCGGTCACGCGGCCGCCTGTTACTGTCTTGCCGAAGAGTTTGAGCGCGTGCGTGCTGTTGCTGAGGGGGACGTCGGTGCCTTCGAGTGGTTGCAGGGAGAGCGTGGAGATGAGTTGTTCGGTGGCGTCTGTTGTATATCATTAGCTCGGGACGGTAAAAGAAAGAGAGCGAGGGGGTAATGTCCATACCTGAAATGCCCTTCATGTTGCTCAGCTGGAGGGTCTCGCTGATTTCCTCGCCGTTCGCACCGGTCTGCTCCCAGACGTGGTCGAAGCTGCCGGCGAACGCGGGAATCACGTAGTCACTTCCGGTCAGCTCCAGATCTTCCACCTGGTACTCGTCCTCGTAGCCCTCATCCTCGGCCTCCCCGGTGGTGGGGTCGATCTCCTTGCTGGTGAACTTGAGGTGATTCGTGATCGAGGTGACGGGAACGCTGTGCTCGCCATCGACCTTCTTGAACGTCACGTATACGATGCCCGGCTCGTTGGTGGCCAGCTTGGGGGCGGGGACGATGAACTCCTCCTCCAGGACCTCTTCCTCGGCGGGCGACGCGACGACGGTCACGTCTTCTAAGACGGTGTCGGGGAGAGTGTTCTTGATATCGTACTGCACCACGATGTGCTCCTTGAAGATGTGCTTGACGGCCGTGACGACGTATTCGGTCTCGCTCTCGGTGAGCTCCACAGGGACCGAAGACTTGAGCAGGGTGCCGTACTCCTTGAGCTCGGGGATCTGCATGAGCTGCTCGGCGTACTTCTGGGTGGCCGCCGCGGTGGCGGCCTCGGCCACGCCGTTGGCCTTGCTCTTGGGAGGCCCAGTGGACGGGGCCTTGAGCGTGGGCGTGGCGGTCGTGAGCTTCTTGGTGCGCTCTTCGGCCAGAGCCTGCTCCTGGGTGACGACGGGGATCGTTGCCATATCGAATGCGGTGGCAAAGTTCTCCTTCTCGCCCGAGGTCACGTACATCACCAGCTGATGCTCGAACGTCGACAGGGAGAACATCGAATCTGCGGCGGTCAGCTTACATGGGTGTCTCTTTGGGGGCGTATTCAGACTCACCATTCTTGATGAAGCGGTTCGCCATCTCGTCCTCTTCGGCCATCAGGCGGAGGTTGAGCGCAGCACGGTCGCGGACCTCATCATCCGTATCATCCAGGCACCGGCTGAGCAGGACGTGGACACTCGACTTCACTTCGGGGTCTTCCTGGCCGACGCCAAACTTGGCCAGGGCGGTCACGGCAGCGGCACGGACGATGGCATTCTCCAACACCACCCGGTTGTAGATATAGCGGATATACTTGGTCGGGTGGGAGGTCTTCGGGCCTTCCACACCCAGGAGATGGAGAACCCGGACGGACAATTTGGTGAACTCGCAGTCCTCGATGAACTCGCAGAGATGGGCGAGAGCTGGATATTAGATTAGTACTGCTAGATTCAATTTCAACCAAGAAAAACAACGTACCGTCCTCCTTGCTGTCAGGAACAAACTTGATCAGATCAAACATGCTCTCCACAACGCTCCGCTTGAATTCGTAGCCGCCCTCGTCGCGCAGGATGCCACTCAGGAACGAGAGCATGCCGGCCTGCTTGCTGGGGAACTTCAAGCACAGAGTGCGGATGGCCTCGACGATGGTGATCTTGAACTCATCGGTGATGTCGGCCATGAAGCCCGAGATCTGCTTCATCAGGCGGTCGACGCTGGCCTCGTTGCCCGTCTTGAGCAGGGTGGTGATGGCGAAGGTGGCGATCGACCGGTTCGAGTTGGAGATCAGGGACTCAATGTCGGGGTTGCACACGTTGACGACATGCGGCTTGAAAGAGGCGAAGTTGTGGAGGATGCGAATGGCGGCAAACTTGGTGATGGCCCGCGGGGAGGACAGGAACAGCTGCAGGACGTGGACGGCCTGCGAGGCCTCGGCGTCGGAGACGTCCCGCATGTCGCAAATCGCCTTGGCGGCCTCGAAGTTGACCATCTCATGCTTGTGTCGGAGCCAGCCATCAAGCATCTGCATCATCGGTTTCCTCAGACCCTGGTCTTCCTCGGCCAGCTTGGCCGCTAACCGCACCAGGAGCACCAGCGCCGCGGGACTCTTGACGACGCCGGCGGCGCCGTACTGCTGCACCATCTTCACCAAGGCCATGCGATCGTGGGCGCGCATCTGGTACAGGAGACCGATCGCGTGGTACTGGGTCATGAAATTCGACTGGGAGATGGCATGGGGCTGGGCGCTGCCACCGAAGCCCAGGAAGCCGGTCGACTGCTTCGAGGACGAGGCGGCCTCCTGGGTCTCGCTCTGCCACCGACGGACCACATCGCGCGCAACGGGGAGGAGATGGTAGGAGGAGACCAGGGCGGCGGAAGAAACCGAGGGGGTCTTGTCCACGATGGCGGTTTTGATCAGTCGTTCGATCGCTTGCACCGTCGTTCCCTATCACGTCATGCCTCCGCGTCAGCTCTTCTACTCAATTGACTGGGACAAGGAATCTCAGCGCAAAACCATACATCGATAATACGGCACAGGGCACGGATGGCGTTGGCTCGGTAGAGGACGTCACTCCCGACAGCGGTATCCTTCATGATGATACTGGTCGACATGATCACATCCTCGGCGGTCCCGGCGAGGTCCTTCAGGATCAGGTAGACCATCTGTCTCAGCGAGGGATCCTTGTTCTGGAACAGCTTGGAGATGCCGAAGAAGAGCGTCGTGGCCTCATTTGTGGGGAACCGCTCGCCGGTGAAAAGGAGGACCGCGATCTTGGTCAACAGGGTACGGCATTGTCGGGGGGAAATCGGCGAGGTATTGAACAATCGAGCTGTAGTACACAAAGATCGGGATCTGTTAGCTATGATCTGAAGAGGGAGCTGCGCGGGGGGGAATTGGCCGGGGAGAGGGGGGAGCAAGACGACTCACCATCTTGAAATACGGAGGTCCGATCCAGCTTGATCATAGTCTGGTCGGCATCCTCATCCTTCTTCATGTAACTCATGATGACCGGCTGCAAGAATTGCCGCAGCAGAGGCACACGCAATCAACAGCAATCCGACGGGAGTAGAAAGGAGGGAGCCCTGGTCGAAGGAGGTAGGAGGGTAGTATGGGGGGGAGTCGAGAATAAGGGCGGGCGGGCCAGACTGGAGCAGGTGTGTATAATAAAAGGGTTAGGATTGGGAGTAGTTTCGCAGGCGGTGTAAACGACTACCGCGGCCTCATTATCCTTCCAGAAGGAGAAATGAAGCAGGTCGAGTAAGGGAAAGGAGAATCAAAGAAGATATCAAGTCTGAAGCCAATGCAAGAAGAGCGAATGAACAGGGGAGAAGGTCGAACGAAGGGAAACAACAACAATAATCTGAGTCCAGGTGGCCTCAGCCTGCAATCTGCCCGTGTTTTCCGCTTCGGGAAGGTGTGCTCCAGCCACGACGCCACAGCTCACCGCCTGTGGCTGAAACAGACGGACAAACAGGGCAAACATGCGGCATGCATCATCATCATTATATCAACAGCTTGACAAAGAACATTCCCCCTCTGAAGTCAACTATACAACTTTATAGTTGGATACTTTTACTCTCCATTGAACCCCTAATACAGCAACATGCAAGTCGAAGTCGACCCCACCGAAGACACAGAGTGGTCCGTATCCCCCCTCCACCCCTCCACCCCTCCATTATCCCCCCTAATGAAATCGTATACTCACTATTAATAGGAATGACATTCTTCGCTCAAAGGGCATCATCCCCGAAAAGCCCCAGGACCCGGAACCCCTTATCCAGGAAGCTCTCGTCGAAGCCGAGCGCAAGGCCTACGAAAACCGTCTCGAAGACAAAGACCTCGACGAGTTGGACGAGCTCGAAGACGAGGAGGACGAAGCTTTCTTAGAGCAATATCGGTATCCTTGCCTCTTACTTTCCTATATCATATCTAGTACATGACATATACCAAATACGGACGACAACACTAACAATACCGAAAATCCAAGGCAAAAACGCTTCGCCGAACTCTCCACCCTCCAAAAAACCTCCGTCCACAACCAAGTCTACCCGCTCCAAAAAGTCGACTATGGCCGCGAAGTGACCGAGTCGTCCCAAAAGACCTTCGTGCTCGTCAACCTGACCTCCTCCGCCAGCCAGAACGTCGAGTCCCGCCTGCTGACCGAGCTGTGGCGCCAGCTGGCGCAGAAGTACGGCGACCTCAAGTTCTGCCAGATCCGCGGGGACATGTGCATTGAGGGGTATCCGGACCGCAATACGCCGACGATTTTGGTGTACAAGGATGGGGAGATTCGGAAGCAGATGGTTACGCTTAAGGAGTTGGGGGGGGTGAGGACTCGGTTGGAGGGTATGTTCTTTTTTTCCTTTTCTTCAAACTTTCTTCGTCCTATATTCAGGGTGGAAAGAAAGAAAAAGGGCAAATAACTGACGAATAATACAGACCTCGAAAGAATGCTCCTCGACCTAGGCGCCATCAAAGAAAGCGACATGCGTCTGAAAAAAGACGCCGACAGCGACGACGAAGACAACCACCCCAACCGCCTCCGTGCTAGCAAAAACCCCAAGCCTGAGGTCGAAGATTACGACGACGATTGGGATTAGACAAGATACGACATACACACACACACAGAGAGAGAGAGAGAGAGAGGATGAAGTGTTGTACACCATGAATACATACATACCTACCTACATACTACTACCTACCCCCTATGACGACCTCATACAGAATCAGCCGGATTTGATATCCCTTTTGGTTGTTTCCATCTTCTTCATTCTGTATTTTTGCTCCTTTTTGTTTTGTTCTTTGGACGCTATCTACTGTTGTTACGGAAAGCTTAGTCCGGCTTGGAAAGTTGTCATCAGGCGGGTTGAGGTCATTCCACAGGCATTTACATATTTGAACATTTGAACAATGAAATAAGATAACTCTATTTGTAAATTGCAAGGACATGAAACAATCACCTAGACTGCTCACTACTCCATACGAACTACGTACTAGTCCTACATCTACATGTTAAATTCAATTGGGAAAAATGATGCAGATGTATTGTACGGGTCAATATTCAAGGGACCAGCTCGCAGGCTCAACCACCGGGTCGTCCGACGGTCTCACCAGCGTGCAGTCACCAAGATACCACCCCCATGCACATTCAGAGAAAGACGTAGCGATTGAAATCACGCGAGAACACAAAACATTGGACGCATTACTACCACCCCGGAAGCGACCCTAGCCAATTTCCGTCGCCAAGCTACCCTACCCACACGTCGAGGACCCCCTGCACCCCTCAGATCACCGCTGATTGCCTATGGCCCGCGTAACGGTCGACCATCCGTGCCCCCTTGGTGGGAGACAACAGCAATTCTCACGCGAGACCTCCGAGAATGAAAGTAAAAATCAAGGATCGTCCTTCGACATGCCCACACCGTCGTACTCTCGTACTCATCTCCCCCTTGAATGCATCACAAGCCAGAAAACAAATTGGGAAAAAACAAACAAAAACAAAGCAAACAGGAACGTAAAGAAGGGAGAGGAAGATCGGCGAACGAGACGGTCCGAACTAACTGGGCGGTGGAAAAATCCAAGGCCAAACGGACAGCCGCGAACATCTCGTTCGCCAACAGACTGTTTCAATTTTGCATCTCCTTCCATCTGGCTCTCCCGGCTGCTGGGCAATAAAATAAGCATCGGAACTAGCGTCGAGTCCGAGTGCGTCACCAGCATCCGGAAAAGTCCAGACGTAACATAGCCATCATTAAAAGCGTTGTGAAACTGCCATCAAAGCTCCTTCTGTGCGATTGACGTACCCAAAGATCTGGATCGTACGAATCTCTCCCAACGCAGATCAACCGAACCAAGTCCAGTCAATCAAACGAGAAGGATCTTTCAAAAATCGACGGAGGAGCGAGGCGAGTCAGGACCAATAACGCGGCGGATCGAAACGGCGAAAAACCGGGAGACGATCGAAAACGGGGCTAATGGGCTAACAGAGAATGCAGGGGAAAAGGAAACAAGGAAAGTGAAAAGAACATCAAAAGGAAAAGGGAAGGGAAAGACCCAAGGCAAGGATAAATGTCCGAAAAGGTTTGCTGCAGGCGGCGAAATAAAAGGTGGGCCAGTCGAATGAGGAATGAGGCTTTCCTAGGCTCCGAATCAAAGGACGGTGTTGAATAGGCAACGGAAAGCCCAACCAAAGATCGAGGAATGGTTCCCCCTATCGCAGCCGAACAGAACACGTTCAGTACCATTGAGCACCGTACCCGTCATCCCGCTTCGCACGGCTACCGGTAGGCGGATAAGCACCTGAAGCAACCTTGGAAGCAGAACGCAACCTAACGCCGAAGACTATGAGATTAGTCAGATTCTAGGACTCACGTCGACCTCTTACGACGGTCTTTTAAGCACCACACGCAGAGGAAAGGGGTTCCCTACAACGGAACCTAGGTTTCAAGATACTCACATCCGGTCACTCCCTCCCACAGCACGGTTGGTGTCGGGGGTGTTATCGAGGGCGCCACGGTCGACGACCTTGCGGCGCTGGCTGGACATGGCGCCGGGCTTGACGGCGGCCCCGGGGACGCCCATGGCGTTGGGGGCGACGCCCTGGCGACGCTGCTGCTCTTCGACCTCCTTGTCCTTCTTGTTGGCATCGACGATCATGGCCGCGTTCTTCTGGTACTTGTAGACGGTCCAGTCGAAGACGTAGTCGTACTGGAAGGACTCGCGGACGAAGAGATCGCGGAAGATCTTGCGGAGGTAGGAGTAGTCGGGCTTGTCGTCGAAGCGCAGGGAGCGGGTGTAGTTGAGGTAGATGGAGAACTCGTTGGGGAAACCGCGGCAGAGGACCTCGGTGGGGGTGGTCATCTTCTTCTCCATGATACGGTCGTACTTCTGCTTCTTGGTGGCAGCCTTGAGACCCTGCCAGGGGAGGGTACCGCGGCAGAAGTAGAGCATCACGTAGCCCAGGGACTCCATGTCATCACGGCGAGACTGCTCGACGCCCAAGTGGGTGTTGATACTGGCGTAACGGGCGGTACCGGTGAGGTTCTTGTTCTCGCGGTAGGGGATGTGGAAGTGCGTCTTGGGGTCGCGGTACTTCTTGGCCAGGCCGAAATCGATGACGTTGACCTGGTTGCCACGCTTGCCGATGCCCATGAGGAAGTTGTCGGGCTTGATATCACGGTGGATGAAGGACTTGGCGTGGATGTACTCGATACGGGAGATGAGCTGGTCGGCCAGGAGCAGGACGGTCTTGAGGGAGAATTTGCGGTTGCAGAAGTTGAAGAGATCCTCCAGCGAGGGACCGAGGAGATCGATGACCATGGCGTTGTAGTCGCACTCGGTGCCGAACCAGCGGACAAAGGGGATACCCACGCCACCGGCGAGGGACTTGTAGACACGGGCCTCATACTCGAGCTGGGGGTGCTTGGCCTTGACGCTCTCGAGCTTGATGGCGATTTCCTCACCGGAGATGATGTTGGTGCCTAGAGAGTCAGCCTGGGATTATACGGGGTATATCTCAGAAGGACAGCTTACCCAGGTAGATATCACCAAAGCTACCACTGCCAATCTTACGGCCGATACGGTACTTGTTACCGACACGCAAATCCTTCATCGGGTCAGCAAGTCGTCCTGGCGTCCGGGATCCGAAGGGCGAAGGGCTCACCATGGTGGTCATGTTGATCGAATGGACGCACAGCGAACAGCTGTGACTGTATGATGATCAAGAAACTGTTCAGCCAAGCCAGTCAGCACTGAATCACGATTTCAAATCCCGAGGTCAACCGATCCAGACTGGATGAGGGAAACAGAGAGGAAGGGAGGATGAAGAGCCCTCCAGAAAAACGATAATAAATAAAGGAAAAGAAAGACAGAAAAGAAATGAAGAGAGCAAGGTATCAACGGTCAAACACCGGCGCGTAAGTCGATTTAGGCGAGGTGGAAGAAGCGAGCGAGGCTGGCAACACCGCAACAAAGCTGAGGGGGGCAAGAAAGGCTGCCGATCCCAGGCGCCAGGGAAACGAATGGCAGAACGGGGAGGAAAGCAGGGGGGTGGAAGATGCGGGTGTAAGGAAGACGACCAGAAGGAACTACCGACCTAATCGACGGGGGGGGGTTGGGGGGTTGGAAATGCAGAAAAGGAAAGAAAAGAAAGGAACAGGGAGAGATACCTAGTGGATGAAGTCGATTGACTGTTTCTTTGAGAGGGGGGATGAGGCGGCAAGAAAGAGGAGCAGTCAGAAGAGTAAGAGAGAGAGAGAGAGAGAGAGAGAGAGAGTAAGAGGGGAAGAAACGACGGTCAGAGTCCGACCGGGAAGGCGAAAGGCGAAAAGGCGGAGAGGGTGAAAAATGGAGGGAAAAAGATAGGGGATGATGGGAGGATGGATTTAACGGGTTGATTGAATCGACTGAATCAACTAGAAAGGAACTGAAGAAAAGAACAAGAACAAAACAGCAAGACAAGCAGAAGAAGACCCAAATCAAGCGAGACTCAAGGACAGGGGAAAGCCTTGATAATGGAGGCGGTGGATGGAAGGAAGAAAGAAATGAAGATGAAGTTGGTGAGGATGGAGAGGAGAGTAGTAGATTACAGTATTATATACCTGATCATGCAGATTCACGGGTATTCTGCAAGATGACAGTATATCTTACGTGACTAGAAGTCTCAGCTATATTCAACTACTCTTCACTTTGAGAGTAGTATGATCGATCTTTGATAACATATACCGTTTTACTGTCATGATCATTAGTTGAATTATGATATCATTAATGAGTTTATTAGTGAAGAAATATCCAGATATCACTGTAGGTAGACATAATACAAACAGTAAAATACATCATATCAACCAGTAATACAACTGGTAACATTGGGCGGCAAATACCTTCATCATGAGACTTCATCTAACCAATATATACTCATTCTGTCCATAACACATCACATATTAATTAATATCAATTATCATCCTAGTATATAGATAATATACACTTCCTCCATTCCCCCAGCAAGTTAAATGCTAATATCAAGAGTAAATATCATCAAAATACAAGGTAGAATATAGAATACATTGGGCACAAACCACTCATCAGATGATGGGCTGGCTGATTACCCGTATTACAGTATGATATGACACCTCTCTCATAACTTCATTTCATGAACAGTTGACTCTATACCTATCTCAAGGTGTATATATAGACAGGTCTTCATTAGTGAATACACTGTGTATCAATCTACAGTCACATCCTTTTGAATACCCATACAGTTAATATCTCTACTCATGAAATCCACCGTACAAGGTATAACAATCAACAATCAAACAACATGGACATACCCAACCAGTTATATATAGTAACTTCACCGCCAGGATGATCCCAATTCCACCTCCCTCCATATAATATAAATCCAACCTCGGGAATAAATAAATCAATCATTGCCCGATCTACCTACTCCATCTATTGGGTACATACATCCCTAAATACTGAACATACCTCCTTTCCCAACTATCCATCCATCCATCTCGTGACTGATATATCCAGACATAGGTATAATACCCAACCCAACAGTAACCCACTAAACATCACAAATGACAGCAGACTAAAAAATCTCCACTTCCGATTCTGTCATCCCTGTCAGATGTCCGGTGGGTGCTTTCCCACGGGCTTGGATCCACTCGTCTTTTTGCATGTACATCTTTCTCTTTCTTTCTCGGTTATCCTCAGTAACGAATAACACTGTCTTTTTCTCTTTCTATGGCGTGGTTTCTCTACCCGGTTATATCATCTACTGTCTTATCTTATTACCTACTCCAATATAAATACTCAATCCGTGCTGACTGCTTACACTACTTCTTGAGAATGATTAGAAGGATAAATATTGCAGTGACTTCGTAAGAAATATAATGGTACAGTGCAGGTTAGGACACAGACAAAGATGGAAGAAGGGGTATAAAAGAAAAAGTGAAATCAAAAAGTGGCCAGATAAGGTGTGGAAAATGTATAGAAGAGAATGGATCCGATCAATAGGCAGAGAACGGACCGCATGGCCAGGGAATGGAATCAAATCTGGCAATCAATCAACTGCAACAGGCCGTGATAAAAGAGAGCAATGGGGCAAACGGAATTATAATCACAACAATGAAACAGAAACACGACAAGCAATGTAGAAAAAAAAAAATTAGAAAAAAAAAGGGGGGGGAAGAAGGATAAAAAGTGAAAAAGGAAGAAAAGAATAAGACAAGAGGTCTCACTCATCCGGGATGTCAATCATCTCTCTCCCAATAAAACAAAGACAAGTCAGCCGAATGGCTTATATCATGTTCGTCGCCGTTTGGCCCTCCGCGTTCCGTGGCTGGCTCTTCCCCGGCGAGCTCGCCCGCGTTTCACCCTCGTCCAATCGTCGGCGCCATTCCGCCAGGCTGTCGCTCATCCCGGTCTCCTTGGTCGGCGTGCGGTCGAAATCCGACTGCGTGCTCAGTCGGTAGTTGTGATTGGTGCTCTCCCAGTGGGTGCGCAGCGTCTCCAGCTCGTTGGCCAGCGAGTCCAACGCCATCGACCCCCGGTTGTCGAGGAAGGTCGGATCATGCGACGTGGCGCTGTCCGCGCGGGATCGGCCGCCATTGCCGCTGATCGTGTTGCTCGAGGCGTTGCTGTGACTGCGAGAGATCCCATTGGTGCCCGGTCCGGGGTGCGACTGGCGGCGGTAGTGCCCGACCGAGGCCTCTACCTGGTCCAGCAGCATCGTGACCTTGTGTTCGGCGTCGGACGCGCGCGTCTCGAGCAGCGAGTTCTCCTGCTGCAGCTGCTCCAGCTCCCCGCGCGCTTTCTCGGCCGCGGCGACGAGCTCCTGACGCGCGCTCTCGTATTGCTGCTTGTTGGTGTCGGCCGCCGACAGGTCCTTCTTGAGGTCGGCCACCTGTTGCTCGAGACCGTCGATGGTGGAGGCCGTCCGCTGTTGCAGCTCGGCCATGGACTCCTGGAGCCTGGTGCGCTCGGCCTCCCATTCAGAAGACTCGTCGGACGACGCGCCAGCTGGGGCCTGCCGGGCCGCCTCCAGCTCGGACTGGATCTTGGCATTCTGGGACTTGTAGCGCGAGAGCTCGTCCTTCATGCGCTTCAGCATCTTCTCGGTCCCCTTGACGTAGTGGACGGCGGATTGGTAGTCGTTCTCCAGCTGCTCGAGCTTCTCGCGGTAGGCCCGCTCGGCCTCCTGCTCGCGGGTCTCAACGGACGATTTCAGGTCGTCGTGCGCCTTCAGGCTCGACGACAGCTGCTGCTCCAGCTCGCGCAGGCGACCTTGCTCGGGGGTGCCGAACCGAGAACCAGGCGACTCCAGCCGGGGCGAGCGCCGGCTGTCCGAGTAGTTGACGCCACGCTCCCCCAGGAGGTCCTTGAGGACGGTGTGCTGGATGGCCAACGCACCGGCCTCGCGTTGGTGGTTCTCCAGCTGGGATTTGATCTCCCGGTTTTCCGCGGCGTGCGCCTGGCTGTCCTTCATGGCCGCCTGCAGCTGCCGGCGAAGTTGCAGCCCTTCGCGGCTGGCCTGCTCCTGGTACGCCTCCAGCCCGGCGATACGCTCTTCCGCACGTCGTAGTTTCTCCGCGGCGTCGTCGGCCGCAGCCTGGCCACTCTTCGCCAACTGGTTCGCGCGCTCCACCTGCGCCTCCAGGACGGCGACCCGCTGATCGGCGAAGGATCGGGCCGAGGATTCGGAGTCGAACGAGGACGCACGATCCAGGCCGGAGAGGAAGGCATTCTTGTGGGTTTCGGCCTCTCTCGCGTTGGTCTCGGCGAGTTCTTCCGCATCGCGCAACCGACGGCTGGCATTTTCCAGCTCGGAGGTTCGTTCCTCGTGCTCGGATCGCAGCTGCAGGAGCTTCCGCTCCAGCCCTTCCCGCCGCTCGCGCTCTTCGTCCAGCTGTCGTTCAAGGAGGGTCGACTTCTCGGACGAGGCGGTGACGGCCTCCCGGAGGCTGGTGAGGCTGAGCCCCAGGTCCTTCAGGCGGGACGACGCGTCCTCGGCTTTCTTCTCAAATTCCTCCTTATCCAGCGAGAGCTGTTTCAGGGCAGACTCGGCCTCGGACCGGAGCATGGACTCCTCCCGCAAGGACGCCTCCACCTGGTGAAGCTCGGCGCGGAGGCTCTCGGCTTCCAGGCTGTTATTGTTCATCTCCAGTTCGGCCAGCCGCTTCCGTGTGGCCTCGCACGTCTCTTCGGCCAATTCCCGGCCACGCTTCTCCTGATCGAGTTCGGTCGTGACCACCTCCATCCGGGCCTTGGCCTCATTCTGGGCCGCGAGCGCGAGCGCAAGCCGCCGGCTGACGTCGGTCGCCCGCTCCGTGACGGATTCGTCGCCGTCGTGAAGGTTCCGATCGGGTTGGGGGGTGCCGCGCTGGCTGCCGCCGTGGGCGGCGAGTTTCGCGCGTGAGTAAGCCGCTTCATTGACGGCCACATCCCGCTGATGCTCCACCTCGGCGACCCGCTTCGATGCGATCGCGGCCTGACGATCGACCGTGGCCTGCATCTTGGCCAGTTCCGCCCTCATGGCCAGGAAAGCCTCGATCAGCGGGCGGTCGTCATCCGCAAAGATCTCGGCGGAGCGCTCATCCAACGCCGGACTGCTGGACGGATTCGGGGAGTAACCGGCTTTCTTCGCCAACGCGAGTTCCGATGCGTACCAAGCGTTGCGGCCCTTGAGGGCCTCGAGCTCCTTGATCAGCGCTTCCTGGTGCGCGGTCAGCCGGGGTGATCGGGGTTCCTCTCCCAGCGTTTTCGAATTCCGGTAGTTGCGGGAGTCGACGGAACCGTCGATGCTCGCATGTCGCCCCAGGATGGACTCGTCGGCGCTGTCCATGGAGCTGCGCTGTCGCTGTCGCAGCGAGCGCTGTCGGGCGGGCTGGCTGATGAGCGGAGCGGCCTCGCCGGTCTCCATGGCCTTGGCAGACATCCGGGATTGTTGCTGAGTCGGTGTGCGGTTCCCGCCGGGCGCAGAGCCGGTTTCGGACATGGCCCGCGCGTCTCTGGGCGAGTCCCTGGCTCCCGGGGACTCGTGACCTCTGTCGGCCGCCACGGCTCGGACGGTGTCAACCGGGGGGCCACCATATCCCCGATCCAGCTTGGGGGGCGTCTTGCTCCGTGGGTTCATGGCGTGCGGAGAGGTGGCGGCGCGCGGGCCAGGGGTGGGAGCCTGACCGGGGGGCGGGGCCCTTGCGGGGCCTGGGCGATGGACGCTCTCGGAAGACGCGACCCGGGGCCCGCGCCGGGGCCGTACTCGGCTGGCCTGTTGGTCGGGCTCATCATGCTCTCCCGTGGCGCTCCCGGTCCGCGACGGTAGGCATCTGCGTGTTGCGCTTCGCGGGATGTCCGACCGGTCTGCGGACCAGGCCGGTCACTGCTGGCCTTCCGGGGACCCACGGCCGCTCCCCGCTCGCCCGCTGGGGCCTCTGCCGGGTAGCGGATCTTGGACGTATCGAGGATGTACGCCATGCTGAGTTCGACGGGATCCCTCGGGGCCGAGCTCGGTTCACCCGCGACCACGATGATGTGCTTCCCAAAAGCGGTCATGCTGTGTCCGGACCTCGGTGACGGGGCGGGGCCCATGTTCTGGAACGAGTACCACCGTCGCGTGGAAATGCGAAACGCGGCCAGATCCCCCAAATCCAGGCCCTCATCGGTCCGACCGCCGAATATATACATCACGTCGTTCACGAGGGCCGCCGCATGGCCCTCCCGGGGGGTCGGGATGAAACCAACGCAATCTAATTGGGTCCATTGATTCGCACGGGGGTCGTAGCACCAGACGTCGTTGAACCACTGGACGCCATTCGTTCCTCCGAAGCTAGACGAGGTGAGACATGAGCGGGGATGGCTTTGGAGGGGGGGGGGGGGGGGGTGCACACGGTCCTATTGCCGCGTCGAAACTTACAGGTATAATTTATCGTTGAAACCGACAATCGTATGGTTCGTCCGGGCGGGCGGGATCTGGCCAGGCGGGGGTCCGCCCTCGTGGCTGTTCCGGATCAGGAACTCCCATGTATTTGTCGGATTCTGTAGTTGGTTGAGGTCAAAGGCGACCAAGTCGTTGAAGAAGAAGCCCTCCACTTGTCCACCAAAGACGTAGATTTTGGAACCTAGGATGTTCAACGTGTGGCCATAGCGGCCTGAGGGGCGGGGACTGGGAGGGATGGAACGGGACCATTGCCGGGAGGCTAAGATGTACGGTCAGTGACTGCCTCCAGGTCGAGGACCCAACAAGAGAGTGAGAGACGTACAAGTATTAAGGAGGTAGAGGGTGTCATCCAGCGCATCGTTCTCATCCACCTTGGTATCACCGCCAAATACAATAAAGGCATTTCCGACCAGCAGACTCGCATGGCCCACGCGCGGACCGGGACCATCCGCGACCGTGGCGATTGGGAAACACGACAGATTCCCGCCGCTACTCTCCATCATCCAGAGGTCACCCTTGACGGTCGAGCCATCGATCAAGCCACCCATCATATAGATATCCCCTTCTTTCGACGAGACGGCATTGATGGCGGCGCCATAGCGAGGGAAGGGGTTGGCCTGGGGGGAGGAGAAGTTCAAACGGCGCTGCGACCATGGATAGAGCGAGGTTCCGGGACTGGTGTTGGGCGAGTTACTGGCGCTTCCCGTTTGAGGCTGTCGTTGGGACTGCTCACCATGCGTCAGGGACGGTGTCGAGGGCGAATCCAGGGGTCTACCTACCTGCGACTCCGATTCCGCCCGTTGCCGCGACCGCTGATACTCGGGACTGCCTGCGCTATTGATCGAGTTCAGGGAATTATTGTAGCTGCTGCTGGGGGTGGGTGTCTGGGTGGCTCCGGCCTCCCGTTCCTTGGGCGCATTGGGGACGGCGGCGGGGGGATTCGCCGCGGGAGCATCGGAAGCGTTGATGTTTCTCGCCCCGGGGGGTACACCAGCACCTTGCTGGTTTTTCTTCGATTTAAACAAGAAGGCCATTGTGAAAAAGGGAGGTCGTAAACAGTCGTTTCAAAGAGAGCGCACGGTCGGAAATGGACCACGATCAAAAAACCAACCGACCGGCGAGGCCGACGAAGGATACCCAGGTGGTTGGGACAAGTGACGGATCTTGATCTTCCGGGGGGGGGAGGGCGTTGTCAATTCGATGATCGGAGGAAAGAAACCCTGATCCCTGATCAAGCCAGCCGACAGTCACCGGGGGGGTGGATAGGGAAAGCGAAAGGAATGTCCCCTCCGGCGGTAATTCAGAACTGATCACGGTAAGGTCGGGTTTGGATAGCGACTTCCCCGAAGAAGCATAGGCGATTTCAGCACGGGAATACACACAACCCCACAACACCCGCAACAAAAGGGGTTGGAGGAGAGAAAACCGAAAGGATGGGACGAAGACCGGGGGAGGAAGAATTGGAAGGGGAGGAGGGAGGATTATTGAAAGAGAATAAAAAGACCCAAAAAGGAAGAGAGAAAGAAAAACAAAGACAAGAAAGGGAAAAGAGAATAAGAGAGAGAGAGAGGAGGATTATGGATGGAGAAGGGGAGAAGAAGAGGAGAACATTTGGAGAAGTAAGAGTAAGAGAGAGAGAAAAGAAGGAGAAAGAGAGAGAGAATCGGTGTTTCAAGTCCGTCAAGTGTTCAGTCTGGCAGTTTAAGGTTAGAAGGGAGAATCAATCATTAGATAATTCTGTTGATTACGATCGTTCATCAACGTGTGGTTTGGGTTAGTTTTCTTTGCTCCTACGATTCCTCTTTTATTACTCCTCCTTCTCTACTTCGATTCTTGACTTCTACTTTCTTCCCCTGTCGACTGTTAGAGGAAGAGGCAAGGTTATGTGGAATGACCTCAAGGTAGGTCGTATACTGTCAACGAACGCCTTAATTTATATCAAAACGTACATCCACGAAAAGAACAGTCAAAGGTCCACCCGGATCTCCTGAATTCCATAGGTTCATCTTCCTCTTTCTGCTTCTCGTGCATCCCCAGCGACGCAGGTATCAATCTCGATCTACCCTCACCAATCAGTCCGTCTCATTCCATGCAGCAAAAGCCATCAAAACCACATCAACGTGCATGAAGCATGGTTCTCCCTTCCTCTCGCAATTGACCTTTCTCTCTCTTGCCCTCCCTCTCTCTCGCTCTCTCTCTCTCTGTTTGTCCTCGGTTCATGTTTTGCTGACATTCCAATCAACCCGACGTTGGCCTGGTTATGCCGTGTTATGTCAACACTCAAACCACTCGTGTCCTCTGGATCAGAGCAAATCATCTCGTTTGTCCTTTGTCTTGAACCCTTTCGGGGTATCTATCCCTTGCAGTCCACACTCCTCCTCCGTACTTGGGGCCATGCAGGAACCAAGCACTTTTACCCACTCTGCAAGCATGCAGTTTCAGGAACGGAGCGACAGACTAGTCACGACCCGCTTCGTGCTTTCAAAAAAGAGAAAGAAAAAAAAAAAAAAAAAAAAAAATCAAAAACTTAATCAAAGAAAAGAAAAAAGTAGGTTAATGTAGATTCAAATAAGAAGGAACAAGTAAAATCTTCCAGGTACCATCACTCCATAGGGGATACGATCAACCAGACAACCAGAAAAATCCAGGGTTGGGTCTCCATGAATAGTAAGTACAAGTAAGTAGATGATTCCGGTTAGACGCGTCGGAGGCTGGTTTAGTTCAGGACGGACCAGGGGACCACCAGTCCACAACAGGGCGGATCCAGGGGTAATGAGGGTCAAATCGCCCACCGGAGCCTTGAGCCTTGGTCCCATCTGACTGGCCACTGATCCCCGAAGAGGGGACGGTCATTCATACCGGGTCGTGGGTTAAAAGAGTCTGGTCTTTTTATAGGCTCTTCATGCAGACCTATCAGAGTCTGAAGACTGGAGACTGGAGATGGAGACTGGAGACTGAGGGGCTGGAGCATTTGGGGGGGGAGATTCCAAACTGGGTATGGGGGCATGGGGCAGTTAGACTGACTGACTGCCAGTGACTGGCCAGTGCGGTTTAGAACTTGGACCTAATATCACTTCAGCCACTCCTGAGATGGACCAAGTGGAAAGTGAGTCTATCAGGCATTCAGGCAGCATCCACATACTGTATCAGCCCGAGGTCTCTCGAAGATATCCCTATAGAAGACCAAGTCGGGACTCCACCAGACTCGTGATAGTGAGACTGTCGGTACATGTGGGAGAGAAGCCAAGAAGATAGCTGAAAACAACCAATTAAACTGTTTATTCAAGAAGCCCCTGACAGATCCCCAGAATATCAAATTATTCGATAGCCTTCACTCGATGTACTAATAGTAGTTCTTGAGGTGGACAATTTCATCCATTCATGGAGAAGATAGAAGTAAATGACTGTGGTGTACTCCGTACACACTACACTGTAGACTCTGTTCTGTGTATTTTGTGTATTATGTACATATGAAAGTGTGTATAATGGTCCTGACGTAATCAGCCGGATATCCCCGGGATTATAATGATCCGCCGTCCATGCCAAGACATCGTCGACATTGAAGCTCCAGATGAACCTCACCGTTCGAAGATATCCCGACGTCGACTGATTCGGATTCTGCTGGCTGAGGGGACCATTACAAGAGACCCTTTTACCCTATATTGAACGGGGAAATCTGTTCTTCCCCCGTCACATCTCCCCCCTCCCATCTCTTTCCACACAGGCCTTGCATTCCTACCGCCAAAGGAGCTTCTGCCGTTGCCGACTGTTGAGCTGACAGATTGGGTATGTCAAATCAATCGACCGATCGTGATAAGAGGACAACCGATATCCCTGCACTGTGAACCCCACATCTTTCCCCCCCCCCACCACCACCATCATCATCGCCATCACCACGAGATAAACCCACGGAAAGGAAATTCCCGGTGCAAAACTAGGGTCCCACATTGTGACGACCGATCGGCTTGCTGACCCGCTGGCCGTACAGATTCCGAGTCGCCGGGTCGTACTCCCTTGGACGAACACCATGATCATCTCCGGATAACGAAGGATCCCAACAGCAACATGGAACAACAATACACGGCGATGAAACAGCAAGCCTCCAGCGTCCAGGGTGAACCCCGCAAGACCAACGGAAAGTCGGTGCGCGTAGCCTTTGGCCCGGATTTGGAGACGCATATCCCCCCGCGCGAGCGCTCCCCTGCACCGCTCTCAGCACACCACCGGTCTTTCACCTCCATCGACCACAAACCGCCACCACCGCAGAATCCGGCCCGACCGACGACGTCCGCGGCAGGGGACGACTCCGCGCTGATCGACGGCAGCTCCCGGTTGGCCCCGGACCGCGCGTCCGAGTCGGTCGCGCGGCCGGCGACGCTGAAACGCGCAAAGAGCGACTATGGGCCCCGCATCGAGTTTGACCGATCGAACGTCGGAGACGAGGATGAGGACTTTGCGATGAGACATGGGTGGCAGGAGGAGTATACGTCGAGCGAGTATCTGAAGATCTTGCATTCGGTAAGCCCAAGCATTTCGCGCCGCTGATACCTCATAACCTTGGTATCATCGTGGACTCTGGATTCTACAGGACCTAACGGGACAGAACTTTTACATGTACTTCACCGAGAAGCGCCACGAGACGAATGGCATCCCGAGGGACCCCGTCGGGAGTTGGCCCAGCCAAGACTGGCGCATGAAGGACCGCTTGAAAACGGTGTCGGCGGCGTTGGCCATCTGTTTAAACATCGGTGTCGATCCGCCGGATGTGGTCAAGACCAACCCGGCGGCGAAGCTAGAGTGTTGGGTCGATCCGACGTCCACCACCGGCGGCGGGCAGAACAAGATCATGGAACAGATCGGGAAGAAGCTACAGGAACAATACGAGACTCTCAGCTTGAGGACGAGATACAAGCAGTACCTCGATCCATCCGTGGACGAAACGAAGAAGTTTTGCATATCCCTGCGTCGCAACGCCAAAGACGAGCGGGTGCTCTTCCACTACAACGGCCACGGCGTGCCCCTACCCACCCAGTCGGGCGAAATCTGGGTGTTCAACAAGAACTACACCCAGTATATTCCCGTGTCCCTGTATGACCTCCAGTCGTGGCTCGCGGGGCCCAGTCTTTTCGTCTTCGACGTTTCCCACGCGGGCAACATCGTGCAAAACTTCCATACCTTTGTGGAGAAGCACCAAAAGGAAAACGGCGAGGCGAAGAAGCGGGACCCGAATGCCCTGGTCCAAAGCTACGGCGACTGCATCATCCTCGCCGCCTGCCAGAAGGGCGAATCGCTGCCCACCAACCCGGATCTGCCTGCGGATCTCTTCACGTGTTGTTTGACCACCCCGATCGAAATCGCGTTACGCTTCTTTATCCTCCAGAATCCCCTCCAATCGCACCTCTCAATCGACGACTTCCGCGTCCCCGGTCGCCTGCAAGACCGCCGCAGTCCGCTTGGGGAGCTCAACTGGATCTTCACGGCCATCACGGACACCATCGCGTGGAATACGCTGCCCCGCGCTCTGTTCAAGAAGCTGTTCCGCCAGGACTTGATGGTCGCGGCGCTATTTCGGAACTTCCTGCTCGCTGAGCGGATCATGCGCGCATATAAGTGCCACCCCATCTCATCCCCCGACCTTCCGGAAACCCACCATCACCCGTTGTGGAAGAGCTGGGATCTGGCCGTGGAGATGGTCCTGTCTCAGCTCCCGGCCCTGATCGACCACGAAGAAGGCCGCAGGCAGTACGAGTATCAGCATTCGACCTTCTTCGCCGAGCAGCTGACGGCCTTCGAGGTCTACCTGTCGTCTGGCCCGACGGAGAAGAACCCGCCAGACCAACTCCCGATTGTCCTGCAGGTGCTTTTGAGTCAGGCGCACCGATTGAGGGCGCTGATCCTGCTGAGTAAATTCCTCGACCTGGGTCCGTGGGCCGTTCACCTAGCTCTCAGCATCGGCATCTTCCCTTATGTGGTCAAACTCCTCCAGTCCGCAGCCCAGGAGCTAAAGCCGGTCATGGTTTTCATCTGGGCTCGAATCATGGCCGTCGACCATACGGTTCAAAATGATCTGCTGAAGGACAACGGGATCCATTATTTCATCTCCATCCTCAACCCCTCCTCGCCGATCCCCGTGGGCAATGCCAGTGAGCACCGGGCCATGTGCGCCTTCATCGTGTCGATCTTCTGCAAGAACTACCCCCAGGGCCAGAACGTGTGTCTGTCGGCGGAGCTCTTCAACTCTTGCTTAAGACACTTGATGGATATGGAGAACCCACTGTTGAGGCAGTGGTCTTGTCTCTGCATTAGCATGCTTTGGTCGGATTTCCCCGAGGCGAAATGGATGGGAATCCGGTGTGCGGCCCCCGCAAGGCTGTGCGAACTCAACTCCGACCCGGTTCCGGAGGTCCGTGCCGCCATGTTGCATGCCGTGACGTCGTTCCTGGGCATCCCCGACTTGACGGACCAAGTGGCCCAGATTGAAGAAACGCTGGCCTTGGCGGTGCTGCCGATGGCCGCGGATGGCAACGTCCTGGTCAGAAGGGAGCTGCTCGTCTTCCTGTCGACCTTTGTGCGACGGTACCAGAATAAGTTCCTGGTCACTGCCTACGAAGAGTTCCAGGATGAGAAGCAGATCCTTCTCCTGAAACTGAACAATCTCAACTCCAAGGGGGTGTACCTGGAGGACGTGCCGGCTGCCTCTATAGAGGGATACAAGGCGCAGACCCTGTCTCGCAATACCACATTCGGCACCATCTGGAAACAGCTTCTCATCCTTTCTGTTGACCCTCATCCGGACATCGCACAGGATGCTTCGTTGGTTGTTGATTACACCCACTTGACTTTGCTGCAGTCTTCCATGGCATCTTTGACCGACGCGATCCGGATTGAGATAATGGAACTTACGAACCGACTAGCCCAACAAACGCTGGCTCGAGAGAGACCCGAGTCGAGAAGAACGACTGCTCCCCCTCCAACGCCCCCATCTCTCCCAAAGCAGGAAGGATACCTCTCCCTGAGTCTGAAACGGACGGCCAGTGTCGCTGCATCCATCAAGAACCTCGCCTTCGGCAGTTCTTCCACTCAGGGTGATCCGCAATCATTACAGCCCCCATCATCTCCAAAGAGCCGGATGCCCATGACCCCCAGAGGGCGAGCCCCCCGGAATGGACCCGACCCCCGGAAGTGAACGATCACGTTGCTCCTACGTCGGCGTACCACCAGGCACCGGCCCCTACATCCCGAGGATTCGAGCCCAGAGAGATGGCTCCCCCGACCGTCCCCCTGGTCAGCAGGTTCTTGGACTGGTCCGCAGAGGTAATTCCAGACTTGTTCAATTTGGTTTCTCAGCAACACCGTGTATTCTATGCGCAGTTTCTCACCCATGTCCAGTACTTCCGGGAGCCCCAGATGAAGCCCAACGAACCCGACGAGCCCGGTAGCGCCGACTACAACGAACGCCTCTGGAGACGGAGCCGCAACGAGAAGATCATCACGGATACCCAGCCCCTTAAGAGTAAAGCGGGCACCAGTAGATGGGACAACTCGATGGCTTTGCTTTCGAATAGTACCCAGCCTTTGAAGATGTGTTTCCATCAATTTGAAGACCACATCGCCGTTGCAGATGATCGGGATACAATTGCGTAAGTTACCCAAAGCTTTCCCAGAAACCAAGACAGAAAAGAAAAGAAAGAAGCCTAACAGTTAGGGTAGTATCTGGGACTTCCAGAGCCACAAACGGCTCAACCGTTTCTCCAACGGGAACCCACCCGGCTCAAAGATCAACGAAATCCGCTATATCAACGAGGACGATCAGGCATTGCTAATGACAGGCTCTTCGGACGGCGTTCTCAAGGTTTTTCGAAACTACGAGTCAACCAAGGACGTTGAGATCGTGACGGCATTCAGAGCTCTCCCCGAACTCATCCCGAGCAACCGCAATGCGGGTCTTGTGTTCGACTGGCAACAAGGCCAGGGTCAAGCGCTCGTCGCCGGAGACGTCAAGGTAATCCGGGTGTGGAACGCGGCCAAGGAAGTCTGCACCAATGTAAGTGCCCTCTGCAGCCAGAACCGTCTTCCAAAAGTCTAACCCAACCCTCACAGGACATTCCCGCCCGGTCAGGCTCCTGCATCACCTCCCTGACCTCCGACCAAGTCGCGGGGAATATCTTCGTCGCTGGATTCGGCGACGGGGCAGTGCGCGTCTTCGACCAACGTCTCAAGCCCACGACCTCCATGGTCAAAGTATGGCGAGACCACAAGCAATGGGTCACTAACGTGCACATGCAACGAGGCGGCCTGCGCGAGCTAGTATCAGGTAGTCGAAACGGCGAGATCAGACTCTGGGATCTCCGAATGCACGATCCGATCTCCACCATCCACGCTACCAGAGATACTCTGCGCACGTTGAGCGTCCACGAACACGCCCCTGTCTTCATGGTGTATGTCTTATGTTCCCCTGTCTCCCTCTTTTCGACCCTTGGCCCGTTGTTCCCCCCACTAACATGATATGATATGAAACAGCGGCACAAACAGACACGAAGTCAAGACCTTCAACGTCGGAGGCAACCACCTCTCGACTTTCGAACCCTACTCCAGCTTCCTCCACCATAACCGCTCCTCCCCGATAGCCAGTACCGCGTTCCACCCGCACCGCACTATCTTTGCCTGCGCAGCCTTGAATGATAACCATATCAATTTGGTGACCTGCTAGATAGATAGACCTCGGAGCGATACAAGATATCTCGAACAGATGTCTAAGTGGCGTCTATCCCTAACCTACCTCTACCTACCCCAACCCCAACTTCTCCCACGCAATTCCTTATAGATTCCACGCCTTCGATTTCGATTCCTGTCTCTAGTATATGCCCCCCTCTTATGCTTCTTTTCTTCTTGGCTTCCTTCATTCATTCTCTTTTTTTTTTCTTCCCCCACCTCCGATCCATCATCATGATCCATCCCTCTTCTTTTCCTTTGTCTGACACGAATAACTATTCCAAGACCACGACGGACTGTTCTACTTACCCTATCCTACTACCAATCCTCCTTCCTCTTTTTTCCCTTCCTTTCCTTCCTTTCATCTATTTCCTTTATTTCCTTCTTTCTTTCTGTCTTGCCCATTGTCCATTTCCTTATCTCCCCGACACGCTTAATCCTTATCATCACGCATGGGTCTCCGGCGTAGGGTGGTCAATTCATTTCATTTCCTTTCTCTTGTTCCTTTCCTTTTCCTTTTCCGTTTCATTTCTCTATTCTATATTATCTTTTTTGCCAGCAATTCGAGCAATCGGGCGCCTTGTTCTGCCTGTTTTATTCTGTTCTTTCCTTTTTTCTTTACGTGTTTTGTCTCGTCTCGTCTCGTCTTTGTTATCATTCTTGTCTTGTTTCCCGTTTAATCTCGCTTACCTTGTTGCCTAGGTTCTTCTTCTTGTTGTTGTTGTTACTTACTTCCTAGATTATCTAGTTTATGGGCATGTCTATTATGTCTTCATAGGGATGCAATATGAGCAATTCTATACTGTTATTCAGTTACTTTTGCTACGCACTCATGGAATCCCTCGTGCAGTTGAGTACTACCGTCGAGGAAGAGGAGAAGTGGGATAAGAGCAAGTGCATTAATTCATCATCACATGTAATCCCCCTAAAGACTACCGCGTAAACCCGAGAGCCATACCCCAACGCATGATCAACTCATTATCTTCATCCCCTATCTCCCACCAAGCACTGCCCCTAAAACATCAAAGCCAAGGGATCATCCATCCTTACCAGGTTACGGTTGTTCCACCATCTGTGTCGCTCTCTTTTTCACTCTTGCCTTCCCTCGACTGTCCTTTTTCATTTTCTTCTTCCTGTTTGTCTGTTTCTTTGCAATGATCAGCGCAAGCCCCGCGAGTCCTGTAGACCATGTCCGAAAAAGTTCGAGTGTCAGTTCCTGTGGTATCCGGTCCTATGGTGACTCCACCTCCAGGGGCTCCCCAAAGGTCCGTGGATGACGGGCCACGCTCGAAATAGCTCCGGCGCCCCCCAAGGCTGGGCTCGCAATAGCAGTCGCGTACGTTTCCAAAGTCGGCAAAATTGGCGGCTTGCTCCCTGCGATCCCCGGCAACGTAAGAATAGAGGTTGGTGATGGCGTTCCCCAGTAGACTAGTCATTTGCCCTGCATGAGTCGGATCCGAACCATCTAGGTTCTGTTTGACTTGGGCGTATCTGTCGGAGATGTTTTCGATCTGCTGCCGGAGGCCTTCTTCTCCCCGTCCATCAATATGGAACCACGTGTCGGCATTGCCACGTTTTGATTCAACCATCGTCGTGTATTTCGTGAGATGCCAAGTACCGATTCCCAGGTCCACAGGACCAGGCCGTGAGGCGCCAGGGGTCGGTTGGCATCTGGAACCCGGCAAAACACCATTTTCGAATGTTTCTTCCTCCCCAGGGCCATCAGCCTTCTCGATAGCACTACTTCCTTCACGCAGTTCTTTCAACATGACACGCTCATATGAGTTCTTTAGAACTGTATTTCCCCTATTTGTTTGGTGGGCGGGAGTCGGTCTTGCTTTGAGCTCGGTGAAACCACAAACCAAGGCTGCCAATTCCATACTTTCGTCATTCCCTTCCCGATATGATGCGCGATTTGCATCACCGTATGTAATGAATGGATCGGGAATGTATGTTTGTTGGTTCCCGGAACTTGGTCCCTGAACCATACGGAGGAGGGCAGCGGGGGTTAGTTCCGAGCCACAGCGTTCTTGATCTTTCAATGGGTTGGGGGTGGTGGGGTTGGTGGACTGCTCGAACAATGTTTCCTCCCGATTAGGCTGTTCGATATACGGAAGGCTCGGGTAGGGCAACGAGAGCTTGATTGAGGCCGGCTTTGCCTCAACTTTGACCATGTCCTCCTCGGTCGGGTTTTGGCTGGCAGCGGCTTCCTGTACGGATGTCTGCTTCACGTGGCGGTAATCAACGTATTGGTTTTCAGGAACGGTCTGCTGCAAAGTTGACGAGACACTTCTCAAGTAAGCTTGGACACGCTGTATTCGCAAGGATTCATAGGGAGATCGATCACTAGGATGGTCGAAGCTGGCACGATAAAGGTTGAGGGGAGAGTCCTGCGGGTATTTCTTTTCAGAGAGCATGTTATGGTGGCGGGAATCCACTTGGGCAGAACCGAAGGAGGCGCTTTCATTAGTGGTTCGAGGTGTATCTGCTGGCTGGTCCATTTGTGAGGTACGATAGTGTTTATTTGTCACAAGGGTGCTCGTAGACATGGAATCATAGCGGTGTCTCAGGGTGTATGAGTGAGTACCATCATAGATGTTGGAGTAGCTCAGTGGGTTTCTCTGATAGCAAGTGCTCACACTTTCGTGGGATTCCTGCTCACCAATCTCGTCCTTTCGAGCCTCCTGGACAGCAAACCCGTGATACACCAGTGGAGCAGTAGCCCGTTGCTCGTGTTGATTTCCGCTCAAATTGCAGACGCCATTTTTCAGCTGATGCAAGGCAGAGAGGCGCGAGCGAGGTTTCGATAGGCTATCTGTAAAAGAACCCACGGCACTATTATTTTCATCTAAAGTGCCCTCGTGCTCATGTAAGGGAGGTTTGCGGTTTCTGTTCCCTTTGTAACGCGGACGAGCTCTGATACATAAGTCGCTCAGGGCGACCGGCTGAGACGAGGCAAGTTCATCGAAGCCTGCCAGCTCATAGTAGCCCCGACTCATGTCAAAAGAAACGGCGCTCGGTGGAGCATTTGGGTCTGCATCGCTTGACGAAGTTCCGCGAATAGCCATGTCTGGTTCAGTCCAACGCACGATAGATTAGTAGGTTGGAAACGGCCTGGGTAAGGACATCTGGTTTCTACCTTTAGCTCGATAGTCAACCCACTTCCCTTCTCCAAAAATCTCGCCAAGGGAGTTGATGGATAAGAATGGTTTGTTTCTGTTGTATTCTGCTTGCTGTGTTGATTCCGAGAGAAGAGAGTCCGAACAGTGTAGGTACACCGGATTAGATGACTAGAAGGTATAGGAGAAGATGTCAAAATGATAGGCAAGTGTTTTGGAAGAAGCACTGACCTGTTCTAGGGTGCTGCTGCTCTCGGATGTCTTGGAGAACCATTCACTTGAAGTGGCTCTGTCTCTGCTGAGTGTGGGAGGCGAAATCGACCTAGACGGACGACAAACACCCAGAGGAGCCCGACCAGGATGGATACTTTCAATGGTCACTGCAGACTTCTTTCTGCGAGATCTTTGGCCTGACAAGAACAGCAGGATCGTCAGTCTTTATCCCAACCAGTGCATCAAGCAGATAGTCACGTACGGCGCCGATTGTAGCCTTGGGGTCTGACTTCATTCAGCATGTCTGGGTTCATGATCATGGGGGGGAACAAAAAGACAAGAATCCAAACCTGACTGAGAAGAGAGTTCGGGGGAAAAGCTGGAAACAGTTGCTGGAAGACAGCAGGTGAATTGATTGTTGTGGGAGGACAGTTGTGGTCTGGCTGGACTTGCTGTTTCCTAATCGGGCATGAAGTAGCCCCGGGCCATCTTTGTGGTATACAGTTCAGACAGTGACTATGATATTGGAAGTAGTATGGTAATATGTCATATTAAGTGATTCAACATAGATTAAATAAAATACATTCATGAAGACAAGGGACTCGGGTAAATCATTAAAAACATTCCACCTCTGCACCCTGTTTGATGAGTATCCACAACATTTTATACATTCAAGGATTCAAATCAATACAAGCTTGGCATCGTCGGTTTTCCACAGAAACGGGGGTGATGGTTTGAAACCAATATGAACCCATCCCAGTGATTTACCACTGACTCCGTTGAGTATTTCCCATCTTGTTCGCGGAGGAACCATATTGGTTGGATGTCCCGCCGGTTACGCCGCTGCTGCCGCCGCCGCCGCCCAGACTCTGGGTGTTGAACGACGTGGCGTTGCGGGAATCGTAGCTCTCCTCCATGCCAGAGCCGTAGGTGTTCGATCCGGATCCAGTCTTGTTGTAGCTCCCCGTGTTGCCAGAGCCGTAGCCGCCTCCGCCTCCGCCTCCGCCTCCGTACTCACCGGTGCTGGATCCATAATTTCCGCTAGGCTTGGATCCATAGTCACTGCCTTTCGCCCCATAGCCGGTGCCAGAGGTATCCTTGCTCGAGGTTTTCGACCCATACTCATTAGATCCGGCTCCATAGCCGCCTGAAGTTTGAGATCCATAGTCACCGGAGCCAGTCTGGGAGCCGTATTTATTGCCCGAGGAGTAGTCCTGAGTGCCAGAGCCGTAGTTCCCACCGCCACTAGATTTGGGGCTATAGTCATCGCTCTTCCGACCGTACTGGCCGGTGCTGGACTGGCCATAGTCGCCAGTGCCGGAGCCATATTGGCCAGAGCTGGACTTGCCGTAGTCGCCAGTGCCGGAGCCATATTGGCCAGAGCTGGACGTGCCGTAGTCACCCGAGCCATATTGGCCAGAGCTAGTCTTGGAGCCGTAGTCGCCGGTACTTGAGCCGTACTGGCCGGTGCTGGACTTGTTGTAGTCGCCGGTGCTTGAGCCATACTGGCCGCTGCTAGACTTGTTGTAGTCGCCGGTACCCGAGCCGTACTGGCCAGTACTGGACTTGCCGTAGTCGCCAGTGCCGGCGCCAGTGCCGGAGCCATACTGTCCAGTATTGGAGCCATACTGCCCGGTGTTGGAGCCATATTGTCCAGTGTCCGATCCATATTGGCCAGTGCCGGAGCCATGCTGTCCAGTACCGGAGCCATACTGCCCGGTGTTGGACTTTCCGTAGTCGCCGGTGTTCGAGCCGTACTGATTAGAGCCGGACTTGCCATAGTCACCAGTATTGGATCCCTGCTGGGCGGTTTTACTGTAGTCGGAGCTACCACCAGCCTGACGGCCTCCCGAGCCTGTACCCAGTCAGTCCCTGCACTGATTGTGCGCAGTTACATTTCAGAAACATACCGGAATGTTCCTTATGGCCCGTCACCGCATCTTTGACCTTGTGCAATAAATGAGACATTTTGTAGTATGTCTGATCTGAAACAATCCTTTGAATGAATTCAATTGATGTTTCCACCGACAATGAACGGTGGGGTATGGGACATCTATGTATGGGGAGCACGTCCCTTGACGCCACAGTTACCCGGGGGAGGGGGCAACGTTGGGTCGAATGAGATATCCATGACGCTCCATAAAGTCACCACATGGGTAATATCCAAAGACGAGGCAGATAAAAGAGGAGATCGGGAGCAAGACTGGATAGGGTCACGTCACCAGTCCGGATCGATCAGCTCACTCAATCCATCAGCTAACTCAACCATTCGGTGTGCATCAATGGGACCGGTTATTCCTTCCGAGCCCTCGGGTCATTCTTGATCCTAGATATTTATTTTGCACAATGGGGTCTTTTGACCGAATAGACTGATGCCGTTCTGACGACCGGTACACACGATCACTCATCATCTGCTTCGGGTTTGATTATGGGAAGTCCTGAGGATTGACAATATTCATCCTCTCTATAGACTTATATGTGTTTGTCGTACTCGAAGTATCAGGAAATCAGGAAACCTCTGGCTAGAACTGATCAATCCAGTCCCGAACCACCCGCATCAGATCGATCTAGGTCGACAGATCGAAATTGGGCAGCCCGTTTGGGCGGTGGACATTGAGGTAGTCGTTTGACGGTTGAAGTGGGGAAGATGACAACATCGGTGAGGTCAGTGGAGAGAAAATGGCCCGGTTGGGTAAAGTGCCAGACTCTGGGGTGGTTAGTTAAGGGATCTGTTAGGTAGCTCTATACTTCTTTTTTCTGAACAGGAAAGGAGAGATAATGGAATAGCTGAGGAATATTTCCTTCTTTTTCAGTATAGCCGAATACGAGTATAAAATAAATATATATAAATACATATAAGTATGAATATAAATATATATAAATATAGATATAAATATAGATATAGACCAGTCTGAATCGTCAACTCATGACTCTGTACGGTTATGTAAGAGACTCCCCGTGACTCTCCTCTTCCTACTCCAGTAAGAGTAACTATCATCTCTCTCTCTCTCTTCTTTCTCTCATATCATCCCTCTCTCCCTCTCTCTTACTGCCTCCATGATTCTCCCTGTTCCCTTTTTCCCCTGGGTGACGGACTGACGGACTTACGGTCATACTCATTCCATCCCTTTCGTCTCCTTTGATTTGGTACTTCCTGCCGTACCTCCTCCATGCGGCTGCCGTTCATCATCCAGTTCTTCTTACAATCTGGGATCAGGCCCCCTCCAAAAAGCTCCACCTGATCACAAATCCCCCGTATTAATTCATTAGTTATCGTCTGGTCTCGTCCCTCCTCTTCTGCAGCCAGGGTAGTACGACCTCCCATACTTTGGTTACTTTCAAAAAAATTAGAGGGTGAGGGAGAAAAAGAAAAATAATAATAATAATCCAGTACGAAGGGAACCGGCCGGAACAGAAGCCATCGTTCTCGATAATAATGCGACCCCCACGCCTACTGTTACTGGTCTTCTGCTTGATCTTCTTTCCCATCTTCTTGAGCATCTACTCCGTTCTCACTTCGTCTCCTCGCGTCGCTACTCCGTCGTCGTTCGCCGGTCGAGCGACCGGGCTGCACGCCCTCTTGTCGTTCAACATCCCCGCCTCCCTGTTTCCTCCCTCCGCCATCATCAGCCTCACCGATGATAACTCCACCTTCTTCTTGGCCAGACCTGCCGCGTTTGGCCCCCTTCTCTCCGGCAGCGGCCTCAGCGGACAATTGTGGGTCGGTAGCGGGTTTGGGGACAAGACGGCGCTGGGGGCGGAAGGCGAACTAGGCTGCTCCGATATTCCAGGATGGGAGGAAGGAGGTGATTCTGCGCAACGGCGGGTCACGCCACAGGTACCTCCGGACAGCGCCTTTGCCCACGCCATCTCGGGTGTGGGTAAGGACTCGGCCGTCTCGTCGATCCACCGCCGCTCCGATTCGCCGCAGGATACCGACCCGCAACAGCACGCCGAGGACAGCTTGACGCCGTCGTCGAAGGATGGGACCGATGATTACCTTCACCATCCACTCGCAGACTCTACCGCGATGGGCCCCGGTGCCTCGGGAAAATACGCCAAATACACGAACCGGCAAACCACGCATGCGGATATCCAGTCGCTACAGGAGAGTGCCGAGATCGATGGCAAAGTCGTTCTCTTGAGCAGGGGTGGCTGCGGATTCTTGGAGAAGGTGAAGTGGGCGCAACGGCGTGGTGGAGTGGCGTTGATCGTCGGGGACGATACGCGGGGAGGGAGCCTGGTCACCATGTATGCCCGGGGCGATACGTCCAACGTCACGATTCCCTCGCTGTTTACATCACATACTACCGCCCACCTATTGTCGTCTCTTGCGCAGGCTGAAGAGTCAAGCACCAGCGACCGTTCTCGGGTGCCTCTCTCGAAGAACCCGAGTCAAAACGGGGGCTCGGGGAGGCAACCCACAACCACCACGACTTCGACCGTTGCCTCACCCACGGCGACGCAGAACGCCCTAGAAGACGAGGCGCCAACCTCCGCGGAGCGGAATGAGGGGCTTCTCCACGCCCTCCTGTCGACCTTGGGTTTCGGAAACGACGCGGGGCGCCCTTGGCTTGCGGCGAAGGACAGCCGACGCCCACCGACCAGCGGTAACATCAACTGGATCCCACGGGATGTCCTGGAGGACCAGGATTCGTCGCGGACTGGTGCGGCTAAGGCCGCTGGCCAAACCAAAGGCAGTCGTGCCAGTAAGGATCACAGTAAGAGATATGAGACGGAGTCAGCCAGTAGTGATGGAGATGGTTTCATCATTGGCGTGCAGGATTGGCGAGACCCGGATCTTGTAGCTCCGAAGTCGAATTCTCCCGCCAATGGGGCCGCAGAGCCCGGGAACAAATTACAGAAGGGCGAGCAAGACTCGCATCCGACATCCGCCTCGTTGAAAGGAGGCAGTATCACCCCGGGGAGTGGCGAATATCGCATCATGGATAAGTCCAAGCTCGACAAAGCTGCGGACACCGAACGATCAAGCAGTCGTAACCTTCTTCTAGAAGACTCGAGCCCGGGCTGGTTCTCCCGGCACTTTCGCTGGTCGAAAGGCAATGCGTTCGAAGTGGCTCGATCTCCTCAGTCGCATTCCAGTCGCGCGGGCAGCACTGGGGGCGACCCCTCGGAACACGAAGGATTGTGGGTGACATTGATGCCGGCGAACATGTCGGCCAGCCCATTCTTCGATACGCTCCTCGTGTTGGTCGTCAGTCCTTTGCTCACCCTAACGGTGGTCTATGCGCTTCTTTTGCTCCGATCGCGGATCCGCCGGAGACGGTGGCGGGCACCCAAATCCCTTGTGGAGCGTCTCCCCGTCCGGACGTACCACACCATCAGCACTTCGTCCTCCTCGGCAACGAGCACGCCGCGAGCGACCAGCCCTGGGCCCCTCACCTCCACTTCGCCGCTTTTGGGCCACCGGAACACATCGGGAAGCATGCGGTCCCGCGCTCGATCGCCTCCACCCGGCGCTGTGTCGAGCTCGCAGGGCGCGATGCAAGGATCGACGCGGAGGGAGAAGGCCGACTCGTCAAGCTTATGGCGACGGAAATACACGGGACGCCAGGTTGAGTGTGTCGTCTGTCTGGAGGAGTACGTCGACGGACAGAGCCGCGTGATGAGTTTGCCCTGTGGACATGAATTCCATGCCGAGTGCATGTATGTATCAATGAGACTCTTGGATTCGATCTATTTGCTAACTGATATTTTTTTAGTACTCCGTGGCTTACTACGCGCCGACGAACATGCCCCATCTGCAAGGGCGACGTTGTTCGATCCATGTCGCAAAACCAACCCTCACATCCCCGCGACACCACCGAGCCAGTGACGGACGAAGAAATTCTACACAGTTCGTCATCAGCCCCCATGCCCATCATCACAGCCGCCAGCGAAGAAGGATACTCCGACCCCGAAGCACCCCACGTCTCCGACGCAGGGCGTCTCGAGGAGCAAGCTTCCTCTGCACCACAACCGGGGTGGCGTAATCTGGCCGCATTGAGCTTCTCGGCTCTCAGCGGCGACACTATCTGGCATCAGTCTCGATATGATAGCAGCCGGTAGTTACTTTCTTTTGCGTCTCTTTTCTTTTCCATCCTTTCCTTGCCTTTCCATCGATCTCTCGTCTTTCCCGTGCGGATATTGTCTTCAGCGTGGTTATCGATCCCCCAGGATACTCTATGTTTGTTTTTGTATTGCATTAGCGAAAGTTGTACCCGTGGGTATTGAACATACTGGCGTATGAATATTAACTTTCTTTGGGCGTACCGGACTGAAAAGAACAGTAAAAGAACAGTAAAAGAAAAGAAACAAAGAGGCAGATTTAGTCAACACTACCTACCCAGTAGTTAACTACTTAGTATTCTCGTCACATACCTTCTACCAACCAATCCGCTCACTTACAGTACACCTACAATAGCATCTCATAAGTAATAAACAGATACACACAAACTCTATCGATCAAGAACTGACACTTATAAGAATCAAAACTTCACCACCAAGCGATAGCGATGACACCTACATGTAGCTAACTAGGTAGCTATCTGCCATCAGATAAGATCACGACATCCGATAAGATACATGATAACTTACAACCCATGACATCATCGTATCACATCTACCTTGGTCCCTTACTACAGTAAGTAAGGAGATGGTAGTACATATGTGGTGGGTAGGTGGATAAACAAAAAAAACTTTTAAATATATTAAAGTTTGGTAATGACGATGGATAAGATATTGATTCTGAAAATGCCCATAAACCTTCTAATACACACAAACGCCTGACACTAATCACACAACCTGTCTAATACATACACACACTTATATAACCCGAGCCACGCATATAAAAAGAGCAAAGAAGAAAGAGAAAAGGAAAAGGAAAAAGAAAAAGAACAGAAAAAGAAAAGAAAAAGAAAAGAAAAGAAAAAAAGGCCGACCCACACCTAACTATATACAAGAAAGTTAACAAAACACGCCCTCCCTAGTAATCGAGGACGACATTAGTAGTGATAGGGTTATCTTCAAACCGACGCATCAGGCACACAAGCCCAACTACACCCCAGTCTCCGAAAAGGCAAAGGGCGCAATTTCTCGCCCGAACTGCGCGGGCCCTTGAGTCCATTCTCGTAGACGCTGCAGTCCCACCACTCGATCCATTCCGCGCGGGCAATGACGAAGCTCCGATGGCACACGGTGCAGCAGCGGCCGCCTCCGTTGCGGACTGCGCGCGCTTGGCGGAGGAGGGAGGGGACCAGGCCTGGACAGTTGGCCATGTCGGTGTCGGAGACGAGGTCGGAGAAGGGGGATTGGGTGAATGCGAGGAGGGAGACTTCGCGGAGGGATGGCACGCGGGACTCGTTGGTGTTGGTGGGCGGGGCGTCGACCATTACGCCTTCCATGTTGAAGAGGCGGACTGGGCCTGTGGCGACGTGGATTGGGGCCCATGCTTCTTCGGGGGCGGGGCCCTCGTAGGTGTGGAGGGTGAGGGCTTCTTCGGGGGAGGTGGCTGGGGCGCCGTCTAGGGAAAACCAGTGGGTGATTTCGGCTTCGTCGATGCGCCAGAGGGGGTTGGGTCGGACGGTTAGGTGCTTCAGGTCACCTTTTTTGATGAGCCATAGTAGCTCCCAGGGGAGGAAGCGCAGTTCGTTAACGGCGAGATTCACTTCTTGTAGCATGGTGAGTTTTCGGATTGCGGGCGGGATTTCGGTTAGCCTGTTGTTTCGCAGACTGAGGACGCGCAAGGCGTCCAGATCGAAGAGGTCGCCCGGGACGTCGGATAGAGAGTTGCCGGCTAGGAACATGCGTAGGAAAGGTCTTAAGGAGCTGTAGACGTCTTCGGATATGGGGGCTTCCTTGACCGTGGGCAGTTTTGTGAGGTGTTGCAGGGGGCGGAGCAAGCCTTGGGGGATCTGTTGTAAACCGCCGATACTGTAGATGTGAGCGCTGCACTATCTCGAAGGGACGAAGAAAAAAAACGTATAAAGAGCATTAGGAAAGAAGAAACCAACCTCAAATCAACACTATCCTGCCCCTTCTCCAAACAATCATTGACAATAGCGCGCGCAAGCTGATGCTCCCGGGATTCCTCAACCTTCTTAAACACCACGCGTTGCTGAGCCCCAGCAGCAATCTCTCCGGGCACCACATCCCCGACCCTCCCCACAGTCGAATGATGCAGCAGCTCTTCACCCCAGATCGACGCATCCTCAGAGGGCAGCAGCGAGTCGACGCCGGAGTCATCGCTTCCCATCCAGACACCACTGTCCACCAACCGCTTATCCTTGAAGTCGACGCGTTTGCGTTTCGTGTCTTTCACCATCTCGCCCCACCACGTACCGCGATACCGTCGCTTACGACACCCCGACACGGCGGGCGCGTGGTAGTTCTCGAGACCGGAGGCGGGGATGTCATCGCTGGAGAAGAGCGCCGGGTCGCTGGAGGGCTGGCTGGAGCGGTCGTCGAATCGCGACAGTTGGTGGTAGGTTTTGTGTAGCGAGGATGGGACGGTGGGGGTATTGGGGGCGCGATGGCGGATGCGCGGGGGTGGAGGGAGGGGGATTTCGTTGTCCATTGTGATGTAGCCTTCTGTTCCTTCTTTCTCTTTGAACTTTGTTTCTTTGTTTCCTCTATGGATTAGATAAAAGACCAGTGGAATAAAACTACCCACGGTGTCGTTGGAGGAAGAAACAGTCGAGATCGAAAAGAACGCGCGGGAATCCGGATGTCAACAAGGGACGCGTCGTGCGTCGGGAGTAGTGTCGCAGATGGTCGCGTAGGCTATAGACTGCTGTAACCGAGTAGGCTCAATGCTACATCACCGTTTGAGAAATTGACGGCATGATGTTCAGACAATGCGATTGAGGAGAAAGAAGAAGACCCGCATGAAGGTCTGCGACTGCGCGACCATTCCCACATGGTCGGAATGCGGGCGTGTCACGTGAGCTGTCTTATACATCGGAGTGTACGGAGTGGTATAACCTCATCCTACACCGTAAGTTTAATAACCATGGTGAAAACAAGTCTCAAACAAAAAGAAATGGGGTATGCTCCACTCAGACACCAGGAAAGCCACTGGGAACAAACACATGCTGATGGAAATCCACAAGTGTTGATCCCTGTCCAGTTCAAGGACCACAGCCCATTTTATACAACGAAGTCATCCACAAATCGAAGACTACCCCAACTTCCTCCTTCTCACCCCCATGCTTAGTACGATGTGACAGAAACCGATTCAAAAAGTCAAGTACAAAACCCACCTATCGCCCCTGGCCAAGCCAGTCTAAATCCCGCTTGCTATCAAGTCAACCCATCAGCCAAGGAAGATCGTCACTCATAAACCTCGCAAGACTTTCGACACTTATGCAGGCGCGTCTCTGAGCAGGTTAGCCACGCCGTTGCAGAAAACGGTTAAGCCTCTACAGTACAACATGACACCTGCCATGAACAATACCCCCCTGTTCGACTCCACCTGCGATAACCAGTTGCGCTTGGATTGTGAGGCCTGTCATACCGTTTCGAGCAAGACACGGGAGACGAAACACCCCCATGATCACAGCCTTGTTGGGTCGGGTAGACTTGAAAACACGCACTACTTGTCCTGTTACCCACTTAGTGGCTGGGTTGGGGATTAGTTGCTTTCTTCTGTTTGGAACTCTTGAACTTGGCTCCGTCTACGGGGGTAGGGTAGGCCATAAATAGGATATGATTTCCGTAGACTGTATGTCTGTGCAGTTTAAGTACTGTTTTAGTCGGGGATCCAAACCAATTATTTTTGTTCACCCTTATCAAAACAAGACCAACCTATACTCCGAAGGAAATGACACAAACCAAGGCCCTCCCCCCAGGATCTCGAATCCTCGTCACCGGCGCCAATGGCTACATCTGTTCCCACGTCGTCGACACGCTGCTGCGCATGGGATACACCGTTCGAGGCACAGTCCGCGAAGCAAAGCCATGGCTAGACGAGCTCTTCCATGGACAGTACGGCAAGGACAGCTTCGAGACGGTCATTGTGCCTGGGTTGGAGAACGCGGATACCTTACAGGGTGTGATGGACGGGGTGTCTGGCATTGTCCATGTCGTACGTACAGCTATACAGCGGTGGGAGATGCGATCTACGATGCTAACCACCGACTTAGGCGTCCGATTTGTCGTGGGGCACCGACGAGGGCGTCATACGCCGTGCGGTGAAGGGTGTCGAGAATGTCCTCGAGGCGGCATATAAGGCTGGCTCGGTCCGACGGTTCGTTCTGACGTCGTCGGCCATCGCGGCCAATACTCCGTTGCCGGATGTAGAGGGGATCATAGTTGACACGGGTGAGTCTGTCTTTTCTTTCTGTCTCTTCCCCCTGGGTAAATGATTTGATCTGGCTAATTCGATACGCAAGACTCGTGGAATGACGAGATAGTAGTAGCCGCGAGGAGCGAGGAGACCCCAGCCGACCAACGGGTCATGTGTACCTATGGGGCGTCCAAGGTAGAAGCCGAGAAATTCGCCTGGAGATGGATGGCCGAGAAACAGCCTCCCTTCACGCTGAGCACGGTGCTCCCGGACTCATGCGTGGGACGGATCCTCCATCCCAACATCCCTGGGTCAAGCATGGGTTTCATCCGGAAACTACTGCACGGCGATACCTTGATGCTCGACATTTTTCCTCCCCGTAAGGTCCCCCCTCCCGAGCTATCTGTTTGAGTGTCTTCGATGTTGATGACAAAGTATAGAGTGGCTCGTCGATGTCGGGGACGTTGCGCGCCTCCACGTCGTGGCGCTGCTGGACCCGACCGTACAATCTGAACGCATCTTCGGCCACGCAAAGCCTCTCAGCTGGACCGACGTGATCGACTTGCTGCGGCGATTGCGACCGTCAAATACGCAGATCCCTGATTCTCGTCCCAACGAAGGGCGCGATCTGTCCGATATTGTGCCTGCGAAGAGAGCCGAGCAGCTGCTCCAGGGGTTCTTCGGTCAGTCGGGATGGACGTGTGTTGAGGACAGTATCGCGGAGGGGATTGAAGGAGTGCAAGAGGAGCGGCCGTCGAGGTCGGGGTTGCTGGTCCCTCTTGTTCCTGTTGCTCTTTTCTTCCTTTTCTCCTTCGTCTTCAAAGAAAACGTTTGAGGTCTGGATTTTATGCGATAATGACGATCCTCGGGGACTAGTGGTGAGGAAGAGGAAGAAGTTATGAAGGGCAAGGATCATCAGACCTCGGATGAAGTATTGTAAAACAATGTATGTAAAGGTAAGATTGTCAACGATACCATCTCAGCCCAGGCGATCGACAGACGGATGGCATGTCGGGATGATTTAAGGTCACCAGCCTTACTCCTAGTGAGCCCAGTGATCGACTGGATTTTCAACTATAGACATAGAACATTTATAAAGCATACGACGCCAGATACAGCCGGCCAAATCAATATACAAAAAGAAATAATATATTTTAAGATTCAAAGACACCATCAACTCGTCATAAAAAGAAGTAAGTCGTCAAAAGGGGGGTATATAAATGGTATATGGTTCCATAACACCATAGCTCCCCTGCCTTCCTCCCCAGCGGTCGATCCGAGTGGGGAGAAAAAGGGAGAGGAGAACGAAGAGTGAATCAAAGAAGCGAAGAGATATTTAAAGAAAAATAAAGGGGTGAAAATGTAAAAGAGAATCGAAAATGACCATCCAGGGAACTAAAACCCCACTCCCCCATGGACAAGAATGATCGGAGGATCGCAACCGAGGGGCACTGCCGGGCGAAAGAACAGTAGAGCCCGGCAGCCACGGCGACTTGAGGCATCCGATTATTACAGGTAGGCCAGGGCCATGGCCAGCGAACCCGCGACGAGGGCAATGGGCATGTTGACCGCGCTGATGGCGCCGCCCGCCGTGTGGATGGGGGTGGAGGGGCTGGTGCCGGAGGGCAGAGGGGTCGAGGTCCTGACGCTGGAGACAGCGTGGCTGGGAGTCGCGGAGCTGGTGGGGATCACGGTGGGGGTCGCGGAGCTGGTGGGAGTCACGGAGCTGACGCGCACCAGGGTCCGGGTGATGGTGGTGATCTGGGTCGAGGTGATGGTCTCGTCCGCAGCGAAGGCGGGGGCCGCAGCCAGGAGAACAGCGGAGACGATAGCGGTGATCTTCATGATTGCGGTCGTAATCGTGGATGTCGTTCTTCTTCTCTTGAAAGGTAGATGGTAGATAATTGGGAATAAGATGAAACGCGACGGCGAGTCAAGTATCAGACAGTAGTTTCACAGCGGATAGGGGCGACAGAGGGAGTGGCAGATGAAGAGCAGAAGTGGTTTCAGTTGTCAAGTGATATAAATTCAAAGACAGCAGAGAAGGAAGGTCAGTCGCAGACGAGGGTTGGATAGAATTAAAAGAGTGTGGGAGGAGAGCGCTGCTCCAAGTGTAACGAACGTATAGATGCGAGATCTGAGAGTGGTGAGAAAAACAAGAGAAAACAAGAGGGCGAGACGCCAGGGAGGTTGCGGCCCCAGGCTAAATAAGAAGTTTCTCTAGTAGAGAAAGAACTTCCACCAGACCATCTGGAGTTAGTCTGGTAATTTCCAACACGAGTTTGTTGTCTGGGTCCCTGTTCTTTTTCTTTTTTTCCTTTTATTGTTTTTCTTTTTTTCCTGTTTTATCCTGTTTATTTATTTTTTTTAATTTTGCCCCCCTTCTTTGTTCATGTTTGGTGGTAATTATCGTGGTTGTTTTCTTTCTATGCCTCCCCTCCATTCCCCAATCCCGAGGGGAACAAGTTGTTTGCATTGCGATCAATCATGAGATACCTGTCAGGGATCCAGGGACCAGCATTCATGCCTCCATTTGAGATAGACACGAGCATGCGCTGTCAAGGGTGTGTTTTCCAATCCAGCGTTCCAATCGTCGAATGACTCCGTATTCCCCTGCAGTCATCCCATCCTCCAAGGCGGACTGGTCAGGAACCATGGACCGTTCGGGAGAGGATCAGGTACTGGGGAGACGTGTTTGGTGGTGAGTAGTGGGGTAGACCAAGTGGATCCATCCGAGGTGGATTGGTTGGAGAAGAAGAAAGAGATCAAAGAACGTGAAGCCAGCCGACAACTATTGATTGCCCCGTCCCTGGATGTTGGCCTGATCCGGCCTAGTCCGATCGCACTACCTCGTGTTAGTGAAATACCCGGTTTGTTTCCGTCGGATTACACCATCTTACACCACAGCCTCCTCCTCTTCTTCTCACCTCCATCTTTCGGGATTCACCCTGAGTATCCAGGGTTACTTCACCATGGATCCATGATGATGAAGTCCATTGTTTTCCCTTTGGGGTTGAATGTTACACATGGCGCAAATAATTGATCAGGGACAGTCCAACTCTTCCCACTCTCTTGTGGTTTCACTGCAATCTCCCCCTGGATAGTTTGGCTTCCCCCCCCCCCCCCCCCTTCGAAATCCACCGACTCCAGGGTCACCTTCCTCGGTCAAGGTCGATTTGCTGGTTGGTTGGTCACGTTGCGTCGGCTGGGCGAAAATTTCGAATCAATAGTCCGGACTAGTTATGATTGGGGGCGGACTATCATCGAAGCGAAATTGCCCGTCGTTTAGTCGTTCCTGACAGGCCAGAAGGTTCACCAACGGGAAGATCCTGGGGATCCACTCGAGGAAATGTAACGATTCCTCTCAGTGAGAACTAGAAGAGCTATCCTGCCTAACGTTTCTTCAATACGGGGAGCGCTGTCAACGTTCTCCAGAGCATTCCAGATAAACTCATAACGACCCGATGCGCTGTCCCTGACTCCCTTGGCCCATCCCGTCTCTCATGTCTAATCGGTCAGTCCAGCTCCACAAATCAGGCTCAACACAGGATGATCTCTTGATTGGGATTTGTTTGTGGGATAGTCAAAGAAGCTGGCGGCAATGGAAACCAGCCCAAGCCGACTTCGATGGTCCTCCCACCGCCCGGGGGCCGCCCAACTCCTTGGTCTGGGCCATTCCATTGGTCCTCGCGATTCAAGGCTGATTTAGGGCTAACACCGCCGCCCGTCCATCCATCTATTTCGGTCACACGCAAACAAGTCTAACCGACTGGACCCTGTCCGCTATGGATTCTACCGGTGTGCAGGGGCGCCGGTCATGGCTGACACTGACATGCTGACATGCTGACATGCTGACATGCTGAAGCTGACAAGTCTTGATGAAAACCCAAGAGGGGTGGACCAGAAAAAAAGAAAAAGAAAGTAAGACAAAAGAAAGAAAAAGAAGGGGAAAGAAAGAAAGCCGAGAAGAAAAGACAAAGATAGAACAAAGTATTTAGTAGAGCAAAACCAATTAAAAAAATGTAGTATAATTTTCATTAGGTACATCGTTTCTAACTTTCTTTTCTTTCCTTTTGCTTATCTATGACAAACTGATGCAACCAGGCAGAGTAACAGATCGGTGTGTGTGTGAACCCAATACCACGGTATGAACTAAATCTAACAGACATGCTGGCTCAGAGCACATTACTTCCAATTGATCCAGTCTGTAATCTCGTTCATGATGCTACAATGATATGAGAGAGACATTCCGAGTTTCCTCCACAGTACAGCGATAGAAAAATAGCAGGTATCTGCATTCCATTGACAATTGGTGGGGGAAATGTCTGAGTTATAACTGCGTGTGGACATGTTTGAATTCATCATCAGGCCGTCAGCCCACGGTCATTGACTCGCATCGAGGCCTACGCCACCCAAGATGGGTCGTCATCGCCATCCAAACTCGGGGCCATCTTGGGTCTTAAATCCAGATGACAACAATGAAAAATCGTGAACGTTGTTAATGATCGGGATGATGTGGGCGTTTCCCGCATGCGGATATCCCGATCCACCCGAACCCTAATGGTACCCGATAAACTCAGCCGTCGCATGCTGATTCGACGAACCAACCTCTGCCCGAGTTCACATCTTAGAGCAGATGGACCCATGTATCATAGACATCTACCCCGGATTTTGGTTCTATCGGTGTGAGTGGCTCCATTCTAGCTGGCCTCATGGGAGTGGAGCTGGAACCTTGTCTGGAACGCAAGCTCTGCTGCGTATCCCGGGAAAACACTCCATACCAGTAGAATGGATTTGAATTCCACGGTCGATAATGGCTTTAACATCCGGAGATGATTTCATCGGGAGTTCTCACTGGGCCAGTAATCGATTGCTTCAGATGGATCCGCCGACCTTGTCCAGACACTCGTGGCTTTCCCATTCAGCGCTGAAACTACCTCATCTTGACGTTTTTCATTTCTATCTGTAGTCACACGGGCCAGTGGGGAACGAGCATATAAACAGCGCACATGTCCCCTCTATGCCTTTTTGTGGTAGATCAATTGGATTCCCCAATTTCCAATGAGTAACCAACATCCCATATAGAACGACTATTATGGCGACCTCCTTCCAACCAAACGTCCATTACACGTTTGGTGGCCCCTCCTCCTCCACCCCGTTCTTCGACTCGCGTCGCGGCTCGGGCATAGTGGACAATGAGGACGTCTCGAGCAGGGTGTACAACTCGGTCGCCGCCAGACGGGGCTCTCGGAAGTCTAACGGTCGCGAAACCTCCAGTCTTGCTGACGTCGTGTATTCCCTGCGACGCCGGAACAGCAGCGAGATGGACTCGCTGATCTCCTCCAAGCTCATGAGCTCCAACCATGCGTCCCTCATCGACTGGATCCGCGGCGAGCGCATGAGCAAGCTGCCTCCCGAGGGAAGCAGCTACGACCGTGTGCTGAGCTGGGCTGCCCTGTTCGTGGAGCAATTGCACACGTTTGACTTGGCCGTCGAGGGATTCGCTGGAGATAGCCATCTGGCGTCCCAGCTCGTCTACGGCTACTGCGCGCTTCTTCTGGAGGTATGTCTGCCAACCACCTCGAGTTCTCTCGCCAAAGGCCCCCTCGTACTAACCTACGTATAGCTGGGTGAGGAGAATGCTTCTGCCCTAGTGGTCATGTTCAGCTTCTTTTGCACCTGCTCGGTGAATCTCGTCAACCTGCTGGATCGAGCCGAGTTGTTCACGGTCTCGCAGGAGATCAAGGACCAGCTTGTTCTCGCTCTGGCTGATCTGGTCACCCTAGTGGTTTGCGTGGCCACTTATTTCCACAAGGCCTTGAGTGGAATGACCTCCGAGTCCGTGTCCATCGACATTTTCAACTCGTTCCCCGGCCCAATCGAAAGCTTCCGCAATCGTTGTGAGCTCGTCGCCGGGTTGATGTGGAGACATCAGCTCTTCCGCGAGGGCTTGGACGAAACAAGTGGTAAAGCAATGACCTTGTCCCTACCTTCGGTTGGACCAACCTTTGACACACTAACTTGGTTGTTCCAGTCTCGGAAGTTAGGTCGATCAAACACTGGCTCGAGCCAGAGGACCCCGTCCTCGCCAACATTACACACAATTCGGCTCAGTCGGCTCAGGATCGAGAGGAAAGTAGCTGCCTGTGGATGACGCCCTACTTGAACCGCTTCCTGAAAAGCGCCAAGAGCACTCTAGTCTTCTCGGGCAAGCCTGGCTCGGGGAAGACTATCTTGTCTTCTGTTATGGTTGATCAGCTCCAGCACCCGATCGGAGGTGTGAGCTATCAACCAATCTCCGTTTCGATCAGTGAGTTTCTGATCCCGCGATACGGTACAGATTGTCACTGACGATATTCAGGCAGCAGAATTTCCGCCAACACAACACCTCGCAGTATCGCCAAATCAATCCTTTCCCAGCTCTTTGCCAAGCGAATTGGCAATGTGCAACTGTATCAGATCATCTCGGATGCATATGATCGTTGCGAGCAGACGGCGGATAACGACGAATATGACAATATCCTCTGGTCCGCTGTAGAAGACGCCCTGCAGGCAAGCGTTAAGGGTACCAAAGAGCTTATTCTAGTGGTCAACGGGACCGACCAGGCCTCCTGTGGTGAAGCTGCGATTCAGGCCAAGCTCAAGAAAGCCACTGCCAATGCCAACAACATGAAGCTCGTCTTGCTCGGTTCCCAGCAATCTTCCACCAATGCGGACCAGACAGCAGTGAATATCACGCCGGAGCTTACCTTCGACGATATGAGTGCGGTGGTCCGACACGCTCTGCAGTCCTGTCAGCCGTTCAGGAACATGTCCGAAGAGCAGCGCGAAATCACCGTGAACCGCGTCGCCGAAGTTTCCGATGGCTCGTTTCTTTTTGCCAAGTTGGCCACGAGCCAGATCCAGAGCGAGGGCCAAAAGAGCGCGGAGAAGTTCTCCCAGGCTGTTGATAAGGTTGCCAAGGCAGGATACAGCGTCAGAGATTTCGTGTCCCACAGTCTGCATTCCAAATCTTTGACTGAGGAAGGCAAGGTGATCTTTAGTTGGCTAGCCACTGTCGCTCGCCCGCTGTCCACCCGGGAGCTCTCCACCCTTCTCTCCATTCAGGTGGACAAGGCAAACGTCAAAGACCGGGATGTCGACTCCCGCAAGCTCCTCGAGGCCGCGGCCCCTCTGTTAACCCACCAGAATGGCCTGGTGGGCATTCGACACAACGAGGTTAGAACGGCTATCTTGGACCTACTTTCCAAGGACAAATTACTGCCGTCTGCCAAGGACAGGCACCTTGACATTACCCGGCGGTGCTTGACTTACATCAAGCATGCCGTGGTCACCGACCATGAGCCTTCCGTGTCCCCCCTAGATCCGAATATTACGGGGAGCCTCCTAGAGAAATTCCCATTGCTGGACTTTGCCGTTCGCTACTGGGTTGACCACATTAAGAAGGCATTTGGCTGTACCACCGATGATGAGTTCTCCACGGCCTCCAAGGAGATCCGTGATGTGATGCCCACTTCAACCTCAGTGCCACTGTTGTCAATGACCCTCTGGGCGGCCAAGGCGACCCCGGTACAGATGACTCTGTATGCCACCCAGACCCGGCTATACCAGTACATCTTGTCGCCGCAGCATCCGACCACTCTGCAGTCCACCATTTGCCAGGCTCTCTTCTATCGCGAACTTCAGGATACTCTGCCCTCCAAGGTCGTCCCGGTGATGTATGCAGCCGTGGTCCTCAGCAATGACGTGCTGTCGCCGAGCCATATTGTGACCATGCAATTGGCGAGATTTTTCCTTGAGGCGACCACCAACCAGGTTACCGAGTCACAGACCGAGATCATGGTCAACCGGACCCGAGTGCTCTACATCCTCGTTGAGAGTTACAAAGCGCAGTACGGAACCGCAAGCGAGCTTTACATCAACGCCAGCACCGAGCTTGCCCAGCATTACCAGATCATCAAGGAAGAGGAGAAGGCCAACGAAATCTATAGCTATCTCCAGCAGAACAGCACCTCCACGGAGAGTACCACCGGCCAGTGGACCAGCTCTCAGAGCCAAGAGGATTCCCTTCTGGTCAATCTCCATGGCCGTCCAAGCAAGGTGACAGATGACTTCGAGACCACCTTGTCGCTAGACGAGAAAGAAGAAGATGAACTCATCTCGTCTTCCAGCGCGTACGACATTGACGCGCTGATCAATCTCGCAGACACATACGTCTCCCAGGGCAATTTCAAGCTGGCAGAGACCGCGTATGTGGAAGTCTGGCAGCGCACGAGCCGGGAGTTCCGACTGCACCGCTCCGCCCAATGGGAGCTGAAGAATCTCAAGGCCGTTCTAGCCTACACCAAGTTCCTCAAGGAGCACAACAGGCAGGAAGAGGCAGCTTCTACGCTCGCTGGCCTCTGGCAGGAGTATGAGCAAGGCCCTATGTCGAACTCGTCGGCCGTCATCTCGCAATTCTCCAAGGTCGCCGAGGCCATGCAGTCCGTTGGTCTTTCCGCCATGGCCCTGAACGTGTACAAGCACTGCGCTCAGTATTACGCAGGCACCAGCGGGCACAACAGCTCTGCTTATCAGAAACTTCAGGAGACCATCCAGACCACATCCACGCATGTTATGCAGACGGCTTCGTCATCTAGTTCGTCGGTGACTGAATCCAGTCTCAAGGACATGGTGTTTGAGTCGATCCATAACCCGAATCAGACCACCGTCTCCGCCGCCAACACTCTCATCGAGCTGTATATGTCCCAGCACCGCTGGCACGATGCAACCAGGTTGATCAAGAGCGTCTTGCGTGGTGTCTGGCCTTCCTTCCTCGCCAATTCTGTTCAGGATGTGAGCGCCGCTCCTGAGAAGCATGCGGAATTCTGTATCAGCCTCGCCGAGCGTCTGAGCGACTGCTATCACTCTAGACGCCGTCCATCGAAGGAAGAAGATTCGCGCAACCGTCTTTACCACGCCTTGAGACGCGATCGTCTACCTGGAGATAAGGCTCTTGATCGTGCCACGACGGGGCTCCTTCGTCTGTACAAACGCACCTCTCAGACCGATAAGATCATCACTCTGTACCAGCAGTTGCTGAGCGATTATACCAAGCGTCTGGGCCCCGAGCACCCAACGGTGATCAAGACACTCTGGACACTGGCGGAACTCACGAGCCCCCGTCCGGTGTCTGTCGATTACTATCGACAGATCGTCAATGTCATCAACAAGGACTCGGACACCTGCAAGCCTGAGGCCTTTGAGCCACTGCTTATTGTCGTCGATGATCTCTGGAACAAAGAGCGATACACGGAGGCTGTGCAGCTCTACAGCGTCTTGTTCAATACCCTGAAGCACCAGCAGGTCAACGCGAAGCTCCGCGACCATGACTTCGTGCGCACGATCTTTGAGCGTTACACCCACTGCCTGCGTGTCACCCACGCGAGTACGTCTGTCCTTCACGACGTCACCACCCAGTACCTCAACACGTGCAAGCACGTGTTTGGTGCCACCGCCTCGATCACCGTGCAGGCGACGTTGTCTCTGGCCAATCTCTGCCAGAGCTCTATCCAGTACGAGAGTGAGGCTGTGCAGCTCTACGAGAGCCTCTTGGCGATCCAGTCCGACGCAATCGACAAGGAAGATATCAGAGAGATCTTGGACTCGCTCGAAGAAAAGCAGACTGCCACGGTGTCGTCGAGTAATTCCAGTTCCCTCACGAGCGCGCAGGTGCACAGAGCAGTCACTGTCCGCCAGCAGCGCCTCACATCCATGCGCTCCGAGTACGGATGGGCCCACGAGGAGTCCCTCTCGGAGATGGAAGAAATGGCGTCCCTCTACTCCAAGCAGGGCGACTTCGCCTCTGTGGTTTCCCTCCTCAAGGACACGGCCGTGGAGGTTCTGTCCAACGAGACCTCGGCTGGCAAGTTGACCGCTGCAGCCCAGAGCATTTCATCCAGTTATATCGCCTCCGGCCAGATCCAGCGCGGTCGGGAGTTTACCAGAGAGCTCTACCGTCAGATTGTGGCCAAGGATACCTCCCACATGCAATCTGCCCAGTTCAACGTTTCGTCGCTGAAGCGTCAGAGCCTCATGTTCCTGGCGCAGCTCGAGTACGGCCTGCGCGAAGACACATCGCTCACTTTGAACGAGATCTTCTCGTCCCTGACCACCGAGTACCTCTACTTTGAGCAGCTCAGGAGCGAGATCCACTCGAAGACGAGCAGCTTCCAGAGTGTGACAGCCTCTGCCGCTCGTCTGTACGGATTCCTCGTTTCCCGGGATAACCAGGCGAGTGCCAATTTCGTGATCAACAAGCTGAGCGATTATTTTGTTGCCCGCGAGGGTCGCGAGATCGGAGTGACCGAGTCGGCCGGCGTCCGGGAGTTCGTCGTGACCATCGTCATGTACTTCACCACGCACAGCTCGCAGAACTTCCTGCGCTCGATCGCCATCGCCAGCTACAACCGTGTGTGCCAGCTGCTCGCCCAGAGGCAATACCAGCCCGCATGCGACCTCGCCCTCACGTCCTTCAAGCACATCCGCGCCAACGACGGCTACTCGTACCTCCCGAACATTAAGCTCGCCTTCAAGCTGGGCATGGCCATCTCCGGCCGCGATCTCAGCCAGCGCCCAGACGAAACCCGCCGCAAGACCATGCTCGAGATCTCCTCGACGATCATGAAGGAGACTATCCGGGTCTTCAAGCGCAGCAAGGTCGACATAACCTGCCTGGGCCAGGACAACCTGAACAACCTCATCGGCCTGCTCGACGAGCAGCAAGACTACCACAGCCTGGCGTGGGTGCTCACCACCCTCTGGGACAACCGCGAGACGCACACCGCCAGCGCCCAGCCCTACTTCATCGTCACGCTGGCGCGCATGCTCGTCATCACGCGCTACATGGTCGGCGACCACATGGCCGCCGTGCGCCTCGCCGAAGACATCGTCTACAACAGCTGCCGCGTGCACGGCGTGCGCCACCCCAACACCTTCGAGATGACCGTGCTGCTCTCCCAGCTCTACACGAGCGTCGCGCTCCGCTACCAGTCCCAGAAAGACGGCAAGGAGATGGCGCAGCGCTACTTCAAGAAGGCCGCCGCGCTGCACGAGAACGCCCTGCGCGGCTTCCTCGACCCGTCCTCCGTGCAGTTCGACTACGGCGCCGAGTCCAGCCAGGAGTCCGACGCCAGCTCGTCCACCTCTGACGAGGACCTCGGCGACGAGGGCAAGCACGTCCGCCAGCATTTCCACCTGCTGAAGCTCGCCGTCGAGCGCCTGGGCAGCTGGCCTAAGGATTTCTCCGAGTACAGCCGTCTCAGCGCGGAGCTGTTCAGCGCTTACCCTGATGACCTCAAGGGCGTGGACGGTGTCGATAAGTGGAACTTGAAGAATTACGGTTCTGGTCGTGCGGAGTCGAGTGATGACCTCGTTACTACGGGCCTTCGTCGCGAGATTACTTACAATCTCCAGGATCTGGGTGCCCTTGCAATTCCCGTCTAGGACTGCATTGCTTATAGGGGAACCGGTGCTAAAATTGTTGGTGTTGGATGTTAAAAAAGTGCTTTAAGTGCTGTTGTGGAAGTGATAGGTAATGAAAAGCGTAACACATAATAATTAGTATTAGTATCTAGTTTACAGACTGCCAAAATGATAATGATAATTTTAATCCGTTTGAATTTCTCATTTTATATTATCTATTTTTCTACCTTTAATAGAATAGAATAGACTAAGTGACCCATCTTCAATCATAGACAAATGTATAGAATGACCCACAATGCAAACCAACCAAACACCGCGGATCTTCTTATCGCGTTCGCAAAGCTCCTTCGCAAATCTCCATTTCTCCAACATCCCGACAATCTGATCTTCCACTGCTATTCATTCCAACAACAATTAATCAATCTCAATAAAAACCGCCCACCATGCCGAAAGAACCCCTCACCAAAAACCTCCAGTTCGAGAAAAAGAACAAGGACATGGTTAAACTTCCAAAACGTACCGCTCCCTTTCCTTCCTCTTCTCCCCTCCTCTACTCCCCACCGTCTCCAACCCCAACCTACAACATCCCAATAACAACAACACCAACCAACCAAGCCCTAAAACACACGTGTAATAAATCACAACTAACCACAAAAAATGGATAACAGACGCACGCATCCAAAAACGCCCCATCCCGCACCCCCCCATCGCCTCCCCCTACGCCGGCTCCAGCATCCCCAAAACCGTCTACGTATCCACCTCCTCCCCCTTCATGGCCTCCGTAAAACGCGTGCAGAAACTCCTCCGCCAGGCCGAAAAGCGCGCCACGGCCTCCGTGGATCTCGCCAACGCGCGGAAGCGCAATCAGCAGCGGCTGGCGCTGGTCGCCCCGCGCACGGGGGAGGAGGATGGACAGGAGGGGCAGCAGGGGCAGAAGGGGAAGGGGAAGGAGGAGGTGTTTGTTAAGGCTACGGGGCGGGCGATGGAGAAGGCGCTTGCTGTTGGGAAGTGGTTTGAGGAGAAGGGTGGGGAGGAGTTTGCTGTTAGGGTTAGTACGGGGAGTGTGCTTGTTGTTGATGATGTTGAGGAGGGTGAGGGGGGGAAAGGGGGGGGAATGATTCTGCTGGCGTGGGTACGTCTGGTTCTGGTTCTAAACCGGCTGCGACGGAATCTACGGAATCAACGGAATCTAAAGAGCAGAAGGAGAAGGATACGAAGAAGAAAAGGAAACGCACTACCGATACAGCAGCTGCAGCAGAAGACGCCGAGCTACCCGAGACGCGGACGCGATGGGTCAACATGGTTGAAGTCGCCGTGAGCCTCAAGTGAAGAAAGAATACTCCAGCGAACTACCAACGAAAAAAAACCCAAGAAGCCTTTATAAATTGGCGCCTACCTAGCATTGCATGGCATGGCATGCTGTGGGCTGAGCCGCGACAGGATCCACATCGCAGTCCCATCTGCAGCAACAGACGCGTGGCAGCGCTGCATGTATATGGGTACGGACTGTTGAGCACCCACACACGCTTGGATGACAGTTAAAGCGATGGGGGATATTACCCGACCATCATTGTCTTTACTGTCTTGTCTATACCCGTTGAGTATAGTCTCAAAAGCACGACACAGCATCAGCATCCATAGGTTGTCTACAGTCAGGACGACCGATTGCAAGTGACCGGTGCAACACTCCATCCACCCAGTCTATACAGACGATGTTAGGTAGCAATATGATTCGATCCTATCATTTGAATCTAACACCATATACACATATCTATGCAGTGGCCAATAGAAGAATTAGGTATGATATGGAATAGGTATCAAGTGCTTTTCCACCTGTCGCCATCCTCTGATCACTCCAAATGAATATGAATCCCCCATATACACCCCATACACCCCATACCACCAAACCAAAGTATACACCCATTCCCCCGCGGTGAAAGAGCTGGATACGATCGATCAATAAGAATCAACTGAGAAATGCAATAAATGGTCATTCTTCGCTTGCTTGCAACTGCCAAGGGAAGTAATGCTCCTCTGATTGACTAATACACAAAAGCGGGTGAGCCCTACATGAACTGTCTCATCCCATGAGAATTGAGATATTAACATAATGAGAATGTGAGAAGAAGATGTAGATGAGAGAAAAAGACAAAAACGCACAACACTGCTGCCAGAGAATCGTAACTGGAACAACATGGCATCGGGGAATGATATCTGATGTGACAAAACAGGAGGAAAGAAAAAATGAGATAGTCATGTGAGTTACGCAGCCTCATAACTGCGACAGAGATATAACAAGGAGATTTGGGGGACTGAAGAAAGAGAGAAAGTAAGGAAGAACAATCCAGTGAACCAGCGTATAAGCATTTAGTCAGTACATGAGAACGGTAAGATGAGTGAAAGATAGGAAAGAAGGTTGCCTGAGGACGATCGGGTAGGAGACTTCCCCCGAGGCATCTCGTCCGAAGGATAATTAATCAGGCGGCGGGAGTATGTAGTAGGTGCAGCAACGTCGACAGAATCACCGTTCCATCTTCTGCCACCCGTTCAGATAGGCCATCAGCCCTACCCCTAGTAGCACGACTCCGAGCATTGATGCGTATGGACTCGATTGCTCCAGGGCCGCGTGCCGAGGTTTCTGCGTGGCGAAGGCCGTGCTGGATTGGGGCGACAACAGGGAGTCCTGCTTTTCGGAACTCTTTGCCTCAGCACCCTTATCCTCCCCTTCGCCGGGGAGAGCGGAGCCAGAAGGAGGGATGCCATCTGGGGCGGCGGAGATCGGCTGGCCGACCGTTTCGCCATCCGCGCGTTCACGCCGCAGAGTCTCGATCATCTCGGTCAGAGACTTGCGCGTTTCCGTGGTCTCGTCTTCTGCCTTCTGGGCGCGATCTTTGAAAACGGCAACCTGTTGTCTCATCTCCTCCATCTCCGCCATCACGAAGTCCAGTCGTTGTTTCAGTTGGTCTGTATGGCGATCTGTCGGCTCGTCCACATCGGTGGATTCGCCAGTGGATTCCGTCAACTGTTCGACAACCAATGCACTGTCGAGGTCGCGATTCTCGGATGGGGCCTTCTGGAGTTCACCGGCATGCGAATCCAGTGGTGGGCCGGTCACATTCGCCTGGACATCGTGATCGGGCCGGATTTCGAGACGTCCGGCCCTCTCCTCGGCAGCTTCCCGAGCCTGCCGCTCTTGCAGCAACAGGTTCTCAAGCTCCTTCACGCGGGCGCCTTGGCTGTCAAGCTCCCTTTTTGCGGATGACAGAGCCTCGATCAGCGACAAGATCTGGCTGGATTCCCGTGAAATGGCTGGGCTAGCAGGCCCGAACTTCTGCTTCTCCGTGTCGGTGGTGTCCGAGCGTTTGAGAGGAGACATGGCGTCCACGCCATTCCGGGGCAAAGCATCCGGCTTTTCGGGCAACGGTTGCTGGGGCGGTGGTGCCGGGGGTTCGGAGAACCGAGAGAACGAATCCACACGAGGCATCTTCGGCCTCCCGTTCATCTGACGTGAGGCGCTACTCTCCGCCGGCGAGTGCTTGACCTTCTCCTTTTCGGGGGGGCCGTTCTTCATGATCGTCGTCAGGAAGTCGTCCGTCTGTCGAAGATCTTGGGATTGCTGTTTGGCTTGTTTCATTTCGTTCTGTGTATAAGATTAGCACGCTTGTTGCGCAGTGTCCCTCAGTATCAAGGCGCCATACCGTGAGCCGTTTGACGACCTGCTCGATCGAGATCGGCGAATTCCAGTAATTCATCTGCCTTTGCTGTTGCATCGCATTGAACTGACTGCTGGCATTGCTCTGGGTACTCCGGTTGCTCATCGTGCTGCCGGCGCGCCCGCGGAGGTGTGCCAGCGGCTGGCTCAGGGGCGAAGGAAGCAGGCCATTGCCAGAGGAGGGATCCAGGTCGCCCAGAGTGAGGTCCAGAATGTTGGGCAACGAGCTGTAGATCCCCGCGTGCTCCACCTTGGCACAGACTTTGTGGTGCACGACCGTTTTTCCGTCCTCGCTAACAATGTCGATCCCCAGCTCCAGGATGTCACCTTCGCGGAGCTCATGGGGCTCCGACTCGCGATTCTCGGGAGACAGTCTCTTCCCGCTCACAAAGGTCCCATTGGACGATTTGATATCCCGGATCCAGATCTTCCCGGTCTTATCGGCCCAGATTTCCGCATGCTGTCGGGAAAGCACCTTGGAGTCGAAGTACCCGTTCATGGGGGTGGGCACCGTTTTCGCGTTTGTTTGCCGACCGATCCGCAGGACTTCCGGGTAGAACGGTACGTTGATCTGTTTCTTTTCGAAGGTTCCGTTGAGAGGGATGAGGGTCAAGACGGCGGGAGGGTCCCCGGATGGCGCGCTACCAGCGCGGACGCCATTCTGCTGGGGAGACTGAAGCATGTGTTGGGAGGGAACGATGGAAGACGGCTGCTGAAGGGCCGACATGGTCGAGGCGGCTGCGGGCCCCGAAAACGCAGGCATTACTTGGGGGCGGGCGTTGCTCACCCCGGCTACCGGGTCGGACTTGGAGTTTGGCCAGATACCCCTGGAGGGTTTTTTTTTCGAAGACCACGTGCTAGATTCGGAGTTCGAATTCTGCGCGGCATCGGCCGTCTGCGGATGCGCAGCGACAGTCGACGTAGATGAGGTTGTGGATGCTAGAGAGGACGACGAATTCGATCTCTGAACGGTCTTCCTTGGCATGAACATGCGCGAGACTTCTTCCGCGTTCATCGAAGACAGGGGCCCTTGTCCTCCGTTACCAGGATCGTACCATCCCAAACGAGACCCCGATTGCACACTAGGCGGAGAAGCCACTGCAGTCATGGAGAAGGATACAACCGGTTGGGAAGGAGCGTTCGATGGCGGGCCGGGTCGGTCTTATTTCATTGGTACTGGCCAACCCGATGATGTTGTGTCGAGGCGACGAGAGGGAAGGGGCGGAGGAAAAGGGTGGTCGTCTTGAAGATCCCCTTCAGTTTATTCTTCGTTTTCCTTTTTTTCCTTTCTAATATTGTTCCCTTGGATTTCTTTATTTTCCTTCCCTCTTCCTCGTGTTATGCGACGATATTCGATCAGATAGGGTGAGAAGCGAACGTTCCGCGGGCCAAAATATATGGGTCTTGGATCCTCACGCACTGTTTAGGGAGTCACGTTAGCCCGGTTCAGGGCCGCCCAGAGAGCCAAGGGTTGCTTTTCTAGCCGAGATAGGGCGGCACAGGACTCATTCCCGCAATCAAGGGCACGGTGGAATCATCAAGCTTACCTTGAACACAAACACGGATGTTATGAGATGAGCGAGAGGTTAGATCAAGGGGAATCCGAGGGACGATAAGACAAATGTCGTGAGGTGGTAGGTGGTATAAGGTCTTGGCTTTGACCCAAGGAGCGACCGGACCCAAACAGGAGGGTCAAGGAAGGGGGGGCGGCTAGTAGAAATAGAGTCAAACAGGGCGATGATAAATCAAGGCGAGACACAGAGAAGGCGTAAAGGGATCCTGTAACCCAGCAAGACCAGCGGAATACTGGGAGGGACAGGGAAATGGAAGGGATCGCATGGGTGGCCACAACGGATGATCCATTCGAACCCCCAAAACTCTCCTCCTTCCGGTCGCTGCACGTGACCTGCACGTGTGCCGGAGGGGACACAACGGCTGTCCCGATGCGGTCTAGTGGGGTCACGTGCTGCGGGATGGGTCCGATCGGTGGAATTGAATGGGTCGGTCAATCATGGTGAGCTTTGCAGTCGGTCTTCCACCTCGGTTTCATCGCCGGTCACTTCACCCCTGCATTGTTCCTGCACCGTATCAAAGGATCGGGTGCTCGTTTGACTTTCTTACAAAGCTTTTCTTCTCTGAACTCGGTTGAAACAACCTCCCTCCTTTCATCATGCCCGTCGTCGCAGGACCTCCCCAGGGCCATGGCCCGTCCACTTTCGACAAGAGTAAGTCTCCTCAGTCGCAAGCCCATCTCCGGTGGACTATTTTTAGTGTTGGGGTGAATGGGCTGCTGTGAGGTGGGTACGTGGTGGGCTGACATCGTCTCTAGTGAAAATGGGTGCTATGATGGGCTCCAGTAAGCTTGCGACAAACCTTCCCTGTCCGGCTGGTTCTCGGGCTGGCTAACCGATCGATTTCAACGTTTAGCGGTTGGTGGTATCATGGGTTTCATCATCGGTCAGTGTGTTTTCTGGGGTTCTGCTGGACAATGTCGCTCATACATCACAGGAACCGTGACGATCTTCCAGTACGGTGCTGGCCCCAATGGCGTCATGCGTACTCTGGGTAAATACATGCTTGGATCCGGCGCAACCTTTGGGTACGTATCTCCCTCTGGGACTTGCTCACCCTGTGCTGACCTATATCTCCTCGGTAGTCTGTTCATGTCCATCGGTAGCGTCATCCGCACCGAAGGACCCTACAACGATGCCTGGCTTCGTGCCCGCGGTCCCCCGATGATGCTCCCCCGTCAGCACCCCCTGCGATCCGCTCGCGAATAAACGAGCCATCTCCATGCTTAACACGTCAGTGGGAGATACCTTGCGTGTGGGCTAGCCCTAGTTTGTACGATATATCCGGGGTCTCTTCGAGGCCCTTCCTTGGAAGATGGGAAGGGTCCACGTCGGTCACTGGAAGGAATTTTGACGAGCGGTGTTGCAGAGGATTGTGTTATGATGTATATACTCTTTGAGCATTGGGCGGATTGAGGGCAACTTCAATCCTGCGAGGCAATTCCTCTTGGCGTTGCAGCACGGTTAATCATTTAATGAAGAATGGACATGAAGCATATTCATTCATAGACGTCCCTGGGGGGTTGTATCTGCGGATGTTGTGGTCCTCCGGTTCATGGACTGCGCCATTCTAGGGGCGAGGTGAATCGTTTCTTGTGTCGTCTCATGGGACCTGTCCTTTCTTGGTGTTGATTCATCACGTGGATGGAAGGCATGCTCAACCCATGTTCAGCTTAACCTATTCAGCTATCAGTACTCGTAGTACTCACGCGTAATCAGAGACCGTTACATAATAAGCTTATAGTTTCCACTGTATCAAACAATAGTCGTCTGATCGACAATAATAGATAATCGGTCGCTCCCGGTTGACCTGGGATGTCCCTCTTACTATGGCGGAAAACAACAATAACAAGAACAGAATAAAGAAAAGTAAAAAAAAAAAAAAAAGAAGAAGAAGAATACTATGGACATTTTGCCGATACTTAGTATATGCATTATGCACAGACTTATGTAACGTATTTCGACATGTCGATTTCGTAAACTGTCGGATAGGTATAGATATATATTGTTCGGAGATCCGCCTGGAACCTCATTGATTTGTGTAGTCAGCTCAGAACAATACGCCAAATAGGGATTATCATCTCGAGATAGACAGACTCTAGTTAACAAGCTATGCATTTTCTTTCTCATATATTCGAAGGAAATTTTCCCACTATAGACACCAACGCTCTACACAACCGCGGTGATGATTCCCAGGCACGATATTGAATACCCTCACACAACTCAATACTACCCCATCATAGTTTTGATAGAGGATTCGCCCTTCAACAAATCGGCAAGATGGCCGAGCGGTCCAAGGCGACAGGTTAAGGTGTACCTTAACAACAACTTTACAAGTTCCTGTTCTTCATTTGAAGGCGTGGGTTCGAATCCCACTCTTGTCAATTCTTTTTGCTTTTTTCATCTTTTTGATGTATCCCCTTTTTGCTCTGCTAGGTGTGGGGGCAAAGTGGGGATTGAATAAACAGTATTATCGTACGCTTTTGCAATTTCGCGAGCCCGAGTTGGAATGATTTTAAGGCAGAAATAGCCTGTGCAGTAAGCCTTCAGCCCAAAGCCCTAACCTATAAACAATGCGAGACTGATCGAGGTAAAAGAAGCAAGTGAAAAGAGAGTCGGGTTTGAAACCCCTTCCTATTATCCGGACGGTAGTGTCCGAGTACAACCACCAGGCAGTGTGTTGGCACTGTAATTTGGTGTCCTCTCGATTTCTGAATCATTAGTTGTGAAGACAAGCCAGCGAGACTTTGAAAATGAGCCATTGCCATTATAACTGGCCGAAACTGATACTCTATAAACTACAGATCCTTTCGAAGGGGAATTCAAAATTTTGTGTACTTGTATTTGTATAGTTGTGAGGTTGCAGAGTCTCACTGACTATTGTCTCACCAGATAATGCTGGTTGTGGGATAGCTATAGGATAGTCATAGGATGGTTATGGGTTGGTTGTCAACAGTTGTATATAGTTGTATAGGGTTGTATAGGGTTGTATAGGGTTGTATAGGGTTGTAGAGGGTTGTATAATAGTTATCTAAGGTTTGGTCTAGTATTACACCGGTTGAAAGATAGTGTAATACCATGCCTGAATACTATCTGATGTAGTATACAACAATGAGATGGTCATAAATCCTACGATAGTTTGGTAGGCCACACCAGACTTGTGACAGAATAGCAACAAGTTTATTGTCGATATCGAACAGATAAACTATTAACAGAAAGGCTAGATCTCAAGGAAACTTAGCAATGAGCGTAGCCATTACCCTGTCCTCGACTGTAGAGCGGTGACCGAATCTTATTGTATTTTGGCTTACCTTAAGTCCTCTCCTCTAACTACGGTCCGCCTTTGAAGATATCCACCGATATCACCAAGTTCTTTCAATGCGCTTCTCTCAAGACCTGCTGATATCCACGTTAACAGGGTATGTAGATAAGTGGTGGCTGCAGGTGATCATGCAAGCCCCAGACAGCGAAGATAAGACGTGTCATGCCCTTATAGCTTATAGTTACTACTGCTCACCTTGGCCCCTCAATTTATCCGGTCCTGTCATATCATGTACTGTTCAAAGAAAAAGTATTCCATGTAGAAGGGATACTTATCTCGTGGGGTATTTACATCCTATGAGAGCGGATACTTGTAGCTTGATGCATTTGTCTACTCCAGGGAGATAGGTAAAGGAGTCAAGTCATTGTACTTCTATTGGACCCTACCTTACAGTACATTCCAGCGCAGGATATCACTACCCGTGGAAAGATTAGGATGAGGGGGTTTGGCGTCCTTAACCATTTATCCTATCCTTCTCCTTGGCTGTCTTACCACCATTTACTGGAGTGAAGAAGGCCCTAGGAGAGCCAGCAAGGTACTCTACAGCGATTGGAATGATATCCGAAGAGATTCATAGCTGGATACCAAAAATAATCTTGCCTTGATAATCTTCCATCGTCATATGTGAGCCAAATTGCCATCTGACCGTCAAGGGGACACTCCTTCACCGTCAAGGGGACACCCCTTCACCATGCCTTTGGGCCATCCCCAAAGTGAAGATAGAGCCCCAGTACATCTTTCTGATGTGGGTGGTAGATTGATGCTTAGATTAAAACTTGGATACTTTCTACGTATCTATGCCATTAATAATGTGATCTCGGTTATGTCGTGTATAGACCCGGCCCTTGCTTCTTGAGATTACGGACATCTCGTGTCCCTCTGGTAAGTATTGGCTATAGTACCACTGTCATCCCTTGCGAATTAAAATCAAGTAATCCTCTAGTCATAACCCCACGAGAAACATAGATACAAGCTTGACATGGGTCCTTTGTTGCTCAATAAGGGTTAGGGCTCATGGCCGACCAAGCTTCTTTGTGCTCACCAGCCACTATCTGCCAGATTTATCTTCCAGCCATGATTCGGTCGCATGGTAAAACCCAACTAGCAAACGATTTCATACAGCCAACATCGACTTCTTGTCTCCCATCTTCGTATTTGCAAGCTCAACCTAGATAGCGTTCCTGCTGACAGGAATGATGCCCTCACCAAGCTATTAACAAATGCCAATAAATATCCAATGGCAAGATGGCCGAGCGGTCCAAGGCGACAGGTTAAGGTGTACCTTAACAGCAACTTTACAAGTTCCTGTTCTTCATTTGAAGGCGTGGGTTCGAATCCCACTCTTGTCAATTCTTTTTGCTCAATTTCAGCACCTCTCGATGAGGCCCGCTAAGTTTTGTTTTTACATCCGCTGTATTCCCACATCTCTTTTTTGCTCCTCTGTGACCAGCACAATTGGCTGGTTGTTTCGAAACCTATCATGCATGTACCACGTACATGCATATCCCGAATGCCCATATTTCATCAGCTCCGCACGTGTAATTTCCAACTAGTCATAAAAATAATATAACGCCCAGTGTCTTCCAAAAAAACATATGTAGCAGAACCCCTTTTGTTTGTTTCTCGAAACCTTCACCCATATGATAATGGGTGGGTAGTACACAAAAAGCAAAAAGAACTGACAAGAGTGGGATTCGAACCCACGCCTTCAAATGAAGAACAGGAACTTGTAAAGTTGCTGTTAAGGTACACCTTAACCTGTCGCCTTGGACCGCTCGGCCATCTTGCCTCTGACATAATCAAGCTACCGGTCTAGTGGTTGGTGGCCTCGCCAAGGCGTTGTCGGGCACTTTTCACCCCCCCCCAAACACCGGATGCTGTCCTTGCATGCAGGATTGATGCCTCCACACCGGCTCGTTCAAGCTCGATATGGGGCACACATCCAGAGAATGAGAGTGGTTTACGCAATCGACGGACCATACAGCTCCTTACAGCTCTTGACGCGATTTTATGGCCCCCTTGCAGGGGTATTCACGGTGCTCATCGGAGTCTATCAACCCCCGTGCTGGCTAATAGCACCGCCTGGTATCCCACTCTGTCGCCCCAATCCCGTACCTCTCGATGGGGCCCCTGGTACCTAGACTGTGCCATGAACTATTCCTGGTCAAGAGGATGAAGAGGAAGAGGAACAGGAAGAGAGTCCTTTCCAACATATAAGAAAAGGCTTGTGAAGAGCATGAGACGCGGAATCTACCTTTCCTCTTCCTCTCAAGCTACGATCCACACGGAATCCTTCCGGGCCCACGAACCTCCCGTGAGCTTCTACAGCCGTACGATTGACTTGGCAAATTATATGTCCAGACCGTACGGTACCGTCGGGGGCGCATGCTAGCTCGCTCGACTGGTAGTTTGGTGGGGGCCGTTTTATATATACCCAACAACTAACTGTATCTTCCTTCAGGCTCCACTCTGGTCGGGCCGTTGCTGTTGGAATGCATAAGCCACCGGCCTAATCTATGGTTGGTTACACTGCGCGGTTAGTGCAATCTGAAATCTTGAGCTATACTGTATGTATAATATAGGGAATCGTTCTCGAGCTGGGAATCCTGAAGGATGATATCCGCTGTTATAGCGGGCCAAACACATGACTAACCAATAGGGATAGTAGGAATGATGTAAAAGAGAAAAGGGAAAAAATATACGGAACGCCGGGATTTTACAGGAGAAAACATCCCCGTTCCCGTTCCTGTTCCTGTTCCTATTCCTGTTTCTGTTCCTGTTCCTGTTTTTGGCTCCCTCGCGGATCTCCAGCCACTCGCTGTGGGACGGTGCGCAGATGCCAAGAAGCAGCAGCCCTAGTTTTCGAAAACGCGAGAAGGATGCTGATGGATTATTCGTACGACAAACTGGCTGCTCCAAGGCGTGCAGAGCCAGTCTGCTGGGTAAGATAGTGGGCGGGCTGGCTGGGAGAACAAGGTCTCCGGACTTTACGCATGAGGCGAAGGGGGCAATTTGCGAGCTCCTGTTCCGTGAGAATGAGCATGTAGATGGGGCAGGGCAGCTGTTTTACATCTAAGATGTCGGAAGATATCATTTTGGAACTGGTTGTATTTCTCAAATGAGACTCTTTTACAATCTGAAGGATACCGTGCTATCATAGTTCACTAGCAGTTCGCCCATGGCCCCCCGGCTTCCCAAATAGCCTGCTGCACACATGACCCGCCAATCTGAATCGGGAGGTGAAAGTATACCCATTTTTGACCCGCCTGATTGCGAACCGGATTGACTTCCCATTTTGTGATCAGGCCGCAACGGGACATTTGCTTCCAGAGGTTCGATCCGTCATCCGTCATCCAGCCGCTGCTGTAGATGGTGACTTGATCGACGGAAAAACTGTATTCCCTTTTGCAGATGGGCCCGTAAGGGTTTGGAACGTCATCTTGCGCCGGTTCAGTGCAGCATTGGTTGTCTATGATGTTGCCTAAACGGTGTCAGTCACACAGGGACGCTAGAAGCTCAATGTAGATGGGTGGCTAGCTACCTTCGGCATCATGGAGGCAGTTGTCGTCTTGGTAGTGAACATCGCCATATTCCGACGGCCAGCTGGCTGTGAGCTCACAGCCGCCTTTTTTGTTATACCAATCGGCGTCCTCGCTGTCGAATTTGCCATAAATCTTCACCTTATTGGTCTCTGCATCGGTACGTACAGTCGCTGTTTGTTGGAAGCAGTGTCAGCCAGACGTTCATAGTCAGAGGCGCATTGGGCCGCCGAGGGTGACTTACCTATATCCCAATGTCCGCAGATCGTCTGGCCATTGACAGAGATACATCCGGAATCAACATGCTGCCCATTAAGTCAGCGTTTGCACTATTGTGCGATTGGTTTCGGGGAGTAGAAGAGTAGGGGACTCACGATTTTGGTTCCATTGCCGTGGGAATCCACCGTGGTCAAAGAGGGATCAGGCGTATACATGGGCTTAAGATCGCTGGTCTGAGAAGCATCTTCGGTGTTGGAGGGTTGGGAATTGTTTTCAGTATTAGACGGCTGGGAATTGTTTTCGTTGTTGGACGATTGGGAGTTGTTTTCGTTGTTGGACGGTTGAGAGTTATTGTCAGTGTTGGCGGGCTGGGAACCATTGTCGGTGTTAGACGGTTGGGAATTGTTTTGGGTGTTAGAGGCGCCCGGAGCGTCGGCAGGGCGTCCGGAGCCGGTGATGATTGGGAAATTCGGTATGGCTCTAAAGGTATTGATATCCGTTGTGATTGTGATAGTCCTCGTGGCAAGGGTTTCGCCTGGAGGTTCGGTAGAGCTGCTTTCGGGTTCAGTAGTGCTGCTCTCGTCCGACGAGGTGCTGCTGGAGCTGCCAGTGGGCTCTGCACCCGAGCCCGATCCAGTACTATTGCCCGAGCTAGACTCGGTATCACCATCGGAGCTAGACTCATTGCCGCCATCGGACTCATTGCCGCCACCGGAGCCAGTCCCAGCACCGTCACCGGAGCCAGCTCCAGCACCACCACCAGAGCCAGACTCGTTACCACCACCAGAGCCAGTTCCAGCACCAGCACCACCGCCAGCTCCAGCACCACCACCAGAGCCAGACCCTACCGGCACTGTTTTACCAGGGTTCAGCGTCTCCCCAATACTGTCGGCTGCCGGAAATATGTCCGGTTTGATCCAAGAAGGCACCGAGCCGAGAGGCCACACTATCATGCCCGCGGAATCAACCACGGCAGGTACGGCAGAACCACCTACGCTAACAATGAGCGGCAGACCCGCAGCTGGAATGAGTGGTAGTGCGGCCAGCAGATCATCCGATGCCTCCTCCTTAACGAAGGTCGCCGTCTGCTGGGGATTTGACGGGTTCGTCACAACAGCTGCTGCGGCGCTGGCAGGGGAACCGGTTGGGTCAGACATGCTGACTGAGGCGGTTGCTATCAGGTAACCATCAGAAGAAGAGGAATTCTCTTGGGACTGTTGCCCATGCTGGTCGGAATTGTTGGAGTCGGATTCGGATGTATCGCCAGATGTGGGCAGGGTTGAATTGTTCGAGCCAGATTGGGATGAATCGCCAGATGTGGGTAGGGTTGAGTTGTTCGAGCCAGATTGGGATGAATCGCCAGAGGTGGGCAGGGTTGAATTGTGTGAGCCAGATTGGGATGTATCGCCAGAGGTAGGCAGGGTCGAATTGTAAGAGCCAGATTGGGATGAATCGCCAGACTTGGGATGGCCAGAGACGGAGTGGCTAGGGCGCGGACGACACGCCTTGCCAGGGCGACGTCTAGATGAATTGGCAGGGAGATGATGAGATATCTTGGTAGCAGCAGGGTGATCTCCGGACGATGAGGTCATTTCAGGCGTGACATGTCTCTTTCCAGGTCTCACCTCGGGATGTGCATAGACTCCCTGCAGTAGGAGGCCGCAAGTAAGAAGCCACGCAGCAAACCGCATTTTGCTCCTGACTTCTGTTAGAGAATCAAGTTGGTAGATGGATGGGGAATGATGAGACGAGGAGGTGGACTATATCGCCAGCGTCCGGGTATTTATCATATAGTCCGTCCACGCTCTTGACTCCAACACAGCGAGCGTGGATCATCCATCTTCCTCTTGATCCCCTGATCGGAGATTGAGGGAGGAATTGCGTCCGTGGTGTCTTGTTAGAAAATTGGTTGTAAAGGACCGGACCCGGATGTGATCTTCACATCAATCCTTCAGGATCAACGGGCGTTTTTCAACGGCTATTGGCAGAGCATGTTCCGACGGAGAGTCATGGTCTGCTTTCGACCCCACAAGGATTGTCGGGCGCCGTGGGCCGATCGACGACGATATAGAGAGGATTTGCATTTGTCCCCGAGTCTCCGACATCCTCCACGGTAGAGGTTTCAAGGCCGGTCAGAAGGATTCCCTTGGTAAATTGAGCTGGGTAGATTGACGACCACAACCGTTCATAAGACATGCAACACTCCCCATCCACGGCGATGTAATACTTCTCAACCACTCCTCTTGTTCCCTTGTTCATTATGTTGTCCCGGGCCGATCTTCTACTTCTCCTGCTGCTGTCCTCTTGGGCGGCAGCTTCCCGTGTGGTGAGGAAACAGCACGATGGTGCCAGGACCTTCCCGGCCAGTGAATGTGGCAACCCCTGCACCGTCGAATTCGAGTCGATCACCACCACTGTGACGGTGGCACCCCCAGACCAAACGGTCTCGGTGGAAAGCTTGACCAAGGATCTCACCTTCGCATTCTCCCCGCTCACCACAGTCGCAGTGGTCGGACCAGCGGCCCAAACATTCCCCAACGATGATCCCTCTGCCACCCCGACCATCACTCTCCATCCGCTGGATCTAGGCTCAGTGTTCCTCCTCGGCGAGGAGAAAAAGGGCGTTAAAGATATCGCAGACGCTCTTGATGATCCTGTGGGCGCCATTACAGACCATGTGACTGGTAAGAAAGGTTATGTCCTGCCGCTGGAAGTAGCAATCGAGGTCACGAAGTATCGCGTACCGTCGCAGTATAGTCCCTACCAATTGAGCGGCGATTCGGCCCTGGTCACATTGGCCCAGTTGACGGGTCAGACAATGGATCAGCTCAAGCAACAAGCGCAATCAGTGGTGGGAGATTCAAACAAGGGCATTACGACGGATCATCTGAAAGGCCTCCTCGACAAAACGGGTCGAAACTACCGGTGAGCAGAATATCCTGAGTCACATAATTCTTTCGCTGACCCTTGGAAATAGGCTGGAAGAGTATGACACTCAAGGACCGTGGGACTTCCCCGTATTGGCGAGCCAGCTCGGCGTTCCTGAAGGTCAGATTGGGCTATGCTACGCCCGGGATGATTTCACAGGGAATTGTGTCGTATATTACGACGGCACTCTCAAAGATTACCAGGCTGGTACTAACGCGCCTGAGTTCACCAAAGACAAGGACACGCCAGTCTGGGAGTTGATCGGTGAGCGCAATCTCAAAAGCCCGGAGGGACGTGATGCTTCGGTCATATCATATGTTTTTGCCATCTTGGAGGAGAAGAAGGAGCAAAATAAGGATTCTTAGTTATTGGATAGACCGAAAGTTGTGATCCTCAGCTAGAGAAGTGATCGATATAAAGGCTCGACTGTACTGTATCGGGGACTATGAACTTGATAGAGTACATCATATATATTAGCAAGATACACACAACTCCTTGTAGAGTTGCAGAAGGGATATTTCTTAAACGACGACGACTGATTCTCGAATATTGACACGTAACTCACATATTTCCAACGGTCGTGCATTCTTTATTCGACACAAAACAGCCGGATTGTAGGGCACAATGCGTCCTCGATTTTGTCTCAAAACAGGCACCGGTAGTGAGCCATAGAGGAACAGACCCTCATAGATCAACCAGTTCGTCAATGCTATAATGAGAGACCAAAGTGCGCTCACTTGCCTGCTGCAACTTGTTCTTGACAATGGTGTCGATGTTGGCCCGCTCTTCCGCACTAAGTAAACCATATCGATCCTCAATTGTACTGAATGGGCCATAAAATTTGGATCGATGAACTTCCAATAAATTTCATCAAACATAGAACCATGGCGAGAAGGGAGGCAAATCCAAAACAATCCAGTCTCGAACGACTGCTCCATAGTAGGGGATAGTCGCTGTGATTGTAACAAGGAACCATTGTTGATCTTCTCGGTCTCACAATCGCGGAGGGCCTCGAGAAAAGTGTAGAACCTCGGCATGAAACGGACCAGGAACTGGTCGAGATCGGCTTCCCAGTCTTCGGGCTTCTCCAGCAAGAGCCACCAAGGAGCAGCATATGTGAATTCAACAGGAGCAGCATACGTAAACTCCCAACCCACCACTCCAGTAACAGCAAGACTTGATGCATCAACAAGGACATCGTCAGGACGGAGGTCGTCGCAATAGGGTCTAAAAGGACCGTTACAGTGCTCCTTGGATATATCACGCGACAATTTGCGGAACAGACAACGCGCAACGTACTTTCTCCGGCAGTCAGCCTCGTCTGTCACTGCATCGTTGCGCTGTAGCTCAAAATGGTGGAAATGCTGGCGGGCAAGCTCCTCGAAATGATCTGCCGCGTTTTCGAACTGCTGTTGGCTAAAGACACCGTGGGGGATGTTAGAGAACTGGTCAAGTCGATTCATGCTGAAAGTAAGTGGTGGTTTCTGTACACCCCACTCCCCTGTCTCGTCCGGTCTCACGGCTCCAATGAACGGGAACTCGGGCTTTGACAGTTCTAGCAGGATCTCAGCCATTCCAAAGTAAGCCCTCCTCAAGACAGACTTGTGGATATCTGAGCGCAGTGTGACTTTCTCCGGGGTCGGTTCTCTGAGGTATCCACTCAGCGGCTTCCCCTCTAGAAACTCTATGACAATGTACGGGCCAACGGCACATCTTCCAGATCACAAAACCTTTGGAATAGGGACCGCCGTGTGTTGAGCAACGTATTGCATGATGGCAAATTCATCTTCAACCTTCTCATTACGGGCAATGACCCGACCAAGAGCAGTAAAACGGACTAGGACATGGTGGCCGTCATCGTAGGTAACGCGGTAGCATATATTGAAAGCGCCGTTTGTCAGCCGCGCAGCTCTCACAGGTGTACCGGGACAATGGCGGGCAGCAACCTTGCCTGCCAGCTCTTCCGGTGAATTTTTAAGCAGGTTTTGGAGCCACACCTGAAATATCAGATTCGATTGCTTTTTTGCGAGATGGTCGAAATCCATTCTGCTAGTACTGCGATGTGGTCCTCATATCAGAAGAGAGCATAAAACAGCACCCACCGGAGAATCAACTAAGTCGAGTCAACCTACACGTGATTCAATACTCATCTATTACGAGGCATGATATATCAGTAAAAAGGGCCAATCGAATTGATAAAAACTTGACGTGGTTGATAAAATTAATGAGACTGAGAGACGTGAAGATGGGACTTTCGGACCTGCAGGAAACACAATGAAGACTGAGATGTTCCTAGTCAGGTGACAGTTCACGCTTGACCCATTATATCCAGCATCTTTTCACTCTCTGTGGCAATGATGGTAACATAAATCTCATCCAACAAGATACAGTAAGGTATAGTTGCAAAGCATTCCCCACATCCACTGATTATTTTCTCTCATGACCCACTGAGACGTAGACTGCCTGACCGATATGGCACCAAGATGCTGATGTAAGACACTTATCATCATCACTGATCCATGACAGAAAGAAACAGAAACCAATACCAACCCAATTACTCGTACAACAAGCCCATTCGATCTCGGTATCTAAAGCAGAAGAAGAAGAAAAGCAACTTAACATGCCCCGCGTCCCCACAACCAAGGAGGTCGTGCCCGGCGCACCCGTCAACATCGTCTTAAAAGCCGACCAACCAACCGGTCGCACAGTCTCGGGGACCATTGCCGCCGTGCTGACTCGCGGGAACCATCCGCGGGGCATCAAGGTCCGACTCACGGATGGTCGTGTTGGGAGAGTGCAGTCCATGGGGATGGGGGGGAATTCGCAACCGGCAGCGACAGCGACAGAGGGACAGTGGACGAGGAGAGGCGATCCTCCCGGGGCCGAGGTCCCCTCGTCGAATGTCGGCCTCGATGCCTATGTGGTTAATGCCAGACCGCGGCAAAACCGGAGAAACGAACGGCGAGATGAGCATCAGGACGAGCCTAAGGAGGAAGGCCCGACGGTGACTTGTCCTGTTTGTGGGGATTTTGAGGGTGATGAGACGGCTGTTGCGCATCATGTGGCTGGTCATTTCGCTGACTGAATCATCGTCTTGAGAGTTCAGTATTGCTTCAGAGATACCCTTATACAGCGAGTGGGAGGTTCTTGCAGTCGCTATCATGTCCCTCGGCAAGTTTGGTAGGACAATTGTATCTATTATATGGCTGGTTTTGCTTGTGAAGTAATATAATTCAATTATATCTATGACTAGAGCTCATGCTGACCAGACCGTTTAGCTACCAGTGGGGACGGGAAAGCGCTGAACCAACGGGAGAAATCTTTCAGGAAAAGATGGCGCGTGGTCTGCCTATTCGAGAACCGAACTATCTTTGGGAATTTACCAGACGTCAGGATAAGCGTCACTTCATTGTTGACCTGAGTCACTTGCTATTAGAAGGCCGTGAGCTACCCCTCGTCGCTAACTCCCAAGAGGTGATACATAAGCCAACTACTACAAATCCACTAGAGATACTATAAATTGGAAATACAAAGAAGAATTCTTCATATCACTGAAAAAAGCAGACCGGCAAAACAGCCTCCATAACAGTGTCGAATAGAAAAAGTGAAAATCAGGAAGGACCACCATCAACTCCTATACACTACGTCCTTCCTAGTCATCGCCAACACCACCTCACAACGGAACAATCTTCAACATAGCAGCGTTCCCAGAGTCCTTACCCCAGATCTCAGCATGCTCAGACAGAGCAGTGAGATAGAGCGAAAACCGACCGTCTATACCAGCACTCCTGCACGCGGGCGTGATATCGACGTAGTCCATGCTCCTAGTGAGAGGCGGCACCGTCACCGTCTTGAAGGCGGGCGCGGAAGGAGGCGCATTGTCACCATTGACAGTCGCCTCGTCCCAGTCCGACGAGAGCGCCAGGGCGAAGGTGACCTTGAACTCGTTGGGGAGTAGGTCCCCGAAGCCTGGGAAGAGGATCGAGCAGGATTTCACGGAGAAGCCTGGCATCGGTTGCTCGAGGCCTACCAGGATCTGGCTTTCGTCTTCCCCGGTGGCGCTGGCCATGAGGGTGTCTTTGAGGCCTAGTGTGCATTGGTTGCACTCGCCGGATGGGCAGTCCGTGCAGTTGCCGGAGCGGACGATCGTTGCGTCTTTGACTACCGTGGTGTAGGTATATTCGGTTGCTGGTGCTGGAAGAGCTGTCGCTAGGATGGGAAGGGCGAGCAGCGCGTGGAGGTATGTCAGGAGATTCATGGTTGATTAGATTGGGAGGATTGATAAGATATTTGAATGAGACCGATGCGAATGGTGATGATGTTGTTATCAAGATATATTCGATTCTAATAGACACTGTGTGGGTCGCTCATCGTAGGAACTATTTATACCTCCGTCTACCAACAATAGTTACCTAGACATGTCGTGGTAAGCCCAGTTGAAAACCGACGTCTCCAGATCCAAGCGCAGCTGCCGCTCGTATTCCATGATCTTCGGCACCTCCATGTGAGAGGTCCCGGGGGGCATGCATATCCGGTTGGTCGGTCTATGGAGGCGTCGCCTGAGCTTTTGACAACAATACAGTGTCTTGGATATTAATAGGAGTGGCTTTATTGCTGCGTGCCTTCCGGGCAATAGAACCGCTCGAAGCTAAGACATATGAGTCCACGGATATATATATATGGTCCGAGACAAAATCGCAAGACTGCACGGGCTGTGTATAGAAGCTGCAGGGATTTGGTTGTTCAGGAATAAGCCCGATGGACTGATTACGGGTGCTTGCATTGCAGTGCTACAAATAGATGCTGCCATCGGGTTCGTCGCTGTCAGGAGCTGATGTCTCCCTATTGATGCCCACTCGGGCGAGAAACGATGGCATAAGCAGGTGATGACTTGATGTAGGAAAATTTAAATATCTATTGACCTCGGGCCAAGATACATGTATACTCAATCATTCAATTTACTATGAGATGAATGTTTAAGATTTAAAGACGAATTTCTGTCCATCAAGCCTGATAGGTCATGGAGAGAGCATCTATACCTAGGAGAGGCACCTGATTCGATAGCCTATACATATTGATATTAAGAACCCTTCTTTCATCAAATGGCAAGATGGCCGAGCGGTCTAAGGCGACAGGTTAAGGTGTACCTTAACAACAACTTTACAAGTTCCTGTTCATCGTATGATGGCGTGGGTTCGAATCCCACTCTTGTCAGTTCTTTTTTGCTGATGATTGAATTTTTTTACTTCTTGAAGGTGTGTATCCGGTGAGAGTGGAGTTCGGTTGTTCATGGTTCTCCAGTAACGCCTATCACAGATCCGGTTAGCTCCTTCAAGCAGTTCGCTGGTTCTGGCATCTACAGTATACCAAGCCCTAATCATTTTTACTATATACGACCACTTGTTGGGAACAGTCGGTCTGTCTTTCCTTGTCCCTGATTTGAATATGTTGCTCAAATGTTACTCGACGAGCCAATAGATACTCTTGGCTCCGGGCAGAATCTCTATACTACGCCACTTAAGAGCGGGACTGGGTGTAACGGTCTAATTTTGGATAGGACAACATGGTTAGGCAGTCTGCAATTGCTGGACCAAAGCTGAACCAGAAGTTGCATGTCTGTTGTGTACCACTTGCCACATTTCAAATACTTGTCTCAGGTCAGCGGGGCCCATTGCATTTCGGAAAGGCAGGCTGAAGGAGATCAATCGCTCAAACATGTGGGATACCTGTATGTTGCCACCACGTGAGAAAGGGTTATCAGACATGGCATGTTGCAGGCGGACTGGATCTGTAAACGGATACATGCGTTGCTAAGGCGACTTGATTTAGGAACTCTTACTTCATCTAGTGATGGGGTTATTTACTTCAATGACTGCAAGTGTGTTACTTAGAGCATGAGTTACTAGAGCATGGGAGGCTGTACTCTCGATCATACATGATGCTGCCTGTTAGGCAGGAAGGCTCTTGATACTACCTCTAGATCTGCTCGTGGCACTTATACTATATCCACTACGGAGATGTAACAATTCTACTAAGAATTAGCTGAGCTATTAGTGCACATGGATAGCTTGTCTACCCTCTTTGATCTTTGATATAGCACGATAAATAGGCTACCATCAAAAATCGAAGTGCCATGGTATCTCTCTTATAGTGGTAATGGCGACCTTTCTTATGTCAATAGTAATTGTCTTGACGAGCACTTGAAGTGCACTGCCTTCTATTTTCGATGTCCACCATGTCTCTGATACTTGGTGTTCTACTGTCTCTGAGAGGCTTGTGCTAGAGCTCTCAGACTTTACTGGCTTGCCGAGTGATAAACATGAAGGTGTATGCTACTCCGATGCTATCCGTCTAGTCGACTTACCGTACCTACCTAAGGTAGGTAGCTGTGTAGCCCATGGTCCTCATAGGTAAGGATCCAGCTGATTGAAGTTAGACAGCTTACTACCCATCCATATAACAACAAATGGAAAGACGACTAGGAAGTATACGTCCCACACTCATGCAGACGACAGAATGGCAGGATGACAGAAAGTGACACAAGCCATTGTTTTTATCTACCAATATCTGACTGTAGTCAGCCTCTACATCCACCGATTCAGGGGTAAAAGGGCAAAAAGTCACCCACATGCAATACTATAGAATCAGCACGGGATCATCATCGTTCTCAATATAACTATTGCAGGCACCCGCACACCCCTTACTACCATCTCCTGGGTCTTGGGTAGATAGGTAGTTGGTACCCGATCAGTTGGGTCATCCTAATCAGAGTCTAACTATGCGCTTATAGCCCTGCATATCCCACTACGCATAGCATTACATTGATCGATCAAACACATGTGATTTCTGCAATCCCAATCACGGGCACCGGGACGAGTCCCGCGCCAGGAACAAACTCGATCGGCAGTTGATCTCCGCATAAGGGGGGAGAAGAGGGGGCCAACACCACCAACGACTGGCTCTGTCAGGGCTGTCATACTCGAATTATAACCAACTAACTGCCTTGCAGGATTCGCACTTATGACTTAGGTGCCGTTAGTTTGGCGCATTGCCCAAGTCTCCCTTGTTTCTTTTTGCTCGCTTATAGCTAGGCTAAACCGCTAAATAGACTAGTGTTGGCTCCGACACGATGGTCCCGTTATGCATACATACAATATGTTATTTGGGACCGGCGCCGCGGTTTAGTTAACTTGTCACTTGGCACGCTCGGCGGGTGACTAGGGGCTTGAAGTGCTAGTTGACTAGTGATTCTTGACAGACGGGGGTATCCAGTTAGACGGTTGAGGAGTGTCGATCGCTAATCCAGGTGCCTGATTCTTGGGTTGGCTGTTTCTGCTCACCCCTTAAATCCTTCTAGTCTGTGCTTTTGCACGCCCAACTAGGCGGTTTCTGCCCTGTGGTCCCGGAAGTCCGGTTATTGTCTCGCTTGAGGGATTGGATTCCGCTGGTGGCTGCTGGTGTGGGTATTGGATTCGTGTTGGGTTGGGTAGTGATTGGAGCTGGGAGGTCAAAGGGACCGGTGTCTTGGATACTTTCCCTTGATCATATCTCAAGAGAGGGGTTGAAGGTAGATTTCTTGATCTATCATATATGAGACTGTCACTGTGTTTAATGTCTGATTTGATGGTGGGTATTGTCGCGATGTCTACGAATTATTGCGTTGATGTCGGGAGTATAGTTCAGTTTGAAGGAGAGATGGGGCAGAAGAGATAAAAGGGAGTGAGCTGCAGTTTCTTGTACATTGACACTGTATTCTCGACGGAGGACGTTGATCGTGCGAGTATCTGAAGTACTCCGTCCACACTACACAGGGATCTCCCCTATGGTTGCTTTGTCTCGGGAGCGGACGTGAGCCCACCACTTCCGCCATCAGACGCCGGGACAAGTGGGACCGACAAAAGTACAAAGCACAAGACAAGACCTCTAGTTTTGTGGGAAGTACTAATAGGTTTACACTTGTATCTCCTTGTGCGGGTGGGGTATGCTGTCTGATGTCACCGATCCAATCAAGGTTACATCCTTACATCAGTTGCCAGAATATCAATTTGATGGATCAATTCAGATCAATTGAGGTGCAAAAGTCGGAATGGAACCTGGGGAGGCGCAATGGGGGCGAAGAAAGAGGCACAATCAGCCCCGATGGCTTGGTGGCTCGACTAAATGTTAACCTGTTTCAAGTATACAGAGAGCCTCGGCAGGCACTCTCCACTCCTGACCATCCCGTCCAATGGACAATGACGAGAAGTGGACATTGGAGGGTGATCCGATCGGATCACGAGAGAGGGGGCAATTGGGAGAGAAAAGCTGAGAGCTCCCCATGGCTGTTGCACAATATGCAAGTCAGGAGGCATGATGGTGAGGAAAACATGGGAGCTGAATGAGGAGAGGCCCCTCGGGGTCTAGGTTTTCAGATTGCGTGTCCTGAATCCTCGAGTGACAGACTGACCCACGACGACCCACTGTCGGCGACCAACGCGTTGTCCTAGAGCCGCTGACACCCAAGCAAGACTCGACGCCGGTCGATTCAATCAGATCATCTCACAGCCCTCGGAGGTACTACTGTAATAGAAAATCAATAAAAAAAAATAAATTAATAACGGCACCCGGATTGTGGCCTCCGTGGGTCCCGTCCTCGATGAGCTCATGCGAATTATGGGTAGCCTACCAGCCAGGCTCCATCTACTGGCGGGAGGCGGATGATCTGACGGGTCAAGTCCAATCCAATCCAATCCGGTGGACAACAATGCAATATCGAATCTGGTCTCTAGTACGGAATACCCCGTCGGGTGATGATTGATCGCCACAGCCACACCTCGAGCAGGTTGTTTGCAGAGTGCAGCTTGCATTTTGCATCGAATATCTGTTCCGAGTCCTCCCTTGTGCATGTGCATTGCATTACCCTCGCCTCCATTGGAGCTAAAAGGTCGACAGGGCTAACGGGTTAGTCTATCCGGGCCAGGGGGATTAGGGTCGGTTCCCCGAACGGTCGATTCTACCAGCCCATTGGGGCTGGGGGACAATCGGATGGATGCGACCTGACCGGTTGATCGATTCAAGGGGAGGGGGGATCCGTTTGCCGCGGGAAGGGGTGTCTTTTTTCTTCCTTTAGTCTGATGATCACGATGATGAAATCTTGATCCCTCGGTTGTTCTTTTCTCAGATGATTATTATGGATGTTAGATACTATTGAATGTTGGAGAATAGAAGATCCAATCATCGGAGATGTATCAACAAATAAACAAAGAGGAATCCATTAGGTCGACAGGTTCAGTCTTCTAAGAGCAAAGGTACCGAAGGAACCGGAAGCGAGACGGGAACCAAAGACCTGGAACGGGGGCGACAGGAGACAGCTTGAAGGCTAGTTTCTGTTAGTGGATGATCGATCCTGGAGGAGGGGAAAGTCTGGACTTCCGCCCACTTACTATTCTTATCGTGCTTCGACCTTGGATTATTAAAATTCACTTCTCCCATTGTCTTGAATGTTGACCCTCTTTCTTTCACATCTCACTCTCTTACACTCTCTCACTACCCTCTTTCTCTCTCTTTATCCACAATTGATCCACTCGTTGACAATTTCCTCTGTTAACATCATTATCTCTACCACCCTTCAATCTCTTTCTGTTGGTGGTTTCAGCGTTCGTTTTTTGTTCGTTCTTCTGACGCATCTCAAACCAAAACGCCCACACAAGGAAACTCTAAATACCCAAGAACAAAATCAAAACAAAGCACAGCAAAATTCTAAATACAATCCCAACATCAACCAGTCAACTATTCTGGTTCTCGAATTTTGGTGCGACCAATCAACGCGTCTGTTTGCCTTGTGACTATCGCCTCCCGTACAACCTCCGCTGCGTCTCCGACTCCATACGGGGACAACAATCGGATAACTACTTCATCCTCGGTCGATCAATCCTTGTTTCCCCGGTTGATCTGATCTATCGGGCAACAGGCTCGATCGAGTTAACCTCCTTTGATCGACTCTCCAACAAATAGACGGGGTCACAAGTCACTCGGGGACGAGAGACCCAACAACCGTGGTGTTCCCATCGCACGTTTGTCTTGCGCGACTGAAACCTAAGGGATACTTCATCCCTAGTACCCTAGCCAAGGAGATCTTGCGCCCCCTTCCCTTCTTTTCGTCCAAGATCCATGCTACATGCAAGTAATACTAGCAGTCATCTAGAGCAGTTTGGATCAAACCTTGACTGTCCCGCATCCCTATCACGTCGCACGGTTCGGAAGGTTCTTGGAGCTCAGGTTGCCCCTTGGCCCACCTTGCGAACTCTTCCACACACTACGCCCTTTTATATCTCCTGTCCTCCCTCGTGAGAGTTAGACCCTCTCTTTCATTATCGTGATTCCCTTTGACTTTTTCTTGGAAAGGAAAAAACCCATTGATCTCCTACGTGACACAATCATGGCTCACCAAGAGGGATTGCTGGATACCCCCAATGGGTCGTCTCTGACCTGGATCCTGGACCATTGCGTTCGCTATCCGGGAACTTACGAGATTCCCCTGCGTACCATGTACGAACTGAATTGCAACTCGTTAAGACAATCGCCGTCTGGCACGCGCACTCCCGAGACAGCGGCCACTACCCCGCGACCCTCCAACTCGTTCAAAGCTTCTCACTCTTCCGGCTCCTCCATTGACTCCACTGCCGATTTCAAGGCCCAATTGACGCAGCAGATCTCGCGGCTGCCGTCTCAGCCGTGCTCGTTGCCTCCTAGCTTCATCACCAACTTCCTCCGTCGCTGCTTTGCTCCGGAGCTCGAGGATGTCGACTTCCCCCAGGCCCTGTGCGCGCTGGATTACTTGAAGGACCTGGACATCCGTCGCAAGAAGGATGTGTCGGCGGCCCTGCAGCGGTTGCAGATCCGACCGGAAGATCTCACTGAGAGATCCGATCTCGCCGCGAGGTATCCCGGCGTCATGGGCTGGATCGAGTCGATGAGCTCCAAAGGTCGCAAGGCCGATGCGCTGTACACGCAGATCTACATTGGTCTCCGTCGCTGGGTAAGTGAACACCGATGAACCCCGCAAGCATGAGATCATGAGCTAACCGAACTTCAGACATTGATCAATGAGATGTTACTCGAGCCGTTCAGCAAAGGAGGCTGTATCGCCATGCTCAACACGCTCTTCCCGCCTGTGACCGAGACGACGGCGCACCCCGCGGCGCACCTGACCCACCACATCCTCAGGTCCCATCGCGATGGTTTCTTCCGCTACATCCGCGGGGTCGAGACCAATGGGAAGGACATCCTGCAACAGCTCCGCGCCCAGGGTGCCCCCGAGGGGTCGGAGGACGGATGGGCGCCCGTCCGGGAGGTCCTGGACCGGTATCTCCGGCTCGCAAATGAGATTATTGACGAATGTGCCTCGGTAACGGACCACAGCAGCTTGGGTGAGGAGCCCTTGTCCTCCCGCAGCAAAAGCCGCAAGGTGGATTCAGGCGTGAGCTTCTGCTCTACCGAGCGACTGCCCGCACCATCCGCGGATGAGTCCGATGAGATGGACAAGCCCCTGCCGCCTTCGCCGACCAAGAAAGGTGGTTCGACTCTGGAGCGACTTGCGCGGGAGATCCGCAGGCTGGGCCTCGGCGACGGCAAGACCAAGAGCCTCAAGAAGATGAAGTCGACCAGCGCTCTGACCACGCGCGGGGAGCCCGGTCAAGTCGACTACGCATCCTTTTTTGACATTGACGAGCAAAAGCGCAAGCGACTCATCTGGGAGGCGAAGAACCGCAGACACACCCACCACAAGCGGCCTAGCACTCAATCCAAAGAGTCTTTCAATACCGATCTGTTCAGAGCGACCTGACCTCTTTCTTCTGTTCCATATCATCGTCCTGTTATTGTCCCCGCATTTTCTGTTCTTGACAAAATTAGGAAAGACAAAATGGGCGCTCTTCATCCTTGGGACGTTTCGGAGTTGGGCATCTATCTGGGTTTCATGTTGCTTTGCGATTTCATCTGCACTTTTTTTTTTTTTTTTTCGCCCTTGTTCAGGATCAACCAGCCTTCTGGGTGTCTTTGTGCTTCTAGGTCTGATTTTACCGGTGGACTGGGGATATCGGCATTTGCTTTTTTTGTTCTAGGGAAAGGATTTTGCATGGATGGATGGCCTCCAAGGGAGGGAAACAAACAAACAAGCCTGGGAGCTTGACTGAACCATGACTACTGACTCATGACCATAATGTTTTATGACTGCGGGAGGTGTTTGTTACCAAGAGGATCGGAGTTAAATAAAATGGAATTATCTTGTTACTTTTTACATACCAGGGTTGAGGGCCTTCTGTACGTATGAGAGCGAGCTGCTGACACTCGACACTGTAATAAATTCACCCACTTCCATACCAACTATCTACCTTGGTATAGTTGGTACTTAAATATAGTTCCTTGCAGACCTGGAGTCCCGGACGGGGATGGATGGATCGGACCCTTGCAGCGTGCAGGAAGTCCGTCCGTCCGTCGCTGAGTGAGTAGTTAGTAGTTCCTTGTTGCGATCAAACATATGTCGTACGACATGTAATGCTGTTCATGCTGTGGTTTGTTTTTGTTATGGTTCTGCAGTTGGATACTTGCAGGGTTTGCATAAAGATCTTTGGTATGATATAATAATAGATATTACGGGTATAATCTATGTGATTATGGTCGTGCATTTGTATGTTGTGTTTCCTGTTGATGCATCTGTGCATATCCGGGCAGTTTTTGAAGCCTTGTGGGATTTTTCTAGAAGGAGAATTCTATTTTGTCGCCCACTATCCGTAGTTCTACTAGGTATATCTACATAAGATTCAATTATGATATCCCATGATATAGACAGTTTGTAACTATACCTACCCAGCACGGCAGAAAAGATTGACCACCATGCACAACATCTGACATCCATTCATCGCACAGTCCACACCAATAAAAGCATGATATATAAATGACAGCTCAAGGCAAAATTAAGATATAATAATGATGTGGTTGTGCGACAATAACTGACAGTTAGAGCAATCATGGATATGCACAGTATACCTTCCCTTTCCCTGCAGTGGTTTGGCTTGGTGGAACTGTCTGGCTCCACCCTGCAGATCTAGATCTTCTTCTGTTTTTTGAACTCGATTTTGATTAGTTAGTCAGATAGCTAGTTACCTGGGGCTCTAGCACTATATCCAAGATCCTGGAAATCTAGATCAATTTGTGTCCTACGCGCCACTGCATGATCTACAGCTGGGACCAGGGCTCGTCATATACCGACCGGACTACGGCACTTTGATTAGTGCGTTATAGCTGTGGGTAGGACAATCTTGGCTGGATCTGATATAACTGTCGGTCTGGCTGTTTGGGATTACCCCTACATGGCGTGGGATTGATTATAGTACCCAGTAAGATAGTATAGCAACATGGTGATGTTATGTTGTAGGACTTTGGGTGATGAATGATTCATGCCTTGGTGTGGTTCATGGAGGATACCCTTTCAAATTTGTGGTCTATTTTTCATTCTTCAGACTGTGAGCTTTTCAAACTGATAGTGGGATTGTCGAATATCGTAATAGGGTGGATCATTGAAGATACTTGTCGTTGTTGTTGTTAGAGAGTCGGCCTGGATCAGTAGGCAAAATGCATATATAGGCGGGATGACATAGTCCCGTATCGCATATCGGACAAGTCGTTGATGTGGATATGTACTGTGTCAATGAGTGTATACAAGACTACATAATACATAATTGCTTTCTCTTTCTATAATCTTATCTGTTATATATATATATATATATATATATATATATTTATATGTTTATTTTTATATACTTCATTTATACTTCTGTGTAAATATCAGCGATTACATCAGACACGGAAGTTGTGCACAGTTGGCCGCGACGCCGGCCGTAGTGGTCCCTATCGCGATGTGGCCACTGTGGAGTATACAGCCTCGACCATAAACATCACTCATCCGACTCTCCTACACCACTTCCTGGAGTTACTAAGTGCTATAACTAATTCAGATGTCTACTTGAAATTGTGGAACCTATATAATACACAGAAGATCTATCCCGCATCTGTATTGCGGAGTGGCGCTTTGCCCGTTATGCTCTTTGGCTAAGCTGACCTTTGTTTGGAGTAGCCGGCTCTCATACCGTCCATCAACTCTTCTTTATTTACATTTGATTCTGTATACGCTCAAATATAGCTATGCGCCCCGTGTCAGGATTGGCCGCTTCGTGCCGACTGGCAGCCGTGGGGGCTGCTCTCCTGACCCCACTGGTACATGCCAGTCCGTCGGTCAATGTTGCTCTGCAAGCTTCCTTTGATTCACCCCAGTATCTGGTTGAGCTTTTGTAAGATGCTCCAGCCCAGCTCAAAGTGCTATCATCTTGGTTACATGGCTAATTGATACCTATCTACTAGAGAAACCGCCGCCGAAGAGAACTCAACCGCCTACTTCCCCCTGCTTGACCGCATTGCCGACGGCGCGTTCGACGATACTATTACCGATAAGGAGCTCTACGATCGATTCCTACAGATCGTCTCCGATGATGGCCATCTCCGGACCCCGGAAAGCCTGTCGTCCTTCAAGGTGTCCCTGGCGATCCGGTCGGCGAGTCCCCGAATCGCCGCGCATTACCAGTACTATAATGCTTCGGTCCAGCAGACGTTGATGGCGGCGCAGGATGCTGCCTGTCCAGTCTGGGTACATACCGATGGGAAGCAATACTGTTCTTCGGCTATGGAGCGTGCGCAGCAGGATGTCTCGGGTGAATTGTGAGCGGCTCTGGATACCTGGGTGTTGGTCGGATCGTGGGCTTACTTTCATATAGGGATCCGCGCGAGCTCCCGTTTGATAGGGTTCTGGGCGATTTGGCTCTCCCGCCTGCAGTGCTCTACGCAGATGTGTCTTCTCCGATGTTCAAGGACTTCCACCTAGCGCTGAGCGCCCTCGCGAAGGAAGGCCAGATCTCGTATCGTATTCGCTACCGCCCTTCCCAGCACAGGAGCCCTCGTCCGCTTTACGTCTCTGGATATGGTGTCGAGCTCGCGTTGAAACGGACTGATTATATAGTCATTGATGACCGGGATGCCGAGCAGCGAGATGGTAAACCCAGCAATGCGGAGGGGGATGCGCCGGACGACCTTAAGCCGCTTTCATCGTCAGAAGTATCGCGCTTGGGGGTCAACACTGTGAGCTATGTCATGGACAGCGACAGCCCTCTTGACACCCTCATCAAGCTTTCCCAAGATTTCCCGAAATATTCCGCCAACGTGGCTGCCCATGATGCAAGCCCCGAGCTCTTGCAAGATATCCGCTCGAGCCGGCTCCAGCTGCTCCCTCCGGGGACAAACGTTATGTGGATCAATGGCGTCCAAGTGGATCCTCGGGAGATCGACGCCTTTTCCCTCCTCGACACTCTGCGCCGTGAAAGGAAACTTATCGAAAAGTTTAGAGATCTGGGCATCTCTGCGACGGAAGCGGTGGACCTCCTGTCGCACGAGTACCTCGGCAAGGCGTTGGCCCAGGATGCGCCCCCGCGTTATAACTACCGGGATGAGATTGAAGGAGGCCGCATTATCATCTGGATGAACGATGTAGAGAAGGATGCCAGATACGAACAGTGGCCCAGCTCAGTCAGAGCGGTACGTCCTCTCCAGCGAACTTCCTGTCCTACATAGCTGACCATAGCCGCACAGTATCTGCAACGCAGCTACCCGGGCCAGCTCCCGGCCGTGCGCCGCAATGCGAACAACATCGTCATTCCTGTGGACTTGTCTACCATGGAGGGCGTGCAAGTGGTTATCAACAACATTAAGATCTTTGTCCAGAATAATATTCCTGTCAGATTTGGACTCGTTCCCGTTGCTTCCTCGCCTGGATCCTCAGCGCAGTTGAAGGTGGCACACTATCTGCAGGAAACGTTTGGTCTCGCGAGTCTTCTGCAATTTTTGGAAGAGGTATGTGGATCTTGCGATCGACACCCCAGTTTACGACTGCTAATCGACCTAGACTGCTGCCAAGAAGAGTGCAGCATCGCCAGATCAAGCCTGCTTTGAGGCTGCTACACAGGACCAAACTGCGCGCGCCGATAGGCAGGTCCTGTCCTTTGAGGAAGTACTCAAGGACAAGGACCTCGACGCCCTTGTGGCCCGAACGGCGGACTACCAGAAACGGCTCGGAATTGAGGGCAAGAAACCACCTATCTTGGTAAATGGAGCTCCCGTCTCCAGCGGGGAGAGTTGGATGCAAGAGATGAGTGTCGCGATTAGCAAGGATATACAGACGATCCAACGGGGCGTCGCTGAGGGTGTCATCGACGACGATACCGTGATCTACGAGTACCTCCTTTCTGACGCCTTCGACCGGCGGACTTCTTGGGTTGTACCGGAAGACCCCAAAGATATCCAAGTTGTGGACATTGCCACAGTTTCGGATTCCAGGGAGGAAGTTTTGCGCGAATTGCCGCATATCGCGTCGCAAAGCGATGATGCACTTGATAGTCTTCATTTGCTTGTTGTTGGCGATTTCGATTCTGGAAATGGCCAAGCTCTTTTGACTGCGGCTCTCGAAAGCCGGGAAAAGCACCCTGAAGTAGAGGTTCTCTTCCTTCATAACCCTACCACGCATGGTTCTAGCACAGGTGCATCCGCAGCACTCTATAGATCTCTGAAGGGAGACAAGAAAGGGGATGCTACTCAAGTGCTCGCTGACGTAGCATCTTATGATGGCGCGGAAGCTCCTGAGATTGCTCAATTCTGGGAGGCACAGCAGCCTTTGGTCAAAGACCTTGGCTTTGCCCCTGGTGCGCGGGGAGTTGTCATCAATGGCAGGACGGTTGGGCCCATCCGCGACGATATAGCCGTGGTCCTCGATGACATGGATCAGCTCTTTGCATACGAGCAAAAGAAACGCATAGGCCCGGTTGCAAAGGCCGTCAAGGAGCTCGGATTTGGATCGAAGCTCTCTGGACCGCTTGCTTTTGCCAAGCTCACCTCGCTCACAACCCTGTCGACCATCTCGGATGTTCCTGAAGGAATCTCCCAACCCATGTCGGAAGTCCGGTTGAACTTGTTTGGCAAGTGGGAGGACTCTCGCTCAACGATCACCGTTTCAGGCTCCGAAGACCCAGCCATCACCATTGTCGCTTCGATCGACCCGACTTCTGAAGTGGCTCAGAGATGGCTGCCGATTTTGAAGGTCCTTTCGGAATTGGCAAGCGTTAGACTGAGGCTGTTCTTGAACCCGCGAGAGCAGATCAACGAGCTCCCCACCAAGCGTTTCTATCGTTATGTGCTCGACTCCGAGCCTTCTTTCGACGATGACGGGGCGCTGTCTAGACCGACCGCGTCCTTCTCGGGCGTGCCGGTTGATGCCCTTCTCACCTTGGGGATGGACGTCCCTTCCCCCTGGCTGGTGGCTCCCAAGGAGTCTATACACGACCTTGATAACATCAAGCTCAGCTCCGTGAGAGATGGAGCTGACGTCGATGCCATTTATGCCTTGGAGCATATCTTGATCGAGGGTCACTCCCGGGATACGACCATTAGATCGCCTCCAAGCGGGGTGCAGCTGGTTCTTGGAACCGATGACAACCCTCATTTTGCCGACACGATCATCATGGCCAACCTGGGCTACTTCCAGTTCAAGGCTCAGCCCGGACTGTGGAAGATCGATCTCAAGCCCGGACGCAGCGAGCGCATTTACAATATCGACAGCGTTGGAAGTTTGGGGTATAGCCCGCAACCGGGCGATGAGAATACCGAAGTCGCTCTCCTCTCTTTCCAAGGCAAGACGCTTTTCCCGCGTCTGTCGCGGAAGAAGGGCCAGGAGAATGAAGATGTCCTTGAGACTGGGCCACAGCCGGGTACGGCCATGGACTACGTGTCTAAAGGACTGAACTTTGCCTCCGGCATACTCTCTAGCGTCGGTGTCGGTTCCAAGGGTGAAGAGAAGCACGCCGACATCAATATCTTTTCCGTTGCTAGCGGTCACCTGTACGAGCGCATGCTGAACATCATGATGGTGTCGGTGATGCGCAACACCAACCACTCCGTCAAGTTCTGGTTCATCGAGCAGTTCCTCTCGCCGTCATTCAAATCTTTCCTCCCCCACCTGGCAAAGGAATACGGCTTCTCGTACGAGATGGTCACCTATAAATGGCCGCACTGGCTGCGCGCACAGAGCGAGAAGCAGCGCCAAATCTGGGGCTACAAGATCCTGTTCCTGGACGTGCTCTTCCCCCTCTCACTGGACAAGGTCATCTTCGTCGACGCCGACCAGATCGTCCGCACAGACATGTACGACCTCGTCACCATGGACCTCGAAGGCGCGCCCTACGGCTTCACCCCCATGTGCGACTCGCGCGAGGAAATGGAAGGCTTCCGCTTCTGGAAGCAGGGCTACTGGAAGAACTTCCTCCGCGGCCAGCCGTACCACATCTCAGCCCTCTACGTCGTCGATCTGAACCGCTTCCGCGCTCTCGCTGCCGGTGACCGCCTCCGCGGGCAGTACCAGATGCTCTCGGCTGACAAGAACAGCCTGAGTAACCTGGACCAGGACCTCCCCAACCACATGCAGCATCAAATTCCGATTAAGAGCCTCCCGCAGGAGTGGCTGTGGTGTGAGACTTGGTGCTCTGATGCTTCGCTCACCCAGGCCCGCACTATCGATCTCTGCAATAACCCGCAGACGAAGGAGCCAAAGTTGGACCGTGCGCGCAGACAGGTGCCTGAGTGGACGGAGTACGATGAGGAGATTGCGGCGTTGACGAAGAAGTTTGCGCTGGAACAGGAGGTGCTGCAGAAGGAGCAGGAGCAGATACATGGGGAGGAGGAAGATGAGGATGGTGATGATTCGGGGTGGGATAAGGATGAGCTGTAGCGTGTTGTTTTACCTTTCCTTTTGGAATTATAGATATTTGGATATGCTTATAAGCTTTTATAAACTAGACCATGCAAATTTATTGGATCAATCATTCATCCATGTATTGAGTATAGCCCGTTATAGGCTCTTTTTCATTCTGAAGATACTAGTTCATAGTGTATTCGAGTAGAGCTCATGAGTCGAGGATAGAAAAATGCCATGCAAAACCAAACCAAACGCCCATCCACCCCCCACTACGACTCAACCTTCATCTCACGCAACACCCTCGAAACCAACTTCCTCTGATCCGCCGGCGCCAAACCCAACTCATCAATAGCAGTCAAACACCGCCCAATAGCAACAGTCGCCTTAACAGCGGAATCGCCCCCATTCGCACAATCCACCCAAACCTTCCCATTCCTCCCAACAGCAATCTCAAAGCCGCCCACCTTCTCCAGCTTCTTCCCCAGCTCTCCCAGCACCGCCAACCCAGCAACCGCACCGTCCTCGTCCTCCGCCGCCGCCGACGACGAGGAGCTCGCGCGCATCAACCGCGCCGCCATTCCAACCGACACATCAAACACCATCCCCCCCGTCAGCGGACCCAACCCCCCAGGCTCCGCCTTCCCCGTCGCGGGGTTAACGCACGTCAGCTCGGCTTCCGCGCCGGGCCCCATCCCCATAGATAGCACGCGCGCGTACACCAGATCGCCCCCCTTGAGCATCGGACGGGTTTTCTTGCTTGCGCCTTCGAACGAGAGCTGGCCCAGGAGTAGCTGCGGCGCTTGCGGCGTCACCACGCAGTGGAAGTAGTCTGGGCTGGAGTGGTGGACTTGTGCGATGACGAGGTCGTTGGCGGTCGGTATGTAGCGTCTGTTTGGCGGCGTTTGCATTGATAGTCCGTTTCGTTTGTGGTCTGTGGAGAGGATGCCGGGCTGGGTCGTGGAGAGGACATGTGTGGTGGTGTGTGACTTGGAGGTGGTGGTGGGGTCGGTTGTGAGGAGAGGAGGCGTAGGCCGGGGCCTAGTCGGAGGGGTGCGGATCCGGACGACGCGGGGAAGTTCTCCGGGGGATGTCGTCGCCCGGGAGGAGTATTAAGGGGGAAGTCATGGTGAGTGGAATTGAGAAGATATGGTGTTGGTAGGATGGAGAAGGATATACAGATGTGGCGTCTTTTGATGCTGAGGAAAAAACGGAAGATGCGCCATGCTTATCGGCTATCGCCACGTGATGCTTTCATAATTAGTAATACGCTGCACAAGCTATCGATAATGGCGAAATTTGCCCGCCCTGTGCAAACATGTCAAAAATTTTTTCTCTCCGCCGACAAAGTCGAAAGTTCGAAGTTTCTCCGGTCTTGTATTGATTCGATCCTTCTCCTCACTTCTCACTTCACTTCCCCCCTCAACTCCTTTCGTTCTTCGTCTTTCGTTCTTTTCAAGATGAGTGACGCTCCTAACGGTACCGCCGCCGAGCGGTTTGCAATTGGTATCTCCTTTGGCAACTCTTACAGCTCGATTGCCCGCATCAACCCTGTATGGCTTGTCCACCGTGCGACGGTTTTTCCTGGGGAGATATTCCTTGACGATAGATGCTAATATATGGGATGTATAGGAAGGCAAGGCTGAGGTTATTGCCAACGAGGAGGGAGGTATGTCATGATATTCGTCTCAACTTGACCTTTCGATGGACACTGACATCGCATCGATAGACCGCCAGATTCCTTCCGTCCTCTCGTACATTGGTGGTGAAGAGTACCATGGCACCCAGGCCAAGGCTCAGCTCATTCGCAACTCCAAGAACACTGTCGCATACTTCAGAGACTACCTCGGCAAGAAGTAAGTCATATACTCCTTTTTTCCGTTCCTTCTTTCGTTTTCGCCCCTTCTCGAGTACTTCAAAATGGCGGGGCAAAGGATCCTGACAGACTTTTTCTTCCAGCTTCAAGTCGATAGATCCTACTCCTTGCCACAACTCCGCCCACCCCCAGCAGAGCGACTCCACCGTCGCCTTCTCCATCTGCGATGGCGAGAGCGAGACCCCCAGCACCGTGACCGTTTCCGAGATCGCGACCCGCCACATGCGTCGTCTGAGACAGTCCGCCTCGGATTTCCTGGGTAAGGATGTCAACGCCGCCGTTATCACCGTCCCTACCGACTTCACCGACGCCCAGCGTGAGGCCCTGATCGCCGCCACCAAGGCTGCCGGCATGGAGGTCCTGCAGCTCATCCACGAGCCCGTTGCTGCGGTGCTGGCTTATGACGCTCGCCCCGAGGCCGTTGTCGCCGATAAGCTGGTTGTTGTCGCTGATCTGGGTGGTACCCGCTCCGACGCCGCCGTCGTTGCCTGCCGCGGTGGTATGTACACCATCCTGGCCACCGCTCACGACTACGAGCTGGGTGGTGCCACTCTCGACAAGATCGTCATCGACCACTTCGCCAAGGAGTTCATCAAGAAGCACAAGACCGACCCCCGTGAGGACGCCCGTGGCCTGGCCAAGCTGAAGCTCGAGGGTGAAGCCACCAAGAAGACGCTGAGCTTGGGTACCAACGCTAGCTTGAGCATCGAGAGCTTGGCGGACGGCATTGACTTCCAGTCCAACGTCAACCGTACCCGCTATGAGCTGCTGTCCGGCAAGGTCTTCGCTCAGTTCACCGGTCTGATCGAGCAGGTCGTGAAGAAGGCCGACTTGGATCTTCTGGATATCGACCAGGTGAGTGTTTCCTGGGGGTTTCCCCCTTCTCGCCCCCCTTACGGACCTTCTTTCTAACATTGATTCTAGGTCATCTTCGCCGGTGGTGCCTCGCACACTCCCAAGATCGCCCAGTTGGCTAGCAACATCTTCCCCGAGACCACTCAGATCCTGGCCCCCTCGACGCTGGTCAGCGCCATCAACCCCTCCGAGCTGGCTCCCCGCGGTGCCGCCATCCAGGCCTCTCTCATCCAGGAGTTCGACCAGGAGGACATCGAGCAGTCCATCCACCCCATGGTCACCGCCACCACCCACCTTAAGAACGCCATCGGTGTCGAGTTCTCTTCCGGCGGCGCCACGGAGTTCAAGCCCCTGATGCACGCCGAGACCGCTCTCCCCGCCCGCCGCGTGGCCCAGTACAACGCCCCCAAGGAGGGCGGTGATGTGCTCATCCGTGTGTGTGAGGGTGTCCGCGACATCAAGGTCACCAAGCCCGAGCCCAAGGCCAAGGAAGAGAAGCCCAAGGGCGACGAAGACGACTCCGACTTCGACTCCGATGAGGACGACGAGGAGGAGACCCGCGAGATTGTCTGGAAGACCGAGAAGCCCATCGCCGAGCTGGCCGTCAAGGGCACCAAGGCCGGCAGCAAGGTCGAGCTTATGGTTCACGTCAACCCCGACCTCGGCATGCAGATCACCGCCCGGGAGGTCGGTGGCCAGAGCGCCGTCCGCGGTGCCGTCCAGTCGGCTTGAATAGGCGGGGATTGTCGCTGATCTCGCATAATTCTCTTCTTCCCTCTCCTCCCCTTCATCTGCTTGCTCTTTCCGATGCAGGTACCGTGATGCTTGCTTCCACGTCTTGGATATGGACATTATAGACTCATAAAGACTGGACCGGCTAGATCTCCTTTGTTTCTGTTTGTTTGTTTCTTTTGTCACAGGGTGGCAATGGCAATGGGCAATGGGCATAGACGGGGGTGCTCGGACCTGTATCGAGAGAGCAAGTCCTAGATCTCTTTTCCCTTCCCTTTCCTTTTTCTTTTCTATATTGGTTCCATTTTTTTGTCTTTTCTGCGTGCTATTCGCAATGACTGTTTGATGATGAATGTATCCATGAAGGTCTTCAAAAGTATATAGAGATATTCATACGGCACAATAGAGAACTCGACGAGATGATCTCGCTGTGTAGATGTAGAGATTGCACAACCACAACCCTATGATGTGGGAGGACCGACGAAAACGGTCCCAAGAACAAAAATAGTCATTATTGATGACTATAAAGTTGCGAGTAGTTGCAAAAAAAGGTTGCAACAAACGTGACAGTCAACATAACAAGTTATGTGGGTAGGAAACAACGCATGTCAGCTGATGTTTGGCCGTTTGCTTGTCCTACCACTGCACATGGCGGAATGGAATAAGAGAAGGAGAGGAAGAGCTTCTTGCAGGACCTATGGATAAAGACAGATTACTACTGCTTGCTGTGGTGTACTTGCGGACGATTTTCTTTTCACTTTGTGAACTCCATTATATTGTATACATTACTACCTAGTGATATAGCCGATATAGAGCACAAGCACAAAAAACAGAGATATCATGGGTTGAATTAGACAACAACACGCATGAACCATGAAATATGACAAGACAGATGGGGGTTTTTAAAATATTAAATATGGGATGATGAGGACGGCTCCAGGTTTCCACATGTAGAGGTGGAGGAGGGAGCTATTGTCGTGACTTTTAATATCGCAGGCACGGTGCCACGCTCGTTGACAATACCAGTGGTAGATATGAATCTGACGGGTAAAGTATGCCGACTAGACGAGACCGACCTGCGAAGACGGACCAATGAGGAAGCAAATGCAGTCGACAAGACGGAAGAGACACGTTCTAGGGGCCGTGGCTCTTATTGAGACTGTTCTTGTTTGGAATAATTTACGGGTTGACTTCCTTGTTGGCCTCGACGCTGGGAGAACGCTGCGAAGAGAAGAATCCGCGGCGACGGTGCTCACGGCCGCTGTATCCGGAATCTTTCTGGCCCACGGCGCCGCCCATGCAGTATAGAACACAGGACAGCAGCAGGCAGGCCATTGCGGTCCACATGAAGGCGAAGGCCTTGACTCCCAGACGGGCTCTCTGATCGTTGGCGTTGAACTTGTTGCGGCCCTGGACGTACACGGCGCTAAACAGGGCGTTAGCTGAGCTCTTTGAGCCATTCATAAAGTGAAAGGTGACTTACGTGATCAGACAGGTGGTGATCGTCTCGAAGAGCAGAGCGAGCCAGGCCAAGGCGGACGACAGGTAGCTCCCGACGCGGGTGCACATGGCCAGGAAGCCCGTGAACAGCGAGGTGACCGCGAAGAACAGGGCGATGATGAAGAACGGGAAGGAGAACCGGGACGTCAGGAAGTAATGGTTTGTCCTGCAGTAATTAGTTCAACGCCCCATGCACCAAATGGAACAAGCCGTCTCTCTCACCCGATGAAATCCTTAGGGATACCCTCCGTCGTGCCGAACGTGCGGTGGCTCGGGGGGTCGAATGGGTAGGCCGGGTAGTTGGTGCCGCATTCGCTCTTCCCATGATCATTCACGGCGCAGAGATTCCAGTAGGTCCAACGGGAGAGTGCTGGTGCCCCCGGGATTCTGCTGGTATCTACCTGGAGGAAGTAGATCTGATTCAGCGGGTTCGAGTTCCTGGCGCCTCCAAGGAAGGTGAGGAACATCAGTAGTAGGGCGGAGGCCGTGAAGAACAGGCCCAACAGGCCCATGGCCACTCCTAGAGGGGAACTGTTAGCGCATGAGCTATCAAGGGCACACGTAGCTCTCTGGAAGACATACTGCTAAGAGGCATGATTACGCTGTATTGCCCTTTACTTCACTTGATTGAAGGGCTGGTATGTCAGTGAGGCTCTTGAATATGCGACTATTCAATCCTTGGCTTTTTTTTAATCTTTTTTGCTTCCTTTGAAAGAACTCTCCAGACCGAAGGAAAAGAAGACAAAAGATCAAGACCGACCAAAAGGAAAAAAAGAGCGAGGGCTCAGGAAGTCCGCGGAAGTAATATCAGCAAATAGGTGGGAAATAGAGTCCGGGATTAAGCTTGCTATTAAGGGGGGTATCCGGAGAACCCGGGTGCTACAACCATATGATAGGCAGAAGAGAGCATCATCATTGCTATCACCATCATCATGATTACCATTAGAGGAACTCAGGGTCATGCGAAGGAGGGTTCGGGAGGGGGAAGAAGAGTCGATACAGAGTTGAGATTTGGCTCCACCAAGATATCTCGACGTCATCGTTATGCCAGTTGCCGCTAACTATGCTGGGATAGTGCTGACACTAAGCCTGTTATAGTAGGCGGTCAGAGATATCCATGACGTTGTCTCAACCACCACCGCCGGGAATGCCTTCATCTTCATCCACCGACGTTGCATTCTCCAAGGCTTTACTCTCCCGATTGCTTTGTGCTTTGTTTTACGTTAATTCTTTTCCTCTGTCCCGACCCTGACGGAGTTGACGTGGGCCCTGCCTCGGAAAAGTTAACTCAGGTCCCGTTGTTCCCTGTCTACGAGCTGTCAATTTCAACGCCTTGTACTAGGAGTGTCTAGCCCTAAGTTGTATCCGAGGTCCCCGAGAGCCAAGAGTCTGGGTGGAGGAAGCCTCCCGGTGATTGATTGTCTGGGCTGGGCTTTGGTGAAGCCATCATGGCGACATGGGCTTATCCACCGCTCCCTCCGGCGCAGATCGAACAGGAGGCCGATAGCGCATTGGTACCCCCCCGCCCCTTCATACTCGCCCTGCATTGGTTATCTTACTTGGATGATTTGCACTAGAGTTATGAACGTCGCTCATCCACTGTCATGTTTAGGACAGAGAGTTAGAATGGCTATTGCGAGCTCTGCAAGATTCCCTTACATCGCTGCGAGAAGGCCTACAGGATTGCGCCTCCTTGTTAGCCCCCAAAGAACCGGGGTCAACTCTGGTCATTTCGTCCGTACGATCGGAAAATGTAAAAGGGTTTGTGACAAGGGTTGGGACCAAGATCGTGAAAGGTGTATGTTGTAGTCTCCATATCTCTGCTTTGGGGGAAAGTCTGACTTGGTTGGATACGGTAGGATATCCAACTTCGCCTGAGCTCCCTAGCCTCTGCTCGGGGTTCTACTACTCGCCTATGCCTGTCAAATGCGCCTACCGCCCCGGAGCTCGTGCTCGATCAACTAGTCTCGGTGCGAAATCTGGTCAACCAGAGTTTGGATGTAGTGGATGTTAGCGCTTGGACGGGCGACCCTCTCAATCCCAGCTTCATCTTCGGTCAATTACGCCTTTTGCATGAAACCATCTCCGAGGCGCGGCAGATGTTGAAAGGGGAGAGCGAGCACACCAAAAGTGATTGGTGTAATGGGAGCGCACCAGAAGATGTAAGCTGCCCGACGAATCTTGATACAATGGTGTGCACGACCCCTGCTCATACATGATGGTCTCCAGATGTTTGACCCCCCGTTACCGTCGTATCTCTCGTTCCACCTCGCTATCGTGGACTCCGCACTTGTCCTGTGCCTGAGAACGCTGGAGTCCACCTCCCCCACCCACACGGCCTCCGCCTTCGCGACAGACATCTCTCTAACCGGGTTCAACATCCGAGACCGCTTGTTTGGCTCTCGAAATCGCACTCACGACGAGGCTGGGGAATTCTTCGCCTGGAAAGGTGACGAAGTCAGAGTCAGAGAGAGGATTCGTATCGAGAGTCAGGACCCCAGTCTGATGGCTGTGATGGCCAAGTTAACTGCCTTGGAGCACGAAGTCATGAAATGGACGACCGCTCTTAAAGTGCTGATGGGGAATGAAGACACGGACAGCGACGAACAGCCACTGTGAATAATCGGTTCTATTCGAGAATGTGTAAGCTACCAGAGATAGATACCCTTGTTGATATATCGAACAACTCCGACAAATAGTAACTTGATAGTATTTCAGAGTAGGTAGGACATAAGACAGTAGTGCATGCATTGATTATATAATTTATACCGGGCTGGATGCCCACCAATGAGAAACGCCACAATGGGCGGCGCATAATGCGGCCGGGCTTGGCACAAGTTTTCCTTTTGGATCAGGGTCGCGCAAGTGGCGTTGCAGGTTCTTTCACAAATCCAGCTTGTTTCGTTGTCTTCAGTTTGGTGGAAGGCGTGAGGATGCTATCACGATCACAGGCATCGAGGGCGAGTCGATCTTGTCCTCAGCATCTGCTCCGTACTCTCACTTCTCATGCTCCGTCGCGGACAGTTTCGAACCAGCTCCGCGGAGCTGCGAGCCTCATTTCTCAGCGGTCGAAAACCACCCATGCGTTGAGTGGCACGCCTACGATTACGTCTCGAACCCGATTTCCGCGACCGATAGTCAGCGACCGTTGGACTGGGCGATGGAAGATTGGAGCGAGATCCTTGTCTACGGACGCGCCTGCGGAGGTGGAATCCCGTCCGGATCGGAAAGATGCTATCTACGCCTTGATCGACCAGATCAATAGCAATGAGGTTGTACTGGCGGAGATGATGGATGAGTTGGATTTATTGGATGACTTCAGCGGGGTTCTCAACCTCGAAGGCCCCGAACTTGACGACGTGTTCAGCCAGACAATCGGCCACCGAGACGAACAGACACTGGAAGCGCGGGTACAGGTTGCGCGACAAGATTTTGGAGATTTTCTCCCGGAAGGTCACCTGAATGCCAGAGAGATTCAGCTCTATACTCGATTATATGGCGAGCCGATTATACGCGAACAAGAAACAGAGTTGGAGCTCCTAGAGGTGGAAGAGAGCCCCGATAAACTCTTCCGGGAGGATGGCCAAGGAGGATGGGAAGAAATTGAGATGGAGGAGGAGTCTGTGCTTGAGGAAGAGGCTCCGGTGGTATACGATATGGATTTTCCGCCGCCGGCGGACGAAACTGCCGCTATGCAACGGACCAGGGAAGTGGCCGAGCAGCTAGGTGGGCATGTTATGCTGGAGGAGTTCCAGGACGAAGCAGTCCCCGACGCCACCCCACGGCTGCATCCACTGACAGCGGAAGGGAAGTTCTCTCCGGATCCAAGCACGGTATTCCCGCCCAAAGAGTCGATGACTGGGCCGATCTCCATCATTCTGTCGGAATTCTCCAACAAGCACATTGCGGATGTCGCCCATCGTACATTCGGCGGCCCCCGACTTCCGAATTCTACCGCAACCCTTCCTGCGCGGGCCCAGCTCCCCCAGCTCCCGATTGCGCTGGATGCGACCCAGCGTTACATGGGTGAGATGGAAGCCAATGTCTATCTCGCTACCCTGTACCCCGGAATGTATGCGTCCATTCTAAGCACTCTCGTCGAGGTTCGGAAGCGCTTGGGCTCGGAATGGATCCGCCGTCTGATGTCGCAAGAAGGCGGTCCGAATGTTCTGGACGCCAGTGCCGGCGGTGCCGGTATCTTAGCGTGGAGGGATGTCCTTCGCGCGGAGTGGGAGCTGATGGTTCCAGACCATCCCCCATCCAACCCTATCCCAGTGGGCAGATCGACTGTGGTCACTGGTTCCGACTCTCTCCGGATGCGCGCCAGTGCGATGCTAGAAAACACAACCTTCCTCCCACGGCTGCCTGACTATGTTAACACCCGCGGGAAGCCGACGTTAGAAGACGAGCGAGCCCCGAAAAGGAAACAGTTCGACATCATCGTGGCGCCGCATTCGATCATGGGCATCGAGGAGGAGTACGTGCGGAAGCAACACGTCGAAAACCTCTGGAACCTCCTTAACCCCAACGGCGGTGTTCTGATCCTCCTGGAAAAGGGACATCAGAAAGGCTTCGAGGCCGTCGCCGGTGCCCGCGAGATGCTACTCAAGCGACACATCGCTAGTCCTGGGTCGACGCGGTACGAGGATCTCACCGAATCGCCCGGAGAGCAGACGCATGTGGACAAAGAGCCCGGCATGATCATCGCCCCCTGCACCAACCATTCCAAATGCCCAATGTTCCACATGTCCGGCCACGCCAAGGGCCGCCAGGACTTCTGCCACTTCGAACAACGATACATCCGACCGGACTTCCTCCAGCGCATCATCGGCGCCAAGGACCGCAACCACGAAGACGTCAAATTCAGCTACCTCGCCGTCCAGCGCGGCGTGGACCTCCGCGAGGTGAAAGGCATCGTCCAAGGCCCCCAAGCCACCGAGGCCGCCTTCGAAGGCTACGAGACCCCCACGACCTCACCGAACGAGAAGTAGACGAGCTCGAGGCAGACACCGTTCCCCACCTACAGCCCGAAGCAAGCGAGCGCGAAGGACTCGAGAAGGGCCAGGAATTCAACACGCTGTCCCTCCCGCGTCTCGTCTACCCGCCCATGAAACGCCGCGGACACGTCACCTTCGACGTGTGCACACCGGCCGCGAAGATCGAGCGCTGGACCGTCCCCCGCTCTTTCAGCCGCCGCGCCTACAAGGATGCCCGCAAGTCCCAGTGGGGCGATCTGTGGGCGTTGGGCGCGAAGACGCGCATCCCCCGCTCCTTGAGACTGGGCGATAAGCGCGGAGAAGGCAAAAAGGAGCGCCTGGCGCGACGCGCGGCTGAGCAAGCGGAGATGAACGGGTTGGAAGAGACGGAAGAGGGAGCGGACGTGCCCGTGCTGGATAAAACGTCCCCTGCCTGGGCTGATCCTGAGCCTCCGCGGAAGAAGAAGGGGCAGAAAGTCGCTCCCTGGAAGAAGCAGGCGGAACACAGGAGTTATAGGAAGGCTTTGAGGAATAATGCCCGGAAGCATCTCGCTGAGTCTGAGTCGGGTTGAGCTGTGGTCGTGTCGTTTTGTTTCTTCGTTGGACAACGTTTGGTTATGAAGACGGCGCACTAGGGTTGCAACTCCTGTTTTATTTCCAAGGAATGGACAGGACTGGGTTTTGAGTGCTTTAGGATGTTATTCTATGTATCATATCTGTACGATAAGCGGGGTTCAATCTGGTTAAGATATATTGCGTGTACATTAGCTCTTCCCTCAATATCATATCTCCGTTATCATTAATTAGTGTTAGGATTTGGTAGAACGCCGAAACGATAAGCACGCTTTCCCAAGACCTAGGCTTGGCGTGATTTTGCCCACTGTTAACCGTTCCAGACCCGTGATATGTTGTCAAATATCTTTTGAGACATTTATCTCGTTATATTTAGCCCCGCGGTGTGGAGATATCAACCCTCACGAGTTCAACTCCCCGTGCACATAGCGATGGACGCAGACCCTGAGTTCTGTCATGGCACACTGGGAGTCTCATCACCGAGCGACATTCGGATCAGAGACTGCGGCTCTGTGGATTGAAGGATGTATGGGCTTCAAGAACGCGCAAAAAAACGCCATTTCCATTTCACCGGTGGTAAATACCACACGATGGCAGCATACATGTTCTCATAACTCATAACTCAATTGAGCGGCGGACAGAAAGACCCCTCACTGAAAAGCCATACTCTTCCGCAGCTGGCGCTCTCTCTGCGTGCTCTGCAACTCCAGTCTCTCCACCGCATATTGCAGACGCTCTTTCTTCTGGATCAGACGTCGCAATTCTGCAGCTTTGGCTGCCGAGGTTGCAGAGGTCTTACCCTGTCGATTGCTTGAGCTGGGGCGGTCGCGACTCGATGACTGGTGCGTGTCGTTCGAATTTAATCGGCCTTCTTGGAGTTCGCACTTGGCGCGCAGGCCTTGTTCGCGACGGGAGAGCTTCTCGACGTGGTTGGAGGCTAATGAGAGTAGTTGCGCGATGCTTGGGGTGATTTCGTCGAGGAGGGACTGTTGGGCTTCGCGGAGGGTCGGTTCGGGGAGAAGTTCGAAGTGCTATTGTGGGTGGGGTTAGTATTGTTGATTGATTGTATAGAGGGTTGGGACTTACTCGTGTGGTTTGTAGGACTTTGCATAGTCGGGGGAAGTCGCTCACTCCAGCGTCTAGGGTGGAAATGGACGAGTCCAGGAGGTGAAGAGAGGACTGGAGGGAGGATACGGATGAGGAAAGGGAGGCTGCCATGGTGTAGAGATGTTATGAATCAACAAGAATGACAATGTAGTTGACTTCAAACAGTGAATGTTTACATGCCGGTTGTCGGAGGGGCTGATGCAGCGGCAAAAGCGGCAAGCGCACTAAACCCGATCGGTCAACGCGGCTAGGCGTCGGACTTCCGGACAAACCTCGTTGTTCCCGCTTCTCCTCGTCGCTCTCCGTCTTTCAGCTCCTTCACTCCATCCCCTCTTCCGCAATCAAGTCTTCGCTGTCCAGTACACGAATACGCAATCATGTCTCTCCTCGGAAAGAAGTTCCCGACCCCTGTCGGTAAGTTTGTCGCTTTGCAATATTGGGATTCTGGAGTGGATCGCTCGGAATAAGGACTAACTGGATTGCCTCACTATAGCCAAGCCTATGGCTCCTTTCTTCGCCGCCGGTATGTGTTACCCTTACGCTGTCGGTCTCGTCGTGATGTGTAGACCGTGATTGATATGGGATACTGTTCCGAGCTTGGGATTGAGAGGGTACATGTCCACCGTTCCGCTTCTAACTGTGCCTTAGGTGTCGTCATCCTCTACGGCGTCAACTCGTTCGCCAACGTCCTCATGTCGAGTGAGTTCCCCGCTGCCTCAATTCTATTTAAACATCTTTTCCCGCGGGCGGGAATCCCAATCACGACCACTTTCACCCTCGAGCGTGATTACCGTGCCATTGCTAACCTCGGACACCCTATCAGCCGACGAGTTCAAGAACGACCCCCGCAACCCCAACGCCAAGAACCCCAAGCACTAGATTGTGTCTCAGGAGTTCTTTGAAGACGGTTGATGTGTCGAAGAGTGAGGATTGTGGTGGGCGACTCGACGCCCAGATTGCTGTTTCGCCTTTGTTTCGACGTCGCGGGCGGTTCATCTGTACAGGCATAGATTTTACCGTCATAGATCCAATGACGAATTGACAAGTTGTACCACTATCCTTACCGTCTTGTGCTTTTTACTAGCTGCAGTTTGGACTAGCTGCAGTTTGGACTAGCTGCATCCTGGACTGATTGAGATCCAGTGGCGGGATCGTCACGGTGTCAGGTTTGCAAATCGTCGGCGTATGGCGGCAACATACGCTGGGTTTTAGCCTGTCAGCTAATTGTCTGCTGATCGGCGGACTCGGCTTCACTACAGCAAAGGTGCAGACCGGACGGAACCCTGTTTATGTTTCTCGCTGTTCGTAGGGTCAGTCTCTCCCGATGCACTCTCGCCGAGTTATTCATTATGGCAAGACGACGAATTGTAACCTTGTAATAGAGCGCGAAATCCCTTCTTCTATGATTGGTCGATGCACGTCTTTTGTAGTATTGAAAGAACGCACGTCGACTAGCGTTCAGTAGCGTCCACTGTTGGTGTACATAATTGCAGTCAATATAGCCATATATCTACCATGATACCATATGCCGTGATGCCATATACAATTGTCTTATCAGATCTATTCCTACCACTCTACGCTGGACCAAATCCTCCTACGGCGCTAGGGCCGTTGTGCAGTATAAAAATTCTACTGCCAGACGTTCTCGCCAAGACCCATACCCACTAGTCCCAATAGGGCAGACCCGTGACCCGCCGCTACTCCGACCAAAACCGCCGACAAGAGACAGCCAACCAACCCAACCAGTTAGTTCTGACTTAACAATCATCAGTGCCCACCATGTCGATGTTCAGGCCAAAGAAGATGGAGCTGTCGGGGTTTGTGAACACCCTTGCTCTCCGCGACTACTGCAAGCGAAAGGCCTTTGAGAAGCACGAGCCCGAACGGTACGGAACCATTCCCCGGGGATTCTCTCTTGTCGCATTGCGCGAAGCCTGCAAAAACCCCAGGTCCCTATAGAACACTTGGAATTGACTCTTGCTAACTCTCCGTTCTATCTTATAGCCAAGCTCTGCGATACGCCATCCGCAACACCGCTCTCCCCCAGCGTGTCCGCGCCCAGGCCCAACTGCAGCTCTCCCAGATGCACTGCTACACCCGACCTACCCAGATCAAGAACCGCTGCGTTGCTGGTGGTAAGGCGCGAAGTGTTATTCGAGCCTTCCGACTTGGGCGGGTGAGTCTTTCGGTCCCCCCAGGACGGCATATGCTGTCGGGTTTTGTCCTCTGCTAACACTGCTTGTGCCTGTTTAGTTCCAATTCCGTATGCAAGCGCTTGCTGGTGAATTGCCCGGTGTGAAGAAGGCGAGCTGGTAAATCGAATGGACAAAGTTGGGAAATTATAAAAAACAAAACAAAAGAAAGGAAAAACCTGGGACTGTCTCTGGTGTCTGCTTTAGGCGCTTTTACTGGCCTTTTGCACGGATGGCGTTGTATTCTATATTTCCTTATGCCGAGAAATGTACTATATTTGTGAATATCATGGACGGTAATTATACTGTTCTACTGACTGGTTTGGGTATATTCAATTCTAAGGTAAACTCAAATCTACTCGTGTTTTGCGTTGCATGGATAGTGGCATTCTTGTTTATTGAAGATCATTATAGATCATTGAAGTATAGTACTCACATTCGAGACTATTGCTGAAGACTATTGATTGCATGGACAGCCTCTGTCCGGATGGCCTGAGGCGCATTCACTGCAAGCAAACGGAATTGGTGTGTCGTCATTGTCGGTCACTGCCTTCTTCATCACACCTGCCTCTTCCTCACTTCTTTTTTCTCCCACCTCGCTCTCACCTTTGATCTTCTCTTCTCTACTTCACTCCAGCTGAGTGTATACGCAGAGAACAGCTCTTCAAGCAAAGGTCAAATCCTAAATCGAAAGGATGTTTGTCTTCAACCGAGGAGATCTGCCTCCGGATCCTAGTTTTCCTGCGGATTTGAAGCAACTGGGGTATGGATATGACAGAAGTTACGAGACTATCTTCAAACGCTAACTAAGTCATGGTTATCAGGTACTTCATCAACGATCGAGATCAGATTAGAAAGATCTCAGATCCGAAGCAGGAGTTCCAGTTCAAGATCAACAAGAATGACCGTTGGAACGAGACGCAGAGAGAAGCAATGAATGGTTTTTATTTCTCTTCTCCATCGGTTCCTGCTATGGAGAGTACCCTGTGCTAACAGCAGACTGATCATTCCAGCCTGCATCCGAGAAATTGTCTCTCAACGTCTCCGAGCATCAGGCCTTGTTACCTTGCGACTGCCTCTCTCTTCCATCTCAACACAACCGCACGTCCCGATCCTGGTCTCGCCCAATATCTGCACTGCATCACGCATAATCGTCGTTTTTGGCGAGAACGTGCAGGACTTGGGGATTTGGGCCTATCGCAAGGTGTCTTCGGATGGTATCGCAACCGGATCCGCCGTGTCGTTTGTTAGGGCTGTCCTTGGGCTGGGAAGTGATATTGCGGACGCAGCCAGTGCCGCCAAAAAGATAAGAACGCACAAGACAGCTCTGGTTTTGACAAACCCTGGTCAGTTAATCTGGCACTGTGGTTCCAGTCAAGCTATGTCTCTCCAATCTTGGCTGGCGTTTCCGCGATCGTCTGCCGTTGATCCGCCTGATACGATGAGCGATCGAAACAAGATACCTGGGAACGAAACCTGGCAGGAACATATCTATCATGTTTTCGAAAGGATCTTGAATCCTAATGGTCGGTTCGTCAGGAAAGATGCCAAAATTGACATCATTGGTTTGGCAGACGGGGGCTTGGGAGCGATCCGGTATTTGGCCGATGAGTGTATGTGCTGCATTCCTCTCTATCCTAATCGGTACTAGACATGGATTCTAATGATATTTGTGGCGAAGGGGATTACTGGCGTGGATCTATCTCGGCCATATGTCTTTCACATCCTCTCCATCATGCTCAATTTGAGTTGGGCCAACCCGGGGCCGAATCGCCTCCATCAGATTCTTTCCCTTCGTTCGTCTCGTCGCGCTGCCGTGCTTATGTCCTGTCCGACAAACCGGTTGGTCTGCCGGTTCCTGGAAGCGACGAACATGTTTGCAATTGCTACTCACCCGGAGAGGAGTTGAACGTTGAATGCATCATGCCAGCAGCTTGGAAGGAGATGCTTCAGTGGCTGACAAGGATGTATGAGAACCCCGAACTCTGCGAGGAGCAGTTGAAGTTCAAAAATGAGGAGGAACAGAAGGTCCGAAACGGGGAGGGACAGAAGCTCAAGAATGGAGTGGGAAAGAAGCTTGACAATGGAGTGGGGCACAATTTGAAAAGTGTGTAGACAGAAGATGGTACATCCTGGGATTTATTGATATTGGGCCTCTAGAGACCCGTACTAGAAGGAATGATGGATGGCGATGTGGCTGAGGGGCCTCGAAGGATATGAAGCTGGAAGGGCACAATATTGATAGGCAGAAAGTCAATATGATTAACCATGGAGATAACACAGACTGTTTCCCTCACAGATAAATAGGCAGCGTGACTCTCATTTAAGCCCCCTGGACGTATTTCTTCCTGATCTCTCCTTTCCACTCTTCGAGCGAGATCCCCTCGTCTCCACGCGGCACGACGCCTCCCTGGAATCTGTCCATCTTTTCTCTGTCCCAGCTAGGAATATGCAAGAACTCGTGGCTCTTATCGCAGATGTTTAGCGGGTGGGTCCCTTCTTGAAGTTGCTGGAAACATTCCTTCTCGAACGTCAGGTTGATACAATCCTTGCACCACCACATCTCGCTAGCTGTTGTCCAACAATAGCCACATTTCCCATCGCAGATGGCGAATTTGTCAGATTCAGCCAGACTGTCTGCATCTGACTGGCTGTCATGTTCTTCTAAATCATCTCGATGGTCTACGACAGTGTTGACCCTGAGGTCGCGACGTCGACTCACAGCCCCCGTTTCTCCTTCAGCTGCAGATAACAGAAACTGTGATGAGCCGGCAAGACCATGCCCCCCACTAGCAGCGTGAGAAGTATCATTTACCCTCGCAAGGGCCGCCATAGCAATAGCCACAAACGCATTCTCATCATCATTCAACGGCAGAAACACGAGAAACAGCCTCCAATACGCTTGAAAGTCGTTATCCCCATCGTCGTCAGAAAGGAGCTCCAGCGCCATTTTCACAATACTTCGAACGATCTGCTTCGCCTTTACCGTGTCCTCTTTCACCTGGTAGTACCGTGCGATATAGAGCTTTGCGGGTAGCAATATGTTGTTCTCTGCCACCTCGCTGGGAAATATGTTCGAGATATTGTGGAGGTATTTACGGGCTTTCGCGTCGTTTTTTGCGGCCCTGGCCTTGTGGAGGTAAACGGGCCCCAGTTTGATGGCGAGACTGGGCAGGATCTCTTCGATGTCGAGGAAGCTGCGCGGGAGATCGTCTTGCAGGGCTATCTCCCACATGGCGATGGCTCGCTTTTCGTTTTCGTGGTGCTGGAAGAGCGCGTTTGCGTAGTGGTATCGGATGAAGTAGAGGCTGGTGTAGGCTTGGTCTTTTAGCGCTAGATGCATTGCGCCGTCGTAGGTGTGTTCCAGCCAGTCGAATTCGTCGATCTTGACTGCGAGCTGCAGGATCATGTCGTGGAGGGACTCTCTGTCTGCGAGGTTGACGAGCATGTCGAAGACTCCTGGTCTGTCTGTGGAGACGTTGTGGACTGTGTCTAGTAATGCGATGATCTCCGCCCACCGGTGGGAGCGGTGGTAGTGTTCCAGGATTGTGAAGATGCGCTCGTATCCGATGAAACCTCTCGACACTGACTTTGTGTATGCCTGGATCGCAGGATCTGGGCAATTGGTTTCCCAGTAGATCTGCCCCAGGTCGAAGAACATTTCTGCAAGCGTGGTGACGTTGGATGGTTCTTGCATCCATTCGCTGTTGGCTTGGAGACGCTGTGTTATGGACTCCAGTATATCCGTCGCTTCTTCTTTGGACGACACGATGTGGGACAGGTGGTACGAGGCGCGCCAGTTGGAGGGATCGAGCGCCAAAGCATGGCGGCATCTCTTCTCGGCTTCTTCCGTATGGAGATACTTAGAGAGAACAATGGCCACTTGGATTTCCCATAACGAGTCTGACGTTTCAATCCCAAGTAGAGAGCGTGACCACTCCTCGGCTTCAGATATCTCGTGGCTGGAAAGTTGGCCTTCGAGGGCTGAGACATGCTTTTCTGTATTATCACTTTCGGTTTGACTCTGGAATACACTTCATCAGTTGAACTGTCTTAGCGAAAGATCAGTACAATGGGATACGTACCTTTCGCATAGCATCGTAAACAAAACAAAATGCTTCGCAGGCTAACGTGGGAGTGGACTGCTCACGTAGCCAATGAGCCGCCATTCTCCTGGCAAAAGTATGGATGAAATCCTTCTGAGGGTTGACACTCGCATTCAACTTGGAGATCCATTCTCGAGAACCCTGGTCAGTGACATTGGCAATCACAGCAGAGTCCTTGAACCATCGCAGAATCTCTCGTGCTCCTTGATCGCTGTCCAGCCACGCAGCACGAGCATGCCATGTGACGGTGACTACATCTGTGGCGTCGTTTGTCCAGATAAGCGCATCCACTGCATCATCGTCTGTAAAGAGCCGGAGAAGGTGTGGGCCAACAGCGCCCTTCTTCTCCCTTTCTACAAGAGCCAGATCCACGGATGACAGATGCTGCAGAAGGTAGCTGACAGCGTAAGGCCGGAGGATCTCACGTTTCTCGTCTCCTGCTTCTGTCAAGATACGCAGGCAAGTCAATGCTAGTTTAAGCTCTGCGGTATCCTTGTCATCGCGGCAGATAAACCCGTGCTTGAAGCGCAATTTTTGCTCGAAGAAGGCCTCGAAGTCGAACTTGTCGTAGAGTTCCTGTGGGCATACGGTTTTCAAGAAGTGTCTGATTATAGAAACCTCCGCAGACTGGATCCTCTTGTCAGTGTCTGCGTTGGTCGTTTGGTCTGTGTCAAAATGACCTTGTCTTTCAGGGATCAGACTGGCAATCTCATCAGATCGAAAGTCGATGTCCCCGTCACTGTCAACTTCAAACAAGGAATACTTCATCTGGAGCTTGGACTCCAACGGCAGCAGCGAGCGCTCGCCGGTTTTCTGGTACAGTATGGCAGCCATTTGACGAGCCTGGAACCACTGTCTGCCGTAGATAATCCAGAGGATGATCTCGTTCATCTCTTCGATTTCCTTCTCTGTTCGGGCACTGTTCAGTTTCTCGATCTCCGCCAGAATCTGTTCTGAGCGTTCTTTGCCGGCGTCGTCGAGTAGTCGGTCGATGTCGTTGACTGAGTCTAGGGTGCTTATATGCTTGAGGATCGTGTTGATTCTGAAGTAATCACTCCGTGTCTTGTCACAGAGACTCTGGCAGATCTTGTTTCTCAGAGCCGGAACGCCTAGTCGATGTGTATCTTTGAGTGCTTCAATCTGATCCATTTTCGACAGTGTGTATTTTTCCACATCTTTCCGGTTCTTGGTGCTGATGGGTAGTATCTCGAACAGGATATCCTGTGTCTTCGACAGCTGCCCAGAAGCTCTCGGACGGCCTGTCAGAAGAATGCGAACACGATTATGGGTTTCAGACAGGGCAGACACTCTCTGAAGAAACTTGAGCAGCGCATCGCCTATAATATCACTTAGTCCATCAATGACAATAAAGAACGTGGCATCGATGACCCGATCAAGGTCCTCATTATACAACAACAACGCTTCGAGAATCTCATGGGGATCCAGATCCCTCTGCCTTTGACATATACCGGCCACAGACTTCGTGTATGAAACGTCCGCCTGGACGAACTGCCAAACCAACGATTTAGCAATAACGTCAATGTGGTTCGTCCTCTTCAATTCCTCCTTCGAGTCACCTTCAACGAAGTAGAAAGCTAGGAGAGTCCTGGGCCCCGAGCTATCTACCGAGCTCCGGTTTCGCAGCCTTCGGATGATCGTAGAAGCCAGATAGCTCTTCCCTGAGCCTTCCACGCCCTCGATCATCAGAACCGGCGGGCAGCCTTTCTGGCCGCTCTCCCATGCCTTGAATCCAGGATCGGAGAACACCCATTGGCCCGTCCCAGGCACGACCAGTTTGCGGTAGTTGTGGTACATTCTCTGCCAGTACGGATCAGGCTCCTTCTTCTCTCGATCAAGTTTGTTCTCATCAAAAGCCAGAGTCTTGAAGATCGCCTCCCGACGACTCTTAACATCAGACTCCTTCTTCTGGTCCTTCTTGCTCGCGATCAGCATATCAACCTTACTATTCACAACCTTGCTGATAGCCAAGTTCTCGCGCGCCCCAAGCGCAGCCTCTGACGCGAAGCTGAACGTCTGCGCCGTCACCAGCCGGCCTTCTTGATCCACCAAGCCATCCATCTTCTCCAAGAGTTCTTGGACTTCATTGTCGTTTAGGAAGAACAACTTGGCGAACAGGGCTAGCTTCCTCCGCTTGGAATGCCGCAGCTTGATGACCCGGTCGCAGATCTCGACGAATAGCTGCAGGTGCTGGCAGGCGACTTTGGCGAGGGCTATGTCCATACCACCGCGGATGTAGTACTGCAGTCGACATAAGTACTGCCCACATCTGTCGAGCAGACTAGCTAGGCTCTCGAATGCAGACTGATAGTCCTGCCAGGCGTGGATGACGAACGTAATGGCGTTGAAGCATAGCTCCGAAGGGCCAAAAACCTACCATTGTGAGCATCCCAATCTAATCCAAACCAAAAAATAACAATGGAAAAATAAAAAATCAATCAAAAGAAAACAACACAAGTACACTCACATCAGCAGCCCCCACAGCAACCAACCCCCCAACAGTCTCCACAAACCGCAAAGTAGTATCAAAAGCTACCCGCACAGCACGGCGCCCCTCTCCTGACCCCTCCTCCTTTTCCTCCTCCCGCTGCTGTGCACTGTCCAGCAAAGACAGCACAGACTCGATATTCAGGTCCGGCTGGAGATTCGCGACGTCGCCCCCGGCCAGCTGAACGACGCGTGCTTGCACCTGCGACCAAACAGTGGTGATCTCGTCTTTGAGGTTGGAGGATTTGAGCCCCGCGGGGGAGATTGGTGAGATTGTCATTGTGCCATTCGTTTCCTGCGTTGCGGTGCTCTTATTTTTATCTGTGCATGTGAGGGAAGGGAATGATTCAATTGGACTTTGTTTGAGGTATCAGTAGTAGAAGCTAGAGCACAACCCGGGTAGTCCTATATATATAAAAGTGTAAATCCCATGGAGAATCAATGAGCGATCAGCGTTGGGCGGAGCAAGGCTGGAACATTAGCTCGGTGGGCACCGTCATAGATAAAGTTCATTTATAGTATATGATACGAGGGCCAAGAACGGGGCGCCTGGTAGTGATATTTCAATCTAAGATTAATTCCCCTAGTCCCTATTATCTTCGGATAGACATGAGGCTATACACATGTACTTGAATTTCTGCCACCTTGTCTTTCTTTTATTTTAGTGCTCAGTCTTGCTGCTTTTTACTCACCGGGGATATCTGTGCACTCTCTGAGCACTCGTAGAGCAGTTCAAGGTGATAATTTAGCAGAGGCTGAGGAGAAGACTAGGTGCTTTAAGCAAGTAACCTTTATAAACTACACTTTCACTAGTAATTGACTTATCTATGTCTTTGCTCGTAGTCTACTTTTGCCTGTTAAACTCTTCATAAAATCAATATCATTACTATAAGAGAGATAAGTTAGGCTATTATAATCCCTATTACTGATACTCTCTCTTCTAGTAAATAGTAGAAATCTACTAATTCAAACTAGAAGACGGTCAACGAGCCGCGAAGATATCACAAGTGTTTGAAGGAAGACCTTTTACAAAATCTCCTTTGATCTCTTTCCAATATCACTTCCTGGCTGTCAACTAGAGACATTTTCATATATTGGATTGCGCCAACCTGACTAGAGAATAGTCCTCAGCTCCGCTGGGCTCTTCCATAGCATTCCTCATCCCAGAGAGTTCAAACATCAGAACTGCACGGCACACGATGGCAGAGGTTACAAGCCTCGCAATAAGCTTAAGGCTATCGAGCCATCCTGTCATCCCTCTATCAGTAAGTCCGGTATCAGCCAAAGTATCAAGAGTTGTGACGACCAACCAAGGAACTGCAGGGTACTGAAAGTGATTGTGCCGTAAAGGACGTGCACTGCAGTGTAGGTAGCCATCCACCAAGACACTACAACAAAGAGATAAGTTTCGGGTTTCTGGACCAAGCGTAGCTTCTCATGTACAATACACGGAGTTGCTTCATGTCTCAGCCAGCGCAGACCCACACTTTTCCATCCATCTCCCCTCCTTGCCTTGTTGTCATTCTTTGTCTCCGTACGCAGTGCTAGGCACCATAGGCCACAGATATGAAGAGGAATGGTCAGAACCGCCCACACAAGAGCATAGAAATCCGTGTCGCAATCCACCATATTGATAGTCCACCGTCCTGCATAAAACGCCGCGGTGTATACATTAGCGACAGCTCCCAAGACAAGGGCATATTCCACCATTGAGACAAAAGCCGCCTGTAACGGGGAAAAGTACGGAGGAACCAGGCCGCCTTCTCTAATCTTCAGCTCCTCAACCGGGCTAGGGTATTCAAATGTCCGGACAGGGCTGACCGAGGGAGAACCGGACGCTATGAGCAGGGCAAGGAGCGGTCGGCGTTTAGCTAGAAGAGCTATCTCCGTAGTGCTAGAACCCAGGAATGTGAGCATAGAAGGCATGAGACCCAGGGCGACTATTGCCCCTGCGATGTCGTTTTTGACTGCTTCACTTGTGTGTTCTAGCATGCAGTCTAGCAGGGGGTGGCAAACTTGATCCCCGGCTTGTTTGCGCGCAAACAGCTCGGCACATGCGGTATCGCGGGTTTTGATCAACTCTGTTCGGTGCATTGGGAAGAAGTTGACAAACCGTGTGTGTCTCGCAAGGGCCCTGGAGACGCAGCCTGACAGTATCAAAAATAGAAGAGCCTCCGTATGAGCCATTGCCACTCAAGGATCTCAATGAAAAGCTGTAGCAGAGTATATCCTGTTTCTCAGATGACGTTGGCATAGTATATAGAGAAGGAGTGAGCTTCTCACTCAGATCCAGGGCGTTATTAAGGTGACCCTGTTGGGACACCGGTATTGGGCAGCAACGAGCGGGGCTTCGAACTTGTTAGGATAATCATGAACTGATGATTTCTTCATCAATTTGAATGTCTCTCCTTTCTTGAGCAATCGCACAGCAGACTATCTATCCTGAGAGTCAGTGTCTATGAGGAATAGTCATTCTTTATATCTATACATCAGAAGCGTTCACTTTGCCGCCAGGCAATACAACTTCCTAGATATCTGTTGGATACCACGCTACCAATCCATGCACTCCAAAGTTGAAGCTTAACACGGTGTGATAACTATGCTTTCATGAGATCCAATATTTCTAGCAGTAGTAGCAGTAGTAGTAGCGCTTATGTTATTGTGCCCCTACGTCAGTTTGGAGTGGCCCTTATTATCTCGTTACATACTATATAACTCTGGCATTCTTAGAGTAATACTAGTCGGAGATATATATTACTAGCTAAGTAGGTTGATAGCTAATCATAGAAATCTGAAGGAATTTCGGCGAGACCTTGGGTTTTCTGACATTTTTACACTCAATACAAAGCATGAGAGAGATTCTTAACTTGAATCATGGTGATGGGAAATCCCCATCTTTTTCGTGCGCTATATATCTACATCTTTCTCTAGAAATTGATCGTCGTATGACAATGGCTGGACTGGAATCAGCTACTTCTTATAGACCTGGGTCAGATCCCATCAACTAGTCTTCCTCAGAGTCAGCTAGGTGACTTGCTAGTCGAACTGATACTGAGAGCCAGAGTTCTATTGTATACAGAAAGCCAGCCTGATCGACAGAAAAGAATATCCAATCCTAACATCCCTCTAATAGAGAAATGCGGCCCCCTCCGACCCAAGCAACGACCCCACGCGGAGCACGCCGCCTCAACACCCACCATATAACCCCCCCACGCGCGCCACAACCCTACAAACGGATCATCCGATCAAATACACAAACACGATGGACCTACATCCCCTCACCCCCGACCAGCTCGCCCAAGCAGCCACCACCTGCCTCCACCTCCAAGCCACAGCGCAAGACATCCACCGCAAACGGCCCTTCGTCGCCCTCCTCCTCGGCCCCGACAACACCACCGTGCTCCTCTCGTCCAACTCGCTCTCCCACGTCCGCCACGCCGAATGCGAACTCGCCCGCAACGCCGCCGACAATTTCAACGCCGCCTACCTCGCCGCCTGCACCCTCGTCTCCACCTGGGAGCCGTGCGCCATGTGCGCCGCCACCATCTACTGGGCCCGCATCGGCCGTCTGGTCTACCTGGCCTCCGAGGCGGCCCTGCGTGACATCGTGGGCCCCGCAAACCCGGAGAACCTCACCATGACGCTCGACTGTCGCGTGGTGTTTGCGGCGGGGCAGACGGACACGGAGGTCGTTGGGCCGGTGCCGGAGTGGGAGGGTCGTGTTGTGCAGGATGCGCGCCGGTTCTGGGATTCGCATCGGGGTTCTGGATAGCGGGGAAAAGCGCAGATCTCCATTCTTCAATTGATAGATAATCCTTGCGATGATACATACAATGTGAATATATGTAATTGATAGTGTCGGATGAGTGAGTACCATTCGCGACAGTGTCTCTGCTAGACAGGGAGACGAGACTGAGGAGTGTTCCCTCTAGAGAGAGCATAGCCAAACACGGTTCGCAATGACAAGAGCAGATTTCGAGATCACAATCGGCACGCCAAGAGTGTCGATCCAGGTTTGTACACCATATTCCTGATGTCTGATCATCGCGTCATACGGTCGTTGGCCAGTGCTGCAGTATATACAGACATCCCACTCTTATTGCAAATCTCGCCCGTCTAGAGTGGCAGGACCAAAAACAACCACAACCCAACTCGCCATTCTCCAACCCCACTGGTGCTACCTCAAGCGCCAACATCCCAGCGCTCTTCATAGATAGCCCAACTTGGCGAAGTGGAGTAAGCTTCCTGTCATTAGGATATATGCAAGAACGTAACAAACGTCAGCACAGCTATCTAAAAGCTCCGTCGACCAACGACTACCAATCAACGAAATCCGGTCCTCCACAGCCTCCTTCCCCAGCCAAACAAAAGAATGCATCTGCCCAACACACGGCCAACACCCATCGGCAGTCCAAATTTGAACCACGTCAGTGGTTTGAAGAGGCCAGCACGCGGCACGACTATCCCATTTCCAGCTCTATCAATCGCAGCCTTAGACTCATCGCTCCTGGAATTGGTAAAAGCATCAACAGCCTCCAAAATGATTTCCACTGTCAATCCAGGCTGACTGAGAAAGGGCGAATGGCTCGTCTGCAGCTCTCGATGCTCCACACTAGCCCCCATCTCTCTCGCCATGCCAACTGACATCCGCTGAGCCAGGACCGGTAACCCCCGATCCTCCACAGTCCCGATATACCAAGACGGCACGTCTTTCCACCCGGCGTAACTGTACTCGCCGCCTTCGAACAAAGCCTTCAGATTCTGACTCGTCAGCTGAGAAACCCAGTATTCTGCCTCTCCCTCAGGTAGGTCGTGGTAGAACAGTTCGCGCGGGGGAGTGACAAGCTCCGCGTAGCCGGTCTCATTATTAACACGCCAAGAAGGTGGCGGATGACCGAAGAACGGATCCATGAAAGACAGACCAGCCAAGGTGAAGCCAGAGGCGACGAGGATTAGTCCGATCACGGATCCCGGTCGATCGTCATCAGCGTCTTTTGGCCCTGTGAAGCCTTTGATAGCGCTGTTGCCAACCATGCCGCCATAGGAGTGCGCGATGACAACAACGTTGCGCCCGGTACTTGTTTCAGTGGAAATCACATCCCGGGCTGCATCGATATCGTCTTTGAAGGTCGCTTCGGGATTATATGCTGTCGAGGGAAGAGACACTGTGACGCATCGCAACTTGGGCTCCAGGAGCTTGATGATCGGGTCGTAGCATGTAGGTCTGTGCCAGGAGCCTGGTATAAAGACAAGGGTCGGTCGACTCGACATAACAATAGTCTGCGGGTTCGTTTTAGTGGCCTCTGGATTGATGTGAGAATGCGATCGGTTTGATCATGTAGATCGTTGAATAGACGCGACTCATGAGTGGGCCAGGCAATATCATAACACGTGATATGAGTCAGGGCTACGGGGATGCAGCCGGAATTTACCGGGAGTGGGGGCAGATCAGATCAAGCATGTACAGGGTCTTTTTGATTTCTACCGAGCAACCTCTTTGTACATTCTGGTTTTAGGAAAATGACCAGGAGCATCTGCTCTCCGGATCCTAGATTAGGGTTAGTATAATATCACAGTCGTAGAGGCTGAGTAACGCTCCTGGACAACTTGTCATGAGAGTGACAAGCTAGCAGAAAAAGAGAAGCTGGATCTGCTGCCACCCATCCCTAAATGTTGTTGCAGTGGTGAGTTAGAGAAGATGTATAATATTAGCAGCTGTTGCACTAGCGTCAGGCACGGAAAACTGTGGCGTTGCGTGCACCGAAGTATCCAAACCACTAAGAGAGTGGCTACATGCCTGCTGGATTAATGATTCTGCTATCAACACCAGTAGCTTCGGCCCTGCTGCACATGTAACTTGTTGAATATCAGTACTGGATACTTGATCAATGTTGAATAGATACAAATAGTCTGATAAAATTGAGAGGGTATAGATAGAGAGGACGAGAGGAGATGCCACCCAATGCCGGCCCTAGTCATGAGCAAGCACATGAATATAGCGCTGAACAATTTGCTCCGTGCTAAACTCAGGCCCCAAGTTCCATTCTTCCTGTGGAGGAAGCCCGCAAGCAGGACGGCTATATGTTCGGGAATTTGAGTGTAAGCCCCCCGTGTTTTCTGCTTCATGCGTACTTCCCGGATACCTCATCTTGGGCATCTTGTTTGGTTCATCGTGTATATAATCATCTCTTGGTCTTTTTTGGCTGGAGAGACCTACTTCGGCCGGGGTTTTGTTGACTTTTGGTGAGCAGCCATCGTACTTTTGGAAGTATAGGTTCCGTAGTGTTTCTAGTTGGGTGACTGTTGCTCGGTCGATTCCGCAAATTCTAGCACTGCCCAATGCTAGAATGCCTCGTCGTAGGGTCGCTAACGGGGCCCCGTGCCAGGGCTTTGGTTCCGCTAAGCCGAGATCTTCGGGGGAGAACTGTCCGCCAAGTAGATACCTCTTCAAGAAAACAGGTTGGAAAAGGCCACTATTCTCCCTGTCTGAGATAATCCCCTGCTCTAACTGATGATCCCTGTACGATGTGCTGGATGGGACTTCTCGGGGAATAATGTCTCCCTCTCCGACTGCCAACGCTCTTCTCTCTCTATCCCTCAATTCGAAATCGATAAAATATTGTAAGTCAGAGGGGAAGAACACGAATCCCGGATCATGGGCGCGATCAAATTCGAGGTGGCATGTTGCGCATAGTGGGATCCCGTTTGCCGCAGACGTCAGAGAAAAAGGAAGGAGGCCTTCTTTGGACCAGAGGGAAACCTGTCCAACTGTTGGATTATCCGTATTCTAAAATAGACAGGAGGAATATAGCCGCCTACCTGCTTATCCTCTTTCCCAACGACATGTGCTATCTGAGGGGACTCAGTTTTACACGCCCAGCAGAAGTCCCCCGAGAGACGTTTGACCTCAAGCTTTGTGGTTACCGAAAACACGTCTGACTTCGGATACTGGCTTGACATTTCAGACATATTGGACGGAGACCTGATCTGGCCAGGGGAAGGAGACTTGTCCACGTTGGATGATGGAGATTTGGTCTGTTTTGAGGGCGAAGAAGTTGCAGACGAGCGTTTTCTCTTCGCTGGTGAGGAGGGGGGAGGCATCGCCTTTCGGTCAGGATTTGAATCTGTCATGGGTAATTAATTCTGTTGTCTCAACGAGAAGGATGTCTTTTGAGAACACTTACAGCAGATAACAGTCTCCGAAGAAGACGAAGAAGATGGTGTTTTGAGCGTAGGCCGTTCCTTCCTCGATAGTAAGGTAGTCGTAGGTGGTGCGGGTGAGTGGCAGTGGAAGAAAGGGTCCCAAGAGGTCCTGAGGAAGTCAAAACCCTAGGTCGCTGCTCATTGGTGAGGATTTGATCACATTTCTTATGACTGGAATCTGAATGTGGTAATGATGACGCCACGCCCCAAGGGGAAGGGGGATGGTAAGCGTAGACATATAATATGCGTGCAACACATGTGTAAAAGAAGACACTTTCTGCTGTGGGATGTCGATGAGAAAGATCATCTATTAGCAGGTACTCCTGGTGTCACATGATATACAAACACAGACGCTCCGACATGAAATTGCTAACAATAATGATAATAAAATGGTCCATTGCGCTTATGCCCACCACTCTATCAAATAAAGCATCATACTATATGACTAGGCTTGTCCATCTGAAAATCAACTATCAACCACATTATTCGCATTAGTACCCAAATCCAAATCAACAGTATATGTCCGTCCCCGCGGTAAGTATTCATTCATCAATTCATCAGTCGCTGAGCGTCGTTGTAGGATAGATAGATGGAATAGGAGGACATGATATGATTTAACATGTAAGGGAAAAACGAAAGAGAAAATAAAAGAAAGTCATTCCAAGCGTGCAACAATCTGCAGAAAGTCTTGAGTGGATGTTCAAACACAACATTAGATGCAGTTAGATGTGGCTAGCAATGTTTAAGCAAGCAAGATGCAGTCATAAATCATCATGAGCGCCCTAGAAAATGGAAAGAAGAAAAGATCAAGGCGAGAGTAAAAGGGAAAATCATCCCATGCTACAAGTGACCGGTTCAGGTAGCAGACTCGCATCAGAAATAGCTCGATCACGCATTCGCTTCGAGATGTCAATGTCCATGTCATCACCGATAAAGGTCCACTCTTCGGAGTCGGCCATATCGTTGTCCGCATCGTGGTCCGCGACGGGCTTGGCCGACGGCGTAGGTGAGAATGGGGTGGCGGAGAAGATGGAGCGTTGTCGCGCGAGTGTTTTGGCGTACTCGAGGTCGCGGTAGATTGCCTGGATAGCGGTGTCGACGCCATCTTCCTGTTGTAGAGGTTAGTATTTTGCAGTCAAATTAGGATAGGGGAGAGGGTAAGCTTACGCTTCGAATCTGCGCCCCCAGATCTCGCGCCCTTTTGATCATTCGCTCGCTGTGGGTCGCCTCCCATAACGCCCTCGAGAAGATGCTCACGTTCAGCTTGTTCATGCAGATCCCTACGCCGAGGTCTTCAACTCTGGTCCCGAAGAAGAACTGGTCTCCGAAGAAAGGCTTGATGATAGAAGGAAGACCCGCGCGCAGACTGGCGCCAGTGGTCCCTGCCCCTCCATGATGTGCTGCCGCATCGATCTGGGAAAACAGCCAATCGTGCGGTGCGGATTGGATCTGGAAGATCTCAGGGGGCAAAGGAATCTCAGATTTGGTGCTGGCGGGGTCACCAAGACGATCGGACCACCCCTTGGAAAGGATGCAACGGACGTCGGCTTTCTGGACAGACTCGACGACCGTCCGCGTCAGAGCAGACGGATCCGACACGACGATCGATCCGAACCCGATGTATACGATCTTCTTACCGTCTTCGCGAGCACGGCGGATGAATTCAACCAGTTCCGCCGAGGGCGTCCAGCCAGTTGCCTCGCTCAGAAACCAGTAACCGGTAATACGGATCCAATCCGGGTAGTCTAATGGCGGTGCTACCACTGACGGCGAGTAGTTGTACAGGAAAGGAACCTTGTTCGGCTGCATCTTGTCCAGGTTGGTTGCCTTCAGGCCGAGCTCGTTCTTCCTCCACCGGTTCACCTGTCCTGCAATCGCTTTCCAAAAGACATTGTCAAACATGACGTAGGTGATGTGATTGTACGCACCGCCCATCTTCTGCTCTGGAACGGCAAATGCATGTGGGTACGCACGCGTCCTGGTCCAAGGCATCGTGAAAGCACGGAAGTAGGGAATCCGAAGGGCTTCAGCAATGTGTATCCCAGCCATGGCACTTGGAGATTCGATGAGGAGGTCGCTATCCTGGCAACTCGACCAGGCAGACGAGAGCAGGTCATCGATCCATCCCCTAAACTTCAACGATGCCTCTTTCAGGAACGAATACGTGAACATCCCGTTTTCGACACATATCCGCATGAGTTCCGCTGGGTCTCCGTCGACAGGAGCGAAGTCGATGCCATGCTTCCTCACCCAGGGCTCAAACTCGGCATGTGTGGCGATCTTTGGCCGGTGACCCTCCGCCATAAGACCCTTGCACAGGGCAATATATGGCTGGACATCTCCACGCGAGCCAATGGTGAGACAGGTGATCCTCAAAGACTCGGCGGGCTTGAAATTGACGATCGAGGCGCGCGGGTCATCAAAAACGGGATGAAGCTCCCCCGAGTCCTCAGGCAACATGTCCCGGGTATCATTCTCTCCCGAGGTGCCCAGTCTGGCTTCCTGTAGCATCTGGTGTTCCGCCTGCGCGGCTTCAGACTCCTCTTTCTCCTGTTCTGCAAGGAGACCTGACTCAACTAGGAACCGAATGGATTCCAGATGTTGGTGCATCGTCACAGCACAGTCATCCCGGGCGTCCGACGCGTTGAATTCGAAGAACAATTCCTCGTGACCCCGGATAATGACGACGAGTCCGTGATAGCCAAACCGGAACCCCTTCTCCTTCTCCACATTCTCGACATCCTTAAGGGGGAGTATCATCTTCGTACGAGTTCCCGGAAGGAGGCTGCGGAAGCACAACTTCTTCTGGCTGATGTAGATCTTGCCGTAAAGCGGGAGAACACGGTGCAGATGCGCGAAATAGGTAGCCTGAAGCTTTTCGGTCGGGGGAAGGGCGAAGTGGGCACGGAATCGATCGCCGTCTTTGCATCCATCGTCCTGGTCATCGGCATCCAGGGCCTGATCATCCGGCAATACACCTTCAGTCTCTCCATAATGCCGACGACCACCGATCCACATTCCCGAGACCTTCTCTATATAACCCATAGACTCACTGGCCAGGAGCGTACTCATCTGTCGTGACCGATTCTTGAGATATCCGGCGATGCCTGCGGCTCGCTGGAGAGGATAAGCGCCAGCCCGCACAAGATCGTTCAACCCAGACGCACTAGACGCAGCGGTAGGGTCCTGGGCGTCATGGGCAGATCCGCTGTGGGCGTACTGGATTTCAGGCCCGTCTCTCGCAGCAGGAGTAGACGGATCCATGACGGCGTTGGCATTGGAAGATCGCGCGGTCTCGTCCGAGTGACGGCGATCGGGCCTATCGGCGGCTGAAGGCCGCATCCGCAGGGTATGGATCGTGGGAGAGTGAAAGACATCGCTTCGGTTTAATATTTGACTCGCAGATTCCGCGGTGTCAGTCATCGACTGTAATACGGCCGAAGACTCAGTAGCGTGTTCGAATGAATTCACAAACGAGTCCGATGAGTCCATCTGCCGTGGAGGCGACCGTCCGATGACATCGTGGCCAAGGCTGAAGTTGCTGGCGCTCACACTTCTTTGCCGGGGAGTATCGGCCGTTTCCATCCCCCTGGGGTGGCTTAATCCTCTGGACAGAGACCACCTCCCTCGGGGGCTCCGGGCGCGACTCGGGTGACCAGCTTTATCGGGCCGAGGAGAGAGGGTTTGCGAAGACTTGGCCGAATTGTCGCTGATGAGGCCTTTTAAAAAGTTGAAGGCATCCTGGCCAGAGTCAAAGGAGGTGAAGTAGTACTACAACGTTATCAGTAAAGGGGACACAAGCTATGCGCAGGAGGGGATCTCACCTCGTCAATCGCATAGGAATCATCACTTTCCACCACGCGTATCTTGAAGGTCTCTGCGAACTCGACCATCGGGCTCTCTTCTATATCTATAATACTCTTGATGGGAAAGGATACCTTCACACTGTCGCCCTCATTATGGGTCCGAAAGATGATTTTCTGCAGAGCCTTGACCCATTCTTTTGCGTTGGCGGAGCTGTCTGCGCGGAAATAGTATGTTCGCTGATCTGTTGTCACTTGGAAGTCTTTCGAGTCCTTCCCTTTATCCTTTGACTCCACCAGCGACGCCGATATCCCATAGCGGAGGTCGACATGCCCGCTGGGAAAATAGAGGGTCGACGGATCGGCATAGTAGGAGAGGACGTCTTCCTTTAAGGAAAACCAATACCGGGCATATTTGGGGTTCTTCCGTCCGCGTTTGTGCAGGTAGCCGGACTTGATGGCGACCGTTGATTTCTTCGGCAGGTAGGCATAGAAGCATATATGCCCTTCTGTTACATACATATAGCCCTGTAGAAGCATACTTTGCAGTAGGGAGCACCCATACTCGACGAGGATCTTCTCGGGAGCGCCAAAGCCAAACATCTCCGCCAGTCTCTCGGCCAGCGGGGACGCGGCCAGCTGCTGAGAACTTTGAGCGCTTTTCTCTTCTGCAGAAGGCTGATAGGATGGGGCGGTCGGTTCGGTGGCCGTCTCAAGCTTGGCTTGTGCCTCAACCATGCGACTAAGGACGGGGGCCGCTCGCGGAGTGACACTGCGAGGCCGCGGGAGAGGAATCTGAGACTGGTCGTCGCCCGTCGCAGATTCCTTATGCCGCTCTCTCGACGCGGACTTCGACTGAAAGGGTCGCAGAAGTCGATGGTCCGAAACCGACCTGTGTTGGTGACGCCCTCTCTCTGCAACCTTCGCTCGGGGCCGTCTCTCTTTCTCCTCGTCGCTATCACTGGAGTCGTCAAATCGCGCATGTAAATCGGACCGTGACCCAACTGCCGCGATCATCGAGAATATAGACTGCTGCATGTACTGCATATGACCATCCCGGGCACCTGTCCGACCCGGGGGAGCGGTGTAGTCCACTTGGGCGTCATGGTCGTCCTTTAACCGGTCAGGCAGGGCGCTCGAAAACATGCGGCTGGGAGTGTGCTGTCGGCCGTGGCTGAGCCTCCGGTCGAACCGTCGTTTCGTGTCTTCTTGAAGAGGTCGCATTTGGGCGGTGGGTGTGGGGGGATAGGCAGAAGGGTGTAGGAGGAGGGTGTGGCAAGGGCGGAAGGGAGGCGAAGGCTGAGTATGCCCTGGTCACAGCCACAGCGCGTGTGATCCACCACCACGAGCAAGAAAAAGGGTCGGTGGTCCAGTCGATTCGAAACGCACGGTGAAGATAGAGGATACCAACGGTGGAGACTATCAAGACGGGTGATCATCCATGTTAGTCTATATACAAGATGACATCAACAGGCGAGACCTCCGCATCAAAGAAGGGGGGGGACCAGAATAGACCAGAGATGCGTACTTGTAGTCTCCTGCTGAAGATAACTTCTACTTCAACAAAGACGGTATGGAGAGTGAGTTGGATGAAAGCTTGGCCATCAAAGCAGCGGTGATGGCGGATTCACGGTCATAACTGTGGGGAAGATGAGGCTCCGTCTGTTGAGGAGTAAAAACAGATCAAGGAGAGGACTGGAAGAGTTCCAAAGATGGGAGATAACAACAAGGACAATCTTCACCGTGACCAGGATGTAAGGAAGGAGTAGGCAGGAGAGCAAGATGAGCAAAGCAACTTGAAAGCATCGGCATTCCACACCTGCAGTGCATCAATCCATCCCATCCAGCGGCACGTCATTCGCCCATATCAGCTGTCCCCGGCCTGGGCCAATCATCGATGGGTTCCCCTGATAGGTGCTTATCTAATCAGCATATCTAGTGCATAACCATCTGGATATCTGGATATCTTTAGAGTCACCGCTTGTGACACTGTCACCTGATTTATACAGAAACACAGAATTATTGTGAAGATGTTATGTGTGACTGCATGAGTATTGAAGAACATGACTAACTGTTGAAAGTGATGCTATGCTGTGACATGGTATACTATCACAGTATACTACTCCGTACATACCTCTATACGTAGTGATAATACTCAAACCAACGGTCCAGAAACAGACCAGATCTAGAAAGTATCTTTTTACCTACATAGTATATGGTATATACTTTTAGATAAAGATATACTGTGAGCCCGTTCAATGAAACCATATATAAAAGTCCAACCCGCCACGCCCCATTATTATCGAGCGACTAGCGGCTACACTTGACAATCAATCAATCAACTCTATTGAGTGGGTCTGTCTGTCATTCATCAATCAGTCCATCATTACCAAAGATCATACCGTAGATAGATCACTTTACAAGCTGTACTGTATGCGCGCGCCAATGTATGGGATAGATGATAGATGATAGGTAGATAGGTCTGTCGCAAATCCTCCATAGATAGATCTCGTATACGTTGAGCAAGTTATGCAGGTTTGCTTTATCTATATCTGGTTTGCTGTTTCAATTTAAGATGAAATCAACTAGATAAAATATATCCAACAACTCCCCCTCCATCCCAACTACTCCTACCTCAGCTAAGTACCCAGGTAAGTAAGTAAGTACCTACCTCAAATAGGCAATAACAGCCCAGCCCAGTGTAACCAACACAAACTTCCATCGACCTATCTATCCAGCTCTGAAAGCCACCGTGCTACGAGGGCAATCGACAAGTCCAAATCCACATCCTGGACGGAGATCAAACCTGGACACTGCCTTGGTTTGCGTTGTTGGTGGTTCTGTAGGTAGGTCGTTGATGTGGAGTTGGTGGTATTTTAGTTGGTTAATAATATACAGGAGACTTACATACAGAGTAGAGAAAGGGCTTGTTGGATTGTTAGTTGGTTCAGAGATTTGGTTTACTAGTCATCTTGACAGGTTCTGTATTGAGGCAGATTGTCTGGTCAAGCCATGTTTACTAGAGACTAACAAACATGAGCTTTCCCTTTGAGTGCTTGTCTCTTATATTTATATCTACTTGTCCCTAAGTGTAGAATGAAAATCAAACGTGTAATCACGCCAGTTCGTATAGATCCGTATATACATACATACAGTGTTAAAAAAAGGAAAGAGAATAAGAAAGAATCAATCAAGCAATACAAACGCCTAAAGTCGTCACGGGTACCGTACGCCCTGATGCACATACACACACATCCACACACGCACATATAGCACATCCTGCATCCCATCTATAACAAACTTTTATTCAAAGAAAAAGGGGGGAAAGCATGAAGAATCAACCCAGTCCTAGAAATGATCGCGTAGAGTGAAGGAGACAGATCAAGCCGACTTCTTCGACTTCTTCTGCTTCTTCTCCTCGCGGCTCTTGCTCGACTTCTTCACCTTCTCGCCATCGCCCGCATCCTGTGAAGAAGAGATTTTCTTCGACTTCTTCCTCGGCAAACCAGCAGCCGGCAGGCTCTCCTCCTCCTCCGCCTGGTGAAGCTTTCTCTTCTTCTTCTCCTCGCGGGCCGTGCGCGCCGGCTGCTGCTCAGCGTCGGATTCGTCATCACTCGAACCCAGCGTCTCAGCGGGTGCGTCTCCGCTGCCGACAGGACGGAATCGCATTTTCAGGTTGGAGGGCTGCTTGCGCGGCGGCTTGACCTGTTCGCGCGCAGCCTCCAGCACCACATCGTGGTCTGCGTCCTGGGATCGCGCAGGGATGTGGATGAGCTCTTGGACGTGGAAGCTCTTGATGTTCGTCGCGGGCGAGGGGCGGTAGGTTTGGGTCTTGGGGTCGTAGAGGGCGAGCGATTTGCCCGCTGTGTCGTCTTGGCCGGTGCTGTCGGCGGGGATGCCGTACTGAACGCCGTCGTGGGTGAGGATCGGTTCGCCTTGTAGGGCCTTGGCGAGGGAGATCTCCTTTACTTTGTGGATGGGGAGGAAGGAGGGTGCCGTGACGTGGAAGACTTGCTTGCCGCGGAGGTCGGAGAGGAGGGAGGTGGTGGTTGAGGACGGGGGAGATTGCTTTTTGACGGCCTTGAATCCGGTGGGGGGCTTGTAGGGTTGGGGTGGGAGGAAGGCGAGCTTGGAGGAGTGTCTGCAGTATAGATGTTAGGGATATACTCGAAAGTTTTGCAATGGAGACTGCAAAAGGAATAAGAGGGAGACGGACTTATCCTTGGACTGTCCGTTCGTCGCATGGTCCTGCTTCTCGTCTTCGGACGACGAAGAGTCGCTCCCGGAGCTACCTGCGCTGTCGTCTTCCGAGCTCGAATCATCTGATTCCTCCGGCTTCGTAGACTTTTTGGTTGTCTCAGGGGAGCTCGACCTGCTCGACGCGCTACTCGAGCTCTCCGGCGTAGGAGGTCTGGCGGACTTTTTGGCGGCCATGGCGTCGATCGGGGTGTCGATCGGCGGGTGGGATAAAAGTAAAAAAAAGGGTAGAAGTGACACGAATGAGGCCCAGCTAGAAGTCGAGGACCATGCGCCTGTATAGAATAGCAAGGGTGGTGTCAATCGCAAAGCGTCAAGTGGTCTGGCAAGACTCCGTTGACTTTTGGAGCGATAACCTTTTTTTTTTCCTCCGCGGAGCACGGACCACCTTGGTCTGCGGTCTACAATGTCCCCGAGCTATGCGGCCGCGACAACTGATCTTGCGCTCGGTCATTATACACTTTTCGTTTTTTTAATTTATTTTATTATTGAAGTGATGCGAGAGCAATATCAATATGTCAAGAACAGGGATTTCGATCACTAGGGGAGGCCCAAGAGTTGACCATGATTGATCTAGTACCACCATAGATTAAACCCGACCGATTCCACAGACTTACTAACACCAGTAGAGAGACTGAAAATATGAGAGGAAGAGTCAGTCCATCTCGCTCTAGAACGCTTCGTTGTCACCCCATCCCTGCTATAAGAAGATCCTCGTATCAACCACTGCAAGGCTCAGACTCCCACCCGCGGAGAAGAACGAACGAGACAGCCGGTCTGGACCTCCCCGCTCAGATAGCCGGCCTGCGGGCGGGAGAGGGGTCACAAAGCGGAGGTTTGGGACATGTCCAAAGAAAGGGCTTTTACAATGACGCGCGGATCGCGATATGCCAGGCTAGTCGCAGTTGGCAGAGACTATGCTATACCTATCCAGATTGAATCCGAACAGTGCATAGTCTGGAGTTCAGTCTGGACTCGACCGGCTCGACCAGGATTTGGGTAGAAGCGGCTTTCTGGTCGCTGCACGTCTCACAGATGACGGATGATTGTTTTTCTGTCCTAGTTCTTTCTTTCATTCCAACGGCCTGGCTAAGTGCCGTTTGCCGTTGCCATGTGATTGAAGGGGCAGACTAAATAATGTACTCCGTAGGTAGGTAGGAAATGTGGGGAGGGGAAGAAGAAAGAAAGACGGTGTTATTGTCCGTTCAAATCTCCGCACGGAAAAGACGAGTCCACCTGCACGATGTATGGCCAACGTCGACGATTCTGACTCACAGGGATCAGTCAGCCTTGTCCGGTCGGTCGTATAGCCGACCAGGTAGGGATGGACTCGAGATCTGTCCGGGATACATCGAACCGACGACGGGAAAATTCGCGCTTCAGTCGGAATAACGGTCGGAAGGTGGAAATGTTGCCTAGGCAAAGAAGATGCTACGAAGAACAAACGGAGACCGGATCCTCGAGAAATGGACAGAAGAAGAAAAAGAAGAGAAAGGAGGGAGTATTCTGGAGATCCCCTCGTGAAGAGTTGCCTTCACGACACCAAGAAGTGGATCGAGGATCCTCCGTCGTTGTCGTAGTACTCTCAGTAATCAGTATAGTATAGTACTTCGTATACCAAATGTTCTGAGTGGAGGTAATTCTCACGATGGAAAACGCCGGCAAATGAACGGAGAAAGTCGCCACGTGGAGACGGATTGGTAACGACCGGGATGTCTGGCGGCTCATTGGGTCCAGGGGAGAAACCGAGTGGAATCAATTTGACGATTATTGGTCGTCCGGTCGGAGGGGACCGTCGGTGGTCTTCAGCTGCTCTCCGTCGTGTGGAGTAGACGAGGTGGGCAGACTGTCGCCTGCCGAGTTTCCATCCTCAGTAGTCCTCCGCTCCGTACACCGGTTACCGTATCCAATCCGGAGTACGGAGTACAGGGATGTCAGGAGGATGACCTCAGATTGACATCAGCTAGAAGGAGAAGGATGGATGATTGGTAGAAGTGAGGAAGAAAAAAGAAACAAAGGAGGAAGTGTTTCGCAGGAGAGAAAGTGGACGGATTGGATTGGATGGAGAAAATCGGAGAGAAGCAGAGGTGTAACATGGACAGGCATGTTGGACGGAGATTATGCTGGATCAGATTGGGAGGTGAAGATGCGATTGTTCCCTGGATCCTGGTTCATCGTGACGTTACTATATTGTACTATCTTTTATGTTGTATATGTATATTACTTATCTACTCTGTATGTTATATTAGAGATGTGGTATTATGTGGTAAAATGATATATCTCCACCCGTCCGCGAGCGGTTTAAACGAAGTGTCTCGAACCCCATCTGATCAGGAGAATGTACCCGCGTGGCTTTAGATTGGGCTGGGGCTCCAAGACTTTTTAGTCGGATCCACCGATCCCAAGAAAAAGGAAAAAGACCGAGACGAAAGTGGAATTGGACTTGCCGTCTCTCCGAGTTGCGAGACAAATGGGAGACGGGGGATTGGTGATTCTGGATCGGAGAAGAGAAGGACTATTGAAGTCAATTACGCCTCATTGTATGTATTGATTCTGTGAATGATAAAAAAGAAGCAGAATGATCCTAAAGAAAGGAAGAAATGGAATCCAAAGAAGAAAAGAAGAATCGAAGAAAAAAGAAGAAAAAGATCGGCACATGTGACAAACAGACGGGTTGACTAACGGGTCTCTTACTGGGTTGGGATTCGGTATGGATCGTCACAATACCGCATTGTATTCTATTACATTATACTCCGTCGTATATAGTACGATATACCGCGATATATAATGTAGGTAAGATAATACAATATATGTTCATATTCTATCTAGAATCCTTGCGTGATTATTTCATTCTGTGTGAATGTGGCTCCCTATTGATGGAGATGTAAGGAATGCGGATAGACCGGATCGACTTAGACTTCTTCCATCATTCGATCAACCTTCCATGGTCAAACCCAGAATACGATACCGTATGTATACAGAAAGAATGCCCAATCTTACCATACCTCCATTGGGCTGACCATACACTAGGCGATCGAGACTCGTAACGGGGATAATACGAACTCGGGAACATCCTAAACCAGGGTCGTATCTTTCTGTCTGTCTTTCTCTCTTCTCCATGCTATACTATTATATACTCCTTCACTTCTCCCTTTTCTTCTTCTTCTTTCCTGCTTCCCCCCCCCCTTCCTCTCTCCCCCCGCGGTCTGTCTGCAAGCTGGCCTTTGCAGTACTTTCTCTCTTCCTCATCCTCACTCACTTGGGCTTCATCTTTATGATCCCTTTTCCTGAGTGATCACTCTCTACATTCTCCCTCTTCTTCTCCGGTGCTTTCTTCACATCCTGAGAAGTCTCCGGCCCTGCGTCTACTCCTCTCGCGAAAGCATGTATAGCAATAATGGTTTAATATGGTCGCTGGATGCTGCTAGACGCTAATCTCCGGATATGGATTTCATTGTGAGTCCCTTCCAATTCGCTTCCTGTCGAATTCTTTTCTTTCCCTCATTGGTTCCCATCGCATGGATGAAATGGCCTGCATTCGATGCGCCCACTCCTGAACCACTCCCCATGACCTGGGTTGTCCGTTCGACCCTGCATCATGCAGGTCAAATGTCGCCATGCGATGCGCAATCCATTCGTTGGAGATCCATCTCACTGACCACCCTCTCTCTCCCACCAGCTCTCTTTGACGCATTTCTGCGAGGTCCATGGTCCCACCTCGATCATCTGCTCGCAGGTCCTCCCCTTCTCCTGCACCCAATGTCACCCCGACAAATCCGATTTCTCCCCCGATGATACACCGGCCACGTCCCACGACACTGCTTCCTTCCACGGTCCATCGAACCTCCCCAATGGGAAGAACACGGCCCCGACGAGGCCCTCCGACCGTCCCGCCGACCTGAGCCATCCGTGTCCCAAAATCGAAGACCACCCCTACTTCGTCAGAGCCCAGTCCAACCCCCTGGACAATACCACCCGATCGGGTCCCCTCAGTGGCGCCGACGGCGACACCTGCGCCAGTTGTAGCTTGACCTTGCCCGAGGATGTGAGCAAGCAACTGCCCCCGGGGGCCCCGGGTACCGCCAAGGGGGATGGCAAGGGGAGGAACGGTAGTCCCGTCTTGCGCTCCCGCGAGGTCGTCTACTCCTGTGGCGCCAACCATCACGCTGACGTCGACGACACTGCGCGCGATCCGCACGCGCACCCTTCCTTGCCCGATTCCGTCCATTCCTCCTCGGTGGCGTCCGATGCCTCGTGTCACACCCATATCCTCACCTACCTGTCCCTCCGCGGGCCCCCGAACCCCGCCGACTACGCGCTGCTGCGTCGCTCCTCCATCCGCACGCTCAGCTGCGAGTTGCTCCCGCGCGGTCTCTCGTCCGGACCGCTCTGTTTCGGCGACTCGACCGCCGGCTACACCGTCGCCTACATCTTCCGTCTCCCGGACCCCATGGCGCGCGGCAAACGGCGCAGCTATGCCTTGGTCGCCTTGGCCGGCAAAGACGCAGGCCGCGCGTTTCGCGCCTGCCCCGTCATCTGGCGCGCCTTCGGTCGCATCGCCACCGGCATCGTCCACTCCGCCGAGCGATTCCAGGAGGCCGAGAAGACTCGCGAGGAGCAGAATACGAGCCCCAATCGACCGGGGAACCGGCCCTACACCCCTGTGTCCTCCTTCCTCACCGGACGCGCCCTCGACCCCGTCGGCCAGGCCCGTCGACCGGGCCAGGTGCGGGCCCGCAATCTCTCCGAGATCGTCGGCAACCCCTCCATCTTCGCCGAAATCCATGCGCATTTCGTCGCCCTCCTGCAACAGCTGGGCAACATGTTTGGCGCCGTCCCCGTTTCCGAAGAACGCTTCGTCTGCAGTACGGTGCAGGAAGCGGGCGGCAGTGCGTCCCGCCGGGGGTCATTGCTACCCGGCGACAAGGAGCAGTCGACGGACGGCGACCTGGGGATGTCCGGTTTAGAAATCTCCTCCGGACCCAAGCCTATTCCCATTGCGCCCCGCCGTCCGGTCATTGCCTAGTATTCTCTCATGAAACCCCTCCCGATGAATCCTCCAGTTCGGCCACAACCGCACCATCGACCGTCCTTTGAGGCGTCGGACGGATCTTTTGACCATGTGATACGATACCTCTGAGTATTCACGCACCCATTCGCATAGCTAGGCTAGGCCTTATTCTTTCCTCTTGCATTTGTCTTACCTTTTTTTCCCCTTTTTGACCTGTTTCGCAACACGGATATAGACTGGCGCCATCAGATAGGAAGTGGAGTTCGGGGGACTTTACATTATTCTTCCTTTGCATTTACTTGTGCTTCTTTTTCCCTTTCTGCAAAGCGAGGGTGGTCAATTTTACGCGCCTAATCCTTCTGTCTCTCCAACATGAGGAGTTACATTAACACACTTAATTACACGTGTGTCTATTATCTAATAATCTTACCATTCCATCCCGATCGTCCTCCCTCTCCTTGCATTGATGGATAAATGGCGCAAGGCAGGAGTATAGCCAATCTACAGCTGGGTTACTGCAGTTACCTACCTACCTTACCTGGGTACAACTAAATGGCTCATACCTGCCTCCCGCTCTTCGTTACTTTCCTCCCTTATGTGTACCTGTTTCCCCTACGAAATATATCAATCACGCGCGACCTTCCTTGACTAAATGACGGGGACGATCATTAGATGTGTTGGTGGCTAACTTCTCGGTGCGGGATGTGGACACGGACACGGACATGGACACGGACACGGACATGGATGGATCTGAATATGTGGTGACGTATTGGATGTATAATTAGTTAGTTGTATTATAGATATGGTTTCGTATCGTTTCTTACTTACATGCATCAAGATTGGTCTTCTTTTAATTGTATTTTTGTTTGGGTCTTCTGCATTTTATTATCTTAGTAGTGGTGTGGAAGGAGGGAGGGAAGTCGGGTAGGTAGTGAAGGGGTCAATGACTATATACTGATCATCATCATCGTCATTGTTATTTGTAGTGGTGTTTCCACCTTGTCTGTAGTCTATTTATATTTTAGTTTTTTTATCTTCTACTATCTCGTTTGATTTTCTGGTAGTCTTGTCTTGTCTTTGAGAAAGGGTTAGTACTATCTCTCACATGTGGTGTTAAAAGAGTAAATAGCTAGGGTTCTAAGAAATTTGAAGAGTCATGAGAAACAATAATCAGCATGATATTATATACCATTGGTATGTTGCACATTAAATGACAAGAAGATGAAGAAGAAGAAGAAGAAGAAGAAGAAGAAGAAGAAGAAGTAAAAATAGATAGACAATATGTGAAAATGAAAGTAAAAAAGCAGTAATAGATAATTCAACGCAACCAAACTACCGTAGGTACCTCCCAGTGAATATAGAATACCTGACCAGCCAGCCAACAACATCAATGAACTAACAAACATATAACCCTAACATATTGGACAACAAGAAGAGAAAGAAAGAAATGGAAAGACAGCTTCGTCAAACATGTAGCCTAGCAAATTTGAAATAATCACCGCCCCGTGATATAGTCCCTGTTTTCGATCGTCACGCTCTTGGTCTTATGGTTGACCTTGTAGACGCCGATCAGACGGGATGCGAGTTCGAACTGATTGTAGTTAGTATTAGAACAGCTCTAGAGAGAGATAGGAAAGAGAACGAGGAAACATACCATGTTATTTCTCAAAGAGATGACAATAAACTGAGCGTTCTTGGTCCTCTCCTTGATATACGACGCGACAATGCTCACGTTACGGAAATCCAACGCGGCATCAATCTCGTCCATCACGTACAGCGGTGTCGGCTTGTAGTGATGCAGGGCGAAGACCAGCGCCAGACTGGACAGCGTCTTCTCACCACCGGACAGATTGCCAATGTTCTTCCAGCTCTTCTTCGGTGGCATGACCGAGAATAGGATGCCCTCGGAAAAGGGGTCCAGCGAGTCCACGAGCTCCAGCTCCGCATTACCGCCCATCGTGATCATTTGGTACATTTCCTTCAGGCGTAGCGAGATGATGCCGAAGCCTTCCATGAAGCCGTTGAGTCGCGCGGACCGCAGACCGTCGAGGCGGGATTTGGCGCTGTCGCGCGAGGCCAGGGCCGTGGCGAGATCTGCTGAGCGCGCTTCGTGTTCGGCTGTTCGACGGCGGTAGTCTTCGATGACGGACAGATCGACGGAGGAGTTTTGGCTCTTCTCTTCCAGCGCGGCGATGACTGCTTTCAGGGACTCCTTGTTCATCTCGGACAGTTCGTCCTTGGTGTACATCTGGAGCTCCACGGGCTGCTGGTCATCAGTGAAATCGCTGATGTTTTGCAAGGTCAGCTTAGACAGCTTCTCCTCCCAGTATCGTCGGCGCTTCTCGTTCTCGGATAAGGCCTTCTGGTTCTCTTCGAGTTTGTTGCGCATCTCAATCTCCGTGGCGCGCGTCTCGTTGAGTTCGGAAACCTTGCCGTCCAGCTCACTCTTTAGAGACTTGAGCTCTCCCTTCTTAGATTCAAGGGCTTCTTCGGATTCCTCCACTTTCTGCTTCCACCCGGACGCATCGTCAGCCTGATGCTCAACGTCGTGGTTCAGCTTCTCAAGTTCGCGGGCAATATGCTCAAGCTCCTTCTCAGCATCGTTGCGTGCGTTCTGGTGCTTGGTGATTTGCTTCTCATTCTTGGACTTGCCGACCTCGGCATTGGAGATCTCGTCGGCCAAAAGTCCGATTTGCTCCTTGAGACCGTCGACCTTGGCCTTTTGGCTCCGGAGTCTCACACCGCCAACCTCCATGATCTTGTTCTGCAGCGTTTGGATCTCTTCTTCGATCCCACCCCTCTGCTCACGGAGTGCTTCAATCTCCTCCTCTAGCGAAGAGATTTGGCGCTCGAGATTCGCGGCTTGGCTGGCGTCGGTCTTGGATGGCTTGTGGGCAGCGCTCAATTCAGTAATCCGCCGTTGAGTATCCGCAAGACTGCGATTGGTGCTGTCGATCTCGATCATAATCTTCTGGATCTTGGTTTCGATACGAGGGATCTCCTCGGACTTTTCTCTCATCGCGGTCTCGATGTGCCGTTGCTTTTCCTGGAAGGCTTGGAATTTCCGTTCCATATCTTCCAGATCCCCCTCAATGCTGGTCACTTGTTCTCTACTGACGTCTGCCACTTGCTTGGATGACATGGCGCCACGAGCAACGCGCGTACCACCACCACTCATGGTACCCGATGTATCAATGAGCTGTCCGTCCAATGTGACCACTCTCCACCGTCGAGCACCGTAGGCGATGCGGTTGGCTTGCTCCAGATCCTTTGCGACCAATGTGTTCTGCATCACGCTATAGAAGGCCGGGGCAAATTTGGGGTCCTTGGGCTTGACCAGATCGAACAATCGAGGAACACTCTCAGGCGTAAAGACCGAAGACATATCTCGACGAGGCAAGCGGTCCAAGAGAATGAAGTTGGCGCGCCCAAGGTTATTCTTCCGCAGATAATCAATGCAGTGCTGGCCGACCTCAACCGTGTCGACCACCATGTTTTCAAGTGCAGGGCAGGCAGTCGAGATTGCAACATCGTATTGCTCGTCAATCGTGCCGAGGTTTCCAAGTCGTCCATGGAACCCTTCGATACGACCCGACTCCTTGAGACGCAACAGACCCGAGAGCACGCTGCCACGATTTTGGGTACTCGCAAGACTAGCCCTCGCTTCCTCGGCTCGTTGTCTGGCGGTGGAGACATGCGAGCGGACTTCAGGCTCTCTGTGCGAGTACTTCTTGAGATCGCTCCGGAGCTTCGCCAGTTCCTCTTCGAGAGTAGACTTTTGCGCTCTTCGTTCATCAAGGTCGGCTTCCTTGGTCGCGAGCGTCTCCTCAATTGACCCCACCTTTGCCTGCGCTTCTTCGAGCAAGACAGTGCCGGCGTTGCTCCTCTCACGGAGGATGTCGAGTTCACTTTGGGCCACCGCGACTGCGGAAAGTTTCTTGTTGATCTTCTCATCCCACGGCTCCAGAGATCTTTGTTTGGTGGTGATCTTATCAGAGAGACCCTGTGTCTTGCCCTTGAGGCCCTCCCGGATAGTGGCCAGTTCTGCCTCTTCGGTAGCCATCTCCGCTTCGAACTGCTCAGTCTCCTTTGTCTTTTTCTCAATGTCGCTCATGTGCTTGTCCACCAAACTTTGACACTCCGAAGCCGCCAGCCGAGTAGTATTCATAGATTTCTCCAGCTTTTTCTGCTTGCCCACCAGGAACTTCTTCTTTTCTTCGAACTTGACGGTTTCTTTGTCGTACTTGGACATTTCCTTGGACAGGGCCTGCATCTCCTTCTCCATGCTCTCGTACTCGCGCATGCCGCGCTTGTACGCCTTCTCGAGCTGCTTAATTCCAGACTCGTTGCCTTCGTGCTTCTCAAGCTCGAGGTTCAGCAGCTCCTGCATCTGGAGGATGGCCTCTTCCGTGACGCGCAGGTTGTCGGAGCACTCGTCGATGTAGATCTGATACAGCGCAGACTGTTTCTGGGTCAGTTCATTCTCATCGCGGATGTAAGACAGCGCCTTGTCCTTCTTGTCTTCCAGGGCGGTCTTTTCTTTCTCGACATGCTGAACACGGTTGTTCTTTTCAACACAGACATCGTTGAGCGTCTCGAGCTCCGCAGCCGCTTCGTCGATAGGCGTCTTGTACTGCGACGTCCCGATAATATCCTCCAAGTACTCCAAGAGTCCATCTTCGTGCTCATTGCTTGCCTTGGCCTTCATCTGAGCGATCGACTCCACTTCACCTTGCAGAATCAGAAACCGTTTGTGATCCAGGTCGATACCCCGCGCGCGGAGCAGCGTCGTCACGGCCGTGAAGTTCGTTTCCTTGCGGTTCATGTAATATTTGCTCGTGTTGTTTTTAAATGCTCGTCGAGAGACAATCAGTTGGGAATCTGGGACTTCTTCGTGCGTGCCGTCGGGGAGATCCATGACCTCCCGGAAATCAACCGCCACCTCGCAGAAGGGAAGGTTGGGGAAATCAGCCGAGTTGTGGATTAGAGCGGAAATCTTGCCTTGTCGCATCTTGCTGGCGCGGAAACCGAACACGAACAGCAACGCATCGATCACGTTCGACTTTCCCGATCCGTTCGGGCCGACAACGGAGGAGAACGAGGCGTGGAAGGGTCCGACAATCTGTTCCCCTGCATAACTCTTGAAATTTGTCAGGACCAAGGTCGTAATGATTAAGCGACTCTTGGGGGGCGCCGGCTCCTCGGGCTGCGTCGGGGCAGTTAGGTTCCGCGATTTGAGCATGATATCCATGGGTTTGTCGAGCACGGTCGTATTCGGATTGATGATCGAGATCGGTTTCGGGTCTTCGGCGGGCTTCGACGGCGTCTGGCTGTTAACGGCGGACTCGGTGATATCAGCAAGCGGGGGCACGCTGTTTCGCTGCGACGGCGACGGCGACTGGGGATGCGGCGAAACTGAAGGCTCTGGAGTTGGGAGTGAGGATTTGTCCGGGTGCGAAGGAGCCACGGTCCTTGCGGGGATGTGCCATACTGTTTCTTTTTGCCGCAGCATTTTCTGAAGGGGAATCCGGTTCTCCCATCACCGTATCGCCTTCCTCATCGATGTCGCCCACTTGCGACTCTTCCTCCGATTGTTCTGGGGTCTCTGACATTCGGGGTTTTCGTGCAGTGTGGGCGGTGCTCGGGGTGGGGATCTCCGAGGTCGCTCGCCGTGAGGATCTCCTTCCTGCATTAGCTTTCTTTGGGACGGGGGTATATTCTTCTTCGGTATCGTCGTCATCATCGTCGTCGTCGTCGTTGGTGTGGGATGCGGTGGGGGTGACATTTCCGGAATCCTCCTCGTCGGAGGTCGTCTCCTCCATCACATAGCTTCTGCGCGGGACAGAGCGCCGGGATGGCCGGCCTTTGGCGGTAGATGACATTATGCTGTTGTGGTAATAAGACTGGGAAGTAAGGGAGTCATGAAGGCGAGGATGTCAAAGAGAGCGAATCTGGTTGAGTCCGAGAGTGGGAGAAGTTGTTTACATTCGCCCGATCGGGAAAGGTGGGATTTCTGCCACAAACAAATGCCCGCTTCACTCACCGCCTTCTTTATCTATCTCAATACGGTATTATTGACGGTCGAATAATATCATCATATCTACTTCTTTGCTGCTACTGATCTCAACAAGATTCCCCAGGATAGGAGCACTGCTGTACGCCAAGATGGTCCCCTGGGATGATTTCGATAGTATCTTCTCCTTCAACCGGAATTTTTCGTACGATGTCAAGGTCGTTGATCAGATCCTCTCCAACCGGCGTGCGCTGGAAAACCGACTGTTCGCCGATCGACTGCTGGGATTGCTTCAAGTCAAAGCAGGTATCACTCTCTGGCAGGTCCTGATGCAAAGTACTATGGCTGATCCTTATGCGTCGATCTAGTAACGAAGCTATACCCTCCCAAGTCCAACGACGACCTTCGTTCCCTTGTCGGCCACATCGTGTCTTCCGAGCTGGATATCCACCACAAGCAAGCATTGATTTACTACATCCTGAAAGACTGTCGCGCAGCTGGTGAGGCCGCTTCGCAGTTTGCGCGACGCTGCTTCCTGCCTGAGAAGTACCGACTGTTCATCGAGGGACTCTGGAACCTGGACCGGCTAGAATTCAAGGTTTGTCCCTCCTTTGCACCCTATGGCGGAGATTGTCACTTGGTTAACTCTATGCGACTCTAGAGAGCTGTCGAATATCTGACGGAGCCGTCGATTATCCCTACCTTCCCCGACGAGATCCTCTACGTCCTCAGCCACCCACATCTTCCCAAACATGACGACAGCCTCGCCATGGCTTACTACCTCACTGTCGCCCCGCCGCTAGCATCCGAGAAGGTTCAGCAAACATTTTTCGATACTCTTTGTCGCGCAAGTATAACGGAGGCCTTTTACTTTACGCGGAACCACGACGATGCGCTCCGTCAAGCCTATCTTACACAACTCATCGAGTTTGTCCTTACGACGCAAGCCGGTGCGCAGCGAAGTCAGCATGCGATGGAGCTTATCGGCCTCCCGTTTGACACTCAGGAAGAGGAGTGGTTTGAGGAAGCCCTGCTCCACGGAAAGGTTAAAGCGCTACATGGGGCCAAAGACACGGTCATTATGCGCCGTCTGGCGACAGGGAAACTGCAGGGACAGGCCGGAGAATTGGAATCTTTGAGTGGGAAGAAGATCGATGGATTGAACTGGGATGTTCTCCGGCAGAGCATGAAACACTCTCAGGTCACATCGCTGTCCGGTAGTGACTGAAGCTTTTTACTCTGCGGGATGCTCGAATGTTACGGTTTCAACTATTATGAAAAACGGCTTAGGAGAACAGGAGTTATTTTTTGTCGATTAGAATCATATTCGCATGCATTTACATTAATAGAAGAAGCAGCAGCTTTTATCTCATCCCATCTTCTATGTTGCTGTATATGCAGTGTAATTACCGTAATTACCAGCCATGGTTTAGGGGCGCCCGCCGATCAAAAGTGCTCGGATCGGTGAAACGTATTGTCACGAGCCGAACCTCGACTCTATCTCGCATCTCCGTTGATTCACTTCCTCATCCTTGCTTCTTTCTTTCCTCAACTTTAGTCTCCACGGACAACAGATCAGATCTTTGTTGTGCATAGTGAATTGGGAGTTGGGTTGCTGCCCAAGTTGCTCCCTGGATTTCTGATACGGTCCGTTGGGCGTGTTGTGAAAGCTCTCTCCGCTCATCTATCCGAATTAAGGCAATATGGTCGTCTGTACATTCTTTCAGCAAGGCCGGTGTAAATTTGGCGGTATGCTGCACCTTATTTGTGAACATTTGTTACAGGTCTCGTACTGATGCTTTGCCTAGAACGATGCAAGTTTGAACACCCAAGCCAATCAACGATAGCAGGTAATCGATTTGGTGCGCTCGCCGGGGGAGGCGGGTTTGCAGGTATGCTTCTGGCTCTTGTTATTGCGACTGTTCAGAGATGCTTCCATGGGTTCACCTATTTGGAAAGATGAGCTTCTGAGAAGTGACATGTCAAGCGCATACGTCTATCTCCCCTCGTATCTAACTTGCGATTACAGGGCGTTCAAACCAGCAGAACCAGCAGAACCAACAGGTGCAAAAGTAAGCCCAAAACCTTCCCAAACTACGTGGTATTCTCTAACAAGCTTCAAGTTACGGGATAACAGCGGCTGATATCAAGGTCGATCTGACGGCCGGCCAAGGTCGGCCAAATTGGGTCTTTTCCTGCTATGGTCCTGGGCGGAATGCGCCGAAGCAACTGTTTGGAGGACCGCAGCGCGAACAGAGTTTCGAAGAGTTGCGTCTGCGCCATTATGAAGCGACTGCGGCCGGCAACCCTGGTCAGGCGCTTCAAGAGGCCCAGGCGCTCTATGCTGAGTCCCTGAGCCAGATGGAAGTTATCCTGAGGGATCTGGACGGGGCCGTCAAATACCTTATTGACGGGGCAAATGAGCATCCCAACCGGATTGATATATCAGAGGGGAAAACAGGCCCTTCTCAGCCTGGCCCTTCTCAACCCGGCCCCCAAGGCCTTTCGGCGTTCGGTCAGCCTTCAGCGTTCGGCCAACCTAGCGGTATAACGCCGCAGCCGTCGGGCTTTGGCCAACCTTCTGCCCCCGGCTCTCAGTCGGCATTTGGCAAACCGTCTGGATTTGGCCAGCCATCCGCCTTTGGGCAACCATCGTCCGTGGGGCAGGCTCCAGGGTTTGGACAGCCCAGCTCGATCAGCCAGAGGCCTGCATTTGGACAGCCGGCGCCGCTTGGGGGACAACCGGCAGCACTTGGGAGCCAGTCAGCGTTTGGAAAACCCGCGTTTGGCCAGTCTGGCTTCGGGCAACAGCAACAGCAACAGCCACAGCCACAGCAGCCTGCGTTCGGTCAGTCAGGATTTGGCCAGCCGTCGGCGCTAGGAGGGTCCGGGTTCGGCAAGGCTTCTAATACCGCGTCCCCCTTCAATCAATTAGCAAACCAGAACCAGGGCATGGCTGGCTTTGCACAGCCGCCTGGACAGACAACCGCCTCTCCATTCGGACAAGTTGCTGCACAACAACCCGCAGCCCCTTCTGGGTTTGGCCAGCCGTCCTCTCAGCCAAGTGGCTTCGGGCAGGCTGCACCCGCCGCATCACCCTTTGGGAAACCCCAGCAACAGGCAAGTCCCTTTGGCCAGGTATCCCAACCGGCCCAACCGGCCCAACCGGCCCAGCCAACCCCGCCAGCCGCCGCTGCAAACCCGTTCGGGGCTCCCGCCCAGCCAGCAGCTGGATTCGGGCAGCCCGAACCCAAACCATCTGGATTCGCCCAGCTCCAACCGCAGCAACCGGCGGCGGTGCAGTCCGCAACGGCGGGTACTGGGCCCCCTGCGATCATGAGGGTCCAAGACCCCAACGACCTTAACCCGATCCCACCCCTATCCGGACAGACTACCCGCAATGCTCTGACCAAACGGCTGGATACATGGAAAGGACAACCGGTGAAGTACATCGACAACGCTCCGTGCTATCTACACCCGCAAGATCGCCAGACATACGTGCACATATTCTTTCCCGACGGACCCCCGGACGCAGCTAGTCTGCGAGATGCGCATGGAAAGCCGGAAGAATACACCCCGGAGGTCAGCGGGCAGTATGAGTTCTTCGTGAAGAATGGGTACTTCAAAGACGGCATCATCCCCAGCGTGCCTCCCAAGACCGAGTGGGTGAGCTTCGACTTTTAGACATGGGGATTGGACTTTCTCGCAAGATTTATGTATGTTTATCGTAATTGGGCGTTTTATACAGGGGAATGAAGGCGTTTTCGGTGAATTAACCAACCAATCAATCAATCAATCAATCAATTACACATTTGGACCATATTACAATACCCAACTACTTTGACGCAACGGAACCGTCAACTACACGTCCGACAAGAACTACACGTCCGACAAGAACTACACGTCCGACAGATGAAAACTACACACGCAAAGCAGGAACACCAGGAACAGCCACTAGTCATTTCCAGATTTTTGTTTCATTGTTGTGCCAAGTTCTAGCGGGTATCGACGCGGGCCCAACACGGGCCTCGCAAGCGGCAACCGCCATCCCTCGGCAGCCCGGAGTGGAACGAGAGTCTCCAGCGCGCGCTTAGGCGGCGATGGTGACCTCAACCTCAACACCAGCCTCGATGTTGATGATGATCTGCTTGACGGTCTCGGTGGGGGCGAGCAGGCTAAAGCGCAATGCGTCAGTATTTACTTCAGTCTCCCAAGTCGCGCGCGCGGGTTTGTCGCAACACCGCAAGAGAACAGGAAGATAGGATGGTACATACTCGATCAGACGCTTGTGGATGCGCATCTCATACTTGTCCCAGGTCTTGGAACCCTCACCGTTGGGGGTCTTGCGGGTGGAGATCTGCAGGGTCTTGGTGGGCAGACGGACGGGGCCCTTGACCTGCAGGGACTTGCCGCGGGCACGGTCGATGAGCTCGGAGCAGACCTTCTCAAGGGCGGCGACCTTGCGGGAGGTGAGGGTGATGCGGATCTTGTGGACCTTCTGTAGAGTCGAACAATGAACATATTAGTCTTGGGCCTTGGTCTGGTTTCTATAGGTATAATGTTGGTCACGTACGGGGCCCTCGCCGAAATCCTTCTCGGGCTTCTGGAAAGACATTTTGAGGATTGGTGTTGCGGGTTAATTTGCCGATCAAGACCTGAACTGCAGGGTTCGGTAAAGTGATGATGGCCGGTGGAGGTTATATACGGGGAAGGAATTGCTCTGATAGACCGACGTTGAATCTTTTTTTGACACGCGTGACTAATCAGATCGTGTGCGGATGGAAATCTTGGCGCTCGGCTATCTGTGCGCTAGCCGGATCTGGACGCCGCATTACTACGGTAATGAAAGGTAGATGAGTAATAGTACATATGTATGCACTAGTGAGTTATGCAGCGATCATTCAGCAGGTCTCATTCATGGTCACTGACCAACAACGGAGTCATCGCAGTCGCTTTTATCTGGTTTATGGACCACCCAACTTGGATATAGTTAGCTTCTGATTTTGATTTCTTCAAATAATACACTCAAGTACATATCGACTCCCCGGTGACATGGCACACTGGCCTCCTCTGGCATCGGTCCCACCTCCCGAGGTGCAGAAGACCATTCCCTCCGCGGAATGGGACCTCTATATCGATGCATGGACCCTGCTCCTGGAGCTTCGCATAGCTGCCTCGGAAGCTGAATTCAGAGATGTGGCTCCCCAAGACGAGTCGGCCGTCTCGTTCCTGGTGTCCTTCTACCACCAATGGTCCGTCCCTGGCGCATCTGGCTTCCATATTGGACCGCGCGCGAGAACCCTGCGAAAGCTCTGTTTCTTGCTGACGAGGAGGTTTCTTCTGGACGCCTCAATCTCTCCGGTGGAGCTGCTCGGGTGGAAGTACCTGGGTGGACTGTGCTGCTGTTACCCCTCCAGCGCATCCCTCAAGCGGCTGTTATCAGATGTGTGGGGTAAGCATCAGGATACGATATCCGCCAGCGTCGACGATGCCAAGGCTGCAGTCATTAAACAGCTCTCGGTCTCCGACCCGAGGAGTGTCGTCACGACTACAGCAGATGTCCGCTTATTGACCGTCTTGGGGTCGGTGTTGCCTGACTGCGGGCAAGTTCTGATGGCCGGGTCGGATTTCCTGGACACCTTTGCGGATGCATATACGACGCACGGGAGTGGCGATCTCCGCAGGGTCTTGGTCGCCAATGTCTATGTCGGCCTGACGTCGCTTTTGAAAGGCTCCAAGCCGAACCTCTCCCTACTCTTGGACCAGCTCTTCAGCCTAAAAGCCAGTGCCGGGGTTGGCACCCCGCAGATGAAGGAGCCCACACTCCTGTCCGACCTGATCTGCAGCTCCGACCTGCTTGTCCGCCTAGAGAAATACCTCGCAGCGCACCCGCAAAAGCGCGGCCAGGATCTAATCTCCAGTCTACAAACCTATCAAGCCCAGTCGCGGCCCTTCCACCACCGGTACCAAAAGCAAAAGAAGCGCACCGACAAAGGCAAAAGCCGCGCCAGCGCCAATGACCTACCTAGCGCAAACGAGCTACACATCCACAAGATGTCCCTCGTGACGCAAGTGCAGGATCTCTTCCCCGACCTCGGCTCCGGCTACATCGTCCGCCTACTCGACGTCTATGACGACAACCCAGAAACAGTCGTCGCCCACCTCCTCGACGACTCCATCCCCGCCTCCCTCCAACAAACCCTCGACAAATCCGAACAACTCCCCACAACAACCTCCCCCGCCCACCACGACCCCTTCCTCCCTCGCCCAACACCCCCCACATCCCCGGGCCTCATCCCATCCCGCAAAAACGTCTTCGACAGCGACATCGACCTCGCCGACCTCGCCCGACCCAACGACCCCACCACCACAGTCCCTACCGCAGCAAAAGGCAAGCTCCGCTTCGGCCGCACAGACACAGACCTCACGACACACGAAGACACCGACCCCGCCCAACACACAGCCAACAAAGCAGCGATCCTCTCCGCGCTCGCAACATTCGACTCAGACGACGACGAGCGCGACGACACCTACGACGTCGCAGACGTAGGCGGCACCGTCGAATCCTCCACAGCAGCCGAAGACTCCAGCGCGCGAGACCGCGACGACCTCGACATGGCGCTCTTCCGCGCTTACAAGACCAACTCAGGTATCTTCGGCCGTGACGCCGTCACAAGACGCTCGCAGCCGCGCGCGGCGCTTAAGCGCGAGACGGCCATGACGGACGAGGCTATCGAGGGCTGGGCGGTTATGTTGGCGCGTGATCCTAGACGGATGGCGAGACTTGAAGATAAGCTCGCTCTTTCTGGTGGTGGTGGTGGCGGCGGTGGCGCGGGCCTCGCACAGCCTGAACTTCCTTCTACATCTTATAGAAGACCTGGAGGTGGTGAATCGGGTAGCGACGTGGATGAGCCGTCTGGCTCATTTAGGGAGAGAGGTGGTGGACGAGGACGAGGCCGTGGCGGTCGGAGAGGAGGCGGCGGCGGTGGTGGTCGCGGACGGGGAGGAGGAGGAGGAGGAGGAGGAGGAGGAGGAGCAGCAGGTGGAGCGGGGGGAGAGCAGATTACGGCAGCATCGCGGCAGCGAAAAGAAGAGAATAAATCGAGTCGAGCGAATCATAATCGGCGACAGCAGCGGGCGAAAAAGGTGGCGAGAGCGGGGGGACTGGTTGGATAGACTAGACCGCTGCAGTCTTATGATACTTTGGTACATAGGTAAATACTAATGCTGTTACGATGAGCATATGCATTGGAGTGTAGTTTTGAGCGGTTTGTATATTGAGAGTTGGTTCCTGACTCAGATTGCATCGCTAGTTGTGGGCTGGACTATCTTCTTGCGGAGCTTATTGGGGATGGAATGTATGCGGTTTGGTTATGGTACGTTAAAAAGCTCTTGATTCAGATGGTTGGATCTCGTAACATTGTCTAACATTTCGGTTCATAGCAACTCGACCAGTCAAGTCTATATCATGTCGGGTGTGTATATCAACGCAGTGTCTGTCTACCTAAACAAATCTAGCAACCCTACATTGGAAACAGCCGCTAGTGGTGATCTGAAAAAACGCCCTTCTCCGCACACGACTTGCGACACTCCTCCAAGATGCGAACCTGCTTCGCCACCTCGCCCAGCCGGCCAATGACTTCCTTATTTCCGTCGTAAAAGGTAAAGATAGCATAAGGAATGCCGGTTTCCTGGCAGAACTCGAGAACCAGTTTCTGGGTGCTACGCAGGTTATGGCGCGGGATGCGCGGGTACAGATGGTGGATGGCCTGGAACTGCAGGCCGCCGTGGAAGAAGTCGAGCCAGGTCGGGCAATCGACGTCCATGGTGGTGCGGAGCATCTTCTGCGGGAAGGACTCGTGAACGCCCAGGTCTGCGGTGGACATGGCGAAGTGGGAGAGCGTGATCTGCACGTGCAGCGGCGCGGTGACCATGTGCGAGATCATGATGAAGGTGAGACGGCTTTGCCAGTCTGGGATCGTGCAGTAGACCACGCCGTAGCCGAACCAGGTCCAGAAGAATGCCTGGCCGCTGATTTCCAGCCAGCGGTGCCACCAGGCGGGGCCTTTCTTGGGCGCCTGGCCGCAGAAGAGATACTCAAAGCTCAGGCGGTAGAGGTTGAAGCGGCCGAAGAGGAGGATCGGGTAGTAGAGGTAGTTCTGATATTTGAGTAGAAATTGGGACGGGGCGTCAAAGGTCAAAACCCGGTCGTAGTAGGTGCTGCGGAGACTGTTCAGGAAGCGGTGGGAGATGGCGAAGAAGGGCATGTGTTCAATATCGGGGTCATGCTCGGGAGCGTTGGTGACGATGTGGTGCACGTTGTGGTTTCGCTTCCACCAGCCTAGACTCAACCCGCCCAGGAAATCGGCAATGATAATACCGACCACGCTGTCCACGTGGAAACGATGGGTGATGCCCATGTGGCCAGCATCATGAGCGGCGAAGACGAGTTGGTGCCAGAAACAGCCCAAGAAGAACCCAGATGTCCCCCACCAGCCCATGCGCAGGAACATGTAGGCCAGCCCGGCGAACAGCGTGTAGCGGCAGCATTCGATCAAGTAGGAGAAGTAGTTGCACTGGTAGAGACCTGCGTCGTGGATCTTTTGGCCCAGTTCGCGGTATTTCCTCTTGATATTCTCCTGGCTATCCATGTCGAGAGACGGGTATTTCGCCGTGTCGAAGACAATCTCCTCTCGCGTCCGAGCATCGAGGAAGAATGGCTTGGCCTCGGACTCTTGGGTATCAGAGGTGGATACCGTGGTATCGGTGGACATGGACTTGCGTCGACGCAGATTTGACGTCGCATCGACCGCGTCAAAGACCGGAGATGGTGGGACCGATGTCTCCTGGCCAGAGCTCTCGTCTTCTATCGAGTGGGCATCCTCGAAGTAAGGGCGGAACTTGCCGCCTTGGATAGGGGGGAGGAAGTTGACCCAAGGGCCTTCGATGCGACCAATCTGGTAGGAGAGCATGCGCTGACGAGCTTCTTTTGAATGCAATCTGGAAGCGACATCACACATTAGCAACAGTTAGGCAACAGTGGTCGGCGCACATACGCATTGATTTCATCTGTCCCATCTCTCCCGACCATATGCTTGATCGACTTATCTCCTCCGGGGTGGAATGGAATCCATGAGTCTACCCTGAGCACGCGACCCTCGAAAATAATAACATGTTTGCCTTGGGCGATCTGACCCTCAATCCAACGTCGAGACAGAACGGTGTCCTTGCGGGACGCGGTGGATGAAGCCGTCGTGACCGCTTGTTTCGGTACGGCCATAGTCGACTATGATTCTGTAAAACAACAGCAATGGATTCAAGACCACTAACAAACCATTGCTAGCGAGAAGAGGAAACAGAATCACGAAGAATGAAGTCAAACAAGAAAGGGATGAGGTGGACAGTGGAGGTGGAACGGTTCAGGGACAGTTTCACGTCTCCGGGCCAAGTGGAGACTTGGTCACTGGGGTACTTTGGAATGCTCGTAATTCCCACCTATTCTTAGGTACCGCTTGTACCCGCTTAAGTAACCCGCCCCCCGCTTGGATGATCATCGTCGTATCTTCCCCTCTTGTCGTCTGTAGATATTCTCGCCCTGATTCCGGCTTCACGCCACTACTCTTGGATAAGGTTCGATTGGCTCTAGGTATTCTAGGTGCTCATATAGACAACTCATCCGATCACTCAACATCGGCATTATTTCGCATCACCCCGCGCAGACACGCTCATCGTATGATCAATCATGTCTGCCACTGCGGCCGAGGTATGGCCCACCTTTCTGATACACCAACCAATCCTTCCATGGTCAAACCTTATGATGGGGTTGATGTGGATCGCTGACGATTGTCTCGAAGGGTTCCCTCGCTCAATCGATCCAGACATGGCTGGAATGGGATCAAGTATGTGACGATCTACGTAATGTTCGACGGAATCAATGGACACGGACTGATTCCTACGACCGTTGAAGGATCCCAAAACACGGGCGGAGATTGAACAGCTCCAAGAATCCGGAAACACGGCTGAATTAGAACAGCGGCTTGGACACCGTGAGTAGATCTCCATTACCATGGCCTAGTCCCACGAGGCGGAGTAGACCGTTGGCGTATCTACTGCTAATAACGAGATAGGCATCCAATTCGGAACGGCAGGACTGCGGGGTCGCATGGCAGCTGGTTTCTCCTGCATGAACTGCTTGACAGTTATTCAGGCATCTCAGGGTCTAGCCAAGTACATCAAGGACAAGCATGCAGCCATCGCACCCGGCGGGGTGGTCATTGGCCACGATGCGCGTCACAACTCCGATAAATTCGCTGCGCTAGCGGCAAATGCTTTCATCTCGCTGGGAATACCAGTCTGGTTCTACTCCCCGCCGTCAATTACTCCCTCTGTGCCTTTCGGCGTGACCCATCTGCGGGCAGCGGCAGGGATCATGGTTACTGCGAGTCATGTAAGATTGATCCAACTGGAACCATAACATCATGGACACGCTGACTTGTGTCTATAGAATCCAGCACAAGACAACGGTATGTAATGCCCACTGGCATCTTTATCTAAGAATCCCGCTAAATATCTACAGGCTACAAAGTGTCAGTTGCAAACCTGCGTTGCTTGAACCCGTCTAACATTCGCCAGTTATTTTCACAATGGGGCCCAGATCAACACGCCCATGGATTTGGAAATTGCCCAGTCGATTGAAGAAAATCTAGTGCCGTGGTCTGATGCATGGAGAGATTTGCAACCGAGCAAGCTCCTCCACGCGGACGCTTACCAGCAAGTTCTGCCTCAGTACACCAAAGCAGTGTGGGAGTACACTGTAAGTCTACTACACCTCGTGGGAGCGCCAGCTTACGTTTCTAGAAATCGACTGCGGTTGAGTGGCAAAAACCAAGGCCCTTCATATACACTCCTTTGCATGGTGTTGGTGGCCTGGTATTTCCGGATTTATGCCGTTCCGTAGGCATTGATGATTTCACAGCAGTAGCTGAGCAACTGGAGCCAAACCCGGATTTTCCCACAGTCTCGTTCCCGAACCCAGAGGAAGCTGGTGCCTTGGACCTTTCTATGCAGACCGCCGATCGAGAAGGCAGAGACCTCATTATTGCGAACGACCCGGACGCAGATCGCTTTGCTGCTGCTGAGAAGATCAAGTGGGTAACCCCATCCTGATTCGGGTGCAGGGCTAACTACGTGCCGTGCAGCGGGTCATGGTTTACTTTCACGGGAAACCATATCGGGGTGCTCATTGCTTCGTATTTATTTGACTCGCTGGAAAAGAAGGCTAGCGATAGCAAGAAGCCCGCGGCAGTTCTGAACTCCGCCGTGTCCACAGGCATGCTGGAAAAGATGGCCGCCGCCAGAGGGATCCACTACGAAGAAGCTCTGACTGGCTTCAAGTGGATGGGAAACATGGGGCAAAAACTGGAACAAACTGGGTATCATGTCCCTTTCGCGTTTGAAGAGGCTCTGGGGTTCATGTTCCCCGAGGTCTGCTACGATAAGGACGGTGTCGCGGCGGCAATGATCTTCCTCGCGGCAGAAGCCAAGTGGAGTTCCGAGGGGCTCACGCCGTACACGAAGCTCCAGCAGCTGTTCAAAGAATACGGACACTTCGAGACCCTCAATAATTATTTCCGATCCCCCAGCCCAGATATTACAGGGGCTCTTTTCCGGGCCATCCGAAGTGGGCCGTACGGGGCTGGGAAATCCCTCGGGTCGTTCAAGGCTTTGAGATGGCGAGATATGACGGAAGGCTATGACTCTGGCACAACGGACCACCGACCGACCCTGCCAGAAGACAAGAGCAGCCAGATGCTGACCCTATGGCTGGACCGCGACGTGCGGTTCACGATCCGGGCCTCGGGGACGGAACCGAAAGTCAAGCGTAGGTGCCCGCAGTTCTCTCGGATGAAATAAAAGCTAACAAAGAGTCAGTCTATATCGAAAGCTGCGGCTCATCTCGCGACGAGGCTGTGCAGGCAGTCTGCGATGCCTTCCTCGCTGTGCTGGATGAATGGGTGCGGCCTTTTGCCCCGTCCATGACCTACAGCAAGCAGATGCCCACATCGTCTGGGCATATTTTCCAGCTGGAATAGAGTAGCCATCAGCCTTTCATTTTCACTGTCCATAGTCGAGTTCTGGTTTCTCTTCTTGTATATGCCACCTGTTACACAGACCCAAACATCAAGGACAAACAATATAGTATGAACATATCGCATCCCTCGATCAAAGAACGCCAATCAATGACCAATCCAAGTAGAAACACCTGTCTACTTGATTGACAGAGCCTCATAAGTCTCTAGCACAAGCTATTGATGAGTGACGCTAGCACCCTCCGATTGACTACAATTGAACATCACACGGCAGCCAACCCACGGCTAGATACTCCACATATTCGATTTCCATCCGCGGTTGTGTAGCCCCAGACGTTTCTACAACCACTCAAGCTCTGGGGATGGATTAGTCGACGTAGCACTTGTTTTGGTCTATATTTCCACTAAGAGCGCAGTAAAATATGCACCTTTCTCCTAAACCCGTCGGACAAGCTTGCCCTAATGACAGAAACGCAACCCCTGACATGCTTCTCCAAACTAATGCGGCAGATTTACAGGACCAGCCACCACACAAGCACCAGCTCCAGATCTACATATTGCTCTTTTCCCCAAGTGCAACACTGGCTTTGTTGTGCTCCACAACCGCAAGTAACCTTCCGTCGGATTCATTCGTCATCTGCCCTCTAATCGCCGCTAGATCAAGAAGTCAGTATCCCAGAAGCGCACCCAACAAGCTAACGCAAACAAACAACCAAGAGGACAGAGGTAGAGAAAAGGGAAGAGGAAATAAAGACAAGTCATACACAATCGCGAACCAATATGCAACAGCTCACAGTGAATCCTCACCCACGATCCCTGCCTAACAGACCTCAGAAAAGTAACATTCAACGTGCGGGACACACCCCCGAATGTCCAAAAGTTGCTCCGGGCAGCCGGGGCCGCACACATGGTCGTGCACAGATCGAAGACGAGCGAGATCAGTCCGCCGTGCATGTTCCCCATGCGACTGCAGTACTCGGGACTCACGCGCATGCGGAACGAGGCGCTGATTTGGGGGCCTGCGGAGGCGTCTATAAGCTCGAGGTGGTCTCGCAGGAGGGATTCATCGATGCTCTGGATTTTGAGTATGTTACTTCTTTCATTTTCTCTTTGTGCTTCACCAGATTTTATCGACTAACCAACCTTCGAGGGGGGGTTCTGCTTGTATGCGTCCATATATGCTTGGATGCGTTGTTTGGGATCACGGATCTCCGTGTCGAACGTGAGACCGGGTCGAGCCAGGATGTCAGCTGTGTATTTGCTTCGAGTGGGGGACATATCGGGCAAGGTGAAGATGTTTGGGAAGCTTCTAAGCTATTCTGCTGTCTCACGATGAGCGTGCTCTGTGAAGGGGCAAGGGAATGGAAGCTTCTTATCCCAGGCGGCTGGGTGTCCGTGGGAACTGGCGGTTAACGACCAAGCCATCCAAGGCAGTAAACCTGTTTTCAATGCATGCATGTACTGGTCAGGTTATAGAATCCGTGCCAGGATGAGTGATACCCCGCGTCTCCGCGATTGTAGAGGAAGCCGATTCGCCGTTGCTGCCTCGGTAGGGACGCAGCAGGTGTGATAGGACTCTATAGAGCATGGTCACATATTTATCGAATAGTTCATATAATCCACAAAGCCCGGCATGATTCCCCGGCGAGCCTCTACATAAGCTTATGCAGGACAAGGTTAGAACGCGCATTTAACAGAGTTCGTATAGAAATGAGAAGACATGAGCTAACTTGATATGGATATACCCCTCCCTATCAGGTCACCCATGAGACAAGATCATCTGCGATACAATCTCTGATGCAGAAAAAGATAGGTAGCAATAGAGTCAACATATTTAATCCTATGTCTCCTTCCGAAATTCCTTTTTCGACAATCTAGCACTAACAACCCCGCCGCGATGGCGCGAGAGCCTAGCAGGGATAATCAAGACACCATCAGAAAACGGAAATGACCCTCGTGGGGGCCACACGAGCTGAAATTCCTAAAAACTCAAGGATTGGACTGGCATAATGAACCATTGTGCCTTCGTTGCGAAGTCTGGGGGGATACAATCATGTCCCTTCGCTCTCGAGGTTCCTAATTCTAGACAGACATGGGATCATCCACCCACGATAGCCAACATATAGCCGCTGACACTCTGAACCGCTCAGTTTCAGAACACAAAATGCGGCGCAGCATGCATGACCTGCCGTTTTAAGGGGATTAGGGGATTTGCAAAGCGGGGCTGAAGTAGCCTTAGCAGGGAGGGACGGGACTTGCGAACCCATAATATAAGTAAGGCTTTCTTTCCTTCAAAGTGAATAATCCCCTTTGGACAGAATAAAGACAGAAAGAAACATATGTCCTGGAGTATGAACATACCGACGCCGAACTTCGCGTTCTCGTTCTCCCCAGGGACCTCACCACCGGGGTCTTCACGGGGGATCTTCACTCCATCAACATCATCAGCATCATCATCACACAGTAGGAGCACCGGAACGTCACCAACCTCCTACCGGACCCCACCCGCCTCACAGGCCCCAAGGACATCGCCTACACCCACGTCCCTGTTTGGCAATCTAAATCTCAATAGCTCATGGCCATCTAGGAACCCACCAGATTCGACCTCTAGAGAAAGGCCAATCCTCGTCCCACGATCGCGCCGAGCCCCCGGTTCAAGTAGGTCACGACGGTCCACTCCCAATCGTGTTAATCGAGGAGGCCTCTTTAGCACATACAGGGACCCAGGTATCCAATCTACGTCTAGCCGGACTTCCACCGACCGTCCGTTTACGTCCGTTGTGGATTTGACGGAAGATGAAGACAATGAAGCGGACGAGACTCTATCCCGTCGGACGTCGATTGACACGGACAATCGAGCAGACGCGTCTCACGAAGAGCGACTTTCCTCAGCGCCTATATACAATAGGCAGCTGAAAGATGGGTTGAGCGAGGTCAAGACCCTGCTCCGGGAGTTGGCACATACAATGCGCCTATCGGGATTGACTGGCAATTCAACCACGAGTCTTCACAATCTGTATAATGATACGAAGAAGATGAGCGAGTTCAGATACCCCGAGACTCGGACGGTGGGATTTATCGGGGACTCAGGCGTTGGTGTGTTTCTATTCCTGTTCTCTCTGATTACCACTGATCTAAACTTCGGGCAGGAAAGAGCTCGGTGATCAACTCGCTTCTCGATCAGGAAAATCTCACACGCTCGGTATGGCCTCGTCTGCTCTGCGACGTATAAGATTATCCATTGACTGATTGCACCAGAGCCGAGACGGATCAGCGTGCACCTGCGTGGTAACCGAATTCCGACACTCAGGCAACAATCACAATCCATACACAATCGAAGCCAGTTTCATGGACACCGACGAGGTAAAAGAGCTGCTGGAAGAGGTTTTGCAGAGCGTACGCCAGTTCCACACCCCCTCCCTGTATAGACAGCTTCGATCATCAGAAGAGCAGACGAGCTGCCGAGAGAAGTCCGACCGCGCGTGGGAAGCCCTAGAGTCGCTATTCAAAAATGAGCCCGAAATGAGTCTGGACTACGTATCCCGCGACGAGGAGGGCGCAGAACTGGCTATTCTGGACCGGCTCGAGCGGTGGGCTCTTCTAGGCTCCGCCCATCGACCAGGGGGTCCGGCCAGTTTGGAGTATTCGGTGGTGTGTGCTGGCTTGGACGAATGCAAGCAGCAGCTGGATGCTCTGACGGCCGATTCGCTTGGAGGGAATAGGCCTGCGTTGTGGCCGTTCATCAAATCGATCAGGTGCGTCTACCACTTTCCACCTTGTTTGGACTTCGTCTAATGGGGTTGACAGAGTGTATCTGGATGCGCCCATCCTGCGTACAGGCCTGGTCCTGGTGGATCTGCCCGGTATTTTACCTCTCTCGATGTCATGAAAGCGAGGCGACTGACATGGTCAGGGCTGCGAGATATGAACTATGCGAGAGTTCGAGCCACAGAGCACTATCTCAACCACAACTGCGACGAAGTGTTCATCGTGATTAACATCGCTCGCTGCATCACAGACCAGACTATCTCGGATATTAACAACCGATGCAGGGACGATCAACCACGTCATATCATCTGTACGAGGTCGGAGGTAGGATTGCTCTCGTATCGTGCATAAACATAACGTTTGACTCCGTACGATCAGGATACTTCCGCAGAAGAAACCGCCCGTGAGCAATCGCCGATAGCTCCGCGAGTACGTGAAATGAACCAAGGCATTTTCCAAGTCAAAGTCCAGCAGAAAGACGCCAATAATTTGAAGAAGAAGGCTACCCCCGCGGAGAAGGAAAGGATTGTTCTGGAAATGGAGAGACTGAGGTCCGTCATCAAATCACTGCACGCTGAGTATGTTTTGACGATTGCATAGGGAAAGAAAAAAAGCGCTCAAGCTAGAGTAAGGCCCTTACCACATGTCTACTACCCACATAGATTCTAACCCGCATACAGGAGAAAACAATTCCTGGTCGAAGAGCGAAACACACGAGTCTCGCGCGAATTAGCCACCAGAGACGGGATCACCCGGGTCTTCTGCGTCAGCAATGCGTTGTACACAAAGCACCGCGATAATCCCGAAGAGCACTCGGAAGCGTATCTTCAGCTCAGTGGGGTTCGACAGCTTCGCAGCTACTGCCGGCTGGTGCCAGCGGATGCCCAACTACGCGCCACGTCCGCTTTTCTGGAGCATCAAGTACCTGCGCATTTGACGTCGCTGCGCCAGTGGACGTTATCCGGGGTCGATTCCGTCATGGTAGAGAAAGCTGCTACTCTTCGACGCGCGCTAGGGGATGCAGAAGCGGCGCTTCGTCAGGTAACACCAACTCTTTCGTTGTAGCGGCGTCTCATGGATCCACTAACACTATTGGTTTGATAGGATTTTATCTCGCCCGAAGCGTATCTTAGAAAGGCGTATGCAAACTTGAGCCATATATTTGCTCAAGATATCATCAACAAAATCCGTACGTCTGTGTCCCCAGGCCGTGAATTGGGACCCGGTCGATCTCTAATCACATCACAGGGGTCTGTGACAGCGAGTGGACAGAGCATTGTGTAGAAGTTAGCGAGGAATGGAGAGGAGTGAGGTGTTCCATTCTTTCTATCTGTATATAGCTGACTCGTCGCTGATCCAGTGGCATTCCGGGACCTATGCCGCGTGGTGTCGCAAGTTTGGGACCTACAGCACCAATGCACAAGATCGCTACTGCTGGAACAAGTCGCTGGCCCAGAAGCCGCGTGAATATCTCGGCCCAGGCTGGGATCATATCATCGAATATTCGGAATCAAGTATAGAGTCCTTGGGTTTAGATACCTCTCGCACGTTTGATAGGATGCGGCGTGCACTGGCAGGTGAGTACCTGATATTTCTCTTCACATCAATCGATATTCAAGATAAGGGAAGATAAGAAAAGAAAAGTGGAGGAGTTATACTGACCTTCCTCAACTCAGAGCATCGGAATTTAGCCCCCCAGGCCATTGGAAACCTTCTCACCGGCTTGGAGGCCAGACAGAAGTGCATCACAGATGAGATTCAAGACGCCTTTACCAGGATCATTCAGAGTTTGCAGTGAGATCCTCCAGTCTACCTGGCTTCACACAGATGTCATGCTAAGTACCGAGAAGCCTCCTCAAAAGAGACACGCTTTATGGACACGCTAGTTCCGTCATGGCAGGCCTCATGCACCCTGCCTATATAAAATGCAATCGTGTGTTTGGTACGTCTTCCCCTCTCATCTCCTACCAACATCAGCATGAATTCCACAGACTCATCCAAGAATTCTCATGCTTGACTTATAGAGTCAGGAAAAGACAAAATCCGCAAAGACATCATCCACGACCACTTGGAGCAGTCTCGACTATTCGCAAACTACCGGCAAAGAAGCCGGGACATGTATAAGTCCGCCGTGACAGCGGACTTCGCCGACTTACGGCGGAAGGTCCACGAACACGTGAAGATGGTAATCAGAGACGTGCGGGCGGTGGTACTTGCGGATGGGGAGGCTCCAGAGGCGGAACAGGCTCCGGCATTGGCGGAAGAAATGGGCCGTCAAGTGAGTCGTGCCCTGGAAAGCGCTGCGCGCGCTCAGGCTGTTCTGGAGGGGCTGGTTTCGCACTAAGGAGGTTCAATCATTGCTCCTCTTGATTGGGGTCCAAGATTGGGGTGTAGATATGTGTAGGACGTTCAAGATACAAATTGCGAAGCATAGATAATACGATATTCTTCTTCCCACTAGAGTGTTTATGTGGAGGAAGGGAATGGAAACGCATCCTTAGCGACGAAATTGATGCTATCCAGAGTTATGGAGAACCTTTGCTTGATGGTGGCAAATACAAGATGGAAAACAGTGGAAAAAGGACTCTGCAGACGCTGTCGGTCAGCCGACATGCCGACCGATTGCATTCTTCCACGATTTATAGACACACGCCGGCGCATATTGCTACGGAGTATATACACCATGAACAAACGATGAATCTGAGTAAACAGGACACATACCATTCGCTCTACAATAGGAACTGAGCTCATATCTATTTCCGGCTCGTCGCGCCGGCGCGTTTGGACAGGCGGGCCAAAGTGGATTTTCGCGATTGCTTGCAGCTTGGGGGGTCTGCGAGATGTTACTATTGGTTATTTACTTCTAACCGTGAATAGCGAGTTTGGAGGTGAGTGTTTTGGTAAGTCTGGGTCTGTGGCGAGGTTCAAGCCCTAGATCAAACAGGATCAGATTAGATTTGATAACAGCAGTGATTGCTTGTGTTGAACTACAGAGTATAAAAATAGTTATTTACCGATCATACCATAGCTGAGACCAGATCAGTGTGCACCTGCGTGATAGCTGAATTCTAATACTCTGATAATGGCCATGATCTATACATGGTTCAAGCCAAATTCATGGACTCTGACAAAGTAGAATAGCCACTGAAAAAGCCACTGCAGAGTATTCTCAGTTCCATACCGACTCTCTCCACCAACAGCTTCAATTCATGGAACATAAGACGACCAGTTGAGAGATATCTGATGGAGCGCATTCTGTCTCAGAGATTTGGCAAGGCTTAGGCATGCCAGACATGCAGAAGATCTCGTGCAAACCTGAGGAAAGTCGATAGAGTTGAGATGTCGCGTTCTGGAACAAAGCCACGGCAAGGGCTGATGGTTCTTGCCTTGGGCATGTTTAATTCAAGTTGAGTTTGCTTGCGGTGAGTTTCTTTGATAGAGAATGAGGGTGACGCTGGGTGGCGTGGATATGGTACCTCTAGGAGGGTCCTGTGTGCGGAGTGGTTATATAACTTTGCCAATGAAGCGTGGAGGATGTGCAAGGTGGCAAGAAAAATTAACAAGAAGACTAATGAACCACTAATATCCATGGTTGATGTTGGATTGCCGATCTTGCACCAGCAAAGGAGTCGTCTGTGTCCTCTGTCTAGGGCAAGGCTGACTTCGCCGCGGCTGTGTCTGTGGGGCAACGCGTCCGTCTTTTATATCTGCACTGGGACAGCTGGACGTCTAGATCCTGAAATCTATCTCAGTAACTGCCAAAAACACCCTCGACTCTACTTTTTCACACTCGATGGTTCCATCATGGATAACCCTCATGATTCCAACAGCTCCCAGACCAGACCCGAAGAGCAGAATGATGATCCACCGGCGGACACTCTCAAGATGAAAGAGACGCAGGGCTTGCATGAAACCACACCCGACCACCATCTGAGGCGCCGGAAGCGGGCCCTGTGGCTTCTCTTGCTCTATCTACCGGTGCTGATCCTCCCGTGGATCTTCACCTGCATTATGATGTTTCGCCCGATCATGAAACCTTCATATATCAACCAGTCAGGGGGTTATTCGATGACCGACATTCATGTCATGCGACGCTGGAATACCGCGACGGATATTCTCCATAATATTGCTTCGATTCTGGCGGTCCCGATCGTCTCGGCTCTTCTGGCCTACGGTGCGGTCATCTACACCCAGCGTCGTAAAGCGAGCCAAGACCTGAATATCCGACAGATGTTTGCTCTTGCCGACCGGGGCTGGACAGATATCCCCACCTTGTGGTTTGCGCTCAGGAAACCAAGCCAAGAGCAGTCTTCTCGGTATCTGGGGTATGGGGCTTTGCTCATTCTTCTGGGTACGCGCAATGACTCAATTGATGTTCGAACCAATCTCTGAATGACTTGCCTTTACAGCTGCCATCCAGCCTCCTTTACGTCAGCTTTTAGTCCAAGACGAGACAATGACCGTGATCACATGTGATGACCAGCCCGTAGCAACCAGTAACGACGACCCGACATGCGATACGCTGGACTTACAGACGAAGGTCGTTGGCTATGACCCGGAACCGCAGGTCCTTGAGATGTGCCCGCAGAATATAGTCATCCAACGGACCCGCAATAAGATCATCGATGTCCGGCGGCTCGATGTCCAGCCCCACCTATGGCGACAAGTTCACGAGGACGATAACTATCCCGTCGAAGATCAGTTGATGAACAGTTTTCAGTTCTACTATGGTGGCAAATTTTCACCGGATGAGGATTACGAGAAGCGCCGCTACTTTATATCGTCGCTCAGAAATGGTACCACGACTGGCGTCCTTCGCGAGCATGCGATCCGGATGGACACCGATGTGAAGTGCACCATAGACAACAACTTTCCGGACCATTGTGCTGGAGACAGACCTTTTATCACGAACTTCACAAGTCCTGCTCTGGAAGTTGCAGTTTGTGGTGAGGGCACCTACGACCGGTTTCCTTGGAAGAACACCCGGGATAAGCAGGAAATCAAGGAGCGTCTTTGGATGCGCACCAAGGTCAATGTAGACACAGTTCGGCAGCATGAGACTGTTAATATGAATCTAAGGTCTGCCGAAAACTTCACAATGCGCTGCGATGCCACATCAAGGAGAGGATGGTTCGAGTTGGGGAACTATCAGAACAAGTATTCTTATCAGCCAATGCTCAGGACTTGGCCAAGTTCGGAAACAATGAAGAGCAATTTCAACGACTTTGGCATCAATAGAGGGGAAACGTATTGGCCCATAAAGGAGTAAGGTTTCCCCCATGGATCCCGGCCTCGTCGGGGCCAGATATCAGATATAATAACACACACGAATATAGAGAGCCACCACCTAAGTCGGACCCCTTCACATCTGAAGCTTCCTTGGATCCTTTCTGGACGTATAAGCTCCAAACCCCTGGGCCGCTGTTGTCTGCCGCCTTGGCCCTCTTTGGCAACGGAACTCTTCTTCACACAGCGCGAGAGGCTAGCAAGGACCAACAACAGCAGACCGCCCTCCACATTTGCCACCATTCAATCATTCCCTTTATGCTATACAACCGAGACAGCGACCTGAGCCATGACTTGCTAACACACCAGTGTGCCAACGTGGACACAGATAAAGAGTATGTAAAGTATCTCCTCCTCCCGGGGCTCGTTGGAGGCTTTATGCAAATGCTGCATTCTCCAGCCGCCGCAGAGCAGCTCTTGGAGTTGACAGCCTTCTTCGCTAGCGAAGCGCTGCTGATGACAACTGCCGAGGTATCGCTCTCGGAGTCCAGGAAGATATACACCTCAGAGGGCTCCACAATTCTGAAGCCGGAAAAGTCAATCCCAGGGTTAATCGTCATCTCGTTCCTCATTTGCCTTCAGGTCGCCGGGCTGTTGGTCCTAGCCAGATTCATCTACTCGGCGCCTTCGTGGACATTGATGTTTGATGCGAAGGCGCTGGCGAGAATTGGCGCGCAGCTTCACGATCAGGGCAAAGACTTGGATGACGTCTCTGTGAGCGGGGTGGTGGGAATTGGGGAGCGAGAGGAGCTCCACAGGCCGCGAGGGGCTGGACCGCCTATACGAAAGCGTGTGAAGGTTCTGGCATTAGGGGAGCCTGGAACTATCTCGAACTCGTCCGCTTGTGAAAGGTTATGTTAGATCGGAGTTTTCCTTCTGTCATTTAGTTTAAGGCGTTCCTGGTCCCTGGTCATCTCGAAGTAACTATTTGTTCGAAACATTGAAGTTTCTAGAGCTTGCAGATACTGTAGGCATTCGGAACCACATTGATAGATTATAGATTATAGCTCCACGGAATTTATTTGTTGCTCTCAGAAGCAGTGGTTGTGCTGGTGCGGATAGCTAAAACAATGGCGAGCTGGATACCCTGATGTTAGCACTCTTAGCCTCACCACAGTGATATTTATTGATAGGTATCCCCTTCCCCACCAGACAGGCCATGGACCACTAGTAAGCTTGGTCTATTCGGACAGCAGAAGAAGCTTGAAACCCCTGAAGAAAAGGGCCAGACCGTGGATAGGGGAAGCAAAGATGCCACCGTGCCATCAGTCGTCACAGCAGGATAAAGAGCGGATGACATTGTATATGGATTTAGATAAGGTCACGTTTCCAACGGCGAAACATGTAATGAATTACTGACGGGCTAGCTGTGCTTAGAGAAGCGCTTTTTGGAATTGAAGGTGTGATATGTTTGCTTAGCCAAGGTAGGTTCGCGCCACCATTCAAATACCATATAGCAGGGATCTGAACGCGCAAGATAGTCACAGACACGGAGCACCAAACCAGCATTATACTCCTAGGTTATCCTCGTTTTCATCCAATCTTCGTGTACTCGATGTCTTGTAAAGCAAACATCACACGGTGGCGCAAACTAATCCTGTAGGTACCCCTGCAGCCCCAATGCACCATCCAATAATGTAAAGAAACAAATCAATCCTGCCGCCCGACCCTGGGCCAATTTCGGACCCCTACCTGCGCGTCAGTGAAGCTGATACGACACGTTTTAGCATCCCCTTGGTTTTCTCACAAGAGCTCGATTCCTACCGGGTTCATGGCTCCACAACTTGGGTCGATTCCGCGCTGTGCTTCCTCTGGTCGATTAGGACCTTCACTTCAATGAACCCCTATTTGGCCTCACGGGAACCGTCAAATATCTGCTCAACCAATCTCGGACCAGAACTTCAGTATCATGGTATCAGAGCAGAAACAACAATTAAAATGCTACAGCAATCGTTCATGGTATATACGCCTGAGGCAGAGTTGGAGTTTGATACCGCTATGTACCAGTTTAGCAGCCCTGGCGATGGGATGGTACCTCCCTATGTCCCGATTTGAAGACCCATTAGAAAATTCGTTGGATTTTTTTCGGTCGATCGATAAAGACAGTGCCTGGGTGAGTCACCGAGAGGAGGTGAAAGGTGCCTTCGTCACCAGTTGGGATGCGTACACGAAATATGCCTGGGGTCAGTTGTCTCTTCACTTTCACATCTGCACTTGGTCTATAGACGATGCTATCTTACGTCAATATTTTTCTGAAAACTGAACGTGTGCATTAGGGCAGGATCGTTTCCACCCAATCTCCAAAACGGGCTCTCAGATGAGTCCCGACGGTCTAGGGTGGATGATCGTCGATAGCTTAGGTACCCTGATGATCATGAACCTGACCACTAGTCTGTCCGAGGCACGGGAATGGCTTCAGCATAGCTTGACTTACGATAAAAATCAGGACGTAAACACCTTTGAGATGACCATCCGAATGCTTGGGGGCCTGTTGTCTGCGCACTACCTGTCCACTGCACTCTCAGATGTGTCATCCCACAATGATCATATCTACCTAGCCAAAGCAGTCGACCTAGCAGACCGGCTTCTCGGCGCATATAAATCCAAATCCGGCATCCCATATGCCAGCGTCAATCTCGGAACCAAAGAAGGGCTTCGGTCCCACGCAGATGGCGGAGCTTCCTCAACTGCCGAGGCCACCACTGTCCAGCTAGAGATGAAATATCTGGCCTTTCTTACTGAGAACGAGATTTACTGGCGCAAAGCCGAGCGCGTTATGGAGGTTGTAGATAGTCACCGCATGCAAGACGGCCTCCTACCTATTTTTGTGCACCCAGACACCGGGAACTTTCACTACAAGGAAATTCGTCTCGGGAGTCGTGGGGATTCATACTATGGTATGTCTCAACCTCCGTTGTACCTTGCAGCATCGAACTCACCCAGCAACAGAATACCTCATCAAACAATATCTCCAAACCTCTGGGCAGGAACCCGTGTACCGCGAGATGTGGGAAGAAGCTCTAGCCGGTATCCAGCAACATCTTCTCGCCACTACCAAGCATTCAAATCTCCAGTTCATTGCCGAGCTCCCACAGGGTATTGGTCGACCACAATCCCACAAGATGGATCATCTCGTTTGCTTCTTACCGGGGTCAATCGCGATCGGCGCGACTGAGGGCCTGACTGAAGCGGAAGCACGCAGGCTACCTAGCTGGAATTCCAAGAAAGAACAACAAATGCAACTGGCGCGGGAGCTCATGAAAACATGTTGGGCAATGTACGCAGTGACGAACTCTGGTCTAGCCCCAGAGATAGCCTGGTTCAATGCCAATGACGACGACGGCATCCGATCATCCTCTCGACCCAAAAGCGGAGACGATAAATCCGCCTGGAAGAAAGACCTGATCATCAAACCTCGGGATGCGCATAACCTACAGCGACCCGAGACCGTGGAAAGCCTTTTCCTCATGTATCGAGTGACAAACGACCCTATCTATCGCAAATGGGGATGGAAAATCTTCCAGGCGTTCCAGAAGCACACGGTTGTGGGTGACGGGGAGGGGTACACTTCTTTGCAGGATGTCACGACTGTTCCGGCACCGCAACGCGATAACATGGAGAGCTTTTGGCTGGTGAGGACGAATACCCCCTTGGCTTCCGTGGGATTCGATCATTGCTAATTCGACCTAGGCCGAGACCCTGAAATATCTCTATCTTCTTTTTTCGCCCAGGGAATTCCTCCCGCTCACCGAGGTGGTTTTCAACACCGAGGCCCATCCCTTGCCTCGATTCAAGCAGACCAGGTTCCAGACGGGCTGGAAGCGGAGGATACCTTCTTAGGTCTTTCTCATTTGGACTTTGGTTGTGAAGCGATCTCAAGGCAGGCACTCGGAGATTAGGCAAGGATTGATGAAGATAGTCAGGATATTGCAGAGATCGACTATATGGAGACTAGGTACCTATGTATAGAAAGGTTGACGAATTATATGACGAAGCAAATGTATACACTGCAGAACTTGCAGCAGTGGGAACTTTTATGCATAATCGGTGACGCGTTGGACTGTGGCAACCACTACTACCACTGTACAAATGTGCAGACCACTAGAATTGTGGCCACATAATTTACATATATTGCTTATAGACAATGGCATGGCATGCTTATATACAGGGTATAAACTAGTAAGGACATTTCCCAACTTAGTGTTCGGGTTAGACCTCCAGTTATTTTGCAGACACCAGAGCTACGAGGGTGACTCCCGGACGATATTCAACGCGAGCCATCATCCGTAAATCTCGGGGCTTCCTTGTCTGGATCTTCAAAGACAGCTGTCCAATGCGCCCGTACATCATCGCAGAGCCCAGTTTTTGACTTCCACGTCTCAAACACCGACTCCATACTGCAGGTCACTTCCAAAGTCACCTCCCAGAACTTCCTCTCAGCATCATACCCAATCCTCTCCATGGCCTCGGGCGGATGAGTCCATAATCTGGTGTGTTTTCCATCAAATCCATGCAGCTTTTCGCCTAGCAGGCTCTTCCCCGGGTTGAATTCCGGGGCCCAGCGTGGACGAACAAGGCCCGGGGAGGGTGGGACACCGTTGGATCCTGGGTCCTCCATTTCCCCTGGCTCGTGAGATTATAGTCCTGGATGGGATCGGCTTGAATGTACCCGGCGTTAACGGCAGTGCTGGGATTCCAAGGGGTGACGTTTCCTAGGTCCACGACTGCTTCGCTGACAGAGTAAAACGTGCTGTTGAGGGCGGTTGCGGCGTGAAGGAAGGTGTCTTTGTCGCCTGCCCCAGGGGCGCCTTGGCTGAGTAGTGGGTAATAGTAGTCCGGACCGTAGTAATTATAGTACACAGCGAGGAGTAAAGTATGAAAATGAGTTGTTTTTGAAAGAAGTAGCACTCCTGCTTCTGTCGCTTGTCGAGCAGTGGATGGAGGCGCCGGTTGGCGGGAGATATCAAAGTACACAGGAGCAGCTGTATTCGCCCAGAAGTCCGGCCAGGTCACAAGCCCAGTCGATATAAAAGGCTCAGAACTAAGGATTGGCGCGGGGTTGTGTATAGGGACACAGTCTGCGTCTAACCAGAGAAACTTCTCGAATGAGGAGAACAGCATCGCAAATGCTTTGAGCTGAAAACCCTCGATAGGATGAGCGTCATCCTGGCCTGTCAGGATCTCGGAGAGAACAACGCATTTTACCCCCAGAGGGGGTAAGATCACCTCACAAATATGTGGTTCATACTCGGACGAGTCCTTCATGAAGAGCTCGACCGGCAAATCCGATCCTGTTTGCCGCAGCAAATGGAGAGACACTATAAAAGTGGGTAAGTATGACCCGCCGGCGGATGACACTATCCCCACCGTTCCCGGGACGTAGGCACGATCGACATTTAGATCGCGGATATCCTGCACAAAGCCATCGTGTGCGGCTTGCAGAGGGAGTCGAATCTCGTCCGCGTTCGCAATGTGATTTTCTCGCGCGACTTCATTGATGGCGTTGAATCGTGGGAGGCCGACGCTGCCTCTCAGGGTCGGCTGAGCCCCGTCTGGCGCATGCTGTTCTAGCAGGAAATGGAGTGATTGCCAGAGCCGGGCGCGACGATCGGAAAGGGGGGAGATCCAATTAAAGCTGTGGGACAGCTGACGCCAGGGATAGTTCGCACTAAGCAGGAAGAAAATGACGGCCAAGACCGCAAGGATGAACCGGCGTGGAGCCAACATGGTGGAAGCTCCCGCATCTTGAATGTCAACAGCAAGGAGGGGGTTACCTGGGTATTTAAGTAGTCGTTCCAATATATAGAATGCTTGAATCGATCAGGGATCTTGCATATAGTCCGCTCAAGCCAGGTTCTCCTCTCAATCTCGTCTTGCAGTGGCGTAGCTTCGTGATGTTTCGCATTAGCTTCCATTTAGGGGCGGCTAAAGCGTTGTGATACAGAACAAACGCCTCCTCATTTCCTCAAACCCTTCTAGTTAGGGAGGATGCATTAATCAATGCTTTTTATGGAGCAGGGGCAGTGCTATTGCATTATTCTTGGCTGGTTCTTTAATGCGAATTACTAAACATTTTCCAGGTTTGACCTACTACAACATATCTTCATGGATCTTATATGACGTTGCTAAGTACCTACATCTATAGTTGGCATTACGATAGGTAAGAATCCACATCAAGAGAGATGCACTAGTGGCGTATTGTCAACTCATCCTAAGTGGTTCTTTCTAGTTACAAACTCTAATCCTTATACTTTATTTACCCTTAATATCAAGACTCGGAAAATTATCGGACAATACCTATATTATTTTTTTAATTTTTTCATAAGTATATATCTCGTGGGGGGTTTGTATTCTGCCCCTGTTCGGTATCATGAAAATAGGGCTAACACTAGACCACTGCTAATTGATCAACAAGATACCAGAGATGATATGGACTATAACTTTTGAGCATACAGGAATGGAATCAGTTATAAATTATCATTTCTATTAGCTCTTTATTCTACACTTATCAACTGAATCTTCTAACAGGAAACCAAAGTTATTATGAAGGCTGTAGCCTCGGATACAACTCTAACCCTCATGAACGAAGCACGACTATCACTCAGCTACTCAAGGTATCGTGGCACTTTTAGCATCTGTAAGTAACATAAGTCAGTGATTTGGACATAGCGAAGTTCCTGCAAACAGGGCTGACATTATCATGTAGTCGTGTCGGTGCCATATCACTGGTTATTAGAGGGCTGTCTAATAATATAACTAGAACCAATACTAGTCACCAGAACTAGATCATACCTCGGTGACAGTCATACTATCAAATTTCAACATATGTCTGTGGTGAGGAATTTACTAGCTAAAAGTACCGCCACCTGCTTTGCTTCATGAATGACTACCATATCAGATAACAGCTTTCAGCCGAGGGTCACTATAAGCAAAACATGATGTAAACATCAAAGCCTAATTACTCAAAGGAAAGACGTTGTACATCTTGCATCCTTACGTGTCAATTTCTTACTCTGCAAGATTCGGAAATTCAAGCCCTGAAACCACTAGGATTTTTCTCCTGTTGGGGAATAAGAGTCTAGACTACTGGGGGTACAGCGGATCCCCAAGGTCTGGTCGGTGAGAATGCCAGCAGATCATAGTCAAGCCATCAAGGGCAAGTTTGCGTTCAACACACATGCATGCCCTGGCCAGCTATAGAATAACGGCCAGTCCACATCCTATAGCCCATTCGGCAAAGCTCCCTCGATGGAACACAGCAGGAGTGATATCAACAAAGACCAAACTTCTACGTGGATCCATACCTTTGAATGTTCAAAACTACAACAGTAAACAAATAGACTCTATTCACAAGATTGGTTCGTGAGCCTAGCAAACTACTTCTCATGATGGATGGATTACACTGTCCGACGTCGCACCGCATGCCATCAGAGCCAGGATCCGGGACGAGACTTTGATTCTATTCGTTGTGGTAGTTGCGTAGCGATGTCTCTACCGAGTAGTGTAATTTATGCTCTGGTATGGGTTAGTCGGTGTAGCCCTGGTTTAGATCTATACTGGAGTTCAGTAACAGATAGGTATATAAGGTCCCCCAGCGACACTCACCACCATCGTCTCTTCCAACTCCCACCTCCCTATCCCAGTCAAACTCGCTCAAAGGGACGAAGAGAGAGATGTTCAATCAAGAGCAATTACAATGACCAGATACCATAGCCTCCCTCACTCCCACAGCACCATCCTCCGCAACAACCCTCACCGATCCAGATCCAGAGATAGCGTCACTCTTTTCAGCACTGACCTTGACTCTTCCGAGTCTGATTTCTCTCTAACCTACGAGTCCGACGACGAGGGAGAAGAAGACGACGACGAATCCGAGTCTAAATTCGAATCGGACTCCAGCTTCAGCTCCAGCTCCACCCCAAACCACCCACACCACAAACATAAAGCCCAAAAAGCCCAAACACACAGCCAACGAGCCTCATTTGCCAACATGAGGGCAGAAAAGACCGCCACATGTAGAGCCTGCGGGGGCATCATGCCTTTTCAGTCCAGGTCCAAGTCCAAGTATGTACATCTTTCATATTCCTCTCCATCTCTATCAGAAGAGTCTATATTCCTGAATTTCCGAATACTAATTAGTGGCAAATAATAGTAGTAGAGTTGAAGTACATATCCGAGTTGGAGAATCATCACCCACTTCATACAACTACACCACCAACAACAACTATTACTGTCGATGTGGTTCCAGCCCTATAAGGGAAAGAGCTTCATCACGTCATTTCCATCCATGTGATCGCACTCCAGCGTCGCAACACTTTCACACGCAGCTTCGACAGCGGAATCATGTTCACCAGCATTATTATAGTCACAATCATGGCCATAATCATGCCCACAATCACAGCCACACAAGACAGCAAAGCCCCTACTCCCCAACTATGCATGGAGTCCATTGGAATGGTTCTGCCGCTGCTACGGCTGGTTCTCACTCTCACTCACAGCATACTCGCGCGCATGCGTTGGTTCATGGTAATGGTCATGGCTATGCCCGTGTCCGCACCCATTCCCAGGGTCACACCCAAGCTCATGCCCACGCCCATGCTCAACGATGGGATGAAGGATCTCAGGGATTAGGGGGTCGCTGTCGGGTTGGGTTTGGTGGACATAGACATGGACATCATCCGTTGCATCTTCATCAGCATCAGCATAGACATCTACAGCATCATGATCATCATTATCATGGTCATGGGCGTGTTCTTGGCCATGGTGCCGGGAGATGGGTGTAGGGGTGCCGTTTGAAGGGGCGTTTGATCGAGGTGGAATTTCTGGTGAATACAAATGATAGATCAATAGATAGCAATCATTTTTTGCATACGAGTATCTACAAATCGTTTACTATATTGGGATAATAGTGATAAATATTTATCATAATTCTCAATACAACCAACAACAGTTAGGAAGATATAATCGGTCACATGCTACAGGTGCTAGCGGAGCTAGACTCAAGGAAGATACAGGGTGATGGTAGTCAACAAAAGGGGGTCATGGCGGGAATGTAAGGGAAGACGGTAGGGGACGTTTTGATCTAGAAGTGGATGGCCTTGGAGTAGGTGGCCATGGCGGCCTCCTTGAAGGCTTCGGCGAGGGTCGGGTGGGCGTGGCACGTGCGGGCGATGTCCTCGCACGAGGCACCGTACTCGACGGCCAGGGTGGCCTCGGCGATCATCTCACCGGCGTTGGGGCCGACGATGTGCACACCCAGGATGCGGTCGGTCTCGGCATCGGCGATGAACTTGACCTGACCCTCGGTGTCGAGGTTGGTCTTGGCGCGCGAGTTGGCGGCGAAGGGGAAGTTGCCGACGCGGTACTTGATGCCGGCGGCCTTGACCTCGGCCTCGTTCTGGCCGACCCAGGCGACCTCGGGGTGCGTGTACATGACGCTGGGGATGGCGGCGTAGTTGACGTGGCCGTGGCCCTTGGTGATGTACTCGACGGCGGCGACGGCCTCCTCCTCGGCCTTGTGGGCCAGCATGGGACCGAAGGTGCAGTCACCGATGACACGGATGTGGGGGAGCTTGGTGCGGTACTCCTGGTCGATCACCAGACGGCCCTTGTCGTCCTTCTCGATGCCAACGTTCTCCAGGCCCAGGCCCTCGGTGTAGGGGCGGCGGCCGATCGCCACCAGGACGACATCGGCGTCCAGGGTATCCTCCTTGCCACCCTTGGCGGCCTCGACGCTGAGGGAGACGGTAGCACCGCTGTCGTCACCCTTGGTGACCTTGGTGCCGGTCTTGAACTTGATGCCCTGCTTGGCGAGGATCTTCTGGATCTGCTTGGCGATCTCCGCATCCATACCGGGGCCGCCGATCTGGCCGAGGAATTCTACGACGGTGACCTCGGCGCCGAGACGCGACCAGACGGAGGCCTTTAGAAATAAACAATTAGTCAAACAATCAACAAAAACACGGAGGGAAGATAAAAAGAAAAGAAAATGAACAGGGGAAAAAATTCAGGCATACCATCTCCAGACCGATGATGCCACCACCGATGACAACCATCTTCTTAGGGACCTCCTTCAACTCCAGAGCGCCAGTGCTCGTGATGATGCGCTTCTCGTCGATGGTCAGGCCGGGGAACGGGGTCGACTCAGAGCCGGTGGCAATGAAAATGTTCTTGCCGCGGAGGGTCTGCTCGCCGCCGTCCAGCAGGTTGACCTTGACGGTGTTGGGGTCGACCAGGGCACCGGTACCCTTGACGTAGTCCACGCCGTTCTTTTTTAACAAGAACTCAATGCCCTTGGTGAGACCATCGACGGAAGTGTCCTTGGCCTTCATCATCTGCTCAAGGTTGAGCTTGACGTCGCCAACCTCGATACCGCGCTTTTTCGTGTCATGGAGGACCTGGTGGTACAGATGGGAGTTGTTCAGGAGCGATTTGGACGGGATACAGCCGACGTTGAGGCAGGTACCTCCGAGACGACCACGCTTCTCGATACAGACGGCCTATGGAGAGAAATCGACGTTAGCGACACATCCGGGCGGATGGCGACCGACCGTCGCATTCACCGGGTTAGAAGAGTAGCTCACCTTGAGACCTTCCTGACCAGCCTTGATAGCAGCAACGTATCCAGCGACACCACCACCGATGATCACGACATCGTGCTCACCTAGATACCCGAAAGAAACCGCGTTAGCCCGCCGGGGACAGTGAAAGCCGGAAGCTCAGGCATCGGGCCTGGGGCTTCCCTGGTCAGCATTGGAGATATGACGTACTCGTTTCCGAGGCAAAGCCACGTTTTGAGAGGCCGAAAGAGGCCAGCGAGGGAGTAACGACGAGGTTGGAGGGAACAGCCTTGGGGACGGCCCGGCGGAGAGTAGTCCGCGGCGACGTCCGCGGCAAGAGACTCCGGAACATAGTGAAAGAGGCGACTGAAAGAAAAAGGGAGCGAGAGTAAATGACAGAGTCGAGAGGCCTCCAACGGAAACCAAGGGTGGGAGGGAGGGAGGGAAGAGGGGCAGCAATTGAGCAAGAAGATTGAAGTGATAATGAGACAAGGAGGAATGAGGGAAAAAAGGATCCATGAATGATGGATGGATGACAGAGAGAATCTCAATCGGGTTTAGCTCTGGCGGTCTGGTTGGGAGCGGTAGAGACGGGGTAATTCCGTCATGTATTGTAACCTGTAACCTTCATCCCGGCTTCATTCGGTTAACCACGTATATTGTATCCATAACTTCCAAATACTTCAGATACTAGGTTAATGACTGATTGATCCAGAGAGATTGAGAGAACAATCTCCTGGATTAACAGACAGAAATATCCAGTCAAAGACCAAGTCAACATCGGCAGACCGGGAGAGAGGAGCGTAACCGCCACGACGGCCCGGAACGTGTACGGAAAAGACATTTCGAGGCCTTTGTCAGCCTGAGGTCACGAAGCCCACCTCAGGCTGTCAGGCCTCACGGATCTCACGGATTCTCAGGTTCTTCATCGGATGCACCTCATCGAGATAACTCAATTATATCAACCGGAATATACACCTCTTTTCTTGACTTCCAAAAGGCCAGACACCGGGCAATTGGTTTCAAATGGGTGGAGATGGTATCCGCGGGTAACGTTGAGTAGCCAAAATACCGCAGTGGGCTTTCGGGCCGGTTAGCTTTTAGCGACCGCTTCTATGCGGAGCCCGATCGATTGCTGTGGTCATTTTTGAGATCGATGGAGGGAGGTGGTTGCGAGGTGTCTGGGCAAGGTTGAAAGCTTCTATGGTCGCCATGACTGGAGTATATACCAGACTCAGCACTGCAGAAACAGGATGTCCCTGACATTAGTGCCGGGGTACAGAGTAGTCAACACAACACCAGAGACAGCAATCGACCAGACCGTAGAACCTCAGGGAGCCAACTGATTAAATAGTCATATTAATAGGAGAAGTCCACATTACTCCGGCACTCCCCCGTAGCCTCTGTCCATTTTTTTCATCCGAGGTACAGAGGAGACGGCACTAAGTATCTGGTCCGAATGTGATGGACCCCTATTGATCATCGCGCTTGGGATGATTGCCAATGTGCCTCAGCAATGCTAGATGGGTATCGGCAGAGAAAATCACTCATCATGACATAAAATCTCCTCCCCGAAGAGAACTAGAATTGGAATTGGCGCTGGATTTACCCCACAGAGTCTCTCCACACAACGGACATCCCGTGACGGCCTCAGGCATGGTGTTGCTCACGTGCTGCCACGTGCACCCTGAATGACGCGGTGGAGCCTGAGGCTGCCGGATGTCTGGCCAATCAGCCTGTTATATGGCCAGTGAAATGTTTGTTTAGGGCGTTGCACAAAGGTCCGGGACATGAGGGGTATCGTCGAATTTCTAGCCATTCAATGCGACTCATATTCTCCGGGTTGGTTCTCTTCCACGGTAGGAAAGAAACTAACTAGTCATGTGACGTAAAACACGTGCCGTTCGCATCGACTTCTCGATCTCTCTGCCTCACTGCGTGTTTTCCGTTGTGATCGTGGACTGTGGACTACACTAACCGATCAAAAGTCCCGCAACGAAATCAAGCCGTGTCAATCATGCACGTCTACCAACCTACAAATCGATTCTTCGCTCTGGGACATGGATGCGATTCCTTCGAATGCCCCGACGGCATCACGGACGATGAATGTACCCCGACAAGGCAGAATTTAATTATCACACTCGTGCCATGGAACTCGTCAGGGATGTGACCTGATATCGGCTGTTCAAAGTGGTCGGACTCGATAAAGATCGTCCATCCTAGTGCCTCTCTCCAATTCTATCCCCAACCCGCTACCCGTCTCGGTTTCCCGTTTCCCCAGTCTGGGGCTCCAGGTTTGGGAAGTGGGCCCATGTCAACGAGTCAGAAGGCCTGGTTTGGTGGGGTTATGGTCTTCGATTCGGGTTTTGCTTCCTCTCCCACCCGGGTTGTAACCAAATCCGACTAGACTACTGGCTCATGCGGGTTGCCCTTATTGGGCGGCAGTCTATCACCAGGTTGAGTCTCTGGCCGACTGCCAACTTGTTTTTTTTGCGGTATAAATTTGACCTGGTCCCCCGCAATGTCTCCACCTTTTTTCGTAGTATTTCGTCTAGATCTGCGTAGAGCAGCGGTCGGTCGGCATATAAGAAGCGCACACCCATTTGAAAGGCGCTGTAGCTACCACAATCACTTGACACTGCGTTTGTTGGAATCCTCGCGTCATGTGCGACTCAATCCCCTCGTGGAATGTCGTCCACAAGCTGGAGAAGCGCAGTCTTCTCATCGCTATCAACTCCGTCGCTGCCTTGTCCATCCTGTTCTTCGGATATGACCAGGGCATGATGGCCGGGGTCAACAACTCCAAGGACTACATCGACCTGATGGGTTTTGGCTACACCGAGATGAAAGACGGCTTGCCCACACCGGTGGTGACAAACAGTCTGTTGCAGGGCGGCATCGTGTCGGTCTACTATCTGGGTACCCTGTGCGGTGCCTTTTTAGGAGGCTGGACCGGAGACTGGATCGGCCGAATCAAGACCATTGCCATCGGTGCGGCATGGGCTATCCTGGGTGCGGCTCTGCAGTGTTCTGCCCAGAACCACGAGTGGATGATTTGCTGTATGTGTGCCTCGAAGGAAAGCTAGATCGCTTCGTGACTGACTGTCCAGCGCGTTTCATCAACGGAATCGGAACCGGGATCTTGAATGCGATTGTACCCGTCTGGGCTACTGAGACCGCCGAACACACGTCCCGCGGACAGTTCATCGCGATTGAATTTACCCTGAACATTTTCGGTGTCGTTCTGGCCTACTGGCTCGAGTTGTACGTATCTCGTCTCGTCAATTCGAGTGAAAGTATCTCTAACAAAGCCTAGTGGCCTGTCCTTCATCGACGGCGGCGAATCTGCCTTCCGCTGGCGCTTCCCGATCGCCTTCCAGATTATTTTCCTCCTCGTGTTGTTCGCCGTCGTCTGGTTCTTTCCCGAGTCCCCGCGCTGGCTGGTCAAAGTGGGCCGCGAGGAGGAGGGCCGATATATCCTCAAACGGCTCCGCGGGAGCACGGGCGACGATGCTATTCGCGCCGAGGCCGAATTCCGAGATATCCAGGCAGTGGCGGAGTTGGAAAATAACATGCAGTACAGCACGTCATACATATCCATGCTGTTCGGGTATAAGACGGGCAAGTTGCATCTGGGGCGGCGCGTGCAGCTCGTGGTGTGGTTGCAGATTATGCAGGAGTGGGTTGGCATTGCGGGGGTGACAGTTTGTATGTTTTTTTTTTCTTTTACCCCCATTCATTATAGTGCAATGCATGGCTAACGAATTAGACGCACCGACGATCTTCAGCATTGCCGGGTTCGACTCGATGAAGAGTCAATGGGTTAGCGGTCTGAACAATATCTTTTACATGGTTCGTTTCCTATTCCGACCCAGAAAAACTACCAAACTAACAAGATAGTTCGCAACCTTGATCTGCGTCTTCACCCTCGACCGACTCGGCCGTCGCGTAACACTGTGGTGGGGAGCAGCCGTGCAAGGAATCGCCATGTTCCTCGCCGGAGGCTTCTCGCGACTAGCCATTGATGCGCGGGCGGCAGGTGACGAAGGCCGAGCATATTCATTTGGTGCAGCCGCTGCGGCGATGGTGTTCCTCTTTACGTCTGTTTTCGGGGCTACGTGGTTGACGGGTATGCTTTACTTTTACCCTCTTTGACCCTGCAATGCGTTGCGTGTTCAAAAACTAACTGTCTAGTGCCATGGATCTACCCTGCCGAGATCTATCCCCTGGCAGTACGAGCCCGCGGCAACGCCTGGGGCGTCGTCGGATGGAGCATCGGAAACGGCTGGCTGGTAGGTGTCGCATCGCCTCCCTCCATAATCAATAAAGGTACTAATACAAGATAGACCCTCCTCTGCCCAGTAATGTTCAGCTCAATCGGCGAGAAAACCCTCTACGTCTTCGCCGCCAGCAACGTGATCGCCATTCCCATGGTGTGGGCGTTCTACCCGGAGAGCAACCAGCGCACGCTGGAGGACATGGATCTGCTGTTCGCGGCGGATACGCCGTGGGTGTGGGATGCGGAGAAGACATTTGCGCGGTTGAAGGCGGAGAATCCGGGCCATGTGGAGGCTGTAAGTCGGAATAATAGTGTTTTGGATGGGGAGAAGGGGGTTATTACTTTGGAGGCTGCGTAGTTTTTTTTTGTGTGAGGGGTTGTGGGCGGGCTACACAGATATTTATATATTGGGATGAGGATAGGTGAGATAAGATACCAATTTAGGATTTGGTGGTTTTGAATGAGTTGTGAGTTTTTATCTAGTTCATATACCAATTTATCCTCTACATTCATTTCTTTCCCACTGAATATAGGATTTAGTACAAATTGTGGTAATTCTTTATAGCGACAGCTTCCATGGTATGGGGGATGAGATCTCCAACGTGATTGGCCACATCGACAGCAACGGCTCATCAACATATTAAAAACATGCATCATTCTCCATTTCCACCTCTCCATCTTTACATTTCCATCTCTCTGTCACCTACACTAGAGCCAGTAAGTATAAACTTGTGGCATAATAATGTATGACACAATGAGCTAACGAGTCCAGTCTGATCAATACTCTATCACCAGTAACAATACTGGTGACGACACTTGAAGACGGGTACCTACAGCTATTGTACCTAGGCTGGACCTTAACGCGACTATCCGAACACGACCTAATAAACATATAAAGAAAGCAAAGGAGATGACCAAGAAAATGTCTACCTCCATATCCAACTATTTCAACGAAACAAAGCCAGAACCAGACCACCAACAACAAGTGAAAGAAGAGCAAGAAGAACATCAAGAAAAAGAACAAGAAGACTCCAACCCCCTCCCCCAAACCCTAACCAAATACCTCCTCCAACCCCATCCCCAACCCCATCCCCATAATCTCAACAACAACGACCCCAAAACAAATGTATCATCCAAACTCCTCCACCACATCAAATCCCACCCCACACTCACCCCCCTCCGCCGCCGCACCTACCTCGCCCTCCTAACCGTCCCGCGAGGCCACTGGACGACCTACACCGCGCTGGCCACACACCTGGGCACGTCTTCACCCCGCGCAGTCGGCACCGCCATGCGCACGAACCCTTTTGCGCCGGACGTGCCGTGTCATCGGGTGCTTGCTGCGGGGGGATTTTTGGGGGGGTATATGGGGTCGCCTCCTCCTTCTTCTTCTGTTTCTTCCTTGAAGAGGAAGAGAAAGATAGAGGGGGAGGGGATGGAAGGGGTTAATGAGGAGGATGGGAAGGGGAAGGGGAAGGGGAAGAGTGGAAGGGGAGTAGTTAAGGGGAATGGAGGAGGGGAGCACAAGTTGGAGTGGAAGAGGAGGTTGTTAGAGGCGGAGGGAGTTAAGTTTGAGGTGGATTCTGCGGGGAGGGTTAAGGCGAAGGGGGTATGTTTTTCGGGGTTTACTTAGCTTTTTTGGGTTCTCTTGGTGTTGTTCTTTCTATTGTTGTTTTGGTTATGTGGGTTCGAGTTTGCTGGGATTGAGTTGACTTCTACGACTGTTCTGTTTACGATATGTATACTGTATACGGATACTCAATGGTAACATATCGCACCCTATGTTAGGATACATTATCAATATAGAATAAGCTACAAATGCAAGCAAACATCCAAAATGCAAGCAAGAAAGGCACCTCTAATGCGAAACGCCGTCGTCTATCATAAGCATGACAAAGGAAAATAAACAAAGAAAAGAATATGAAAGAAAATCAACAATAAAAAAATATGGGAAAAGAAATAGAAATAATGGAAATAAAAACGACTTGTAGACCCACGGTATAACCAGCTAACGCCGCCCACAAATTCATCCGCATATCTATCCATACCGCATCGACGTAGAACATAAACATGGGATCATTACGCGTGAAATCCACACATAAAAGGGGTTTAGAGAGGAAGAGAAGAAGAGAATAGAAGAGAAGAGAAGAAGAGAATAGAAGAGAGGAGGAAGTATAGAAGAGGAAGTGAAGAAGGGAAAAGGAAGAGAAGATCACGAAAAAAAGAAAAGAAAAGAAGAAAAAAAAATCAAACAGTCTTCGTCACCCTCTTAGACCGCTTAGGCACATCAATATGGTGGTAAGACCGCAGATGCTCCTTGAGATGATCCCGCCGGGGAAAGCCATTGCTAGCCTTGCGCGGACAATTCTCCACGGGACAGTCCTCGGGCACGGGGTTGTGGACGCTAGTCTGGTGGCGTCGCAAGTCCGCAGGGCGAGTAAAAGCTCTGCCACAGTCTACGCAGCCGAAGGGTTTAATAGGCCTATTTCAAGTCATTAGAGTCGGGCCCAATTAGGAGGTTATAATTAAAGAGAGGTACATACTTGATGACCTCTAGAGGAGCCTCGTAAACCTCCGACCCCGCGCTGTACATCTCCATGTCGCACGGCTCGGGTGTCATGGTTTCACTGTAGCAAGGTTCTTGCATGGGGGCCCACGGGTGGCTCGGCACCGAGGAGAAGTTCTGGTACATGTTCACGGCGGCGTACATGTCTGGCGAGTATGACATTGGAGGGACGTAGTCGTGATACGGCTCTGGTGTTGCCGGCGAGCCAAAGTACGAGGACTCGACCGAGGCGGAGTACACTGGAGAGAGCTGTTGCATCCCCATCTCCAGGCTGTTGCCCATCAGGCCGTACATGTCGTAAGGGCCCATTGACGGAACCGAGTCTTCGCTGGAGGAGGAGTACGAGGAATGGGTGGAGTATGACTTGTCCATGGGTGGACACATATGGACACTGGGACTCTGGACAGTGAGGTTAGTGGAAGGTCAGGAGGGTCTGGGTAGGGTCAGCTAATAATTACCATAACGGAAAACATGGTGTGCTACATAAAACTAAAGAAGGTATGGGGGAGAGAAGAAGTTGCGATTGATGATCTATTTATCGGAAGACCGAGTCCAGGTTGCAAGATCAGGACATGTCACCTGGGGGGAGGTCGAGGGATTATAAGGAACCGGAACCAACTCGTAGAGCGCGCGACTTTTGGAGAGGCCTTTGACGTTGCACATGCATTAGGGCAGGATCCATCTCCACCCGCGTCAAGGAACAAGCGGGCTAGGTGAGGGAAACACGAACGCTGCATGATGGGTCTCCATCACCTGAGCAGGGAATCCTACAATTCGCGACTAAGGATCCGCCTGGGGAAATCCCCATGTCGTGTCATTCGTGGATGAGGACTGGCAGTGATCGCACCGCCCCAGTAGCGGGGTCAAACCATTGGCTTATTTGTAGCCCCTGCGCTCTGTGAAGCGGGATCCCGGTCTTGCTGACGCTAGAAAATTCCATGAAAGTTCTTCTGGGTTTTCCAGACCTTCTAGTGGCGCCCTAAGCCAGCCATGTCCATGGTGATTGGATGGGGGACAGCCAGCGATGATGCGGCACCGACTGATTATCACCGCAGCGGAAAGAACGGCGGCTCCAGCAAGAGACCTGTCGTCATCCTGGTCAAGGGTGTCAAGAATTCAGCTGCTGGAACGAGTCAGTATTAGTAGCGCAGCCTGGGTGATCTTCTCTTTCCTTTTTTTTTTTTTTTTTTTTTTCAATATTTCATTATTGTTTTTCCATTTTCCATTTTCCATCTTGTAATCTTTGCTCTTTTTCTTTTTCTTTTCTTCCTCTTCTTCCTTGGCTGAGGCTTGCAGCTTGCCCCACCCCTCTGGGGGGCCAAGAAGGGGGGGGGTCAGTCTCCATTCCGTCCCTCCACTGTTAGCTGTTTACAAGTTGGACGGATCGTATTGTTTTGGTGTCGGCCCTATGACGCTGTGCGCCTTCCGTGCGTCACAGACCCGCCGGAAGCTGTCCCCCCAATCCGCCCGGTCCACATTGCACAGATCAAAGAAAGAGGGGGGGAAGGGGCCGGGAATGTCAACCGGTGGGACAACAACAAAGGTACCGCGAGTTATAGGAGAAGCCGGCGGAGTCAGTCATGCATTGTGCGACCGCATCTTGGGGGCGCCATCCCGTTTCCGACTGAAGGAAAATATAGAATATAGGATACCCCGTCCGTAGACTGATGGATCTAATTGATCGAGGGATCGAAAGGGGGGGAAACCTCCTCGCCGGATTGACTCGGTCGGTCTGGATGGAGGAAAGATTGATGCACGGAAGTTACAATAGACCCGCGCACCTTCATCTTGCGGGGAAGTCATCCTCGAAGGGCACGTTCTCCCGGCGAGGATGTGTATGATCCGCAACCGTGATTCTCTCCTCCAGCCTTGTTGTCAATCCTGCCGCCCGAACTCGGCTCGAGGCTTGACTGGATTGAGTCTAGTTCGCAGGTCTAGTCCGCAGCGGTGCCAAGAATGGGATGACTGGGGAAAATGGGGGGGGGGGGAGAGGACCGATGAGGAATTGAAACAAAGCACAGCCTCCCTCTTAGTCTCGACATTATTGTCGCAGTTAGGATGATAATTGAGTGCCGTCTCGAGTTGTCAGGCAGACTGCGGACCCAGAGGTAAAAATCCCTCACCGATCCTTCTCCGTTTTTAGTCTTCCCATTTGGATTGTTTATCTCTCCCCCGCCTCTTCTGATTACGACGGAAGGGGAAAGCCGAGAAGCTATCCATGATTCCAGTGAGGCGAATAGGTAATGCGTGATGGAGACAGAGGTATGGTTGGTGGATGGATAGGAGTCGGGCACACGATCGTAGGCATCGTGTACCTGATGGAAATTCTGGAAGGTTTTAGTGGATTTCAAGAAGCCAATCCCCAGACAGTGATTGGAGATATCATCAGCCTGACAAGAGTCCAGCCTGCGAGGAGAGTACCTGTTGGTGGATGAGAGAAGACACCTGCATGAGAAGTAGAAGTGGAGGAGGAAATGATCAGAGGGTTAATTACGGTCAGGTATGGTAAAGATGACCTGCTTGGCAGCTCTGCCTCACCCCGATCTGGTAATTTTACGTTCCTTCGATACTGTCGTGCCCTTATCATACTACCTACATACGTACCACTCCTACTCTTACGTAGACGAGTAAATGATATCCAACAATGCGGCATTTCTGCCTCCATCTCCATTGCCAATTTCGAACGAACTCGGCCTCTTCAGTTGGATGATCATTTGGTTTGATCCTCCAGCCCCCTCCGGTGACTTGATGTCTGCCTTTCCGGTGGATGCTTTGGCCCCTATCTAGTACTGCAAGTGGCCTGATATCGCCCCCAACATCGTTGGATTTGGGGGTGGTCAATCCAGACTCCTCAGCCATCATCGTTCCCTACTACTAAGGTGGTAAGAAGGAGGAGGATCATCATGATTATGGCTGTGCTGATTGGTCTGTGGGTCTCTGTCTTCAACTTCTCTTTGCATGTCTTTGTTTCATTTCTCATTGATTGACTTGTAGTGTCTTGGTTCGGGTTGGATTTCATGGATTCTATTTTATTTATTCATTATTTATTTATTGATCTACGTGGTTATTATGTGATTTGATTTCGTATTTTTTTTTATATTAATCATTTCAATTAATAGTTTCCTTCGTTGGATATGGACTTTTACGCTTCAATTACTACCGGATCTGAACGAAAATCGGTGGTCGGGGGATTTCCCTTTCCTCAAGGCCTAGGAAGGATCGTTTGATCACCTATTGAAAAGCGAGAACATCAACTGCCAATCTCCCCCATGAGTGCAATTGTACTAAGTTGAATCGCGCAATAACTCCCCTATCCCTGTCCCAGTCATTGACTCGTTCCTGAACCGATCAACGAGAAAAGAAATAAAAAAGAAAAATAGAAAATAAAGGGGGAGAAGACAAAGAAAGACATAAACTGAGGGTTAGACTGCTATCCGGTCGGGGAGAAGAAAAGAAGACGACAGCAAATGAGGAAAAGGAAAAAAAGGGGGAAGATGTGATAAAGGAAGAATGCAACCCAAGCTAGGCTCCTGCATGATGCGCCGGTCAAAAAGCTTCCAGTCGTCTCACCCGGCCCGGACAACGGGATCGCAACCACCTTATCTGAACCTGATGGATGGATGGGCGATTATAATTCGTCCTCCAGGTATTTGTAGACAAACTTGAAATCCGCCTTTCTGCGGTTCATCCTGTACGCGGAGTGCGGTTAGCAAATAAACCTGTTTGATAAAAGAAAAGAAAAGAAAAAGAAAAAGAAGAGGGAAAAGATAATGATAAGGAACTTACCAGGTACTCTCGTAATCGAAGAATCGATACGTGCCCTGCTCAAACTCCTCGGTGATCGTCTTGGGCTCCTCGTGTCGCTGGAACCACGTCTGGTACTGCTTGTGGAAACGCCAGCTCTGGTTCTTGAGCGCCTTGGCCGCCAGGTACTGTTGATACGTCCCTTGTCGGTAGTAAAACAGATAGAAGAGGGTGTCCGTATCAATCCGCCCCGTCTCGTACAGGCGAGGATCGTCAAAGATGGCCAGCGGCTCCTGGGGATAGTAGGCTGGCGTGTTGTACGGGTTCTGGGGCTTGTAGTGCCGCGGCTTCTCGGCATCCACGGGCTCGGGGCACGATGCCAGTGAGGCGTTCAGCAGGCGCTGGGTCGACGGCGATTGGTGATTGCCCGACTGGTTGGCTCGTGCCTTGGTCACTTCAAACGACTGGATGAGATCCTGGAGTCCGGGAGGCAGGTGGTAGATCGATTCGCTGGGCTCCTCCTCGCTGTCCACGGTCGCCGGCTCCTTGGGCCCCGTGGACGCGGCGGTCGCCTTGTCCATTGCGGGGGTGGGAGGCACCGTGTTCGAGGCACTCGCGGCAGCGACCTGCGGACTGAGGGCGGGGTCTTGGAGCGGCCACCGGATTCTTCCATGGCGGCCGCCGCGGTCGACGTAGGTTTGGATATGGGTTGGACGGACGCGACGCTGGGGGACGCCGTGGATGAGGCCTTGGAGACGGGGACGGCAGGCGGGAACGCAGGGCTGGCACCGGGCGGAGGGGGGAGTGGAGCGATACCAACGCCGTTCTTGTCACTGGCAGCAGCAGCGGCCGCAGCAGATGCGTACTTGAGCGTTTCGCCAGGTAGACGGGTAGGCGGGGGTGCGGGCTTCATGCCGGAGGTTGCGTTGGTCGAGGTGGATGGGTGCAAGGTAGCAAGCACAGGGAGCGGGGACTTCATCTGGGCGGATGGTCTGCGTGGAGCTGCAGCCTCACTCTTACTAGATTTGGGCTTGGGTGCAAGATCTGGTGTTTCGTCTTCCTGCAGTGACTGGGCGTCCTGCGACATCTTGTCGTTGTCGCCGGTCATGCCAAACTGGATCTCAGCATCCCCATCCAGATTTAGATCATCATACAGGGTCTCGTCTTCCCCAGAAAAGTCGATGTTGTGGCCATCTTCCACGTAGTACTTGATGCTCTCCTTGAGATCATGCACCTGATGCGTCTCGATATTCCCGTTCTGTAGCGACCGGTTGAGCAGTTCCAATCGGCCGACGTGCCATTTGTGCCGTTCCGTGACCCGCTGAATGTCCGCCAGTCGATTGGCCTTGTTGGTGTCTTTCTTGCTCTTTTTCATCTGCGCGTGGAGCGTTTCCTCCTCTGCCTCCATAGCCTCGATCTTCTGCTGCAGTTCGTCGACCATACCCGACAGGAAGTCGCTCGCCTCCACTTTCTCTTTTTCCTTGGGGTCTAGTCTCGATGCCGCTGACAGACCTTCTTTGGAGTATGCTTTGGTTTTCATCTCCTTCTCCACGGCTTTGAACTGTTCCATGCACTATTTTATCCCCATTGGTTAGCTGTCGCACCCCACAGCGGACATATGATAAGGCCAGCTTACCGTTTCAATAGCTCGTCGCTGCTCCAGCAGCGGAGCCTTGTCCTTGACCTCATTGCCAGACGCCCATGATTTTATCTGATCTCGGTACCGCTGGAGCTTCTTGATCTCCCGCTTCAGGTTCTCCTCCAGTTTATCTCGTTGCGTGGGGTTGTTGGCGGATCGGATCTTCTCATAGATGCCTTCAAAGGTCTGGATGCCTTCCGCGACCTTTTTGAAGGTCTTGTCGATCTCCTGCTGCGTCTTGCGGGACGTCATGGCGGCAGCAGGCCGGGCGGAGAGGGGACGTGTAATGAAATCTCAAATGGAATCTGGGGAGGGATTGTGGGGGGGGAGTCGAGAGGGAGTCTGGCGGAGAAGAAACACAGGATTTCCCAGCAACTTCTTCAGATGTCGAGCGCGTCGCGAGGGCGGAATTCCACGAGGTTTGTCTAGCAATCTGGAGTAGAATCTCCTGATGCTATCCCAAGACCAGCTGCTGCTTCGGGAGGCTGCCAAGACTAGGCTGACTGATCGAGAGATATGCGGATGGATGGATAGTTTTCTTAGATAATCTGTTCCGTTGGTTCAACGCGGCAAGGAGGATGCATAAGAGATGGAACGGAAGGAAACTAAACAGAACCGGTTTAGAGGGGATCTTATGCTGTGTCGGTGCGTTCTGCCACCGCCCTCGGATTATCGTGTTTCCGGAGAGCACATGTTTGCATAGTTCACTCGGTGTTATGCGGATGATACACTTCGACAGTTGATATCACCCATTTGATTGATCACTGTGTTCATCCTTGTTGCCGTGATAGCTGTGGAGAACTTTTCACTGCTGATCTGTGCATTAATATTGGATCCCAATTGTACCTGGGATGGTGGTATGTGCATGACAGCTATCCGTTCCTCAACACCGACCGGTATGTGTATAACTCCGTTTGCAGTATACTGCTCTATCAGTGTTACTAAACATCCCCTGACTTCTAGAACAGCTCTCCACTAATATCAGAGTGGCGATTTGACTTGAGTTCCCAGCTCAATCCCTTGTTATCCGTCCTATAACCTCCACCTGTTCCGCCCTCTTCCCGAACCATACCCCGCAATATGAAGGGTGCGTTACGATGACTCCAACGACTCGATTAGTCCTTGCTAAATAGTAGCGCAGCGGTCCTCCAACGAGTCAAGTCGGCCTCCGTCACCGTCGATGAGAAATTGGTGTCTTCAATAGGCAAAGGCATCTTGGTACTGGCGGGAGTGGGCAAGGGGGATACCGAAAAGGACGCAGATTCGCTCATCAACCGCATACTGAAGGCCCGACTCTGGCCAGACGAAGGTAGTGGCGGACAGGTGAGTGACGGTCGACGAACACCAAATCATCGCGACAGGGAAACTAACGGATCGGATTTCGTGACTAGTGGAAGAAGAATGTTCAGGATCTCGAGGGGGAGATACTCTGCGGTATGCTATCATCGTGCTAGCCACAGAATCCCTTCTGGTCTCACACTCCCTAGTGTCGCAATTTACACTCTATGGCCAATTGAAAAAAGGCAGCAAGCCCGACTTCCATGATGCTGCCGATGTGGAGACCGCGCGCCGACTATACGACTACTTCTTCCAACGACTGCGCGCAGCCTACAAGCCCGAACGGGTAAAGAATGGCGTCTTCCAGGCAATGATGGATGTCGAACTGAAGAACGACGGGCCGGTGGGTGTAAATTACCGCAGTGCAGATGCAGCGGTATAGACTTGTTTCTTCTCGTCTGCTCTCTCCCAGATTTGTTCCACGCTAACGTTTTCTTCCCTTTCGCATCGTCGCGTCTTAGGTCACGATCGAGATTAATACCCAAATGCCGAAGAAGGAGAAGAAGAAGCCTAATGAGGGGAGCGAGTCGCAGACCCCGGCGGAGTCGACCGAGGACGACAAGAAAAGCTATGAGTTCAAACTCCCCGCTTCGTTACTCGAGTAAGAGAAGGAGTGTCATCATCCCAGCGACCTAAATATAGAGATATCCCTGTTTCCCTTTTCTCCATGTACATAGAATCTATCTGCATTGTCGGTACATTGGCGTTGGTGGGGGTCATGATGTAGTTAGACGGATCTGGCCGGAACCAATTAGGCAGAACGAATGCCAGGATTCATGATCATGTCGAGAACCTGCAAGATGAAGTAGACGACGGTGTGGTGAGATGTGGGGAGTGGTGGCTGAAAGCAAGGTGTGGAGAGAACGTCTGAGGCCCGTGATGTGATGGAAGCTTCCTGAAGACCCAGGCAACCTCAGCTCTTTCTCTCCGCTTCCCTTCCGACCTCTCCTCTTTTCCTCTCTTCCCCGCTCCACCTCCTCCCATCGAACCCCTCGAGTTGTCCTGCAATCTTCCATCGCATTTCTCCCTATTTAAAACCTTATTTTCCTCTTCCCTCTCACCATGGCCGAGTCGCAGCGTATGTTTTGAGGACTCTTTTGTCTCCCGCGGTGGGGTTCCGCTGCTCTGATCATCCATTGCTGATCGCCAGACAACAGGCCGCCCTCGCGTTTTCTTTGACGTTCAGATTGGCAACCAGAAGACTGGGCGCATTGCTATCGAACTGGTAAGTCGGTAGTGGGTCTTGTTTGGCTCTCTTCTATTTCCCCCCTTCCTGTTTCCGTTCTGTGCGACTACAGCTGTTCCTGTTGTGTGAGGCATAACTTCCGTGCTAACTACCCCGCCAACCTAGTTCAATGATGGTATGGATCCCTGGGAACCGGTCCGACAGAATATTCCCGTGCATATCCTGACCGTTTTTAGTCGTCCCTAAGACCGCAGAGAATTTCCGCGCTCTCTGTACGGGAGAGAAGGGCGTGGGGAAACAGGGCAAGCCGTTGAGCTTCAAAGGTAGGGGTCCCTGCGGCTAAATTTTCCCCGCTCCGCAAAATCTGTGCTGAACTGACAACCCCACCACGTTGATCAGACTCGATTTTCCACCGTGTCATCAAGCAGTTCATGATCCAGGGTGGTGACTTTACCGCCTTTAACGGAACCGGAGGTGAATCGATCTACGGCGAGAAGTTCCCCGACGAGAACTTCGATCTGAAGCATGACCGGCCCTTCCTCCTCTCCATGGCCAACTCCGGCCCCGGCACCAACGGTAGCCAGTTCTTCATTACCACCGTCCCCACCCCTCATCTGGATGGCAAGCACGTCGTGTTCGGCGAGGTGATCAACGGAAAGAGCGTGGTTCGCAAGGTCGAGAACATGCCTACCAACGCCGACAAGCCTAACAAAGACGTGACTATCGTCGACTGCGGCGAGCTCACGGGCTCCGACTACGATGAGGCCGACAAGCAGGTCCCTGATGCCACTGGCGATCCGTTCGAGGACTTCCCCGATGACCACCAGGGTGAGGAGCTGAGCGCTCCCGTGTGCTTCAAGATCGCGTCCGAACTTAAGAACTACGGCAACTCCGCCTTCAAGTCCGGCAACCTCGCCCTGGGTCTCGAGAAGTATCAGAAGGCTCTACGCTACATGAATGAGTTCCCCGAGCCGGACGAGGAGAAGGACCCCAAGGACCTGGAACCGCAGTTGAAGGCCCTGCGCTTTGCATTGCACTCCAACTCGGCCCTGCTCGCGAACAAGCTGTCACAGTATAAGAACGCCCAGACTTGGGCGTCCTACGCGCTCGAAGTCGCCGACGCCGCCAAGGCCAAGGACACCGACCGTGCTAAAGCCCTGTACCGCCGCGCTGTTGCTTCCGGCGGTCTCAAGGAGGAGGATGCCGCGCTGTCGGATCTCGAGGCCGCATCCAAGCTGGCCCCTGGCGATGCGGGGATCACCAACGAAGTCGCTCGGGTCAAGCAGGCGATCAAGAACCGCGAGGCCAAGGAGCGAGCTACGGCGCGGAAGTTCTTCTCGTAGACTGCTTCGGAGTTCTCGCGGGGGAGACATGCCCTCTCCATGATTCATGATTCATGAGTGTTTCTATACTCTTCGTCCCATTTGCATCAGATAAGCAGAAAATACTCACCACTGTGCATCATTTCTTGCAACGCTTTTCCCCCCCTCTCCCGCCAAATGTCACCTCCCCCGCATTTGCCCCGCAAGCAAACATCCTTCCCGGGGTACGCCCCATCTTTTGTAGCATGGATTTCGGCGCAATACATGTCTCTTTCCAACTAATTTTCTTTATACTTTGGCCCGGGTAGGATGACCCTGCAGCTGGTGTATCGTCAAGAGAGAAGGATAGATTTAGGAGCGGGAGATGCCGCGAGAAGAAAACGAGAAGCAAAAGAAATGCAATGTTGTCTAATATGTAAGGAGTAACATGAAAGTTCCACACTACGGGGGTCCGTTAAATCTCAGCACAAATATACATGGGTTATAATTCATTCAGTGCCATTGGTCCGTATAATCTACATAAGAAAGGCCGTCACAAGGAGTGATGGATTGCCGGAAGTGGTGAGGGGCAGTAGACTACGGTGAGTAACTACCAGCTGTGGCATTGACCAGGATATGCTCTAGGAAAGGCTGCTACAAGTATGCAAAGGAAAGACAAAGGAAACTCCGTTAATCCTCTTTAACATCACCTACACCTGACAAACTACAAAACAAGAACAACAGCTAGCTACCCCGCAAACGCACAAGCCCCCATATCCCTCCCCACAACCTCCGCCTCGGGCCTAATATCAAAATCAAAGATATCCATCGGCACCCCCAGCGTGGTACACGCATTCGGGATATCCACCAAACCCGCGATATGGCCCTGCACAGGCGCACTGCTCAGCAGCAAATAAACCTGATAATCACTATACCCATACCGACGAAGATACTCAATCACCCTTAGACACGTCTGGCGGTATGCGACCGTCGCATCGAGATAGTGCTGCTTGCCGTGCTCGTCGACGGAGAAGCCCTCGAAGGTAAGGTAGCGGCCGGGGCCGAACTGCGGCTCGACGGGGCCTGGGTGGAAGATGGGGGACTTCATGGCTAGCTTGGAGATGCCGTCTTTGATGACGGTGAATTTGAGCGTGATGATGCCGGCCATTTCGATGGCGCCGCAGAAGGAGATCTCGCCGTCGCCTTGCGAGAAGTGCAGGTCGCCGACGGAGAACTTGGCGCCGGGGACGTGTACCGGGAGGTACACTTTTGAGCCGCGCGAGAGGTTCTTGATGTCGCAGTTGCCGCCGTGTTCGGGGCGGCCCTGTTTTTGTTAGTTTGGGGGTTTATCGCACCGAGGATGGGGATGGGGTTGGGGTTGGATGGGTATGGTATCTGTTCGTACGGGAATGGTTCGTGCGCCCTCTTTTCCTATCTTCGCCTTGAGAGCCTCCTCGGCGGAACCGGCGTGGACGTTCTGCGGCTCGGGGGGTTTGGCAACGTCACGGTTGGTGGTGTTGGTAGCGATCAGCTCGCCTTCGCGACGGTTCCATTCCGCGAGGACCTCCGCGGATGGAGCACAGCCCAGGATACCAGGGTGGATGAGGCCGGCGAAGCGCACATGAGGGATATGGCGGGAAGAGCAAAAGATGCCCTCGAAATCCCAGATTGCCTTCGCACTAGATATACAGTGTTAGACTACTGATGGGACCAAAGGCGCATACTGAGATCGATCTTACGGTTCAGGATAGAGTTCGTCCAGGAAGCCACCTCCGTTCTGCGGGGAGAAGATGCCCGTGAAGCCCCACGGCCGGTCCTCGAATGGCTGTACGTCCTGGATTTCTACCAGGAGGACGTCGCCTGGTTCGGCGGTTTCGATGTCGAATGGACCGGAGAGATAGTGGATTTGGGTGAGGTCGACGTTTTTGATGTCGTCGGCAGAGTCGTTGTTCTTGATTTGGCCTCCGGTCCAGTCGAGGCATTCGATCTTGACGACTTCGTTGTTGGCGATCTTGCCGTAGGCGGGTACTATTGCTGTTAGTGTTGTCCACAGGATAGTCATCAGGGCTTCGTTTGGAATTCTGAGTGAACCTGTTGGACGTACCATCGGGGTGCCACCGGTTCTGGGTAGTAAATCGGTCAGTATGCCACATATCGAAACAATGAATATGATTGAACATACGTGCAATCCAGCCTGCTCGCTAGCATGCTTGTCGAAATCGACCTTCAAGGCCGTGCGAATTCCTTTGACGCCCATATCTTCGGCTGGATTACTTGGTCCTGAACTTGGCTGTGGTACAGGAGGGATCGTGGTAGGACAGCGATCAATTGGAAACTAATGGCTATTGTTATATAACCGTGAGGCACTGACCTACCAGCCGGAAACCACAACCGGAGAGTTGGAGATTCGGAGTGATGGAGATTGACAGCCAATAAACCTCAGTGGAGAGCGTGTTATCCATGACTGTTGTCCGGCCCACATGACGTTATCTCCAACGATGGCTGATACCCCGCAAACAACAGCCAATAATCAGGCAAACCATCCTGGGTAAGTTCCTCTATCGTTAGGTAAGTGATGTTATCTCCATCGTATCCCCTCATTCCTCCAACTGTCTTGGTATTGATTATCTTGGGTCCACCGCTTATCAATGTTGTCGGGGATTTCAGGGTGGTGGTTCTCGAGTTCGGAACACCGCCAGGTGGATCAATCAGGCAGTTAATCCCTGTTGATTTTCTATATCGACCGGGGGGCTTATGGGAATCACACATAATTATTGGTCCTGATTTGTTGAACTCATTGATGTCTCCAGGTGAACCCCGCCTGTCCAACAAACGCGCTTTCTCCCCCCCTACCGGGTCCCGCCCTACCGATGGTCGGACAATGAGAAGGGAAGACCGCTATGATGCCTTTTCTGCGTTTCTTTGTTATACTAGTGTCTAGCGAGAGGCGAGGCAGGTCTAATCCAATCTTGGAATGAGGGAAAATGACAAAGAATTCCCCAGGAGCAAAAGTCTCTCCCTCGAGGGAGAAGGCTCTGAAGAACTATCACCTCTTGTGACTGTGTGCAAGATGTCGCTCTGGAGACTTTCCGAAAGCGCAAAGACCCTTTACAAGATCATTTTGTTCTTGAATCCTAACTACATTGAGGAGTCGTTCCTGAAGGATGGCGCTCTTAAAGTGGACGATCCTGATTTGGCGTTCATGTTGGACGAGAAGGAGTGAGTTCTACCATGATTGACACATTTATGCAGCGTCTAACCTGTCTATAGGTTTGTGGATGCTCGAGAGGCATTGCGTGAAGACTCTCTTGTTAACAAGTCAAGCGAGAGCGGGATTATATCTATGCACCGGATTCTCCAGCATGATGCTATCAGCCGAATGACGTTGAATCAACTGAAACAGGTCCTCTATCTCAGCATAGACATTCTCTCCGCACACTTTCCAGACACGTATAGTGCCGACGTGGGCTACCAGGCTGCCTCCTGGAGCTATTGTGAGAGGAGCTTGCCACATATAGAAAGTATGATCAAGAAAAGTGAACACTTCAATGTCTTTGAAACTGGACATCAAGAATTTGCGGAGTTGCTGCTTCGCTGTTCTTGGTTCTTAGTATGACCCCCTGTGATTGTGTCGTATCCCAACAACATGGCTAATTCGAGGTAGGTACCTTTATGAGAGGGAGGATTACAGCATCGCACTGTCGTACGTTGAGATAGCGCTCAAGAAATTCGACGAAAAAGGCTCTCTTGCGTACGCGAGTGCTATTGATCTTCGGGGCTTAATCAACCTTGACATCTGTCGTCCCACAGATGCCCTAGAATCTTTCAAAGAAGCATACAAGCTACGTACAGCGATACTCCCAGACAACGACCCCTTTCTGGCCGCCAGCCAGGTCAACATCGGTATTACATACACAGAGCTCGGAGAGCACGAAAAGGCTCGAGAGCATCTCCAACAGTCGATCGATATTCGCTTGATGCACGATAGTGATAGAATTGGCAATTCATATAGCAATATGGCCAGCTTGTTGCTCAAAATAGGCGATCCTAATGGGGCAGAAGCCATGCTCAAGAGTTGCCCTTCTTTGAAGGATTTCTCGGTTGAAACTTTTTTGAAAACTCGGAATCCACGGTTCTCTGGGTACGTGCTCCATTTCGACTTAAAATGTCTCTTGCTCTCAGAATAACAGCGTCTAGCGATATGGTCCTGCTCAGTAGGATCAAGTTTGAGCAAGGGCTCCTCGACGAATCCCTCAGGTTTGCTTCAAAGGCTCTGACCTTCCGAAAGAGTTGTTTGAGCGAGCGCCTCAAAGTCTGTGATTCCTTGCATCAGGTAGCTGTCCTTCTTCATCGCAGAGATAACACCGAATCAGCAGTGCAGCCTACTCGAGGAATGTATAAAAATATCGAAAAGGCTCCTACCCATTGAGGGAGTAGGTCATCTGGCTCGGGCAAACTACAAGCTGTCACAAATGCTGGGAGACCTCGGAAGACAAAGAGAAAGCGCAGAGTACCTTAAGAAGGCAGTCTTCCTCAGAGAAGACCTCACCCAATTCAACAGTGAGCTTTCTTCTGCGGAAGCGGGCCCGTCCAGTTTCGAAAGAATTGTTCCGTGGATGCTATGGTGACGCATATGCGGCAGGTCTCTCATGATCCTGATACGGAATCAATCCGCTCGTGAGGCCCAGTCATGCGACAACCGCATCTATCCCTCTCTCGGCCCAGCTTTGGATAATACCCTTAGATGTTGGCTCATACTCCCGTAAGTTGACAGTATCTCCATCGAGATACGTATTCGCATGAGAGAATATCAGTGGTGGATCCTTTTTGGCGATGACGATCTCTCTCCATTTCAAGGCCTCGTCGTCCACGGCCGTGAGGTCTTCGTAAAACGTACGACAGCCAGCGATATCCGCAGTGCACCGATACATGTGCAGTCTCAACAGCATGCGACCAAGGGAGGGCTTCCCTTGTTGGATAATGAGGTTTCTATCAACCTTCACCGTGAGCTCGCCGGCTTGTGGGTCGCATATAACAGTGTAGAGGCCTTGGGTGTCGCGGAGGAGATGACGAAGCATGGCGTAGTGGGCCTATATGGTCTGTTAGAACTTGGGCTGGATGTTAGGTAGGCATTGGAGTTGCATTTACCCGGCTATGGGCTTGGCCCCATTTCTGTTCAAGTCAGTATAGCTTAAAGATATACATGTGTGGAAGGTTGATTAGCATACTTTTGTGGTAGGGTCATAGTTTTCTAAACCTCGAAGTCCGTCTGTACCTAGTTGGAGGTACAAGTTGTAGACAACTAGAGTAACCCGTTAGCAGCAGGTAGTAAATAGAGATGCAGTTATCGTACCGTCATCTGGTGTTACCTCTCCTTGTTGGCTGTATCCAAACAAAGCCGATATATCCTGATCATCAATCAAGTAAGCTCCCACAAGCTCAGCCCTACATTCGTCCACGGTTGTCGAAAGATCGCCAAATACCCCAGTCCACGTCTGGCCAGGTCCATACCAGGTACTGACTGGCTTTCCGGTAATTGGGTTCAGTGGCGGATTATCCGGATCGAAATTGTAACTACCTGGGGTGGACTCGTTCAGGAACTTTCCGGTTCCATGTCCTAGAATTTCATGCAGAACAACCCAGATATAATATGCGTGAAACCGGTGCTTTTTGAAGGTATCTTGTTCTGATTTGTCAACCAGGTGTAGACCCCTTGGCCGACGACTCTCTGCGACCATGCGATTAGAGAAGATGATGCCTTTGTAGCCTGTCTCTTGGCGGATATCGTTGTACTATCACTTTTAGCCTGTCATCGTCGCCACAGCAGTTTGACTAGTGAACAACTCACGTTGGGAAGGTTTATCCCTGGAAAAATGATACTCGAGCAATATGCAAGGCCTTCAATGATCAGCCAACCAGATCTTGAAAGAAAGGAAGGCATCCATACTTTGAACGCTGGAAAAGTCTGGCGCTTCGAATTTCTCCTTCTCGAAGGGCCCTTTATCGTCGCTGTCACTAGTCACCCACGGCAGTCGGCAGACGAACTTGTCCGCCATCCTTGACAACTCCCCCAGTATCTTCGTCTCGTTAGCATCAGGTATGCCCACAATTCCTTCAAACTCAGATCGAACCCCCAGTGGATCGCGGTAAGGCTCGACAAACCCGAGCACTGTCTCAACCGGCGGGGCCTTGTCATTCACCCAAAGCCTTTGGGCATCTTTGTATGTTTCCAGGTTGCCGGTGATAAAACTTTCTAGAAGTTTTTGTACCATGTGATCCTGGGATCTATTAGAAGTGTACTGGAGAGCCTTGGACAAATAAGCAGATATGCGCGTCATCTCCTCCTTGTGATCCCCGTTCACCAGACGAATGATCCTCCCGTCAGAGGTGGGATCGCTGGTCACATGGCAAGTCGACGTCTTTTCAGCCACAGACGCCTGGAGTATATTGAAGACCTCTATATCCGGAGAGATACGCTTTTTCTCCACTCGGGTGTTTTCCGGAAGTATGGCCAGCTCATCTATGGTTTTTGAAATATGCGCCATGTCTTCCTGAAATGAGGGGCCTTCAAATCCTGGGTAATAAGCACTCTGAGTCAAGTCAGACGGTGGTCCCAGGCTGAGTGGGGTTTCCTGAAGGATTGCATCCCGAATATGCCCCCAAAGTGCAGCCGCACGTGGGGAAGCAGAGTCCGCTAGGGCAGCGAGTTTCTCTGCAGAAATAGCAGGCGTAAACTTCTGATCACCAGAGCCCTACACAGAATCCAAAACGTTAACCCGTATCCAAAGGGCTATTAGATGTTCTTACATAGTAGTTCCCCATATTGGACAGGAACGTCGCAGCGTAGTCCAGCAGCAATTGTACATCATGGAACTCGACGCCCGCTACAGTAGCGAGGCGTTCCCAGTCCCCATCGCAGCCGTCGTAGAGCGCAATTACAAAATCGAATATGTCGTTGGCTTCCGGTGATACTTGTCTAAAGACAATGCGCGAGCCAGCCCATGCTGCCCTGGGTTTGGTTCAGTATGTGGTTTCATCCTTGCGATGCGGGGAGCTCGGCTTACTTAGCCATGTAATGGGCGTAAAGCTTTTGCTTGGGATCCAGGGCATCGAATGCGGATGCCACTGAGAGCTGTGATATCTGGGGAGCTTTCATTATGGAAAAGGAACAGCGATTGGCTGGAGGATCTGGTTTCCATGGGATTTGGACGAGGGATCGTCGATGAGTCTTTTATCTTCGCCATTGGATAGAGATGACCCCGCTCATGTGACTTGGTGGCTGCCAGTAAATCTAGGTGGAGACACCGGTTGAGGAGAATTATATGCATTGAAAACAAATGTCTATTGTCTTCCATAAAATAAGATGCTAGAATACATGCAACGAGTCTCAAATGAAATGCTCCCCAAGTCACTTTTGTCCTGTAAAAAATCGTCTCTATACTTGGAAAAGGGAGATCTACGACTAAGCCAACTATAGATTAGGGTGTTCCAAGATAGGATTTGAGAAAAAATCCGTGAGTGTAAGGGGAATTTGAATCTGATTCCGACTCTCACTATATCGCACGTCTTCGACCTACTCGTGTTGGAGGGGCGTGGGCGCTTCCAAATTGTCGTAAGTTTCTGCGGATATTTTGATTGTAGACTCGCTGCACTCAGCTTCTTCGGCCATTTGAGCCGTGCTGGGTGACTGGCTCTCTATCATTTCACGAACATTTGTTACACGCATAAGACGTAGCTTTGGAGGAGGGAATCTCGGTGCCATGCCGCGTCCCCTGACTTGAGACTACTCCGGAGATGCTTAGGACTTCGAAGCATGACGGCAGAGAAGGAGGGGCACATAGGTAGCAAATGTACAGCGATACACGTGCGACATCTGTGCAGCCCACCCTGGCTAGCTGTCGATTTTCTAGGTCCCAAGCATCTCTCAATCTTGAAGATCATAAGAGGGGGACCTGCATAATATGGCTCCGAGATTCCTCCCTTGACACGACACTTTGTTCGTGACATGAGGGCCCTCACTTCAAAGAGTTGTCTAAGAAAAAAGCGCGACAGATTGACTACTGGCGGGCGAATCCTGAGGCATAAACTGCCCTGAGTTTTGAACTCCGATACGTATTTCCCACCATCAACTATCTGAGAAAGATGAATTGAAAATGACGCTCCATCTACGCTGTGCTTCGGCGTTTTTGGGCTGGGGATGTTTTACTCTCACACTATAAGGTGAGGGAGCTTGGGCGTGCTGAAGAACGCAGATGTCTAATTTTTCCCGCGAAGCAATTGGCTTTCGACAGATAGGACCACTTTGAGGACACGACTCATTTAACTCACATGGCTTTCTAACTTCGTTCATCGAATCATGGCCGTGTTGTGCCATCATCTTTCTGCCCTTGCTCATTGAGGCTCGGGATTGGCGGAACCTCGTTGGAAGACGAGGGATCCTGGGCGTGGTTCAACACGCATTCAAAAAATTCACTCCACGATTTAACATGCCTGTGGCAAACGGGACAATTTGAAGGCAAAGACTCTTCTTTTCGGAATTTTTGAAGATCTTTCAGTGATAGTATCATCCCGTGCCATCCTGCAAAATGGCTTTTCGCCTTATCAGGTCTTACAAATCTTCGTCCGCAAGATGGCTCGACGCAATGGTAAATGAACTGATGATAGTGATGATCGTTCATGTGTCTTTTGAACGCCAGGCGATTATGTGATGACCACGACCTCTTGAAGCAAAGTGGGCACGTAAGCACAGACTCATGAGTAGGCTCATTCTGATCGAAAGGCAATTTGTACTCCAGGAAGAGGGGATATGAACTGCTATTTAGCCCAATCGGAGGCAAAGAGTGCTCTGTGTTTTGGAGCACAGGATCCATATAATCCATTACCGGGACCCGTGAACTTGGATCGGTTGATCTCATCTGGAGGAGGCCAGAGATGACCACATGGCCATAGTGGGCTGACCAGAACGAAGGAGTGCGCCCTCCTGCATCTTTCGAGTCTGGTTGAGCACCTTTATCCAGTAGGAGCCTAACCACAGCGATATGCCCATTCTCTGCAGCCCAGGAGACTGGTGTCCGTCCAAGTCCATCCTTGGAATCTATATCAACGGATTGTTCCAGTAAAAGCTGAACAATTTCCACCCAGCCATCGGCAGCCGCCCATGAGAGAGGTGTTTTGCTATACTCGTCTTTGGAGTCAGGATTAGCTCCTCTCTTCACGAGAAGTTGGGCGATCTCGCTGTGACCTCGATATGCTGCCCATGAAAGAGGGGTCTGATCATCGATATCCCTGGAGTCCGGATCCACATGATAATCTAGAAGAAGTTTAACGATGTCTAACCATCCCGTAGAGGCTGCCAAGGATATTGGCGTTCGACCATCCCAAGCATGCCTGTGTGCATCAACGCCATTTTCCAAAAAGAGTTTGACCACTGCGTCATGACCAGCGTATACCGCCCAAATCAAGGGAGTTCTGCCCTTTGAATCCCTCGCGTGAGATTGATCGCAATGTCTAATCATGGACTGCACCACACTTTCAAGCCCAAAGTAAGCAGCAAGATGCAGTCCAGTAAACCCCATGAGCACTCGTTGGGAATAATCGCCATGACTTGAAAATCCATTGACGGCAAAAATCCCTTGCACACATGCATTGACTTTTCCTGTATCACCAAGGAATGCCATGAGCAATTTTTCATTTATTGACTGAGTCCGAGCATGATGTCCCCAGTACTTGGCCGCATAGGAATAAAGAGGGTATTGATTAAGTTGTGTTTCAAACTCTGAATTGGTTGAGCAGACACCTCTCTGGAAGACATCAAATGAGAGATATGTCACACAGATCGTCGCAATGCTGTTATGCGCATCTGAGAACCAGCTGGTCCACCTCCGTTCAAAGTACTCCTTGGCAGTGTAGTGGACCAATCGAACAGTATCCCCCATTGGATCGGCTGTTACTGTGATCAAACCTGCACAAACAGAAATGACGTCGTCGAGATCGGGAAGATTGTCCACATGGAATTGAGATTCATCCAGCTCCACAGCAAGAGCATGCAGTAGCTCTAACGTTGTCAATGGTCTTCTGGCACGAGTTACCCAAGACAAGACTTCTGTAGCCATGTTTCTCCGATCGGGGACCTGGCCTTCGATTCTCTGCATGGTCTTATCATATGCGGAATCATATGTTTTAGAGCCCCGCGCCAGCTCCTCGAGCTCACGCCTAATTGCTCTTTCCGAGCGTTTCCCGCTCAGCGAGTCCAGATGAAGTTGTGCGAGGAGAAACCTAGTGCATTATTAGAATAGGTTGATGAAAGAGCTAGGTGGGCAAACAAAAATTTGAACTCACATTCCACCAATGGCATCAGTGATTTCCTTTGTGATCTTCTGCTGCAGCTGTTGATTTCGTGACACAAAGGAGGGGAGCCTCTTCATATTGGCATTGAGATATGCCGTCACGTCTGGCTTTGCTGCACGAATCTCTCGAGTAAGTTTGTTTTGAAACCTAGCCATTATCTCTGGGATAAATCTCGAGGTCATCAAAAGATTTAGGTTGTTTGTCATCTGAAGATTGAAAAGTTCGTCCAGTATTCGTGATATGGCAAGGGTCCCGCATTCGTCCAACGCATCAACAACAATGAAGACCCGGGAAAAATGATGAACAACCGACCGCAAGGCCTTGGAAGTTTCATTGAAAGATAGCCGTGTTCCTTTGGTCTCGTGCATGTCGTACAATGCCATAAAAATGTCTGGCATTGGAACCAGACCCTGGGCCAGCTGCCGAAGAATGCTTGCCAGTAAGCTTTCTGGCTTCTGAATTTGATCATCATAGTGCTCAAAACTGCAAAAAAGATATGCAATGCCGATGCCTTGGTCATTCTCATATCGAGCCTCAAGCTCATCGATCACAACCGATGCAAGGATCGTTTTGCCAGCTCCCGGAATACCTGGACAAAATAATGTTTCCTGCGGCCTTTCGATCCATGCCAGGAATTCGGGTGACTCTAAAAGCCACTCCCCTGTTCCTGGTTGGCGCCGACCGATAAAGTCACTCTGCTGTACTGCATAGTTCGTGGGTGACAGCCACTCAAGACACTTTTTGACTCGCTCATTGTTTGAGTGTCCCAGTAATTCCAGGACACCGTCGCGGGTGATCCGCCCGTTGATCGCATTGAGAAGGCCGATATTACTGCAAAGACGATTCCGAAGGTCACGAATGTCGTCTGGTTCCCACTTGAGACGTTTCCAGACTCTTTTCAAACTATGAGGGGCGTTTATCGCAGAGTATTGTTCGATCGTCTTCTCGATTCCAGCGAGAACATTGCGGCAGCTGGCTGCTATTTCTTGCAGCTCCGTTTCTTGCTCCCTGCTGAGAGCAGTGTTGGATAAATCGATGTTGACATCATTCACGACGATGGTAAGATTCCTTACTCTGTTGATGAATAAATTAGTAATAGTTATGTCTTAGCCATACAGGGAGACAGTAGCGCCATACTCATCGGAGAGAGCCCTGAATTGAGCAGGCGCACCAACAAATTTTGTTCGAATATTGTTGGCACTATTGATGACAGTGAGAAAATCTCCAATGCTGAAACCGAAACTCATGATCACTTGGCGAGAGTTGAAAAAAACAAAAAAAAAATAATAATACTAGTTGGCGCGGAAAACAGGGAGAAGTGAGGCTGGGGCAGGCTACTTATCAAGCGCCCGGTTTTGAGATGTTGCCTCGACCTGGGTCGAATTGGGCATCATGCACTGCTGCGCCCCAGAAGACGGCAGAGTTTCTGATTCGTTCAGAACGTTTTATTCTCGAAATTCTCCACAAAGTCACCATGATACTGGTCGCGACGATGGTCTTCTATGAAATTTGTGTCACACCGACTTCTACCGTAAACTCCATTTCATCACACCATGTTTACAATGCCAATCCTTGGACCTTAAATATCATTGTTAATCAAGGGGTATCCCTTGGGCCACTGATACTGTATACAGGATCCCACCATAAGGTCTCAACATAAATTTAGTGTAGATATCAAGTCTATAACGGCCTATAAGAAATACCTTTTGGGACTACCGTCCGAGGGATATAGCACAAATGGGTCCTCCTGGTAAACTCTGCCCTCTTCCCACTGAGACAACTGAAGGTGTTTGAGAGTATCTAGCCGTGATTGGCTTGCGGTTTGTATGCCACTCTCAAGCACATAGGAAGGGTACGAACTGCAGGCAGACCGCGAAATTTGATGTCATACTTAAGGCTCCCCTCAGTCAAGTTGACAATCTATACATTGCCCCGAATGGCTAAGCAAACTTTCTAGGAGTAAGATCAGGAGTATCAGTCCTCTTCTCGTCACGTCTCTTAAGAGCTGCCTCGTTGATCTTGTCCAAGTTCTCCAGCGAAAGCTGCAGGAAGTCATGCTTGTTGGCCCAAGTCACCTGGCTCTCCGCAAAACCTTCGCTCTCGTCGGGATTCGGTGGGGGATCCGTGATCTTGGTGATCAAATAAGCAGTGGACGCTTCAGCTACGCCGTACATGAGGACCCCGACATAAGGGGTTTTCAGCACAACGGTGAAAGCGAACGCAAAGCCGAACAGGACGCCTTCTCGGTCCAGGAACCAGCGACGTTTCTGCTCGGGGGCAAAGCGGATTCGGCAAAAGTACGGCTCCAACTACTCTAGATATTAGTCATATCCTCAACTTTGTAGATTGGAGTTCTTGGTAGGGGGAGTGGTACGTACCAGTTCTCGCATCAGACTGCGAGAGGAAAAGTAGGTGTGAAGGAAGGACACAATGAATCTCTTGGGGAGGACAAGCCCGGTTCCAAAGATCACCGCAGCCGGTGTGGTTCCGACAGCCGACTGAAAGGTGTAGAACGAGGCAGCGGGCATCACGAACCGGCCAATGACAGGAACGAGAGAAAGCATGTAGACCCCCAGCATCATGCCGACTTTGCGTCCGTATCTGCGCATGAACAGCATGATTGCTTCCGGAATAGGCTTCGATACTCCCGTGCCGCCTTTGGTGGAGTACTGCACCAGATGTGGATAGTACATAGCACGCAGACTGGAAGGGTCTTCCGCTTTGTGCTTCGCGACATAGGTCGTGTCGACCCATTGAAGAGATTGCATGAAGCTACTCGATCAGCAAGATAAACAAATGGAGAGAGATGAATAGACTGTACATCTCGTCCAGGGTGGGCGTCACGTAACGCATCAGTGTCATGAGCAGAAATGGCACCTGAAGGACCGACTCGTTCAAGAAGTTCAACCCTTCTAGGATCGAGTCATCCCAGGAGGCGCTCTGTAAGTCGACGAATAACGACGTCGTCCAGAGAAGGAATCGTACTCCAATGATCTAATCCAATCGGAGACAGTAGCAAGTCATTAGTGTTTCCGTCCATGACTCGACCCTGTCAAGAAGAATCATAGTTGCGCCATACCGGAATCTGAATGATCAACTGGATGATGATCCCCACTGCCACTGCCAGAGCGGCCTGTCGGAAGTGGCCATACTTGAAGAGCTCGGGGTTTTTTAGGACACGAATAGCTGTAGAATATATGGTCAGCACGACGAACCGGCACGTGAAAACAAGCTATTCAGGTCTCCAATAGCCAACGGTGACGACCCCGAAGGCGCAGAAAAAGGAGTAAAGAAAAGAAAGCCAGTGCTAGACCCTAAACCTGGGCCTGTGTGTGTGCATGCGAGGGCTATAAGACACCTGGATCGCTCGAAGCTTGATTTAGGGTAGGGGGACTGACTTCCTACGATGGTGAGCTGGGCGCCGCGAATCACGGCATTCGGCTCGAAATTCGACATGATCGATGCCCAGGTCGCTTAGATCCTCAAAAGAGTGATATGATTTTGAGAACGGCGTATCTCCCTCGTTCAGGTCGGGGGTTGAGGTTGGAGAGAGCGACAGGCAGATGCATAAACTGCAAATGATGGCTGCGTCATCGCCTTGTTGGCCCCCTTGCAGCCTCAGGCACTAATATTGTATGATGCCTGAGGCCCCACTAGATCTGTCCATTTCAAGGCGCTGTGCATGCAACATCCACGACGTTGACTTCTCTGGGTTTGAATGTCATTTTGAAATACTGTAGTCATTACATATCAAATCTACACTACTATGGGTCATGTTGGAAAAGGGAAATTCCCCAGACGATACCGCTTGCCAATCCATGTGCTCATCAGTTGTCCGGTGTATCAACATATCAAGTAATTAAAAACACATAAGATTCCCTTAACGCCTTAGATGCAAGACAAACAGAAGCAGCCCATCTATCCACGGGTTCTACCGCTACCACCATTCGGCCATATACCGAGTTCCTGCAAACCACAAAAAAAAGGAATAAACAATCACGCTTTGACACCCTTCGCGGCACCGCCCTTGGCCTTGGCCTTCCCCTTCTTCCGGTCCCGCTTCTTCAGTCCCGTCATACCAGCCTTGCACACTTCCGCGTAGCGAGCGTAGAAAGCATCAAGTTCTTCAGGCGCGGCAACAGTTGACAGCTTCACTTTGGAGGATGACTTCTTCTTCTCGACTTTGTGCGCTTTCGGGTTGGGCGCATTCGTGTTACCGTCCGTGGCACGAATGAGAATAGAGGGTTTCGAAGAGGAGTCCGGAGTGGGATGAAGGAGAGGCTTTTGGGTGAGCGTCACGGACCCGCGAGATTTTTGGGAGGTTTTGGTGAGGAGGTCGGACAGGGACGTGAAAAACTGGTCGATTGTAAGCTATGCTGCAAATGACGGAAGAACTAAAACATGTGTACATACCGCGTCGTGGGAGAGAGGGGCAGGCATCTTGAAATCCTAGTATGCCCTGACGGCACAAGTACAGATTGCGGGTTTGTGGGTCGAATGCGCGCAAAGTCCTTGCCTCGCTCCGCTGGATGGTATAGCAGAACAGGAATGACTGATCTATGCGATAAGCAAGAAAGCCTTCGGATCTCGCTGCAGTCAAGATGTACAGTCCAATTAATTGACCGAGAGAGGAATGCGAGTGACGATGAGCGGTGGGGAGAGAAGTGGGAACACCATAGACTCCGCATTTGTGGGCTCACCGCCTTGGGCTTCCGCCTCCGCTCCGCTGCTTTTCTCTCCGGCATAAAAAAAAAGTCGTTATGCGATTCCTCGATCTGCACAGACTTAAAGCAACGAAATAGCCCACCATGCGGCGTCCTATGCATTTAACGACCGGTCTGCCTCGAAATCTTCGAACAGAACTTGGTATCAAAGATACATATGGAGATAAGAAGAAGAACAAACGCTCAGGACCCTTGACGCGGAAAGATCGCCGACAAGCGGAGCGATCGAACAAGAAGACGAAACGAGCGCCCATTCCAGCTTCCAAATATGGCCGCGGGAAGCAGGTTGACGTTGACGAGGAGGATGATGACGATGAGGACGCATTCGACGGCTTTGGGGAGGACTCGGATTTGGCTGAATCGGCTGATGAAGTTGTGACAAGCAAGTCGAAGTCGAAAAAGCAGGCCGACCAGAAGCCCAAGTCTATTCTGAAGGCTAAAAAAGGACAAGACGCGGAGTTGGACCTTGAGAGTGAAGAGGATAGCCAAGAAGAGGACAAGCCTCGCCGGCGGAATATCACGGCAACGATGAAGGACAAGCTAGACCAGGATGACGCGGAAATTGCGGCACTTGAGAAGAAGCTTGGGATGAAAAAAGGCAAGAAATTGCCGAAATCATTTCAGGAAGACGGTCTCGAGGATCTGCTCGGCGAGCTCGACGAGGGGTCTGGCGATGAAAAGCGCAAACGCAAAAGAGAAGCCGACGAGTGGCTGCTGAGCAAAAGAAGAAAGGCTCAAGGAATACAATCCGAAAGCGAAGACGATGATGAGGACATGGATCTTGGAAGCGATGAGGACATGGATGACATGGATGACATGGAGGATGAGGATATGGAGGGCCTGGAGGAAGACTTTAGTGACGAGGATGACCAGGAAGACGATGAGACCAAATCGGCACCGAAGAAGAAGGAAAATCCTTACGTCGCACCGGTTGCCGAGAAGCCGCCGCAGAAATATATCCCTCCGTCACTTCGAGCTGCCGCTAATCCTGAATCCGAGTCCCTCACTCGATTGAGGCGACAGGCCCAAGGACAGCTGAACAAGTTGTCGGAAGCGAACCTTGTCTCCATCCTTGCCGAATTCGAGAAGCTCTATCGTGATCATCCCCGGCAGAATGTAACGTCGACACTGATATCGCTGTTGTTCGGTCTCATTTGCGAACGGTCTGTGCACCAGGACACCTTCATGGTCCTCCACGCTGGGTTTATCGCGGCGATATACAAGGTTGTGGGTATGGACTTTGGCGCAGAGCTTGTACAAAAGGTTGTGGAGACTCTAGACGCGGGTGGAGACGAAAGAGGCAGCTTTGAAGGGAAGGAGTCTACCAACCTGATATCTCTGCTGTCCCAACTCTACAACTTCCACGTCATTGGAAGTGCCCTGATCTTCGACTACATTCGTCTGTATCTCCAGGACATCACAGAGGAGAACACTGAGCTACTCCTCAAGATTATACGAAGTCAGTGCCTTTTTCTCTCCCTAACGATAACGAAATCTCTTCGCTAACAAAAATAGACTCTGGACCTCAACTCCGTCAAGATGATCCGTCTTCCCTGAAAGACATCGTCCTCCTGATCCAACCGGCCGTCGCCAAAGCCGGAGAAGCATCTCTCTCCGTCCGCACGAAATTCATGATCGACACAATCACCGACCTGAAGAACAACAAAATCAAAGCGGGAGTCAACGCAAACGTAGCATCAGAACACCTTACCAAAATGCGCAAGATCCTCGGATCCCTCAACAACACGCGCGTCCTCCGCGCCTCCGAACCCATCAGCATCTCACGAAGCGACATCCACAATTCCACCAAAAAGGGCAAATGGTGGCTAGTAGGCGCCAGCTGGCGCGAGGATCCGCTCGAATCCGCACGCCAGGAACTTTCCGGCCTCCCCATGGACAGCAAAGCAGCAGCAGCAGCAGCAGCAGCAGGGCAAGACGACGACAGCGAAGGCGAGCCCGACCTAGTACAGCTCGCCAAATCCCACCGCATGAACACCGACGTGCGGCGCTCCATCTTCGTCGCCATCATGTCCGCCCAAGACTACCAAGACGCCCACGTGCGACTCCTCAAACTCCGCCTGAAGCGCGTCCAGGAATTTGAGATCCCGCGCGTGCTCACCCACTGCGCCATGGAAGAGGAATCCTACAACCCGTACTACACGCTCATCGCGCGGCGCGTGTGCGGCGAACTCGGCCGCCGCCTCAAAGTCTCCTTCATGTACACGCTATGGAACGCGTTCAAGCGGATGGGCGAGTCAGGCGACATGGGCGATGACGACGACGAAGACGACGCGTTTGGCGCCGAGGACGAGGAAAACCAACTGCCGATGAAGGCGCTCGTTAACCTCGCTAAGATGTACGGGACGCTTGTCGCGGATGGAACTCTTAACCTGGGTATCCTTAAGACGCTCAACTTCGCGTACCTGCAGCCCAAGTCGAAGACGTTCGTCGAGCTGCTCCTGATCACCGTCATTCAGCAGTCGCAGAAGGCGAAGAGCGCACCCAAGAAGAGCAAGAAGGACAAGAAGGGCGAGGATGTCGAGCCCGAGAGGGATGAAAGGGCCCTGATTGACATTTTCCTCCGGACTAGGGAGACGCCGCAGATCGCCAAGGGGTTGATCTTCTTCCTGCGCAAGGTGGTGGCTAAGACGGATATTGTGTCGTCGAGCAAGGAGCAGAAGATGGTGAAATGGGGTTGCGGCGCGGCGGTGGATGCGCTGAAGGTGGTGGCTAAGGAGGAGGAGGGGGTATAATCTCCTTATCTTTGTTATATTCTCCGGCGTATGGTTGAGGATTGGTTCCTGGCGAACTGGACAAAAGCTTTGCATATATAAATCTTTCTTTCTTGTCCAATCCCTTATGTACATGGTTCCATCATGATCGGATGGTCAATATTGCTTGCAGCAAGTAAAAAGTCTCATTGCGGTCTATAGCTTCCTTACGCCGGGTATCATAAATATCATACAAGTCCTAAATGTAAACCACATCTAGTCGCAGAGCTAGGAAATCAAGTCCCACTCCATACCCACAAGCCATTTCCCTGCACTAGCAGAATCAACAGCACCTTCCAGCCCGAGATCACTCAAATCGATCTCCCAGACCAGCCCCCGACACACCCCAATCAAGCTTCCCGGTTGTAGATCGGGAACTCGACTCCGTATGACCTGCTCGGTTGGCGATGCAGTGGGCCGCGCACGAGGGGAACCAAAGAGTACGACATTCTTAGTAGGTTCAGAGTCGGCCTGTCCTTGGGTCTCCTCTGATGACAATGAGAGAATGGGATGTCCCCTTACGAAGGCCAAGGGCCCAGAGCTGGTCAGTGATGTCTGCTGGACACTCATGACCTTCACAGCGAGAGCATAATCGTGCACGTCTGGGGCCGGGCGAGAGGAGACGGTCGTCATATTCGCTTGGTCGCGCTTGGCCCCCATGTCCAGGATCCAACTGCGCACCTCAGCGGCCATACCGCCGGCAGAGTATGTTGGGCCGCCGTCTCGTGGACGGCCGCGACGCCCCAGTATGCGCGAGGAGGGGGAGAACGGGGTCGGGATGGCGGCCGCTGAGTTGTCTACTTGCGACGGTGAAGGGGGACGCGGGAGGACGAAGGCGGGTTTGCGGGGCGGGTTCGGTGTACTGCTTTGTAGATGTGATCTGGAACCGGGCGGTGGAAGCTGACTACTTTGAGGATGAGCATCAGTTGCGGAGAGTACAAAACGTGGTTGGCTGCGGAGAGCTGATGGAGGTTGTGTGTTGGGAGTCGAAACTTTCATCGGGGTGGCAGTTGGACGGGAAGGTCCTGGGGTGTACAGATCCGGCTCAACCGCAGGTGATCCGGCAGGCGATGGAGGGGACGAGGGCACGATTGTATCGATTGGTGGTTTCCTCCGAGACTGTACCGGCGTCTCCGTGTTGTTTATCGGGGTAGAAACGCGACGTCGCTTTGAGCGATCTGTTGTCAGCCCGAACAATGCCTCGAACTCCTCATCGAGGAGACCAGCATCTTGTGGAAGACTGCTGCTGACAGTATCCCTCCTTCCATTGTCGTCTACATCCTCGCTGTCGTCGTCTCGATCATCAATGACATCTTCCCGTCGCGTCGCAGGAGTTCTTCCTCGTTTTGTGGCGACCGGCGTGGACAATAAATCGACATCATCCGCATCAATCGAGTCATTGCTGTCCTGTGTACCTCGATTAGGACCAGAAGTGCGTTGAGAAAGCAGGAAGCGCGGGGTGGACGCGAATTGAGGGCCGGCCGGAGGATAGGCAGAGGGGCGGCGGAAAGGCGTCTGCAGCAGTTAGTGAATATGTTCCCGACCCAGCGGATCAACGCAATTTACGCCTAGTGGGGGCATAAGGGGCAGATGAGAGCCAGGCGACCCAACCCCAGCATGGCTGAGGAACGTGTGGGGAATTGAGAAGTTGATAAATCAGAAAACCGGAGGGAAGCGAAGCCGGACGGAAAGTTGACGCAAGGCGGGCGATCTCGATATGGACGCGATCTGCCGGCAGATCATTTGCGGTCTACATCTTCATCCTCTGCTCTCTTGGAATCTCCTCCTCTACATATACTCGGATATGGATGGATTTTGGTCGAAACATAGGTAGACATGGAGGGATTATCCATCATTCGCACGATGGCACCACATATACAGATTTCCAACGCCTCCCATTCCTATGTACAGCTACGTACTGGAATGATGGCTATCCAACACAACCAAACCACCAACACGCATCTCAGTACAAGCGTAATTAAGATTATATATACTATGAGGCTCCTCCATGGGGCTCCATCATTCAGATAGAACCGTTAACCAAGACTCAAACAGAACCGGCACGTTCAGTCGACTGCGGGACAGGCCCATCAAAATGAACCTTGAAAGCTGTACACGCAAGTCAGTAATGAATCTCCTATCAAACAAAGCAGCCAGGCACATACACATCGGGAAAGCAAAGAAGCTCGTCTCATCCTCCGTCATATAACTGTAGAAGTTATTCGGTCGGGGAATCTTCTTCAACTCGCCCTGCGGGCCAGGCGCGGGGCGCAGATTATTCAGGCGACCGACAACGCGAAGCATAGCCGTCAACGCGACCTTGCTCGCTTCCATCCCCAGGCAGGTATGCGGGCCGACGCCGTAATGGATGTAAGACTCCATGGGGCGATCGAGACGGACGGTTTCGGGGTCTGGGAAAGCGACGGGATCCTTGTTCGCATCCACCTGTGTCGTGTTAGTAAACTCCTATTTGCCGGGAACGGGTGGACTGACAAAGCTGACAAAAACCTTATCACCAGGTTTGATGCTCAAGTGGTGACCGTTGTCTTCCATCGTGACGGGCGCCTGGGCTTCCCGGTACGATCCGAAGATCCCATGCAGTCGGATGGCTTCCATGCAGTAGCGCAGGAGCTTGTCGTCCGAGGCAGGGGTGTCTTCCTTCGCAATGCGGTGGATGGCAGGAAGGTGTTCTTTCCCTTTGTCGGAAAGATAATAGTCCATGATCTGCGTGAACACCTGTGCCTGGTTGGGCACCATGGCGACCGCGGTGGGCAGGATCTGTGACCAGGTGATTTCCGACGCATCCTGTCCTGTTTCGAGCAGTCGGGCGATCATGTGTGTTCCATAATCTTTCAGTGGATGATCACTGGTATGGAAGTTCCCCAAGAACGAGGACAGCAGTCGGGAGCTCTGAGTGCTTTTCACGCTGGTCTCGACTATTTTACCCAGACCCTGGGCCAACTCCCTGGCTTTGTGGCGCAGAGGGAACGACTTGGCCGGATCGACGTCGAAGAAGATGGCTGTGAATATGGCGGCCATGATCATATACATCTCGTGTTCGGTATAGATCCCGTGCGGACTTTGCTCTGTCTTCAGCGGAAGCGAGAAGACGTTCGAGGCGAAGTGCACATGAGCCAGGTTACCGACACTATGTAGATAGTCCGGTTAGAGCGTTCTGCATGTCCACGACAGGGTCACTTACTCGCGAGTGATGTCAACCTGATTGACCTTGCCCAGCGAGCATGACTTCTCGCGAAGAAGCCGCTCAGTCTCGGCTATATAGAAGTCTTTGACATGCTGATGCCACTGACCAATATAGAGGGATTTCCCCATGGACTGGCGCTGGGTAGAATGGAACCGTGAATCTCCCGACAGCATAAAGTAATAGCCCCCTTCGCCAAACACGTACTCAATAGCCTCGCCCCAAGTGACGTGGAAAGTGTCCTGATCGTTCAGAATCTCCCGAACATTCGGGTACGCAAAGACATTGGTCCTGGGGGGGTTGAAGGATGGTCGATCCCAGGAATATTCCTTTTCTCTTCCCAGGCCCTGCATGATCAGTTTGTTCTCTGACGGGATCGTCATGGGATAGTGAGCATAGATCGAGTCGGACTTGAACCAGTTGGGGAATGCGCGGAGGGCCAGTTTGTAAAAGACACATCCTTGGTTGGTCTCCAGGTTGTAGTGCGACTCGGTGAAGCCCCAGTTGGTGAGATTCCTGGCGTTATAGTCCAGCTGGATTTGTTAGCAGGGCTGACCACTATGACATGGAGACAGAACGTACAGTATAAAATCGATCACCTCGAACCAGAGCAACTGCGTCTGATAGGACAGCGCGCGAAACAGTATAGCCGGGAGCGATTCCCACCCCGGGGATCATAGGATCCTTCGCCTCTTCGGCCACGATACCCGGATACAGCTCCACATAATCCGGCTTTTCATACAGGTGTCGAAGCCGGTTCGCAACCTCCGGGTCTGAGTTGATTTCCTCAAAGCTCTTGTAGGGCTTCAGGTCAAAGAACTTGCGGAACTCGTTGAGAGACCCGACATTCCAACGGCGCGCCTGTTCAATACCGAGGATCTCGACAGCGCGCAGTACCTTGGGAACATTGCGTGCGCCAAAAGACCCCGCCACGCTCTCAGTAGCATCGGTCAGGATGCCAACTAGGTCCTCGTCTGGGAATTTACCATCGCTCTGACGCTTCATCTGGGCGAAGGTCCGTTTGGAGGGGTCCGGGTTCAAATTCCTTCCGTACTCACCCAGCGCCGTGAAAAGGTCTTGAACCGAGGCGTCTTCGCCGGGCTTGCCCACCAGCTTCTCATATGTCATATTAGTCCATTCTTCGTCCTGCTGGCTGATTGTGCTGTGCCAGCGATAGGCCAGGTTGAACTCCGCCGAGCATTGGTTGCCCACCCCGGACGGCGTCTTCTCGTGCTCGCCCATTTTCACGCGGGGGTCTAGACACCAGGTGCTGTTGGTGCGGTTCAGGTTGACGATCGTGCGCAGGTAGTCGTAGAGCGTTATGTTGATGTACAGGCCGCATGTGATGAGCCGGCCTGTTTGGAAGAGATCGTTGTCGTACTTGGTCCACGCTTTGTTGGCCTCGTCGGGTGAAAGTTGTTCGTCCTTGGGCTTCGTGAATCGACCGTTTTCGTTGATCAAGGCCAATTGCTCGACCACGTAGTTGTGGTATCGATTCAACATGACCAGGATGACGCCGCAGGCTGCTGGCAGTGCCTGCAGTCTGAACTCGCAGAAACAATCCGGCTTCAACTTGCCATCCTTGAAAGTTCGGATCGTGTCCTGGTCCTTTTGGCTGTCTCCATATAGAATGGAGAGGTCCAGATATGACGATGTATTGTTGATGTTCTCATCCTTACGATCGGTCTGGAAGATATCTATATCACAATTAGGTCTCTTGGTCGGTGTGAGCTGTCATCGTGGACAATACCATGAATTACTAGCGAGGCCCAAGTAAAGAATATACTAGAAACTTTATTCGGATGAGGCTTGAACTGCTCTCGAGCGAACAAGCTGTCAAATATCAAGCCAGGGTCTGGTAGATTCGGTGGTCTGGTGGTCGTAGGACGGACTGTTCGGGCGTATTCTGTCTTGGCCGCCCCCAGAGCCGGCATCGAAGGGTTATTATGGGAGCCGTCCGCAGCCCGGTATGCGTATTTCTCTCCGACATAACTAGATGGTCAGTTTCGGCTGATTGGGACGGAGCCTAGACTGGAATCATACGTCGATGGAGGATGGGGGAGTGTTTCCCAGAGCTCGTTCAGAAACAAGTTGGTCAGTCTGAACCGCATCTTCGAGTCGTCAGGCAGTCGGCTGACCAGCTGGACAGACGATAATTAGCATACATGCGTTGACGATCTCGACGCTCAGTACCTGAATGATATGCTCCATCATCATCGTCTTATCGTCCACAAAAGCGCCCGATAACTTATTCTCAAGCATCGAGACCAATGTGCTGGCATCCTTCATACCCAGGACCCGGAAATCAGCCCACAAGCCACCGCTCGATTCATCTTCGATGTAGCTACCATCGCCGGTCTCTGTCGGAAGGGGGCGAGTAGCAGCGTGGATGAGTTTCTTGAACTCCTGGAATTTGGAAGTCTCTGCCTCTTCGATGCTCTTTTTTCTCTCCGGCAGCACTTTGTTGGGAGGCGCTCTGTGCTCTGGGACGATCCCGTGGGAGGCAGAGGCCACACTGTCTTCGTTGCCGAATTTCATGGCTTACAGCTGTTTCAGTGTCTGCTCTGCTTGTGTTGTGGAATTGAAGCGAGAACGATCGAAGATGAGACTATGTTCTAATTGTACATGGACTCACGATGGACGGTCCATGCTGGCTTGCTTCGCATTGAGTAACCCCCCGTGACCTTGTCCTTCGTCGTTGACATCATGGGTGTCTTCCACAAGCACATGGTTCTTATTACGAGGAACAAAAACAGTGTGGTAACTCATCGTGTCAGCCGTTACGGTAAATGTAGACACCTCCTAATGCGGCGGCTAGCGATGTGGTCCACGGTTAGGGCATCATGTCAACTCCATCTATACCGGCCGGAAGCCCACGGCAACTCTCCACCCAGACGGGAGGACTCTTTGGTACAGCAGCACATAGAGCGATCGCTTTTGCGTCGAGTAGATTTGTGTGGACTCTACCACTGTGTGGCATTCTGCCGTCTGTGATTTGAGTTTGTCTAGACTCTTGTTGCTAGTTGCATCCGTTCGACGTGGTGAAGTCATAAGAGTCCCCTGTTAAGCTTTACAGCATGCCAACTATTTTTCCATCCTCGCGCCTTTCAATTGACTGTCTGTAGATGACAGGTTCATCAAGGTGCTGAGGAGTCCTGTCATTCCGGTCCCTACGGGCAAACCTTATCAAAAATCCACCAGTAAAGCCAGTGAAATAATTCCTTCTCGAACAACAACACGTCCAACATGGCGCAATCCGCAAGCCTCGGCCCAAAACAGGTCGTCCTGTGCTTCGACGGCACGGGAAATAAGTTCCAAGGAGACGAATCAGACAGCAACGTGCTTAAGATCTTTCGCGTGAGTGAGCAGCCCATGCCATACAGCCACATCCTGTAGCAGTCAGTACTCACATCGCGAGCAGATGCTCGACCGTAGTGACCCGCACCAATGCCACTATTATCAGCCCGGGATCGGGACATATGTCACCACGCAGTCCCTCTCGAAGCCAGGTCACATGCAGAGGGTCAAGTCGGCCTATCTCAAAGCCAAAGCCTCGGCGGTGGGGACCACTTTTGCAGACCACGTCATGGGCGGCTATAAGTTCCTCATGCGCTACCACAACCCCGGAGACGACCTGTACATCTTTGGATTCAGTCGCGGTGCCTACGTGGCTCGGTTTCTGGCGGAGATGCTGGACTACATGGGCCTCCTGGAGCTGGGCAATGAAGAGCTGCTGCGCTTTGTTTGGAAAACCTTTGCACAGTGGCAGGAGCGGACCGGGGATCAAAAGGAAAAGAATGAACAATTTCGCTATATGGCCGCGTTCCGGGAAACGTTTAGTCGGCCGGTGACGCAGATTCGGTTCCTCGGCCTTTTCGACACCGTGAACAGCGTGCCCCGATTCGAGAACCCGTGGATGCAGCGTAGTAAGACCCCCTACGCGTCACGGACCTCGGCCAAGGTTATTCGACATGCCGTGGGAATCGACGAGCGTCGGGCCAAGTTCCGCCAGGATTTGATCTCCGAGGTTAAACCCCAGATGCAGTCTCGACAGTCTCGAATCCGGGCGCATATGAAACGACAAGCGCGGCAACTCCACTCTCAATTTACGCCCCAATATGCACAAGACGACGGGGACATTGAAGAAGTTAACTATTCGCTTTACCGGCCGTCTCGACGCGGCGCTCGGCCCAGAGGGGCGCATTCAGCGCAGGCCGAGGATGAGGAGTCGACGGCGTCTGTCGCGTCCATCAACTGGGACGAAGATGAAGAGGATGATGAACAAGATCTGGAGGAGGTCTGGTTCCCCGGGGCACATGCGGATATCGGCGGGGGCTGGAAGCAAAATGAAGGAGAGGGGTGGGCTCTCAGTCATGCGCCATTGGTGTGGATGGTGCAAGAAGCTCAACGGGCTGGTCTGAGATTCAAAAGTTCCAAACTGAAAAAGTTCCAATGCTGGAACGGTCCCATCGTGGCGGAGTCTCTGGACACAGAAATGAAAACCAGGGCCAATGAGCGCGCAGCTGATGTGGGAGGCGTCGCTGAGAATCCCACACAAGACCATTCACGGGACGACAAGTTCAACGAGGCCTTGCGCCGCTCGAGCAGCGCTAAGCTGCACGACTGCCTTAAACTCGGCGATGGTCTTCCGGTGACCTCGGTGCTGTCATGGAAAATGATGGAATACCTCCCATTTCGGCGCATGGACCTACAAGGCGATGGGACTTGGAAACCAATCCGCTGGCCGCTCCCCCGTGGAGAAGTGCGCGATATGCCCCAAGACGCCCAGGTCCATGTCTCTGTCATTCGCCGGATGCAAGACAATCCCGAGTACCGACCGGGGAATCTGATTGTCGGGCGTGGTGGACGGGGGGTGCGAAAGGCGCCGAAAGATTATGGCATGGGGAGATGGGATGTGTCCAGGTATGCCGGATGTCCAGTCCGCGAAACGTACATGCGCCAAGATGTCGTAGCAGCAAGTTAGGACAGCCACGCGGATTAAATCAGGCCAATGGACGCAATTCTGTCTTTAACAAGCCCGCGGATAGGCTACATCAGGTCTAGTTTTTTATAAGAGGCGCTGGTTTCGTTTCGCGCCGTTTGCCTTGATGTAAGAATGTCAGTTGGCCCGCCAATTGTCCACCCAGATGGTCACTTCCCGAGACCTGCTATATACACTGGGAAGGATTGCCAATCTTGGCTCGCCCCTCCTTTGACCGCTGGACTGGCATGTGCTTCGGATACTAGCGGCCAGAGACTTCCTTCGAACGCCATCAGGAGCGAGATTTCACCCCTCATCTTGGCATGTCTTGAGACGCTAATAAACGGCGCCATGGACTCGGGATTACAAACCTGCGAAGCAACCTGCGAAAAGCCCGAATGCATCCTGTAGTTTGTCTCCCCGGGGATCCATCGATGGCGCATCTAGCGACTGGGCGCCCGGGGAAATTCTCAAACATCCCGGTGCGACAGAAGACAAGCCTTGTCTGATGGACAGGGCGGGGCTGCCCTGACACTAGAAGCCCAGGGGCAAGACAAGGTCTGGTATGCTTCACTGTCTTGCAAAGTTGCAACGGTCCGCGCCATTCATGAACTAACTAGTTAGCCGAAAGCACAGTACGTTCTTTCGGTGTGGTGTCCAGAGGGGATGGGCCAGACCTGTGGGGATTGTGGATTCGCCAAGTTCTCTTTTCTGATAGACACAGGGTTAGGAGCTCGCCGATCAACGGCCTGACCAACCGAAACCATCCACCACATGGGGCAGGGGTTGATCCTGGCAAGTAGCCATGATTTGCCATCGCCAGGCCCGGTACCAGAGACCGGGAGACCACAGCTCCACCCGCCAACGGTCATGGATCAGAGGGGCCCCGCAGGTTATGTCTCAGGGCCATAGGACGCAGTAATTGGGACCTTTGCGGCCCTAACCATGCAACCAGAGAGCCAGGGCTCGTCAGTCGGGTCATCGTGCATGCGCTATACCCAGCCCTGACATCTGTACTCCCCTCTTTTGGGTATGCCGGGTTCACTTCCGGGCCATGGCACCGGGATCGACAACGGTTAACTTGATTTGTTATCTCTGCTACTCTTCATGGAGTATTGTGAATTCGAAGTCTCTTTCTACATAAAGTAGGGTTTCGTTGGTAGTGTCGCTCTAGTACTTCTGGCCTAGGCTAGTCAGTGAATCCGCCATTCCGTGACAGCATGTTCTGCGGATCTTGGATCAGCGAATTGTCGGGGTTGGTTTGGGAAAGGCGTCGATCAGTAGCAGGAGGGGTAAAAATAAGACGAACATCGTTTGTGTGAGAGCTAGATGAAGCAGGTGAGAGTCACGGGCCTGGTCATTTATAGCTCTTCCTCTTCCCCAGTTCAACTTGACTTCATTCACTCCTCACTACCTCTCTCAAGAACCTGGAACACGCAGGACCTTGTTGTCTTGACCTGTCCATCATGAGCCTCCACAAAGAGCTCCACCTGACGGAACGTCTCCTCCGAGCCAACATCCGCGAGGGCCTGATCCTCCCCATGGTGGGGCTGCTGGCCCGCCTGTTCCCCGTCCCCGGCCTGGTTCTGAGCTTGACGCTGTCCCAAGTTGTGCTCCTCCTGGTGAAGACAACCGCCTGCTTCGTGTGCCACCTATACGTATTCGAACTCATCAACCAAGTCACTTCGGTGGCCGAAGACGCCGCCAACAAGCCATATCGACCCATCCCGTCGGGTCTGCTCAGCGTGCGTGGTGCCCACCGCCGCTGGGCTATCAGCTGGGTTCTGTGCCCGCTGGCCGCAGCATATATCTTTGGCAATGGCGCCGAATCCGGCTGGCTCTTCGTGGAATACGAAGCGTGGACTTACTTCTGTTACGTGTGGCCACGCCCCAACAACTGGTTCTTCCGCAACGCCTTCGCCACAGTGGGCACGTACAACATGTTCCGACTGCTGGACACGGTCATCCAGAGCACCGTCCCGACATTCCCTGTGCTCCCGACCCGGGTGATCCTGGCGCTAGCTGCGTGGGTGATGGCGACGGTACAGATGCAGGAATTCCAAGACGTGGAGGGGGATCGTGCGACTAACAAGCGCACGCTCGCGGTGATCGTTGGGCCTCGTGGTGAGCGCATCTTGCGCGCTGTGACTGCACTGCTGGTGCTCGGCGCCGGGGCGGTTCTGCTATGCGTCACCTACACGTGTCTAGGGCGCGATGTGAGTCCGGGGATGGATCGAGCGTGGCTGCTCTCGGGGATGGGATTGACCAGTGCGCTGTATACGCTCTTTGCTGGGGTGGTGGGGGTTCGGCTGCATCTGGATGGGGGGATCGCGTTTGATCGCAAGACGTACAAGCGATTCTATATGCTGGCGGCATATATGATGGTGGGATATTTGTCATTCTGGAATACGTGGGCGCGCCGGGTTGAGTGGTAAAAGTCAAACATTAATGAGTCTCCTTAGGTAGTCAATAATGACACTCTGATGACGATGGATTGAGATAATTGGGTCACATGTCTACACAGACTTTTCTCTCCTCTTTTCTCTCCTCTCGTCTCTTTCATTGCGTTACCACTACCTTCATCCTTATCACAAACTATCCATCAAGATGTCTCAAGACCAAAGACCTTGCAAGAAGATACGCCTTGGTGAGGAGCCCTGTTCTTCCCAAGCAGGCCACGAATCCAGTCCATCAACCATAGGACCATCCACTCCTATCACCCCCATGGCTTCAGAGGATGCTTCCGAACACAAAACAAGGTACGCTCCAATAGAAGAGCGTCTCAGTCGCGTTCAAGAGGTCGTCCAAACCCTCCTCCTCTTAGAGAAACATCCCAAAATAGAGGTTGAAGTACAGGGAAATCACTTCAAAGGACACACCATGGATCTCCGCGTCAAGAACGACGAATGGCTCCGTAATAATATCAAGATACTCTGTGATAGTATCAAAATTCTCCTTGCCGAGAGCGAATGGCTCCGTGATGATATCAATATGCTCCGTGATGAGATCGAATGGCTCCGTGATGATTCCAAGATGCTCGATGCCAAGTTCAAGAGCATCGAAGATACTCTGCAGCCGCTCGTCAACGCTCACAATGCCCACCGCATGGACGTCCTCAGCAGCTGGTGCAAGCTCGACCAACGTTAAAGTTGAGTGGTGAAGTCAGAATCAACGAGTGTAGATAAAGACACTCCTGCAATGAAGATGATTTAATTGGGGACTCCTTCTCTTCTTTTCCCTTTCTACCCCCACTTCGTTGCTCTTTCCTCTCGTTACCTTCTTTCCTTTCTCGTCTCTACACTCTTCTCTACTCTCTTTCTTCTCCCACTCCATGTTTCATCTCTTCTCTTCTCCCATTCATTGTTTTATCTCTTCTGTCTCTCATTAATTGCTTTATATATCTTCCATCAATTGCTTTATATATCTTCCATCTTTGCTATCACCAATCAACTATCAATATGTCTCAAGACGAGAGACAGTCCGAGCAAGCTCGCATTGGCGAAGTGTCTGGTGTTTCACAAGACGAGAGGCCTCTCAAGAGGGCTTGCATTGACGAGGGGCCTGGTGCTTCACAAGACGAAAGACCTTCTAAGAGGGCTCACACTGACGATGTGCCTCATGCTTCACAAGAAGCTCACCTACCCATTCCAGCAACTGCGGGACCATCCACTCTCATCTCTCCCACGACCTCAGGAGAGGGCTCCGGCCGCCTCCTGCTCTCTTCCGCGCCCTGGGATGACACGAAACCAGCGGACGATCCCAAACACGGAGCAAGCGAATTTGCCAGTAAAAAACCCCTGAAGGGTCTCAGTGACATCGAAGAGACCGTCCAATTCCTCAGCCAGTCAGTCCACAGTCTCACCACAGATTGCCACGATCTCAAAAGACGGATGGACGACGCCGGGAGGGTGCACCGCGCACTCTATGACAGGGACGACAGCTTCGAAGAGACCCTGCAACCACTCATCGCCTCCTACGAAGCCCACCGTAGGGACGTTCTTACCGCCTGGGGCGACTGCCACAATCCTTCCATGGTCGCCCCGACCCCCATCCCTCACCAGCACTCCAACCGCCACCCTGTATCCGGTGGCGACATCCTGCGCGACGTGAATGTCATCACGTCCGCGGAGAGAGAGCACCCTGCGCAGGTGGCGAAGTGGAAGCGCTCCTTCTCGACGCAGTACGGGGTGTCTTTTGAGCTGTGCGCAGAGCGTGGGAAACTGAAGCTTGTCGACACACGCATAATCGAGGTGCTGAATATTCTGGCCAGCGTACGAACATTACAGTCGTGGGCCGGGGAGGATAGGAAGTACGACCGGGACAGAATAGAGAGACTTTGTGAACGGATCGTGCAGGGGTGGGTGGATGAGGGGGATGAGATCTTTGTCCCGGGGAGTATGTTTCTGAGCCATTACGGGAGAGTGTGGGATCTGTATCATTAATCCAGGTCTTTCTTACTAAGGATCGGTAGCGAAGATATTATTATAATAATGTAATGAAGTTCATTTAACGTACAGAGAGAGAGAGAGAGAGAGAGATTCATTAGCCTGGTGTAGCCCTAGCGTGTGTAGAGCTATGCAGGAGGCACCCTTTTGTAAGTAGAAAGAGAGAGAGAGAGAGAGAGATTCGCATGATACTTGGATATATCACCAATTCCGGGATACTCCCAAGTCACTGGCAGCCAAAGGGCTTAAGTAGGGCTAGTCAGCTCGCATCAGTAGTGTGATCATGAGATTATAATTATCTTGAGTACGTGATATAAGAGTAAGAGAGTAACAATACTAGCAGATTATCTATTTCTTCTTATATAGAACTAATGATTGTGTTATTATATTTATCTTAGCCTTTAGATATAGCCTAGATTTGACGGTAGAGAGGAATATATAGCCTGCCGGACATGTCTGAAGTCTTGATATTTTATATAGAAATATGAAGAATGTTTATAAGTTTAACAGAATTATGCATCTATAAACTTGATTTGTTTAAAGAAAGAGTATATATCAGGGTATAATAACCAGAGTGTCCGTGACTTAGATCTATAAGAATATTTATTAAGTCTGATATCTATAGTTGCTTAGTGTTCTTAGCCATTTTAGACAAGCCTATAGCTATATATATTCTAGATTAAGTACGGGGGATAACAAATTTCTTTGCAGTTCTAAACCCAATCAGTAAGTAGTAATCTTTTATGTATGAATTGTGGAAGAACCATTTTGAGGCTGAGCGAAGTGAAGATTTCCAGCCGTGCAGAGTACAGTATAGTTATAGTACAGTAAATGCCTCAGGCATGTATGACATCATCGTGCCATCTCCCCGCACTCCAACCTCCAACCGTGGAGATCTGGCAACACCCACGCAGACACAGATATAAACAAGAGCCACCATGCCTATCACCGAGATTACCAGGTATATACATACATCGCTCAGAATAGCAAATTGCAATACTAAATCATTTCCCATCGCAGCCTCCAAGAACTCCTCCAAACCCTCAACGCATCCACCCCCAGCAAAGTCGTCGTCCAGGCCTCCGCGGCATGGTGTGAACCGTGCGACGCCATTGCGCCACATGTGGACCGCTTAAGCAGCGAGTATCAGAATAGAAAGGAGGGAGAGGCAGAGGGAGAGCGAGAGAAGAAGGAGGGCGAGAAGGAGGGGGAGGGGAAAGGCGAAGTGCGGTTCGTCCGGTTCGACATTGACAAGGCGGCGGATTTGGCGCAGGAGTTGGGCGTGCGTGCTGTCCCTGCATTTTTCTTCTTTTCGGATGGGGAGCTCGTGGATGAGTACAAGGGGGGGAGGGTGAATCTGTTGGAGGAGATGATTGGGAGGAATATTGGGTGATTTTTCAGGGGTAGGAACGGGATTTGGGGATTTTTTAGGGGTCATTTTTATTGACATTTCATTATCATTATCATTATCATTATTGCTTTTGTTGTTGTTGTTATAGTTGGTCATGGTGTATGCTATGCCATGCTCGATGATATCCCAGCTGTTCTTCGCCATTCAATCCGTCCACAGGGTTCAGACAGATTACTTGCGGCAACACGACCCAAAACACATATCTCCCGCTATGCTCACACCGTCAGCATCTCAACACTTGATTAAATATACTGAAAGACATGGAGAGTAACATACCATTGAACTCCTGCGGATACAGCCTCTTCTCCCTCTGCTCCTTCTTCTGCCGCGTCTTCTGTCTGAGGTATCCGGTCAGAGACTTTAGTGAATTCATACTGTAGGTAGAAGAAGCATACTCGACGAGGGTCATCTCGGAGATGGATTCCGGCCGTGAGGATGAGCTGGTTCGGGAGGTTGACTCCGGGGTGGATTTCTTTTTGTGGAGGGTGTGGAAGAGGGACATGTTTCTTGTTGGTATCTTAGAGATATTCCAGTAGGAATGATTGTAATGGTTATGATTATGAGTTTAGAACGAGTTTAGATATTCATTGATTTGATCTATTCAACTAGAAACAAGAGCTATCTTGCTATACTTATATCTTTGTTCCTCTCTATACATATGCTCAGTGGCGTGGCCACGGCCGGTGGCCGATGACCGACCTCTCCGCCGACGGCCGACCTACACGGCCGCCGAGCCCGGCGGAGAGCTCACAACCTGCAGGACATGCTGCGGCAGCACAAAAGTCTGCTCGAGACCCACCCAGTGGATCGCATCCAGGCGAGTAAGTCCCAGTCGAACCATCGGAAAGCTCACGCTTTGACACCGCAGGACGCGCAGCCATGAATCCACCAGCTGCTTGCCTTTCAAAGCCCGCTCAGCATTGGGGGCCTGCACGAGCAGCAGCAGCGCAAAGTTGGACACCGTCGCGAAGCCGATCCGGGACCCTATTCGTTTAGTTAGCTTACGTTCAGGGTAAGGGTTATACTACGCCAGGAGTAAGAAATAAGAAAAACGTACAGGAATACCAAAACCCCGTAAAGTCGCTCGGGGTCAGACGTCGCGTGAAGTTGATCACGATCGAGGCGCACCGCTCCGCGGCGTTCAGCGTCGTCTCGCCCGTGTCGTGGTCTGTCAGCTCCACCACTGCCGGGAAGGACTCCAAATCGGGCATTACAATGCTGTCCAGGACGGAGGTGTCGTCCAGGTCTAGGGCGGTTGGTTCCGTGGGCATCTCGTCTAGGTCGAAGATCAGCGGCGGACTGGACGAGCGTGCCATCGGCCGCAGCAGCGCCCGGTACACGTAGAGCACCAGGATCAGGTAGGCGAAATGGATTGACGTTGGGTAGGGCGCTAGTCCGCTGACAGACTTGTTCCAGTTGGGCAGTCGGAAGCTCTCCGGTAGCGACGAGTACCACTCGTTAAGCTTTTCCAGGAGCGGCCGCCCCGTCTCGTGCGAGGCGCCGAACCGTTCTGACAGGAATTGCGACGCGCGCAGCGTGCTGATCGGTCAGTACAAAACAAGAAGAATAAACAAACGGCGGAGAAAACGTACTAGAACGATTCGTAGATCTGCTCCGCAATCCGAGACAAATCCACCAGGTAGCGGAACGGCACAGGGTCTGGCGAGGGCTGCACGGCCGATGAGGACGATGACGCCCCGCGCGCGCGGTACAGGAAGTCCGCGCCATCCAGCTCGCTGACGTCCCACTCGCCGCGATGGATGTAGGATGGCCGTCCCAGGAGCAAACTGCGCCATTTGTCCTCGGCGTAGACGGCCCACCACAGCCGACGTCGCAGACGCTTCTCCCACGTCGGAATGCCCCACATGCGGCATTCGATGTGGAGACCCAACGACTCGGCCAACCCGACAAGACTGCCGACCCAGGACCAGATGAACGGCGAGTCGGCCGTGCTGGCCCGCGCCTCGTCCAGCGGCTTGTGCAGGTACAGGAGCCCCGCCTGCAGCACCGACAGGTGCGGCGTGTGGATCTCCTCGGCGACCAGCTCGTATGTCATGCGCCAAAGCCGGTCGACTGGCGGGACGTTGTACGTGTGCAGCACGCAGAGGTAGTCATCGTGGCCGGCGAACGGCAGAGCTGCCGCGTAGACGGCTGCTAATAAATGCACGGGGGTGTTCTCCAGTGCCCATTGCTCCGGGATCGAGCACGTCGGGGTCAATCCGAGCTGCGAGCGGGAGATGAGCGGCAACGCTGGGAACACGTACTTGACAAATCTACTCCATTAATTTGTATACCCCTAGACACCGTCTGGGAATACTTACAGAGAAACCAAGCGTTGACCACAGTCCAAGGGCACGAGACGATTGAGCTCCTCACGCGTGGCGCCACCGGCCGTGCGACAGGAGGTCTCGCGCTTGGCCGTGGCCGCCAGATCATCGGCGGCGATCATAAAGTGCACAGGGATCTTGTCGTAGGTGGGCACGCCACCGGCATTGCGGAAGTGCACCTTGTAAAACCCCTTGACACCGCTGTCGTCGAACGAGCAATGGCGCAGAAGCCAGGGGTCGGACTCGGCGGAGGCGCCGAACAGCTGGGCCGAGAAGCCCTCGAGCTGATCCAGGCTCTGAACAAACTGGGTGACCGAGGGACCCGCCACCATATGACCCGACAGCGCAGGCGAACCACCACTAGCGACCGGGAGGTCTTCAAGGTGAGCGAATGCCGGCCGGGGGGGATTGACACCCCCGGGCCCGGGGGACGGGGCCCGCGACGTAGCCGCAGTAGGCAGGGGTTCAGCGCCGGGGGTGTCTTCCCATGCCGACGACGGTCGTTGGCGGGACACGGGTGAGTCCACAGAACTAGTTCGAACATTTGTCTGCCCTAATGAAGACCCCCGACGCAATCTTTTGGGCGGCGGAAGGTCGAAACTGCAGGGAAGATCGGCGGAGCGACATCGCAGACACGGCAGACCGTCTTCGGTCTGGCACCCAAGCTTTCTCTCACGGCATTGATCACAGGGGCGATGACGCTTGGAGCGATAAGGACGGGGTGACATGATCGGGGGCGAGGGCCCTCATCGCATGACAGATTCTCGGTATGGAAAAAGAGGGGCAGAGGAAGAGAAGTGTCTCAAGATGAAGCTGAAGAGGAGAAGATGACGCCGTTGGCCGACGCCCGACGGCCGGATGACTCAGCCGTCGGCGAACTGGCCGATTATGTACATTTAGTTATGGATCTTCGAGATACAGTATGCCTTGCCACTAAAGACTCTATCTTTTCACGTTATAAATCTAATACAAATTGAGATGTTTCGATTCTACATATTCTGATAAAGGCCCTGTAAAAGTGGCAACAGAAAAAGCAACGGTGAGAAATCACCAAAAATGCCGAATATTCATAACTCGTGCGAATATATACCTCATGCCCGCTTGGTATCTCGAGCAGATCTTCATCTCATCAGTATTGAAGGACCACACACAGACAATAAGAGAACCAAGCAGAAATTGTAGCAGAAAAATGAAGCATCTACGCAAAATACTCATCAAACTTCTCCTGCGTCACCCGCACACAATCAAACCCATAAATCCCCCTCTGCACATCCGCATCAGCCCACTTATCCGGCACGGGTCCCTTCCCCTGTCGCAGGGCCGCAAACTGCTGATCGCGCTGCTTCTTAGCAGCCCCGTCACCGAGGTGCAAAGCGCGGCCAGACTCCGCAGCCAAGGCGACCAGCGCATAGGCACGGTCTTTGCGCACCTTCTCATACACCTGGAGGGCGCGGTTCACGGAGGCCGGGGTGCAGTCTGGGATGCGCGACAGGGCTTCAGCCAGGACGGCGCCATCCTCGATGGCCTGGGCGGCGCCCTGGTTCATGTGCGGCAGGGTGGGGTGGCAGGCGTCGCCGAGGAGCGCGACGCAGCCGTGCACCCAGGTCGGGAGGGGGTCGTGGACGCGGAGCTTCCACTCGCAGACTTCGCCCTCGGGGACGTAGTTGAGCATGCGCTGCACGAGCGGGCAGAAGTCGCCGAAGACGGAGAGCATGGTAGATTTGGACCCGCGCGTGGTGTAGGTTGCGTTGGTGGCGGCTGCGAAGTGCGTGTCGGGCTGCGCGGTCGATATGTTGTAGATCGTGTTGTTGGAGACTGGGTATGCGATGATGTGCCGCTTTTCGCCGATCCACCGCGTGACCCGGTTGCTGTTGATGAGCTCGAGGAGCTCCGGGTCGTGCTGTGCTTGGTCGCGGTGGATGAGGATCCGGTATGCTGCCTGGTGCGTGTCTTGGATGCCGACCTCGATGCCTAGCTCCTGCAGCATCGCCACCCGCGTGTTACTCTTGATGCCGTCCGCTCCTAGTAAGATGTCGACCTCGACCTGATAGGGTTGCTGGGTTGCGTCGCGCGGCACGGCCGTGAAAGTCGGGCGCGGGCCAAACGACTCGATCTGCTCGGCGGTCGTCGCGAAGTGGAAGTGTATCTGGTCCGGGTGGCACAGACAGCCCTGGTACAAGCCGTTTGCCAACGATGCGCGATGACCCACCATATGCTTGTATCCGTAGGTTTCTTCAATGTAGTGCAACGGCACGTAGGCCAGCTCGGCGTTGGAGGCGCCGACTGTTCTCCGTCAGTACCTCTCCCCCGTCGGTCGAACAGGACTTGTACTATACCCCGTACGCTGGTGTCCTCAATATTGACGGCCTCTTTCTCAATGGCTTTCCACACTCCTAAGCCGTCCAGCACGCGCGCCATGTTGGGAGCCAGTTGGATGCCTGCGCCAACAAACCCCAGGTCGGAGGCATGCTCATAGACGTGGATATCTTTGAAGCCCTTTTGCGCCAGTGCCAAGGCGGTGGTCAGACCACCCATTCCTAAACTGTGGTCAGATCGCGCATGACCAGAGTGATACTAATAGTGCGTGGTATAGTGGGACGTACCGGCGCCAAGAATGGCGACCTTGAGGTCTTGAGGGGACTGCGCCATGATCGATCTAGTCAACCTTATATATACTGAATCAGAGAGGATAAGTGAGTGTGAAACTAATTATACAATTGCAAAAGCTGATCGAATATGTAGAAAGAAGACTCGAACTTCTATAAGTCGCAGTAGAGACAAGCGGCAAAAGACATAGCCGTTCCCACCTTCCCCACTCCCCACACTCCGTCTCTCCCCACATCGGCTTATCTGCCGTGGGATCGCTCGAATACTGATAGTGAATCTACATCAGGCCATTGTGCACAATGAGGGATGCACGGAGAAGAAATGTCATACCGAGGTGGCAATTATGATATTATCACATTAAATAATGTAGGATGGCAGCACTATGATACAGGAATCCCACTCGAATGCCTTGCGCATGTTATCTCCACCATCGCCTAGTCCCGTCCTCAACGCCTCATTTAAATGAATCTATAGGTCTCCATTGGTCGCATGGAACAGCGACGATGTCTTTTATACTGAGAATTGAAAACCAGGAAATCGGACGGATCCGTTTAGATGGACTCGCCAAGGGCGTTGATCACCTCGCCGACGGGAACACCCAGCGCGGGCAGACCCAGACCGGAGACGAGGTCCGCCACGGCAGGCGCCAGGCGGACGAGGAGCAGCTCACCGTCCTCGCCGACGACGGTGAGAAGGCAGCCGACGACGGGGCCGAGGTCATGGACGAGCTCGCCGACGGTGGCAGCGGAACGGATGACCTCTCCGACGGGCTCAGCCAGGGTGGTCAGACCAAGACCGGCGACCAGCTCAGCAACGGGACCGCTGAGGCGGACAAGCAGAATTTGCAGATCGTCGCCCACAATGCGCAGGATGCAGTCGACGACGGGGGCAATATCCTCCAGGAGGCCGTCCTGGCGCTTCAGGCTCTTGCCGACAGCGCCGATGAGGTTACCGACGGGGTTGGCAATCGAGGGTAGGCCCAGACCCTTGAGGAGGCCCGCAAGGCCAGGGTCCAGGCGGATGAGGAGGTATCCAGTATCTTGGCCGACAACGGTGAGGAGGCATTCGATCGGGTCGCCCAGGTCGGCGATGAGCTCGCCAACAGTCGCCGCTTCCTTGATAACCTCGCCGACAGGCTTGCCCAGGCCGATGAGACCGAGGCCTTCAAGCAGATGGGTCACAGCGGGGCTGAGGCTGACGAGGAGCTTCTGGGAGTCGAGACCAATAACGGTAAGGAGTTTTTTGCCTTGAGGGCCGAGGTCCTGGATGAGATGACCAGTGCCGTGGCAGCCTTCCTCATCGCAGGGTTCGGGCTTGTTGCCGCAGGTAGGACAGCCGCCTTCATGATCGTCATCACCCTCATCGTCGTCGTTGTCGCCTTCGTCATCACCCTCATCATCGTCGTTGTCGCCCTCATCCTCGCCTCCCTGGTGAGGCGGCTGCTCCGGAGTGGTGGGAGTGTCAACAGGAGAGCTGGGCACGGCAGGGGGGTTAGGAACTCCGGTTGTAGCAGGAACCTCAGGGGTAGTAGGGGCACCAGGGCCGCCAGAACCATTAGGGGCGGGCACTGAAGGCTCCTCAGGGACAGTAGGAGCACCAGGGCCGCCAGGGGCAGGAACCGAAGGTTCCTCGGGGACAGGAGCACCAGGGCCACCAGGGGCGGGAACCGAAGGCTCCTCAGGGACAGGAGCACCAGGGCCACTGGGCCCACCAGGCACACCAGGAACGTCGACGGGAGGAGGGCCGGAGGGTTTCTCGGGCTCAGGAGTGCCCGTGCTGGGAACGGATGGAACTCCAGGCTCATCGTCGCAAGACGGGCAGGCGCAAGGGCAGCCCGAACGAGCAGCAACCTCATCGCGTGCCTGAGCGAGAGACCCCATGGGGCTCGCGACAACGCACGCTGCCATTGCGATGGCGGTCAGGATGGACGCCTTCATGTTGGTGGGAAACGGTGTAAAAGTCTCGAGGGAACGTGGGGAGCAGGGTATCTGCTCGCAGAGGGACAAGGAAAGAAAGAGAAGCTTGAGATAATGAACGACTAGGAGAAAGAGCCTGACGAAAAGTGCTGGTTTGGGGCGTATTTATATTCCTTTGAGGACGGCGGTTCTCCCATCCTCTCTCTGTCTCCTTTTCCAATTTTCCTCCACCCGATTGAGCCAGCTTCATTTGCCAAGGTGTGACTATACTGAACCATGTCGAGAGCCGCTTAGCCGACTGTATTCTTAGAAACGAAAAGACAAACGTTGGCTGTCCAGTGACAGTGTACGGAGAGCCAAGATCGAGTTCTGAAAGTTTGGGGTTGGACAAATGCAGGTCCACCTGACTGCTTTGACAACTTCCCCGGCCCAGACTCCATTCGTCCCATCATCCCTGTGGTACCACTGGTCGTCAATGGTTCTCGAGTCGAACCTCTATGCATGCACGGATAGCGTGCCACACATGCCCTAGCGACAGGGATCAACTACCGAGTTGAAATTAAAAGGCTGTCAGATCAAAGAAAGCCGGGATTGTTGGCGCATCGGCAGTGTTCCAAGTCGTGCGTGCGATGGGCACCCGCCTGCATAGTGCATACACTATTGATGTGGCGTACATGAACGTCCCGACCCGAGTTGACAGATCACCTAGGTCGTTCCTCTGGAGCTTAATCTCCGATCTAGCAAACAGGGCGGTAGTCGTTGGTCGAGACTCTTAGAACCTGTTTTTCTTCCCATGTTTGTTTTTTATTTCGCCTTTGGGATGGGGAGCTGAGTTCCCCCCAAGCTGGGGCCTCCACCTTTCAGCGTTTTCGGAGAACCGATCCGGCCTATCCGGGAGTCCACTCTCGTGTAGATCGAGAAGATCAGTATCAAACATAGACAGGTTGTGTTCATGGAAGTCTGCCAATGCTCATCGCCAGGCGGGGGGCTGGGGCAGGGTTCCCCAGTACCTCCGGCCCTTTCCATTCGGCATCGAGGCATCGCGACACTCAGGATGCTTATAATCCTCTATTGTTCCCAGCGGCCAGAGAGGCACCATGCAGATCTCATTATCGGGACACTTTCCGCATTCCTTCCAAGTTGTCCACGACAAGTAGTCAGTCAGCTCCTGGAGTTGGGCGATAGCCATCGGGTAGTCCGATTGACTCCACACATCCACCAGAGTAGTGCAAATCGACCTGGCTACGGATCGCACTGCGAGGGCAGCGAGCCCTTCCTGTGGTGCTTCTGCAGGGATAAACTGGTAGGAGCATCGATCGACCTCACTTGAGGTGTTTCGGTCGTCGTAGTCGATGAATGGGATCAGGGTACTTTCGATTTCCTCCTCGAGTTGACTCATGGTCGTGAGCTGTCCAGACGTCATATACCGCAGATCGCGCCCGTATCGCTCCACCACCATGTCCGCAATAGCCTGCCAATCGAATGACACCTCTATTGGGTCGTGATCGAGGATAAGCCGGCTTAGATCTTGCCGAATCGGGTCGAGGTCTTGAGAAGGGACATTGGTCAGTCGAGGATGCATGACACCGGTGTCTTCAGATTGGCGAAACAGATCCAACCCATAGGCAAACGCCGAGACGAAATGATCATAGTTGAGAGCAACTCGACGGCCCCCAATACCGCCGTATCTCGACGCGGCGGCCTTGTACCAAAGCCTGGCCCCACCCAACTCGTTCCCCTGGCTTGTCCCATTTCCACCACTTCCATTTCTTTGTCCCCTTTTCGTATCCCCTTTCACTCGAGTGACACGCACGACATTCAGGTCTCGTCCAAAGTCACACAAAATCACCTCGAATCCTGCCTCCATACGAAGCAACCCATCAAGACGACCGTTCCACATTTCGCGTGCCATTTGACACGCAAGATCCGCCCGTTCGCGCTCTTGCATCGCCGGGCGACCCTCCAGTTTATCGTGGAATAAGATCCGATCCTGGGAGTCCATGGTCCCATTGTCAGTTTTCGCGGCCGACATGCCGTCGACATACAGCAGTCGCAGGTCTTTGGCCGTAGTATAGGTGTGTAACCACCCTCTCTGGTGTGGGTCATCTTCTGACTCCGGCTCTTGGGTTGACTGCAGCGGTTTCTGGGAGCGACCGTGTGGTTGGTCAGGGGGTGGTGGAGGGCCATGTGGGAATGGTTTTGTGAATACCAGAGCATGTTCTGGCTCAAAAGCGAGCCACTCCGTTCCATTGACTGGTTCAGGACTTGTGTTCCCGTGGTAAAGTTGCGTCCCTGCGGGCACTGAAGCCAAAAAGAAGGACATGCCGTTGTGGTGCAGTGAGGAGCCCCATTGCCGCATGGATGAATGGACGGCGTTGAAGATATGATTGGCATTCGGGGGAAATCTCTCCTCGGCTGCTGAAACACCGAGAATCAGCCCCGACAGAAGGTATATTATCCTTATCCACATGGTGAGTAGTAGGTTGACGTATGGAGTCGGTTTGTGGACTGGGACAGATTGATAAGATGAGGTTCTCCTGAGTGAGAAACAACAGTGCGGGGGATACGACCTGTCTCACCGACCAAGATGACTGTTAGACATGAGACAAAATAAACTAAACTTGCATCATGCCATCAAGATAAGAGCCAACAGCGTCACCAGTAAGCAGTAATATGTAGACGTAAGAATCCAAACAAGTTGAAGCGAAAGCGATTTGTTGATCTTGATAAGATAGCGCATGCAAACTCCACTATATCCTGCTGACTCACTATGCACAGCATAATCAACCCAATCCATCAATGAAGTCATATTCCCTTCCCTTCTCCAACATCAACAAATCCATCATACCACTACCTCCTCCTTATATACCTCAATACCTACATAAGGTACCCAATAAAACAACATGCGCACCCTCCTCCTCACCCTCGACGCCTTCAATACCCTCTTCCACCCCCGCCCCTCAATCCCCCACCAATACGCCTCCGTCGCCCACGCCCACGGTCTCCCCCGCACACAGATAACCCCGGAACGCATCCAATCCGCCTTCAAAGCCGCCTACAAAGACGCCTCCAAATCACATCCAAACTACGGCCGCGACGCCGTTCTTCGCGGTCAGTACGGTGGCCCGCGCCAATGGTGGGAAGACGTCGTGCGGAGTACTTTCACGCGCGCCCTAGATGCTCCCTCATCCCACTCGGCCAACTTGCCGGAGGGTCTCGTCCCCGCTCTTCTTGATCGCTTCGCGAGTAAAGATGGATATGCGCTTTATGACGACGCGCGGGACTTTATTGCGCGGATGCGGCGGGCGCGGTATGAGACTGGTGGTAGTAGCACGGGAGTAGGGAAGGGAAGGAAGAGGCTCGCTCCGTTCGATCGGGTCTTTGTCGGCGTGGTGTCGAACTCTGATGATCGCATTTCTGTTGTCTTGGAGTCTCTGGGTGTGAGGGTTGGGCGGTGTCGCGCGGACGAGGATATCACGAGTGGGAGGCTTCCTGGATTTGAAGAGAGGGGCGGTGGATTAACCCCTGGTGAGGAGGGGCGCGAGAATGATAATGATGTCGATCTGGTCGTTACGAGCTACGAGGCCGGCGCTGAGAAGCCTAATCGGAGGATCTTTGACGTTGCGCGGCGGCAGGCTGGGCGGGTGGCGTTGGCTGTGGATGGGGGTGATAGTGGGAGTGCGGATGAGGGCTGGACGTGCGTGCATGTTGGAGATGACTTGGAGAAGGATTATCGGGGTGCTCTTGCTGCTGGGTGGGGCGCTTATTATATCCCTAGGGAGGGAGATAGTGAGGCTCCGGAGGGGGTGCGGACTGTGCGGTCGCTGGTAGATTTGATTCCGGCGTTGGAGGAATATAAATAAGGGGACGTGTAGACCTGTAGGTGGGATTGTGCATTCAGAGCTATTGCATCCTTCGGTAGCGTTTGTTTATACGGCTGGTAAGTAGGTAGACCAGACTTGATTTGTGTAAGATAGAAAGATTACATGCTGGCATGTGGTATATTCAGGAACACAAGTCCAACTCCTATCTGGACAATGGAGATAATCTAAACATCAAGCGCCGTAACCCATCCCAGCCCCCATAACCAAACACCAAGCAAAAAACGAAATACATGCAAACCCATAAAGTAATCAAATCACTCCCATTGACCACCCCCTCCCAGCGCACCCAGCCTATTATTCGAGTGCTTGCTCAGCAACGCAGTGATATTCGACCCGCCGCGGTTCTTAGAGCGGAGTGCCTTCTCGCGCTCTTTCTCGCGCGCCGCCGTATAATAGTTTACTGCACCGCCCTTCTTTCCTCCAACAGGCGGCTTGGACACCCGCTTGGAGGAGTCCGACGTGGTCGACGTCGACGACGATGACGAGCCAGTCGTGGTTTTCCGGAGCATCGGCGGTCTGAAGCCGAAGCTGGGAGCCTGGTTTCCACCAGAGCCTGCGTGGAAGGCGAAGCGGTTGTTTGATGAAGAGGTGGCGGAGTTGGAGGAGGCTTGTCGGAGGAGCGCGAGACGGTCGACCACGGGGCCCTTGGTGCGTCGAGGATGGTGAGAAGGCCCTGCGGGCTGTTCGTTCGTCTGTTGTTCCTCGCTGGCTGTGTTGTTTCCTTCATCGCCTGCGGGCTCCTCAACGTCGTCCATCGACGCGTCCTCGTGGAAGGAGTCGTATTCAGGACGCTCCGTCAAGAAGGACACTGTCTCGCGAACTTCGGCCAGTGTGGCAGGCTTCTTGGACAAGGCACTTGCCGGCTTGCGACGGAGATGAGGCGGAGGTCGGTTGTTGATGTCTTCAGCAGAAGGCTCAAGCGGCCTCTTTCTCTTGTTGCTCTCGTCGGCGGTGTCCTGCTGTCCTGGAGCCGCCGCCGCCGCCGCCGCGTTCTGCGCCGAAGAGTCCTCCTGAGACTGGCTGTTTTCCTCATAGTTCAGGAAGTCCAAGTCGAGATCATCGTCGTCATCGTCGCGGTCCTCGACAGCTTTGAAGAATGCAGCTTTCTTGGGGTTCTCGGCAATCTCGCCGACCTTACTGTCGGCAAGGAGAGCCTTGCGCATCCGGGCAAACTCTCTCTGCTTCTCCCGCCGACGGGCCATGAGTTCATCGTCCGAGTCGTCCAGATCCAGATCGTCGTCGTTGTTTTTCCGGCGTCGGAGAGCTCCGGTCGTGATATCCTTGAGCAGCTTGGCAACTTGCTTTTCGTCCGTGTTTCTCTGATGTAACCTGTAGGCGAGTTAGCGCATGCACACTTAAGATTGCGTTATACGGATCACGTACGCATTGAGAGCGGCCAGCTGTTTCTCATCAACAGTCTCACCACTGTTGTCGTTGATCATCTGGCGATCGAACATGTTTTCTTCATCTTCGTCGTCATCGCTGGCGCCTCCCAGACCGGCGTACTCGTCGTCAGATTCTTCAGCTGCTTCTTCAACGACGTCTCTGGCCTTGCTCTTCTTTTTATCAAAATCAGATGGCTTCCTGGCGGCCTTCTTCATGATATTGAATGCACTGGCGTCGACCTCGAAGTCGCCCTTATCTTCGTCTTCTTGCTCTTCGTCGGCCTCCTCCGCTTCCTCATCCTGTTCTACAACCATAGACAGGTCCGCGGCCTTGCCCCGGCGGAGAGCCTTCTTCTTCCGCTGGGCGATTGGTGAGGCATTCCGAGACTCACTCCGGTCGATACGGACCGTCTCAATGGTCGATGTCGGAGTGCCCAGGAACCTCTTCGATGGATCGAACGGCGAAAACACGAAACCTTCATCCTGAGTCGGATCTGGGACCTGGGAGAAATAAGACATCCCTCGAGGAGCAGGAGATTCAGATACACGAGTCACGGATTCGCTGTAACCCGCCAGCAAGTCCACCGACTGTGCCCGTTGTTCTTGGCTGTCTTTGATGATTGCCGGTGAGTCCGGTCCTTGGTTATCGGGCATCTGCGCAGGGTCGGGAAGCGAAAGAGGGATGGTGGGGATGGTGGACGGATCCTGCTGGGTTCCTTGCTGGCTCCCACCTAGGGTCCCAGCAAACGCCTGAGTCAAACTCATGGTCTTGTCATCGGATGGCAGGCCAGGGATCTGTGGGCGTTCCACGGAAGTTACTGTCGAGACGATTGGCTTCACGGGCGTTGCTGGTACTTGTTCTTCGTCCTCGTCATCACTGATAACTCGAGTAGGTCGCTTCCGCCTCTGAGTAGGCACCTCAACCTCTTGGTCCGACATGGCTTCTGACTGATTATCATCAGAATCATCATCCTCGCCAGCCTCGGAATCAATCAGGCCGCCCTCCTTCTTGCCACTTCCATCTTCGTCCTCCTCTTCTTCGTCTTCATCTTCGTCGTCACCCTGTGCCAGCTCATCGTCAGAACCAGAAAGCTGATAATCATCATCCTCGTCATCATCATCATCCGGAGCATCGCGACGCTTAGCCGCCTTCTCCTTCTTCGCAATCTCTTCACCCTCCAGCCGTGCCTTCTCCACGAGATTCTCGATCTCATCCTCCATAGCCGCGCGCTCCGCGGCCGTCTCGACATGGATTCCTTTATCTCTCAGTTCCTGTATCCTCTGGCTCCGCTCCTTGAGAGCTTGCTGTCTGGCTTTGTACAGCATCTGCGCGGAAAAGTCCGCCATACTCGGTGTCGATCGGCGGGTAGGGGAAGTGAGGTGCGCTAAGGCTCTGAAGGTGGTCATAGAGGAAGGCTCCTGTGCGCGTCTGAGGGGGAGGTTTTCGAATGCTGCGTACCGACGGCATTTGGCGGGAGAAGTGATGATCTCCAATTCGTCGTCGGAGTCCTGGTTCGCGGCGACCTGTTGGCGGGAAAGGTTCACTTGGACAGGGGCTTTCTTGGGCGTCTTCTTCGATTTCTCAGCCTGTGGGTCGGCCGACTGGATCTCTGCCTGTCCAACAATGGGATTTTCGGGCTGCGGTGGCGGAAGCACGGTGTTCTCGCTCTGGGCCTCCTTAGCTGAACCATCGGAAACTTCCTCAGTGGTGGGCTTGTCGGCTGGGCCCAAGACAGGCGAGGTCTGCGGCGTATCTTTATTCTTCTGCGCCTCCACGTCGGACGAATGTTGCGAGCCATCCGCAGAAGAACTATCATGCGATGGACCAGGCGCAGTCGAATCCTTCGGCTGCATGAAATTAAACCGCGCAAAGAAGCTCTCCTTAGTAATCTTCTTCTTAGTCTGAGCCTGATGAGCCAACTGCATATTCCGGCTCATGCGCTGCGTTTCCCGATTCATATCCTCCAACGCCTTCTTACTCGCCTTCCGGGCGGGGCGAGACTGCTGCGTTAACTTGCGCGCCGCAGCACCCTCATCCGCGCTATCCTCCTCATCGAGACCGATCTCCGAGCTGAACTCTTCGTGTCGTCTCGCAATTGCGGCTTTCTTCTCAGCTTCGAGTCTCTCCTTCTCCTCGCGCTCCTTCCGCTTTTGAGCCACAAGAGCCAGGAAACGCGAGTTGCCTCTTGGTCGGGATTCCTCGTCGTTGTCGGTATCTGAGCCGGGGGTTTCGTTGGTTTGGGGGCTATTCGGAGCGGAAGACACGAACAAAGGCGAATCGTCGCGGCGGGCCCGACGCGACGAACGATCCGACATAGCGTCCGGTTCAGGGGTTGTATTCGCAGCTCTCCTCCTCGGTCCAGCCTTGGGGAGATCATCATCATCACTATCACCACCGGAAGCCATCGCCTCGTCCGCAGCAGCGTCACGGGTATTGTCGTCCGAGGCCCCTTTATCCTCACGCAAGGCCTTCGACACCCTCTCAAACGCAGTCTCTCTCGAACCACCAGCGTTACCAGCGCCCGATTGAGCCTGCATACGAGCAGCCATGCGTCCCTTAGGCATCACAATATCCTCCTCCTCATCGGCACTAGAATCCGAATCCAACTGCATGCCAAATTGAGGTCGTTTCGGGAGAGACTGGTTTTCATTGTGTGTTGGCTTCGGAGATTCTTTTTTCTGTGTCGATTCTTTCTTTCCGCTATCGGACTCGGAGTCGCTGTCGAATGCGGCCATCATGGCCTTGATTTTCTGTCCTGGAGTGAGCATCATGGGCGAGTTCGCGGTTGGCGACGCGGCGCGCGTCGACCGCGGCGTCGATGGGGACGACATTATTGTTGGGGTGTGGTGGGAGAATTGGGCATTAATTAGGTTGAACCAGCATGCGAGAAAGTGTGAGGGCTAAAAAGGTTCAAATAAGGGTATCAGATGGGTTGAAAAGTAAATTCCACGGTCGTGCTGGTCGTTGGCATGAATATGGATGGGAAGAATCCAGCCAGGGCGGAGAATCCAACCCGTCTCGCTCCCGCACGACGCGCCGCGTCCTGACCGCGTAGCTGCTTATCGACACGTGACATGGTGCTTATCGGGGTTTGTTGATTACCCGTCATGGTTGGTATTGGCAAAATCTATGATGTCCACGATGAACTAGAAAAGAAAAGACATGGGATATAATAATATAATTTTTGATAGTACATTCCCGACGGTAAGTATAATGCAACGCCAATAAAACACCATCCTATCGCAAAAGATGCATGATCCGATGCTGTATCAGATGCTCTAGTATCGTCTCAAGCTGCTAGGACTTCCCCGTGAGCCTACACGCTAGGCCGCTGACAGCAATCCCTTGGAATAATTTGTCCGTATGTGGTGGGAGAAAAAGAAGAAGACAGAGAAAATAAATGGGGGAAAGAGAACGAGAAAGAAAGAAAACCTAGATCTCAATGTCGAGGTCCAAATCCAACGCAGCAATGTTCTCATCATCGCGATTCCGATGGCGGATCGTGGCAACTCCTCCTTTGTTTGTCTTCGTCTGGGAGCCAGACGGAGTATTGCTTCGGTTGGGGGTACCGGTTTTAGACGGCGTGTTGGAACCGGTGGCAGGAGTCCCATCCCGGCTTTCTGTGTCTTCGGACTTGGGCGTGCTATTCGCGTCATGGTGAGTCTTGGCCAAGGTGCGAACGCGTAGGAAAGGATTCGCCGTGGTCTCTCCTCGGGCGACCGCCGCCGCCGCCTTGCGGCTGGCCTTTCTCTCCTCGATCTGCGCACGTCGAACATTTTCGTAGTTGAGTCGCTGATTGCGCAGGTTCAGCTCCAGGAGGCGATCATGCTCGGACGCCTTCTCGGCACGCGGCTTCGGAGCGCTGCTGGTGGCGGGTTTTGGCGTGGACATGCTCGCCATCTCCTTCTGCAATTGTTCCAATTCGTCATCATCACCCGCAGCTTGGGCCAATTTGATTTTCTTCTCGAGCTCCATCCGCTTGAACAAGAGCATCTTGGTATCCAGGGATCCTTGTTTGCGCAGCTTTTCGTTCAGTTCCTCGTTGGTAAATTTGTGGTTCAGCAAGCGGTTGATATCTGCCACCTTGTCCAGCAGCATCGACCTGGTAGCCATCTTACAATCCTCCACGATCATAGTCTGGCGGTATCGATTGAACTCCGTCTTCTCAGATATCAGTGAGTGTCTCGGCTAGAAGAGCGACGGGGACAAACCTCGGTAAAGGGGGAGTCCGAGCAAGCCACAAAGGGGAACTCGCGTTCAGACTTGCCATGGGCGAGCACGGCGTACTGGTTCGTAGCAAACGTACGCCCGTTGGCTCCTTCCATTCCATATGGTCGCCCCTCGGTGAACCCTGCAGAGGAGTCAGCAACAAGCACATCAACCCACAGAAAGCAGGTTCGGGTACATACTCTTGATCAGGCAAATCCGATACTCATTAAGGCCGGTGTCCCGGTTCGGCCCAATGTTCACTCGCACATAGCAACCGGAAATGGCGTCATCAAAGCCCGGATAGAAGCACACCTGGGCAAAATTACTCCGGCCCACACGAGCGCGCTGGAGGTCCTTGAGTTCAGCCGGCGGATCGTCCTTTGGAGGCGTTGGGGAGCGCTCCCGGTCATCCCATTCCACTTCGCTCTCCCCTTCGGCATCGTCATCCGAAAGTTTGTCCTCCTTCGATCGCGACTTTTCTCTGACACTGGGTTCCCGACGACGGAGCTCATCCCGCTTGCCCTTCTGCTCTCGCTGGCGTTTGTAGGCGTCAATCGCCGCCGACGTTTCCCCGACCTTGCGACCACCGAGGGTCATCTTTTGTCGCGAACTCTTTCGGTTTCCATCTTCGAGATCCGCTGCGCCGGCCTTTCGCTTGTTCTTCTTCGCCTGGCGTGCCTCTTCGCGCTCGCGAGAGGCCAGGAGACGACGCAGAGCGAGGTCCTGGTTGTGGCGATCTACCTGCTGCGCTCGATCGGAGAGGATCTGTTCTCGTTGGATTTCGGGCATCGCCATAATCTCCTCTTTGTCTTTCGACGAATAGTAAAGTTTATCGTAGGGGAAAATCGGTCCTGCATCATCGACCTCCGGGCCAGAGCCCTCCGAATCACCGGCGTCTGATTCCGACATGCTGGCAGAGTCGAGAGAGTTGTGAGACTCGGCATCGGACCTGGATTAGATCGGTCGCATTAGCTGGCTGATGCTCAGACGAGGAAAGAGCGAAGAAGCCGACAGAATTCAGAACGGGAAAGGTCTGTGGGGGGGGAAGAGATGACCACGTACAGTTCTCCATCCTCATCTTTTCGCGATTTCCGTCCTCGACGAACAGACTTCGCGGTACCTTTACGTGCCATGGCTGATGAGTCGTCTGGGGAGTAGGAAGCAGGAGAATCGGGACTGGCTGCCTCCTCATCGCCCGAGTCGCCCGCCAGCCGGAGCAGCTCATCGTCCAAATCGTCGGCCATGGTGAATGGTGAGGGGTAGGGTGTCGTAAGTCTCAGGTGACGTATGACTCAGAGGGGTACAATAGGAAGTAACAAGTTGGAGAGCGATGAATGAAACCCCCTAACCGGCCGTCGCAAAGAGCAGAAAGGTCTGAGGTGGCCAAATCGGACAATGAAACGGATAAAATTCGAGGATAATCGCAAAAAGAACACTTAGTATGTGGACTTGAGAGTAGAAAAAGGGCAAAGTGAGGTCCAACACAAGGATGCGACAGGGTTGGAGGGGTCGAGGGTCGAGTGGCGGGTTTGAAGGAAGAGGTCGGGGAGAAGTGAATAAATACCAGTCTAGGCCGACTCCGAAGTTGCACCTGGCTTGACCCGTTCATGACGTCCCGCTAGGGATTCGTGCCAAGACCGGCTAAGCGCGCGTTTGCGGCAGTATCTCTCTATGTAAATGTTTTCTATCTTATAACCTTGAACTTTCTCTCAGGCAAGTTCTAGGTTTCATTTGGTAGTATATAGGCTCCTGTTCTATTTTCTCTTGGTGTTTTTTAAGGTGGCTGATAAAATAATACTGCATGCATTTGAACTGCAAAAGGGAGAACTACATATATTATTTCACTATCGTAATGGTTGAAACAATACTCAATGGAAAGGGCACTTGTCCATTAGCTAAAGCACGTGAAATCACTGTTAAAATACCAGTGCAGACAGATGATCGCCACTACATTATCAGGCAGTAAGGCCGAGTTATCTGTATAAATAATGCTAAAGGAGGTTGCGATCATAGAGGGTATCAAACTGAGGAATAGAAAAATAAATATTAGAGATAAATATAAAAGGTTCTTCATATATTCTCAGCTTAAAAAACATCACTAGTCTATCATGATCTTGCCTCCATGACCATTGGGTATACTACTACTCCAACCCCGCCGAAAAAAAGCCTCCAGGGTAAGGCGGGGAACACACATAAATCCAATCAACTCACCACCACCACCACCTAATTCTGCTGGTTCTTCTCCAAATGCTCCACAAAGCTCTTAGAGAATCGAGTCACCTGTTTATAAACCTCCTCAAAGCCATTCACACCCCCATAGTAAGGGTCCTTGACGACCTCGCCGCCGCCGACGCGCTCGTTCAGCTTGCCACCAGGCCCAAAGTCCCCAAACAACCGCACGTCGGCGACCTTGTCCTCGCCAGACTTCTTCGCCACGGCCTCACGCAACTCGAGCAGATCGGTGAGGTTCCACGTGTCCATGGCGATCAGGTAGTCGAAGGTCAGGAAATCCTGCTTGGTAACTTTGCGCGCCGCGTGGTTGTAGTCGGTGATTCCGTGCTTGCGCAGGGTGGACATGGTACGCGAGTCGGGAGGTTCCATGGAGTGGTAGGCACCTGTGCCGGCGGAGTCGATCTCTCCGATGAGGGGGTGCGATGCGGCGACGTTGCGGAAGACGCCTTCGGCCATGGGGGAACGGCCTGGGAGGGAAGAAGTGTTAGTGATTGTCTTATTGGGAGGTTGGGAGGACCGTCATACAGATATTTCCTAAACACACGAAGAGGACGTTAACGGTGGCGCCCGACCCGTTGGATTTGGTGGCAGTCATGGTGTCACTGAACTTGGAGACTTCAAGGGTACGATTGGAAAGAATGGGGATAGATTGAAGGACGAAGATTGAAGAATGATGGCTGCGGGGAGTTGCCGCCGTCTTTATCGATAAGTCTGGGCCATAAAATTTACTAACCAAATTGAGATTTTTATGCAGTGCTTAGTCATTGGCTCGCCCGATCCACGGTTATCCACCGCATGGATACCAGGGCATTCCATTCAACGTTCAGTGAGCGAGAGTGAGTTGCCCAGTCCAAGCGCCAGATGGTTGGATAAAATTATACAGGATTTTTCTGCGGCTATAAAGTCGGATGAGAAGCACAATTTATACCTCTTTCTGTTTTAACAGGTAGTCTGCTAATAATAGCCAACTTGGTGGCTCAGGGCGCTTGTCGCTCAAGCCAATATGAGGCAACCACGCTACAGGCACAGTCTTAACCGCCTTTACTAGGTTTCACAATGCGAGATGGGCTTCATTCGGCGCCTATACATGGGCTTCATTGGCAGGTTGAGAGATGGCAGTGTCGCACTCGACATGCATCAGGAGTCTATAAAGATCCCTACACCCCGCCGACAGTACTCCCTGACTGCTCTAGCATAAGAAAATATACAAGTTTATAACAGTCGTGCTTACATTCAACCGAGATTAAGTTATCGCAAAGAACCGAACATCTATATACACACACACATATATATATATATATATACATATTGTATCATGGCTACCAACAACACACCTCCGCTCTCACTCAAAGCCCCTCCCCCGCAAACAGATTTCATGGTCGGCTGGATATGTGTACTCAAAAAGGAGTACCATGCGGCTGTGCAAATTTTGGACGAACGATATGATACCACCGGCCTGGTTCGCAGCCTGGGGGACAAAAACCACTATATTCTTGGGCGAGTCGGAACACACAACGTGATGATCAATCTCCCGCTAGCAGAAAAGTACGGTCAGAACCATGCATCCCGAATTGCCCTTGATATGAGACGCACGTTTCCGAAAATGCGCTTCGTGCTGCTCGTTGGGATCGCCGGCGGAGTACCCTCCCCAGAGCACGACATCCGCCTTGGGGATGTGGTTCTCGGGACGAGGGCTGTTCCCTATGGATTTGGGAAACAAACCGACCACGGCTTTGAACGGACCGGCCTGGTACAGGTACCACCCAGAGAGTTACTGGAGGCGACCACGTTCTTGGAAGAGCGGATTCGATTAGAGGATGTGCGTTTGTCTGAGGCTATTGAGAGCGTCCGTACGAAGTCCGCTGGAGGCGGTGATGCGTTTCTCCGTCCTGCGAAAGATCGACTTTATAAAGGCGAGCTCATCCACAAAGAGCCGGGGTGCGACTGCCTTCTGTCGGAATCACGGCAAGGAGCCAATATGTACTTACGGGACGACCGTAAAGGGGATCTAATCCAGGTGTTTCGAGGAGGCATTGGGTCCGACAACCGTGTTATAAAGAATGCCCAAGTCCGCGATGATATTGCCACAAGAGAGAACATTCTGTGCTATGAGATGGAAGCGACTGGGGTGATGTTTGTTGTTCCTTGTCTTCCTATCCGAGGTATCGCCGATTATGCAGACGGGCACAAGAACGATCATTGGCACTTATACGCTGCTTTGGCGGCGGCAACATGCGCCAGGGAGCTATTATTATCACTTTCGCCACAATTCGTCGCTCAATTTCCCTTGGCCGTCGCCAGAAATGTCCTGGGCCAATATAACACCGATGCAGTCAATCGAAATGCTTCTTCGAGCAGTGAGGTAGTAAATTTGAGACATACCAATTGTGATTTAGCCAACCACCATGCTGCCCTTAGTGAGCACATACCTACCAGAGGCTTGCAAGATGCGGATAAGACACCATCCTCTGATTTTCAAGACGCGGGAGATGAGGTGCAGAGACCGCAGGTTCTCGGTCAAATTACAGAGCAACACAATACCTTGCCCTTGAGTCGGGATTTGGAAGTCCGAGAATAGTACAGGCGCAGAGTGTGGAAGTGACTGCAATCGGGTGGCATGTCAACTGATCTGGAGTGTTTCCAGTACAATCAAGTGTTTGTATTTCAATCATTTTTGCAACCATCAGCAACCTTTTCATAGGAAGAATATCATCAATTGAGGACTTATTACATCGCGTATTTCCTCGCAGAGAGGCACAGACATCATAGGAATTTTATCCTAGGTCACCTAAGCTAGCCTCTAATCTATAAGCACTACTCTACAATAGCTAGGAAACCATTATCAAATCAACGACATTGGTGTTGCAGACACTATATCAACATCCAGTAGTATGTATATCAGTCATTTTATAACGCTCTGGAAACAGAGTAGGAAGTCCTCACCTGCTATGTCCCCGCCGTATTCACTAAAAGGCGCCCTGTGCTTCCCCGCATCAGCATCACTCCCAAAGGTGGACAGCGGCATATACGCCACCTTATCGAGCACTGCCCATGGTGTTCTAGACTAACCGTGAGGATTTGGACCTACTACCCCAAGGGCTTTCCTGTAATAAGCTTATATGCATGATTTAACCCACGCTATCACATGTTTATACGAGACATGACTCGTGCCCCGATTGGTTTACATGCATCTCTATAACATGATACATTATCGTCTTATACTCACTCCTGCCATAGAAGCGGGGATATAACCGATGTGGCACCAAACAGCCCACAGCTTATGTTTAGGAGCAGAGTCTCCCTCTCGACAAGGTATTCTTGTGGAGGCTGTGGTCAGACTCACTAACACATGCGCATGGACTGCTAAATTCATGTGCAAGATGTCTTATTTCTTCTGCAGTTGAAGCTGGCTGTTTGGCAATTTTGGTCTGCTGGGTTCTGTACAGATAGTTACTATACAGTATTTACTATATCCAGGGGAAGGTCAATCAAGGGTTTGACTAGACAGGCCCTATCTAGCAACTTATCTTGCTACGACTGCATGATAATTGAGCTAACAGGCGACTTGCTACAGATATATGTGGATACTTTCCCACACGCGCAAGTACACCAAAGTGTCACGCTGGATATATAGTACTTAGCGCGCCCAGATACGAGACCTGCATCAACTATCCTGCCTCTCCTATTTGATGCCTTGTTGCAACCTGCGGACTGACCTACTAGGTTAACCTGTAATGATCCCGAGCATGTTATAATAGGGAAAGCCACCTGCAAAGCTATGATGCCTTGTGACAGGCTGTATGTGTCATATATTCCTGCCCATTCTATATTTGAGAGCATTATATTTTAAGACTGAGGCTCTAATGGCTACACAAATGTCCCATGTTTTCTTATAAATAGTCCAGAGCATCACTGCTGCAAAAAAGGAACAGAACCATCTCACATTTATCTCAAAATATCAGACTTTTACCTCTTCACCTTTATACAACTCATTGAGATATCCTCACCACACCGGAAAAATGCCTTCAAATAACGACAGCAAATCACAAGAACAGAAAATATGGGACCAGGCCGCTGCTGCTGCCAAAGTAAGTGCGATCTCGATTGATCACACGATTGCAATAGCTTACACATGGACACGATCTTAGTCTGAGGCAAGCAAAGGCAATATGTCAACAAAGGAGGCTAGTGGGTGGCAAAGCGCGGCTGATCAAGGAAAGAAGTGAAGTTCACATATGCTGAGCTTATTTCTATTGAGCACTATGGGTTGAATAAGCATGTCTTCTGTCTTGGTGGTATGATTGCATGTTCTGTGGATGGTACCTTCCATAGCCGCGATACTTTGTTGAAAGACGCTCTAAATCATATATGTATTCGGCATTGTTTTGATGTATCTAATGCTGGGGATATCAGTCAGGTTAGGCCCTATACCAAACATTGGTCAACGTTTTGGCATAGCGGCTATGGCTCAATCTCGCGGGCTCTACTTGCTTATATTATTTTCTTGGACTTATATACTAGTCTGTTAGCGGGACTCATTTGACCTTGTATATGAATAGGTGCAGCGCATGCCCGTACTCGATACGATTGATAACTACTTTCACTGGTCCCTGAAGCTACAATATCTATATCGATCCTGTTCTCCCCACCATATATTAAATAACAGCCCTTGGAGCGATTCCAAGAATACCCACCTCGGCGTCTATAACCCTGTCAGTTTCAACCCACCGGGAGATCCCGCGGCCCTTCCCGCGTTATCCACATAGTAGTAGACTTAGTCTCGGATTCTGCCTTGTGGATGGGTGCTTATAAATATACACTATGGTCCAATCATCAAATAGCAACCCTAGTAATCTGACGGGAGTGATTCAAAAATGAGGAGTGCATGATCGGTAGATGGTCTGATATCACTTAGGGCTATGCTGTTTCAACCCCGCTCTTAGCCGCCTGGGACTGTTGTATTTTAATATTGTTCTTTCTATGATAATCTGTTGCTTGATAGACTTGTTAGATTCAATGTTTCTCAGTTCTATATATTCAAATTTAGACAACGGCTACAGCCGTCCACCGCATCTCAAATCCTTCCAGCGGGAGTCCAAGCGCCCAGATGTGATGACAGTGGGTCGGCCCTGTACGGATAGATTAACTCTTGGCTGGCGTGCATGAACAGTGCATGCCGACCCACTCGCTGCTTTTATATCATGATATGATAGGATGGATTGGAGGCACGAGGCAGAATGGCCCCTGCAGGCTCGGATGGATCTAACCGGCATCGTATAAGGGTGCGCTTCAGGTTGGCGCTCGTGAAGACACTTGAGTGAAGATATAGATGACAAGGTGCGGGCTGTGTATGGGTTCGGCGGCTAATAGTAGGCACGAAGCATATAAGCTTCGTGATCCTTCAGTGGCTGTCCTTCTCGAATGGTGTTCGAGATTCAAAGTGTGAAAGGAGAGTGTATATATCATAGCAATGCAAATCTTTACGAGTCTTCTTTTATCAACTATCCTGGCGACAGCCACTGCGCAGCCTGTGGCATCCACTCCCGGGACCATTACGAATGCACCACATGCTGTACCAACCGCTACATTGTGAGTTTCTTCTTTTTCTTCTCCCTTTCCCTCAACTACGATCAACTCAACCAGTATCCCACGAGATACCTTCACACCAACCAACCAACCAACCTAATAAACCAAACTAACTAATCCAGCACCCTCACCGCGCAAATAACGACCTACACCGAAGCCGCCGCCGGCCACGGCCCCGGCGACGTAGGCATAACCATCGACCCGGAGCTCGCCAAACAACTCGACGACTCCCTCACCGACCACCCAGGTGACTGCCTCGGCGGACAGCGCTTCGCCACACACCACCCACACCAACGGCTTACCGGCCTCTCCGGCACCATCTGCGGCCTAGAATCCACGATCGCCAACATCGCCCTCGCAGCGGGGGTGATCCCCGTGCTAGGCGCGCAGCCCCCGCCGCGCATCATCCGCGGGGACGCCGAGCGGGCCTTGGCGGCTACGAAGTCGTTCGCCGGCCGGCACGCGACGGCGCTGAACGTGTCGCCGGACGGGGCGGGTCGGCTCGCAGAGTTCCTGTTCCCGCTTGTGTGGCTGAAGGTTGTTGAGGGGAGGCGGGTTCAGGGTGTGAATCTGGTGGAGGCTAGTTTGGTGGATTCTTCATAGGGGAGCCCCTTTCATATTGTATAGTGGTGCCGAGGTTAGTTAGTGTTCAGGGATCCTGATAGTGTCTGGTTGCATTGGAGTTGGATGGATCGTTAATCATGGGCATAGCGCGTTTCATGTTGATATGATGTTACACCCGACAATACACCGTTGTATAGATCGCGCATCGGACACAAGATGATTGTGTCATGTAGGGGACCTCTATTCCCCGGAGGATGTTCTCCGAGACAAGGTTGGCATATGATTATTCCGACGTCATAGTCATACAGAGACGGGGTGGGAGATCGACACGTGAGTCTATTGTGAGTTAGAGTGTGGCTTGGATAGTGGCTAGTTGTGGCGAGTGGGCTCTCACTATGCACAGCCACCGTTGAGGTTAGGCTGAAGCCTGACAGCCTGACAGATGACAGAATAAGAAATAATAATAATTATTATTGTTGTAGTAATAGAAAAGAAGATTAAATTAGATTAAAAGTGGCCACAAAATCTTAGCTGGTGCACTGAGCACACCGCACGTATCCACACGTGCCTCGACCTACCCGAGATACTCGTCATCAGTATAGATTATAGTATAGAAGTGTAGAAGCACTGCAATGTCAGATCTGACGGGCTGATACGCAGCAAACAATTACAACAGACTCTGACATGAAGCTATAATGTACGAAGGCAGAGAGATTCTTCTTCTACTAAGAGTATTAAATATCTAGGCTTCCACGTTCATCTATAAAAAGAAGAAATTCTTGACGGCGACTCGTGGCTGTGGGGACGAGGACGATCTGTGGTTGGCCCAGTGACGCAGTGGAGTCCGGAGAGCCATGGGGGGCAACGGAGTGGATGGAATGAACCACGGGAATGTATTCAGGGTATGTTTCAGGGGTTAATATTCTGTATCATGGATTCTATCTTTCAATTCCATTTGAATGGAGAGTATAGAAAGTCTAGAGAATCCTAGAGCGTTGATAGTAGAACATAGAGAAGAGACTGATGATGTAAGAGAGATCCACCCAGTCACCTGATGCTCCACCGTCTCCTCCAATCTCGACAGCCAAAGATGGAGAATGGAAAGACTCAAACTCCATCCGGATCGCTGGTTCGCGTCTCCAAGGGAAACCACTGCGCCCCATTTAATCCACCATAAAAATTATTATTATTATTCCAATCTCTTATCTGCCTGAATTGTTATGCCAGAGCTGACCATTCTATCGCCGATCGTGGCGCAATAATCCTGCGACCTTCTCGTACCAAGATTGCCTCGTTGGTTCGCCCATTTTCTTCACGACTGTCAAACAGTCAAAACTAAAAACTCTCTAGGATTCTGTTTTTTAGTTCTCGACTTCCTCCCATTCTCTCTCCTGACCACTTTTTTAAACCTCCATCGCAGACCCGTATTGACTGAAACTCCCGCCGAGAAGACCGGCGCGTCGGAACATTGAAGCGAACCGGTCCGCTTGGACACCTTCTCCCCCATCCCTCCTGGCGCAATCTCTCCTCCCACCTCCATTCAATCAATCAATCTTTCTTCCCCCCTGTCCAGGATTTCCCGGATTCCACAAGGGGGCAGCTAATCGCCCACACGATCGCCCCCAATGTCGTATAATCGCTTAGGTTAGTCCCTTATTGCTGACGGCCCCTCCCAACCCAAACCCCCTTTTGGTGCTGTGTGATTGCGGCTTTCCCCTTCTCCGCAATCAATTTCCCACCTGAAACTCTAGCCTCCGAGACGCTACATAGTGGACGACTCGGGTCACGCTGGTGTCAGTTCTTGCCTGTCGCTTGCTCTGCGCAGATAGACGGTCGTGTTGCGCGGTCGGAATTGAAATTGATCAAACGACATACTAATACCCATCCTTTGTCAACAGGAAACCCCTATGGGGATGAGGACGGACATTCGCCCATGATGAATTCCCATCCTTACGACACGAGAACCCCGTCGCCGGGTCGGCCGTTGAACGCCTACCAGTTGTCGGATAACCCCTACGGACAGGATCATATCGCTATGCCTTCGTCGGACCGCCTGGCCGAACAGCCAACGGTAAGAAATCAAAAGTAAAGAGGAAAAAATCCCATACTGACTGACAATCTAGTACTCGGTGGAACGACTCCCCCATTCCTATGGCCACGACTACGCGTTGGATCCCGAAGCTCACCACGACTCCTACTACACTCAACCATATCAACCCTCCGTCGTCACCCCCCAGGACGACTACGACCTTGGGCAGTACCCCGAACACCAGCAGAGCTACCAGGATGACCGCGTTCCTATCCTGCAGCAGCCGGAGAACCCCTTCGGCCCCGACCCCTACAGCGACGAGCTGGATCCGTCCCTGGCCCATACGCCGAGCCCGGCCCCGATCCGACGCTGGAAGACCGTCAAGGAGGTCCAGCTCTTCAACGGCAACCTCGTGCTCGACTGCCCCATCGCCCCCAAACTGCTCAGCCAGGTGCCGCACGCCGAACCGCCCGGGCGCGACGAGTTCACGCACATGCGCTACTCCGCCGCCACCTGCGACCCCAACGGCTTCTTCGACGAGCGCTTCACCCTGCGCCAGAAGCTGTTCGCCAAGCCGCGCCACACCGAGCTCTTCATTGCCATCACCATGTACAACGAGGATGACTTCCTCTTCGCGCGCACCCTGATCGGTGTCTTCAAGAACATCGAGCACATGTGCTCGCGCACCCACAGCAAGACCTGGGGCAAGGACTCCTGGAAGAAGATCGTGGTCTGCGTCATCAGCGACGGGCGCGCCAAGATCAACCCGCGCACCCGCGCCGTGCTGGCCGGTCTCGGTGTCTACCAGGACGGCATCGCCAAGGAACAGGTCAACGGCAAGGACGTGACGGCCCACATCTACGAGTACACGACGCAGGTGGGCCTCGAGCTCAAGGGTAACCAGGTGCACCTCAAGAAGCGCGCAGGCGTGCCGGTGCAGATGATCTTCTGCCTGAAGGAGAAGAACCAGAAGAAGATCAATTCGCATCGGTGGTTCTTCCAAGCCTTTGGCCGCGTGCTGGATCCCAACATCTGCGTGCTTCTGGATGCGGGTACCAAGCCCGGGCGCGACTCCATCTACCACCTGTGGAAGGCGTTCGACATCGAGCCCATGTGCGGTGGCGCCTGCGGCGAGATCAAGGCGATGTTGTCGCACGGAAAGAAGCTACTTAACCCGCTGGTGGCGGGCCAGAACTTCGAGTACAAGCTGAGCAACATCCTCGACAAACCGCTCGAGTCGTCGTTCGGCTTCATCTCGGTGCTCCCCGGTGCCTTTTCGGCCTACCGCTTCGTGGCTCTACAGAACGACAAGAACGGGCAGGGCCCGCTGGAGCGGTACTTCCTGGGCGAGAAGATGCACGGCGCCAACGCGGGTATCTTCACGGCCAACATGTACCTGGCCGAGGATCGTATCTTGTGTTTCGAGATCGTGACCAAGCGCAACTGCCGCTGGCTGCTGCAGTACGTCAAGTCGTCGACGGGCGAGACCGACGTGCCGGACCGCATGGCCGAGTTCATCCTGCAGCGGCGCCGCTGGCTGAACGGCAGTTTCTTCGCGGCGGTGTACGCCATCGCGCACTTCTACCAGATCTGGCGCAGCGACCACAGCTTCCTGCGCAAGTTCATGCTTCTGATCGAATTCATCTACCAAACCATCTGCATGCTGTTCGCCTGGTTCGGTATCGGCAACTTCTTCCTGGTCTTCCACATCTTAACCACGTATCTAGGGGACAAGGAGCTCCTCGGCACAGTGGGCAAGATCCTGGGCGTGGTGTTCGAGTGGTTATACCTAGCGACACTAGTGACGTGTTTCGTGCTAGCCCTGGGCAACCGCCCAGGCGGGTCGAACAAGTTCTACATGACGATGGTGTACTTCTGGATTGGTATCATGATCTACCTGTCGTTCGCGGCGGTGTTTGTGACAGTCAAGTCGATCCAGAAGGAGACACAGGACAACAAGTTCTCGCTGGCGCAGCTGTTCTCCAACAAGCAATTCTTCTCCATTGTCGTATCACTAGGGTCGACCTACGTCATGTGGTTTGTAGCGTCGTTTATCTTCATGGACCCGTGGCACATGTTCACCTGCGTATGTGTCCCCTTTCCTTCCACCTCACAAGGCGCCGCTAACAAGACCAGTTCATCCAATACCTCCTGCTCACACCGACCTACATCAACGTCCTCAACATCTACGCCTTCTGCAACACGCACGACATCACCTGGGGCACGAAAGGCGACGACAAGGCCGAAAAGCTGGGCTCCGCCAACGTCAAGCCCGGCGGCAAGGTCGACGTCAACATCCCCCAAGACGACGGCGACCTGAACGCGCAGTACGACGCGGAGCTCACCAAGTTCGCGCAGAAGGCCCCCAAGGAGGTCGAGGACATCTCGGACGGGGACCGCCAGGCAGACTACTACAAGGGATTCCGCAGTGCAGTCGTGCTGGTGTGGGTGTTTTGCAACTTCGCCCTGGGCGCGGTCGTGCTGAGCGCGGCGGGGCTCGACCGGTTCGAAGGCGACGAGAAGAAGTCGCAGACGCCGAAGCGCGAGTCGAGCTCGGGCGGCTCGACGGAGAACGAGCGCGCGACGATCTACATGGCTGTCGTGCTGTGGAGTGTGGCTTGCATGTCGATTTTCAAGTTTGTGGGTGCGATGTGGTATTTGGTTGTGCGAATGGTAGGTCTCCTTCTTTCCCTTTCGAGTTTCTTTACTGTTCCTTACTAACGTGGTGTGCTATAGTTCCGCGGTGTCTAACCTTGACGGTGGACTATATCCTGTATAGTGTATGGATTGATGGACGGAATGAAGGTAAACATGGTAGATACCACTGCGGGTTCTGTGGTAGGAATGACGTGAAAATGTCACCTCACGATGATGGAATGATGCATGGACATACATACGGGAAGATAAGATAAGATACCTGGAGGGCTGTACTATGTAGATAAATGATGATATATTATACATGTTATTACTCGGTTATAGTAATCATTATATTACATTGTATCAAAGGAGGGAAGAAGTTAGAAGTATTCATGATAGTTGTGCTAATGAGAAGTGGTATCTGTATCATCCTGATACTGAAGTACAGTATAGAAGCATCATTGGTCTAGTGGTAGAATTCATCGTTGCCATCGATGAGGCCCGTGTTCGATTCACGGATGATGCACTATTCTTATCTTTTTCTTTTTTTTTACCCTGGAGATTTTTGACTGTATTGTGGAGATATTTGAGGAATATACTTTCTATTATTGTACTATCTAGTATGATTGTCTGTTTTACTTTTCTATATGGTTTTTTATATCGTGTTATTCTCTAGTTGGTTCGCGATGATATACCATCTATCAACAGCATACACCTCTTTCAACAACCGGTATACATATCTATAATACTATCACTGAGTAGATCTGAGGTTAATAACCGGGTAGTCAGTCCTACGGGGTAACGGTTGGGGGTTTGCCATATAATTGACCGCCGATGGTGCCGTAACAACAACACCGTGGTAGGGGCCGTTCATAGGTAGCCCGGGGAGACATGGCGTGGCCACGTCATGCGAAGTATGTACGTCGCGCCCAATGGACATCAGCGGGTAAAAGCACGGGGGTTGTTATAGTTCACTCTCATCCCTGCTCCTGCTATCTCGTTGAACCCTGACTCGGGGGAACATGGAGTTGGTTTTTCTCCTCTCTCGGTTGGTTCCTTAAGAATTCAAATCCCGCGCAGTCGGCAGCGAATACTACTTTCGTATAATGGGGCATGTGTCTGCATTGCGTAAGGCTGTTCCCACAACATGAGATCCAAGCCACAAGTATATAGCTAGATATTAGCTAAGAAAGAAACGACCCATCTAGCCCGATGTCTTCCCGTTATCAGGCTCACTCATCCGAGGTTCGAAGTCCGGGCTGCTTGAGTCGAGTGTATAGCAAAGCCACCGCCATGGTTCATCCTCGGAGGGTGGTTGTGATAATGATGGGGCAGCAGCAGCAGTTGCGCTTCAGTGCGAGGGTTGGTGCTTGTGCTGGAAACGCCATGCATGTCGTTGATGCGCTGTCCGGAAAAGGAAAGGATGAGCCTGGATTGTTGATGGCCAGACAAGGGTCGAACGGGCCATACGCGGTTCGAGGGTAGTGGTGCCCTACCCCTGAGGAGGATACCCTGCCGTGACAATTGTACATCGGCGGTTGCGGGGGGTAGTAGACAGAAAGGGAGCAGGCACAGAGATGCTCCGGGGGGGAGCACCGGGGGGGGGATTGTTGCGATAATCCCATGCAGTCGTGATTGGAGGCCTGATGGCACGGCGGAGACAGATCGCCCCCAAGAGTGTCGAACAGACCTTGGGATGCCTGCTGCTGGAAACATGCCGGTGTCCCTGGGGTCGACATGTATGATGCTGCACCGGAAGGCTCTGCGGGAGGCTCTGTCATCGAGAGGGGGGGGGATGCTTCGGGGCCAGATTGCTGTTGAAAGACTCCAAGTCCATGTAGACGCCATCACCCTTGGTGTTTTTGTTTTGGCTGGTTCTACCAATGAACCCCGGTCTACTGGGCTGTAACTGTGCTGGCTTTTATACCGCTCTTTTGTTTTGTTATACTTGTCTGCTCTTTATCAACCCTCAAATATTGTTATAATGTAGACCGCATGAAATCGAAGATATGTCTCTACCAGACAAAAGGTTCAATCTGCCATATCAACAAGATTGACTGATATTTGGGATCAAAGATGCTTGACCTTGTTGACGCTCGCAATGACCGAAAGAACGATCGATGACCACCATATCTTATAGGATAGTCCCTGCCTCTCCAGCAGCCTTCACCCAAGACTCTCTCTCCTGCAGCCCCCTGAACCACTTCTCGGCGTTTGGATACTTCTTGAAGACTTCTTTCCACCGCCCTGCTATCAAGGCAGCACCGTTGGGCAAGTGAAAGAGATCAGCCAAGGTTAACTCGTTCCCAACAAGATATCTCTGGCTGGCCAGAGTCTTGTCATAAACGGCGAGGACGGTATCCAGGTCCTGTTCGGCCTGTGCAACCCTTGCTTCGTCGGGGGTCCCAAGGCCTTTCATCCTGCATGGCCATGAGTAAGTGGACCCGAGGAAAGAAACAGGAGGTATCTAGTGTATGTATGCATACGGTTTGATCATCAGCTCAGTTCCGATGGTCTCGGCCGCCGCCGCAAAGTAACTCTGTTCGATTGAACAGGCTTGTTCGAAGCGGCCGTACGCCTCGTCATCGCCCTCGGGAATCAGCTCCGCACCGGAGTGATATTTTCTATTCCAGGAACAGATCAGGTAGATAAGTATTGATCCGAGTTGCTCGCTTTCTTCAGGCGGATCGTCAGAGCTAGACCTACCTGGCAAGATACTTGCAAATAGCCCTGCTTTCGAACATGATGAACCCGTCATCATCCAATACAGGTACCTTTCCGAAGGGCTGCAGTTTTTTGTAGACCTCGGTCTTCTGGTCTCCCTTGGCGATGTCAATGAGAATAAGCTCGTACGGCAATTCCTCCTCGAGAATCGTGACCAAGACACGGGAGGTGGACATGGCAGAGCCGTAGAGTTTGAGGACCATGTTGCCGGTAGGACGATTAGGAAAGGTGGTTAATCGGTGGTACAGATCAATACAGATGGGTTGATGGGCAATGATACAAAGTTGCAAGTTGTTGAGTTTCCATTCATCCCCAAGATATCCTTGTTCGCACTAGATATAAGACTTCAATGGGTTGGATTACTTGAGTGCTGACACCAACCGCCAGCAGCAGCATGACTGTCGAACCTATCAGAGTATAATCCCCCAGGTCAGTGCTAATCCACCGAGTTACATCCGCGATGTCGAATACAACCATTAGCACACCGCCATCGCTCACGTAGCAAACGTTCGTGATTCTCCCAATTACTCCGACAAAGAAGTCTTTATTCTGATACCCAATATCCGTCTGGCTAACGAAGCCACCACCAAGAAAGGAAGTGGGTTGTCCAAGCCACACCACGTTTAGGCCTCTTAAATGGGTAACTACCAACGAACATCGAAGATGGCAACGAAGGGTGCTTAATAGAGAGTTGGACAGGGCATTTCTTGAAACTCACAATTGGATACTTGTTTCGCTCCTGATTGCCCGGGTGCCCTGCTCGAGACCAGTGAATTGCCTTAATAGGGCTTCTAGTATAGTATTATGCATGGACCATCTATATCACAAAGGTATACACACTCCAAACCTATTCTATATCAAATACCTAAGTATCCCCCACCAAAACATCATACCGTCCCTTCGCCAACGCATAAACCGTCTCCAACCGCGGCATCGCCACCCCCCACCTCCTCCCCAACCGCACCGTATTCCCCAGAATAACCTCCACCTCAAACGGCCTCCCAGCCCTCACATCCTGCAACATACTCATCTCCCTCCCAGTCCCCGTCTCCGCCCTCCTCTCCGCAATAGCCAACTTCTCGCGCGCAGCATCCTCATCCACCCCATGGACACCCACCTTCGCAGCCAGCGCCACTATCTCCATCATGATGCCCCAGACAAGATCGCGCGCGAAGGGCGTAGACGTCAGCAGGAACCCGCCGTCTGTGCAGAGGGATAGCGCGCAGATGGGGTTCCAGGATGCGTTGAGGAGCAGCTTTGACCACCGTGCTGTTTGGATGTCTTCTTTTAAGATGGCGTCGCCTCCTCCGGCCGCCATTAGGTCGCGGAAGTGCGATGCGGCGGCCTTGTGGTGCGCAGGCGCGGAGGCGGGGTATGTGCCTACTTCGATGCGGTTGAGGGGTTCGGCGTGGTGGATTACTCCTGGGGTGGACTGCGTTGCGGGGAGGTAGATGACTGCGGAGAGGATGGGATGAGTCGGGTATGCGTCTGCGAGGGCCTGTTCGATATCAATGCCGTTCTGGGCGAGGACGATTGCTGTTTCGGGCGTTGTGTGCGGGGAGGTGAGGAGGGGCCGGAGTTGGTCTGCGAGGGTGGGCCGTGTCTCCGGGCTGAGCGCTTTCGTGGTGATTAGGATGTAGTCGTAGACGACGCCCTGCGGACAGTCGGTAAGGCTGCGGATGAGGTGGTCGGGGCGGTAGGTGACGGTGCCGAAGAGTGGGCTGTGGAGCGTGAGGCCGGATTGCTGGACTGCGGTGTAGTTGGAGCGGCAGACTGCTGTTACTTTGCAATTGGCGCGTTGGAGTTGGTGCAGGTAGATGCTGCCGACGGAGCCGGTGCCGTAGAGGAGGATGCTGACCATTTTATTTATGGTATCTATGTTTATATATGAGGAAAGAAGAAGGATGAGGATGAGAAGAAGAATGGTGTGGAGAAGGAGATGCGGGGACTAGTTAAGGCGGGATTTGCCGAGGTAGCCCTAATCAGTCTATCTTCAGTATACTAGGTGGTACCTAGTATATACAATTCTAGTAAGATACATCCATCAGTCTAAATAACTAATTCTAACCAAAGTCCATACCAACAATCTACATTAGATCACTGGTGGAAACCCCGTACAGCCCCCTCCACACACTCCGCCAACGACCCAAAATGCACCCCCCGATTCACCATCCCCGGCGCATAATGCGCATACTTCGCCGAGCTGGTCATGATATTCCGCCCACCCGGCGGCACGACCGGCTCGCCCAGCATACACCAGCACGTATCGGTGATGATCGTGCCCCCGAACGCCTCCACCGTCGCCAGATACCCCTCGGCCTCGGCGCGCTGCTGCGCCTGACGGCTGGTGGTGACCACCACCGCGACGGCGGGGTGCTTGGTCCGTCCCGCGCAGAGACGGGCCAGACGGGCGAACTCGTCGAGGGTGAAGTGCGGGTTCCCGAGGGAGACGAGGCTGACGGACGGATCAACCGCCGAGTTGAGGGCCTGTCGGCATTTGGCGAGGTCTCGCGTGGTGACGTGGATCTGTGGGAGGTCGCCTTCCATGGCCGTGAACTTGGCGGCCTCCGGGGTAACGCCGCGGATATGGAACATAGCCGCCGAGCCGGTCGTGCCAAAGGCAGCGCTGAAGGCTTTGAGGTCCGTGGTTGTGGGGTGCAGCGTCTCGAGACCGCAGACGAGCGGAATGCGCTGCTGCGCCTGTTGACCGACGAGGTAGCCCAGAAGCGGATAGAGGGAGTCGTCTGCGTCGGGAGTGGCAGACAGGCCCCCCACCTGGATGCAGAGCTGCGGCCTGCGTCCGTCCGGGAGGTGACATCCCGCAGCGGGGGCCCGTCCCGTCAGGGCGATGCAGACGTCGACAAAGTCCGGGTACTTTTGCGTGCGCGCGCCCAGGACGCTATTGGCAAAGACGACGGCGTTGGACTCGGCCCAGCCGATATCCTCCCCGGCGCTGGGGGCCGGGTCCAGCGTGTAGGGCGCACAGGTGAAGCTGGGCCAAGCTCCCATCGACACGTATGTGTCGGCCAGGGCACCCGCCTGGGCGGATAGCTCGGCATCCAAGCCGATCTCCTTCCAGCGGCGTTGGTCGATGGATATGGCATTTAGGGTTGTCGAGAGCACGAACCGCGCCCCTAGGGCGTGGAAGGTCTGCGCGAAGCGGAGACTGGCTGGGCCGGTGTAGATGCAGGCGTCGATGTGCGCTCGGGAGACGTCAATTAAGTACGGAGCGCCCTGGATGGCGGCGAACTGGATCAGTAACTCGAGGGCAATCTTGGGCCCTGGGCCTTGTTCCCCTGCGAGGATCTTTCGGTCGTGCAGGGAGAGTTCGACAACGTCCTCTACGGTGGGGGGCTCCGCGGGGAGAGCGGGGCATATCGGCTGGGTTTGGCTGAGATGGACCCGGTTGCCCTCGATGGCTGCGAATTGGTAGTCTTGAAAGTGTCGAAACTCACCAGGCGAAAGGACCACGACCGGTATGGAACGATTGAAGAGCGTTTTCCCCACTAGGACGCCCAGGGTCATGATCTCCTCGGGTTGCTCGAAGACCAGCGCCGCGGGAGCCTGCGCATTGAGCAGGAGCTCCAACATGACGGTGCTCCCGGAACACGAGCCCCGACTGCAGGGGACGGCTAGGATTCGACCCGCTACCGACTGATCCCACAGGGGATGATGGCGATCCAGGATCCGGCCTGTCGTGGGGTCGACGCCGCCCCAGACGCTCAATCCCGTTCCGCTGGTGAGGATTTCCGCTGAGACGGCACCATGGATGACACATTTGGCCGTGAGATCCATGCTGGTTGGCATGTCTTGCGCTCCACTGACTCGAATGGGGTCCGGTAGGGATTGTAGTGTATATGATTGCGGGGTGTAGTGGTTGATACTAGTCTATACAGGAAGGGTGGGTCCATCCAAGCATCAGAGACAACCCCGTCCTTGGTCGAAGATCCACACGGTGGAAGTGGCAAAAACAACAGAAATGATGTTCAAAAAAGAAAAAGAATGACCAGTGCCAGGTTCGAACTGGCGACCTTTTCGGTGTTAACGAAACGATATGACCAACTAATCCAACCGGCCATTATTGAAGTACTTTTGTCGCCGTTGGATTTATACCCGAGCCTTACTTTAGGGCTTAGCATGTCACGAATTATTCTCACTTACATGTCTCGACATAACATGGGCTACCATCCTATTCTTCAGTTACTCCTAGGACTGTTCATATTGAAGCAATCTCCGGGCTTACTATAACTATTACATTGGGCCTTTGAGTCTGGAATCTCACTGTTACTCAAGTATTTTGTACTAATTTTTCATAACCCTACCAGACTGGCACAGAACAAATACCGTGCCTGGACAAAGACCCCTTGACACCAAGCTATACTGCTTTAAAAATCACCCATCTTCTAGTTCCATTTCGCCTCTTCACTACATGTTTCTAGTAAACGGGGCCTGGCTTCAGTGGATTCCCACGACGCGACTGGCTCGCCTGATACTGTCGACACCGCTGGTACATGGCATAGGTTATTTTTTGGTGACGTTCACCAGGCCCGCCAGGATACCGCGGGCAACATTGAAGAAACAGGGCACCGCGGGCGCTGGCGCTTTAGTCTTCTGAGGAAACTACTTAGGCTTATATGATATCTACGATAGCAATTCTTGAAACTTTTTGTGGTGATATTGTGGGTATTCTTCCTACTGTTTGGCTTTCTCGGCGGCCTCCTCCTTACCCCGAAGGGGCAGGTTATCCACCTTCTCTTCCTTCTCCACCTTCTTCTCCTCCACCGCCTTCTTCTCCTCCGCCACCTGCTGCTGCTGCTGCTGCTGCTGCTGCTGCTCCCAATCGTGGCGTTTGGCGGCGCGGGCTTCGAACCGGGCGGGGCGGCGGGGTCCTTGGCCGGGGCGGTGGCTATTGATTGCCACCCGCGACCGTCCCTGTGATCTCTTAGATAACGGATCTATGATGCAGAAATGTAGATTGATGCTTACCATCCCCCGCAGCCCTTCACGGAGCCAGCATTGGTGGATGGTGTGGCCCCTCTCGTTGCAAAAGGCACAAACGATCGGCTTCTCAATAGTTAACTCTTGACGATCCCGGACTTCTAGACTAGAGCTTCTTACCTTTCGCTTCTTCACGCCGGCGTGAGAACCTTTGGCTGGTGCCATAATAGTGATGATCTGGTAGTGGTTGGTGTGGTTGGTGTGGTTGCCGTTCGATGTAACAGAAGTTGAAGATAATCAGGGAATAGAAAATGCAGAATATATAGTCATTAGGATTAAAGATAGCTGGTGCTTATGTCCATTCATGATAGGTTGTATGCACAATAGGCTATTAATTGTCACATAGTCAATAAACAATAGAAACATGGTTCAAGAAATTTGTATATCAATTAGATGAATTAACAATAGACGCGGTTGAATCAACAATGAATTATGAACAGTGGCCACTTGTACATTATATACTTGAATTAGTTATAACACATGTCTTATGATGATGATGATCAGTCACTGATCCAAATCAGTGGTGGAAACATGGGTCAGGACCTGTTGATTGAATCATCCTGACGACAGTGAATATATGCAAGCAAGGCGGACCGGCCTCTTGATCCATCGTAATCTCCCCCTGGAACTCTTTTTTCCCACCTACCGACATATATCGACATTCAAAACTAGCAACAACATCTTCCAACTACAGCAGAATCCAACCATTATCATCATGCCCCGTAACATCGTTCGCGAGCAACTCAACCATCTTTGGGATGCCATCGTTTTGAAGAACGAGATCCCTATCTCTCGCGAAAACGAGATAGCGGCGAATGACCTCATCCCTCATAATATCATCTGTATCAGCTGGGACTTTGAGACTCTTGATCAGGAGGAAGATAACCTCCGACAGACCCCTCCAATCCTTTTTTACCCTTTGCCGGCCCAGGTACTGGCCGAGAACCCCATAGACCCCTCTCCCTATGGCAGCCAGCAGGAGCAGGAACGCGCCTTGCAATACTACGACTTCAACCCTCCTGCAGATGAAGAAAATCACCGCTTAGGTTCCTTCAGCCCCATCTCGTGCGGTGTCAGGGTTTCTGGATACGTGAAGTCTTGGGCGTTGGGATTCCCGCGGCCAACATTCGGAGTCGAGCGCGTTATTAATGGCCCTAGTTATATGCGCAAAGTGTCGTCAGTATCTCTTGAACCACTAATGTCAATCTTATATTGTTCGAGATACTAATAGCTAGACTCTCTGTTGTATTAGTCTCCCCAATCCGCTCTTGCTAGGGCCAGGTTGGACATGGTTCTACCCAAGCTATCATGACAGATGGAGCGCTCGGCATCTGATGGAATTTCCTCGAGAAGCCGGCCATGGTGTCTATCCCCATGTGACTGCTTGTCTTGTCCAAGATTTCAACGCCAGGGATAATATTCTTCTCTATTCAGAGCTGGCTGCAGTCATAGCTGCCATGCGCAACCGGGCCAATCAACCTAAAGTTGATCCCGACAATGAGGACGCCCAGGAGGCTCTCCTCACAAAGTCAGAGAAGTATATTCATGAGCTTCGGCGTGAATTCCCAATGGAGAAGAGATTCCCAGTGTTAATACTCTCTTTTGTGGGCCCGCAACATGCCCGATTTTTGTATGCCTGTATGGATAGACGGCAGTTGGTGATCCGGCAGTCCCAACTGTACAGCTTCGTGACAAAATCCGATGCAGCTTTAGATCTCTTTGCGCGATTCTTGTTGAGTCGGCCTCTCAGTGAGCAGTAGGTCCCGCGCGCTCGAAGCCCTTCTCGTTTTACCCCCATTTGAACGTGGCCCCAACTATCACTTGGGCTTTTCTATCACTCTTGTTTATGTTCCTTGAAACATGCTCACCCAATGAACAAATTGAAAATCAAGTATGAATAGACAGGAACAAACTCAAGCTTCCATTCCTTCTTCATTCCACACTCTCTCTCTCCTGCCCAAGCATCCATACAATATTTCCAAACACAACCAACCCCACATTCCTCAAGATGTCATTACCCAAAACGCAACAAGAGTGGAGTTGCCAAGCTCAGGCAGCAGGTGTCCATAACCGATCTCTCAAGTCCTGTAGCACATTGCAGTCCGGTTCTAGAGTTAATCATCAGCAGTTTCTTCTGTTTCGAACAGTTGTCCCTGATATTCAACCAATGAGCCGACTTGACACCAGTCAATATGGTCTCCAAATGCACATGCAGGAGGCCAGTCAGATATTGAACAATCCAGAGTTCAACAGATATCTAATGGCCATTCACAGTGCCAACTGGGTGAGTTTACGTGATTTTCGGAACATCTTGCGCGCCCAGATTGAAGTACTAGCTGGACAGCAGCAGACACACCTTCTCAGAAGGATTGATGAGACAGCTGTAAATACGAGTCTCATTTTACTACTCATAGCCATTAGCTCTATGCACCCTCCCCTGACGAGGGAGTGGAGATCATCTCGAATCACACTCACGGCGAATTTTGGGTCTATGAATAGTTAGCACCACACAATCTAAAGCATTTGGTCAAAAAAAATAAAAACCGAAACAAAAACCACCAAGACGAGCTAGGTAGCAGTAGACTGGGCAAAAACAAAAAGAAATGACCAGTGCCAGGTTCGAACTGGCGACCTTTTCGGTGTTAACGAAACGATATGACCAACTAATCCAACCGGCCAGTTGTTGAAGAACACCGACGGGAAAGTGCTATCTAAGCCTGCCTACTTGGATCCTGACAGTGGTCACGTGTTTGTTGTAGAAATTCAGCAGTATTTTGCCCATCCATACCGCCATCGTCGCCTGCTTGTTTACCATCATGTCGCAAGATGAGTATGATACCATTAAGAATCTCGCTATTCAGCAATCCGTGCTTGAATATTACGATCCTTACAAGGAGCCGAATGAAATTACATCAGTGCCTAAACAGCCCGAGTCGCCCACAATTCCGGGACCAAAGAGAGAAAAGGAATCCGTCCAGGAGTATACTGATCGAGTTAATCTCTATTTAACAGAGAGAAAACTTTATAAGGTGCTGGATATAGACCATAAGGGGGTCAATAAAGGGCTAAGTATCGTTAGCCAAAGGATTGGGAAAAGCGTGGATCGCTCACTGTTATTCTATTATTGGAACGATTCATCGGTATATGAGACGCTTCGATTACTTCGACAGCGATATGAACCGACGGCCGAACAGCGTCGAGAAACATTGCGGCGGAACTTTCATGATGCTCGAATGGCACCTGCCACGATGGCTAATATCAAGCTATGGACCGCGAGATATGAGAACGCATTCGAAGCTTGCAAGGCTCTCAAGGTGCTCGATGTCACGGAAGGATACGCCATTGACCAATTCTTCGAATGCGTGAAAACCCTAGAACCCGCATGGGTTGAACGTTGCCACGTATGGAGTCGGATACCAAACGCTTCGCTTTCAACAATCATAAGCTTATTTCTTGAACACGTACTATACAAGAGGTCATCTGTAAAGTACTAGCTTTCTCATCAGCCACATTGCCTGGCCTAGCAGATGAACCAAATTGGAAATGAAAGGAATCAGGTGCATACTCTTGTATTTTGTCAAATTTGTCATTTTACTATACCAGGATATAGTGACATCGGTAGAGCTTCCTCGGATCTTATGCTTGATATACCGAATGATACTCCTCCAAAACTATACATGATGCAGCCTATAGCTAAAAACCGACCAATAATACATGACAACAGGATAGAAAAGACGCAGCCGTTAATTCCTTCAAACCAGCCAGTTAGCACTCATTCAAGCACCCACAAGATCAGACCAAGGGCAAAAAAACACCAACACAAAACATACATTATAAATTCACATCCCCACCATAAATCGTCTCCGTGATTCCTATTCCTCCTCTTCATCATCATCCATATCCGTAATGCGCCGGGCCCCGCCACCACTAGTAGACGCATGGGTAGACGGAAGCTGCTGCCGCCCTGTCTCGTCGTAACGGCGCTCTTCGACGACGGTCGGACCGCCTAGTTCCTGGTGACCGGATCGCACGACGCGCGTGCCGTCTGGGTTCGTCTGAGAGGAGGTGGCGTAACGCTGGCCGCTGACTTGGTTGCCGTTTCTGGACGAGCTGGAGCTCGAGTAGAAGGAAGAGGAGGAGCTGCTGTAGGTTGCGCCGGCCATGGTGGTGGTTGTTCAAGAGTTTAGTCTTGGTGGATGCGGTCGAGAAAGTTTAATACACTGTATGCTTTTTAAGAATGGAGGATAGAATTGGAGGTTGAGTATTTATATGGGTTGGGTGGTGGTGTGGAGATGGTTTGCGTAGAAGTGATGTCATTGTACTTCTTATGGAGCATCGATTTGCGACGAACTGGTCCGAATCTTTCGAGATGTTTCGATGCGTGTACGGAATATTTAATGCGTGCCTTTTTTTCTTTTTCTTTTCTTTTCTATTCTTAATCTTTAAGCCAAAAAGAAAAATCATGGGTATGTCATGATTTTTCTCGGCGGTGGTCTGTCCGCTACATAGTAATATATATTCAAACCTTTTTATTGAACACTGGGAGACTCCAGCCCAAGATACAACTCTTACCATAAAAATAGCCATGTGGAAGGCTAAAATGAAACATCTAACGTGTACAATATCATGTAAGAGCTGTTTAGTTAAAATGGTAGTTGTAATGTCTTGTAGGTGAGCGGGTTGGTTGTTCGTTAGGGCTATTTGGTTTCATGCTAACATAGTCAAGACACCATGGTGACTGAGACAAGGAGGTTTCAAACAGACTTCTTATTAGTTGAAACTACATCGTCTCTCCAAAATTAAGCTGTGAGACAGTATAACATCATTGGAGCTGAGCTCGACGTGGTTCAGACTTGATGACTGAATGTATATTTAACGATTATACCACTATCAAGACCCGCTGCCGATACGCTCTTCTAGCATTTCCCCAAAGCAGCTAAAACCTAGCGTTAGCCAAATAAAAGCAAACTAAAACACACAAAAAGCATAAAAAGAAAAGACAGCAAGAAAAGAACATACCCATACTGCATTTACTATCCGTAAAGTAACCATTGACATAGCAAACATAGCCACTATCAATGATGATCTTGTCCCAAGTACTGCCCCGCCATCATTAGTGACCATCCCAACCTGTCACGCATCACGAGCCTTACCAATTACCCTGATAGCACTCTCCTTTCTTGTAGCAAACAAAGTTATAGGAGTTACCCACGGGGGCACGGTGGCGGACTTCATAGTTCGTACCAGGCCCCGCTCGGCAATTGGCATACTTTGACACATTGATGATCTTGCAGCTGACGGAGCGTTTGGCTAGGCCCAGGGCTTCTGGGCTGGTGTCGCGCGGTTCCGGATCTGTCGGAGCGGCGCTGGATGCCAGGAGTAGGCTGGAGAGAACGAGGGATAGGGTGGGGAGTTTCATTTTGGTGATTTGATGTTGACGTGTAGGACCAAAGGGTAGGGTACTTGAGGACGTGGACAGGAGTTGAAGCGGTGGATATGGTGGTTTTTATATTGCGCAACAGCAAAGTGTTTGTCTATGTCTACATTGTATATTCTTGGAGATACTCTCTATATACTGTACTAAGTATGGATACGGATGGCTTGGTTTGTCGAGCGCCACTCATCAGCTAAATTAGATATACGAGGTTGCACTGCAGCATCACCTCGGCACAAGATAGCCCTGGAGCTCTCGTGCTATCGCGATTGTACAGAGATGAAAAGATCAATGTTTGATGTAAAAGCTTTTTTTTTATTAATTGAGCGGGGAATTCCATTCCAATGTATGTTTAAAACCTAGGGCTATTCTGCGCAAGGACGCAGATCACTTGTAGTACTCTAGCTCCATCCAAATAGACGACTTGCCGCGCCGACCCGGTTAATCAATCTCTGCATTGGATCAAACTGAATACGAGAATTCCAGCCACTTCTATTCTACCTTGCAGACTCGAGTCCTAAAGTCTGGACCAGAAAGAACAATTGAATTTTGCTCCACCACGAGTAGCAGCAGCATCAAAGCGGGGGTGGCTTCGGAGGCATTCTAAGTGAAATGGCTAGGAGCCGTTGCAGACTTCCTGTACTACAATAATTGTTCAACCCATGGTTATAAGCAATTGGATTTGTTCGTGAGTATAGCAGCGGAGTGGTTGATATTGGAGCGTAGTGACTGATACTTCAATGTGACGATGGACAGAACTATAATGCAAAAGTACCCATTTCACTAGTGTCCCAAATCTAAAATATCAACAGGCAAGATGGCCGAGCGGTCCAAGGCGCTAGGTTCAGGTTTACCTGACCATCACAGTTCTCCGGAACTTCCTAGTCACGCAAGTGGCGTGGGTTCGAATCCCACTCTTGTCATATATTTTTGTTTTTTGTTTTAACAAACACATCTTTGCTTGTAAAGTGGAGTTCAGACATGGTGGGCGGGATAGTATCACTTCTGCACCCAATCAAAGAACAGTATGACGGATTTTGTGTTTTCATGGGTAATGCCCAGTATACTTTAATGATATCTGCCACTCACCAGGAAAATAACATCAAACTCTCCCTGACTTTTCAGATGCCGGCAACCCCCAAGTTGTCATCCATTTCGAATCAAGGATAGTTGTAGCAGTGGCTCGCTCCTCTGGTCTGAATGCAAGCATACGGCGGAGCATATCTAGGAGAGCCACCGTTTCTTCCGTGCCAACTTGACCCATGCCATTATTTTGCCGTGCTGCCTGTATCTCCCGCTCGAAGCAGTCTTCAAGAGACGGGACAACAAAACGGCCCTTCTTCGGCCGCCCAGTACTATCGAATTACTCATGGTGGGCTTCCCACTTCTTCCACCACTCAAGTGGTAACTGTCCGAGGATGTCTACCTGCTGGGAGGAAGTGTCATCGTGTGTGGCGAGCGTAGCATCGAACAGTGGACGTGAGCTGAAGATTGACCAGATAGCGCACGCAAGAGCCCAGATGTCCGCGGGAAACGAAATCGGCCGATCGGGCTCAAAATAGGCCTCTGGCGGTAAGACGGGCAGTGGCAAACAGCATTGGTCTCCGGTTCGCGTCTGCTGAGGATTGGATGGGGAGAAAGCCTCGCCAAAGTCACTGAGGAGTAGATGAGCCTCGCCGAGTGCGATCTCATTCGATTTCTTTCCTAGCCCTACGGGCACTAGGAGGAAGCGGCTGTCCATCAAGGCGTTCGATCCGCGCTGTGCAGGGCTCCCCAAACGCCCTGTAGAGCTGCTCGACGGTGAGTTTGTTCAAACTCGATGGCAGCCGGATCAAGACATTCCCAAGGTGAAGATCTGCTCTCGACGTGTCAGCGACGGCTTCTTCCCGGCCGTTCTCGCTATTCTCGAAAAGACTCACCTCCGTGCACAAAACCTCGGGCATGTGTGTATGTAATGGCCAACACCAGCTCGCTGGCCAGTGCGCGTGCTGTGTCAATATTGAAAAAAGTAGGGAAGCTTGCTGCAGCCACACTGCTTTGGGCCGGAGATGTCACGTAACATCTGTGGGATCCATTGGGGCTTTGGATCTCGAATCGGTCATGTATCAATGGGATCATAGCCCGTCCCGAGCAGTCGGTCTGACAAGTGTCCGTAATGGCACATAGAACGTCCGCCTCGTTAGACGGGGCGTCTCCAGTGCCAATCTTGACCGCAACATAAGCTGTTTGCTGCTCATCACGTGCGAGCCATACCGTGGAATATGTCCCGTAACCCAGCTTGTGGACAATTCGGTATCGGTCTTTGAACATGTCTCCAATGAGTGTTGGATAATATCCCCCAGGCTGATACCTCTCCAGTCTCTCCACACCCTCGATCGGCTGATATAGGAAAGGAGGGGCCTTTTCAACTGGGAGACATGTTGGAATTGTATCTTGCCATCAGTCGCCTGGAGACTTGCGAAAACGAAGGCGCCTTGTGAAGTATGAGACGGTGCAACGGTCTCATGGCGACCGTGACCAAGATGGCCAGGGAACGTTACCAAACAGTACTATAAGAGGCCAGTTGACCCAACTTAAGCCCAGCCCTTGCCCCAGTCCAGTTACGGGTTATTCGTGAGTTACCTTGATCTGATGTTATCGCGATCGCGTATAGCAGTCTTGCCGGGGTAGCTTTCCACTGCGTTTTGGCACTTGTGTAGAGGGCGAGAAAAGCAAATGCAGCAAAAAGTGTTAATACCACTAAATCATGTAAGACATCAGGATATGTCTGGACATCGTAAGCAACCACATCACCAATGCAAAGAAAGCCAAAAGTTGATCTAGCTCGAGAAAAAAGATGGCCTGAATATCTTGAGGACCAAGAGTCATCCGGTTGTCCCTGCAATTGACTAGGGTAATCCAAGTGAGCTATTTCGAGGGGTAGTACATTATTCCATTGTCTACCCCAATTGCATGATAAGATGCTGCAGCACCCTGCAAAGAGCACTCCTTTCGACGGCTACATTCATGTCATCATGACTCATGGGGCACGAATCCCCCGCGGGGTTTGGAAAAGATATCACTTGTTCCCGATGTCGCCAGAGCCCCAAGCTGACGACGGAGTACGTACAATCTAGGTGATGAAGCAAGCGGCACAGCTGCAGCATCCCCATGCACGTTTCTCAATGAGCCCCGAGTTTTGCTGAACCAGGTTGACAATACTTGGCGATATATCAAAAGGTTTCTAATGTTGCAAGCATGAACACCTGAGGCTAGGGATGCTCTCTAACTAGTCAATTCAGCATAAAGTTACATTAGTAAGCAATACATACAGTGTTGATCATTACCGGAAAAATAAGATCTTCCGCTGGCGGGGTCTCCCCCACCATACGCGGATTTCAACACCGAAAAGATATGACTCAATTTCCATCTGGAATCAAACTTACATACCATATTTCTCGATCATATATTGTCCTACGGGCGAACGACTCACCATAATGGCTGACGCAGTCGCGGACAATTTGGCCAAGCTCCAGCTCGACCCGGAGACCGGAGAGATGGTATCCAAGGGCGAGTTGAAGAAGCGCATGCAGAAACGAGCCAAGAAGGCCTCCAAGGATTCGGCCAAAGCAACCCAGCCGGCCAAGTCGACCGAGAAGGCCGCTCCGCAGAAAGCGGTGGCCCCCACCGCCGATCCTGATGCCATCTTCAAGCAGGGGTTCCTCTCCGAAGTGTACAACCTGCGACCGTCGCCCCACGTCCGCACGCGATTCCCTCCCGAGCCCAACGGGTACCTCCATCTTGGCCACGCGAAGGCCATCGCGATCAACTTCGGTTTTGCGCGCTTCCATGGCGGCGAGTGCATTCTTCGGTTCGATGATACCAACCCGGACGCCGAGGAGGAGAAGTACTTCCATGCTATCGAGGATATCATTCGCTGGTTGGGTAAGGTTCTGGCGGGGAGGGGATAGGACAGGGCTCCGCTAATGGGTCTCTAGGATTCACGCCTTCTCGGATCACCTACTCGAGCGATAACTTCCAGCGCCTGTACGATCTCGCCGAGAAGCTGATCGGGCTGGGCAAGGCCTACGTCTGCCACTGCAACGAGGCGGATCTCAAGATGCAGCGCGGAGGTGAAGACAACCGGTCGCCCCGCTTCCAGTGCGCGCATGCCTCGCAGGACGTGGAGACCAACCTCACCAAGTTCCGCGACATGGCCGCGGGCAAATACGAGCCGCAGACGGCGTTTCTGCGCATGAAGCAGTACCTTCTGGAGAGCGGGAATCCCCAGATGTGGGACATTGTCGCCTATCGCATTCCCAAGAACCGCACCCCGCACATCCGCACCGGGACGAAGTGGCATATCTATCCTTCTTATGACTTTGCGCAGTACGTGTGGAGCCCGGCCTCGTGTATATTGTATGGTGCTAACCCAGCAACAGCTGTCTCTGCGATAGTTTCGAGAACATCACCCACAGTCTCTGCACGACCGAGTTTGTCACCGCGCGAGAGAGCTACGAATGGCTCAACAAGACCCTTGGCGTCTACGAGCCGATGCAGCGCGAATATGGTGGGTTTGTCTCCGCGACGGGGCCAGCTGTTACTAACTGCTTTTAGGCCGCCTCAACGTCACCGGAACTGTCATGAGCAAGCGAGTCTTGAAAGAACTGGTGGAGAAGGGACACGTGCGCGCCTGGGATGATCCCCGTCTCTACACCCTGATCGCCATCCGCCGACGAGGTGTCCCGCCCGGAGCTATCCTCTCCTTCGTGGGCGAGCTCGGCGTGACGACGTCCCTGAGCATCATCCAGATTGCCCGATTTGAGCAGTCCATCCGCCGGTACCTCGAGTCGTCGGTTCCCCGTCTCTGCCTGGTGCTGGACCCCGTACGCGTGGTGATCAAGAACCTGGGCGACCTCGAGGGACAGGAGCTCGAGCTGCCGTTCTCGCCCAAGAAGCCCGAGTTCGGCTCGTACAAGCTGAAGATGACATCCACCGTCTACATCGACCGGTCCGATTTCCGTGAAGTCCCGTCCAAGGAGTTCTTCCGATTGTCGCCGGGCAACACCGTCGGCCTGATGAACGTGCCGCAGCCCATCAAGGCGACCTCCTTCTCCACGGACCCCACGACCGGCCAGGTCACCGAGATCCAGGCCGAATTGGCGCCGGACAGCGGCAAGCCGAAGTCCTTCATCCACTGGGTTCCCGAAGGGTCGCGCAAGGTCACAGCTCGGATCCACCACTCGCTGTTCAAGTCAGAGAACCCCATGGCTGCGGAGGGCGGCTTCCTTGCCGACATCAACCCCAACAGTGAGACGATCTACCCGGATGCGCTCGTTAACGCTGGGTTCGAGGAGGTGCGCCGTCGGGCGCCGTGGCCTCAGGCGGAGGGCGAGAAAGCGGGCTCTGGGCCGGAGGGTGTCCGGTTCCAGGCCATGCGGGTCGCCTATTTTGTAAGTTTTCATAATTGAGTGTTGAGTGTTGTAACTCGTACTAACGGTGTATAGGCCATGGACTCGGATAGCACGGAAGATTCGATTGTGCTGAACCGGATTGTGGCATTGAAGGAGGATGCCGGCAAGGAAGGTGGTAAATAGGGAATAGGAATATAGGATTCGTTAACGATAGCTGCATAATACAATATTATATCAATATTCTCCCTAGCAACTACTGAGAAGTATGACTGCTGCCTGAGGCTACGAACAGGTGATAAGATAAGCTTTAAAACCCCTCATCTCCCCCTCTCCTCTCCCTCCACTCACTCTCCCTCTCCAAACCACAAACTCCAAGAGAAATATACAAAATGTCCGGCCTAACACCAACCCAACTCGCAACCTTCCACGAAAAGGGATACCTAGTCGTCGAAGACTACCTCACCCCGGAAGAAGTGAACTCTCTCCTAACAGAAACCCACCACCTCCTCGACACCTTCGACCTCGACACGCACCCCCTCACCCAATTCACCACCGGCGACGACTCCAGCGATGCCAAACCCCACGTGGGAGACGACTACTTCCTCACCTCCGGCGACAAACTCCGCTTCTTCTTCGAACCCGACGCCATCAACCCCACGGGGCAACCAAAACTCACCCGCCCCAAACAACAAGCAGTCAACAAAATCGGCCACTCGCTGCACACGCTCTCCCCGCCCTTCAAAGCCGTCAGCCTCAACACCCGCACGGCAGCCATCGCGCGCTCACTCCGCTTCCAAGACCCGCGCCTGCTGCAGAGTATGGTCATCTGCAAGCAGCCGCGGATAGGCGGCGCCGTGCCGCCTCATCGGGACAGCGAGTTCCTGTATACGGATCCGCCGTCGGCGGTGGGGTTCTGGTTTGCGTTGCAGGATGCGGGGCCGGGCAATGCGACGCTTGTTATGATGCCTGGTACGCAGGGGGAGGGGATTCAGAGGAGGTTTGTTAGGGTTTTTAAGGAGGGGACGGGGGAGACGGTTGGGACGGGGTTTGTGGGGAATGAGGGGGCGCGGGTGCCGAGAGGGGAGGTGGAAGCTAAGGGGGAGGGTAAGGAGGAGGAGGAGGTGTTGAATGTTAAGGCTGGGTCGTTGGTGTTGATCCATGGGAATGTTCTGCATAAGAGTGATCGGAATGAGAGTGAGAGGAGTCGCTTTGCGTATACGTTTCATGTTATTGAGGGGGCGGAGGGGTGGGACTATGATGAGCGGAATTGGTTGCAGCCTTCTGAGGGGGGGTTTTCGAGGGTATATCAGTGATTTGATTTTCTTTTTGTCTCTTTGCTTATCTATTCATTTATCTATCTAGTTACTTATTTGGTTATATTCCCAGGATGCTTACGGTAAACCTTATAGAATAGTGTAGTGAATTGATCGCTATGTACATACATCCCAACCATAACTCCATCCAATGCAATAAACCCAATACTAAATCAGGTCGTCTTCAACATCTCCAACATCCCCCTCGTCTCAAACGCCTGATGCGCCATCTCCACCTCATCGCGCACCCGACGATGCAGCCTCTCCACCATCTTATCGATCTGCGCCGACTGGCCCAGATTCCCGGAGTAAATATCCAGCACGTTCATGGCGACCTCAACGCTGAGCCGGACCAGCCGCGGCTCCGTGATGTTCTTGTACACCCACTGCAGCACAGGCTGCAGGGTGTCCTCGTCGCGGTTGCGCAGGGCAGCGCGCAGCGCAGAGCGGTGTCGCAAAGCCGTGAGGAGCGTGAGCTGGGCGGTGCGGTCGCGCGAGGCAAGCACCTGGTCGAGAGCGGCGCCGTAGCGGGCTTTGCGCAGATCCTGCTCCCAGCGCTGCTCGCGGGCGCGCTTGCGACGGTCGCGGCCTTCGATGACGATGTCGACGCCTTCGCCGACGAAGTCGTGGCCCCGCAGCCGCTTCTCCCAGCCGGATCCGCGCTGCTTCTGCTTGGCGACTTTGCGGTCGTGCTCTTCTAGTCGGCCGTCCAGCAGGGCTTGCATCTCCTTGCGACGTTCGCGCTCCTTGGCCTTTTGCTGGCCTGATAGTCGGGTCTTGATGGAGAGGAGGCCGGACTGCATGCCGACGGCGAGGTGCTTGTCCTCTTGGGCGACGCCGGAAGTGATGGCGCGCAGGGAGAGGATGGGGGAGGGGTACTTGGACCCCGAGACGACGTTCCAGCCGGTGGTCTCGAAGACCTTGAGGTGGCCGTCGAGGGAGCCACTGACGAGGCGCTCGCCGTTGGAGGCGAGGGCCAGGGACGTGACGGTCTTCTGGTGGCTCTGGATGAGGTGCAGCGGCTTGCCGGCGACGATGTCCAGGACGGCGATCTTGTTGTCGGCGGCGGCGAGCACGGTGGTGCCGGCGGGCATGGGCAGCACGCTCTCGATGGGGGCGGCCATCTTGAAGGTCATGGCGGCGCGGGTGTCGACGCGCGGGTCCCACAGGCGGACGGTGCGATCGTAACTGCCGGAGAAGAGGAGACCGGACGAGGCGAGCGAGCCTGGCATGAAGCCACCGCTGCGCACGTAGTCCGTGTGGCCGTGGAAGGTGCGCTGGCTGGACTGGCTGGGGAGGTCCCAGAGGCGCACGGTGCGGTCGTCGCTGGCGGTGAAGACGGAGGTGGGGTCGCTGGGGTTGAACTTGGAGACCCAGACGGGCTGCTTGTGGTCCTTCCAGGTCTTGAGGATGGCGCGCGAGGTCACGTCGAAGACCTGCACGGTGCCGGTGTCGTCGCCTGTGACGAGGACGCGACCGTCGGGACGGACGTCGGTGCCGCGGACGGTGTCATCGAAGCGGGTGATGGTGCGCAGCAGTTTCCGGGTGCGGATGGAGTAGATCTGGACGCGGGCGCCGGTGGTGACGGTGAAGACGTCCGGCGGCTGGGTCAGGGAGGGGAACGCTGCGGCGGAGGAGGGAGCGGAGGGTTGCGTGATGAGGTTGATGGGGCCGTTGGCGGGCGAGGGAATGAGGAGAGCGTTCTTGAAGGTCTTCCAGTATTGCTGTTCGGGGGTCAATTTGGTGGAAGGCAAGGCCGGCAGCTTGACCTGCTGCAGGGGGAGGACGGGAGCAGCCATGCTGCTGAAGTAGAGGTCGGGATGTGTTGGGGACTGAAGGGTGTGGTGATGGTAGAGATTTCGCGATCTTTTTTTTTTTTGAAGTTTTTGATGGCAGTTCCCGATCGGGTATGGTCGGATCCACTGGAGGTCACCGCCTGCCGCCCACCGTCTCTCACCGCCTTCTTTTCATTATCGATTTGACTGGAGGCAGCTGATTATTCTGATGGATACTCTCTGTACAAAGTGCTCTGTATAGAGATTACTTGTATATCAAGTTGCATGGAGATACTGGAGAGAATGACTGATTTATAGTAGCTGGGGTCAATATATAACTTAGAAGAAAACCAGGAACATAACAAGTCCTCGATGGTCTAGTGGTTATGATTTCCGCTTGTCATGGTTTATCCATACAAGCGCGGGAGAGCAGGGTTCGATTCCCTGTCGGGGAGTTCTTTTTTATTTTTTCTTTCCACTTCTTACACAACCATGGTTGACTATCATCTTACTTTTATATCTTTACTACATATGATTGAAGAAGTTTTTAAATGTGTATAAAATCTACATGTATATAATTTCTTCCATTTGACTAATGACGCATGATGTCGACATGACATAACACGAGGCTACGAACGAGCTACAAGGCTCAGACTCAAGAGTCACCTCTGCCTGGGTCTAGTCATGCAGGTCATCTCCAAGTAGGGCTGATTCCAAACCGGATTATTTTAGACCTGTTTTAGACCGCAGCCTGGTCCCCGCCAAGCACGCTCGTGTCGAATCTAAATGAATGTAAATGAAGCCGCCTGATGGTGGCGGTGGAGTGTCCACCAGTCCAGTAGGCAACGGAATTCATCTCCTGTCTCTCCTGTCAGGTTTTCGGATATTGTCTGATGCAGAATTCAAGGTGGCTGGCAGTGGACCTCTCCCGGGTCTAGAGTACCTCCCAGGTACATCCGTAGACTCTGGAGGTACCTCGAGGGACTGCGTATGGTAATTCCATTACGATACCGACGATCCACGCAGGATGTCATGCAGGAACCGCCTTGTCATCCAATCAGGCTGCATACACGTGATCCCCCAGCCTCCCACCAGCCACCCGATTTCCCCACCAGCCAATCAGCGGCCCCACTCCGTTCCCCATCGACACCTGAGGTCACCCCGTGGGCCTGATCGCCTCGATACCTGAGGTACGCCCGCTTTGTTGTTTTCTCCCTTCCTCGTTCTCACTTCATCTCTTCTTCTTTTCCCTCTTTCTATCTGACGCTCTGATCTGGTTTCTTTGCCTTCTTCCTTGTTTCTTCGATCCCAAATCCATATCAAAACCAACCTTTGCTCGATCGAGCACCCCTCCCAATGCCATCTGGGATTGTTCCCCTCCCCTGGCAACTCATCTAGTGTGCCGCTCTCGTGGATTCACTTCACACTCTCAACAACTCTCGTTTACTATTGCACTCTCACTTAAACATGTCAAAATCAAACAAACTCTCCATCAACCATGCCGCTGGCATCTTTGCGGATATGTCTGTCGATGGCCCCGCCATCGGCACCCTCGTGGCCGTCATAGATCGCGCCAAAAACTTGCCCAATCGCAAGACCATGGGAAAACAGAACCCTTACTGTGCGGCGCGTCTGGGCAAAGAAGCCAAGAAGACCGAGACCGATATGCGCGGTGGTCAAACCCCGAGATGGTAAGCTTCCCTTCATTCTGGGGACGCGCGATGGTCGATGTCGTGGCTAACCTCTGATACAGGGACCAGGAGTTGCGGTTCACAGTACACGAATCCCCCGACTACCTCCGTCTCAAAGTCTCCGTCTTCAATGATGACAAGCGCACCGATATGATTGGCGAGACCTGGGTCGGCTTGAAAGACCTCATCATCCCCGGAGGCAGTCAAAGCGACCAATGGCATCCCTTGCAGTTCCGCGGCAAGTACGCGGGTGAGATCCGCATTGAAATGACTTACTACGATACGCGACCCGAGGATGAGGCTGTCATTGAACGACGCACCCAGGCGGCCGACAAGATCGTCGCGAAATCTAGTAGTAGCTCATTAGCACCCTCCGCCCCCGCCATGTCCGGTTCCTCTTCCCTGTCCGGCCCCCGTCAGCTCAAGGATGTCAAGCGACGCCCCCTGCCTAGTGACCCCACGGGCGCCGCAGCACGACCCTCACTGCCCGAAAAAGTGCCATCTGCACCACTGCCCGTCCAGCCTCCACTCCCTCGTCCCGTCCAGGAACCCGTTTATGCCCCCCGCCAGGCCCCGGAGCTGCAGGAGCCGGTAGTGGCCCCGGTCCCGCTCCGTCCCGCGAGGAACTATGAATTCCCGGACGATTCCCAGAGAGAATGGCACCCCACCCAGATCCCCCCTTCATCACAGATCCCTCCTTCCTTGTCGAGGCGCCAACCCCAAGAGTATGCGCAACCTCACCCGGCCCATGATCCGCGTGTCTACGCGCGACCGCATTCGGGCTACAGCAACATGCCTCCAGCCGATTTCGCGGGGATTTCGCAGCCGCCCCGGCTAGACTATTATCAGCCAGAGCCGGACCGGCGGGTCGAGGCACCTCGTCCCACCAGTAATCACGCGAATTATCCCTTCTCAACAACGGAGCAGTACCCGCCTGGCGCTGACGCGACTCGTCTGGGCCAGGTCGCCCGTTTCCCGCCGCGCGGTTCGGTCAGTGTCCACGAGCACGCGCCATTGGAGTACGCACCCGTGGATAACCCCCTGGCGCCGATGGAAGTGGACCGTCTCCCGTACCGCGCCCCGGTCAATTCCCTCACTGAGCAGTCTCGCCCTCCGCCCAGTCGGGACGGGTACCACGCCGAGTATGCCACGATGCAACCGCGGGTGGAGGACGAGGAGGAAGAAGAGGGCCCTCCGCCTCCGCCCCCCGTGCACCGGTCGGGCGTAGTCGGAGCTAATCAGCAGTTAGTACCGTCACCGCGCTCCTCGTACCAAGCTTACTCTTTAGAGTATGGCGCGCCCCCCCGGTCGTCCCACGACCTCCGCCTATCTCACTCGTCCCACGATCTGGGCCGCTCCCGCCCGTCCCACGAAGCGCGCCTCTCCCATCGGACCTCCAACGAACTCCGCCGGTCCCATCCGCCCCAGCTGCGGCCCGATGGGACCCGCCTGACGGACCTCCCCCCGCCTACGAACGCACCGCACATGCCCCCCAGCCTGGTCGCCGGGTTTGATCCGGTCGTCGCGGACGACGAGTCGGACCGCATGGCGTATGAAGGGGAGGCGCGACGCCGGAGCTCGTATCTGGAGGAGCGCCAGGTGATGATGCCGGAGCCGGAGCCGGCTGTGTCGCTGCCGCCATACCCCGTGAACCCGTCGGTTGAGGATGGCGCCGTCGTCGTCCGCCGCGGGTCGGCCAATACGAACATGCAGATGGTGCCGCTGCGGAAGTCGGTCAGCCCGCAGCCCTTGCGGCGCCAGTCTGTCAGTCCACACCCGGCACATCGTCAGTCAGTCAGTCCGCATCCAGTACACCGCAAGTCGGTCAGTCCGCACCCAGTGCAGCGCAAGTCCGTCAGCCCGCAGCCGCCCGTCGGCGAGCGCGAGGGCGGCCAAATCCCGTTCTCGCCCGACTCATACGACCTGTTCAACCCGAACGCAGCGCGGGCGGCCGTAGTCCGCGATCCCCACGCATCGTACGACACCCCAGCGCAGGCAATGGAAGCCGCACAGCGGTCAGAGCAGGAAACGGCGCGCGGGCCGACCCCGATCATCGGCGACGACGGGAAGGAGATTGACCCGTCGGACCACCTGCCTACGGACACGTGGGCGCCAGAGCCAGAGCGCAAGCCCAAGAAGCCGGGGTTGGTGGTGCGCTTCCGCAACACGCCACGACACAGTCCTGCTGCACCGCCGCCTACCGTGCCTCCTAAGAAATACATCCGGCCGGCCCTCCGGCCGCAGTCGTATCTGGGGGGGGGATCCGATCCCCCGGCTGAGCCGGATCGGGGGCGTTCGCGGTATGGATATCATAATAAATCGTACAGCACGCCGAACGTTGCGGCACCGTACGGCGGGTCCGCGCGGGGACGGTCTCCGGGGTTGCAGGTGGGGTACGCGGGGCACACCAGAGGACACTCGCCGGGTGGACACTCCCCAGGTCTGCATGTCAGAGGACACTCGCCGGGCGTCCACGCCAGAGGCCACTCGCCAGGTGCTTCCATGTACGCACCACCACCCACAGTCGGACCACCCATTCCCGCCAAGGTACCAGTGGGGCCACCAACAAAGACCAGCACGGCGATGGTAGCACCAGGCGGGATGGACGCGCTGAGCCGGGAGCTGAACACGATTGATATCGGGGAGGTGGGGTTCAACCATGGACGGGCGATGAGGAGGTATGTACCGCGGTTGACGACGGGGTATGCATCTTAGTATGCTGGGTATATGTGGTATGAATAGGTACGCCTGGGTATGTTTTCGGGGCATTGTAGGGACATGCATTGTTGAGTGGGTATGGCGTTTGGTTGCATAGACTGTATGATTGTTGATTGTTGATTGATTGATGCCATTGATGGAATGATTGATGATAGATTGAATGGATTGTTTGATATGATACTTTGACGATGATTGATTGATGAAAGATTGATGTGATACACTGATGATGTTTGATCGATGAGGACATTGCTTGATATGAATGGGACAGTGGCGATAGATGGACAATGGCTGTCTTGATGGGGAGGATGTCATCTTCAAGGAATTGTCGTTCATTCAGGACGTTAGTAGTCTGTTGTCTGGTTGTCTATATAAGGGCATATCTCTCTGCTCTACTCTCTACTCTTCTCTCCAACCATCTCTCTCTATCTTACGATCTCTACCCCACGATCCCTATTTCTATCTCTACTTCTATCTCTCTCTACTCTTCTTTACTCTACTATCTTTGCCTTACCATCTCTACTCCATCTTTACCCTAGTACTCCACCTACAACCACCACTATCTCTCCCCAAACACCCAGATACCACCACCACCACCACCACCACCTACACCAAGGGGAACAACACAACTGAAAATGACCCCAACCCGCAAACAACCCCCCCGCAAAACCAAACCCATCCCTAACTTCCCCCCAATCCCAATCCCACCCCCCTCCCATCCCCCCCTCAACACCCAAACCACCCCCAAATGCGAATACCCAACATGCAACCTCACAACAACCACCCCACGACCGCCCCTCCGCAAACTCATCTCCCACGTCTTCGGCCGCAACAAGACCACCACCAAGCGAATCCCAGACGAGATCTGGGTGCACTACTGCCGGAAACACTACCAGCGCGCGCGGTATAGAAGTCACAACTGGGCGCGGGAGCAGTGTGAGCTGCTGTTGGTTTCGTTGGATAGGTTGGAGGGGTGGGGGGGTGTGGGTCTTTTTAGGATTGTGTTGAGGAGGAGGGAGGATCTTAGGAGGAGGAGGGAGGTGGAGAGGAGGGAGGCTCTTGGGTTGGCTTTGGCTTGTCGGACTGGTGGTGATGGTGAGGGGGGGACTGAAGTTTTGATGGGGGGAACTGATACTGACGATGGAGATGTTCGTGGAGGAGAAGGAGATGGGGGGGAGGAGGAGGAGGAGGAGGAATATCCACTAAGTGAAGAAGAAGGGGGAGAACAACAACAGCAACAACAACACCACGAAGCAGAAGATACTCCCCAAGAAGAAACACAAGCAGAAGACACCCAAGAAGAGCCCGAACCCGAATCAAAGAAGCGAAAACAGCGCATCCAACCCTGCCCCGTCCCAACCTGGCTCGTGAATTTGACCAAGTCCCCCAAAACATTCGACGAGATGCGCGCCATCATCCGTGAATTGATGGAGCACTTTAATAAGCTGGAGAATGAGTTGGAGGACGAGTTGAGGAAGAATCTGTGGGGGGAGTTGGAGAAGTATGAGGAGAGGAGGAGGAGGAATATGCTGCTGTTTCCGGATGTGGAGATCTTGCCTGTTTTTAAGGATCCTTCTTCTTCTTCTGGTGGATCTGGGATTGGCAATGGGATTGGGTCTGGTTAAGGGAAGAAGAGGGTTAGGAGTTGGTTATAGGGGAGTTGTTAGAAGGAGTTAGTAGAAAGGAGTTGATTTTGTCTATCACTTTATGTCTAGTTGCTGTTTACTTTTACTATCAACACTGTTACTGCTATAACATCACTCATTACCATTACTCGTATAATATATACACCACGTAACACATTGTTTAAAGAGCACATACTCATATCCTCACAATCATGAAATCACTCCTGATCAGGAATCAACTCATACCCCCCCTCAGAAGGCAAACTCCTCCCAGCAGCGATCAACGCCCCAGCACAAAACAGACTCATCGCCCAGGACACCGTGCAATACACCCACGACTCATCCAGCTGCCATCCCGCAAAAAAGCGGTCCTCGTTATCGTATAGATATGCCTGTATCATTAGCCTCATATATAACCCAACCCCCAACAAGGGAAAAGAAAGAAGAAAAGGGAGACATACAACCAAACTCACACTCCCAACCTGCACCACCGCACTCAACAAAATCAACAAACTCAACACCTTCCACCCATTCTCCCGCAACCTCTTCCCCCCGACAGCACCACAAAAAACGACACCAGGCTCATCCCCTCCAGCACCACCGCAAACGACATCAGGAACCCCACCGACCGCCACATCGAGCAGAAGTAGCGGTCGCCCGCGTGGCAGTCTTCGCTGCTGGGGAAGGATTCGCACGTGTTTGTCAACGAGGAGCAGCGTCGGTGGAGGCCGTAGGTGTAGGTGTAGCCTGGTTTCTTTTTTTCCCCACCCTTCTCTTAGTATTTGATTTACTTGACATTTTTCAATGAATTATTTGGGAGATGGGGAGGGAGGGGCGTACCGAGTCGCTATGATAAGTCACCCATTTCGGAATAGCGATCGAAGAAACCGTCAATCCGAATGCTGTCACATACACCTGTCAGTCTTCCATATGTAGCTGCCTAGGCGCAGCGCAGGCAGACCACGGAGAGATAAAACGAACAAGCAATAAACAGCATCAACCCCCCAATATAAACAATCGTCTTGGTCAGAAACCCCGTGTAATTGCGATCCTCCCCCCGAGGCACAAGGTGGAAATCCATCGTGTATGTGTTGACACTGGATGTGCGCTAGTGTTGCTGTTGATGATGATGATGACGCAGTTACGGGTTGGACGGGCGGGGTGAGACCTGTAGTGGTGTGCCACGTAAAGTGATGGGGAGGGTTATGATACGATGATGAGATGTTGGTGGATGGATCAGAATCCCTATATTAGATAGATGAGAAGAGAGAGAGATGACCAAGATCGACGAAGGGAGGAATGGGGTGAAGGGAGGGAATGATGTTCCACGGGTGGAGAAGCTCGAGCTCTGGTGGGTCATGCCGCTTGCGGGATTTATCTCGAATCAATCATCTGCATCTATCTACTCCATAGATCTACTGTATGCACCACCACTAGAAAAATTAAATAATGCAGTAATCTACACGGCAGCCAGACTTCCAGCCGCTCAAAGCAGAACGTGATCATACACACACATCATTTGGGTAACACCAATAAGGGGGAATGAAGCCCCTGCAAACGCCAAAACTGCCCTGCGATCCTTTGCGCCGGCCCTCTGCCCTCACCCCGTCCGATTCCCCTGGATCATCGCTCGGAAATCGTCGTTGCTCTTCTTGCTCGTCTCGCCATCACCAGGCGTCGCGGTTGTCGCCGTCGTCGCTGAGGCTGTCGCTGTCGCTGTTGGGTTCCGCTTCACCCCCAGCCCTCCCCGCTTCCCGCTGCGGGCCCCCGGCTGCGGCGGCCGCTTAATAGGTCCACTGCTGGGGAGGAATTTCTCCGTCGGCTTCGACACCCCCGGTCCCTTCCTCTCCGCCGACTGCTTCAGCATCTCCGGCACCGTCCCCACGTGCAGCCGTCGCCCCGGCGCAATCTCCCGTCCCTCCAGCTCGAGCGATGCTTTGCCTGCGTGCTGTGTGTCCGCAAACTCGACAATCGCCCCCTGGTGATCAGGTCGCAGTATGATCTTGATCAGTCGGCCATACGGCTCCACCAGTGCGCGGATGCGCGCGTCGTTGACCGTGTCCGGCACATTCATGAGCCCCAGTGTCCGCGCCGTTCGCTCTCGCTCGGCTCCGGTCTCTTGCGAGCCGTTCACTTCGGGCGACTGAGACTTACCAACCTGCGAGACTATCGTCGTGGCGCTCCGCTTGGGGCCTTGGGGAATGGATATCTTCACGTGGAGAGGTCGGCCCCGGAATTCTTGCTCGTGCATGGCCAACGCCGCTTGTGCTTCTTCCTGCTATACGTAAGTACCTTGCCTTTTCTGGAAAGATGAGTGAAGACATACCTTAGTGGAAAAAATCACATAGCCAAACCCCTTGCTCCCTCCATCAACCTTGCGAGGCAGACGCACCGTCTCGACCCCCCCAAACCGCGCAAACAACTCCCGGATATCGTTCTCACTGGCCTTCCAGTCAATATTCGACACGTGAATCTCGCGCCCCTCATACATAGGGCCGTGGCGCTCTTGTTTGCGCGCGGGGTCGGAAATCTTTACTACTAGACTCAATTCGGATCCGTCGACCTTGGTTCCGTTTATTTCCAGGGCCCGGTAGGCTGCGCCGGAATCCTGGAACTGCACGTAGCAAAATCGGCGATGCGTGTTGAACTTGAGCGAGGGAAACCGCACGTCGAGAATGTCACCGTACTGGATATGGTCAGCTTGGTCCATCGTCTGTATTCAAGAGAATTCGGGAGATGGTGTCCTACTGTTTGAAACAATTGGCGGATATACGCCTCATCTGCGGTCGCGGGGAAATTCGTCACAAATAACGTCGCCTCCGTCGTGAACTGCACTTCGATCGCATGCTCATCCATCAGCTTCTGATCGCGCGTCTGCGCCACGAGGGCTTCGTCGCGCGAATTGAATTCGATGATGGCGACCTCCGAGCCTCCGCCTTCACCGGGCAGCATCCTGACGCCGTTGATTGTACCGCACTGTGGCTCGTTAGTATCAAGACATACAAAAACATCCCATGACGGGAGTGGAAGAGAAAGAGGCTTACATGACGGAAGAACTGCCGTACTTTGTGTTCCGTGATCCCGGGTGGCAGGTTCTTCACCATCACCGTGGCATGTTCCCGATCGCGTGGGGGGCCTCCCGCCTCCGCCTCCGCCGCCGGAGCGGGCTCGGCCCGCACGCGTTTCGTGGGCAGGCCGTTGACGCTGACTTCGTCCTCCCGTTTCCGCTTCTCCGTGTGCGTGGCCAGTTCCGCCGTCGCGGCGGCGTGCTGCTCCTGCAGCGCGGCCGCTTCACGGGCCTCCCGTTCCCGCCGCGCCGTCACCGCCCGCGTGGCCTTGCGGGTCTCCAGGAGGGCCAGCTGGAGTTCTTCCGAATCCTCGTAATCCTCGCAGTGGGAGACGTAGGTCTGCATGATCTTCTCGGGCCAGTCCAGGTCGGTTCGCTTGACGGCCTCCTGCAACACGGCCGTGGCGTAGCTGGGGTTGGGGGTCCGGCGCGCCGCATCGGCGGTCGCCTCGCCCTGCACGAACTTGCTCCACGAGATGAGCTCCCACTCGTAGTAGGTCAGCCAGAACTCGTAGCTGTTGCCGCGACGGCTCACCAGCCCCTTGAACGTCTCCCGGGCACTGTCCCAGCTGCCGCTCTCGCTGAGGTACCGGATGTAGATGCGCTCGAGGCGGAACAGCGGATCCCCCTGGTACGACCGGCCGTATTTCTTCTCGCCGAGCTCCTGCACACTCTCGATGGCGGAGCGGATGCCGACCTCGGCCACGTCGAGGTCCTCGTCCGTCGAGTCCGACAGGAAGGCGCGCCGACGCAGGTAGCTGCACCAGGCGGTGTGCACCTTGAGGACCTCCTCCATGCCGCCCGCGTCCAGCAGACCGGTGCTCGTGGCCTTGTGCTTGATGTCCGCGATCGTCGCGAAGGTCGCGCCTTCGCGCTCGGAGCTCAGCAGGTACTGCGACCACAGGGTGCCGGCGCACGGGCAGTGCCGGGTGGCGCGGATCAGGGTCGAGATGGTCGTGGTGTGGGTGTTGCCGTGGAGCGACTCGTTGATGAGAAACATGACGAAATCCTCCCAGATGTGGGCGTCGGTGGGGAAGCGCAGCACCGCGCGCTGATACAGGGCATTGATGAGGTCGAAAGTCGACTGTCGTTTCCGACGGTTGCGATTGAGCTCCCATTCGATGTATTCCGCGTAGACGGCCCACTCAGCGGTCGCGTCGCCGGTCTCGGCCGCCTGGCGCAGTCGAATCTCGAACTCTTCCCGGACGGCGTAGGTCTCTTTGACGGGGGTGGCGTACCGCGCCGCGGTCTCGGCCATGATGTTCTCGTAGTTGGCGTTGTAGTACTGGGAGACAAACCCGGAGAACAGCTGGAAGGTCTGGTCCCAGGTGGCGTGGGGCGTTTGCAGCCGCGAGTCGAACAGGGCCCGGAGATGGGTGACCCTCTCCTGGGTGGGATTCTGGGAGACGTCCCGCATCTGCAGCTCCAGCAACGGATCCCAGATCAGATGGCTGTCGGCCAGCCGGAAGCGGGTGGCTTCGGCGCCCTGGCGCCACACGTCCAGCACCGACTGCCACGTGAAAACTTCCCGGCCCACGAGGCGGTCCTCCTCGGACCACTGGCCCTGGCCGGCCTCGCCGTGGGCGGCATTGTAGAGGTACAGCACCCACTCCCCGTAGATGCTCCACAGTTTGGTGCTCCCGTACTCCTCCTCAACGGACTTCACGCAGAGCTCCATGACGGCGATGCGCTCATCGACCGACCGGGCCAACATGCTCTCGTCCTGGATCCACTCGGCCCACAGATCCTCGCCCATGGCGAAGAGCTTGCGCATCTCCTCGCGCGCCGTGCGCATGTCCTTGAGCAGGTCGTACTGGCGCGGATCGCCGTGGACGTCGGGATTGTTGGGCGGGTAGACGTGGTTGATGAAGCCGGCATGCAGCAGGCGCACGAAGTTCACGTGCGCATCGTAGGACTGCGGATTCTCCTGGATCTGACCGAACAGCTCCGTCGCCATCCGCTGCGCGTTGGGGACCAAGGACGTGGCGGTGTAGTTCCGGCGGGCGCTCTCGCGCGGGCCGTCGGACATGGCGATGTCGAAGGAGGACCGCGGGATCGGGGTATTGTGGGCGATGGACGTGACGTGGGGGAACATGGTGGACGGGGACAGCTGACTCTCGTAGGATTCCGTGCTGCGTAGGATCTGGGTGTTGGAGCGCTGGGGCTGGTGATGCTGCATGGAAGCCAGATCGGCGAGGGTATCCATGCCCGGGGTCGACGGCTGCCGGGGTGGAGGAGGGGGCGTTCCGCTGCTGGGGCCCATGGGACTCATGGCCGGCGGAGACGGCTCGGGCAGATTCTGAGGGGCGTACATGTGCTGCGCCAGGGGGGAGGAGGTCATGCCCTGTCTCGTGGCACCGGCGCGGTTCTTGCGTAACGGTTTGGGAGCTGGACCCGTGGCCGGGGCGGAAGTGTTCGGAGTAGGCGAGGGAGCTGGAGCCGACGCAGGGCGCCCGGACTGTGAACTAGAATCCTGCGGCGAAAGGAGTGAATTGATGTCCATCATTTAGTTGGGTAGAAGAACAAGATAAATCGATAAAAGAAAAAAAAAAAAAAAAGTTGCCCGATCGACAGGGAAACGAAGCGAAAATGGAAATTGAGGGCAATGACCGGGTCACCGACACTGGTGAAGAGGTCCAAGGAAAGACAGGAAAATAAGAGTCCGAATTAACGAGCAGCCGCAAGTTGCCTCATCAACGAGTCCATTCCTGCTCCGGCCACAGCCTGTGCAGACTTCAGAACTGGGAGTGGTGGACCGAGTCGATTTGTTCCTCTGTTTTTCTGTTCTCGCTTCCTTCTTTGTCGGTTCTCTGCTGTTGATTTCGCTTTGACGGGTTGGAGAAGGGAGGGTCCCGAACGGTCGGTTGCGTAGGCGAAGAAAAAAAACAGCGGCTCAACGATCAAGACGGGTAGATTTTTCCCCCTCGGTTGTGTCACCGAATCTCTTTTCTATTGCCGAAAGACAACTCTAATTTCTCGTCGTGTCTTTTGTGCCAATTTTCTATTATCTCCTAGTTTCTTTTCCTTTCTTTCTTTCTTTTTTTTTTTTTTTTGGTTGATATGATTTGGTTGTTGACGTCCTTTTTTCACCGTCGAGGCGGAGAAGATGACGATCGGAGTGGTCGAGTTGAGCTGGAGGAGCGTGGAGAGTGAGACACGGGGCGGAGGGGGCAGAAAACAAGCTAATAAGCTCTGCTGGCGGGCTGGTCGAGCCGGTCAGCGGGCGGCCTGAAAGGCGGAAGGCAAAGAGTAGCAGAATGGTGGAGTATGAGGGTGATATACACTGGTGTATGTGACACGCTGAGGAGAAAAGAATAGAAGAGAGATAGGGAAGAGAGAGAGAGAGAGGAAACACGAGAAGAGAAAGCGATGAACGTACCGATGGGAAGTAGTGGGATCGACGCGGTGGAGATTTGTCGGTTTTCACTTCTCACCACTACAAGATGGACGAGGGAGGAGGAAACGAAGGAGGAAGAAAGAGAACCGATGGGGAAACCCTAGAGAAGAAGACTCCCACGGTCTGACTTACAGGCGATGATGAAGGGATATCTGTATAGATGGAATGTATGGGGCGTGGAGGAAGATGGGAGAGAAGATGCAGATGAAGATGAAGCAGAGATGAAGCCGAGAAGATGACGATGATGGGAGACGGGAAGGTCAGTGACACCAACCAGAACGGCCAACAAGGCACCACACGGGGTCTCGTATATAATTTAGTAGAATTGATACATCGTCTATTTATTGATCTATTTAATTTAAGAATAACAAGGAAAAAGGAAAAATAATCTCCATATCATGAAGATCGATTGATGTTCAGGCAGCGATGAGGTAATCGTACAGGAACACCTCACGTGAGACTGTATTGGCCTGAGGCAACAAGGACCATCTCCAGGCACGGATTCAAGGAAGAAGATCAATAGATCATTCAATAGGGGAGAGTAGATACTATGCAAGGATTTGAATCTGCCGTCCGGTCAAGTGGTGTGTAGCTACATCCTACAGATCCTGACAACCAGTCCACGAGATGGATAATATATTGCCAGTACTGTAACAAATGATCTAGACTGATGAATATACTTCTTGGTATCTGTTGAGCACTGTTACAGTAGCACAAACATGTAAGGTCAGTCTACATTGACAGCACATCCAATAAGTTGAAACCGATGTAAACTGGGATATGCATATCGCATGTGGACACAAGACTGAATCCTGCCTGACCCACCAGGCACCAGTACGGCCACCCACTCCGACCACAACCGCAGCCAAGACCGACTTTCTCGATCACTTTTTTCCAGCATCAATTCAATCATAATAGATTCACCTCCGTCCACCACCCACCCCCCATCCCTCGCCATGGCCTCAATGGCTGCTCTCCACCCGTATGGGCCATTGGCTCGATCCGGTACGTCCCCTAAAACCATCCATCACTTCTCCCATGCAACCCAACTAACACCCCCCAGCCCGGACCGGCATCTCCTACGTCCCTCGCCGCACCCTAACCTACACCCTCCCCCGTCGAGCCCAAGAAGACGGCGACAACAACAACAACTCCCCTCCCACCGAGAAGCCCTCCAAACCATCCGCCCTCTCCAGCATCAAGAACTTCTTCCTCGGCGGCTCCAAGGACGCCAAACCGACGATCACGCGGCGGTCGACCGCCCCGCCCAAACGCGAGGGCTCCCTCGGCGCAGACTCCATCTTCGCCGAGGAAGAAGCCGGCCCCAAGCTGATCCCCAGCGGTCGCATGCCCGCCCGCAAACAGGATGCCGAGCCCACCCCGACGGAGGCCGAAGAAGGCGCCATGGCCGCCGAGGCCCGCAACCGCGAGACCATGGCGCCGGTGCTGGATCCGCGCCCGCAGGCCCGCATCCGCTGGGAGCGCAAGATGGTCATCCGCGAGATCCGCCACCGGGGCCGGCTCAGCAAGCCGCAGCAGATTCTGCGCTCCGAGCGCGAGTCCCTGTCCAAGTCGCACTGGTTCAAGACCTCCGTCAAGAAGCTGGGCCCGCTGGCGCGTCAGATTGCCGGCAAGAACATCGACGAGGCGATGCTGCAGATGCGGTTCAGCAAGAAGAAGGCCGCCAAGGATGTCCTCGAGCACCTCAAGCACGCTAAGAACGTCGCCGTCGTCCGCTCCGGTATGGGCCTCGGCCTGACCGGGGAGGCGAACGCGCCCACCAAACCCGTCAACGTCGTCCTCAAGTCCGGCGAGCGCAAGGCCATCGCTGACCCGACCTCCATCTACATCGACCAGGCGTGGGTCAACCGTGGACCCTACGGCGTCGACTACGACCACCGCGCGCGCGGCGTCATCCACCTGATGCGTCCGCCTTACACGTCCCTCTCCGTCGTGCTCAAGGAGGAGAAGACGCGAATCCGCGAGTGGCAGGACCGCAACGCCAAGGCGCTCCGCCAGCGCAAGAGCCAGCTGTGGACGCAGCTGCCGGACCGGAAGATCTCCGCCCAGAATCAGTACTATAGCTGGTGATTTGCGGATCATCTCATATTCCTTTCCATTTTTCATCATCGTGTCCTCTTTTCCTTTTGTTGATTGATCTGTTTCGGCGTTAGTATTGTGTGTATGTATATCTTAGACATTTCAAGGATTGTCCGTGGTGTCGATCAGCGTATTCTGGCTGGAAGATTGGAAGAAAGCTTTCATAGTGGATTTTGTCTGGCGGCTTGGTTCACCAATGTATTATACGGAATTACTTAACTCTTTCTTTTTTGTTTGTAGTGTCCATTTTAGAATTACACCTTAGTATATATTGTACACTCTTGACATAGATAACCAATGATAAAGAAGAAGAAGAAGAGGAAGAGGAAGAAGAAAGAATATCCAACTACTCCTCCATCCGAAGAATAATCATCTATTTACAAACCGGCGCCGGAAAAGGCGGCTCCACCTCCCTCGGCGGCAAAGGCCCATTCACACGCTCCGCCCTCACCAAAACAGGAATCACCCCCCCAGTAGACAGCGCAAACACCCTGTGCCCCGTGACCTCCAAGATACTAGTGATGGCGCCCGAGTGCGCCGTCATCGACAGGAAAGTGTTGTCGTCGTGCGCGAACACATCCTGCAGGAAGCCGAGCAGACGGGCGTCGCGGGCGGAGTTGCTTTCGCGGAGATGGGGGTCGTACAGCGGGTCTGTCTCTGCGAAGCCGGGTTCGATCCTGTATTCTGGGTATTCGGTTGTGATGGCTGTTTTGCTGGAGCGGCTGTCGCAGGTGTGCAGGCCGAGGGTTTCGCGGAGGTTCTGTGTTTTTTTATCAGTTGGGTTGGTTGTTTGGGTTGAGGGTGTCTTGTATGTAGAAGTCGGTAGAAAGGGAGGGGGATACCTCTTTAACGAGCGGCTGGAATGGATCCGTAAGCGGCATCTTCAACCCACTAAAAGTGATACTCGCCGTCGCGAGACACCTATTCAGCGGACTGACGTAGTAAGACTGCGGAGCCGGAATGCCAGTCTCAATCTGCTTTTCCCACGTGCGGTGGGCGAGTTCAGCCTGCGCGATGCCCAGATCAGTCAGACGGGCGTCGACCCATGAGCCTGTTTCGTCGCCGTCTTGGATGGACCAGTAGCACTTTACATATATTAGTCACTGTATGACATTATAGACGGGAACGAGAAAATAAAATCAAGAAGGGGGGGAGGCGTACATCCCACAATTCAGTCCCATACCGCGCCTCAGCAACATTATGCAGGCCTTCACCGTGTCGGCCCAGAAAGAGGACCTTGTGGAACACATTGGACGCGCTGTCGTGGTTCAGCCGGTGGACTTCGTTAGCGAAGCGCTCCCATTGCGTGCGCTTCTGCTCTGGGTCGAAGTCGGAGTCTGCGTCGTAGGCCCGGGGGATGAGGCCGAAGTTGGTGGCGGACTGCTCCGGACCTCATATATTCATTAATATATGGTTAAACTGGGAGAGGGGCAGGAAGAGTGCTAGGTCCTCACGTAGTCGAACTGCTCCGGGTCCGTAGTGGGATCATCCTGGAGAAAGTACCCTGAGACCGTGGAGAACTGGAAGTGCGATTCTGCGGGAGCAGAAGCACTAGCAGACGCGAGGGATTCACCCATAATAGCGACCCCAGCTGCGAGGAGCGTGAGCACGAGGAGGATGGGTCTAGAGGGCATGTTAGTATTGTACTGGTTTTATTTCTGCTACGTATTGTGGTTGTGGTTGTGTGTTGTTGAAGTGGGAGGGAGGGAGGGAGGAGCGGGGTAAGTAGGTATATATCAGACGGATACGCACATGATTACTGGAATCTGGAAGACTCGATGCAGAACAGCAGGGTGTTGAGTGTCCTGAACAGGTTGATACTGATACGGATGGCCTCGCGATGGGCGGCGCGAAAAGGAGAGTCTGGCCATGCCGGTCGTCGCCTCAGGCAGGGATGGCGTGGGGCGGGTTTTCTTACTGTGGGGGCGCTTTCTAGCGTTCTCCCCACACCTTTAAGGTCTGAATAGAATGATATACAATATGTTCACCAAGTGAAAACTGTACTTGAGTTGAGTCCGGCTTATTTGCATCGTGTGACATGACTTCACTGCACTTGCTGTTTCCGGCGAGTCTTGGTTCCATGGAACAAGTTCTCCAATAAGATGGGGTATACAACTACAGACAGGAACCATACAACCTTACTGAGATATGTCTATGTTATACTTTTATTGGCAGAATCAATGCTAACTAAAACAGGCGTGGTATCACCAAATCAACACAAAACAATCGCTACAAACCGCTGGACCAATTTAGCACAAAAACACTCGCTAATACACGCAATCAATCACCGGGCTAGAGCAGCCCCAATCCCTTCCGAGTGAGCCAATGTTGTCGAGAAGAGAAAATAACGATTCTGCCATAGACGGCCAATGATACCAGTGCCGATGGACAATGCCATACAGAAGCAAGCCCACGAATCGTACATTGTATGACGGAGCTTGCGGATCTGAGGAGAGACTGTATCGTGAGGCCCGCTTCTCGCTGGGCAACATTGGTTGATGCTGGAAGGGCTGGGGACCGCGCGGCCTGTGTTTTGGGCCGGAGGCGGTGTCTTTCGACCACCGATCGATCGCTTTGGGAGGCCATGGACTTGGGGCATCGGGTGACAGCTGGAGAGAATGGGTTCTCTCCCGAAACCGCGCGATGTCCTGGGACCGATGAATCCTGGGTGCATTGGAGTGGCCGGTGTCCAGATCCTCCAGATTTGTCGGATATCTTCCGACCATGGCGGAGGACTGAAGGATTCTGATCGACCGCCTGTCTTCCAACTCCCTCCGCTGGTAGTACCCGGTCGTGGGTAGATACCAAGTGTCGGGTAAAGTGCCCGGTATTCACCACCCCCGGGCGCTGTTGAAGAGACAGGGAGCTGCGAGATACGTGTGGAGCAGCCACCGTTTCTGGGACGCCACAGGAAGGATCGAGAGACACGAACTTATGGCGGCGAACCCTGTCAACGGTCGTGGGGAGTTGTACATTCGGTGATGCCATCTCGTCAACCCGCCGGCGCATTGTAGTTCGTCCCCGTTCAGCAAACACCGACTTGGGTACAACCGCAGCGTCAGTGACAGCGACCCGAGCAGCGGCCTTGTCAAGGCAATTGCACTATATTCATATTAGTATCATCACAACAACCGTTGAAAACCCTGGTACGTACCCTCTTGTGCTGCTTTCGGTGCTTCTCGCAAGCCCCATGCTTTCGAACGTTGATGTAATTCTCCTTTTGGGCGCGGGATCGCGGCTTCTGCTTCTTCGGCAGATTGGTAGCCGTGTCCATGTTCAAATCCAGCACTATCTCCATACCCCCGCGGGGCGGGTTACTACTCGCGACGGGGGTGGGAGACTGGTGGGAGGACTCGGAAGGCGGCGTGGTCGCTGCAGTTGCGGACGACGGGGCAACTGAGCACCCTGATGAGAAACTGGTGGTTGAGTCGGTTGAGGGGTTGAGATCGACGAGCGACGCATCCTGGAGACGCTGCATGTGGATCGCGATGGCCGCTTCTCTGCGCTTCTCCTTGTCGGACGACGCACGCGGGTCGACAGCGGCCTGCGACTCGACCATGTCGCGCAGCACCGAGTAGAACGAATCGTCGAGGGAGGGAACGTCCTGCACCCACGCGCTGCTCTCATCCGTGGAGGAAATAGCGGGGAGCTGAAACATGTCCGCTGGGTTCGGGACCGCACCCGTGTCCCACGAATTGCCCATGTCCAGGGAGGCGTCAACGCTCATCCAGTCGGCCAGGGACGCATCGGGGCACCATTGGGCCTGCGACTCCCAATTGGACATGTCGGTCTCGGTGTAGGTCAAGTCAAGATCCTTGGGGGAGATGGAGGTGACCGAGGTTGGGTCGCTCCCGGACGACTCGTCCGACGGAAACTGGAAGAAATGGTCGAAATCGAGCAACTCATTCTCGGGGGAATGACCCCCGAGACCTGTTTCAAACAGAAGCTGGTCTGGTGGCATCGTATGAGATCGCGTACCACAAGTAAAAGGAGGAAAAGAAGAGGGGAATAAAATGTAGTGTATGAAAAGATATAGTAAAGGTTGAAAATAAGAGTGGACTACTCAGCAATAAGCCGTGTGGAGTCGAAGTAAGAAGTCTTAGGGTTAGCTCCAACAGGTCTTGGAACCACGTTTGAAAGCCCGAAACTGGAAATCTAAAAAGAAAGAACTTTTTGTAGCGAAGACTAACAATTTCTGCAATTTTAGATCGTTCACGAAATGTGTCAGGCGTGGAGAGAGAAGAAAAGAGAAGAGAAGAAGAAAGGCTGAAGAAAGTTGTCGTGATGGGAGGCCTTGCGATAAAGGGCCTGAGGCCGTGCCCACGCGCTATTCCGCATTGGGACCCCGATGTCTCCGCGTTGAGTCATCTGATATACTGGGTCGTATTCGAGTATAGACACCACCCAATAATGTTGTAGTGACTCTGATGTCTACCTAAATTGCAGTATCTGCTAAAAAAAAGAGCCGAGGGAAGTCGCTGCGATCCTTCAGTGATCTACAGCCTAGACGCTTGATCAATGTCTCAAACCAGTTGATGAAATGGCAAGGTACAAGCACTGATTGAAACCACCTGAAACTACTATATATCCTCCGCCGAAACAACCATCGAAATCGCGGAACCAATGACAGACAGTGGAAATAAGAAGTCTAGTGTCTCGTTCATCATTCCACGATAGTGTTTACTTGACTCTCACCCACATACAAGCCTTGTGTGTATCCGACCAGGTCATCAATTGTCCTCTTGCCATCTATGAAACTGACATTAGGATCGAACTCAACGGAAGGGAAAACGACTCACCTGTGTCCACATAGTAAACAGGTGTAAAAGATGGTACTTCCTTCATCAGCACTCCTCAACTGCACCTGAGCATACGTGACTTTCTTGGACGGGCACTTGATACAGTCCAAGTCGATCTGCGGACCAGAGCCAATGGTTTCACGCGTGACTTCCTGAGTATGAGATCTCAACTTGTCGCGAAGCTTAGATGGGAAATTTTCGGAGGCCGATGTCTGCGTATGGAGTAATGCTTCGTCTAGGGACTCGAAGCCGTCAGCTCATAGCCTGGAGGAAGTAGAAGAAACATCAACGTACTCTTCGCGGTTGTCCCACACCGTTCACACTGCAAGGTCTCCAACGAAGAGATATCAAGGAGATTTCCACAATCATTGCAGAACTGTACGCCCATGGTGCCTGATAACCTGTTCAATAAGGATAATATGCTGCGGGAGAAGATGCGGGCCAAATCCAGCGAATTATCCGCTGCTCTCCACAACCAGTAATGGGACTTCAAAGCTGAGGTAGCACTGATACCTAAAATTATACCGTTTCTTCCAGACGGCGGCTAACGACTTTATACTCAGTGCCTTGGTGACCACTTGTGCCGCAGGTATGGACATGATTTGCTCTACGGCCAATCGCATCAACCACTGTGATTTCCCTGCGCCGCATTGCGCATCCAAGATTTTGGGAACCCACTAGAATCCAACACAAGTGCTCACACTTCATACGAGCCGCATGATATATCAGGAGCCTTTTTCTCGGCGCTTTGAGGGGAAATCGAGTGGCTGGCCTAAAGAGGCCCACCCGTCCAGCTCGACTTCTCCTCGGGGCTGTAGCATAGGCGCTGCTGTGGTTTAGCTGTAACATCCTATTCGGCTCTGCATAATAATTATATCAAGTTCTATGTGGTTATTCTACATGGTTATACTACATCGATTGTAAGCATAGATATGGGAATGTATAGAACCATATAGAGACTAGGGCTCCTACTTTGTAGTATTGAATATCGAATATTATACTTTATATCAGTAGTATCCTAGATAGTGAGTCGCTCCATCTTAGCTGTGATGATCATCATACCGTTCTCCACTCAAATTATCTGTTCTGATACCCAAGTCTTTGCGTCTACTTAGTTGTAACACGAGCTGACATGGGGCGGGGCATCCTGCCTACATATAAAAAGCCAAAGAGTCCCTCATTGCGGGGTCACCCACCTTCCCATACTAGTAGTAACAACTCCATCTACCTACCATCCACAATATACTTTCTCCTCCTAAACCCACATCTTATTAAAAGCACCGAAGTATTTACAAAATGACCAACGACACCAAATCCCCCGAAGGATCCCCCTCCCCCCTCCGCCCCATAACCCGCTGCATAACCGGCCACAACCCGCAAACCGGCCAAGCGATCATCGAGCGGGACACCCTCAACGAATGGCAAAGCTTCCCCGACCACGGCATGGCCTTCAACGTCGTCTACTCGACAAACTCCATGCCCGCCAACCTCGCCCAAGACGCGGACCTGACCGCCCACGACGCCACCATCGCCTCCGGCAAGCTGGGCCTCGTCCCACCCGGCGGCACGGTCTGTCGCGTGGTGGACTTTGCGCCGGGGAACCCGTGTGTGGTGCACCGCACGCGCAGTCTTGATATTGGTGTTATTGTGGAGGGGACGGTTGAGATGGTGCTTGATTCGGGGGAGAGGAAGGTGCTCGGGAGGGGGGATGTCGTTGTGCAGAGGGCTACTATGCATGGGTGGGCGAATCCGAGTCAGACGGAGTGGGCGAGGGTGATGTTTGTATTGCAGGATATTGAGCCGTTTGAGGTTGCGGGGAAGGAGGTTGTCGAGGAATTGGGCGAGGCGAGGGATGTTGTGAAGTCGAGTGGGAATTGATTGTTGGTTGGTTTGGGTACTTGTTTGATCTGATGTTGTGGCTGGGTTTGTTTATGTATAGCTGTGGATCTGATGGGAAGTATAGCCATGAGATTGTGGTGTAGTGACATTATCTGCCATACAGATAGTAACCATGTCTTGGTATATTATATACATCACCGTCTTATACTATGTCTGGTCTAGAAGAAACACAGCCCAAGAACTAACGAGACGAGTGCCCACACCGACACCATCCCCGGCCCAACCCTCCCTGCATCACCCTTCTCCCCCTCCCCTTCCCCATCAACCGCCTTTCCACTAGCAACCTTAGCCAAAGGCGTGGGAACGGCAAACGTCTTTTCATCCGGATCAAACTGCAAGCACAGAGTAGGAAGCGGATAGCTCGTAGACGTAACGACCGTTTGAACAGCTACGCTCTGGGGCTCCTTTCCCATGTCGACTCCAAAGTCCGCCAGCACGCCCATATTCACATCCACCGAGGGGATGAAATTGGTTAGGCTTTCGAACAGACTGTCAAGAGGAGAGTCGGTGTCCTTCGACGACGGCTCGCATTTCTCGTCGACGTCGCTTAGTTGAGTGATGTTTAGGGCGAGCTTTGGGAGCTCCAAGAAGGCTCCTATTCCGCCGGATACGAGGCCTTTGGCGGTGCTGATTCCGAGGAGGATCTGCGGGGTGAAGGAAACGCTTGTTATCAGGGATACGAGTGGTAAGGTGGACTCAAAGGGGAGGGTGTGGAAGGTGGTCTCGTCGCTGGTTGTTGTTAGTTTAGGACTTGTAGAATGGGATGGATTGGCTTACAAGCCGGAGATGGAGGAATTGGAGAAATCGGTCATGTTGATCATGATGTTGGAGTTGTCGGGTACCTGTGACCAGTTAGAGTACGACGATACCAAGTAAGCCTCCAGACCAACTCACCGAAACATTGAAGCCAAACGAAAAGCCTATCTCCTCCACAGCGCTCACGCCGAACGACAAGTGGGGTTCGATCAACGGACCAAAAGCCAAAGCTCCGGGGATCTTCGTCTGTTAGCATTGCACATCAATCAGACTATAAACACCATGTATGAACCCACCTCAAACGGCGTAAGAGGAATCGTAGGAAGCGTCATATTCAACGATATCAGCGGCTGGGTCAAGACAAAGTCCAAGCCAAGCTGGACCTGCGCAGCGAGCTTCTTTGCCACGATCTCAATACTTCCATGGTCGAGAAAAGCAATGGTGTCACTCATTTCCGAGAGATCATTAGAGTCCGAAACCCGGAATGACCCTTTCGTGATCTCGATCTCCCCTTCGAGGGAGCATGCTTTGCAGGACACCGTCACGCCTTCTGGCCTACAGAATGAGATGAGCCATTAGTGCTATGTGGATGGAGATTGGGCATCGTCAACTCACCCGATTTGATCCGCACCGGGAAGATCGGGAGGCCAAATCTGCCGATCATTGTAATGCTCATTGAGAGACTTTGTTGCTGTCGATGCCAACGGAGTTGTGGCGGTGACACTTGGGAAGGAGATCGTCGGCGTGAATTTGGTTTCCGTCGCGGAATGACTGCCGGTCGTAGTCGGATGTGGTTCCTGTCGTTTGGCGAGAGTATGCGAGCGTTTCTGGATCGACGAATGGTGTATGCGAGAGAATGACACCTCGGTGGAGTGGAAAGCTTCTTGCCAGGTGCACCGCGTCTTCTCGAATGTTGCCAGTTGGCGATCCGGGTCGAAGGTGGCTTTGGTAACCCTAGCAGTGGATGAGCCAGTTGTATTCACTGCGAGACATCCTGATATGCTTACCGATGCGTAGATCTCTCGCCCTCCGGATCACAGCCGCTGTGCGCGGTGACAATGATGAAGTCGCCAGTGGATTCAATCTGTCCTTTTACATTGTACATGGTGTCAATCGACTCAAACACCAGCTGGATGTGGGACTCTGAACATGACACATCCTCCATGTGTGCGTCGACGTCCTCGAGGAAGAAGATTGGCAAGTGCGATGCCACATCCACCGTCGCTGCAAATACAGACTCGACGTTGCTGTCATCACCATCGTGCAGGTAGTCGAAGCTCGCAGTGTTGCTCAGCACGACCTGCGGAGAGTCTGCCCTCGCCTGTAAGCGGGCCGGTGAACTCGCAGCAGATAGTCTACGAGCCTGCGGAAACTCGAGGGGCTGTAGGCCTTCGTTAAAGTGGGCCTTTGCCTCTACAGGACTGAAGCCCACGAGGGAAACCACCAGACCCAGGCAGAAGAAGACCATGCTGCAAGACCCTGGGAGGGGAATGATTTAGAACGCGAACTGCGTGCATCATTTCATCCCGAGGGCGTCATCACCCTAAATACACCTAATCTACCCACGAGGCTGAGCTCAGTACGACCTAATTATCTATTCCTGAAACCACGGTCCTAGACGAGACTTTAGCTAACCGGCCCCCAAAGATAGCGTCAGAAATGTATTGCTATCGACAAATCTGCCCGCACCAATTTCCGTGCTACTGCATCATAAGCAGGCCAAGACGGCAAGCCCTGCTTGGTCTGGAATAGCCCCGGACGCTTGCCGGGGAGCTGCGCCGCAGTCTGCATACACAAAAAATTGTCGCACCTAAAGAGAAACCGTTCTGTGGTCGGCAATTTTCAGCTCGATGAGAAACTGTACCCCGAGGTTGATGTCGCCATCATTCCTGGTATAGCGCCAACAGGGTCTTGTCACAACCGTCGTGCTGGTCGGTACCATGTGAGGATGAAACCCAGACACAGACACTTCAAAGAATGACAACAGACTGTTTGGAAGCTTTTGTTTCCTTTGTCTCATTGTCTTGTATCCGAGATGAACGAATCTCATTCCGGCTTGCTCGGAACCGTGGCACAATGATGCCGAACAATGATGCCCCTGACAACTTGCGACAATTGCCCTTTGTTTGAACCGCGTAGTTTCTTTGCAAGAGGATGTATCCCTTTATCTGCATTGGAGGATGACCCCAACCAGATGAACTGATCAAAGACTTCAACACGATGAAAGCAGTTGCTATTTTGAGAGACTCTGCGCCTGCGATATGGAAATGGGCATTGTCAATTATTTAAAACACGGGTCGCTTCCTGTAGAGCCTGATATAAAGCATTACTACTTTCTCTGACAGCGCGTGGATTTGGAATATTCGCACATCTATCTACCCGTCGAATTTGTTGATATCTCGTTTACAGGACGCATCTACGGAGCACAGCAAAGGACATGGCCCGAACGCGACAGGTACAACTTCGTTCTTCGAAAGTCTCGTACCTGGCAACCAAGACCAAAGCTACCAAGACGGCCGATGCCACCAAGACGACTACGACAGAAAAGACAGCTAAAGCAACGAAGACAGACAAAGTAGCGAAGACAACCAGCCCAAGCAATACAGTCAAAAAACTCAGAGTAACAAGATCAGCCAAGAAACGACAGGATGAGCTCAGAAAGTCCAGACAGGCTGCACACTACGCCGCATCGATCTCCGACCTCTTCGCCGCCATCTACTACGACATCAACCGCGTGTGCATCACATACCGAGCGGTCCGGCGGCTGAAAAGGACCGAATTCCTCCCCTTCTACAAATGGCAATACGAGCAAGCCGACAAGATCGTCCGCACCGTCGCCAACCTGAACGTCGAAGAGGTAGACCCATGCGATGAGAAAGACACGGACGTGGTGCGCCGGCTCGACGGAATCGACCTGTTCACGCAGGAGCTAGGCTGGAAGATGCTGGCCATCTGCGCCTTCTCCGACGGCTTCCGCATCATGTGTCGGGATCAGCAAGATATCGGGTTTTGGGAGGCATTCATCGACGCATGCGAGAAGAACGCACTGAGTCTGGAGATTTTTGCTCGGTCGCGCAATCTCGACTGGCGCGGTCTGCTTAGCCCTCACTCGAAGTCCGGCATCGTGCGCATCAAGAAAGCACTGGCCGAGCCCCCGTCGAAGCTGACCCACTTGCACCCGCACCAGATTGTTCGCCAGCTCGACGGCACCCTGGCCAAAACACACCACGACAAGATCCGGCAGATCAACACCGAGAACTGCATCTTCGACCCCGAGAAGTCCACCGGCGACGACCCCACGATCCGGACCGCGGAGCATGGGAGCTGTGACCTCTGCGGGTCAGACGATCCATGCGACTGCCTGCTGGACGGGCTGGCTGGGACGCTGGTCGAGCTGGTCGAGTACCCTGGTAAGGGAGTGGGGATTCGGTCGCTGACGAAGTTCAAAAAGGGTGACATCCTGGGCGAGTACACGGGAGAGATCCGGCCGGAAAACTACCTCGGAGACCCCGTGTACAGTCTCAACTTGATCCACAAGAACGACCAGCACAAATCCCTAGCGCTGATCTCCGCCGTGCGCTATGGAAACTGGACTCGCTTCATCAGCCATTCCTGCAACTCGTCTACCAAGTTTGAGTGCCGCACCATTGGTAAGCGGATCATGATGACTGTGGAGGCCGCGCGAGATATTGGCATGTTCGAAGAGATCACCATTGACTATGGGCTTTCATATTGGACGGGTATTAGAGGTAACTGCCGCTGTGGCGAGGACGATTGCATTTCCAAGGAGGCTTGATCTGTGCTTTATCAGTTTGTGACCTTTTGTACTTTATATAGAACTTTAGTATCTCAATTGTGACAATAGATACATGCGCTGTTACCTATTGTATGCCAGTCTCAACGACTTGTAAAGATAGCACAACAGATATCCACAGCCTCTCCATACAATCTACCTATCTATTCTAGAGGAGAGTTGACCAGTCCGATCCCAGCCACAAGATGATGTTAACCATGTATCAACCCCGCACGCCACGTGAGGGGAACCAGACAAACGGCTTGCCTCTTAAGCGCCAGAATCGCCTTCTGCTGCGTTTCCTGCAACTTTGGATAATTCAATAGAAATAATGTCGGTTTAACACTCTAGATGAAAGCACATTGACCCAGCTGTGATTGATTGACCGTGGCGGAGACCCTACCTACTATTGACCTTAAGACTGCAGTTATTCTCCGACGCAAAGGTTAGCCAGCCACATCCACCACGTCAACCTCCTCTTCCTCACCTGGAATTCCTCTCCACACCGTACATTGTCCAAAAAACCAGCGATGTTCCCACGCTGATGATCGAGCCCTAATGCGCATCACACTGCCCGTCTGCCGTGCGGGGATCCTGCCTCGAGGATCAGCCCGGCGTCAAAGTTGTTGGAGGCCTCTACAACTGGCACTTACGACGCGACGCGAACTGCTCACGCAGAGTTACGCTCGCGGACCATTCGAGGTATGTGCGGTTGTTGGAGCTTAACATGGTCGGCATGGTCTAACGTACATGGTGGATAGCCCCCTTTAATCGAAAGCACGATTGGCGATCACTTCAACGGCATCGTCAAGCAATACGGCGATCGAACAGCGTATGCTGCTTCCATAATGGCTCCGATTGTTGGAACAAGGTAGCTGATAAGCTTTCAGGGTCGTCTCCAGACATCAGAACTACCGAGTGACGTACGCCGGTCTCGACGCCGAAAGCAATGCCCTGGCACGCGGCCTGGAGTCAGTGGGTGTGCGGGCGGGCGATCGCGTGTGCTTGATGCTTGGGAATTCCATGGAGTTTTCCACAGTATGTTGGCTATAATTGCAGTATGGCTTGATAGCCAGCGGTGTTGATGGCTGACCATGGGGTAGACGACGTATGCACTGTTTAAACTGGGTGCGATCTTGGTAGGGATGACACGTCACTCTTTTTTTGGTCATCGACCTAACTTTTTCTAGGTACCGATTAATCCATCGTTCAACGCTACTCAAGTCGTCGCCGCGTTGAACCACCTAGAGGCGAGCCATCTCATCATCAGCACGGAGTCGAATCTCCCCCGGAAGGAACCCCGAAGCAACGTCCCCCTCCTACAGCATCTGATACAGGACCCGCACGTCTCGAAGCTCCGGTCCGAGTTAGTTCCCTCGCTGAAATGCATCATGACTGTCGACAACTCGTCCGGTCGAGTCGACACCTCCGAGTTCAACAGTCTGACACCCTACTCGTCGCTGACGTCGGACGCCGTAGCGGACAAAGCCGCATTAACACCTAAAGAGCTCTCGCCCAGCGACATCGTAAACATCCAATTCACATCCGGCACAACAGCAATGCCCAAAGCAGCCTGTCTCAGCCACCGATCCATTCTCAACAACGGCTCCCAGATCGGCGACCGCATGGTCCTCACCCCACAAGACATCGTCTGCTGCCCCCCGCCGCTCTTCCACTGCTTCGGCTCCGTCTTGGGCTACATGGCGACGGCGACGCACGGCTCGGCCATCGTCTTTCCCGCGGAATCGTTCAGTGCGCGCGCTGCGCTCCAGGCTGTTCAGGACGAGAAGTGTACCGCGCTTTACGGCGTGCCGACTATGTTCCTGGAAGAGCTGAGCCTCATCCAAAGCGGCAAGGTGTCCAGCGAAGGGTTTCAACAGCTGAGAACGGGCATCGCTGCTGGGAGCAGTATTCCGTCGGAGCTTATGAAGAGATTGCATCAGGTGCTCAACCTCACTGAGCTGACTATCTGTTACGGCATGACGGAGACGAGCCCTGTGTCGGCTATGACTACCACTGATGATCCGATTGATAAGCGCATTAGTACCGTCGGAAGACTCATGCCGCATGTTGAAGCTAAGGTCGTGAGCCCCACTGATCGCAGCCAGGTGCTTCCTGTTAATACCCCTGGGGAGCTAGCTGTCAGTGGGTATCTCTTGATGAAAGGGTACTGGGGTGATGTCGACCGCACGGCTGAAGTGATGGTGCCGGATGACACAGGGAAGGTTTGGATGCATGTAAGTACCCTGTTCTTTTCTACTCTCTCTTCCTTTTTCTGTTATCTCCCTATGATACTCCACCCCAGTGATACAAGCCCTAATCGTCATCACCAGACGGGCGACGAAGGCACCCTCTCCCCAGACGGCTACATAACCATCACCGGTCGCATCAAAGACCTCATAATCCGCGGCGGCGAAAACATCCACCCCCTAGAGATCGAAAACTGCCTGCTCGAGCACCCAGGCGTCTTCGACGTATCAGTAGTAGGAGTCCCAGACGAGCGCTACGGCGAAGCAGTCGCCGCGTTTGTCATTCCCCGAGAGGACGCATCTGCCGCGAAGGACGAAGAGAAGAAGAAGCTTCAGGATTGGGTGAGGGTGAGACTTAGTAGTCATCTTGGTGAGTGCTTTTACTACTTACTTACCCTGCAGCGTTGTTCTCCATTTGCAATGGGTATAATATTAGAAGATGGATAGCTGACATCTGGACAGTCCCCAAGTATATCTTCTTCTTACCTCCTACCGATACATTTCCCAAAACGGCGAGTGGCAAGATTCAGAAGTTTAAGCTGAAGGAGATTGCTATCAAGAAATTGAATGAGCGGTCTGGGGGGTCTTGACTGGTTGTGCATGCATCTCTTATAACATACATGGGCCAAGCGTCCACGGACGGGGAGACTGTCTTGTACGTAGTATAAGTATGCTTCGCTGGTTGCTGTCTGGAAATATGCACAGTGAGACGAGATGGGCCATGTGGTGCTAGTAGAACAGAGACGTGGCATGCCGCATGCACCTAAGTGTTCTGCTGACTTTGGCTACATCGACAGTAGATAGTGCCGTAATTATGTGAAGTTCCCATTCTCCGAAGATTTAAACCATTAACTACTGAAAAATTACTTAGTATAAGAAGGTTATGAACCAAGTCTTATAGAATTCCTATATAATGTCACTTCTACCTGGATGAACTCTTCCGCCCATTGTATACCCAAGACGAGACCATCGAGAACCGGTATCAAAGATCAAGACGTCGGAGTAAGTCACCATCGACATAATTAAATGAGCTGACAAGCAGCAAAACGAAACAGACAGATCCAAACAAAAAGCGGAAGCCAGCAAGTATTGCCAGAGCTTCACACACGGTCTCATTTTGCTACCGCATACAATTTGCAATCTTTTCATTGCTTCAAAGAAGTTATGGGAGATGATCAGTGTGTGTTGACCGTTTGCTCGGTGTCTTCCTCCAAGTAGTAGGCATAGACCCCCTTCTTGATTTCCAATGATGTGCGCCAGGAATTCCCACTGTTTTTAAGGGAGTTCAAAATGACGGAGGGCCGTGATTCTGCTAGTTACTCCGTGTATGTGGTTTACTGCTTTCTCCATGTTGTTTTCCTGTTCGCATCGGTCCGTGATGCCGTTCATTCCGCGTCTTTGTAGTGCATATGTTGTACCTCCTCACACAGGAGCAAGCACATCGTTAGACTGCTTTATCTCGATATAAGTTAAGATATCAGTCATATCAAGCCTGATCAAAATCTCAAACCGGCATTTGTTGCAGTGGCGGAGAATATATGCTGTCAGGTGGTACCGGTTCAGGAAGCACAAAGTGCTAGACCAAGTCAATTTGGTATCGACAGCTTTCTCAACATGACATTGCAGCAGCTCTGCCTGTGTCTGGTATTCAGCATCCACTTCCCGACTGGCGATCCCTTTCGCAAGACTTGCATCAACCTAGTCGGCGCCATTTTTGGACCTCGTATTCTGTTTATGTTTTGTTGGCCAGGCGGGGCACATCTGTGCAAATCCCCTGAATGAGACAGGTGTTCAGTCATGCCAGGAAGGGATAGATAGTGGCTATATAGGCGGGGTCGAAGGGCATTAGTCCAAGGGCACGGGTTGTGGTGTGTTCTTGAAAGTTCCGTGCTGCTGAGTATAATACCTAGTGCTCGTGCTCGGGGTCTACTATTGTCGTCGAATATCTCACCAGTTGCAAAATTTTGGAAGGTATCAATTATCACCTGTTGGTTAAGCGTTCGGTAGAATATCGCACTCGCATATTGGTCAGGGAACCGCTGTCGAATAGCTTTTTTAGGAAGGACTTGGTTAGTGTATTGATATGAATGAATGGTTTGTAGCTCGTGATTCTGAGGAGTTGGGTAAAGACATACCAGCCAGAGAATGAACACCACTACCGGGGACCGAGACATGATAATGAGTTTATCAGGATTTTCTGTATAGTCCTGAGTTCCTCAGTCCCTGAAGGAAGTAGGTCAACCCTGATTGTCCGCCCTGGAAGTGGGCCGATTTTGGTGAGTCGTTGACATTGGTGAATCCATTGCCACAAATATTGGTAGAAAAAATATAGTCAAACGTCGGATGTCGACTGCGGAAAATGTTTGTTGTGATTTAGATCTGTGTCTTGGCTGACCCTGGATGGCACGACCGACTGATCGACAGCCGTGTCTGACAAGATGGCGTCTGTGAGCATGGCTGAACGTGATTCGCTTGGGCCAATTTAAGTGTCGTATACAAGACAGTCATTGGGATTATCTCAAGCTCCCAAGCTCTTCTTCATCTTTCCCAATCCAAGTAAGCGCGGATGTCTTTGCGAGTTCAAATTTGTTGGATGTATACATCCCCGGGCCAAATTCATTGTCGAAATTGGCCGAGCAGATCACAGGAACGAAAAAGCTCAAGCATCGTTCCAAACTTGACAATGACAGTTGAACATTAGCCCATCTTTAGCAAAGATCCCGTCCGAGAAAACATTCTGGGTTTTCAGCGCAGAATTTCCGGGCTTTTCCTTATGTCTGACTTCGAGGCATCTCATTGTTTCATCGTGTCCCAAGGACTGGTAACACGTCAGCCCAGTCTCTACTGATAATAGTCGATCATCGATCCATTTCGGCGTAGTCATATTTCCCGTTCTCTTTACCAGAGCAACGCCGTTGACGTGGTCCATTTTTGGTTCTATGGAAACCTGATCTAGGAGTTCAAGAACATTGTTGTATAATGATACCCTGACGTGTGCAAGGGTCCAGATCCCTTCGCGCCTCCGGACCCCTTCACAGAATCTCACGGACGAACCAGCCTGGCTAACTCGCCAGTAATCATATAGCTGATCATGGAGGGGTTTTCCCGCGAGTGTCGTTTATAAAATCTTTGCTCAGGCAGGCAGCCAGTTGGGGTGGCTGGTTTTCTCTTCATAATCGTTTGTATCAGCCAGAATATATTGGGAAGCCTGAACAATCGTGGGTTCCCTGTGGCCTCTCACCGAAGGAAATAGAAATGGAGAAGGATGGACGTGTCATCTCGCCAATTTAGTGGCTTGTTTCTCCCGGAGATCATCCTGATACTCACTCCCTGGTTGTAGAAACTTTTCGTCATGCAGAATGATCCGATTCTCGGTTGATAGGAGTATTACTCTCATTTTGAAGGAGTGTTGGAGTAGGGGGTAGATCAGTCGTGTTGTCCAGTGTCTGTTCCGTTTTTCCTCAATAGTGCCACAAATCTTTCAACCACTGTTGTTTGAAATGGCACTGCTTGAGCCGTCTGCTAGCAAAATGTCATTCATAGATGACTTGGCGATGGTTGCATACTCGAACTTGGCATAGTCTTCTTAGTATCGTCCACAATGTGAGTTGCGATCATTAAATGCTTGAAGTCGTCATGGTCTTCTCGGTAAATTCCACGATGTGACATGAGATATGGGCACGCAGCAGGACACACGCTTATAATTACCAGCCGCGGTGTGTGCAGTGCACAGAGACAACTGCCACATGCACCAGACTATTGCTTTCTTCCGATACAGGATAAATTGATTCCTGATGTTAGTGTTTTGTCGATATAAATCCTTGCCCCGAAAGGCGTGCGCGTTGACTGATGATGATAACGATATGATGATACAGTTGCCAGCAGGCCATGCCTACAGGACGAAAAAGAAAGACGATCTCGATTCCGTAAGTTGAAGGACAGAAAATTAGAGATCCCATGTAGCTGGTAGTAGTTCTCTTTGCTTAATTGCTTAGACAGCATAGATGGTCATGATATTGTCCTGATGGTCTAATGTTGAGCCGATGTCTGGAAGACACTAGGCGATTTGATTACCGTGCACCCATCATGACGATTGCTTCAAGTTGGAGAGTATATATCGCAGCGAGTGGGTATTCGTGGTTGGATTTGTGGATGGGGTCGACCAGCCTTATATATTGATCTTTCCTTGATTTAGTTTTCTCAGTAAATATCTAACTTGTATGACCGGTGTAGAGTAAAGCCAGTGAATTCCAAGTATTCTAGAATGGTGTTTCAGAATATTATCAACCCAGGAAGAAAGTGGTAATCGATGGAGTCACTCAACTATATAGGGCTCCAGTGATAGGACGCGGTCTACATACCTACATGCTCAAGGTAGAGGATAGAATCTTGAACAGGTTAAGTCATTATAGTTGTTAGGAGATCACTATATAATACTGCAATCCTTTAGCGAGATTCTCTGCTTTGAATCATTCCGTCTAAGGGGCTTTCTTGGCATAAGTTATTAGACAGAGTATGGGAAACAAGCGAAACAAAGAGCGAGTGAATAAAAGACACGCAACGTACATACGTGGAAACCAGGCCATAGTGCAATTTTCAAGTAGGCGACGATGATATCTATGCCTGCTTGGTGTAATCATGAGTTGAGGTGGCAACGGCATGCTTAAGTAGGGCTATTATTATGAACACAAAGACTTTGCTGGAGAAGCTGTCCATTGGAAATAATCATTCATACTTGGACATTCCATTGTAGTGCTTCTAAAGCTGCCTTGTAATTCAACTTTCGAGCTAACTGAAGGAAGTCCCCCTTGTTTGTACAATGTGATAAGATATAGAAGTGAATTGATTTCAGTTCATGGTGTGCACATTTAAAGTGATATGACAAGGAAAGTATTGCCCCCATGTCTTCGTAGACATACTGGGCCCTCAATGCATGCCCACTAAATAGCCCCCAGCGTGCTAGATAGAATTTGAACTGCCTCAAGATAACCGTACTTATACTTTTCCGGTGGCTTAAACCTGACCAAATGACAGGTTGGTGGTTGATCAGACTTGTCGGATCGCCCGACAATTCCCCGAGCTATGTCGGCGATGTTACTTGGCATTCCCAGTAATATCATGCGCCCCTGCTTGAATGAAGCTTTCAGTCTCAGGTGCAAGCCTCGTTAAAGACGCTGGAGATGACCCCCAAACAGCAAGCGTAAATAAGTCGAGTGACATGTCATAAAAGTGACCCTGCGTAGCGAGTTCTGGCGGACCTGCCACCAGTTCAAAAGTCCTGTATACCGGTCTCTCCTTGTAGTCGAGACCTGACGTCTGCCTCACCACCTTCGACTGCCCACTCCGGCTCTTCATCGTCAAAGTATTGGTCCTGCACGTCGCTCCAGTCATCATATTCGTCATTCTCATCAACCGCCGTGTAATCGAAATCGTCATCTTCCCCCCTTAAAAACCGCATAGTCATCTCCCAGCGCCATGCCTTCTCGCCCTCTTCCTTACTACCGGGTATTTCGTCCCGGTCTTCGGCAAGGATCTCCCCATGGGGTCCCCGAGTGTAGCTCATCGTGGCGTGGGGATCCGGATGGGCCAGCGCATCGAATTTGGCCTCTGACCGACACAGATCAGCCTGTAGAACACCAGAGAATCCCTTGGCCCGCCCTTCCGCCTCCCGTTCTGCGGGGGTCTGGAACCGACGGATCAGGCGATCGTAGAGGAGCGGGTCTGCAGAGGTAACTTGATTAGCTTGGAGCTTAGTAGTCGACTGAGATAGCCGCTGCGCGATCAGTCGTAAAGAAACGAGGACAGAGCGAGCGGACCAGCTAGCTCAAGATCAGCAGAGAAATACTCCGGATGCAAGTCGAGATAGCGCTTCCGACGGTTCTTCACTTTGGTGACGACCGGGAGAGACGTCTTCTCTGATTCGGCCTGCTTAGACGGGCCGTCCGCCTCTGCATCCACTCCCGTTCCCATTGGAAATCGAGGCATAATGATCAGATGGTGAAGTTGAAGTCAGTGACCGTCATGATACGGATCTTATGATGACATGAATTTGACATGGAAATCCCGACGATCCAGGGTGGGGCGGTGAAAGGGGGGAGCTGGGCGGAAGCGGGCGGCAATTCCAATTTATCAGTTGTTATCAATGCTCAACTTCCCACCTGGATGAGTTGATCTTCACTTGTGTCCTTCGGTTCAATTGCTGGAGTATGGCCATTTGTCTGGTCTTTGAATAAAAATCAGGTAAATCAGATCGATATCCATCGATTTCACCCCATGACCTCGCTCCCCTGCACCATCCATCCCCGCAGGTGGTGTCGCACCATCGCCTAGTGGGACAGGGTGCTTGACCGTCCACGTATATCAACTTGAGAAGTTCTAGTACTAATAATGCTCGAATAGTGAAGTCCCAACGGCATTTTGTTCGTTTGGTTTCGTTTTCCAAACCCAGCTATTCGAGAATTCAAGTCAAGCACCATGCCTTCGGTCATAGAAATCCTTCGGCGGGCCGACCATCGCAGGCTACGTGCCGGCATGGCTGTGCTGTTCCTCGCGGCCTTCTCCTCGCCGGTGACCCTGCGGGCCCTGTCCCCAGTCTATGGAGGTGCCCCGTCCCATATTTTTCACGGATATGGCGCTGGAGTGGTCGCAGCTGCTGCGTGGTTCTTGAAGGACCACGTCCACCGGCTGTCGCGTCGCAAGGCCGTTTATTTCCTTCCCATACTGGCATTCTGGATCCCCACGGTCCAATATCTCATGTTCCAGCAGAGCCGTCTTCTGGGGAACCCCTTGGGCCCGGTGCTGACGGACATCTTCACCTACTATCCTTTGTTGTTCCTGTCTGTGGCCTGCGCCGGTAAATTGGTACAGATCGGCCTGCGCGTCGAAAACGATGGGGACCTGATGGCGGAGCATGTACCTCTGCTAAGCTCCTACGTCGTCTATGCGATCGGTTTGAAGTTTGCCAAAACTTTCATCGCGAAGTTCATCGGGTCGTTCTACCTCTTCACCAGCGGTGGCTTGCAGCTCATCATTGCCGCGTTGTACTCGGCCGCCATCCCATCCAAGCTGCTGCTCCTGGCGCTCCCGTCTATTCTGTTCTCAACCACGGCGAATGTGCATATGCCTTTTGGCCGCACGACGGCGGCCATGGACTCTGCTCTTCACGAGGAGGGATACGCCCTTGTGGCCCGCCAGGAGTCCACGACCGGCTACATCTCGGTCCTGGACAACTTGGACGATGGCTTCCGGGTAATGAGGTGCGACCACAGTCTCCTAGGCGGCCAGTGGACCAAGACGCACCGCAACTATGACCCGGCAGTCAAGGACCCGATCTACGCTGTCTTCACCATGCTGGAGGCGGTTCGACTGGTCGAGGATGTTAGTGGCGGACCCCGAACGGATGCAGGTCGCAATGCACTCGTCATGTGAGTACCGATAAATCCCCGTCACGTAGCTGGAAACTAACTCCAGGACCAGTGGCCTCGGAGTCGGCACGACGCCCTCCGCCTTGATGTCGCACGGAATCGAGACTACCGTCGTGGAGCTGGACCCGGTCGTGCACAAATTCGCTCAGCAGTATTTCCACATGCCGTCCAACCACATCGCCGCCATCGAGGACGCTATCGATTTTGTGCAGCGCGCCCGGCAGGCAGTCCAGCCTGTTGAGTACGACTACATCGTGCACGACGTCTTCACCGGAGGCGCCGAGCCAGTCGAGCTGTTCACCCTGGAATTCCTCCAAGGCTTGGACGCTCTCCTCAAACACGACGGAGTCATCGCCATTGTACGTCCTCCCCCTTCCACCCAGCATATACCCCATTCCTCAATCTAACAAAAAAACAGAACTACGCAGGCGACCTCAACCTCCACCCCGCCTCCCTAGCAGTGCGCACCATCCAAGCCGTCTTCCCCTCCTGCCGCATCTTCCGCGAAGACGTCCCCGTCGACAACGCCTCCGACTTCACCAACATGGTCGTCTTCTGCACGAAGAGCAGGAGCCCCGAACCGCTGCGCTTCCGCGACCCCGACCCCACCGACTACCTCGGCAGCCAATTCCGCCAGGCCTACCTGGTGCCCAAGCACGAGATCGACCCCGCCGTTTTCCAGAATGTGCACAAGGGCGGTCGCCATGTGCTTCGCGCTAAGGATACCGGCCGGCTGAGCAAGGCTCAGGATAGGGGTGCGCTTGAGCATTGGGGGATTATGCGCACGGTGATGCCTAATGCGGTGTGGGAGAATTATTGATTTTTTCCTTTCTCTTCCTCTTGTGGGACGAAGGGATTGCTCCGTGATTGTTGATTTGTTGTATATCGTATGTATGATGTGAATGTTGTGTATGATGTGGACTGATATCAGGATGGAAAGGGTGTATGTATAACTGCCATGTCTCATGTTGTTGGTTATGACGATTGATCTGTATTTACTACCTGTACGAAGATAAATAATGTTTTCCTGTAACATTACGAAATGCTCCCAAATGTTCCTAGGTACATACGTACAGTAGATAGTGTCTACATATCAAGAGTCAAGTAGCTACCTGCTAGCTAGCTAGACTTACCGACTGCACGTCAAAGTAACGAACTCGATCTCGGCGTCCGATTTGCAACGCCCTCGCCTCGCCTTTACTACACATATTCCAGCACACAGTCTGATACTAACCCATGATGAAACCAACTCTTCTAAGGTTGTTTACAATCTAATATGCATTCTGCTCGGTATATGTGTAAATAAATAGGTAGCACAGCAATACATGTACACATGAAACGTGTAAAAAAGGGACCCAACAAAATAAGAGAAGCACAGAATGAGGAAATAGAAAGTTGTGTGTATGTGGTTCGTCTGTCTCTGATGCTGACTCCTGAAACCCGGTGGGAACAAAAAATAGCAAATGGAAGAAAGAAAAACCAACCAATCTGGTATCAATAACGACAAGGGGAGGAAGGAAGGAAAGAAAGGATGGGGTTGAGGCACTGTGATGGTTGATGTGCACTTAGAGAGGGAATCAGTAAAGGGACTGATAAATGAGCGTGTCATGCTTGTTGATTCGATATTCTCGCATGGTTGCTTTGCATGTATGTATGTATGTGTGTATGTAGTGTGAATAAACAGATAGATGTGCGGTGAATTTGGACGTGGATGTGATGTAAACGAATAGGTAAACATGATGGATATACGTATGAAGCCAATAACATAAGTAAAATAATAAACATAAGATTACATTCCCCCCTGGGAGATTGATTATGTTGACGGGCTTTCGCGCGGGCTGGTACTGGGTTTCTTGACGAGGCCGGCGAAGAAGTTCTTCAGGGCTTGATTGTGGGCTTTTTCGTCGCCGGGCGAGGAGATCGTTTCTTTTCTTTGGCTGGTTCGGGTGGCTTCTCGTTCCTGTTGAAGAAAAAGAGAGAAAGGGGGATGGTCAGTCATGTATGTTCCTTTTGAGAGTGAAGAAGTGAAGGGTTGTACTAACCTTGAGTTTCCGTAACATGTCATCCGCATCGACTTGGATTCCTCCCATGTTGAACTGCACAGGCCCGATGTGCTCGTTGACACGTCCGCTGTCGTCCATTGGGGACATCTCCAGCTGAGGGGCTGGTCGGGTGGACCGATCCTGCTCGTCTTCGGCCTTCAGCTGCTCGAGGACCTCGAGCTGTTTCTCGAGGAAACTTTGCAGGCCGGTTGTCTCGACTTCGATATTATCTTTGTTCTGTTGGCTCGCGACTGCCAGCGAGGTGTCGCGCTTGGGGTCCTTGATCGTCTGCTCGAATATCGTCACCGCGCTGGTACCGTCGTCCATGCTGGGGTCCTGCTGATCGTCGCGCGGATAGCTGACTGGCCCTTTGGGGAGCGGCTCGGGGGGATCTTGGATCTCGATGGACCATGCCGTGGATATGCCCTCCATGTCGAATCCTTCCCTGATGATCCGGATCTTGCCCCATGAATCCCAGTTCGCGGGGACCAGGATCTTGTCTCTGTCGATCACGTTGTGCTTGAGCGACTGTCTCTTCAGGAGCGAGTGGATGCCGAGGGAGGAGTGGAGGAGGCTCTGGAGGGAGTTGGCGAGGAACGGGGTGGTATAAATGAGCGATGCGCCGTCTAGATATATCAGAATGGTTTCTTCCTCGCTGGAAACGCGGGGCTCGCTCACGCTTTAGAAGAAGGGTTCGCAGGAACTGAAGGATAAAATCGAATTCCTCCTCGCGCCAACCGTGCTCTTTCTCCACCTTTTCGATCTTATCGGCCTAGAATCGCAGAGCAGTTAGCCACCTGTCGCCTTCACCACCATTCCATGCAACATACCCCTTGGCAAACCACGCACAGCGGGACCCCAAGCCCCTCGTCCCATTCACCCGGTCCCAACGGTATCGAGACGGGGCCCCCAGAACTGGCCAGCCCCTGCGCGCCCGCCGCGCCAGAGTCCATGCCCCTCTTGCGATCGCGCCACTCCGTCATCGTTTCCTCCATGACGATTTTTGTCGGATCATCAAGCGAGACCAGCACGTGCCGTAACAGACGGACCCACTCCCTCAGCCTCCGAACCCATGTCCACGGGTCTGACCAGTCCAGCAGGATCACGACCAGGGTCTCCGGGACGGATTGTGGGGTCAAGAGCGGCTTGAGGAGGGGTGCAAAGGATAGGGAGGGCTCGGAAAGGAGATAGGCAGACACACGCGCCAGGGTATCTAAACGCAGGCAAGTCAATCAGTATTACAATTCCATGGATATGAATGAATGATCCACCCCCGACAAAGAGAAACACACCTTCATGGTCAGCATCCAGCACGTCCAAATACGTGTACCCCAGTGCAAACTGATTAGCAACGGGCGGCGCCCCTCCTTTCCGCTTGTCATTCTTGAACCCAGAACCTGTCGTATCGGCGGAAAATGTGTTGAGGAATTCTCTCTGGCTCTCAGGCGTGCCTCCTACAACATAATGCATTAGCGACACGAACATATAAACGAACAACAGCCCAACCGCGCCAAAATCAACAAGAAGAGGGAGGGAGGGACAAACCAAGAATCAAAAGGTTCTTCTCAGGCAGCCGCTTCCCATTCGCGACACTATCCAGCATAGACGACCACATATTCTTCTTGGGCCCATCTTTACTTGACGGCCGACTATTGCTGCCACTGCCGCCGCCGGCGCCGAATCTCGACGTAGACATTATCTGTCTCAATACCCAAGCGTGCTGCAGTCGGCGCAGACCATTCCAGATGAACCTTTCCGACTTGACTGAAGTAGCTTCTCTTCCCGCCGACCTGGACGCGTTGGGGCGCGAAACCAGGGGGGAGTTGGCTTGGTTGACGGCGGGCGGAGATTGGGAGGGGGTTGTGTCAGGATTCAGGTGTCAGGGGGACGGGGTTGTCGACAGTCGAAAGGAGGAGTGGTAAATCGAATATCAGCTTCGAGATAATGGGGACAGTCTTGAATGGATTGTATTGTCAGTGACAGGTCTCAAGATATGGTGACGGCGGGACCGTGTTGCAGGAGGGAGAAAGTAGAGTATACGGTAAACAATAAAACTGTCGCTCGCCGCGGGTGGGACCTCCACTGGGACCTCCGCCCGTGATCACTTTTGGTTTGCATCATTCCCGTCGAGCCATTGTTCTCGCCACGACCACTCTCTACTTTGAACCTACCATTTGTCTAGATAGTAGGGATTATTGGCAGCTTCGCCAGCTAATTCCCTATTTGACTTCCCACAATGAACAACATCCGTCAAGTCCAGGCGCTCAACAAGCGCGAACTGGAAAACGCCATGTACGTATCTCTTCTCCCACCCCATACCTTATTCCCACCCCCCATCATATCATACATAATCACCCTACTGACCACCCCATTAATACAGCCCCCCCGAAGCATCCTGGCACGCCGACTACCGCGACACAGCCTACATCTACATCGGCGGGCTCCCCTTCGACCTCTCCGAAGGCGACATCGTAACCATCTTCTCGCAGTACGGCGAACCAGTCCACATCAACCTCATCCGGGACAAAGAGACCGGCAAGAGTCGCGGGTTCGCGTTTCTGAAATACGAGGACCAGCGGAGTACGGACCTCGCTGTTGATAATTTGGGTGGGGCCACGGTGCTGGGGAGGATTTTGCGCGTTGATCATACGAGGTATAAGAGGAGGGATGATGAGGGGGAGGAGGGTGATAATAATGTTGCGAAGCTGATGGGGGATGAGGATGCGCTGCCGCGGGATAGAGAGGGGGAGGATGAAGGGGGGAGGAGGAGAAGGAGGCATGGGGATGGTGGGAATGAGGTGGCTCGTCCGAGGGCGCTGTTGAAGGAGGAGAGGGAGTTGGAGGAGTTGATAAGGAATCATGATGAGGAGGATCCGATGAAGGAGTTTCTGGTGGGCGAGAAGAAGGAGGAGGTTGCGCTGGCTTTGGAGAGGGTTAGAGCTGAGGAGAAGTCGTCGAGGAGGCGCGGTGGGAGCCGTGAGCGATCGAGTCGCCATCATCATCATCATCGCCATCGCCATCATCGCCATCGGCGGGGTGATGATGATGGCTCTCGTGAGCGGGAGAGGGAACACCGTAGGCGTCGATCGCCTTCGCGGGAACGGTCTTACAGGGATAGGTCGCCGGAGCTACGGGAGAGGAAGCACAGAGATCGGACGCCTGTGCGGTCTCGATCGCCGGAACCGCGGCGACATCGAGATAGGGATGACAGGCGCCGACGGGCAGAAAGTTGACGGGGTTCATTCATTATTCAATAAGCTAATTAGATAATTGGTATAGGTTGGTTTCCTGGCGCGACCAAGTGTCGGCCGGCTGGGTTGGGTCTCCAGTTTCACATATCTGGCAGGTTAGGAAAGCCAACGCAGCGAGGGTATCCAAGAAAGGCTGCCTGAGCATCTCACACACTTCCAGCAACACGAGTCGCGACTGTTCTTGTCGGTGGGTACTCTCGCGCGGACTTCAAGAGGTTGCGGTGGTGTGCACATCCTGTGGCCATACCCTATGCATGACCCCACAGAAGGACAGACACAGGACCATAGATAGCACTAAAATCAATTTGATGACGGTATCACCGCGAGAGCCGGACAATTTAGCTGCTCAGATATCGTTTCCACCCCTCTCTGACACAATGTCGCTTTCCTTCATCTCCCTCCCATATGACAAACCTCTCCCATCGGCCCTCCCTCCCCGAGCTGAGAACAAGAATGGTGCGATCGTCGGGCCAGCCGATGATTCCCTTCAAGGGTCGCCCAAACGACGTGCCAAGCGGTGGGACATGCAGCGAACCGGGCGGGGCCTCGTCGCCGATCTCAAAGTGCACATTCGCAAAGGAGTAGACGTCCGAGAAGACGCGGGGGAGAAGCGGGATTTTGCCCAAGATGCCCCACTTCTGGTTGGATGCATCCTCGGGGGGCGACGCGGATCGCTGGCTGCGCGGGGGAGAGTTATGCGGGTGGGGGAGGTCGAAGACGTGTAGCGTCGACTTGTCGGATGTCACCGCTAGTAGGTTGCTGGACGGCGAGATGCCCAGGGAGAAGATCACGGCGTGGTCGACGCCGCGTCGTAGTTCTGCCATCTTCGTACAGTTCGCCGTAGCGAAGACTCGTATCAGGGTACCCTATTGACTACAGTCAGCGACCGGTACAACGCATGCAACTGCGGTGGAAGGGTGACATACCGCTTCACTCGCCGTAGCCAATACCTCCCCGTCCGGGCTCAACGTCATGGCGCGCAACGGAGAACTGTGCGCGGGGATAATGCTGACGTTCCCGGTCTTCAGTTCCACCAGCTGGACCTGTCCGGGGGACCGACCGGGGAATGCTAGGACCTCCTGTCCCAGACAGGCCAGACCCATGGGGTTGTCTGCGGTCTCAAAGGTGGATAGTTTCTGCGGGGGGCTCGAAAAGGCAAAGATCTGGATACTGTTGAGTAAGGCGACGACGATGCGGGATTTGGACAGGCGGACGCCCAGGACGGAGGTGCGGAACTCGAGGGTGATGACTGCTTTGTGCTTTGCATCATCCCAGATGACGAGCTGGAAGTGTCAGCTAGAGAGATCTTGATGGATGGAGCGTCTACTCACCTTGTTCTGGGGGAATTTGGGTTGTTTCCCTCCGCCGACGATGGCGAGGTAGTTGGACTGGCCGAGCATAACGGCTACGCCGATGCCCGCGCTGAAGTCTATCGATACCCGGTGAGCATGTAGACCTATCAGGAGAAGGGAGGAGCGTGGCATGTCGTACTATACCTCTGGACACTTTGAGTTCACATGGATTGGCGTTGAAGACTATCAAGGCGTTCGGCTTTCAGCATGTGGGTCATTTCGATGAAGACATCCCCGCGCATCGGGGGATGCCTGTGAAGCAAGGCTTACCACAAAAGCCCGTGTCCAGACCCACGGTAAAGCAAGTGTTGTCATTGTTGAAGGTGGCAGAAAGAGAGTACGGTCCGGTGGACTCGTCAATCGGCTGTCTGGTGTTCATGCTGGCGCCATGGGGACAGACAGTATGTGATCGATCATTTGGGTGGGGAGGTGGAAGAAGCTTGAAGTATCCCAAGATCGGAGGCGGAGGATCGGCAAGTATGCGAACGGAGCGGGTGCCGCTTTAGCAGTCTGGGCTGGACTCTGGAGTGGGCCGATCTGGACAGATTTCTATTGATATCTATTGGTATGTTTCCCTATAGTTGTGAATTGATATCATTTAATCATATTTACTTTGTTGATATTCCACACTGGTCTCTCCTGTTTATCCATACTCCGTAGGTAGGAAGGTCATAATGATATAATCTGATCAACATTGGCATACATCTGGAAGCTACTACTCCCTAGATCCATCTATACTTTCTACGCCCTACTATGTCCTTTCAGCATTTCTCAGCTTCTGACCAGTATATAACAATATATACTGATCTGTGGAGTTCTAAGATAGTTCCAACTTGGTTGCTACTGCCTCAGGCCGAGTGGAGCGTGACTCCTGCCTGAGGTGTCACCAGGCCCGCCAGGACCCACAACTGCTCCCTGCTGAACCCCTGAGCAGTCCGATCCATACCTGTCCTCCTTGAGTCTTGAGGTACTGATTAGACTCACTGCAGCATCCTGATTCTTGATATTCTCAACTGTCATGCCTCTCTGAAAGATAAGTAGAGACAGATACAAACAAACATATAGGATTAACATACGTAAGATAAAATACAGAGGTGTACGAGGTCGATACACAAACAGAACCTTCCATCTGGAACCGTATCTGGACTTCTGGAGAGATCCACTCAATTCTGGTGGTCGATGGCCTGCACGGAGAAAGGGGGCCGTCTTATTGGTATTAGTCACGTATCAGAAACCGTACTTCCAGGTCCCATACCAATCATAGCAATACCGATCGTACCGATTCCCGCCTACCCCAGTAACCCCTATTGTAACTAACTACCTTATTCTACTGGGGGTCCATGTTTCACTGGTATTCCCCAAATTACCAACTTACCACATTACCAAAATACGGTACCTCCCTCGCTCTCTCCCTCTTTCTCCCTCCAAACACTGGGTTGAACCTCAGGAGAGCATCCCGTAATCTCCATCTTGTCCACACACTTCTCTCCTCCCCTCCCGCTCTTTCTAGTTTCACCCTTTCGCTTGGAGCTTCTTTTCTTCCTTCTCCGCTCGCTATCTTCTCCATCCTGTTGTTTACTTCGTCAATTCCGTTGATTTTGTCGCTTCATTTCTCCGTTTCCTTTCGTTCGTTCCCCTAATTCGCCCACCATGTCGTCGGCCCTCAACGCGGTATGTCTTGAGATCTCTCTTTTGTCAACCCTCCAATTCCCCCAAAAGAGAATGGAAAGAAAGAAATGAAGACGGTGAAGATCGTTCATTCGTCTTTCCCTTCCTAAGCACTCACTTCCCATCCTATCCCCCTGATGTAAACACATCACTGCTTTCTACAACCCCATATCGTCCACTCTGGGCTCGGTGTCTCATCACGATAATTCTATCTCACACTACAGATCAAGCTCCGTCGCAAGAAAAATGTCAAGAAGGGTATCCAATTCTGTCTGATGGTCTGTGGTGCCAGCGGAACTGGTACGTATCCATCCACTTCCCATCGCGGGAAACAGCCATTGACCGGAGATCTTCCCCCCAAACAGGACGTACCACCTTTGTCAACACTCTCTGCGGAAAGCAGGTCCTTGAAGGAAAGGATGCCGATGATGCGGCCAATGCTCACATCGAGGAGGGTGTCCGCATCAAGCCCGTGACGGTCGGTAAGTTGATCCGCCCACGATGCCCCTGAATGACCCGGGGCGTGGCGCGCTAACGACTCCCGACGGTTACAGAGCTCGAATTGGACGACGAAGGAACCCGAATCTCCCTCACCATCGTTGATACCCCCGGTTTCGGTGACCAGATCGATAACGAAGCAAGGCAGGTGGACCCCTGCGCCGCGATGCGACCCCGACGCTGACTCTTTACCTAGCTTTGGGGAGATTGTGGGATACCTCGAGCGCCAATATGACGATATCTTGGCCGAAGAATCGCGAATCAAGCGTAACCCTCGCTTCCGGGACAACCGTGTCCACGTCCTCCTCTACTTCATCACACCCACCGGCCATGGCCTGCGGGAGCTCGATATCGAACTGATGAAGCGCCTCTCGCCCCGTGTCAATGTCATCCCCGTCATCGGCAAGGCCGACTCCCTCACCCCCGCCGAACTGGCCGAGTCGAAGAAGCTGATCATGGAGGACATTGAGCACTACCGCATCCCCGTCTACAACTTCCCCTACGACATCGAGGAGGACGACGAGGATACGGTGGAGGAGAATGCGGAGCTGCGTGGGCTGATGCCCTTCGCCATCGTGGGCTCGGATGACTTCGTGGAGATCGATGGCCGCAAAGTACGAGCCAGACAGTACCCCTGGGGTGTGGTGGAGGTGGAAAACCCTCGGCACTCCGACTTCCTGGCCATTCGCAGCGCCCTGCTCCACAGCCATCTGGCCGATCTGAAGGAGATCACCCACGATTTCCTCTACGAAAACTACCGTACCGAGAAGCTCAGCAAGAGCGTGGACGGAACCTCTTCGTACGTTTGTTTTCCCTCCCGATGGTGTGGTCGTACTAACCCCGGTAGTAGTCGCACCCAGGATTCGTCGATGAACCCCGAGGACCTCGCCTCGCAGTCCGTCCGGTTGAAGGAAGAGCAGCTCCGTCGTGAAGAGGAGAAGCTCCGTGAGATCGAGCTCAAGGTGCAGCGTGAGATTGCCGAGAAGCGCCAGGAACTGCTGGCTCGTGAGAGCCAACTGAGGGAGATCGAGGCTCGTATGACACGCGAAGCGAGCGGTCAAGTCGATGGCGCGAATGGAGATGCTTAAAATAATTATACCTGGTCGAACCACCCCCCTCCCGGTCGCACCGGGGTCGTTGGCGTGAGCGTGTTGACACCATTCGCGGAATGGGATTGGTGGCACGGTCACAGCGGTCTGTGGGGATAATATTGACTGTTTATTCACGTTAATAGCTTTTTTACCTTCTGTTTGTCTTTTTTTTTTCGCGTGAAAGGGAAGGATGGCAAAATGCAACATTCCGTTTATTTCGATGACTGGCACCTGCGTCTCGAGTTGCGTACGGGGTCGCAATTCGACCCACCGAGATCGTGGAATCAACCGGGCTGCCCGCTTTCCACCTTTTTTCTCTTTCTGTGCCTCCATATTCGTTCGCATATCTTCCTTCGATTCGATTCGGCTGCAGATTTTCCTCCCTCATCCCGGAAGACCGTTTACAGGGGCCGGGGTCGGAGAATAGCGTCTTTTTAATCCCGGACAGTTGTCATTGCGGAATCTCTGCATAACTTCTTGCTCTATACTTTTTTTTCGCTTTTTTTTTTCGCTTTATTCGACCATTCACCTGTTCTGTATCGATGACACCTTTCCCAATCTCAGCAGCGCCCGCAAGATTCCCTCTTTTGTCATTTTCCAGTTTGTTGTTGTCCCTCTCGTGGCTTTGGCTTTGTTACTGCGTCCGTCCCCTCTGCACTGTTTCTTCAATCATTCTATATGTTATGTTCTAGTTGAATAGTAGTATATCGGATGAAAAGTATTTTACTTTGCTGTAGGAGTTTATCCATACATTTGTCTTATCCGTTGCGCTTGGTAGAGAGTAGCATGGAGTGTGTATATACTACCTACCTACCACCTACCCTCTACTTATCTGTCTATATATCAATGAACCTACGCAGGGGTCAAGGGAAATGTTGTTTGTTTATCAGTTAGTGTGAAACAACAAATCAACAAATCAATCAACAAATAAACAAATAGACAAAACGAAAAAAAACACAAACAAACCAATAAACAAACATACAACAATGATTACTACTACTACTACTACTACTACTACTACTACTACTACTACTACTATGAAACAAACGAAGCATAGTGAAACGTCCAGATAAAGTAAAGTCAATCCGGATCATCTATTTACATTACCCACGTATTTGTTTTATATTGACGTTCAATCATGCGCATTGACTTCTTTTCTATTTGCTCCCTTTTAAGTTGGGGGTAGACACGGGTCAATGGAAAGAGGGAAAGTGTGTGGGTGTTGGTAGTAGTATAAGAGTAGAAAGTGGTATGTAATAAACAGTAGTGGAGTTTCAATCAATGATGCTATGGGGTGAAATAAGGACACTTTCTTGAAGAGGACATACACATAAGATGGGAGGTCGCTACGACTATCGACTGAGAAAGGAAAAGACAATAAATGGGAAGATGATAATAATTATAGGAAGAAAATAGTAATGAAAAAAATAGACAACAGAACACGTAATATCAAAAAGTGAAAAGGTGAAGATAAAATATGAAGGATAGAAAGAACAACAAGAACGGCAGAACATGTGGTATTTGCGCTTCATTGTACACAGCGGTAAGTAAGGAAGTAGTAAGAGAGGAAAATGAAATCGGCCAAATGATCATCGTCAATGGATAACCGGATACAATAAGCAGATTGAGGTGACATCGGAAAGAAAAAAGGTATTAGAGAAGGGGGCACTTCCATGCCATAGGTGATGTCCGGTGGGGATAGATGGTGGAAACAAGGGTATTGAGAGATGAAAATCAAGATTCGGTAGGATCGGTGGGTGGATGGGATGATAGTGGTCGTCGCCTTGGGAGACATTCAACGGCTTCGTCTAGAACAGGCAAATCACACAAGATGCTTTTCCATTCTGCTTCCTTTCGCCCTCTAGTGAGGAAGACAGATCAAAAACGACAGCGGTCTTCTAAATCTGCGGTTTGCTCCAGAAATCCAAACTGGCGACGACGTCCTCGCCTCCTTCATCTTCGTAGGCATAGAGAATCTGTTGACATGTGAGTATTGGTACGTAGCAAATGGGGGAAAGACTTGGCAAGTCATACCTCGCGGGTCGATGAATGCAACATGCGAATGTTCTTGCCCGTCATGATGTGAATCAGTTCGCTCGTCTCGATGTGCCGGATTTCAATAAAATTGGGCTCAAAGGCAAGGATGTACGGGTAGGAGAGGGCGAACGAGTTGGGATTGCCCTCCCAGGAGATCTTCCAGTCGGGACGCGCGCGCCAGCCATTGCGATTGACAAAGAAGGAAAAGTCGCTGTAGTTCAGCAAGAACTCGCCGTTCATCCGCTCGATGTGAATCGGCTTGACGTTTTCCTTGCGGGCGACGAAATCCAGCGAAGTATCGGCCTGATCCAGGAGCGACTGCGTCTCAGTGGTCTCCAGACTGACGACTTCAAACCCACGGGCGCAGCCCACACAGAGGGTGGAGCGAAGGAAGTGGATCGAGGACGACTCCGCAGGGATGTAGTATTCCTATTAAGAAAGTCAGTCACGTCAACGCCAACAGTGAGTATACAAACGGAAAAAAAAAAACGAACCTTGAAAGGCTTCAATGTATCCTGGCCGCTCTGGAACATCTTACTGACCGCGGACTTCTTCTTGCCCTTGGCCAAATTGTCCATCGGCTCGTAGACCTTGATCGTGGACGACAGGGCGGAGGTCTTGACGGAGCAGACCAGGTGACGACCGAGACCGATCCCAGCCTTGAAGAAGTTGGCATGGCCCTGAATCTTCTTGGGTCGCTTGGCCAGCGCGTTCTGACTCTCGTTGATCTCCAGCGCCTCCATCGGATAGGATGTCAGGGTCTTGTTTGCCAACACCAGGAGCAGCTGATACTCCTCCAACGTATCGATCTGCGTCACCTGACTGGCGTCGAGGACGCGCCGGGGTTTGGCGGACTTATCCTTGGGCCAGCGGTCCGACAGGTAGATGCCGCTGTCGGTCCCGTAGACCAATTTTCGGCCTCCATCCACCGGAACCAGGCAGTTGACGCGATTGACGGCCGTGAAGAAGCGCTCGCAGAGGACGGTCTTGTGGTAGAAATTGCTGTTCCGCTCCCGGAGCTTGCGCTGTTGCTCCTCGACCATCTCGATGAACTTCCGTCGCTGCGTCGGGGACGTGGCGTAGAGGGTCTGCTCATACCCGCCTTTGCCCAAGTGGCGGAAGGTGATGGGCAACCCGTCCTTGGTGGTCGGAGGGTTAACCACCGCCTTGTTGGACAGAAGACTGGAGGACGGTCGTTTGGTGATGCCGACCCGCGGGATGACTTCGTCCATCTGGGCGATGACCAAAAGCTCCAGCGGGATCGGCTTCCGGTAGACCCGGTACTCGTCCCGCTTGTTGATGATCTTGATCCGCACCAGCAGCACCGCGTGGTCGAACAGGTACGCGGTCACCTCCGAGCTGTCCGTGGGGGTCTTCTTGAACCCCATCTTCGTCAGCATCTGGCGGTTCTCCTCGGTCAGCTTGAGGTCGACATAGTCGCCGGGGCCGAATTTCAGGGCCGAGTTCAGCTGGACCAGGTTGAAATGGTTCTCCGCGCGGCCGCTTTCCGTGTTGACGCGGGACAAGAAGTCCTTGATGATCTTGACGGCTTTCGGGATGTCCTCCTTGTCCGGGTTGTCGTCGGCTGTGTTCTTCAGGACCTGCTCCAGGAGCAGCGGGTACCGGGCCAGACGGGTCGTGGGTTTGGTCAGGTAGCCGTTGAGTTCCAGCTTGCGGGACTCCTTGAGCCGTTCCGTCTCCTCGACGAACTTAGCGAACCCGGGGTTCGACGCCTTCTCCTTCTCGAACTCGTACTTGCCGTAGAGCTGGTTGGCACCGTACTTGATGAAGGGATCGAATCGGGGCACGTGCTGGAGGAAGATGTCACCGACGGTCTGGACCACCTGGCTCTCCTTCTGGCGAATGTTGAGCGCCTCGCACAGGCCCCCGTTCACCTTGAGCACCTCCAGGCAGTTGCCGAACACAGTCCGAATGAACTTCTCCCGGCGATGCTCCGGGACGGGCGAGCTGGCGGTGGGGCCCGCGGCGCGGAGGGGTCGCATCCAGAAGTCCCGCAGATACTCCAGGTCCTTGACGAAATCGCGCTCCGTGTACATGATCTCAAAGATAATCTCTTGGCGTTTCTTCTCCTTGTCGGGGATGCTGTCCGAGACCTCCTTGGGGACCATGTTGATCCACAACTTCTGGTTGTCGTTGTCGTCGTCGTCGCCGTGCAGACTACCCTTGGAGGCCGACGTCCGCAGCCCCGGTTGCGGGTGCAGGTTGAGGCGGGCCTGCTGCTCCAGCCGCCGCGGGCAGGCGATCGAGTAACAGAGGCTGTCGCGGGTGCACGTCGGGGAGTAGCACTCGGTCAGCAGCGTAAAGACCCCGTTCACGTCGGAGCTGGGGCTCTCCTCGCCCATGGTCTCGCGGAACTGGTAGATCTCGCCGGGAGCGTCGCGGAGGCGATGGTCGTACGTCACATCGTGGAAGAATTTCTGCGCGTCTAGAGCGCGACCGAGGAGCAGAGCCAGGTTGCGGTCATTCGTCTTGATGATGTAGCCGATCAGATCGACGGCCTCGGCGCCCGAGAAGGCGTTCTGGTAGGTCAGCTCGTTCTTCTGCCGTTCCTTCAGCACGATGCGCTCCCGGAAGCCGTCCGCCACGCGGGACAGCAGCGCCGGATAGACCAGGGGCACCTTGCTGCGGCGCGAGTTACTCGAGACCAGGGTCGTGGTCGTGGTCTGGGTGTTGGTTTTGTGGGCCATTTGGCTCTGCATGCTCATGGTCCGGTCGGGGACCACGGTCGAGGCGATCGACATGGAGCGCCCATTGGTCGAGCCGTCGCTGGGCGGACGGTGTTTCCCGTTGGCAGTGGGGGCCACCGCCGCTGCCGCTGCCGCCGCCATCTCCTGCTCGATCCTGGGGTTGACGGGCGGCTGACTGGGGCCCGACGGCTGTCGACGGGCGGGGATCACCCGCCCCGTGCTGGTAGTATGGGGTTGCTCGCGTTCGGCCGAGTACGAGGTCAAGGACATGGCCCGCTCGTTGCCGTGTCGCTCGGGCACGACCCGACCCTGAGCCGTCATGGGGGCGGCGGCATTGTAGGGCTGCTGGCGAAAGGCGCTGGCCGAGGTGTGATTGAAACTGTTCGGCGAGGGCTGGTAGACCGGAGGGCCGCCCATGCGCGCCATGGACCTCGACCGATAGGCGTCGGTATTCAAGGCCGGCGGGGGCATGGGGCGACCATAGCCCTTGGCATCCGGATACTGGGGGCCGGGGCTGGGCCGAGAATCCAGTCGCTGGGGTTGCGGATAGGCGTATCGTCCCGGGTAGGGTCGGGGGGGTGCATTCTGGGGCGCCGGCTGGGCGGCCATGGTGGCGGCGCCTGGGTAGGCCTGATAGTAGCCGTTGGCGGCGGGTGGGGTGTATCCATTGGAGGGGAGGCGGGAGGGCTGCGGGGGGCTCGTTGCATCTGAGGTTGTGGCATGTGGGATGACATGGTGTAGGCACGATCCTGAGAGAACTGAGGGGTTTGCGAGGTCATGGTCTGCGAGCGTCCGGGTGGCGGCGCCCCACCAAAGATCTCGTTAAAGGCGGCATCACGTTGAAAGGAGGAGGAGTGTCCGTAAGGCCGGTAGTTCCGGCCTTGCTGGCCACCCAAATCGGCCATGGTGGATTATCCTTGCTTCTACTTCGTCGTCGATCTCGCACCGGATTGATTCCCAGCAGTCTTGTTGACCGGGCGGAAGGGCCCAGGCGCGTCAAGCAACCGAGGGCTTGGACTGGGGAGTCGGAGAATCGGAATTGGTGCGTCGAGAAGGTCGAGAATGTTCGCGAATTATCGTTTGGAAGATTTCGTGGATGGGAGGGGGTTGAGGGACGGAAACAGATGAGGAAGAGTGAAGGAGAAAAAAGAGGCAAGGGAAAAAAAGGAGTTCTTCCCCGAGTACCGTATAAGCGGCGACCACGACGTCACTAATTCGGTTTCGACGGACGAGGTAAAAATTCTCAGACGAAAGAAGGTCTTTTCTTTTTCTTAATCTTTTTTTTATCTTTTCTTTATTTTTTTTAACGGATCATCCCTCGGTGGGAGGAAGAGGCGAGAGTCGGAGTGGTAGTGGTGTGTGGTAAGGAACGAAGTGCGCTAGGAGCCTTGAGCGCAACAGCAAACCAGGGCCCCTGTACTTTCATAACCTCAGCATCCTCCGTCGGACGACAATCATGGAATTGAATGGGGGTGGGTAACAACGATCGGGTGGCGGTCGGAGGGATCCACCCACGAAGAACACGATAGGAAAGGAGAGAGTATAGAGAGAGAGAGAGACCGACCAGATAAGGACAGCGAAGATCCAGAATAGTTCTTTAATGGGGTTGAATGGGGGAGGGGAGATTGTGTGTGGAGGGGGTAGAGGGGGACAGAGTAGGAAGAGGGGGGAGTGGTCTGGGGAGGGGTCAATAGGTCGGTAGTCGAGACTCTAGTGAGTGATATTAAGGTATTGAATCAGGGAGAGAGGGAGATCTGCCAGTACCAAACTTCAACTGGTGTTAGAAGTGGTAGAAGTGGTAGTAGTAGAGAGGGAGGGAGAGGTGGAAGTGCGGAGGAAAGGATGAGATGGGAGTGGAGTATAGGAAGAGTAAGGAATGAGGAGGGAGAGATGAGAGGGATGATAGAGGGAGAGAGAGAGAGAGAGGGATGATAGAGAAAAAGAGGAAGAGAAAGGAGGAGGGAGAGGAAGAGGAAGAGAAGAGGGTGAAGAGAGAGAGAGAAGAAGAAGAAGTGAAGTCGTGATGGAAAGGGAAAAGCCAGTCCAGGCACGGGGGGAGAAGAGAAGAGAGAGAGAGAGACAGACAGAGTGAACGCAATCAGCCATAGTAAAGTACTGGATTGACTTGGGGGAGTGAAGAGCTGCTGACTAACCCGTATCCACGCATGTCTGTTCAGCTTCAACTTTCCTTCCTCTCTCTCTCTTCGAACACCCCCTCTAACTTACTCGTTTGTGTCTCCTTTCCACTGGGGTTTCTGACTATTGAACTTCTGTGGTGGAATTTCTTTAATTTTTCTTGTTTACACCCTCCTCCTTTCTGTATCCCACTGAGTACCATCCAGTCAACATGGCGGACAGCGAATACACCCCCAAGTTCGCTCCGTTCTTCTCCTTTGTCAGTCTACCCCCTCTAGACGGTTCTCCCCCGGTCGTGTCGTGGCTTGGAGACTAACCCCTGAATTGTAGGCAGGGATTGCAGCCGCCGTGAGTGTTTCGCCCACCTGATTCGTCCTACGTCCTACGTCCACCCGCTAACCATGATCTCGCGCGAAGATGATCTTCGGATGTACGTTCGCCGTCTTGATTCCATGGACGCTTGGAGGATGGAAGACTGACGATATCTAGCTATGGGGGCGGCATATGGAACGGCCAAGTCGGGCATCGGTATCTCCGGTGTCGGCACCTTCAGACCCGACTTGATCATGAAGGTATGGAAGGACAAAAGCGCAGTCACGCCAGAGTGTATCGGCTAATGTTGACAGTCGCTGATTCCTGTCGTCATGTCCGGTATCATCGCCGTCTACGGTCTCGTCATCGCCGTACTCATCGCGGGTGATCTGGCACCTCCCCCGACCCAAAACATGAGCCTTTATACGTACGCCACCACCCAACAGACTTGAAAAAAAAAATGAAAGGAGAAATACATAGGATGGCAATGATGGGACTGACATCTGGCAGAGGCTTCATGCATTTGGCATCCGGACTCTCGGTAGGCCTCGCGGGCGTGGCTGCTGGATACACCATTGGAATTGTCGGAGATGCGGTAAGCACGGCATACCAGTCTACATACAACCTCAAGGTGCTGACCATCATCTAGGGCGTCCGTGCATACATGCAGCAATCCCGAGTATACGTCGGAATGATTCTCATCTTGATTTTCGGAGAAGTCCTCGGGCTCTACGGGTATGTCTACATACATTCCGATACAATACTCTCTCCCCTCTAACCCAGGTAGATTGATCGTGGGCTTGATTCTCAACTCGAAGAGCTCCGGCTAAGACTGGTCATGTGGATTGCGGGGAGGATCGGTGGAATTGTACGCGATTTGCTTCTGTCCCGTGGTTGGGTCCGTGGCTCCCGCAGCGAGGAATCACCAGCATTCCGGTCACGATGCATCCTGAGACGGTTGCCTCGAGTCGATCAGTCCGTCGATCGGGCTTCTTCCGACCGGACCAGATTGGAGAAAGGCATGTGGGATTGTGGGGGTGATCAAGACTGTCATTCATTCCGCGGGACCCGGCCTGTATACTATACATATAACCTGCCAAATTACCTGCACGTCTCTCTGTTACTTGCATACGAATAGCATCGATACATCTCAAAACTTTGGCCGGCCTTCTCTTAAATAAACGAGTAATGATTGTGGGGAAGAAGGCTAGATGCGATAATGGAGAGGGCCGGGAGCGCCAACCGATTGCGCTGCGCGTGTCATTTTGCCCCGCCAGAGCCCGGTAACGTCAGAGTCTCTCCCGCTCAACCTTTCTTTCAACTCTCTCTCTCCCACACGTCTTTCTCCTCATCCCATCCATCCCCATCCCGCGAGTTCCGCGCCTTTGTCTGGTCGTTTCGGACGACTTCTCTTCTTCTTCTCACCCAGCTTATTTGTTCCACTTCACTAGTCGCGACTCCTTCCCATACGGATGGCCACTCTCCTCCCATCGCTGTCGTAAATGTCAGTCCTCGTCTGATCCCTCTCACCTCCACCTCGCATTCTGTATAGGGGGCCGCCGGTGGTGCGCTGCCTCAATTGCCGTGTTCCTCGTCTCCCTATACAGTGGCTCGGTCGTCCGAGACATGCTCCCTTGTTGTCTCAATGGCTACTGGAACCGTCGACCGCTCGCCACCCACTGAGGTGCAGGATCCATCATCCACCGCGCCCAAGAGCCCCGTCGAAGTCCGATCGGGCCCCATCCCCGAGCATGAGGTGCCCGCGGTACCCTCCCCCCGACCGACACCGATGCACCAGCGACACTTGAGCCCGTTTGTCATCACCGATCGACCGGAGGAGAAGCAGCTGGGCCTGTCCAGCCGCAGTCTGAGCCTGCAAGACTTTCGACTCCTGAAGACACTCGGAACGGGTTAGTTTCCTTGCGCCCCGCTGCGCCTGCGGGTCCCGATACTGACGCATGGTTGGCGCCAGGCACGTTTGCTCGCGTCTGGCTGGTCAATCTGAAGAATGCACAGGAGCGTCGGAACCAGGTGTATGCGCTGAAGACATTACGCAAGGCCGATGGTAACCTGCCCCCAAGTGGTTTATTCGTGCGTTGTCTTGTACTAACCGCTGATTGCCGACAGTGATCAGACTGAAGCAGGTCGAACATGTGCGCAACGAACGCAAGACGCTCGCGGCGGTGTCCGGCCACCCGTTCATCACGTCGTTGATCGCGACCTTTGCCGATGACCAAAGCTTACATATGCTGGTATGGAGATACTCCTTGTGTGCGACCCCGTTCTAGAGCTAACTAGCTGCAGCTGGAATACTGCCCTGGTGGCGAGATTTTCAGCTATTTACGGCGTGCACGTCGATTTAACGAGAACACCTCCCGGTTCTACGCGGCGGAGATCTGTCTCACCATCGAGTTCCTCCACGACATCGAAGGAGTGGTATATCGCGACCTGAAACCAGAGAACATCCTCCTCGACGCCGAAGGCCACATCAAGCTCGTGGATTTCGGATTCGCGAAGCAGATCGGCGACCGCGAAACGTACACCTTATGCGGAACCCCCGAGTATCTTGCCCCGGAAGTCATTCACAACAGCGGCCACGGCCTGGCGGTGGACTGGTGGGCGCTGGGCATCCTCATCTACGAATTCCTCGTCGGCCAGCCGCCCTTCTGGGACCAGAACCCGATGCGGATCTACGAACAGATCGTCGAAGGCCACGTCCGGTACCCACAGGGCATGTCCGGAGCCGCCCAGAACATCATCTCCCTCCTGTGCAAGACGAACCCCACTGAGCGGCTGGGTTACATATCGGGCGGGTCAAGTCGAGTCAAAGCGCACCCGTTCTTCGAAGGCATCAACTGGGACGATCTCTTCCACCGCCGCACCAAGGGACCCATCCTCCCGCGGGTCGACCACCCCGCCGACACGGGGAACTTCGAAGAATATCCCGACCCCGACGTGCGGAACCAGGCCATCTACTCCGAGGACCTGAAGAGGAAATACGAGGCCCTGTTCAGCGATTTCTGATACTCCATTGAGCCGGTGTATACCTTCGGAACAATTCTACAGGATGAACCCGTCTCGGCGCAGGCCGCCAAGGTAATCGATCCATCGCCTGGACACTCCCGTCGCCGATGGGGGTTTTAACCCGGGGCACTTGACGTAGTATAAGGGACGATGCAGCTGGTGTTCTATACATTCTCCACGAACCATCAACCCGCCCATCGACCAAACCGTTCGGCATACGGGCCCTCCTCCTTGTCCATGTCCTCGTCCCAATCGTGCCTTACCTCCATTCTTGCAAACTCCATGACCCGCGTTTCGTGCTCGCCAGTACTTTGGATACCGATACCGATATTGATACTATTCCGATCTACCCCACCTTATTCCTTCCACCATTTCTCGTCTTTCAATCTTTAACCTTTCAACATTGGAAATACTCCCACCCTCAGGGTGTTACTGATCAACGATCACGAACCCGGCTATGTCCCGTTCTGTTAATATGCTTCACTTACCCATCTTCTTATACTTTTTATACTCTTCCTGTATTGAATTGTCTGCGTGAATGTACAGCTTGGACATTATGTATCACGAGTACGAGTCTTACTATATATGATCATGTCTTACGGAATTATCTATCTAATTCGCATAATCGGTACCATAACCGGTACTTGTTGTCTGTCTACCGTCTGTTGCTTCTAGGGTTGATCTGAACCAACTACTTTACGTTTCACTGTCTATCCAAAATGGATTCACCCTGAGTGGCAACACAGGGTTCTCCAGGGAAGAAAGGAAGAAAGAAAGAAAGAAAGAAAGAACGAAAGCCAACAGACAGATATGCCACCCAAGGACGAAGACACATCTACAAGCTAGTTATGCGGTATAATCCCACCTGTTCATAATATCATTATCATCATTATCGTCATTATCATCATTATCGTCATTATCATCATTATCATCATTATAATTATTCACTCCTGGATTCGCAAAAACAAGGCTATACTCAAACCGATGACCTGGGGTTTATCTATCTTCTTCCTGTTCATCTGCTCAACTGTCTATCTATCATCTTGTATATTTATCGATCTATATCATATCTATCTAGTCAACTACAATGCCAGACACTAGTTAAGTATGACCTTACTTGACTTCAACTCTCCGTTACACTTCCAAACTTTTCCTTCTAGTGTATCTTCTCTATACTCCTCTGATGTTTCTTTGCGGGTTAGTGATTTTTCTCCCTATCTCATGTAGTAAGTAAGCAGTATACTATAAGAGTAAGCCATAGTAAGTAAGTAGTTAATTAAAGAACAATGAACAACCTGAAGAAAGCAAAATATAGCTCAGCTCAGTCACCCACTCACTCACTTAGTATACTTGAAGTACTCCGTACCTACCTACCTACCTACCTACCTATTTACCAGGCACAATACATACTATACTATACCTGGTTTATGGGCGAATCAGTAGAGTCGGTGTCATTGATAGGTGAGGTATTACCCTTCCTCACGTGTAGATGAAGTAAGATTAGTTGATAAATGGAACAATAGTAAAAATGATAATAATAATAATAATAATTGATCATTGCGTACACGTATAATACACCAAGTTCAGTGCTACTCCTCCTATTCCATAATTCCAAAATCCAAGACATTAAATAGATTGATTGATTGATGAATGAACGAATGATTGGTGGATCATTAGGTAGGTAGGTAATAGCATCCAGCTAGCTAGTTAGCTCCCTGTTGCTGCTACTGCTGCTGTGCTGTGCTGTGCTGTGCACCCACTCCTGGTGGGCTAAGCACATGTCAAGTTTAAAACAAAGAAGAAGAAGTCTGATCTGGTCGTACATTCATTCTCGTGTCCATGTGGCAAAAAAGCAGAGCGTATGCTTGTTTCTCAAGCTGATGTTTTAAGCTTTTTTGTCTGTCTTTGTTTCTGGCGGCGCTGTTATTGTTTTGCTTTAGATGATGAGAATGGGATGTTCGGTGTAGAAGTGGGTGGGTGGAGGTGTAGGTGAGGGTTGTAGCTGTATTGTAGTTGTGTAGAGGTCGTGTTGGTTCCGGTTTGGCGGAGGCGGATGGAACGGGAGGTAATTGTTATGTTTAGGTAGACCTGAGTTTGGGATATTATCCCTCTTGCTCTGTTGAGTCCCGAAGCCTCTTACAGTCCGTCAAAGGCCGACAGATCTAGTAGGGCTGCGCCCGAGTCCGCTACTCGCCGAATCAATCGGGCTCGGTCAATGAGAAGACAGTGTGAAGATGCACTCGGGCATTATAGCGACGGGTCGGTTTTCCATGTTCCTATAATGAGTTAGTCAGTCCATGCATCCCTCATGACATTGGAAGAAAGGAGGAGGAGTATTACCATCAAAAGAATGCTGCACAAACGCCATCGGATCCTCAATATCCCCCGCTCCCATCTGTCCCACCCCCGGACTGAAGCTGGTAATAGGCAACACCACCACATCGCCCACCTTGCGATAGTCCTCGAGGTAAGTGAAATCCTCGTAGGTGATGTTATCGGACCCCGACTCGATTTCAAAGTACTCGGGGTCGTTGAAGAACCGGAAGACGGCGTCCGTCCAGGCAGCGGGCCCCGTGAACTCGACGATGGTCTTATCCATCTTGCCCTTCTTGAGCACGCCCTGCTTCTTCATGCGCAGCGCCTCCTCCGTGATGTAGGCCACGATGTCGCGGAGGATGGGATGGCCCGGCTTAGCCTGGATAGTCCACTGGCAGAACTGGATCCGGCGCGAGTACCACTCCTGCCAGTCCGGACGGTCCGGGTCGGCCTCGATGCCAATGACCATGCTGATGGACCGCAGGTCGAGCTCTTCGGGCAGCCAGTCGGCCGCGGGCCGCAACGCCGTCGTGTCGATATCGCTGTAGATGCCTCCGCGCGCGAGGAGGATCAGGTACCGGAAGAAGTCGGCCTTGAGGACGGGCAGGGGCAGCGACTCAAAGGCCTCGAAGACCTCGGGCACCGAGCCGTACAGGTACTTGATGAGGTAGTACTGGGTGTCGTCGGGGACCACCTGGTGGACGAAATCCGGGTTCATTTCGGTCCAGCTGGCCTCGGGATCCCGCAGTTCCTCCCCGAACCACAGCGACGCGGGCGTGTATTTCCACGTTTGCCATATATACGCGGGGAATTTACCGTCTAGGTCGTATGGAAAATGGTAGCGGAGGCGGTCGCGCAGAGGGGCGCTTGGCAGCGGAGCGAGGGGTTGCTGGAGGGTATCCTTCTTCTGTCCCTGAGTCTGGTCCCCCGGTGTATCTCGGCTGTGATCGGAGGCGGCGTCATCGGGTACCTGGACCTGGGCCGATGACGGGACGGAGGAGGTGGAGTGCGACGACCGTAGATAGACGACGAAGGCGATGAGCACAAGCGCCGCAAAGAGGGCTTTTCGAGGGGTGAGCATTGTCGGAGAAGGAATGCGACAAGAAGGGGAAAGCGAGGAGGATGAATCGATCGACACTTGCGAGGGACGCCCGCGGGAGGTGGTAACAGAGGGGCTTCTCCGCAGAATGCGCCGACAATCAGAACACACACAGAACGACTATTTCAAATTCCGATCCACCTGACGAGGAGACGGCGACCACACATATCTGTTGCTTCTCTTTCTTGTCGTTGTTTTTCTCGAGGGTTCCTGTTGAGGTTGATCGGCGGATTGAGGGATGACGATAAGGTTGGACAGCTCAAGTAATCAACCAATGGGTCTAACCTAATGAGAAGGCGAGAGTCTTCAACCCAACACGGAGAATGAAAAGTAAGATAATGTAAGAAAAGGAAAGGAAGAAGCGAGTCGAGAAGGGAGAAGCGATGAAGCGATGAGGTGGCCGGAGAACAACAAGAGAATTAATTAAAGCCGATCGGAGTTTTTTTATCCACGGCCTGAGGTTTCAACCCACGAGTATAATCCTCGGTCAGATCTTAATCACTTGTTTCTTCTACACCACTTCAGACAGTCGAATTATATATTATGAAGTAAGAAAGAAAAGAGCAAAGAAAAGAAAAGGTCTAATCACTGGATCATCAAACAATCCTGTGATCTTAACAGTGACTCGCACCTCTTCCCAGGTCCCAGGATCCCAATGACCCTTTATAACCAACATCACCAATAAGAATTCCGGTCCATGGTGTCGATCCAATTTCCTCCGTCGGGCGGAAAGGAAACCTGTAACCCTAGGCGCTGGAACCTGCAACGCTGGGACGTTGGAGAGTCCACATCGTCTGGGTACTAGACCCCTGGGACTGGGAGATTGGCACGACACTAAACTATTCTGACAATCTGGTTCAACTGCAGGAATACAATCCAAGCAAGATAAGAGAGGAGGGGTACAGTAGGAAGGCACACCTTGATCAAACGTGGTATTTGGCCTTTTACAGTATCTATCTCCCACCCCCCGCAGTCTGACCCCTTGAACGAGGTATTCAGCTATCACGGCGTTGCCGTTTCCGGTCCGTTCGGCCCCTGCAGCGTCGCAGACCCACACGTCGTTTCTCTGGGATGATTCTAGACATGGTCTGGAAGTTCCTGTAAGATCAGGTCCCGAGGGGGCTGGATTTTAGGTGCACGAGGTTATCGATCGGTTCGGTTAGTACCGAGTCGATTTATCTTCTCGATATCTACAATCGATACTATCCATACCAAGAGTAATGCCTACTACCAGATCAGGCCAACTACGAAACAAACCATCCCCTCTCGGGAACGGCCACTGTCCCTGGCGATCGACAGCCCGGCTTGGCTTGGCTATGTGCGAAGGAGCGGGGGGAGAACTCAGGGATTGGACAAGCCCTGAAGGACGAACATGGGTTGAAACGCCACCCGGGGGTTGAGAGAAATGGGTAGTGCGACGGTGCGTACACTATAAATATAAAGAGACAGAGGAGGTTCGTCATATGGGGGATCCAACCAGCCGTCAAGAACCTAACCGGGTGCTGTTTCCGGAAGCGGTCGTATGGCACGACTGGCCTGACTCATGACAACCCTGAAGAGGAACCTGTCAGTGGCGAGGCATGAATCTGATGTAACTGAACTAAAATAAACTTATACACCTCTGTGGTGGTCGGGGTTATCTCTTGTCTCGGACCCGATGCCAGGTTCGATGAGGTCTAGGTCGGTGAGTTACTAGGAAGTAGTATTCCATTGTATCATCCTCATTACAACCTCTATCTCTCTCTATTTCCCTCTTTGTGTATGTCTATATGATATTTATATTCTAATTAATCGATCTATGTATATACCTGCGGGGCATCCAAAATCCTCATCCACCGCACATTATGATCTCTATAAGATGTATGGTCCCCTATTGCCTCGAGAGCTCCGCTCGCAACGAGGTATTATGTATGAAGGCTATACTCCCAGACTCCGCGCATTTTTTTTCTCCATCCCATGTATTACCCTGTCCGTCCAATTGCTGCGGAACCGAAAAAAAAAAGAAAGGAGAAAAAAGGAAAAGAGAACCAAGAGGAAGGGGAAGACGGAAATAAGAAAAGAAAAGAAAAGAAACCCCCCCAATCAGATACCCAAGCGCTGTATGCGTAGGTAGTCTGGCCATTTAGAGAAAGAAATAGATAGAATGAGATGGGTAATTATAACCACGCTCGCTTCCAGACACGCCCGCTGAAGAAAATCCAAATCCAAGGGTGGACAGAAACAGAAACAGAAACAGAAACACAAGAAATTGTATAGAAAATGAAAGAGAGAAAGAAACTCAATAGTTGAAGTAGTACGGGTTGGTGCATGCACCCATGTCAGAAGCCGGGAGACCAATAACCGGCAGAGGGTGGTGCTGGTGGTGGGGCCCATGGTGGGGCCCATGGTGGGCGTCGTAGTATTTGATGGGGTAACCGTGGGCGTCCTCCGAGGGGAACATCGCGCTGGTTGGGGTGCTCAGGGAGGGCAGGGACGGGGCGCAGGGCTCCCAGCCGGCGTGGACGCTGCTGCTGGCGCTGCTGTCTTTGGCGCTGTTCCGGGGGTGGTGGTGGTGTCGCTTCCTGGGGAGCCGCCTGTGGAGGGGAAGACGGAGGTGTGGGATTCCATGTCGGGGACTTCTTTGCGGTAGACGGGGTTGAGGTCTCTTGTCAATGACGAACTGGGGGAGCGCGTGTGGGAGTCTAGGTCGGGGAGATGGACTCGGTAGACGCAGACTGCTGATTGAGCGTCTGTGTCTGCGTTAGTAGTGTTCTGCCGGATCTGGGGAAATGACATACCGGCCCGTCCATCGAGATATCGCTCCTCCTCCTCGCGGACATGATAGATCTCGTCGAGGACTTGTAACCGCTCCGCGGGCAGGATCTGCCGCCGGATCGACTGGTCTGCCTCGCGCAGCTTCTCGACAGTAATGTTGTGGCTCCCGCGGAGTTCGCAAAGGATGTGAACCAAGAGACGAATTCGTTCTAGGCTATCGCGTCAGCTAAATCAGATCTTTTGAGTCCCTCCCCGACTAAGGTGACACCCACCCGCTTTGAGAAGATGGTCGGGCTCGCGGTGCGTTACCCCCGAGGGCCACCAAGCCGGCTTGGTCAGCTCCGGATCGAACTGCTGCGACGAGCCGGCAATGATCTTGCGTCCGTTGTAGGGAAAGTTGACCTGCTTGCGTGGTTCGACCAGCTTGACGTAGGCCTTGGCTAGGATGCGGCAGTTGATCTGTTGCAGGCTCTCGAAGGCCTTTTCGTAGTATCGGCGCAACATCGTCTGGTTGCGCACCGGTAGCATGGTCTTCTGGTGGCAGTTGATGTTCATGGGGACGACGCATTCGTGAGACACGCGCTTTCTCTTGGGCTGTTGAACGTCGAGCCTGTTATCCACGGTCAGTCCGTTGTTTGGCAAAAATCGCAGGAGGGACAGGCGTCATACATCGAGGATCGCCCACTCCAGTCACTTCCATCTGTGGGGGTCTGTGGTGATAGAGGGCTCTTGGAGCCTGTTTCGTCTGTACATGTCAGTCTTCTGCGCATCCACCTCAATACCAGATCAACAAAACTTACCCGTACTTTTTGAAGGAACGCCTTGCCCGGACATGGCGACCGCGCGGAGAAAGTTGTCCGTAACATTCGGGGAGAGAATGGTCTGGCAGTTGTTTACGATGGACGGCGAGGCCTCGAACCGCAATTTCCCATCTTCGTCCATGTAGATCAGGGCGAAGTGCATGGAGGTCAATCCGTCCAGCGGAGCATCCATGGTTGATGTTGTGTGTGACTATTCTATTAGCGAATGGCGCTTCTACTGATCATAGATAACTTCTTACCGTGTGGTATGGGTGCATGGGATTATAGGTAGGAGGGTAGGCCAATGCGAGGTGGAGGCACTGGCGATTGTGGAACTGACAACCACAATGAAAGGACTCCAAATGCCAGGAAATGAGAAGGTACAGAGGATAAACAGACACTCCTCAATGCATGTATCAACCTCTGTTCAAAACAAGAAAGATGGTGTGTCCAAACAGCAAGCAATGTTGGAGATGATCCCAGATGTATAGGCAGGGTGACGATTATGTATAAAAGGCGAGACCTTCTATTTGTCACGAGAAAAGAAAAGAATAAAGAAAAAGAAACTTTTATAGTTCGAATAAGCTCATAGGACAAAGTCTTTGTGCGTCCGATGGGTCTTATATCAGAATTTGGAAGCTCGTCGGATCACCGTCCCCCTTCCCCCCGGGAAGGGAACGGGGAGGGAAATACGGACTGGACAAGGAAAGCGTAAACGAGCAACAAAAAAGAAACGAGGTCTAAAAAAAGAGACGATTGGAGGTGGGGGGAGTATAGACAGCCCAGAGTCCAAGTCCAACTAATGTGCGTGGCTCTATGTGGCACTGCAGGCACACTGGGGGCCCCCATTCCCGCTCCCCGCTGCATTGGGCGTCCGAACTAATGGCCCTGTTGCAGCAGCCATTTTTTCTCCTCAGTGATGATCATCTCGGGTAGAGACTATTCGAGGGTGGAATGTTCTCTTGTCTCTTCTCAACGCTGTGGTGGTAACCGTAATTACCGAGACGCAATAGTTAGTTATTTCTCCCACCTGAACGGCCCAGATCGGGGGAGGTGGAAAAGCGATTTAGTTAGTTGCTGGAGTGGACTCTTTCTTCATTTGCTCCACTGAGACATATCACCGGAAACCCAATGGGAAGGGAGATCGACTACATTTTGTTTCGAGAACTATTCGATGGGATTTTCCAACCCACTACGTCGGTGACAGAATGTGAACCAGCCGGCACGATCGCTCGAGATGGGGCGACGCAGCGAGCCACCCAAGGTACTGGTTCTTTGGGCCATTCCATAAGGGCCCCACTGGATAGAGCTGTCCGGTGATTTGAGTTCGAGGATGCACTATTGTAATGACCGTCTCCTGTTCTTGGATTACTTCCTCTTGCCACTTCAATGACCTCCTTGCCGGGTGCAGCGGCTGTCAGGCATTGATAGACGTACGGAATAGCAGGAGTTCCTCCTGGCGGCTAGTGGTGGGGGGGATCGGTGGCCAAATGACATCTGTGGAGTCAGGACCATCATAAGCAATATCGATCCTTCAGCTGCGGCTTTACATCTGATATACATGGGCCTAGCCAACCGGATGCAAACAAGCGCCCAAAGCCTCGTAGGCCGGCCAGTGATATTAAATAATGCCAATGTTGATATGGCCCCACTTTTGACCCCACCAGTGGTGTAAGACACGGACAGGTATGGTAGTTTGTTTGGCATCAAATGACGTGGGTGAAACCGCCTTCCCTTGTCCTTTTGCCAGCGCATGCATTGAAGAAGGCCTGGGGCCCTGAGCTCCTGAGTTGGTGATGAAACAATTTGGTTTCAGTGCCCTGGAGTCAACGTCAAGAGCCCATTGTCGAGATCGAAAAAAAAGGTTGCGTGAAAGAAGACCGGATGTGACACGACATAGGGCATCAGATGAAAAGAGCATCTCCCGCTGTCGCTACCCGCGCTAGTTGACTCGACAGATTGGAAGGAGAAAAACTAATCAATAATATTAATTCGAAAATTAGTGCTGACCAGATTCATTGCGAAAAAGCAAAAGGCAAAATGGGAAAATTGAATAAGAATTAAGAATAAAAAGAAAAAGAAATGAACAAAAAAGGTGGACGACTAACTGTGCCAAGTGTTGGCACAGTTAGGCCCGCCATATTCGGAATATGTTGATTTCATTGTGGGTGTAGAGGGTGATTTTTTATTTATTTGATTTTTTTATAGGCGATTCCAATCAACCAGGGAAATCACTGCCGTAGACGTTGCTGCCAGCATGATGCATCACGGCCTAGAAGGACGACTATCCCATGCACACCATGTGTTAGTGTCATACTGAACTAGGATCTCTGCAGATCGGCGGCGAATGACAGTCAGCTGGCCACACAAAATGGCTGAATTGCAACGCTCCCTGGTGTTAGGGGAGTGTTTCAAATTTCCTGGGCAGACACCATTGGGCATGGACGTTGAATTCTGGAGAAGCGCTGAGGCCGTGGTTCCGACGTGACCGCAAACTTCTTATTCGCAGTCTGGTATCCATCTCAAAACTTCAGGCCCTCTAACTCGCGGTTACCTCGCTCGCTGTAAAAGGTCCCATTAGGACGTACAATAATAGATATTTCCCCTGGCTCTTGTTTTTTTCTCCCTACCGATCGGGGCGAGTAGGTAGGTGTCTGATGTGTCAGAGCATAGGAAGGAAAATAATCTGACTTGTCATCGTGGCGGAACTTCGTATATTGCGGCGGGTCGGAGACAGGTTCCGGTCGGTAGTTTGATGCGATCGAACCTACCCATAGGAGTATGATCGATGTCAGGGCTTCAGGCATATGTACGGTGCATGCACAAATGTACCGTCGAGACAAAACCACCCAGCACTACTATAATCATGTGGGGTGGCGGTGGACTTGGTGCGGGACCCATACTGGTAAGAAAATCACAGTACTAGCTCGCAATCATACTGTCAGCAGGAAACGCGACTGACTTACAGAGGAGGGTTTTTCAAGTTTCCGGGGCAGCGGCTCTGTACTCCAGACTATTGATTGCCGCGGCAGCAGTCGATCACCCGGTGCTTGCGAGTCCAGTCGGCATCCCCGTGTGGATCAATGATGAGGGTCTCCGGTACGTACTCCGTACCTGGTTGAAGATCTCGAAGTCCATCGCAGTCGATATCCCTACCTCACATTCTTGGTGGTACAAAATCCATAGTTCTCGGAATTAAACTGGCCAGACGAGGGAAACTGGTTCCACGTCAAAACCTACACGCGAGCTTTTCCAGCTGCCATATCCCCCCCTGTACCACCTCGGGGCATTCATCGCAGGAGGCTTCGCCAGCTGCCCTTTCGATAGTTCCTGCAGTAAGGGGTGTATCGGCGCCATGGACATGGATCTGGGGTGTAGATAAGCCCCATCGGATGTGGGTCCTCCTGGACACTCCGCTATCGAGTAGGTTTGATGGAAGCCTTGTAAGGTCCCCTGGGAGGCGGTGTAAACACAGTGGCTGGATGACACCGTCCAAATATAGTAGTAGAATTTGACTATTTCTTTCCGAACTATGTGGCGGACAAGACACGGCCCGGGGCTGCGGCTCCCTGATAGAACACAAAATATATTAGTGAAAGTGCATATCATCATTGGCAATTATGAAATCCTTCGGAAGATCTCCCGACTACTGACTGCTCCATACTCCGTAACCTTGAGACCATTGTGGCTAGCTGGATCTATATCAGGATAGGTGCGATCGACAATGATGGCCGTCAAATGATCGCTAGGATGCTGGGATCATGCCTCTGGCTCATGGGGAACGAGGTGATAGATCACTTGGTGCCTAGATGAGGATACACACTGGGGCCGATCGCCAGTACGGAGCACCCCGTACTGTTCAACGTACTCCGTTGAGGACAGTTTCAAGGGACAATTTCTCGACCGCTACCGTCACACACCCCGCGGGTGTTTTGGATGAGCCTTGATCTCCCATCCGTTGAGTGCCTCACGGTGTCTTCGCATCACCTAGGCAATTGACTACTTCCTTAGGTTATACCTCCCTTTCTTCTCTGGGTTGCCATTCGGAGTCAGTTATCCGCAGTCTTTCATCCAATCCGCATGACACTTTGCCGGCACCTTCTTTCGATCAAGGTACTAGCATCGGCCGAAGCATCTTTCTCCGTCGCTATCTTGAATGTGCTAGGTTTAGCCTCAGATGATTGTCTCTGCTGAACCTCATCTTCATTGTGTCCACCTCTCTCAGGTAGTTATATCTCTGGGTCGATGGAATCTTCTGTGTCCGTGTGCATCGGTATATAGTAGTACTCATTGGGATATACGCCACCAACTCAATGAGAAGCGAGCATGGATGTTTCCGCTCGGTCTTTGTAGTCCACGAGTGGCCACCGAGTCAAGTATCCTTAATCGACCCCTGATTTTCTGAGTGGCTGGCATCCCCGACAGCCATCGGCCGAGGTCTTCCACATTCTCCAGAATCGGACAGTAAGATCTGCCAGGTTTTACGCTCCACGTACAAGATTAGTCGTAAGGGGATGCATTCCAACGTCTTTCACCTGCCTCCAAAAGGTGGTGGCTGTAGTATATTGCATTGACAAGATGTTCAGGCCATACGATTGACGTGTTCTGACGCAAGAGAAAGTAACATGTTGTTGTACTAGAAGCGCCGTCAGCCGGTCCAGACTTGCCGAGGCTAAGATAAGGCGGGCTTATAGAACACTGACTAATCGGGACGATAACGATCTGTGTCAATACTGGGAATTGTAATATGGTAGAGCGTCGTTGGTACTTAGAATGGGATAGTGATCCGTAGTAATGATTTTGCTGATCTAGATCGTTTATGAAATGTATCTTTCTACTATAATGAGATATCACTTGTAGACAGAGGAATGACGGGGTTATATATATTCCATATACTATCCCATAAGCTGACACTAAATATGAGTCTCCATATCAACAACCATAACGCTATAACTTGAACGTTCAATTAGAATTTTGAGCATTACCATGATCAGGGTTTAACTTCACCATACAATGTATGAGGAAACTTTCAAGCCAACCGATTATGTAAAAGTTTATATAGCAATGAACGGTTTCTTTTTCTCCGCAGTCCGTCACATGATCCATATCAACCAAGTGTTTTGCTAGAGATTACTATTGGGGGATATTTAGCCCTAGACTGAATATCAAGGCTTCTATCCAGCTTATAATTAAGCTCATCCAAGTTGTAAAATATATTACTGGTTATAAGTGTCGGTATAATTGATCGAGTATGTGTAGTTGGTCATATAATGATAGCATATATACAGACTCGGCACTTATAGTGGTGGCCAATCCCCAAGGCTCCCAGGCTTCCCGCCCCGATCAGCAGCAAATCTCTTTCCCATCGACTCACTCTCTTGGAAGCTACCGTAGGTATCATTCATCCACCCTTATCCCTCCTTCTTTCTTGTATACAACCAATCAATCATGCTTTATCAATCATTTTGCGACTGCTGAGTCTGATTTCCAACCATTCCAGAAAAATCCCCCCAGTCTAGCCGCCCAAAGCCCATCCACCCCGTTCGTCTGTCCGTGCTGCGATCGCAATTCAAGCTAGAGGATCTCTCATTGTTCCCCGTTCTTTCCACGATTCGGTCATTTGGGTTGGAAATTCATTATCGTGTCGATATATTCATTGCCTTTTGGCATCTTCTCCGAATCACCGTCTATATCCTAGATCGTCTCGCTCGCTTGGTCTATATTGATTCGACATTATTCTCGTTCTGGACTGGATTATCGGGCCAACTTCCTCCATCCGCTCATTGGCTGCACCTCGACAATCACCTCCTAACTCATCCCTCACTACCCAGGTGATTACCGCACCAGCCAGGAAGAATAATGGATCCCAACGCGCCTCAGGGCTTCCCAATGCAGACGGGTTATCCTGTTCCTGTCTCCCAGAGTCCCCCGGGCCAACAATTCCCTTACTATCCGAATCCTATCCCATCCTATCCTCCACAAAAACCTCCCACTCCCTCTCATCCCCAGCAGCAACATCCTTTCGGCGCTATGCCTATGCAACCTGGTGGACCCATGATGCCCGCAGGCTTTCCTCAACAATCTTCTGGTATGTTTGTCTCTCTCTTTCCTGTCTTCCTGGTGTAATTTTTTCCCTTTTGGAATGCCCGACTTTGGCCTTGATCGACTAATGCCAGGGATGTGATCTTCGGTTTAGCAACACCTCACCCCAACTTTTCGAATCAGTTTGCCCACTCAGCAGTGCCAACCACCATGGCTCAGTTCCTTCCACCCCAGGCTACCTCATCTGCCGCCTACCCCCCAAACACAGTCGCCGCCGCGCCGCAGAACATGGCTTCCATGCCCCCCAACAACATGGGTCCCGGGCAACCGCAGAAGCCGGCGTCGTCAGCCACCGCCTCGCCGGCACCTCCTCAACCCTCCGCGCAAGCATCCTCGACGGCCGCGCGCGACAAGGCGCGGGTCGCTACACTTTTGGATATTAACTCGATGTTATTACAAGAGGTGCTCAACCTTCAGGCTGCGGGGAAGGCTGGTGTTCCGCAACCTGCTCAGCAAGGGTCGCAGGAGGGCCATCCATCGCCAGCGGCCGATCAGGCGGGCGACGCCGCCAAGGGGCAGGGCCAGAAGCCCACCCAGGAATACATCGACTGCATGCGGCGTTTACAGTACAATTTGGCGTATCTTGCGACCTTTGCCGACCGTTCGAAGAAAACCGGCAGCGCGCCTCCATCTGCACCCGCTATCATGTCCCCACCGCCCCATTTGACCTTGATGAATGAGATCTACCAGCGGCTGGCGGAGCTTTTTCCTCGCGCGGCACCGGGCGCCAGTGGTGTTTCTCAGCCGAGCCCGCAGGCGGGTCAGGGGAATGGCAGGCCCAGTCCTTCCCCCGCAACCGATCCTGCTGCCTGAGCACTACCCGGCCGCGGGTATCGTGATGCCTACATTTCTCTCTCTCTCTTTCTCTTTTTACATTGGAATGCTGCAGTTCAGTTAAAATTTTACCCGACTGTGAGGTCTACTGTATAGCTAGACGAAGATCGATCTGAGCGCCCTCCAGATAAACACGTCGGGCCGCAGCGCAGCAGACTCCCCTTATGTTTTACACCAAGTTGTACAGGATTGGTGACAGAGTTGGCCATGCGTCGACCTAGCCCCGGCTTTATGAGCTGAACAGTTTGATCGATCTGGGGCCTCCAAAGATTCTGGTCTTCCCGATCCACATACGGTGAACAAGGGAGGGATCGCGCACGGGTCTCGTCGGGTGTCGTCCCGGCATAAAAAGATGCGGGTTGACCGGTGGCGTCGTCGTGGGGAGCAAATATTGTTAAACTCCAGATGCGGGGATGGTGGGGAATGTACAGTAGACGTTGGCTAGATATATTGGCAACTCGAGCATTAGAATTTCCCTGTGTTTAATCTGCCCCCAGTATAGATCGCCGGTGTGGTTCCTGTGACGCGCACAGCAGACCCCCTCTTACCCCCGCACACAAACAAGTTGTGCCACTCTGGGTAGCTTCTCGGTGAGAGACATCCGTTTAACCGAATGCATTTCAAAACGAAAATCAGTTCCCCAACATATGTCGTAGGCTCTTAGAATATCCCATGGGAAGGTCAGAAGATGCGCCGACCCGCAGCGGATGACTTGCGATATGCGATCTGCCGAGCGGAAAGAGGGCGATGGGCCAATCAGGGGCTGCCATTCCCCTCTCCGCCCTTTCAACTCTCGCTCATTCCGCCTCGTCCTCGATCGCAGCCTGAGGAAGCTGTTTGTCTCTTGGTTTTCTTTTTCTTGTCCAGATCCTGGTCACCCTCATTTTCCTATCCATTCACCTGTCTTTCTTCTCCACCCCCCTTCACTCGCCCCTCTCTTCTGCAACTCTCAATCCTTGGGGGTCTCGTGAATGTCTTGTGCTTGGCTCCCTACCTGCAGAAGGAGCCTGTCTGTCGCTACTACAGTTACCTCTAGTCATACTAGCGCGAGCTCAGTTGCAGCCGCGCCATCAGCGCCCTATATCACCTCCTCAAGCGCCCCTTTTGATTCTTCTAGACTTTCGTTGAATTCCCCCTGGGCGCCCGTCTATTCGTATCTCTCGCCCCGGTCGTCCGCTCGTCTCTCGCGTCCCCGATCCCTCGATTGGCCTCGAATCCTCTCCCGCCGACCCCACGCCGTCGCGCTCACCACGAAACTCCCCCATCAAACATCGGCGCGGCCATTGTGTTCCTTCGCCCGCTCTCCCCGGAGACCCCATACCTGTTCGGTTATTAGGAGAATGGATATGAATGGCGACGCGAGTGCGAAACGCAAGCGCAGTTCCATTGGTCCCGCCGCGGACCGCGCGCCCAAGCAGCTGAAACCCGAGGGTTCATCCTTGACCCCCGGTGACACCACCCCGGCCAATGGCACCGTGTACGATATCGAAGATGAAGAGGATCCCGGTCGGTTGTCGGCTATCGGACCCGCGCAAGCGGATTCGCCGGAATGGCAAGCCACTATTGAGCAGGTCGTGAAGAGCGTGGTGTCGATTCATTTCTGTCAGACTTGCTCGTTTGATACCGATCTGTCGATGAGTAGCCAGGCTACTGGATTTGTGGTTGATGCGGAGCGTGGGTATATCCTGACCAACAGGCATGTCGTGTGTCCTGGTCCGTTCTGGGGTTACTGTATCTTTGATAACCATGAGGAGGTAAGTACGCGGGGTTGTGGACGCTAGATATGTCAGACGCTAACGGGATGGTGCTTCTCCAGTGCGATGTCCGTCCGGTTTATCGCGATCCCGTTCACGACTTTGGTCTTTTGAAATTCGACCCGAAAGCAATTCGGTATATGAAACTGGCGGAGTTGAAGCTGCAGCCGGATGGGGCGCGCGTGGGTTCGGAGATCCGCGTCGTCGGTAACGATGCGGGAGAGAAACTGAGTATCTTGTCTGGTGTCATCAGTCGGCTGGACCGCAACGCGCCGGAGTATGGTGAAGGGTACAGCGACTTCAATACCAATTACATTCAGGCTGCTGCCGCAGCCAGCGGTGGTAGCTCGGGAAGTCCGGTGGTGAACATCGCGGGGAATGCGATCGCCCTGCAGGCCGGTGGTCGTGCAGACGGCGCCGCCACGGATTACTTCCTGCCGTTAGATCGCCCCCGTCGGGCGCTGGAATGCATCCGCCGGGGAGAGCCGGTCACGCGCGGAACCATCCAGACGCAGTGGATCCTCAAGCCCTTCGATGAGTGCCGGCGATTGGGCCTGACTCCCGAGTGGGAAGCCACTGTCCGCAAGGCGGCGCCTGCGGAGACCAGCATGCTTGTGGCCGAGATCATCCTCCCCGAAGGCCCGGCCGACGGGCAGCTTGAGGAAGGAGATGTGCTGCTGCAGGTCAATGGAGAGCTCCTCACCCAGTTCATCCGACTCGATGACATCCTGGACACCAGCGTGGGGAAGCCCGTCCGCCTACTCGTGCAGAGAGGCGGTCAGAATGTGGAGCTGGAATGCCAGGTGGGCGATCTCCACGCGATCACGCCGGATCGGTTCGTCTCGGTGGCCGGCGGCACATTCCACAACCTGTCATATCAGCAAGCGCGACTCTATGCGATCGCCACCCGCGGCGTCTATGTCTGCGAGGCGGCGGGTTCCTTCAAGCTGGAGAACACGCTCTCCGGATGGATCATCGATGCCGTGGACAAGCGACCGACGCGCAACCTGGACGAGTTCGTGGAGGTGATGAAAACCATCCCGGATCGATCGCGGGTGGTCATCTCGTATCGCCACATCCGCGATCTGCACACCCGCGGCACCAGCATCGTCTACATCGACCGTCACTGGCACCCCAAGATGCGACTGGCCGTCCGCAACGACACGTCCGGTCTCTGGGACTTTTCCGACCTGTCCGATCCCATCCCGGCGCTCCCGCCTGTTCCGCGCAAGGCGGACTTCATCCAGCTCGACGGCGTCAAGCACTCGGCTGCGGCCGAAATTGTGCGCAGCTTTGTGCGCGTGTCGTGCACCATGCCCTTGAAGTTGGACGGGTACCCGCAGGCCAAGAAGACCGGGTTTGGCCTTGTGATCGATGCGGAGAAGGGTCTGGTGGTCGTCTCGCGGGCGATTGTCCCCTACGACCTGTGTGACATCAACATCACCGTGGCGGATTCCGTCATCGTTAGCGCCAAGGTGGTGTTCCTGCACCCGCTCCAAAACTACAGCATCGTCCAGTACGATCCCAGTTTGGTCGAGGCGCCGGTGCAAAGCGCCCGTCTCAGCACGGAATACATCAAGCAGGGGCAAGACACTATCTTCGTCGGCTTCAACCAGAACCTCCGCATCGTGGTGGCCAAGACGGCGGTGACGGATATCACGACCGTCTCTATCCCGGCCAACGCCTCGGCGCCCCGCTACCGCGCGATCAACCTCGACGCTATCACCGTCGACACTGGTCTCAGCGGACAATGCTCCAACGGCGTCTTGCTCGGTGAGGACGGTGTGGTCCAGGCCCTGTGGCTGAACTACCTGGGAGAGCGCACGCCCAGCTCTCACAAGGACGTGGAATACCACCTGGGCTTCGCGACACCGTCCCTGCTACCTCTCACCTCGAAGATCCAAAACGGAACCATCCCGCAACTGCGCATTCTGAACATGGAAAGCTACGTCGTCCAGATGAGCCAGGCCCGCATCATGGGCGTATCAGAGGAGTGGATCAAGCGAGTCACGGAGTCTAACCCCTCGCGGCACCAGCTCTTCATGATCCGCAAGGTCGACTGCCCGCCTCCTGGCTTGGCCTCGGCGGCCGACTCGCTGCAGGAGGGCGACGTTATCCTGACGCTGGACGGCCAGCTCATCACGCGCGTCTCGGAGCTGGACATCATGTACGATAAGGAGTCCCTCGAAGCTCTGATTGTGCGAAACGGCCAGGAGATGCGTGTGCAGGTGCCTACCGTTCCGACGCAGGATCTGGAAACGGACCGTGCGGTCGTGTTCTGTGGTGCTGTCTTGCAGAAACCTCACCATGCTGTTCGGCAGCAGATTTCGAAACTGCATAGTGAGGTGTATGTTAGTGCACGGGTATGTATCTCCCTCCTCCTTCTCCTTATCCATCTATCCAAGAGAAATTATTAACCCCTCTCAGAGCCGCGGCTCCCCCTCATACCAATACGGCCTCTCCCCCACCAACTTCATCACAGGCGTCAACGGCGTCCCAACACCCAACCTCGACCTCTTCGTGCGCGAAGTCAGCAAAATCCCCGACAACACCTATTTCCGCATCCGCGCCGTGACATTCGACAACGTGCCCTGGGTAGTGACCATGAAAAAGAACGACCATTACGTATGTCTCCCAATATCTACTCCCCCATATATCACACCATCGACATCCATTAACCTAACCTAACAACAAAATAGTTCCCCATGTCCGAATACCTCAAGGACGAATCCCAGCCCTCAGGTTGGAAAACCGTCTCGCACGACAAGAGCAAGTACAAGGATGGTATTGCGCCTGATGTGGCCAACCTTAACCCGGATGCTATGGATGAGGGGTTTGAGGAGGGGGCGAGTGACGTTGAGCCGGATGATTGCTAGATCGATCGTTGTGTAGGAATGGGGTTGGAAATGTATTTATCTTTGTTCTCTTTATTGGTGTCTCTTTCTCTTTTATTCTCATAACATACATGGATGTATACCAGGTTTTGGATCATGCGCTGGTGATGGTTGATTGGTTGGTGTATATGGGGTGAAGGAATGGATAGGTTGGACTGGTGTGTCTAGATTTGTGCTTGGAAGGGGAGATAATCTAACTACTTACCTCTCTGATAGGTACATGTGTTTGTATATCTTCTAGACTGTGAGTTGAAGGCCCTTGCGCCTTTCTACGTGGTTCTTTTTTTGTAAGCTGTCTGTGTTGAGTACACCTGGCTATCCCTTTTGAATAGATTGAGATCAAAGGAGCCTTGTTACACTACACTGCGAATATAGGTAGCAGAGAGACATGGGTCGCGTATCTGCACAGCCGCACCATGTGACGACTGAACTAACTGTTCTTCAGCCTCGTTCCTTTCCTCATCTACCTAAACCTACTCCTCCCCGCGCGACATCTAAGAATTCATTTCAGTCTTTGGAAACATCTCGATTGATTGACTATCTTGTGCAAAATTAGAGGACCATGAGGGGTGTCTTTTTTCGTGCTTAAACATGGGAGACTCTCCACAATCGACACGACCTGTCTCCCCCTCACGATTCACATCATTTGGCGCCATTCCACCCCCAGCCCAGGATAGCAGTACCGACATCGATGGTGGGGGAAGCCCTCCAAAATGGAAATCTCCCTTTCCTTCACAAGAGGCGACATTCGCCTCTCCAGACCAGATTAACAGTACCAACAGCGACGACGGGAGAGACCCTTCAGGATGGGTCCCTTGCGCATCTTCACAATGGGCGGTTGCCTCCTCTTCAGCCGGGACTGAAAGTACCGACAGCGACGATCGGACTTACGCAGTCGCTCAGGATCCAGGGGAGGATTTTCCGCGATTAATTGATGTTTTGGCACCACCGAAATTCGGCTCTACAACCTGGTCGGATGAGGTCAAAGACGCACTTCACCGAGGTGGGAAAGCTGCATTCACTGCCAGGCTCAAGCTCTGACATCTACTAGCACTTGAGGCAATCCCTCCGGGGATATCACACGAGCGACATAAGCTTATTGCAGAGTACATCTACAAAGCCACTAGAGAAAAGAAGACAGCGAAGCAGGTCTCAGCCCATCTGCGAGATATGGATTCGATTTTGAAGGGCGATCCTAACTGTAAGATGCGCTTCACTCTAATTGCTGGCTCTATTGATTAGTACTGGTACTGGTGGAAGTCAACGTGTTGACTGATTGTTATCTCCGGGGGACAATCTTATGCGGGAGCGTCCAGCAGACCGGCCAAACAGAGACATCGCTGATTCACTTAATTTCTCTACTATAGACGTTGATGACTATTGGGTCCCGGTGGGCAGGTTGGGACGGTCATGCTCTAACGTGGTAAAGGGCCTCAACTTCGAGATGATGGTGACGGCTCCTCATCGGCGCTCTCGCATCAATGGAACCCACACCATCACTCGGACGCTACGCGACCAAAACCATCAATTACCTTCCCTCACATCCTTGGGCTACTTTAAAAAGTGGCAGCCATTGTTTCCGTTTCTCAAATCAGCACTGGAAGATTCGAAATTCATTTTGACCCCTGAAGTGTTTCTAATCGAGTCTGACCTGGCGTTGACGAACGTTCTTTCTCCTTCTATATCAGGCTCTAATATTGAGCTAAAGTTGGACCTTAATTTCCCTGTTTCTGGAGAAAGTTTAACGTGTCGCACGATCTTCTACCAAAATGGATACAAAACATTCGAGACCAAGCATAGCCTACCACAGCAACTATCCACGGAAGTGAAGCTGCCGTTTGAATCGACATGGTGGGCTAAGTACATTGCAGGCGTCACAGGAAGAAATCAGAAAGTATATTTGTCCGGGGCTCAGCATGCCCTCAGTGAGGTATTGATTGACAATCTGTCGGCCGTGCAAGAAATCCGGGCTACTCCTGATTCTCGCCGGCATACAAGCAGTAGCTCTGTGCGTGACGCAGACAGCAACGGCATAACCGCAATTTTACTCTGGAGGTTTAGACAGATCCAATCTGAGGAGCCTGGAACTACAACATGGAGGAAAGTGTACTGTCTATCAGACGGGAACCAAATTGTGGTATCGGAACAGCTTGCCCCAATCCAAAATCTTGAAATATCTGATTATTGTCCAACGCCAACGCCCATACATGGTTCAGGGTGGCAAGGAGAATGCCTTCATTCGAGTCATTATAGCTCCGAAAATCGAGGACTATCACCCCGCGCACCCAGAAGCCACTTAACACACTTGGTTGACCCAGCTCCAACCAACGAGAGTAGCATCTTGCGGCATTCATCCTCATATGAAGCAATTACTGATTCCGGGTATGCCTCGACGGTCGCTAATCGAATGGAATTCAAACCAGAGCACCACTCAGAATCAAAGTGCTTCTCGCATGAAAAAGGGTCCCCCGGTCTGATAGATGCACCAGCTCTCCCTCTATCAGACGGTACAATATACCAGTGCAATATAGACGAGGAAGACGATGCTGAAAGCATATACTCCGATACCTCCAGCGCCTCGAATATGACAAAGGGCTATATAGACGAGCTCGCCAATGACCTCGTCCATGTCGTCGAACCGTACAAAGAAAATGACGATGTGCTTCCGCATGTCTTTGAGGCTCTTCCCGAGCTTCTAAGGGCATTTGCTCTAACCCTGGGTCACTCGTCGTCCAGTCGAACACAAAGAGACATGATGGTATTTATCCATAGACATCGAGTGTAAGTTGACTCAAGCCATTGGCTTATTTTGCATGATAATCGGCTTATAATGTTTGCTATCAGTAAAATAGCTGCTATGATCAAGGATCGACTCTCCGATATGGACGCAGATAGCAGGGGGCGTCAAGTACAGGATAACATGACGTTGGACGATAAAATGGACCTTTGGCAGCAAAAAGACGAGCCCTTCGAGCATCTGCTTTCCCCTCATCCACATGACGAAGTCGAAGAACGATATAACGATGATATAGTACCGACCATCCAAGAAGAAGAGGATGATTTGCCTGGGCTTGCAACCTATCGCAATATCATTCACAACAGCCCTACATATACCTGTCTTCTGAATAACATCCGGCGCGAGTGTATGTTCGCACCCGCAGAGCCGGACATCATCGGTAAAATCCGGAGATCAATCCTAAGCTCTCTACCGACATCACCTCGAATCAGTCGACAAAAGCCGGCAGAGATATTCGATGTTAGTTTCAGGGTTCCTTGGGATCCTAGAGGTTTCCTCATCGAACAGGAGTACATGGAAAGCCCAGAGGAGGCGGTTGAAAAAGTCATCACCTTAACAGGGTCCACCGTGTCTGTACAAGCATTGACATGCGGCGATTACATGCAACAGACCTGGCCATCAACAGGGAAGGATGTCTTAAAACTATTGAAGGTCCTGGTATCAGGGGAGACACGAGGATCTAGTAAGTTCTACGGTCCAACTGCAACTATTTCGATGCTTAATATCTGAACTAGCTGTCCTGCCTGGTGACACTCGGCTTTGCCTTTCGCGCCATCCATCAAGAAGCCAAAGTACATCTTTCGATATATGGGTAGATGCTCGAGGCATCGCTCCTGTCATTGCGGAGATCGGGGAACAGCTAGCATGGCTAGCATCTGCCTTGTGCTCCTCCCGGTGTCAAAGTAGAATAGCCTACAGCAGGCCATTTGTCGGCAGCATGCAACCCGGACATGTGACGTACGAAGGTACGCCCAGGGTAGCATATACTTGTGAGATTGGTGTTGAGGTACGCGAGGGGGTCGTCGGCACTGAATCTGTGAACGGGGAATGCTGGCTCAATCTTTTTGCAAGGCCACTTGTTGTAGAAGGGTTTCCAGTACGACGAAGGCCGGAGCAGCAGACTGAAGGCCTCGAGATCCCACTTACCATGGTGGCCGCGCTGGCAGGAGCCCGCAGGGTTAACAGCTTTGAGGAGAAGATGGTGCTGAAGGGCTTCTCGACTATGCTGATCCCCACAAAACGCAGTCTCGATACAGTCACTTGGCACCTTGTGTATGATAAGAACGAGCACCGCATTCCATATCTCGAGGCCGAACGGTTCGCGAAGCTTGATATTACGTTCCAACAACTGGAAGCTTCACGACATATCGTGGGATGGTGTCCTGAAATGCTTTTCTACGCAGGTATAATCACCCTGTCTGGCCGTTGGCATGAAATTAGAGATTGATTTGTTTGTCTAGGAGAATCAGATGCAAGCTACGACATCAAGAATTCGGGACTCCCGCGTCCCTCAGAATCCAGCAGCATCCTGAACAGTGCGTCACTATCCGCCGGACACATGGTCACCGGCGGCCCCGTCTTTAACATGGGTCGTAAAGATATCCGATTGCGCAGAAACCCCTACATAAAGAAGATCAAATGGATTTCGCAACGGTACGTGACATTTTGGGATGTAGGAGAGAAGCGAGGCTGGCTTGTCAACGGGGCCAGCGCCCTGCTGCACCTTGTCCGCGCATCCATCGCCCAGGACCAGCACGATAGAAGATTTAGCTCGCTGTGTCTGTTCAATGATTGCGAGTTCCAAGAAGCCTCGCGGGCATATCAGTCAGACTCTGCTCTAGAGGTTCTTTTGAATCCAACCAATTTCAAGGTTAAGGTTTATCCTGAGGATGACGAGCATATATACTTCAAGGACCGCGTTGAGGATTTTTATGATGTTTTGGAAAGAATGATTGATTACCAAACGAAAGCTGTCGGTGATTGTGGAAAGGTCTGTCAACAACCGAGGTCTTTTCTAGATGGTTGGGATTTTACCGATATCATGATGGAGCGCGACCCTGTCTATCCGCGACAAACTATACTGAGCCATGATGGCCGGTCATGGGTAGATCTGACTCGTGCTATTCATGCAGTAACATTATTCGGCAGAGGTTTTGGTGAGGTTATCCGTCCCACGCACACTTACTGTCCGCTCTGGGCGACACTTCCACATGGAATGTCGTATCTCGTTGCCAGCGTCGCTGATCTGAAGACCTTAATGGAAGCTTACGGGGATCCGTATTCAACACCAACAAAACTCACCCATGAGATACTCTACTGTGCCGAGGAGGCATTGAGTCAGTGTCTATGTGAGGGCGATGAAGATGAACACTTGGACATTACCCAAGTGCTCTTTCCGTCAGCCATGCACCACGGGCTTTCTTCAAACAACCCCATGTATTTGAAAGGAAACGGTGCCGTTGTATTTGGTCATAACAGCAACAACCAATGGTTCTGGGGAGACGCGGGACACCCATCGAGAGCTCCTAGTAAGGACCAAAGGCCGTTGCGGCGAATGGAATTGAACGAATCCACTTCGGATGATAGCGGAATCGGAAGGAGTGTCAGTCTATCAACCCCGGGGCGAAGTGACAACATGGGGCAATTAGCTCCCAGTCTGTCGGTTGAAGAATATGACGACTACGAAGAAACGCGAGAAACCGAAAATAGCCGGCATGCATCTGAAACTCTAGTCCCCTCCAGAAGCAAGCCGCTTTCAGCGAGGGACTTTCAAGTGGCTATTGTGTGTGCCCTTTCTATTGAGCTAATGGCTGTGCGCTCGCTGTTCGACAGTACATACGAGAAGCTCCCCATCGCTGATGCGGACCCGAATTACTACGCACTGGGTTGCATGGCAGGGCATAAGATCGTTGCGGTCTGCTTACCACGCGGTACATATGGCACAAACCCGGCTGCGAACGTCGCATCAAATATGCGACGGAGTTTCCCTGCTCTTCAATTCTGCCTCCTGGTAGGCATCGGGGCTGGCGTGCCCTCCCGGAAAAATGACGTTCGTCTAGGCGACGTCGTGGTTAGCACGCCCAGCGGAAAGTATTCGGGTGTCTTACCGTACGACATGCTTAAGACCCTAGAGTGTGGAGCGTCGCAACTGAACGGGTATCTGTGTCCTCCTCCTGAGAATCTGAGAGGCGCAATCAATGAGCTCGAGTCCGACCCAACACAGTCTTCCACTCCGCTAGCCGCATACCTCCACCGAATAGTCCAGCTCAAAGACCAATACACGTACCCCGGAGCGGCACACGACCGCCTATACATGTCCCACCACTCCCACGCGAGAAGCCACAGCAACTGTGATCAGTGCAGTCCGGAATACGAGATCCAGAGACCCCCTCGACTGTCCACACATCCCGAGATTCACTACGGACTGATTGCCTCCGGCAACCAGGTAATGAGATCTGCCGAGACGCGAGACCGGCTCAGTAAAGAACACAACGTACTCTGCTTCGAGATGGAGGGAGCGGGAATCATGAACAACTTTCCATGCCTCGTGATTCGCGGAATCTGTGACTATGCAGACTCACACAAGAACAAGCAATGGCAAAACTACGCCGCAGCGACAGCTGCCGCGTATGCCAAGTTGCTCTTGTCCCGGGTGAGGACGCCAGATGTTGATTCTCCAGTTGAAGTGCGTGGGAGTGGGAGTCCGTGCTATCCTTCTAGAAAAAGGCCACCATCTCCTGGAGCCACTTTTGCTCAGGATCAACGACCTGCCAAACGGACAGACTGGACCGGAAATTACAATCCTGATCCGATCCTCAACAGTTGATAGGTATAATTGAACAGTGCGAAGTTCACCAGTGCCATTTCAATGTAATGACAGGCATGAGACGACGCACATGACAGGTTTACGGTTCTCGTTAGAAACGCTGATCTGGGACAGTCTGGTATGGCAGAGGGCGCAGAATATAGGTGTGGCCAAGCGGACCTCGCGAGCTCACCAGGCGGTAATTGCCAGTAATTATCAGGCAGAGTGGCAGGATTGTCCCCGGACCCTAGGGTCCGGACCGCCCCAATCCGCTCCGGAATAGGGCCGGGGACTAGGGGCCAGGACCCGCCGGAGACCCAAACTAGCCTTTTTAGGCAGGTACAATATATATGGACGTATTACATACCTTGGCAAGGCTTCATCTACTTATACCCTTGTACTCCATATCTAATAAGCTTATTCTTTGAGGAAGAACTTTAAATAGACCTATGCCCGCATTTCTCACAGACAATTCATATACTTATCATAATAAAAGCTATATGCAGAAAAACTTTACAGAGATATATCCTTTGTCGAAAAAAAACTCTTTATAATTACCTCTTGTCTCAACATGGATTCAAGACTACGATCAGTGCAATTATTGACCCTGGCTACTTGACTTGACAGATGAAAGTAAATAAACAACAGCTCATAATTGGGATGCAATTAGGACTATTGAGAATAGCAAAAAAGGGAGGGGGGAAACAATGAACATAGACAGTTTGCTGAACATCCATAAGGTCGAATAGTACAACTTAAGTAATTCACTCCACACAATAATCTTTCATTCTGTGATTTCCTTGCAGCGAGATAACCTCATTATTCATCCCAAATGTTATCTCTCGGCTTGTCAACATCGCACTTGCCATCATCACCACATTTGATGTCGAATTCATAGTTCGCACACCTCACTTTCTTTTCGCCAAAAGCCGCGTTGATGGCTTTGCTAACATCATCATCTTCACAAGCCGTATCTGTATTGAAGCCGGCGTTCATAGTCTTGTCATCATCGGCATAGTTGCAGTCCCAGCCTGTCACTGCGCAGCCGCGGCCGTGGAGATTGTCGAGGAACCCAGAACCGCACTGGTCATCGGTGAAATCTGTGGCATCGTTGATGACGACATTGTAGTGGTAATGCGTAGGGACTTTTTCTATCCAGGTACACTGCTCGTCAAGGCTCAACTTCGGGTCTGAGGGGTTGATGAATCTGTCTTTGTTTTGTTCGCGAGCTTGTAACACTTTGGGGTTCGGCTGGGCTGCTGGAGATGCTGCTGCGAATGCAAGAGCAAGGCTCATAAGACTGATCTGCTTGGCGAAGTACATGGTTGGGAAATAACCAAAGATAGGAAGTTGTTCTGTGAAGTCTTGTAAGGAATATTTGCAATGGCAAGAAATGTGTAGAAGTTTTCTTTTCTCTTTTGATGTTGATGCTTGATTCTTGGGAATATGCTCGCCTTTTATCTTTAAGAGACTCTAGCTACATTGCCTGATCCCTTTGAGTGTCAGCCTTGCCTTCTAGACTTCGCCGTCCTCTCTACCTTGCTAACAGGATGAGGAAAGTGCTGTAGCATTGTGATTAAACATGTCACCTTTACCTTGAACATCAGCGGAAAATGGCTCATGGCAGTGCTTTGGGCAGTGTTCTGGGCAACGTGAAGTAGGGGAAGATCTTGCAATCCACTTGATAGTTGATAGTTGGACTCCACAGGCCTCAAAGCCGCAGTGTTGTGATTGGGTCTGTCACCTTCACATTGAATATCAACTGGGAGACTTAGCAGTGGCAGTTCTCTGGGCAACATGGATTTGGAGAAGATTTTAGGATCCACTCAAAAGTCGATACTTCCATGCCACGGCCCCCAAAGCCGCAGTATTGTGATTGGGTCCGTCACCTTCATGCTAGATATTGACCGCGAGATTTAGCATTGGCAGTGCTTTGGGAAATATGGACCAGGGGAAGATCTGATGACCCACTCAATGCTTATACCCCACATCCCTAAGAGATGTAGTACTATAACTGGGTCTATCCCCTTTTCTCACGACCCACTCAAAGCTTATAATCCACGGCCCTCAGCGCCGCAGTGTTGTGATTGGGTCTGTCACCTGTAAGCCGAATATCACCTGTGTGATTTGGCATTGGCAGTGCTCTGGGCAACATGAATCAGGAGAAGATCCTTCCCCGATGGTCAAGACTGTATACTGAGGAATTCCCAGGAATGGAATATGGTATATCCATATTCCAACGCTGGTCCAGTCCATGGCCACAGCCTTGTCACCCTTGAGTCCACTCTTGATTTCAAATCCGGAAGCTCGGGGGAAAATCAGTTGGTCATCAGCCCTTGACTTAAGTTGCACCAGAGCTGTTCTCCACACATAACTATGTATAGAAAATGTTGGGATATCAGTCATGTCAAGCCCGACCAGTTTCCCGTTCAGTATACTGGTGCAATGCCTGAGAAAAGATCATCGCGAGGCAATGCTGAATGAGGCATTTTGTTGGAGAAAAAGGAGATGATGACAGCTATCAATCTGGAAATCCGACTCACAAACCTATATATATATGAGCCTTTCTTCTCTGTTCAATGCCCAGCAACAGTCAGTATCTTCCAAGAATTCAGATTGCCAAACCAAAGCAAAACCACAAACACAACAACTCTTTTCGAATCAATCCGTCCTCTATTCCATTATGCTCAAGAAAGTCCTCCTTGCCGCCGCCCTCATGGGGTCTACCCTTGCCAATCCCCTCCCGTCAGACGACAAGAACCCCCTCGCGTCTCATCAAAAGAGAACCTCGGTCCCTGAAGAAGATATGTGCTCGAAGGTTGATGGTTTAGCCAGCAATTCTTGGCAGGTCTATGCAACCAAAAGCTCTATGCCAATCGACCAGGTGTGTGGGCAGGGATACCTCGACAATTTCCGTGGACGTTGTGGTGTTATCTCTAGCTGGGGATGCGAGTTCGTGGACAGGGATGTCAATAAAGTGGAAGAAAAGGAGAAGAATGAGGATCAGATCATGGGCGCGAAGATGACCTTCGACACTCAATTTTTTTGCTCCACAGACGACATCATAGAAGCTATGGGGGCCGCGTCGGCCGACAACGGGCATAAACCGAAGGAGTGCTTTGAATCTCCCAAGTTTATTCTCCCGCGCCACAAATAAGTTGGGAATATTTTGAGGCCCTTATTGTTGTTGCGACTGTTGCTGATGCTGTTGTTCTTGTTGTTGTCTTTCTCTCTTTTCGTGCAATATGTCTTGTCCCCCTGTTGGCTCTTGCTTCAAAGTGTTCCGGGCCTCCTTCGCTCTTGCCTAGGATCGTCTCTGTGTATAGGTAGCAATCATAGCGTCTAATAAAGAGAAGATGCCTCTTCCTTCTTCTTTCCCCTCCCCCATTTGTAGCCACGTAACGTCGCCTGCCGTATATCCAAGCCCGCGAAGGGTTGTAACACAAGAGTTTGTCCATGAATGGGAACTGCCAAGGGCCGGATGTGTAGCTAGATACTCCTGCCAGGCGCCCCAGCCCATGCCCCTGTGTTAGTGCGTCATGCTGTAATAATCTCGGCTATTTCTTGCGGGGGGGGGGGGGGGGGGGGGGGGGGGGGGGGGGTTGATGAAAACAGTCCAGGGAATGATAATATGGATGACTGTGGAGAGGTGCGAATGGTTGCAAGATTGCAAATAAGATGAAGAGTCAAAATCACAATTAACGTGGGAAAATCATGCAAGTCAGCTGACGTTGGCCGATTGCATATGCGCCACTAGATAAGGTATATAGCAAACTTTATTAATAGAGTACTTTAATTCAACTTGCGGGGCAGAGGGTAAGCTTCTACGGTACTTGAACATTTGAAAGTAAATAGACTAGTTATTTAGACATAAAATGGCCAGCCATAGGCTCTTCAATTAATATAGCTAAAGCTCTACAAGTATATACTGATTGTCCCGACTATAAATTACGGTTCATGTCCGTGGTAGAAATCAGACAAGACCGTACTCAAAGATCGTCGGAAGGGGGAATTGCTTCCCCTTCTTCTTGTCTCATACAAAAGCAACGTGCTGAGAGCAGTGCGCTGATGCATCCAGCTCAAGACCGTTCGAGAGAGGAAACGAATGGCCGAGCGAGGCAAGAGACGGTTTTTAGGAATGGTATATCATATACCGTGGACTGTAAATGTTGACACCTCTTGTGTGGAGAGGTAGACAGGCAGGTAGCCACTTACCAGGAAGGAAGGGAAGGAAGAAAGCAGGAAACTCCGTGAGACCCGGAATCTTAGCTGTACATATGGGAATCTCTAATCAATTATCGGGTATCTAGCAACCCCGTACAGTAGGCAAACAAATAGGTAGGAGAGAAAGCAAATGCCTCATTTGACGCCGGAATCCGTCCAAGATCAGTACGCCACTCTCGTTCGCATGTCCTATGGCTGTGGTTAGTGACTGGCTGGTTTGATTATACTGGTGATAGACTTACCGAAATCTTCCGTTCAATCTCACGGACTGAACGGTCAAGATCCCCTGCGATCATCATCTTCATGTCATTAGGCAATAGGAAATACGTTTCACACAGATCCCCGTCGATCACCCCCTTGACCGGGGCATAGTAGCTCCGGTAGATGAGGTGGTCCCGTCCCGCGATCGGGGGATTCTGGGCCGCCAGATTCATCTCCAGATTCTGGAAGAAGTCGACGTCTTCGCGGCTGACGAAGGGGACGAGCATGCCCACTGTGCCGTGGAAGCCCGTCCACACCAAGATATCTCGTCCACCCGCAACAAGCTGAGCCTTGTGCAGGGAGGTTGGGATGTCCTGCGTGTAAACATGGGCCATCAACTCCACGCGGTTGGGCGTACCGTGGAGGTAGCCGCGTTCGTGGATGAGATGCGCGCCCGATCCTTCCTCGTCCGCCTCGTCCGAGATCTTCTTGGGGCAGCGCACAAGCCATATGTTGCCGAACTTGTCGCCACCGGCAACCGTCTCGTAGTCGACCATGGCCGTCGAGGTCGCCCAGCGAGAAACAGAGTCATCGACGAACGGAATCAACACGTTCTCTTGGTATTTGTACACAACGAAGGTGACACTCTCGCGGACGTCGCTGACGACGATACGGCTGCCTTGGGTCTGCAGGCCGACGATGGTATTCGGGACCACCGGGGCCTGGCATTTTCGAAGGAGCTGCTTCATTCCGAGGTCGTAGACCCGAAGGATCGAGCCAAGACCAGCGACCAAGCGGCCCTGGAATGCAAGAAGAGCAAGGGGAGGATGGTCCACCTTGGTCTTGTGAATGAACTCCAGCTCTCGCCCATCTTCTTGGAATCGGTAGATGTGGATAAACCCTCCCCCGGATGAAGGCGGGCTGACCGTCATGTCTTTCGCCGTTCCCACCACCAGGAACGTCTCATCATCCTGGCTGGTGAACGGGACGGTGGCAACGCTAACCGCGGCCTCGTTGTCTTCCAGCTCAATGCTCCCGATCACCGCCTTGGCATCGACCGGATCCACTATTTGGATACAAGAGGCCCAGTGGCCAGTCGCCCGAGGATATCCAAACTCGTCGGGTGGAAGCTCGGTATCATCGTCGCCCCGCGCCTTGGAATCCTCGAGTAACCGAGCCCTCGTACTCTCGGAAAGGACATTGTTGTCCGACTCAATGACATAGAAAAAGGGCTGTTCCGGATGCTTCACAAGACGACGGGGAGTATGTGAAAGCGGAATGGACTGCTGAAGCATATTATTGTCCAATTTTTCAATGGAGAAGATGCTAGTGACGTGAGTTAGCACAACGTCGTCCCAAAGCGTTCATGCAAATATAGTAATGGAGATGGGTAGATGGTCTCAGTAGGAACAATTGGAGTTTAACTTTAAAAGTATTTCATCCACATAGATATTCGGATCCAATTTCTCATCATATGACCGGGGGGAGGAAGAAAGGGAAAGGAAAGGAATACAACATACCGAAGGTTTTGGCCTTGGATACCAACCATGCCTTCTACGCATTGTTCACTGGAAAAGTTCCAGCCCCACTCGAGTGGCACATAGTCCAAGGGTGTAAGGGTGAACCCTTTAGTTTGGATGTCCGAGTAGCCCAACCACGGACGGGAGCTCAAAGCCAGCACGGCAGTTTGCCCTTTGACCGACACCTGGAAAAGGTTGACGGCCTTGGACCCCAGAAACCGCGTGCGGGTATCCGAAAGCTCACCAGTGACCTCGTCCAAGACCGTTCGCAGGTAAACACCCGAATGAAGGCCAATGTGCAAGTAGAGTGTGGATCCTCCGGAGCTGGAGTCGGACATCGACATGATGTTCAGCGCAGACGGCGCAGCAGTCAGGGCTTGGACCGACTTGTTCTCCAGGGTCGAGTCTGGGTCCAGACTCAGAACACGGACCGTCGAATCGTCGCAGCCGACGGCAAGAAAGGCGCTGCGCATACGACCCTCGGGCACCTCACCCAGACTGAGGCACGTCACGGTGCCCGACATCTGTCGCCGCTCGTCGTACTCGGCCAGCGATCCGTCGGCATCCATCTCGAAATAGACGATCTCGCCCGAACTTAACGCCACTGCCACCTGGCGCTCGTTGGTCGCCGCCGCCACGATCGAACGGTGTTGCGGCGCCGGCCACTCATTGACACGGCGATCGACGAGGATATGCCGGATGCCGCGGGGGTGAATTTGAATCAGCGAATCCTCGCCCAGCTGCTGGACAGCGAGCGTGGGCGCGGACGAGAGGAACCCGGTATCGGTCACTTCCTCGACGGTCTCGCCAATGCTCAGGACCAGGGTCCCGTTGGCGAACGAAAGGATGATATAGGCATCATACTCATCTTCGCGGGTCAACTTGGTTGTCCACACAGCAGAAGGCACACTGGGAAGTTCCGACTCGACGATCTCGGAGACTTCCAAGCCATGTTTCAGGGTCCTAAAGCTGCTGCGAGCCCCGGTTCCGGAGACCGTGTAGATCTGCGGCGCGTCGTCCTCGGTCAGGTTGGCAACCTTGCTGTCAATCAACGGGTTCAAGGAGTTGATCGTGTCCACCAGGTTGAGGTTCTCGGCCCCTCGCGCATGGAAGTAGACCGGTTCGTAGGGAACTGACGGATCGGCAGAGAAGTTGTCACTCGAATACTCCGTCTCCTCGTCATCGTCGCCCAGCTTCTCGAACTGGTAAAAATGGTGGTTGCCGGCCTCGCTAGCCACGTAGAGGAACCCACTCTTGAGGATCAACAGATTCGACGCCACGGGCACCGTATCAAAGTATTTGATCTTCAGTCGGCTGACCTCGCCCGTCAGCTGCCGTTTGCTGTCTTCGACCATCTCAATGGTGACCTTGAAGAGGTCACCGTCCTCGGTCTGGAGCAGGAAGAAGAAAGCGCCTCTCATCTTGTGCATCACGCCCGCAATGATACAGCGCTTTCGCTCGGGGTTCTCCGTGGCACCGCGGCGCCGAGGGATGGGCACTCGGAACGCGTCCTGGTTGGAGTGACGGTACGTGACGTTGTCCTCGGCACACACCAAGACACCACTGGGGCCGTCCGCGCCGCCGGGGACCTGGAAGAGCAAAGTCGCCGTGCGGTCCACCGGGTCAGCCCACTTCCGAACGACGTGATTCAAACCCAGGTCGAGCTCGTAGTAGACCAACAGCTTCTCCGCCTCTTCATACGCCTGGCCCGTGGGGTCCTGGTCGCATTCGGCGTAGTCCACCTCGAGGGCTGCGAAGATGGGATTCTCATACCCCACGTCCAGCGAGATCACAGTGAAGACCAGGGTTTGGGGCTTATGGGCCTCCAGCGGAGAAGAGATCGTCAGCTCGGCCTGCGAGTTCCGATTGAGGACATAGACGAGTTTGTTCTTCTCCACCGAGGCGATCAAGCACGCCCTACCCTTAGGGTCCACCGCCAGATACTGCCCCGGAACGACCCGGCGTACCCCCGACTTTCCAAAAGTCTCCAGATGGATGCGGTTGAAACGATTCTGGGAGGGAACGTATTCAATGACGGTGATCCGTCCCGAGTCAGAGCCGATAATGATATAATCTAAAGGCAATCATTTTCAGCACAGTGTTCACAGACCGGCACCCTGCATCCACATCGCTGACTGGGGCAGGTCCGAGTCGGCAGATGAGGATCGTGCTGCCCGGGAAGCTTGAAGAATCACTAAAATGATCTTGGAAAAAGGACAGAGTTTTTCCCCCAATAGGGGGAGGGAAGGGAAACACGGTACATACCTTTATTACTGCCAGCCAAGCGAAAAGCGGCTAAGCTACGGATAATACCGAAGGCATCTTGAGAGAAGATCGGGGTCACCTTGCCCTGTGTGGGATCCGGGCGGTGGATGGTGAGCTTAGAACCCGACGCGGTGACGATCTGCTGCTCTTTGGTACCCGCGAATTGACCCAGGATGGCCTGATTGATCGCAGTGGGTGGCTGGATCGTCAGGGAGTACATGAACATCGTCGATGTAGTCGCCATGATGAATGAGGAGGCCTGACCAGCCTACAGCTAGGTGGCTTGGTCGGTGTGAGGGGGGGAAGAAAAGGAAAGACCTGGAGATGTTTACGTGCAATTGCAGTACAGGATGACTAAAATGAAACTACTCCCATTGCTGCAGGTTGGATGGGAGAGAAAGAGGACTCTCGAAGGCAGGGTCCCCGTTGGGAAGAGTGAGGGGGAAGAAAGAAGAAGAGAGAGAGAAGTTGTGAGGAGAAAAGAACGAGGTTGGAAGAAAAGGTGAAAATTCCGGTGCGAAGAAAGAGGTGGGAGCTTGCTTGTTTGTGCTGTTTGCCAGTACCACGTGATCTGATCGTATCCATGCCTGGGGCAGTACTAGCCTGAGGCAAATCCACCATGGGGTTCTGTCCGTTTCCTCCGACAATCCGCCTCATCATCCTCCAACTTCCTCTACTCTTCCATCTCCCATCACTGATTTCTCTCTCTGTTTTATATCGCTGCACTGCTTCAATCCATCTACTGTACATTTCGTGATTGCACCCCTACTTCTTTCTCCTTTCGCGCCTTATATTTCCTGTTCTCCCCTCTCTCCACACGTGTGACGTGATATCACTCCTACACCCACCGAGAGTGTTGCCGGCCTAGAACTCCCTTTCTTCCCCCCCCCCCACCACCTCCTCCATCTAGCCATCATGGCTGACGATACCGCCCCCGCGGATCAGTCTCCTATCACTTTCAATGTCAAGGCATCCAACGACGCCAAATATACGTTGACTTTGCCTCTCTCCACCTCCGTGTCGGATTTGAAGGAGCTGCTCTCCGCCTCGGACTATGCAGACACCCCCGCGGAGCGACAACGTCTGATTTATTCGGGTCGCGTTCTCAAGGATAATGAAACCCTAAACACGTACAAGATCAAGGATGGACATACCATTCACCTGGTGAAAAGCGCCGCCAGCAATCCAACCCAGAGTGCTTCACAGCGCACGGCAACCCCCACGCCTGCGGGGCCTGCGGCCAACCCTGCGGCGAGTGGCGTCCCCACCAACCTTGCCGCCGGTACGGGCAACAACCCGCTGGCCGGTTTGACCGGCGCACGATATGCGGGATTTGCACAACTTCCGGGCGCGGGCATGTTCGGTCCTGATGGCGGGGTAGGTTTCTCGATAGCCTTTCTTTCTCTCTCTATGAACTCACAAGCTGACCTCTCTTCCGTAGATGGGACCGCCTCCTGATTCGGAGACCATGCTCAACATGCTCGAAAACCCTCAGTTCCAATCTACCATCAACGAAGCCCTGCAGAACCCGGACATGATCGATATGATGATTCAACAGAACCCCCTTCTGCGCGATATGGGTCCGGGCGTGCGACAGATGATGCAGAGCCCAGACTTCCGTCGGATGCTGACGGACCCCAGCTCCCTCCGTCAAATGATGCAGATGCAACGGGCCATGGGGGGCGGCGGTATGATGGGCGGTATGGGCGGCGGTGGTGGTGCCAGTGCATTCCCTGCCCCCGGGGTCACCAACACCACGCCGGAGGAGAACCGCGCTGGGCAGGAGGGTGCGACCGGCAATAACAATACCCCCTCGCCGCTCGCCGGCCTCCCTCCGTTCAATCCCTTTATGCCACAGGGCATGGGTGCGGGCAACCCGTTTGCTGCCCTTTTCGGTGGCAACCCGGCCAACAACCCCGCCTCCCCGAGCAACCCCCAAGATCCAGCCCAGCCGGCGACCGGGGACAACCCCACCGGGCAGAACCCGAACCCCCAGGCCACGAACCCTCTGGCTGGTCTGCTGAACCCGGCCATGTTTGGCAACGGGCAAGGCGGTGCGGGAGGCGTCAACCCCTTCAACCCGCAGACCAACCCCTTCCTGCGGGACCCGGCGTTGATGGGACAGATGATGCAGGCCATGAATGGTAACGCAGGAGGGGAGGGGGGCGCCGGGGGGCGAACCCGCTGGCCGCTCTCCTGGGGGGTGGTGGCGGCGGCTTCGGGGCCGCGCCCCCCGACAACCGGCCCCCGGAGGAGCGATATGCGGAGCAGCTGCGGCAGCTGAATGACATGGGATTCTTTGAATTTGAGAGGAACATCGAGGCTCTCCGTCGAGCTGGTGGCAGTGTGCAGGGGGCGGTGGAATACCTGCTTAGCCATCCATCGTGATTCCGTGCTGACAGGCCGCGCTTGGCTCGGAAATGAGGTCTTTGCTGGTGTTTCATTCATGACTACTTATTACCCTTTGCATGGCTTTCTTCTCTTCTTTTTTCCCTCATTTTTATTTTTCATCTCATTCTATCTTTATTATTCATCTTCTCCGTCTTCCCTCTTTGATGTCCAATAATGGGGTGGTCTATATCCGCCAATGTCATATGACTCAGTTGATAGGTATTTCTGTACACCGTTGGTCTGCAAGTTGATGACCGTAGTGATGCACTGGTTGACCCTCTGTATATTGCCCAAGAACCCGGTAGAGTAACTCCTAGAGTACGTATACTACCCTAATCCACGCCAGTGCTCCCTAAGTCTCGTAGTATACCCTATATGATCCTTGATCAATGACCGCTGTTTGCGATCACCATGATCTTCCTCAGGAATTGACACTAAACCCAATCGGTCGACAGCTTCGCATGGAACCTTCGCTGGGGCTTCTATTTTCGTCCTCCCCTCCCTTCCCTTGACTATACTTACATATCCTCGTTTCTTGTTTCGTGTTTCTTAAATCCACATTCACTCGTCGGGCATTTGGCCATCACACTCGTTATATACTAAGGTGCATCTACCCTCAACTCCCCATTGGTGTTGTCCGCCCGCGGAATTTATCTTCTCCGCCGCGTTCTGGACCGCTCGGACGTCCCCCCAACCCCGACCGGTCTCCTACTATCGATCGAAGAGATATACAGCGGTGTCGGATTCGTATTGTATCGCCAATCTGACTATCCGATCATTGTCGCGTGAAAGGAAGAAAACGACGTTTCCTTGGCATGATCGATATACCCCATCGCATCGTGTACACGCCTGTGTGATAGCAGACCGACTCTTCTCAACGTGGCTGGTCTACGTTCCCCTTGCGACATACGTAGATGATGGGATCATCGCGGGTCTGGAATCCGTGTCACTGGACGCTATGGCTCTTGTTCGTTTCTTGTTCCTGTGCCTTCTACGTACCCGGTAGGAATTTCGCCCAAGGGTATTCCCCTAGTCGACGTTGTGCTAACATGGTGGTGAACCGACAGGCTACTCGGTCAAACAGTACAGCGATGGCGAGCCGATCCCTCTTCTGGTCAATAAGATCTTCTCCGACCACACCCAACTACAGTATGCGTATTACGACCTTCCCTTTGTGTGTCCCCCGAGCGGGAACTCCCACGGCGGTTCCCCCTTCGGCTCCGGGCAGAGTGTTTCGCTGAACTTGGGCGAGATTCTGCGCGGAGACCGCATCATGACGTCGGATTTCCAACTTCATATGGGCAAGAATATTGAGTGCCAGGCGCTGTGTACGCAGGAGGTCGGGCGCCAGGACGTCAAATGGGGCCGCCAGCTCATCCGGGAGGGCTACGTGGCGGAGTGGATCGCCGATAACCTGCCTGGGGCGACGAGCTTCGTCACGGTCGACCGCAGCCGCAAGTACTACGCCACGGGGTTCAAGCTGGGGTCGCAGGAGGTGTCACCGGCCGATGGAAAGTCGCGTACGTTCATCAACAATCATTTCACGCTGGTGATCCGCTGGCGGTCAATGCCTGGAGGAGGCAAAGTCGTCGTCGGCTTCGAAGTCTACCCGAAGAGCATCCGCGCCGAGGACCACGAGGCGAACGGCTGTCCGAGGAATCCACACGACCCGCACGAGGGACTGGAGCTCCGCATTGCGCCTAATGTCGCGCGGCTGCGGGAGCTGTATCCTGGGTCGTCGTACATTCCCGACGACGATGACGAGGCGTACGACGACGGCGCGACGATCAAGATCCCCTACAGCTACTCGGTTTACTTTAAGGAGGAGAACGGAGTGGATTGGTGGAGCCGTTGGGACCTCTATTTCAACAACCAGGACGACAACTCCACGACGCACTGGTTCGCGATTCTCAACTCGCTGATCATCTCCGGTGTGCTCGGCGTCGCGGTGTACGTGATCTGGAGCCGGACGGTCCAGGGTGACATCCGGGGCCGCGGAGACGGGGCGATGGATGACCCGAAGGTGAAGCTACGCGCTGAGCGAAAGGGGGCCTCACTGCTGGAGCAGGAGACAGACGTGGAGCGGGATGGCGATCTGTCTGACGACGGCGGCGTCGAGGACGTCAGCGGCTGGAAACTCCTCCACGGAGATGTGTTCCGCGCACCGCAGTACAGCGGGCTACTTGCGCCGCTGGTTGGGTCCGGGATGCAGCTTCTGTTCATGGCGTCGGGGCAGCTCGTGCTCAGTTGTCTGGGCGTGCTGAATCCGAGTTTCCGCGGCGGATTCGTCAGCGTCGGGATGGGACTGTTCATCTTCGCGGGGCTCTTCTCGGGGTACTTTTCCGCGCGGCTGTTTAAGACGTTTGGGGGGGTGAAGTGGAAGAAGAATATGCTGATTGTACGACCTTTTCCCTCCTTCATTATGTTGTATGAGTTTTGTTACTGACCCGAACAGACGGCCGTCCTCTTCCCCGGACTGATATTCAGCCTCGTCTTCCTCCTCAACCTATTCGTCTGGGCCCAAGCCTCCAGCACAGCCATCCCCTTCAGCACCCTGATCAGCCTAATCGCTCTCTGGCTCCTAATCCAAGTCCCGCTAGTCTACGCAGGCAGCTGGTACGGCTTCACCCGCACCCCAGCATGGGAATACCCCACAAAGACCACCTCCATCGCGCGGCAAATCCCACCCCAACCATGGTACTCATGCAGCGCCCAAGGCATCCTCCTCGCAGGACTGCCCCCCTTCGCCGTCCTCTTCATCGAGCTCCTCTTCGTCTTCACGCACCTCTGGCAAGACAAAAGCAGCTACTACTACGTCTTCGGCTTCCTCAGCGCCGTCTCCACCGTCCTCCTCGTAACCATCAGTCAGGTCACCATCATCGCAACGTACAGCCAGCTGTGCGCGGAGAACTACCACTGGTGGTGGGCGAGTTTCCTAACGGGCGGCAGCAGTGCGGCTTGGGTGTTTGGCTACTGCGTGTGGTACTACGTGTTTCAGCTGCATATTGAGGGGTTCGTGTCTGGGTTGCTGTTTTTCTGTTATAGTTTGTTGGCGTGTGCGGTTTATGGGCTTTTGGTTGGGACGGTGGGGTTCCTCACGGCTTTTGCGTTTGTGAGGAGGATTTATAGGTGTGTTACCTTCCTTATTCCTGGTGGTGTATATTTATTAACTGACGATGACAGTGGTGCGAAAGTGGATTAACCGATTGACTAACGTGGACGGGATTTCGGGGTATTATAGTATTATGGTGAACTAGACAATATATGCCGGCTGTACATGACATGACACCTGTCTCTATTTTCTCCCTCTCCTTTCCTTTTCCCAAAGAAAAACCAAGAAAAAAAGCAAAAAAATCCAACCCAACGAACGAACGAAAAAGAAAAAAAAAAGATCACCAAGCCGATCAACTCAAATCTCACATGCCAGCCAACCAACCACCAACCAACTAGTTAACTAACCCAATGGATAAATCCCCATCCCCTGTCTTCCGTCCTCCCACCCACCTTCACTCCCGAGCATGTTTCAGTTTATTCTCTAGCCCCGATCATATTCCAGTCCGTGGCCCAAGTGAGTTCCTTTTGCCACCTGGCTGAAGACCACGCGTCGTGGGGATGAATTCGGCTAGCAGGGGTGGAGAGGTCAATAATCCGAGTGGGTTATATCCATATGTCATATTCAAGGTTTGTCATATGCATGGTTGAGGTTGGACGCAATATTCCGTGCGCTCCGCTCTCCGTCTATCTTATGTCCGTCCTTGCGTAGTACTCCGTACCTAACATGGTATCTACCAAGGACTGGACTGGCCCGTGACTACTAATTGACTAGTTGGCTTGTTACATTCGTGCACTACCTACCAATCTACCAAGCTTGTAGACACCTACTACCGAGGAAAAGAGGTAGAATAGAGAATAGTAAAGTCCATCCCGAATTCAACCAGGATCGAAACAGGAAATTAGCCAGCCACGCAAGATGTACCACCCGTCGGCGAGAACGCACCAGTAAGACTGATGTGCAGATCGCACAAACGGTCGTTCGTGCAATGCTACTGCCTAGGTGGTTCTTGTGAAAGGTTAGTAAGTAGGTCATACGTTTGCATCTATGTAAGTACATGTGTGACCCTGTCTTACTGGTTCTGTCCTACTTGATGTGTGCATACATTATGCTCCTGGGCATAGGTATCAGCTGACAGCCACGGTCCTTCTTCCTTGGCAGATAGATAGATAGATAGGTGTTCAGTAAGGGATACTACCTATCCAATAAACCCATAGTATCCATACATATCCCTTAGATCCTCCGTCCCTACTCAGGAGTGAGATATGTCGTACAAAGAACAGGCAGGATCCGTGACCCCTTCGGCGGGATACGATGCATTCATGCCAAGAATGAGACTCTCCGTCCCGCGGGGCGATCCCCCGAGTTTCATTTCTTGCGTTCTCTTCTCCGTTCTTATTTTATTCTTTCCCTTTTTCTACGTTTTCTATTTTATTCTTTCTCCCCATTTAATGGATATTTTATTTTATTTTATTTAAATAATGTATGGGGTAGTGGGGATGATATAGGTGGTTTCTTGATTCCGGTCTTGGCGGGGCCGGATGGGACGGGGCGGTTGGTTTTACTCGATCATCGTGTATAGAATACAGGATATTTTTTACTGTATGGGATAATGGCATATGGGGGGTACTCCGTAAAATATTCATGTACGGAGTCCTGAAATACTATACGGAGTACCCTCCATATGACAAGCCGTTCTCGACCAGTCCACCTAGGTACGGAGTACGGAGTAGAATATGGATGGATGTATGGGACCGGACATCCCTTGATGACGTGCTAAGCAGGAGAGATGGTAAATGTCCGCTTTTCTGGAACGTATTTTTTATTTCCATTTTATTATTTCCATTTTATTTTATTCGATTTTATGGAGTACTCCGTATTCTATGTCTATAATTCCCCATATGAGGAGAATGACAACGTCACCGCCCTATCGCGTCATCTCCCCACCTGATGAGTTGAGCCCCCGAGGCCGAAAGTTAACTCAAATCGTCCACCTGATCTAACTCTACCGTCTGCCAGTGCCAGTGCCAGGCCTGGCATGGAATGCGGGGCCCCATGTAGATTTGAGTAGTAACTGACTGGGAGGACACGACAGTATCGGACCGATGAGCCGGGTTGTAGTGGTATAGTAAGCAAGAGTATGATCTCATCAGCATAATCAATTTCTCTATACTTCAAACATCAAATAGATACCAAGGCGGGTGGTCAGAGACTGAATAAATACGGAGTACTAATCAAAAGATCAAAAATGTTCTGGAAGAACGCGATCGTCAGGAGAAATGATGTGATCGGAGGGTGGGGATGATGCCATCGATCCGGACGGGACTACTGCAGTGGGAGACCCCGGGATGTACGGGGGAGGAGGGAGATCCTGGTCATCTGTGCCTGACTAGGGGTGCTTGGGGATCTTAGCCTGTTTCTTATATAGATGACGTTTGATGTTTTGATATGGGGTTTGATATGGTTGGAATCATATCGAGTATCTAGATACTCCGTAGATGCTATACTATTATCGAGACTGGGCTTGTTCCGACCGTACGGAGAAAATCATATAATACCGTACCATGTTCAATAATACCTATCAATACGGAATACTGCTGGATACAAATCAGTCAGGTGGAGAGCGTACCACGGTTCAACCTCACCAGCGTGACTTCCCCGGACTCGTCATTTCAGCGTGGGATGAAATTAATCCGATCCAGTGATTGAACCTCTTGATTCGATTTCAGCTATCAGGAAATTAGATAGATAGACAGATAGATAGATAGTGTCTGATCAATCCGGGAGAGATCAGTCGGACTCCGCCAAGATCAACTCGCTAAGAAGATCAAGTCCGCCAGTGTAACCGGAGGAAAAGCAGATTGCCACCTGACCCAATCGTATTGAATACAAGTCGCCACTTCTCCTGGCGTATCCGCCGGAACGACCGCCGAGTGGACCACGGACGGTCACGATGGACTCGAGAACCGCTTGACCTCTAACTCTGTACTGCTTGATCAGATAGGTAGTACTGCTCTATTTGAATTTGTGGATTTCTATTATTCTATGTATTCCTGTATCATCTATGTATCTAAGTATTGAGAGGGTAAGGCTGCCAAGAGCAAGCCAAGACACTAGCGGGAGTGTAAAATACCAATGAACCTCGTAATTCAGGTTAGTCTAGGTTAGTTGGGTTAACTTAGTGGCCGTTAGCTGGGGTTTTTTCTGGAGTATGGAGAGAATCGATGATATTCGATTCTATTCTGGAAATTTAGATATAGAATATATCTCAATATTTATCATGATGGGTCCGTACTATGGATAGGTAATTGTGTGTATATCCATGCTGATCTAATCAATCACACCATCCCCCCCGTGGATGGTTCCATTCAAGCGGTGACATGTTATTTCAATCAACACTAGTAAGGAGGCAAGTCACTTTCGGTCTCTCGCTGCTCTTCTCTTGCTCATCCTTCATCCTTTCATTTTTCTTCTCTGGCTCCACTTTCTCTTCTCTTCCTTCTGGCTGGAATTCTTTTTGTTTCATTTGATCAGTCTCCCCTTACCCAGCATTTCCTCTCCCAATTACTTATATCTCCTGGTCCCCACCACTCATCCACCCTCTTCCTCTTCTCTTTCTTCCCATCTATATCTGCCTTCTTCCATTGGCCTTCTCTCTCTCTCTCTCTCTTTGTCTTCCCTCCTTTCCTCTTGGTCTCTCTCATACTGGTAACCCCCAGTCAAGTAGTCCATCATGTCGGACGAAAAACCCAATATCCTCTACATCATGGCCGACCAGATGGCGGCCCCTCTCCTGCAATTCCATGATAAATCCTCCCCCATCAAAACCCCCAATCTCAACCGATTGGCGGAAGAAGGCGTCGTCTTTGATTCCGCCTACTGCAATGCGCCGCTTTGCGCTCCCTCGCGCTTCGTCATGGTGACTGGCCAGTTGCCCTCCAAGATCGGCGCATACGACAATGCCTCCGACTTACCCGCCGATACCCCCACCTACGCCCACTATCTCCGTCGCGAAGGCTACCACACGGCCCTCGCCGGCAAAATGCACTTTTGCGGTCCCGATCAGCTGCACGGCTACGAGCAGCGTCTGACCAGCGACATCTACCCGGGAGACTACGGCTGGTCCGTTAACTGGGATGAACCGGTATGACTCCTTCTCTCTACCTTATGTAGAGTTGCTTATGCTAATGATGTAGGACATCCGCCCCGATTGGTACCACAACATGTCCTCCGTCATGGAGGCCGGCCCCGTCGTGCGCACCAATCAGCTCGACTTTGACGAGGAGGTCATGTACAAGTCCACCCAGTACCTCTACAACCACGTCCGTCAGCGCAACGACCAGCCCTTTGCCTTGACCGTCTCCATGACTCACCCCCACGACCCCTACGCCATGACCAAGGACTTCTGGGACCTCTACGAGAACGTCGAGATTCCCCTCCCCAAGAACGGCTCCATCCCCCACGACCAGCAGGACCCCCACTCGCAGCGCGTCCTCAAGTGCATCGATCTCTTCAACAAGGATCTCCCCGACGAGCGCATCCGCGCCGCCCGCCGCGCCTACTACGCCGCCTGCACCTACGTCGACACCAACGTCGGCAAGCTGCTCAATGTTCTCGAAAACTGCGGCCTGCGCGACAACACCATCATCGTCTTCACCGGTGACCACGGCGACATGCTGGGCGAGCGCGGCCTCTGGTACAAGATGACCTGGTTCGAGAACTCGGCCCGCGTGCCCATGATCTTCCACGCCCCCAAGCGCTTTTCCCCTAAGCGCATTCCCCAGAACGTCTCCACCATGGACCTGCTGCCCACTTTCGCCGACCTGGTCGGTGCCCCCATAATCAAGGAGCTGCCGCTGGACGGCGTCTCGCTGCTGCCTTACCTGACCGGCGGCGAGGGTCTGCGCACCGACACTGTGCTGGGCGAGTACATGGCCGAGGGAACCCAGTCGCCCGTCGTTATGATCCGCCGCGGCCGCTACAAGTTCATCGCCTCGCTCATCGACCCGCCCATGCTCTTCGACGTGGAAGCCGACCCGGAGGAGAAGGTCAACCTTGCCGCCGGTCTGGCCGCCAAGCCGGTCGCCGCCGCTCCCACCAAACCCATTACCAACACCCCACTCGGTGTGCCCGCGGCGCTGCCTACGCCAGCCGACTCGCCGCACGCGTCGCCTGTGCCGCAGCGCGTGGTGCCAGCCGCGTACCCGTTCCCAACGCCGCCGCGCACACCCAGTCCGGCGTCGGCGCTGCCCGCCACGACGGAGCCAGCCAAACTGCTCGCCTACTTCACCGAGGAGGTGCAGGCGCGCTGGGATCTGGTGGCGATCCAGGCCGACGTACTGCGATCGCAGCGCCGCCGCCGTCTCGTCTACTCGGCGCTGCTGCAGGGCACGCCATCCCTCTGGGACTACGAACCGCGGGTCGACCCGAGCACGCAGTACGTGCGCAACCAGGGCCAGGGAGCTCTTGACGATGTGGAATTGATCTCGCGCTGGCCGCGTGTGTTGCAGCAAGCGGCGACCGCTCAGGGGATGAAGGTTTAATTTTTTTCCCTTTTTATTGCTTTCTATTTTTCTCGTTTTTTGGCAACTTCTTTCACACTTTTTCTCCGAGACGTGATGTCTGGGGAATGCAAAAGTGATATTTTTTATCTGTTGATTGGCTAGCGCGGCGTATACCCGGCATATAAGCATGCTTAGATTGATTTGACTATTTTATTGGCCTTGATTTGTTGGCTTTTTATGCTTTATTTATTGGCATTATTTTACTGTCTGTTTATTGGCTCTATTTCATGGCTCTATTTCATGGCTCTATCTTTATTGGCTCTTTACTGGCTGTTATTGGCTTTATTGCTCTTGATGTTGTACATAGGATGCATGTATGTATGATATACAGCACAGAATGTTGATAGGATGTACACATTGGATGGATAGTATCGTGATAACAGGCTGCATAGTACGCAGCTTATTATGCCTTAATTATTTTCTATTTTTTGATCTATCTCGTTGTACTTCAACATTCTCTACTTCGACATATTAGGTGTGTTATATATATATATTCGCACTACGGATACAATGAATCATTTTTACAATATATAACCCCCCAGGATAACAGCACATATCCATATCTACCTAACCTACATATAGATAACATTAGAGCCCTCATCTCTTATTCTCCCTTGCACTCTCCCGGAGTCTTCTTATCCCTACAAAATTACATACAAGTTGAGACTATGCAACCACCGATCGTGAGAATCTGCCTAGTTAAGTACATTAGTGAATGGCTGAGTAAGAACGGGCAACGTGGCCGAGCGGTTAAGGCGTAAGACTCGAATTCACTGAGTTTCTCAGTGATGGTAATCTTATCTCTTCGGAGTCGCATGTTCGAATCATGCCGTTGTCGATTCTTTTTTTTTCTCTCTTTTTTATTCTCATGATGTTTAATATTTATCCGAGGTAAGATCTGGATGGATAAGATATTCCCCGCATTTTAGTTCTCTCTATTCTCCGATGACTACTTAATATCCAACTACGACATTCCCCTCTATACATATACACATCCAACAACACACAATACACAATATATACAACACACGACATACCCCAAAGAAAGACAAGAAAGAAGGATTCCACCAAAATGTCCATCAAAATAGCCATCTCCCAATCCCGCACCCTCTCCACAACAGCAACCACCCTCTCCGCCCTCTCCCACACCACCCACAAAGCCTCCAAGCAGGGTGTCCACCTCATCCTCTTCCCAGAAGCCTACCTAGGCGGCTACCCCCGCACCTGCACCTTCGGCTCCGCCATCGGCGCCCGCCACCCGCAAGGCCGCGACCAATTCCTCGCCTACTTCCGCTCGGCGATCGACCTCGGCGATACGCCCGCCGGAGCGGGCGAGGATTGGGTCGCGCGCCGGCTGCCGCTGCCGGAGGGGGGAGCGGGGGAGCGCGGGGATGGCACGCGGGAGACGCTTGAGCGGGTTGCAAGGGAGACGGGGGTGTTTATTGTGACGGGCGTGGTGGAGAGGGCGGGGGGAGTCTTTATTGTGCGGTGCTTTATGTGGATCCTGTGCGCGGATGTGTCGGGAAGAGGAGGAAGGTTATGCCTGTATTGCCCCTTCTTTCCCCCCCACTCTTCTCTTCTATATATACATATGTATAAATGTAAGGACAAAGATACTGACAAGTGGAACAGACAGGATCCGAACGCCTCGTCTGGGCCCAAGGCTCCCCCAGCACCCTCCGCGCCATCAGAACCCACCTCAACGGCGTCCCCGTGACGCTCGCCGCCGCTATCTGCTGGGAGAACTACATGCCGCTGCTGCGGCAGAGTCTGTACGCGCAGAACGTGACGATCTATCTGGCGCCGACGGCGGATGCGCGCGATACGTGGCTTGCGCTGATGAGGACTGTTGCTGTTGAGGGGAGGGCGTTTGTGGTCAGTGCGAACCAGTGTGTTAGGTATGGGGAGTTGCCGGAGTGGGTTGATGGGGGTGGCACTGAACGACAGATGGGTTTGTTTCCTTCTTTTCCTTTTTTTCTTTCTTTTTTTCTTTCTTTTTTTTTTTTTTTCTTCTCAGTTTTATTTGTTTGGGGGGGAGAGGCTAATAGTTTATGCAGGTCAGGATGAATATGCTTGCCGTGGAGGCTCGTGTATTGTTGATCCCCAGGGTGAGGTCCTTGCTGGGCCGCTGTGGGAGGTATCTGCGGACGATAATCTCGACACGATGGATGGACTGCTCGTGTCCGAGATAGACGTGCAAGACTGCGAGCGCGGTCGACTCGATCTAGACGTCGCGGGGAGTTATTCCCGGAGCGACTCGTTCAAGTTTAGTGTTGAGGGGCTGGATTTGAATCCGCCTGTTTAGCCTTTCTCTCTATCCTTCTACCTACCCCCCTCTCTATACACATATAGATTATATACAGATATGAGAAGAGAGATTACAACTTTGAGTTCGGAGACAACATGTGTTCACCCACCAAAAACAAAGCAATAACGTCAGCCACCACATCCCCATCATCCACGCCACCCTCCCACGCAATCCTCTCCTGATGTGCGCGTGCTACCTCCGCAGACCAGCCTAGGATAGGCCCGAATTCCCTCGCCACGAGGGACATCCCAACGCTGTCGATCTCGAAGTGCCCTTGGAGGGTTAGGACTCTGTTGGGGAGGTAGAGGCCTTGGATGGGGCATTGCTTTGTCCAGCCGATGTTGAGCCAGGGGGGTTTTATATTTCCTTCGTTATGAGTATTGTTGCTGTTGGTTGTTGCGTTTTTTAGTGGTGTATCACCTGCAGTAGTACTACCCCCGGGAGTACTCCCAGTAGTACTACCAGTAGTACTACCAGTAGTTTCAGTAATATACCCATTAGAAGGAGAGGAAGAAGGAACAACCCAATCCCCATGCATCATCTGCATCCTCAACTCCCCTTTCCCCCCAAGGACCGCCCCAAACGCCTTCCTAAAGCGAGGAGTAAGCTGCACAGCATGCACGCCCACCTCTCTGCCTAGAGGAGAGGCTTCAACACGCGTGCTGTCCGGCATCAAAGCAGCCGCGATAAGCTGGTGCCCGAAACAGCCGCCGATGAGCTTGATGTGCGGGTGGTGGGAGTAGATTTTGCGGATGAATGTTTTGAGGGGTGTTATCCACGGGTTGGTGGTTGTTTGGTAGGCGCTTGAGGCGGAGCCTGTTATTAGGAGGGATGTAATTTTGTTATCGTTTTTATTGTTGTTGTTGGTGGTGGTATCATTGCCGGGGACAGTAGTAGTAGTAGTGGTAGTAGAAGAAGATTGAAGGAGATGCTCCGGCGGATAAACACCCCCCATGATATCCCAGTTCGAAACGACCAGCTTGATAGGATCCGGATGAAGGGGGGATTGACTAAGACGATGGACGGCTGGCTCGATTATAGAGCGGTATTGTGTGCTGTAGAGGCCGTTGCGGTGGTAGTGGGGCCGGACGGGGATGTCGACGTCGAGGATGGCGAGGTGGATTGTCATTTTATTACTTTATAATACATATAGTCTTTTCGCCTATAGAAATAGAGTAGGATAGAGTTGGAGTATAGTATACGTTATATAGATGGGGGATTGAATGGGGGAAGAGTGGATGGACATGTATGGATGGATGGATGGATGGATGTACATGTACCCCTCACGAGACACGTGGATGGCTGTCGATCTTCGCATTGCTCTGTTGGGGTAATTTGGGGTTATTGTATGTGTAGAGGCCGTATAGAATGGCGCACTTGGATATATAGTGCAATGAAGTAGAATATAGAGTGAATAGGCTCGAGGAGAAGGAATGTTTTGTCCCGTGACTGGCGAGCCCTAATTTCTTCTTTTCGTCGCTCTTTTGTATTTATTCTAGTCCGTTATATTCCCTTATCTTTTTTTTCTGTTCTTCTACTCTTGTCTGTTTTGATCAATGAATCTATGTGTTTATGCTGAATATTCTTCTTTATGATACTTCTTGTCATAATTGATTCATTTCTATCATAGGTTACTCTGAATTGTTAGACCCAAGATACATTATCTATCTAGATAAGACAGTAGATATAATCCATCTCACATCAAAGATTGAACTGCAGAAAGGCACAATCCTATCTATTCAATCAGCAAACCCCATGCGTCTTCCCCGACTTGCCCTGCAGCGAGTGCTTCTCCCCCTTGTAGTGCGGGTGACTGTGCTTCGCTTTATGCGAGTGGACAGTGTGAGTTTGGACGTGTCTATCATCATCACAGTTAGTATCACATACACCAGATCTAAAATCAAGTAGAAATAGGGAGAGACATACCGCTGAAACTTCTTCACCATCTCCTCATCCATATCACCCAGCGTCTTCAGCGCGAGCTTAAAATCCGCCAACAGCGCATCACACCGACTCATGCTGAAGTCCTCGCGCACAACAACCCGCATCAGCTTCATCGAGCCACTGTTCGGCGCCATCGTGTAAGCAGGCACAATCCACCCCCTCTCGCGTAGCTGGTGCGCCAGCGTCGTCTCGTCGAAATGCCCCTCTTCCTTGTTGGCCAGCTTGAACGCCACGACGGGCAGACCGCGCCCCCCGCCTTGGCTGAGAATCTGGAAGCCCATCTTCTCCAGCTGCTCGGCGAGGTAGTCTGCGATGCGGGTGATGTTCACCATGATCGCGCGGAACCCGCGCCGGCCGAGCCGGATCATCTGGTAGTATTGGCCGATGACCTGCGACGCGCCCTTGGAAAAGTTCAGCGTGAAGCTCGCTTGCTCCGCGCCCAGGTAGTTGATGTTGAAGATGAGGTCTTGCGGGAGGTACTCCGGCGAGCGCCAGACGACCCACCCCACGCCCGGGTAGACGAGCCCGTACTTGTGGCCGGACACGTTGATCGAGACGACCTTCTCCAGCCGGAAGTCCCACTCGAGCGCCGGGGCGACGAAGGGCGCGACGAAGCCGCCGCTGGCGGCGTCGACGTGGATGGGGCAGTCGAGGTCGCGCTCGATCAGCAGGTCGTTGATGGCTTTGATGTCCTCGTATTCGCCGGTGTAGGTAGTGCCGAGGATGGCGCAGATGCCGATGGTGTTTTCGTCGACGAGGTCGACGGCTTGCTGGGGGTCGATGACGTAGCGCTCGTCAGTGCAGTAGACGTAGCGCTCTTCGATGTCGAAGTAGCGGGCGGCTTTTTCCCAGCAGACTTGCACGGCGCTGTTCATGACGATGTTGGGGCGGGAGGCGTCTTGGCCGGCGGCTTTGCGCTTGTGCTGCCAGCGGCGCTTGAGGGCGAGGGAGCCGAGCATGATGGCCTCGGAGGAGCCGACGGTGGAGGTGCCCATTGGGTGGTCGTTGGTGGAGTCTGTGGGCGCGTTGAAGAGGCGCGCGATCATGTTCACGCAGCGGTTTTGAATCTCGGCTGTTTGGGGGTATTCTTCGTAGTCGATGAAGTTCTTGCTGAGGGACTCGGCCATGAGTTTTTCGGCTTCTTCTTCCTGTTTTAGTTAGTATACTGGGTATGTTTCATTGGGGTTATGTGTAGGGTGTTTACCATGTAGGTCGTGACGAAACTCGCCAGGCTGGATACGTTAGCACCATACTTCTCCCAATGTTGTTATACATACTTGAGAATTGGATTCCCATCCAAGCTCAGCTCGTCCTTGATCATCCGGTACGCAACCTCACGAGGCATCTCGCGCTCCGGCATCTCCGTCAACGGCAGCTGCTCCGCCGCGAAGCGCGTGCCATACACACTGGAGAAAGGCCCATCTTCCTCACTCTCCAGCGAGAGCGAGTCAAGGCGTTGATCAACCGAACTATCGCGGTGGACTTGAGCAAGGTGAACCATGATTGCGATACAATGTCTGTAGAATCCAAAGATGTAGAATGGCAGAGAGAAACATGGCAGAGGAGGGGCATTTAAACCCCTCAACAGCCACGTCAGGCGTGTCACCGAGGCAGCGCCACTGTCTTGCGGTGAGGGGAAATCCGACGCGACTGGCTGAGGCTGGGATGACGAGGGCTGAGCGGCTGACGTGCCCCGCCGGTTGAAACAGGCGACTGGACTAGTCTGGGTGACTACGGGGAAAGGCTTGGTGAAAGCTTGATCCGGATTGGAGGGGGAGTGGATCCCGAGTAGAAACCGGGCAGTGTGTTGGAGTAGAAGGATTGGGAGTCACTGATTCACGGGTTGAGTGATGCTCGTGGGGCTGGTGGGGAGATGACGATGTGGATCGTTGGTCACTTTATGTCATAGAATTACTAAATCGGTACAGTTATACTTTATTAGTTGATTGTACTAGTATTCATACATGGCCCCAGTGATTATATCGTTGATATATCAATAGAAGTCCTCAAGATCCCGAAAAGGCCAGCCGCGACGAATCTTCCCCAACTCATCAGGACTCGCACCATCCGAGAACTCCTCCCTCAAAGACTCATTCCTCTGCACTGCCGCATCATAATTCTCAGCAGGAATCCAACCCTCCTCTGAGAGTCCCCCAAGTTCACGCCGCCAGTGACCAACAAGCGCATTCAAGTCATACCACATACGCTCACTCTCCGCCTGCTCACGAACTTCCTGCTCCGAGAACCTAATGGGGCATTCATCTGGGACAGAAAGATGAGGCCAGAGCTCACATATGCGCATGAGAGCACCGCGCAGCGAGATCATATTACCTGACCACTGGCGGCCTGCGGCGTCCACGAGCTGCTGCCATTAGAGGATGAGAGGGTCCTGTAGAGCTTGAAGGTGCAATTTGTTGAGACCGCCGTTGAACACGCGGTACAGGTAGAAGAGACTTTGTCGTCGGATTAGCTCGTCGACTTGGGCCTTTTCGTCGGGTTTCATCGTCGTACTCAGGAGGGTACTTTGGCGGGATCAACCCCGTGGGAGGCTCGGGGTCAGGATTCTCGAATAGTCGAGGGTATCCGGCTGCGAGAACCAGTGGCGTGATAAACGTGTGTTGCCAGTCGATGATGGATGTGACTTTGAATGTGTCGGGGCAGATGAAGACGTTGCTTGGTGTGAGGTCTGTAACAGTCAGTATAGCATATCTTTGCGAAGTCAAGATGAATACCCGGATGGCGCAGAGTCGGACGACCCAGCTCTCTTGGAAGAAGATACGGTGCGATAGACTGATACTTCCTAAGAAGCTCCAGATACTCCTGCGGCTGTCGCACGCCAGGAAAGACGGTATTGTGGGGGAAATCCGGCTCCAGCGGTTTGCTATACTTCTCCACCCACTTGACTTCTTTTTCTGCCGTCGCAACAAGATAATCCTTGGGATCGCGCCCTAGAAGAGTCAGCTCTGATGCACGCTATACTTCACAGTTGGAAGCAAACATACAAGGCCCCCTATCAACCTTCCACCCCCCCTCCTCCCATACCAAAACATGTAATCAGCACTCGGCCCAATACAATACACATCCCCATCCCCATCCTCATCCACCGTCCCGGGCACATACAGCGGGGCCTGAAACCGGGTCTCAACATCCTTCTTAAAGTAAATACTCCCCACCGCCCCAAACGGAATGCTAAACAGCCGTTTCTCAACATCCACAATCCCCGTCACCAGCGCATGCTTCTGATACTTGTCGTTATCGTATCAGCGCGTGTCAGCCCCCACCCCCGGGACGTGTTCCATTATGATGTACTCAACCCCAATGGGCTTATCCGTTGTGGAAGATGAAGACCACCCATACACCTCCGGAACGGGAATCCCCTTCGATCTGAGGAACGTAAGAGTGGCAACCTCACTAGTAGTGACATACGTCCTAGGGACAGATATCCAGTATGGGATTTTGACAATGGCTTTGAACCCATCTTCCATCGTGGCTAGGAGAACCCGATTGAAGCCCCCCTCGCTGAGTTTTGTAAGGGACTGGACATGCCCATGACCTACGTGCTTTGAAATGGCTTGCTTGAGTGCTGTGGTGTTGAACGGCACGTATCGTTCGCGCAGACGCGCGCGTTCGTTGTAGAGGAAGCGGCCGGTGGTGTATGTGAAGAGGGATTCGTCTATTTGTTCTTAGCTTTGAGATGGATGTCTTTGATAATAGATATGTATAACGCACCGTTAGACTTCCGCAAATGATAGATTTTAAATCTCCGTAAACCCACCTTAAAGCAAGCTCGATGTGATGCGGCCTGCGCTGTCCGCGCGCACACGGCGCGTGTAAACATGTTGGATACTTAGGTTTCTGGATGGAGCTATAGCGAGTTCATCCTTGATTCTTGGATTAATTTCTAAACAGCAGATCCCAGCTGTAACTCGATTCAATAATCGACTGGATATCCTGGTAGATAGTAAGATAGATAGATAGCGTCCTCAGCTTGTACAGTACAAAGCAAGGCTATCCCGTAACCCAGCAACAGCCGTCGGCGTACATACTGTATGACTGTGTCACCAACGTATAGAGTACGCATCTGTTGGACCACCATCGTCGGGATACCTACCTAGGAGGTACTTGCCCACCTCCTATCTTCAATTGAGCGAGCGAACTTAGTTGAATCACTTGCTGGTAATGCATCACATCACATGATCTCGATGACCCTTGTGCATGCATAGCAGGATGTACACCCTCACGTGATGTCTATCTACTGCCATTGTCGGTATGAGAGCTCAGATGTGATGGATATGTAAATCATGGATGAATAAATAGAGACGTACGTATATCATATGGATCTCTCCTGAGAGTTATATGTTATGAGACTGATCGCGGAGCGTGTTGTGGGTTAAGTACCTACTATTTATATGGTGCTCAACAACCCTGGAATTAATATAGAGCGCTAAGCAGGCACCTACGATGGGCTGATGAAGTACTACTACCTTACTATACGACAACACCTCTCAAAGCCCAGCAAGTCAAGTCATACGATCGTACAATCAAGACCTCTCCTACTAACCCCGTCCGAACCAGATAAAGACAAACATAAGAAATATCATTAAACTAATCAATCCAATCTCAACACACAATACACAAGACACAATGATGGGAAATCTCAACACAATGGACGCATCCGAATTAATCATCCTCGCTGACAACTACTCGAACAAGGTCACGTCAAAACAGTCAACGGGGAGGGAATAGCAAATGAACACGGCACAATCAAAACAAGTCGCACCCATCGAACAACACAAATAATCCTTCTGTGCTGGTATTGTCACATATCGTACACCATGCCGTCCTTCATTACATCTTCGCAGATTGTATCTGGGTTGGTTGTGTTTTTCGTTTTCGTTCTCTCTTTTCGATCTCTCTTTTCGTTGCTTCTTTTTTTTTTTTTTTTTTTATAGTTTTCTTTTTGGTGAGATCTTCCGGTAGAAGCGTCCAACGTCCACATGGGTATCAGCATCAAAGGCTCCGCGGCGTATCCATCGGCCCAAATCAAACCGAACAAAGGAAAGGAAGGAAAAAGGAAACTTCATGGCGCCGTTCACTTGAACTTGCGCTTGAGCCAGCCGAAGAACCCACTCTTGCGCTTGTCGGCCTTGGCATTCTCCTGGGCCTTGTTCACCTCGGCCTTGGCCATCTCCTGGGCCTTATCCTGCAGGGACTTGCCCTCCTCGGGCTTCTGGCCGGCCTGCTCGGCCTCCTGGCCGACTTGCGGCTCGCGGGTCTTGGCCTCCTCGGGCTTCTGGATCTGCTCGGAGGGCTGGGCTTTGGTGGCCTCGGGGGCGGAGGTGGTCTCCTGAGTGGAGGCACCCTGGGCGGCAGTGCCCTGGGTGGCGGTCTGGCTCGTCTCCGGCTTCGCGGTCTCCTTGGCCGCCTCCTTGCTCGCGTCCTTCTTGGCGGCCTCCTGGGCAGCCGCGCGGGCGGGGTCCTTCGCAGCGGTCTCCTTGGCCGGAGCCACCGCGGCCGGGGGCGCCGTGGCCGCACCGGCAGCCGCAGCGGCCACTTGGGGCTCGCCGGCGGCCTTACCCTTGGTGGGCTGCGTAGCAGCAGCCTGGGTCTTCTCGTCCGCGGCCTGGGCCTGCTGGCTCAGCTCCTCCTTGGCCTGGTCCAGCGAAGACCGCTTGGCGGTAGCCGTCGCCGCACCGGAGTCAGCCGCGGCAGGCGCGGGGGTCACGCTGGCAGGGGCCTTGCCCGTAGGCTCGGCCGCACCCGACGGCGCCGTGGTGGCCGTGGTGGGGCTGGTGGCAACCGGAATGGGGGCCGTAGCCGGGACGGGCTGGGGCTGCGGCTTAGGGGCCTCGGTCTTCTTGGCGTCGAGCTGGCCGGCAGCGGCGGAGGCGCCCGTGGGGGCGGCCGTCTCGGCGGCCACGGTCTGTGCGGATGTGCTGGGGACGGCAGCGCTGGCGGCCTTCTCCTCCGTCGCGGACAGACCCGGCACATGCAGGGCCGGTCCCTTGTCGCGCGGGTCCGCACCGAGGCCCGGGACGACCTGGGGCTGGGTCTCAGCGGCGCTCGCGGCGGCAGTGGGCTGCGCGGTGGTGGTCTTCACTTCCTCCGCACTGGGCTCCTTGATGCGCTCGGGGAGCGACGTCGAGGCAGCCGCGGCATCCGACGTCACGGTAGGTTCCTGCGCGGCGATTCCGGGCACAGTAGCTACAGAGAGGGGCAAACAGTCAGCGAGGGCGGGGACACCTTTTCCGCGATCATCCACTTACTGGTTCCCTCCTGTTCGACACCGGCCTTGGCCTTGTCGGCAGCATCTTGGGTGGTGGAGGCACCCTCCGCCGTCACCGCATCCTTAGTATCGGCGACGGTTGTCGCGGGTCCTTCGCTCTGGATAGGGGTTTCCGAGATGCCATTGCCCTGGACGACGCTGTATGCGAGAGGGTCAGTCAGCGACCATTCGCGACTAGCGGTGAAGAGAGGGGCGGGAGAACTCACACAGGGGTCGGGGCCTCGGTAGGCTTGTTCGCGGCAGCAGCGGCGGCGGCAGCACCGCTCGACCGGGCCTTGGACTTGTTCTTCTTTCCTCCCTTCTTCGGCATGGTGATGGATGAACCTAACAGCGACACGAGTCAGCGAGTTGGCCACGTAGCGATGACGACAGCGGGGAGGCGAAAGATGCGAGGAGAATGCGCGTGGGGAAACTAAGTGTGCGCATTGGAGGGACTGACGACCCGAGTGGGAGGTGGATGGAAGAGACTCACAAAAAGAGAGGTTGCAGGAGGAGATGGACGGGAGTTTGCGACAATTCCCACGACCGTCCGAATGATTGAGTTATGGAGGTTGTTGACAGGGTCAAAAGTGCGAGGGAGGGAAGTCAGGGGCGGGAAGAAGTCCTGGTATGTTGCCCTGGTTCTTTCCGAATGCCCTTCTTTTCGGCGAACGTTAATCCGCGAGGGATAGTCTCGGTAGTAGGGAGTAAGGTAGTCAGTCAACGACACCAGTTTAGGGGGGAAAAAGTAGTAGATGTGGTCAGAATGGTCAGAGAGTCGTCCATTCCATCAGGAGGTGAAAATTACTACTACACAGAAAAGATCCAGAGAGTTCTGCACAAAACGATGAGGACTGAACAATGCAGGGTCACATGGTTTCTCCACCTATAACGGTTTCTTCTTACTCTCTCTCCATTGTCTCCCATGTCTCTCAGATTTCTCGATTCGTTCAATTCGTTCCTTTCTTTCATCTCACGTTTCAAAGGACCAATCCCTGCTCAGTCGCGGATCGCAATCTACACACAAGGACATTTCCGCTGACGGCGATTCTGGGCGACAGATCCTAATCCAGACGGATCCATACCGTGACCGTGGACTTAATTATAGAAGCAGTGGGCCAGACAGAGCCGCCGAATGCGGATACTTCCATCAATCTATGGTTCTATTCTATACAGTATACACCTTTCTATCTACCTCCTCAATCTAATCATGAAGTTTCCGGCGATCGCTCGTGTGCCTGCAGCTGCCAGCCACGAGACTAGCCAGAAGCGGCATGGTGGAGGGCAAACTGGCCAGATTGCCCCAATCCCCGCATAAATAGGGGTTATAAGATATATCTTATTGCAACAAGGTATTAGATAATCAGAATTCCAATGGATATGATGAATATGATGAATACGATGAATATAATGAATAAAATGAAAGGAATACTACGAAATGAGGTCAATTAAATTGATCGATTATGATTTCATTCTACACCAACAAATGGTTCAGGAAATTAGCATTAGCGCGTTGGTGATTATTGCATTCTTTCGGCTCCGAATCTCTGGGCTTTTTTCGGCTGGCCGTTTGTGTGTTTTGGACGCAAACAGCCATGACGTCATGTTGGATGTCGCCCAGGTATGCTAAGCTTGATTGCCACTGTCAGAGTAATTGGTATGGGGCATCAAGAGAAAAGAAAGAAAAATAATGTACTAGGTATACTACCATATAATACAGTATCATGAAAAGAATAAAATAATATACAAAGAATGAACAAGTATATCACCAACGCACTCATATCTTAGTCAGGCCAGCAAGCTAGCAGCCACACAAAGCCGCAGATGTCGACTAGCGACATGCTGTCCTACAATATAAAAACCATGCATCCCACCCGATCAAGCAAAGGCTGTAGAATCGATAGTCCTTCCAGAAGGAAACGCATGGTCAGAGTGGCGGTCGTCGTGGTGGAGGGCTGAACAAGTGGCATGACATCATCGGCATCCTCGACCACTGAACCCTTGCGCCTCTAACCAACCTGAATGCCTAATCGGACTTGACCGGTCAGATGGTTCAGCTGGTCCTTGATTGGGGACCACAACATGGAGACTGGAGTATGTGCTGGGACTACCCTGTTGCCTATCGGGTTTCTCCTCGGGCAGGACAAAGGGTTTCTCCTCGGGCAGGACACAAAGCGGATGAAGGTTGAAGCCTAGACAAATATAGATACTGTTTGAAGAACAAAGCAGATCTGCCTTAAGTATGCACAGGCCTGTGCCTGTGCCTACCATTAAGTACAATATTACCTCCATTATAGATATAGATGCACGGCCATAAATTGACGCTAAGAAAAATACTATCAACGAGAAGAAATACCAAAAAGAAATAAAAAAAGAAAGATTGACCGACGCAGGGGTCGAACCTGCAATCTCTTGATTCGTAGTCAAGCGCCTTGCCATTGGGCCAGCCGGCCTTGTTGAAAGCATTAAGCACAATAATGCCAAAAGAGCAACCCACCCCCAACCCAACCCGGAAGTCCTGTGCCGAGTGGGCCGGAATAGACTCGGGCCCTCCAGCGGGGCAACCGGCTGCTTCTGGTCTGTCTGCTTTTCATTTGCCCTCCATCCTTATCGGTGGATCGTTATGACGACGATGGGATCGATTTGATTCTTGTCTTACACAGTGGCTTCGGAATAGGTTTCGCTTACTTGTTTCCTTTTTTCTTTCTTTCATTTTATTCATTTGATTTTATATAGTCCGTATACAACTCATGAGTAGACAATATGTCTGCTCGCTGGAAGGACAACCCGATCAGCCGTGACGTGGATGGACCAAACTCGGAGGTCATTTCCTGCCCAGTCGGTGGTGACCACGATCGGACCGAGTGATTCTGGAATTGTTCGCTGCAGGGAGGGAATAATAACAATACAGTAATAATAATAATAATAATAATAATAATAATAATAATAATAATCATCCTGGAACAGTTCCAAGTGCTGCCGCCCATCCGGCTTTCCAACAACCGGGTCGAAAGAGGCACCCGACTAGTCTAGACGAGGGACTTAAACCTGAACCATGGAAAATGTCCAGTTGAGCTGGTTCCGGGCCAATGTAACCTGATGACTCGTCCATTTAATTAATAAATTCCATACACGATAGAACCGACTGAACCGCCACGGTGTGCCTTAGTCATCCGGGCGGAGCATGCCGGCTGAATCGACTGTAACTTCATAAAGGTTGATTGATGCCTATGGTTACTATTATTATTATGGCGATTGCCTTGCATTGCCCGGGGCTATGTATATGTTTGAGGGAATAATAATGTTAAAAATAATGATAATTAAATAATATAGTAGGAAAAAGAAAAAATATCAATACTGTTACAGACAGATGTGAGGCACAAATGACTGCATCATGTCTATCAGCGTTAGACACCAATGTGTTCATAAGACCGAGACAAGCAGATAATTCTCTCAGTGGGACCGCATCCATCCTGTACGGTAACATTACCTAGATTATACCTACCTTTGGCTGATCTTTGGCTGATTCCAACCCACTGAAGAGAACGTCCGTAACAGGTAAGATAAGAGAATGGGGGAAATTGGTGCGGTGGGTTCGCCTTTAGCGGTTGCATAAACCCCCATGGAGAAGCATCCACAGTTGAATACTGTGCCAATCATTCCTTCTGGCCATCCTGTTCGCCAATCATTGCGACATGGTCTCTCGCTCGACGCCCCCCCCCAAATCCCATTGAATTAAATTCCCAATTGCTGGTACGGACTGGACGGCCGGAGTTGTTGGTCATTCAGTATTAACTCTGTACGGAGGCCTGGTCTTACTGTGCACCATTTCCTTCTGAGTTCTGAGTTATTATAGCTGCCCTTTTCCTCCCGGCCTTTCCGCTGCTTTTCTTTCCTCTCTCTCTTCTTTCTCCAGGCTTATCTCATTATACCAACCACCCCAATCTCCCCTCTACCCTAATCTCCCTTCCACCCCCTCCTCGTGTCGCATGCCGAACCGGGCCAAAGTATGATCCGCCGGTGTGCTGATCCTCTCTCGTCTGTACTCTGTGCTTGCACATCCCTCACGTCCAATTCGGTGCCTTGGAAAAGGTCGGCCCTTAGTTGATATTCAATGGAATTGCCATTGGAGTCGTGAAAGTCGCAATTAATCGGTCCCCTGATCCCCTCCGTGAACGTCCACTCTTCATCATGAGTATCCGACAGAAAGTGCGCCGGGTGTTCAGCCGCTCTTTCAGCGGCTCTAAACACAAGGACACCGGTATCAAGATTGAATATTACAGACGACATGAGGTCCCCCCCTCGAAATTCAAGGGTCCGTTTGACCGCGAACACCAAAAGTCTCTGGCCGCCTGGTCCTTCGGGGATGCCCAGGCCGGTCGTCCGCGCTCGATGGATCTGTCTCTCTCGCCGTGTGCGTCGGTCCCCGACCATCTGCGCCACGACTACGACGATGAGGAAGTGGCGCCAGATCAGATGCAGCCGATTGCTCCCGAAGACCGTTTACCTGAGTCTGACTGTATGTTTTCCTTCTCCCCTACTGTTCACCTTCACGTGACTCTATTCCGCTTGTCGAGATGATAGTCTGACTGGTCCTAGCCATGCCCATTATGTACCCTCGCGACTATACCTCGGAGCGCCACACCCACGGTTCGTCGTCTTCCACCGCCGTCGACCCGGATAGCTACAGCAGCTCGATGAAGACGCTCTTGGACGTCAACCTCATGCCGGACGACTCCGCCGCCCCGTTCCACAAGGAATCGGTCCGGCATACCTCGCCCGTCTATCGTCCCATCTCACCGCCGCCCATGGCCAAGGGGACGTACATGCCTTTCTCCCCCGACGATCTGTCACGGGCGTTGAACGCCGTGCAGATATGTACCTGATCGTACCTGTCGGGTCCGTCCGAGTGGTCCTTTTTCTTACCCGACCACCGTTTACTTCTTGACGACTTTTCGTCCATCATTTTGGTCTCCTTCCACCGCGACACTGGTGTGCGCATGATTTTCTCCATCTATTTTATTTTTTCTCCCTACCTTGCCATCTCACCATTGAAATGGTCGGGCACCGGAGTCCGACTCCACCGCCCGGGCACCAATACGAGACACCTGTGAGGCCACGCGGTCGAGACGCGAGGGAGGCCTCGACTATTGCGTGGCCCCGAAACAACACAGTGTGTTTCTACGACGCATATACGCATACGACGAGTGATGCCTAGCCACTTGTTTTTTTTGTTTTATCTTATTGTTTAGGTTTCTTGCATGGCGAATTGCGCGAATACCCGTTCTGAGGCTTATTATCCAAACCAGGAATGAAAGACCAACTAACCCTGGAAACTGACGACGGAACGGGGAATAAAAAAAAGGACTGTTAGATATAGAGCGTGTCTGTCTGTCTGTCTGGATGTGTCTTTTTTTTTGTTTCTCAGGGGCTGGGCCGATTCTTGTACTGTACTACTGACTTCTACTGTACTAATGGACTCCCTGTATCCGTTTGTTTTCTCCTTATCTTGTAACACCTTATTTGATTCTTGTGATCAACGTATAAGTCGCAGGCAAGGTTCCGTATCACCCCTTGAAGTGTAGCGGGGATGTGCCGATACTGATAGACTGCCAAGACGGTAGACCGACAAACAGTCGATCGGCGTGCGGGACCGAATGAAGCCCTCTCCGTCCTCCCCTCCATCCGCCTCGCTTGCTATCGTCGCGTTTTCTGAAGCAATTAACTCAAGGTACCTTACTCGACCTATCTACCAATATCAGTCTTACTTTCTCATCCAGAGCATGTTATCTCTAATTCATGCTATCTCCAATCAGATAGAGTACATACAACATCACACAATCCCATTGTAAAGAACAATGTACCTTACATACCTCCCTCGGTCGCACCCCACCCCACACAACATCAACCAAACCCGCCCCGACACCACTTAGCCACTCCGTAGTACCTGTACTATCCCCAACCGAATCCACTAGTTCCTGACGTGAATCCGCCAACATACAGCACCTAGTCCCTTCCAACCTGTTCTGGAAGTCCGTGTGATACCCACCAGTCGCCGACTTTCCAGCCGAATGTGCGGAAAGTACGTTACCTAAGATTTATTCGGGAGTTGGGGCTACTCTCTAATCCCCGTACTAAGCGATTATAGTCCCCCGCATCCGACCGTTGCGGTGTCTTGGCGTTTGTCAGTTTGAGCTGTTGGGTTCCTTGGCTTTTGGAGAACTAACTGTACCACTGCAGGGCATTCTCTTACCAGTCTTTTTTGGATATTGAGTGCCTTGTATATCTAACTACCTGGGTAATATTATCTATGGAGTATGATGGAGTATCCAATATGATTTGAATAATGACGACAAATGCGACCCCTCCGCCTGACTTGGAATTATCAGACCTGCCACGACCCCCTTCCTCATCCTCCTCCGCACCGTCATCGCAATCACAGCCACAGCCGCAACATCAACCCAAAATCGCCTTAAAGCGTCGCATCAGCACCTGGTGGGTAACCACCGTCCGACCAGTCCTCCGTGCAGAAGAAGACGATCCACGAGATTACCTAGGTATCTCCCCCCTCCCAACAACAACAACCTCCCCCATATCCAAACCCCCATCGCTAACCTTGATGAATAATTGAATACAGCCCTCGAACGAACCCACCTAGCCTACATCCGCACCTCCAACGCAATCGCCTCCTTCGCAGTCGTCACCGCCCAGCTCTTCGTCCTACACAGCGACACACGCGTCGTGGGCAAGGCTTTCGCGTGTGCTATCCTCGGCCTCGCGATCTACGTTACGCTGGACGGCGCCGTGCGGTACTTTCGTCTTCAGGAACGCTTGCATAGGGGCGTGCATAAGACGTGGAATTGGGATTTGGGGATTGTTACGGGGGGGTTTGTTGGGGTGAGTTTATCACTGCGCTTTTCTGGGGCTAGAAGGGGTGTGAGAAAGTGGTGTTGGTATATTGCTGGTATGGGCTGGTTGCTGACTGTGTGTTTGGTGGTAGATTGCGGTTGTGTCCATTGTTTTGGTCTACGCTTTTGACTAGGACTGGCTTGGGCTTTCGATGATGGAAAGTGTGATTATATCGTTGGCTGCGTGCACGGGGGTTGTATGGCCTCGGTCCGACGAACATATGAGATGGGTATGACTCTCAGATTTGGGATAGACGAACCGACTATCTACAACGCCGCACCTGCTTCTCGCATCCACAGACTCCGACTTTCGACGTGAGGGATTCCCGTTCTCTAGGGTCAGACTATAGGGTATGATTAATTTTGGGACAGTGTATCATGGCTGGAATGCCGTTTTGCATTTGGTCGATCATGATGATATGGACCTTGGCTCTTTCGTCACGAATACAATCTATGATGGAGTATCCCTATCGCCCTGTCTAACGGACGGGAAACGGGATCCTGGGATCCCACCTCCGTCGTCACCATCCAATATCCTCTTCTGGACGGTCGGCAAACTGTCTTGGAACAGTACAAACGGATGCGTCCGCTTGTCAGGTAATATATGTCAACATGCTTATATTAAGCAGCCATGCATTTGCTTCACTATGACTGCCAAACATGTGACGCGTCTACCGGGTTATTGTTTGTTTACATGCAGTATTGGGATAATCATGTCAGTTAGATATATAGTATAGACCATACTGATGTACATACTCGGACCCAAGCATACCGCCACACCACTTGAACATACACTACCCTTATCATATTTATTAGCTACCTACTTGAATATCTACCACCTATGATATAGCTATAATACTGTCCAACTTGCAGGTACCCGCCCCTCCAATTCACTGGGCAGAGCAATGCGCCTTCCCCATTGGGCCAACTGGTCCCGTGCCTCGTTCGGGAGCGGCAGCTGACTCAGCCGTGACTTGTGACTTGTCGCCCGAGGCACGCGCGCCTGATTGGCTGCCTGATCCATCCGGCGTCATCGCCCGTCCGCTTCCATCCCCATCTCGTCACCTCCGCTTTTGCTGCTCCAACTCTCTCTCTCTCTCTCTCTCTCTCTCCCATCTTCGTTCCAGTCTGCATCATCCTGTAGCTGGTTCTTCATCCGTTTCCATCTATCTTTTCAATTTACTATTCTTGTAAGTCTATTGAGAACACACTCCAACTCCTCTCTGAACTTATCGCTCGCTCTCCTTCCCAGCCCCCTTGTGATAACAGTGACTGATAAGGTATCTACACCGCTAGGTACCCTCGAATCTCACCATCAATCCATCTCCTTCTGTTAGATTATCCACCCCATAATCATGAGGGTTCTCCCCGCTGCTTTGCTGGTCGGAGCGGCCTCTGCGGCTCTCCCCAGCCAGCCGCTCATGGTCCAAGAGGATGACGCCCCGGCAGAGTTCCTTGCGGATCTTCCCGAGGACAACCTCGTCGATGGCGCCCGAGAGACGCTCAAGGGCTTCGCGAAGCCCCTTCATGACTTCCAGGAACAGCTGAAGAGCTTGACTGGGGATGCCCAGAAGCTGTGGGAGGAGGTGTCCAACTACTTCCCCGACAGCATGGACAGCAATCCCATCTTCTCGCTGCCGAAGAAGCACACCCGTCGCCCGGACTCCCACTGGGACCATGTCGTCCGTGGCTCTGATCTTCAGAGTGTCTGGGTCACTGGCTCTGATGGTGAGAAGGAGCGTAAGGTTGATGGCAAGTTGGATACCTATGATCTGCGTGTCAAGAAGGCCGACCCCAGCGTCCTCGGGATCGACCCCGATGTTAAGCAGTATACTGGTTATCTCGATGATAACGAGAACGATAAGCATCTGTTCTACTGTAAGTGAAGTTGTTCAATGTCTCCCGATTAACTGCGTCTAACTGGTTGATAGGGTTCTTTGAGTCCCGGAATGACCCTGAGAACGACCCCGTGGTTCTGTGGCTGAATGGCGGTCCCGGGTGCTCTTCCCTCACCGGCCTCTTCATGGAGCTCGGCCCCAGCAGCATCGACAAGAACCTGAAGCCCGTGTACAACGAGTATGCGTGGAACTCCAACGCTTCGGTCATCTTCCTTGACCAGCCCGTCAATGTCGGCTACTCGTACAGTGGCTCGGCCGTCTCGGACACCGTGGCCGCAGGCAAGGACGTGTATGCGCTCTTGACCCTCTTCTTCAACCAGTTCCCCGAGTACGCGAAGCAGGACTTCCACATCGCGGGCGAGTCGTACGGCGGCCATTACATCCCTGTCTTCGCGTCGGAGATTCTGTCGCACAAGAAGCGCAACATCAACCTGCAGTCCGTCCTCATTGGCAACGGTCTGACCGACGGGTTGACTCAGTACGAGTACTACCGTCCCATGGCCTGTGGTGAGGGTGGTTACAAGTCCGTCTTGGACGAGAGCACCTGCCAGTCTATGGACAACGCTCTGCCGCGCTGCCAGTCGCTGATCAATGCCTGCTACAACTCTGAGAGCGCCTGGACCTGCGTGCCGGCCTCGATCTACTGCAACAACGCTTTGATCGGCCCGTACCAGCGCACCGGCATGAACCCCTACGACGTGCGGAGCAAGTGTGAAGATGACAGCAGCCTGTGCTACACGGCTATGGGCTGGGTCAGCGACTACCTGAACAAGCCGGAGGTGCGCAAGGCCGTGGGCGCCGAGGTCGAGGGCTACGACTCGTGCAACTTCGACATCAACCGCAACTTCCTGATGCACGGTGACTGGATGAAGCCGTACCACCGCCTGGTGCCCGGGATCCTGGAGGAGATCCCCGTCCTGCTCTACGCTGGCGACGCCGACTTCATCTGCAACTGGCTGGGCAACAAGGCCTGGTCCGAGGCCCTCGAGTGGTCGGGCCAGAAGGAGTACGCCCCGCTGCCGCTCAAGGACCTCAAGCTGGGCGGCTCGGGCAAGGACATCGGCCAGATCAAGTCCCACGGCAACTTTACGTTCGCCCGTCTGTACGGCGGCGGTCACATGGTGCCCATGGACCAGCCCGAGGCCAGTCTGGACTTCTTCAACCGCTGGTTGGGTGGTGAGTGGGCCTAGACAGTAGGCACGGCTTGATTATTAGACTAGGTTTCTACTGTCTACTAGATTCGAGATGATCTTTGCTTTTCCTTTCCTGTTTCTTTTTATGTGTTTCAATGAGTCGATGGTTGATGTGAAAGTTGGGAGACGTTTATTTGTCGCAAGAGCATGTCAGACCGTATCGGATATCAGACAGCATCAGATATATAGCGTCAATGAGTTTTGGATTCCTTGTTTCCTTCCGGTAATCGTAGTCAAGGGTGTTTGATTAGTCGGCATCCGTTGCGTAAACTCCGCAAGGAGATAAGCTATAGTAGATAGGTATGGTATAATAAACCGAAAGATAGCCAGGAGAGATAAGTTCACGTCATTTCATATTGGTATGATTGGTTTAGTAATTTTTTCGTTTTTTTCATTCATCCGTCGCCCTGGGGTTCCGCTTGTTCTTTCTCTAGAAACATTGGACGGGTCCCCCCTTTCCCCTACGAGGGAGATAAGAGAGAGAGAGCAAAGAAGAGGATTCGTTACAACTCGACCAAGATTTAAGAAAAGAAAAGAAAAGACGAAACGACCCATGCAACACACACCAACAGATATCCCAGTCCTCTCTCTCTTTTTTTTCCCGGCCCGCAAAAAAAAATCGAAGAAGACAAAAGAATGAACACCGTGTGGAATTTGAAGACGAATGATTTAGCCCTTCTTCTTGCTGACACCGACGGTGCGACCGCGACGGCCAGTGGTCTTGGTGTGCTGGCCGCGGACGCGGAGGCCCCAGTAGTGACGGAGACCGCGGTGAGCGCGGATCTTCTTCAGGCGCTCGAGATCATCACGGAGCTTGGAGTCCAGGGAGTTGGAGACGACCTGGTAGTTCTTGCCGTCGACGATGTCGCGCTGTCTGTTGAGGAACCAGGTCGGGATCTTGTACTGGGTGGGGTTCTGGAGGATGGTGACCAGGCGCTCGAGCTCTTCGGTGGTGAGCTCACCGGCACTGTTGGATGAGATTATAATTAGATCCCGATTCATATATGTCTGTGTGCGTGACTTGTTTCCTCGTTCGTTGTGCTGTGTGTATAGTCCCTCCCCAGATAATGATAAACATACCGCTTGTTCAGATCAACATCGGCCTTCTTGCACACCAGGTTGGAGTAACGGCGACCGACACCCTTGATCTGGGTCAAGGCGTACATGATCTTCTGCTTGCCGTCAACATTGGTGTTGAGCAGACGCAGGATGTACTGGAAGTTCGTCTTCTCGCCTGACACGAGCGCTGCAATCATTGAAAGTTAGCTTTCTGCTTTGAGCGATTCTTGGTGTGGTCCCCCGATAAGAAAAAAAATTCCACATGATCGATCCAGCTCTCGGTCTTCAAGATCATCATCTTTCTTGTCTTCCATTCTTTTTCTTTTTTATTTATTCATCGTGTAGAGCGAGAGGGTAATAGAGCGACACTGGGATGGAGATGTAGAGACGTACACATGATGGGCGATGGGCGCGGACCGCGTTGATTGTCGACAGCGAGAGGGGTGAGGAGGAGAGGAAGTCGAAGTGGTGCGCCGCTGGGCTGGCTTTTGCTCTCCTGTCGCTCACGCTCTCGTTCTTTCGTTCTCCCGTTGTGGGATCGGGTAAGCGCGGCGCTAGCCGGATGGGGTATGGTGCGGGTGAGGGCTCGCTTAGTTCTGGGTCAGGTGATGGTCAGCTGGTGCCTGTCACGTGTGGTATGGTACATTTGGTTAGGATACTGTATTGAGTGTATCGTCGTGGTTATCTATATCGTGTCCAAATCAGGTTAGCGCCATCCCATCGTGACTTGCAGTATGTCGATGTTGACAGCTGAGGAACCACACTTGCTCCATCTCTATACTCTCCCGACTTCATTCATTCATTCCGGTGGCATGGATCTCGACGACAATATGTTCCTGGCACGTGGTCTTCTTTGTATCCTCTGCCAAGCTCATCCTTTATTCGGACCAATGCTCAGCCACCACCTACCATCCTGAAACATCAGAGAGTATATACTCGGTTCTTTGTTTGATCTCGAGGACTAATCTGCAGAATGATCCGTCAAGGACCTACTTGCGGTGGAATTCCCACTGGGTGGGGGCTGCAAGCAGCTCGAGCATACGGCGCATACGTTGTGGAAGACAGTTGAAATGTGCACCTACAGCGGCCACTGTTGGAGATGCCTGGGTGGATGGTAGACCATCCAGTTCTTGGTGCCTGGGGAATCAATATACCCCGAACGTGGCGTAGCCAATTGACCACGATACTTGCTGGTCTCTTTCGGACTCTTGATCTGAATCCGGCTTGAGATGCTCTTTGATCGACTCCATCGACGCCAGGTTGCTGCGAAATGGGATATCTTGAACAAAGGTCCGCACTGTTGTCAACTCTGGTTTTTCGTTTCTCAAAAGAAAAAAAAAAACGGAAATCAACCGCTTGAATGATGATCGGGGAACGCCCACGGATGACCTTCGAGACAATGATCTCTGCCCTTGAGCATGGGATGTATTCGAAATCCTCAATTCTATTTTTGACAGTCCACTACCAAGCGTCCTTTCTTTGTCTTTGGAAGACCGATTGGGAGATGCTCCTGGTGGTCGTGCATTTAATGCAATTGAACCCCCATGATGCTGCGAGTTGAATACTGTTGTTTCGAACAAGTTCTTGTCTATGCCTTGACATTCTCCTTTCGGTTCTTTCTCTGTTAAATCTCTATTCAACTTCCCTCCTCATATCCTCTTTACTTTTCTTTTTCTGTGGAACTATTGCAATATGGCTGATGATGATGTCCCCATGGGCGGAACGAAACACCGACGCGGCCGACCCAAGCCGGGGGGCTCACAAACGATTGAAGCTTCTCTTTCGGACAGCAATGCTTGGAAGTTTCCACTAAAGACTTTGCCGGATCCTCCTGTTGATTGGACGTTCTTAGACCATACTGCCAGTGAGGCTGTTGATTTGGTAGTCTATAGCAGAGGGCAATTTAACCAACTGGTCAAACGTTATACTTGGGGATTTCAGACCGGTCCTCTCTCGCGCCTCAGCGTACCCACATTCTGCCAGATTCTATACAAGCTCATGTACCACATGGCGGACATGCACCGGCCGAAAACGACGCATGAGCTTTATGACGAAACTCGGGATTTTGGGCCTCGGCTGCTCAGCCTGGAAACTGACTACGAGGATTTTCTCCCCATCAGCAAGTTGCATCCCGAGCCGCCGTTAGAAACCGACACTGTGCCCGATGATTTTGTACGCCCCCCCGGGGCGAGCCACACCCTGAGCGACACATGGGTCCAGCGAATGATGCTTCCGTCAAGTACGGCCCCGCAGCTTCCGCCACCGGATCCTGATGAGGTGCTTCGAAGCGCCCGCATCACCCGGGAACAATTGGAGGGCGAGTTAGTGCAGGATATCGATGACCCCACACACAGCCAGGTTGCCGAGGCCGTGGAAAGGGCGGTCATGAAGTTTGCTTACACCGGGCTGGAACGACACCCCAGCGCAACGCCTCGGACCCCGCTCCCACTGGTCGAGGCAAAAAGAGAGCAGGACCTGCTGAAATCCCTCATCGGCTCTTTCCCGGCAGCCTCCCAGGTGCGGCTCATGCCGGATCCCACCAACCCCGAGCGGTTGATGCTCACGCAGGACGGCACCGCATATATCTACCGGGGCCGCGGACCGGTATTCCGCAACAACTCATGCGCCGTGGACTGCGTTATCGCCGTCGGTAAAATGTTGGACGTCGGATCCACGGTGATGGATCGGCAAATGCCCCATTGGCACGAAAATCTCGGCCGCGTGGAAAAGGCGTTTATCGAAGCCACCGATGTGAACTGGGATGTATGCACGGTGACCCAGAGCATTGAGATGCGCGACCGTTTCTGGGAGGTGGCCGCGGCTGAACAGCCCGCCATTGTCGTGGGCAACAATGGCCCTCTTTGGTCCGTCTGGAAGGCCGCGGCCGGCAATTCCCCCCAGTTCCGGTACACTGTGGAGGAGGAGAGGTCTTGTCAGGGTTCGCTCTGTCCATTCAAAGAGACGGACATGCAACACAAATCCTCCGTCATCTTGTCGGGCAGGGCCCAAAGACGCAAGGAGAAGACGGTGCCCATGCCAGAGCTGCTGCCGCGCCACTTCTCGCGAGAGACCCGGGAAGCTTGCCCGAGATGTCAAAGAGCGGAAAGCCTGCTTGTGCGCAAGCGGTTCAGTTCGCTGCCGGCGCGCATGGTGGTCACGGTGGACGGCTCGATTTCCACCAAACGGCACACCGGCGACATCGATATCATGTACACCGACCTCAATGGTGTGGAGAAGACAGCCGTCTACCGCTGGTTGGGCGGCATCTATTGCCAGACCGACCACTTCCGCGTCTATTGGACCGACACCAACCGGGGGGAGGAGGACAAGGGCGGCGTCCGCCTCTACGACAGTCTGATGAACCTCGGACTCATCGTCGGCGGCATCCGGCGCCTCAATCGGCTCGAAAAGGTCCCCAAAGCCTGGTGGAAGGACAAGGCAATCCCGCTTCTGATCTACGAGCTGGTCCCGAACCCGACTCGGGAGGTCCTCGTCACTGCGCGACGCACCATCAGCGAAATGCTCGAGCACCAGCGGCAGGGTCGGCCGATCCTCACGCACCACACCCCATGGGCCAGCACGAATAACCCGGAAACCGTGCCCAGGCCCGTGTTCTGGAACCGCATCCTGCCCCTCGACGTACCGTACTACTACCAGTCCCACGGAGGGTACCAGCCGATGGGCATGTCCGACGCCAACTTCATTGCGGCCGCGACGCTGGCGCGCTCGATGTCGTTCTCGCGGGGGATGTCGCAGGGCTCCGAGGGGATGCAGGGCGTTTTGTCGTCACCAAATGGCCAAGGCGGCATGTCAGTGCTCAACTCTGGCGTGCCGGGGCTGAGCCCGCAGATGGGTGGTAATGTGACGGGGTTCACGCCTCCTGGGATCCCGCCTTTTGGGTTCTCGCCTGCTATGGGTGGATTGTTACCGAATGCGTCTACAGGCATGACTCCCTTGGCCGGGATGTTAAACCTAAACGGCACGAACGCCAACGGCACCGCGAACAACAACAATACGGATAACAATGCGAACAACAACACGGGGGCTAACAACGCAATGAGCTACATCGCGAACAGCAACACGAACGGCATGATGAACAATGCAGGGATGGCAACGGGTTTCTCTCCACTGCTCGGCAACATGACCGGATGGACTCCCCCTCATGGCATGCCTCCCATGTTCAACACGGGCGGCACAACTGGACTGTCTCCTCTGATGAACGCGACGGGGTTTTCTCCTCTGGTGAATGCACACGGGTACTCGCCTTATCACTCGCCCTATTTCGCGCCCAACTTTAACCCCCCTTTCACACCGGGAATGCTTGGAGGCGCTCATACGTTTTCTCCGGGTTTCTTCAACTCCGTCCTATCCCCCTTTGGCAGTCCCCTGCCGGGGGAGGCTGGCAATGGTAACAGTAATGCCAACAGCCCGGGGAATTCCAACCAGGGCAATGGGAACAACCAAGACAATGCCAACAACCAAGGTGATACCAATAACCAAGGCGATACCAATGAACCGGCCAATGCCAAGGGCCAGGAGAACACCGGCAGCCAGGCCAGCCGGAATGGCAAGAATGCCGCGGCCCCGGCGGCGAATCCGTCACCCAATACCGTGAACATGATGGGCGGTTTTAACCCTAACATGGTGGGTGGTTTTGCACCCAACATGATGAGCGGGTTTTCTCCGAACATGATGAACTACTTCTCCCCGGGCATGATGCAGGGGTTCAATCCAGGCATGATACCAGGGTTCTCGCCCCAGCCGCCCGCCAACATGATGACACCGTCCGCGTTCAACAACAACAACACCATCAACCCGCAGCTGCTGAGCCTCAACCCGAACCAGCAGCCCAACATCTTCGACTACGCGCTGGCAGGCCAAAGCCCTCCCCGCAACGGCAACAACAACAACTTCGACCCAATCTACGGCAACCGGGACCCGGCAGCCGATCTGACGGACCTGCTGGACGACACGGCGACGGTGTACGAAGACGCCATGGACACGGAGATGCAGCTCGACGACAACGCGCCGGCGTCCCCCCAGTCGTGGACCCAGGATGCGGGGCCGGGTGGGGCCAGGGCCATGCCGCAGTTTGTCGGGGCGGCCGAGACCGAGGATAGTGACTCGGGGCCGGGAGGACAGGTTCCCACGCCGCGGTCGATGACGCGTTCGATGACGCGCAAGCGCCAGGTTGAGGAGGTGTATGTGCCGGACGGGGATGAGCACGATAGTGACTCGAGCGTGGTTGAGCAGCCGGTGCGCAAGCGGCCGGTGCGGAAAGCGGCGAAGAAGAAGAGGGCGCTGTAAGTATAAATGTTTTTGATTTGGTTGGGGTTGGCTTGATTTGGATGGTTACTGTTATTGATTATGACTTTATATAGATAGAATTGATTATAAGTGATACCCGTTTGGACTACACATCACTAATGTCACGAGAGTGGAGTATGAAAGGTATGATAATGATCTATATCTATTTAAATACAAGCCGGTCTCTATCTGTATATACCGCAGGCTCTATCAAACACATCAAACACGCATAAACCGAACAAAAGAAAAGGGGGGAAATAAAACGACAAGACAAGGCAAGACGAAGACAATATATTTACAGACGAGCACGAGGCTTCTTAGCCGGCCCCGTAGCAACAGGGCTCTTCTGGGGCGCAGAGATATACCCACCCTTAACATTATCCGTGTTAACGACAGCGCCATTCTCATCCCGACGGACGCCCAGCTCAATCAGCTTCGCGAACACCTTCGAGAAGTGATCGAAGAACAGATCCTTATCCTCAGCGTACTTCTCGACCCAAGAGCGGAAGCTGGGGTCGTGGATGAGCGCGATATCAGTCGGCAGCATCATCAGCTGCTCGTCGCCGTCCTCGGCGTCGGGATCGTTGTACACGAACTGCTCGACGCCATTCGGCATCGTCTTCTTCGTCCAGGTCAGCCGCAGAAGCAGCTTGAAGAACTGGTTCGAGAACCGCGTCGGGTTGTTCACCCACGGCCCGGAGAACCCGCTGCGGTCGGCGTGCGTGCGGCCCAGGTTGTGTCCGCCGGACAGAGCAACGATCTCCTGGTCGTTGAAGCCCATGCGGTAGAAGATGAAGCGCAGGTGGTCGGCGCCCTGCGCGCCGTCGGGCAAGCGGCCGCGCGGGGGCACCTTGCTGTCGTCGACGAGGTCGGTGCGGCCGGGCTTCCATGGGATGGAGGGTCCGCCCATCTCGGCGATGGCGGTCACGCCGGCGAGAGTCCACAGGTCCGAGTAGGTGATCCAGGGGTGGGCGGCTTTCACGGGCTCGAGGAAGGCGCGGCCGTGTTGGAGGCCGGCGTTGGCGGGGTCGCCGCCTTCGGCTTCGTAGCGCATGCCGGCGCCGTTGGAACCGCCGGTGTCGCTTGCGACGTCGTAGGTGCCTGATGCGTGCCTTTGGGGGGTTAGCCATGGCTTATTCTTTTATGATTATGCTTCTTCTTTCTGTGAAAGGGTGAACATACCAAGCAAGACGGACAAAGACGGGACCGGCGCTGCCGTCGTCATAGTCGGGCTTCTTCAGCTGGGCGACAATGTCCTTGCGGACGGCCTCGTAGTCACGGGTAGAGCTCATCTTGGGGAGATTGGGTTGGATAGAGGGAGATGAGAGAGGAGAAGTGACAGTCGAGAAAAAAGAGGAGGAGAGGAAAGGAGAAATAAATGAGGCGATTCGCACATGAAGAGAACGGGGTCGGTGGATCCGCGAGTTCAATCCGGGGAATGTGACTGGTCGGTGGAGATGCCGAGGTTCGTTCGGTGTTTTTCTTCTTCGGGAGAATTCGATATAGTGGCAAGGGGATTTTACATATAATATTATATAAATATTATAGAAATATATAGAATAACATATATATCATATATATATCATAGTGTATACATAGAGAGCGCTATCAATATATAGTATTTAGTATAGACCTCGGAACTCTCGTGATCGGGCTTTGCTCCGCAACATCTTCACGTCCTGATTAATCCGGTTTGAGACCCTCCTCACTGGTGGATAGAGGTCCACTCTGGATAATCCATACACCACTGCTTCTTATCTAAACCTGTCGAATAGATTTGTCCTAGGACGCTGCATTGGCGTTCTTCTCTTTGTCTAAACCGGGGTAGATCTAAATGGTTAACTAGGAAGAAGGACCATGAAGACGGTCAACATATTGATGATTTTTGACTGTGGAAAGGTTGCGAATAGTGGCAAGACCTACATCCCATCTAGCCTCTGCCATGGACATAATTGTAAGATTTGGACAGAGAATCTCCCAGCTTAACGCCCCTGGCGACGGAAAGCTGGACTGTTCTGAGTGTCCTTGCAGTTGGCCCATAGTAATCTATCGTCTTCACACAATTCAGCCTCCATGTCGCTGCTTCCCGAGATGCTTCCGTCAAAGGTGGTGGTACGAAGACAACCCCGGTTGTCCCTTCTGGGGCCTATGGCACACCCTCCGCGACTTCGTGCTTGAAAGTGGAGTTGAGGATGGCGTGATTTTCTTCTGTTCTCGAATTTCTCGTCTTCTAGTTCGCGTGGGAATATCGTGTGGCTCTGACCCTCATTCAAAATCTCTACAGAGCAATGATTAATCACCTTGGCTTTCGATGGCATAGGAACGGTGCTGGCAAGTAACTCTGGTTTTGGGTAACGGTGGGTGGCCCTGGGAGCTGTTTTGGAGGAGACGCATAAGTCCAACCAGATCGACGATGTCGAGACGTGTTGGTGATATGCCGTTGACAGTAGTGAGTGACACCTTTGGAAGTTTCCGTAAGGGGAAGCAGGTTGATCATGTGCCTGAAATTACATCTTGAGCGTGCTATACATTATATTGAAATAGATTCCAATGTCATAACAATATATATTATATGACCATATTCTCCTCTCCCCGATGGCACCGGATCTAGGCAATATACCCTCGTAGATACTCAGATACAAACCCACCAAGAAGAAAACCCATGAGTTCACGTTACTTTTCAAGACAGAGATCAACTGACGAAAGTAGGCTAGGAAGCTCTGCTGACAGAGGAAAGGAGATATATTTGATTAGATTAGGGCTTCACGGTATGGCCCCTACCCGTCTGGGGATAGCGGCCCTCCCGCGCCGCTTTGACATCATTCAAGGATCTCTCATCCACATGTTGTCTGCATCAGCGTTAGCCAATGAGCCTGAGACCGGTCTGACAGGTCAATGTCTTGCAGATCTCCCGGCTGCACCTCATTGTTTTTCATTACTGATATTCTTTAGACAGGACAGAGAAGGACGGGCACATGCACCGTATCGCGACCCCCCCCCCCCCCTATGAGCCAGAGCGTGCGTTGCCTGCCTACACTGCCGGTAAGACCTTGTCCGAAAAGGAAGCTTGGAAGTTCATGGACGAGATGAGGCCTGGTTTCACCCTGAATACCATTCTGCCCAACGTGAACTGTTAGGTATATCAGTCAGGTTAAGCCCTATACCAAGCGTTGGTCAACGTTTTGGTCTAGCGGTCTTGAGATATTATGCAGTGTAACGTCGAACCCTCAAATATGGCAAGTTTATATGATATGACTGTGTTTTCTGGTGTATTGCTCTTTGACTAGGAGTTGTTACTATCCTTCTATTTCTCTTATCTATCCCTCTTTAGAGTTTGGGCATGTGCTGTTCTGGGTACTAGTAACACACAGGTGGAACATGCTGCACCCATGTCTGCAGGGGTACCATTAGGCCCCCCCTCCGCGTAACACGCACGTAGCATTGTATAAGCAATTAGGTAGCTGAACTCGTGTCCCTGTACGTAGGTACCCGTGGATGCCCAGATTTAGCGGCGGCTATTGACTTGAGTGCTGTGTTCTGGGAGGTTGTTTCACACTACTTTCCGGGCTAAGTTTTTTTTTTCTTTTTCTTTCTTTCTTTCTTTCTTTTTTTCTCTTCTCTTTCATTGCGAGTGAAATAGTGTACTCTGATTATCGTATCCGTAGTTTAATGCCCGGACGGGTACCTGTGGGAGATAGGCTCGTGGCGTACAGAAACATATGATGCTAAGGTGACCCTGCCATGCGCATCCCAGATTACACGCATCAATGGATATCTGAAATCATGTATTGATTCACTCTCTCTATCCTATCTTGTGGAGTATACGTCGATGCACGTGTTACACTAGAACTAGTGTACCTGGTGTCTCAGGCCGCCGAGTCTACACCCACTGCTTGTTCCCAAGATGCGAGACGAACGCACCGCCAAACCCACCCTCGATACTGGCCTTCTCCCAGGTGGACCTGATATGTCGGACGGATTCTTCCGGAGTAATCGGGCCCTTGAAGTGAGGTGCATAGGCTAGAAGATTGCCCACGAAGCCTGTCATGCCCTGGGCCTCTTCCGGAGTGACTGTGGCTATGCATTAGTCACGACGTCCAGATGCTGCAGTCTTGATGGCAGGAAGGAGGGATACGTACCATCTGTGTAGCGGCCTACCTCTACGAAACCTGGGCTGATACTCAGGAAGAGGACACCGTCTTTCTTGTACTGCGCGTTGAACTTGGCCACAATGACGTTCATGGCTGCCTTGGAGGCGGCATATAAACCGGCAATATCAACCTCGCAGTTGTTGATCAAGTCGAGATCGGCCATACCAGTGGAAAGAGTAATGACCTTCTTGACATGGCCCTTCAGGACAAGAGGCAGGAAGAGATGGAAGAGGTGCATGTTTCCAATGACGTTGGTCTGCCATAGCTGCGAGGAGACTGCCTCGACCTCCTCGACCTTGTCGGCCCTGTTGAATGCATCGCGTAAACCACTGACCAGCGCGCCAGAAGGAAGGAGACTTACAACGCGCCGATAGGTCCATAGGCATCCAAGTGGGGCACTAAACCTCCGTTGGCCACCAGGTAGTCGACGCCACGCTCGCCCACGATGTCCGCCGTGTCAGCAGCGGCTTGCTTCAGGGTGGCGTAATTGGCGAGATCTCCATGGAGGATGTGAACATTAGGACGGCCGCCCAGCTCTGTCGCTACCTTCTGCTCGGTTGCAACTTTATCACGCACCAGACCGACGATCAAGTTCTTCGGGTCTTCCGAGAGCTGCTTGAGAAACTCAAGCTAGGCTGGGTAAGATACAGAGCGACACGCGGTTGAAGGCCGACTCACCCCAATCCCCCTGGACACTCCGGTGACGACATAAACGGACATGTTGAGTGATTGAGAGATGATTCAAAGCTGGATCAACATTGAGGGTATGTGTGAGTGTAGGATTCCTCAAGGAGCTGATCTCAACAGTTATAGTTTCAACAAACAATGAACATGACCTCGTAACCATGCCTGGTGCTTCATTATTCAGCGCGCTGATTAATTATGGTAGAATGGAATGGAAGAATGGCGTCCTTAGCCCAGATGCCGCTGGCCGCAAGTCTTTGTGTATGATCAGGCTGGACGCCTTTTTCTCCCCGGGCAGCCTTGTGCTTACATGCATGGTGTATTTCTGGAAGCTTGCCTCAATCGCTATTGACGTAAGACATGCAGGAGAGTAGATTGGCCTTGGATGGACTTGGGCAACCCATCAATCAAGTTAATACTCCAAGTTAGAAAAAAATGGGCCCGGGGAGGTCCGTTCGCTGGGGGTTGAGGTGGGGGACTGGAAGATACAGGGATGTGGTCATGACTAGTTCAAAGTATGTCAATCAAAGTAAACACGAGAGCAAGAAATGCATTCATAGTAGTAGATCCTTGTCCTTACTACTATTCTGACAACCCATGCAACAGTAACCAACGACAGAGCAAGAGGGGTGCGCGGATGCTATTTGCCTGCCTCTGCACCTGTTAGATAAGGACCTTTCCCAACAGTTTTGTTCCCCCTTGCTCACTACTATATTTGTTTACCTACCTTACTAGATTATCGTCGACGACTCCAGGGAGTGTTGGAGTATCGGGTTTGTGGCCTGGAGAGCATGAAGAGCCTCACCTCTGATCCGGAATGAATTCAAACGGCCATCCAGGAGGAGAATGACTGGCTTGATACGTCCAAGTCTACCATCCGTATCGGTTATGATATGACATACTTGGAGTGCGGGGCCAGCATGGATGTCGAGGGACGAAAAAGAAGCAGAGTCAGCGCTGGCCTTGACTAGCCTGGTGAGACTGAAGCATGATAGCAGTTGTCATGTCTGGTGTTGACTTGCAAGTGACTTCAAAAAACGTGCATAATAGAAGCAGAAGTGAATAACACACCTTTGTACTTGTTTCCTAGGGTTAGGCTGGTTTATCACTTAGTATATAAATACAGCCTAAAGCACTACAAAGATATTTATCATGAAAATAGATAGCTGTGGTAAAGATCACAATCACCGTACCTATGGGCTTCAGAACTATGCGACTGCTTGTTTTACTGCTATAATAATGATGCAGTGATAGTAAATCACTGTATCTGATATAGCATGCCGAAACAGGGAAAGCACTTTACTACTGCTGGTGATTATAATCTATACTAGGTATGGGCATCTTTATATAATTCAAAAGTGTTATAATGACAATTTCCCTTCCTTTCCGATGTGTTACCTTTCTTTGCAGGGCTCTCGTCCTGGACGGCTGATTTGACCCAGTACTAAATCTCTCTCCAATGCGTGAGAGAGCTTATGAAGCGAATTGAAGCTCTCTCTTACGACGCAAGGACGGGTGTTGCAATTCGGGGCTTTTCTCCTCACCAAGCAATTCCTTGACAGCTCTAGTCTCGACCACTGTCCCGTTGCGCACGGAGTAGAAGACCGTATCGTCGTAAGAGGCGGTTTGATCGCGCGACGAGAGGACGGTGCGGCTGCCATCCTCCAGAAGGAATTCACGGCGGAGATGAGGTTCGAAAAAGTCGGCTGGATCTGGCTCGTGCAGGGCCAATTCGCTGTCCTCGGTACTGTCGAAGTCTGCAACCGGTGTCAATGATGAGTCTGAACTGGTGAATCTTGGGTATGCGCGCACCTCTGCTAGCAAGCTCATACTTCCCTCTACCCTTATACGAGTACTGGTAACCGTCGTTTGCACCACCTCCATTAAGACAGTAGGGACTGCACATTAATTAATCACAAGAACAAAAGAAGGGACAAATTGAAGAAGCGGGAAAAACCTTACGTGTTACCTCCACCGGGGTTCCCAAAGTTGACCCGGAACGTGCAGCGCTTATTGCCACAGGTGGATCTGAAGAAGCTACTCAAGTCCCTACCCTCTTTCGAGTTTTCATGTCCTCTAGTGCACCGAATGATTGCGTCGGGGCCACCTTCCTCAACAGACGCGTAAGGATATTCATCGCAGGTATCGTCATATTGAGTCGGTTTTTTCATCTTGTCATTGCGACATGGGGAAGGGGAGACACAACCAGCCGCGCTCCGGCGTCCGCCGGACTTCCCGTCGGGCCCATTGTATGTCAGAATCTAAGAACAGCAGTCAGCGCGCATATCTTCTGCTGCGGGAGGCAGATTCTCCATACTAACGGCTTGTTAGCGACATATGCCGCGTAGCAGTTGTTGTTGCAAGGTCCCGGATATTCGGTACAATCCAAGTTTAACATAGGATGCGGGCTGATGCCGAGAGCAAAAGGGACAAGGGCGATCAAGGTGAAAGCGCGCATATTGGATGACTTTATTATCCAGACAAGAGTGATGGAGAGCGTAAAGATGGAAGGAAAGGCAATTGGAAAGCGAGTCCAGTCCCTCCTTATATATCATCAATCCGCCCATAACGGAGACGGTTACAGCAACATGTCGCCCCCAGAAGCCAGACCCGATCTGGGAAATGGTGAGGCAGTTGATGGTCTATACCTGCAGGTTCGAATGCGCCTGATACCTCGCCTTCGAAGGATTGTAAACCGCCGAAACTGTATACAAGATTCGACGTCACTCGAGAGGGGAGCCAGTTAGGGCTCAAATGCGGGAGTCAGCTTGATGGCTGTGACAAGAACAAGGCTGCGATAGCCTCTATCATGACTGGGATCTAAAAGTTTATAGGTGCCTACACAAAGTCAGACACTTAGTGATTGTCCATCTCATCGGACGTCTGATCTTGCCGAGACAAGAACAAGGCTGTCATAGCCTCTGTTGTTACAGGGTTGCTAAAGGAATCCGCCCGACATATTATAAGTGCCCGTCTAGACCAGGCACGCAATGATTGTGTTAGTTATACTAGTTAAGCTCTGTGAATTCTTTGTTAAGAAAGAATCTTGATTAGTATGATATTTACTGAAGTATAGCTGAGTTGGTATTATGACTATGTAGTATATGATCTATAGACTCTATACGGCTACTTTTAGGATTCTATATGATTGCCCAATTTGCTTTGTAGAGTTGATATAGAGTTCTAGTGGGGTCTTAGTGTTATACCCCACTCTGGGGTATGCATCCTTGGCTTGACACCCCCAGACTCCCCTGTATAGTAAGCTACATGGCCTGTGCTGCGCCGCAGGTCTTCGGGTTAGGCTGCGCCCACTTAGCAGGGTTCTTATCAGGTTTTTTTTTGTAGCTTTTCTGGTAGTATGCCTTGTAGTATGCTTTGATGAACTCTTGGTAAGAATCTTAGTAAGACTATATACAGAGAGCATGTATCAAAAGATAAGCCGAGCCGTATAAACAAGACATATAGGCTCAGCCACTGTATAACAAGCTATTTACTGGCGTAGCTTTTAGTCAGACGGGCTGAGCTGCTGCCAAGACTCACAACATGATGTCAGGCTTGGAGACGAAACAAGTCGCATTGCTCTAATACCCCGTCCCTCTACTGGATCATTCCTGCTCTGTTGCCTGATTGTTTTCCTCCCTAATTCACATATACGTTCAAAGATGGTTGCATTATTTCCCGTAGTCTGCGCTGCTCCGCTGAGCAAAGAGGTCAGTCTTCCCCTCCCTAGCCTTGGCTCAATACTAACCCCTTTGCAGGTCATGGATCGGTTCATTGAGCAAAATGACGACGTTGATGAAGACGAATGGTGCCTTGTCTTCGTGGACAGCATTGACAACTACTACGACGAGCCATCACGGGCACCAATCGAGAATGACAGCAACCCAAACTCTCCATTCATCGGAAAGACGCCTCAGGAATGCCACCAACTGCTCTTGAAGCTTGTCGAGAACACCGAGTCGGAAATTATGCCCAGCTACTTTGCCATCCTGGACGAGAGGTCCACACGAGACGACACGGTCCTGCTCGTGTGCGCTGCGAGGGGTCTCGACGGCGAAATCTTGGGCTGGCCTACTGTTCGTGCGACCTTTCAGGCTTCGGCTATCGCGTTGATGCTGTATCATTCTGGGCACAGCAGTGTAGAGGAGGATGTGGAACGGGCTGAAAGTGAGCCGGATCATGTCTATCGTGGGCAGTGGTCTACTGTCAAATAATAGATCATAGCGAGGGCGAGAAGCCGAGCGTGTGCTACTGGAGCATCTGCTACTGGACCTGGGATTAGGTTTGGTTCACCTTCTATGGTGTTAGGAATTTGAAGTCCAAGTAATACAACTTGATTCGAACCAAAGTATGCATGCAGATTAGAACAGACAGCCGGATAGGACATGAAGTTCCAGCTCAGGACGTCTTGTAAATGTACCGCTTTTAACTATTATCAGATAAGTAATATATACTTTCCTGTCGCAGCTGGGTAAACTAAGATAAACCAAGTATAACTCCTTGAAGATCTAAGATACCTAGTAGCAGTTAGAATAGAAACGGCAGAGCTTTTTATTGAACGAGCACGCATAGTTGTTACCCACAGTCATTCTGTATAAAACCAACTAATCCAACCCCACCAAACCATCTCCACGCCTTTTTTTTCTTCTCCGGAACCCACCCCGAATCCACCGGATTCCAACCACGCCAACAACTCATTCAAAAACAACATCTAACACAATAGATAAAAAAAAAAATAAAATAAAATAAGAACAACATGTCCCTTCCCTGGCACGCAGCGTTCCCCGCCCCCCGCACCATCGCCGCCTCCATCCCCCGCGATCGGCTCCTGCAGTGGATGCAGCAGGGCCGCGTCCCAGGAAAAGACTATGTCGTTGTTGATTTGCGACGGACAGATCATGAGGTATTTCTTCTTTATTTTCCCTTCTTTTTTGATACCATATATACAAATATCGAATTATATATCTGACAAACAAGGGCGGCACCATCAAACACTCCCTCAACCTCCCCGCCCAAACGCTTTACCCCTCGCTGCCCACCCTCTACGAAATGCTTGCTGCCGCGGGGGTGAAGCATGTTTTGTGGTTTTGTGGTGAGTTTTTTTCTTCTTATTTCCTGTTATGCTAGGTAGCATGATGCTATGTTATTGTAAAAGCCGTCGAAAAATGATTTGGATAGCTGATTTATGGAAGGATCATCGGCCGGCCGCGGCACCCGCGCCGCAAACTGGTTCGCGGACTTGCTGGAGGACCGCGGGGATCGCTCCATGCAGAGCCTTGTCCTGCAGGGCGGTATCAAGGGGTGGGTTGCGGCGGGGGAGGACTATCGGGCTTGCATGGAGGGGTTCGATGAGCGGGTCTGGGTGGAGAGTGGGGTGTTGGAGGGGTCTCAGTAGTATACCTACCATAAATAGGAAATATGATAGGATTAAGGATGGAAAATACAGGGTGGTTAGGTATGAGTGGAATGTGGAATGGATAAGAGGATAGGATTGTGGGTATGACCCCAATGGTCTTAGGGCTACGTGTTGTATGTATTCTTGTCTACTGAATGTCTCTCTCGATAATGGCTGCCGCTGATAGACATCGTTCGTCCTGGTATCGTGGTGCGACAATCTGAAGGGCGCAGGGCGCTCCATCTACGGCCTGCGGGTCATCTAGATAATTGTCAGCCGTGATTCATCCTAGGATCAGTCGATCGATCGACGTACAACTTGGCTGGACGCCATCGTAGATCGCCATCGGCTCGGGGTCGAGCGCTTGCGACGCTTTCCCGTAAGGGATAATGCATGCGGGGTACTTGGATCGGTTAGCAATTATATCCCTCGCACGGAACAACTACTAGAACATACATCAAGCACGTTCCACACTGCCGTGTACGCAGGCCATCCGTACGTGTCGTACGGCACCGCCGTGTTCTGCGCGCCGGGCCCGAGCACCACGTCCAGGCCATTCGACACCCATGCCTCGCGCCAGGCCTCCGCGTACGCGACCCGCGCATTGTACAGGGCGTCGATCTTCAGGAAGGTCTCCAGATCCTGCGACACGGGAAATGGACCGGAAAACATCGGAGACGAAGCTTTGGCGGCGGATGCGATTAGAGGCTCCCCGCTGGGGCTAATGTGGTCGAGACGGGGACCGGTAATCAAGTACTGGAACGCGAGACGGTTGGCGTAGGAAACGCTGCGTTGGGGCGCATCCCCCAACCGCACAATGCGATGGCCTTTGGCGGACAATGCCTTGATGGCGGATTCTAGGGCGCGGCGCACTGGCGGATGCAGTGGGAAGTGCGAGTCTTCCGGAAGGATTCCGATGGTAAGTGGTGATTGAAGGCTGGGGCCTGTGGGCCAGGGGATTGCGTTGGCTGTCGCGTCGTATCGCCAGGGTTCAGCTCCGAGAACGTGTGACATGAACAGCTTGAGATCTCCCAGGCTGTTTGCGAGCGGCCCTGCTGCTGTGGTGAGTCCCGGGAGGCCCTCGAACATCCCGGTTACCAACCCACTATAGGGGATGCGATTGGCCGTCGGATTGAACCCGTACACTCCGCAGCAGAGAGCGGGGATTCGGACGGAGCCTGCGACGTCTGTCCCCACACCGAGGATCGAGCCCCGAAAGGCGACCAACGCCCCTTCGCCGCCACTTGATCCTCCGGCTGTCAGGTTGGTGTTGCGGGGGTTCAATGTGCGGCCGTAGATGTTGTTTTGGGAATCGCCAGTCTAGGTCTATGTTAATGGAGTGTAGAGAGAAAACGCAGAGCAGGGTACAGACCATCAAGGTTTGCGGAATATTGGTCTTCACGTAGAGCACCGCCCCCATGTCTAGCAACATGTTCACCAATGCCGAATTTGAGCTGGCCGGTGGGTGTTCAAGAAAGGAAACATAGCCCACGGTGCTTTGGACTCCTTCAATACGGAAGCAGTCTTTAAGACTGACGGGCAATCCGTGCAACGGACCCACCACTTTCTTCTCTCGTTTCAGGTAGTCATCAAGATACTGGGCTCGTTCGAGTGCGCGGGGGAAAAAGTGCTCGGTCAGACAGGAGGTCTAACTAGTTAGAAGAACTAATTCTGTCTCGAGGTGTTTCTACAACCTTACCAACTGCTGGGCAATAGCTGCACGCTTGCAAAATGCAGTCGTCACTGCCAACGAGCTCAGTTCACCCGCCGCAAGCTGCCGAAGAAGCTCCTCTGCCGTGTAGGCTTCTGTAATCTGGAGTTCTTCTTCGGAGAGAATACCGCTGCGACGCGGTATATCTGCTTCAATCAGATTGCCATTTTGCGGCAGCGATGCGAGAAGTTTGTCGTCCAGCCGCCATTTAGCAGGGATGGCAGAAGCAAGCTGCTCGCGCTTCTGCGCGACTGCCGTGCGCCAATCTCCAGCTGTCGTGGTCCGTGTCATGATTGAGAGAACAAATTTCCTTGAGGTTGTGTACCAAAGTGTCGGTTTGATGAGGGTTATAACTTATGTCTGATCTCAGCCTGAGCTCGGACGAGCAATGCCCCTCACTGATCCCCGCTTCTTATCTACCCAATTAGGAGAGATCGTTATATGAGACGCTCAGACAATCAAGAAATAATCAACCGTCTTATTCCTTATTCATCATCCTATGATGGCGGGGGCCTCGATTGGGTAGGAGGTTGACACTAATATCCGAGCTAACATGGATCGGACAGCACTGTCAACGCGCCAAATGCCCTTACCAGGCAATGCCGATGACACCACAAGACTAGCTATCTAGAAAGTCAAGTAGATCCTCCATTGCTGCCGAGTTACACTATTGCCTTCCTCATCGGGTACTGTGATAGTCACCAGGAATACTCCGTCTTGGCCTTATCCCCGATTAGCTGCAACAACCGAAACGCCGAACAACACCATCTCGGCTTTATCAATCGCTGATAAGCTCGCATGTTTCGTCAAAGCTGTAAGCATATTTCTCTTTTTCTTCAAACCTACTGCACCTTCTCAAACCCATATTTGTGACTTCTCCCATCATGGCCTTTGTACAAGCCTCACTGTTTGATCCGGCAATCCCACTTGAGGCCCGACAGGACGCCTTAAAGCGAACTTTGTCCGATCCAGGAATTCCCGCAAATCCGACGACTACTTCTTTCTGGCTGAAGCAGCCACACCCGAAATTGGCAAAGACTCAGTCGTCGACACTACCCAGCCAATCTGAGATCGTGATTATTGGATCGGGGATTACCGGCGCATCCATCGCTAGGACCCTTTTAGAAGAGCCTCGTGGCCAAGAAAAGGGCTCTTCTAGCCCAAAAATTGTCATCCTAGAGGCGCGCGACACTTGTAGCGGTGCAACTGGTCGCAATGGAGGCCACATCCTGGAAACAGTCGAGGAGTTCACCGATTTTGAAGCAAAGTATGGGTTAGAGGCGGCTAAGAAGATAACGCGGTTCCGACTCGCCCATCTTCCGGAGATACTCAAAGTGGCGGATGAGTATGGATTGACTGAGGAATCCCAAACAAGAAAAGTGCAGTTTTTGAGTGCCTACTTTGATGAGGAGAAATGGCAGGAATCTGTTCGTTGTATTCGGAGATTCAAGGAATGTATGCCAAAAGAAGCCGCCGAATGGAAAATATTCGAGCGAGAAGATATCCCCGAGGTTGGTGATATATGCCCCCGCTGTAGAAGAATGCAGCTCATTTTTTCAGGAATTTGGTCTCTCAACTGCTCGAGGCGTTATCGCTGGCCCGGCCGGTGCACTTTGGCCATATAGATTTGTAACTGGAGTATTGGCACGTCTGCATCAAGAATTTCCAGGGGAATTATGCATCGAGACGAACACACCTGTCACAGCGATCCATAATGACCACAACCAAAGCACTCCCGACCTTCCTTACTCCGTTGTCACAGCGAGAGGCACAATCCGTACCCGCCATGTCATCCATTGCACCAATGCCCACGTTGGTCATCTCGTCCCCGGCCTGAGAGGCCGCGTCTACCCGATTCGAGGACAAATGTCTGCGCAAAACGCCGGTGTCAAATTCATAAACCAGGGCACAGAGCATTCCTGGTTGTTCAACTATGAAAGAGGATTTGACTATCTTACCCAGTTGCCTTCTGGGGGTCAAGCGGATGCTGCGAAGATGATGTTTGGTGGTGGATTTGCCCAAGGCCAAACCGGAGGCGTTGCGGATATAGGCCTCTCCACTGACTCTGAACTGAGTTTCTATGCAGATATCCATCTCTCTGGCGCTCTTAGTAGTATTTTTGGTCGAGAGAACTGGGGGGCCGTTTCTGGACCTAGTGTGGAACAGATGTGGACTGGGAACATGGGATTCAGTGCTGATGGGAACCCGTGGGTGGGTAAACTCCCTCCCTCTGCCACCCAGAGAGACCAGAGCAAAGAGAGCCACGGTGCCGAATGGGTGGCTTGTGCATTCTCGGGCGAAGGAATGGTCCAAGCATGGCTGTGTGGAAAAGCGTTGGCTCTGATGGTGATAAATCATGACCAACACTCCTCTGGTGCTGGTGACCTCTCTTGGTTTCCGGAACAGCTGCTCGTGACAGAGGACAGACTCCATAATTCTGTCCTACCTGGAAGTGTTGATGAGCAAAGTTCGGGTGTATAGAGACAGTCAGACAGTCTATGAAAGATCATGGTTTGAAGATGGATAGTTCAGCGTTGAATTGCAGTAGAAGTTCGAGTCATGTGTTCGTGAAGAACCTCAGGCATGTCTACCTGCTTTTGCTCTTCTTTTCACTTCCTCTGCATCCACTCTCGCATCACCAATACCAATACCTCACCACGATATCAAATTTTTTATAATATGTTTGTCCTCCTCGTCATCACACCATACCGCTGATATGGTAAAAGCGACACAGTCCAAGCTGACACGGGAGAATGACTACTAAACCATTGATAAGACAATATAAGAGAGCGCGTGCGTGATCATATTAGTCTGAACTATGACACAAAGGTTGATCACAATCTACTGCCGGTGATAGACTTAGATGGGGCTTACAAGCAACCCACATAGATCAAGTCCGCTAACTTTGTCGGGTCAACTATAGGGTGCATTTTTCACTCCGCTCGCGAAGTCCGCTCCGATGTCCGCTTAACCGCTAGACCACTAGTCTTCATGGTGTTGCAATTGGTACCCTTTTTGACATTCAAAGTCAAGGCGTCTATGGGTTTCATACGACTGGTCTTCCTCGAGAATTGGCAGGGGCGGTAAATGAAACGATTGTTCAAATGTTCATGAATTGGGGCCATCTCTATGGACGGACGGACTAGTCTTTTCCCGAAAGGCGTCGAAAGTCGGCATCCCGCCGTCTACCACGCCATGGCGCATGTCGGACTAGCGAATATTAGGGACATGCGGGTCCCGACAATGGCGCCGATGGTTATCTCCGGCAAGTGGATTCAATGGGGGACGTGCCATCACCGTCAAACAAGCGGCTGGGAAACTAAGATATAGGGCAGAAGTTTTAACCGAAGGATAGCAGCGGATATAAATTTGGGTGAGACCATGTTGGTGAAGGATTAGGATGGTGCCATGAGTACATACTTGACAAGGTGATGTTGAAATCCTTTGCTGCAATAAGATTGATGTTGGTATTGCTAGGTCTCGGCTAAGCTCGGCATCGGCTATCCTCGCAGCTCCATCGAATCGAGAGCGGATCCCACTATCAACTTTCATATTCTCTTCTCTATAGGACCTGCCATCAAATGTCCCATGTGTCTGCAAGCCTAGTAATGGACGGCCGAACAGGTATTTTCTGGCGGTCGTTGGTCTAGACGTACCATCCATACACATGAAAGTCGTTCTACACCAATCAGGAAACATGACTTATAGTTCGCCGTGCCAGGACATCCTCGACGACACGACCAATAAAAGGACCATGTGGACACCGCCCATGCCACGCATCCTTTGGCCGATTCCGACTCACCATTCTACATCGAGCCACGGTCCATAGGATCGTGACTATGAGCATGGGCTCCTGACCAAAGGTGAATGGATTACCGACTCGGCGCAAAGTTCGTGGTTTTACTCGCTGGAGTATAGTATCGGGTTGCGTGATCTATCGTCAGAAGTAGCCTCCATACACCATTGTCAATAATCACGATAGTGGTTCCAAAATGCTGCTCTTTCTTCCCGGTCTTGGAGGATCTGCAACCATGTTTGACATCATCTCCAGCTGTGAAAGGCACTTACAGGTCATTATGTGACCCGATTTACCGGTTGATTGATCTTCTCTTCCATGGACCCTATACGAGGTACTTAGTACAATCATCACTAAATCACGAGATTACTAGGATTGCGTATGATCATTCCGTCCTGCCAAGGGATGTCATTGCAAGGGCGTGGCCGATCCTAGGGCGCGAGAACCAATCAGGACAGTTCAGGCACCATGGAACAAGCTTCATTTCTAATCATGAGCCAAAAATCATATTAATCAGCCCTGTGCAGATATTTTGGACTCGTCAAAGGGCGTGCATTAGTACGGAGTAGAAAGACGGACAAAGCTCAACTTGAGTCACAACCTGCCGAAAAAATAGGGAGATTTCTCAGCAGAATGATTTCAAACCATTCGAACGAGGAGCATGTCGGTTTATTTATGACCCAAGCTTCCAGCTCACTTAGGATATTTATTCTCCGGCAAGGCATGGAGATAAATACATACTTTCAAGGCTAGTTATATCTGCTCTACTCCACTGTGCTTTTCCATTACCCAACCACAACACCATCCCTACATTCACCTGCGAACCTTCCCTCGGATTTTTTTACTATTCTTATTTTATTAAGAAAAAAAAAATAATAAAAAAAAAGGGAAGAAACGAAAAGGATTCTTGGAGCATCGACCTGTTTTATCTTTTTATTTAACCCCAAGGTCGCCATTTCCCTAATTGTCTTTCTGTGTTTTGTCTCTGTATACACCCATATTCCATATACAAGCTACCTTCCTTCACCACCTCAATATTGCAGACCCCACCTGGGCATATTGAGTCACATCCCAAATCATGCCGTCATCCCTTTCAACCCGAGGTTCTAGTTCTCTCGAGGCCTTTACCAGTTATGCGCGGCCCAAAATAAACATCGAGCTGGTCAGCCAGGTCGGTGGTCTCGTCAACTCATATACCTCCAAAGATTGCATCGAAGGGACGGCAATGGTGACAGTAGACCGAGACACACGTTTCGACGAGATTGATATAACATTTGAAGGTATGCTATCTACCGTGGATGATGCCTATCATATACTGAGTAAACAAGGTACAGCGAGAACGTCTGTCGAGCGTTCTGCTCTGCCCGGCCGCACCGGGGCCTACCAGACCTTCCTGCGCCTGCGTCAACCTATTGACGATACCCTCTACCCTACACCACGAGTTTTTGAACGTGGACGTACCTATCAGTTTCCCTTCACTTTCGTCGTGCCCGATCGTCTGCTCCCGCACGCATGTAGCCATCACAAAACCAACCAGCACGTTGGACGCTCTCACACTCTGGTCCCCCCCTCGCTCGGTGATCCCATGTTAGCCAGCGACGGAAAGTCCCTGCTAGATGACCTAGCTCCGGATATGTGCCGCATCTCATACCTCATCCGTGTGGCCATCAACCGTCGACCCAACTCCAGCCGAAACGACTCCAAGACGCTCGCCTCCGCCGGAAAGAAAGTGCGCGTCGTCCCCATAATCGATGAGGAGCCTCCCCTCAACTTCACTGATCAGGATAGCGTCTACTGCACGCGGAGAGAGAAAGACGTCAAGCGCGGCTTGATGCGCGGTAGGCTCGGCCGGCTCGTGGTCACCGCGTCCCAGCCCAAACCCGTCCGCCTCAGCCCACCCAACGGTGCTATCAGCGACATCGTCAGCACCGCTGCCACCGTGAATTTGCGCTTCGACCCTGTTGGCTCCGAGTTGCCCCCGCGCCTAGGCACCGTCTGGTCACGTCTGCGCGCATCAACCTTTTACAGCGCCGAGCCCTGGGCGGACTATCCGTCTGCCTCGAGCGCCCTGCTCTGGACGCATGTTGGCCGCGGCATCTACTCCGAGACCGTCCCGCTATCCAAGCTCTGTGTCGCTTCTGCACAGTGGACCAAGCACTCTGCCGCCACATTCGACCGTTGCGACTCGCTGCAGTCTACCTCGTCGGAAGATTCAATCACGCCGCCGTCCGCCAGTCCCGCAGGGCAGACCTACTACACTGCGTCGGTCGTCATTCCCATTACCCTGCCAGCGTCCAAGGCCTTCGTCCCGACTTTCCATTCATGTCTCATCTCCCGCACCTACACCCTTGAACTCAGCATCTCCTATCACACCCCCTGCGCAAACCTCGTCAGCCCATCCGCTTCCCTGAGGGTGCCCATCCAGTTGGTCAGCCAGCCGCGTCCAGGAGGGAAGGGCTCCGAACTCAATATCTCCCAGGCTGAGGTCAATGCGGAGTTCTTTTCTCCACGAAGGGTGCCCGTCACTGCTTCGTCCCCGTGCCCACCCCCACCAGAATACACTGCTTTACAGGGAGCGATTCTGCGGCCGGATCAAGACGGTGGTTTGCTTTCCGCTGGGCAAGCTTGAAGCTAGCTCGAGAGTTGGCAAAAGCCCCAGTTACCAGAGAAAAAGACACACTACGACCAAGACAAGTGTCTCAATAATGATATCCACCGCTCCCTTAAATCAGAACACAGGCGGAAGAAGATTAACCCTTCAGCATACGGCGTTTGTCAAGTGCATTTGTTACATTTTCGAAATATACCCCATTTTCTTTTGTTGTTGTTAGCGAAAACGGATATGTCCGTGCGAGCCTTTCTTTTCTTTTCCTCTTCTTTTTCTTTCTTGTCCCGTACTTTTCCTTTGTATGCGTGTGTACGTGTGTATGCTTCTTGGGCTTGGCGAAGAATCACTGGGCCTGTTTCTGAGTTGTTAGTTGACGGATCTCATACGATAGATCTATCTCAAATATAATTTCTTCGTCATATTTGTTCGCCTTGATTTGCTGAGCATTAACGGTTGGCCAAACAACCCTGTCTAGCGTAATCTGACTATCAATCATTCACCTAAGAAGCTAACATCAAGAATCTAGACTACCAGCAGGGTTTCCCCGCGGAACAAAACTCCGGAGTACAAGTCTGAGAAGCATGCAGGGACTAGGTCGCACGTCTGACATGCGATCCCATTAGTAAGAGTTGACTCCATTGGATGGATGATGGTGATCCGGGGCAAATATCGTCAGCCCTAATGCGCTGGCACGTTCCTCCTCGACACTTGCAATACTTGCCACCGTACCACTTGGATACAGCGATATTACCTCGATGGAGGTCTGGGGTACGATCTGCCGAGATTGACTCTCAATCCTTTCGTTCATCACCAAGGCATGATGAAGGTGATACAAATTCCCCACCTGAAACGGTGGCTGTCTAAGCCCGTTTGAGGATCCATGTGGCTGAAGGGGGTTCATGCACAAGGCCGTTCATGACTCGTCCTTCTTTGACCTCCATGTCGAAATCACTACCCCCTGTCTTATCCTTTCCAACAAAGAACGACGTTAATGAAATCAGCATGTTCCCGATATCCGGTTAGGGATAGAGTGGATTTCGGTCTTGGCATCGATCCAAATGGGTGTCATCAACGCTTCGTGTTGGTCCTTGTGTTGTTCCTTCCCCTGGAAATGACATCGATACTACTGTTCCTTATAGCAGAGATATCCAAATCCGTTCATGAGGCTTGTTGTCTTACTTGAACCCCCCTGTGTATTCGGGTAATCTCATCGCCCGTTGATTTGCCCGGACAGTACCTGGACTCTTCATCTTACTCAGACTTTCGACACCTGACCCTCGTCCTGACGAGAACGGCCACAATGCAAGGACACGGCCGCAGCACTGTCCAATAGCAAGCCAGATGAGAGTTTTAAAGTCTTTGATATATACTCAATCCCTGCATTCACGCCTCCCATGAGACCATGTCCCGGAACCCTTGGCCTGGACCCATCGCCGCTCGGCATACCAGGGTAACTGGACAGGTATGAAGTCTGCGATGCACAGCCCAAGCCCGCTTGAGCATCGTAGTATATAGTCCGGATGGTGGAGTCGTTCTTTGAAATAAGTCAACCAGGACTCCCAGTCCCCTTCCTTTCCTTACAAGTCCTGCTCAGGCAGTGGGTGGCAGAGAAGACAAGCATACAATGGCCCGTTTCCTGTCTATCTTCCTCTTTCTAGCCTGTGTCTGGTACCGGGCTATGGTAGTCGCCATTCCTGTATCTGCTAGCTTCGATTTGGCCCTTGGAGTACCTGGGGCGACCTCGACCCTGGCGCCGGCCCCGGCTCCAGCTCCAGAGCCAAAGAGCGGTTCTGGAGGATATCGCTCCATGGCTTACTTTGTCAACTGGGTTCGTCACCTATCAACCTCATACCCTTACTCTAAAATGCACAGCCACCTGCTAACAAAATCCCCTTCTATTTTGATTAGGGCATCTTCAAAAGGAACTACCACGCCGAATCCCTCCCCACCGAACAGCTCACCCACGTGCTGTACGCCTTCGCCGACATCCACCCCGACGGCGAAGTCTTCCTCACCGACGTTTACGCCGACCTCGAGCGGCGCTACCCCGGCGACCCCACCTCGGGCGAGGTCGGCAACACGGGCAACAACGTTTACGGCTCTACGAAGCAGCTGTTCCTGCTGAAAAAGCGGAATCGCAGCCTCAAGGTGATGCTGAGCATCGGGGGCTGGGACTTCTCACAGCACTTTGCGGGACCAGCAGGCAGTGGGAGTGGTAGGAAACGGTTTGCAGAGACTGCGGTGAAGCTGATGGGGGATATGGGGATGGATGGGTTGGATGTTGACTGGGAGGTTGGTTACTCTTGCTTTTTCTCCTTCTTTCATTCATTCTTGTTCTTGTTGCGCATACCTTAGATGTTCTGACTTTGCTAACTGCGTGTTGATTAGTATCCTTCCAATGAGCAGGAGGGTGAGAACATGCTTCAGTTACTGAAGGCTACGAGACAGGTCAGCATCATATAGATCTCTTCTCATCTTGCTTCAACGAATGAGCTTGCTGACCGACCAACAGGAACTCGACAGATACGCCCAAGCCAATGCCAAAGGAGAACACTTCCTCCTCAGCGTCGCCACTGCAGCAGGTACATACACACTTACACAATCCCCCAAAGAAGAAAACCAACTAAAAGAACCAGGCCCCACCAGATACAAAGTCCTCAACTTAAAAGCCATCTCCGAAGTCGCCAACTTCATCAACCTCATGGCCTACGACTACGCCCTCAAAGAAGACACCACAGCCGCCCACACAGCGAACATTAACCCCTCGCTCGCCAACCCTCTCTCCACACCCTTCAACACCGAGCAAGCCATCTCCGCGTACATCGACGCCGGGGTGCCCCCGTCCCAGATATCCCTGGGCATCCCGCTCTACGGCCGCTCCTTCGCCAACACCGACGGCCCCGGTAAGCCCTTCTCCGGCGTTGACGACACCAGCGGCCGCGGCGACGGTAGCTGGGACCCTGACGTGTGGGACGTCAAGGCGCTGCCGCGGCCTGGCGCCAAAGTTATCACTGAACAGGATATTGGCGCTACTCATAGCTATGATGCGCAAAGAAGGGTCATGATTAGCTATGATACGCAGGATACCGTTAAGGAGAAGGCTGAGTATATTAAGCGGAAGGGTCTTGGGGGTGCGATGTGGTGGGAGGCTAGTGGGGATCGAGAAGTGGGTAAGGGGAGCTTGATTGCTACGGTTGGTTTTCTTCCTTTCTTTCTCTTTTAATTGCTCTGATCTCTTTGGTAAATTTGTGCTGACGAATACTGCAGTTGGTTGAGAGCTTGGGTGGAACGGGCGGGCTGGATACGAAGAAGAATTTCATCGATTATCCAGCTTCGCGGTATGAAAATCTTAGGAAGAAGTTTTCATGACCACTTCGTCCTCTTCTTCTTGCTATCCTTGTTCTATTTCTTCTTTTTATTTTTCTTCTTCTTCTTCCTCCTCGGGTTGAACCTGTCCTTTGTTCTTGGTGTTCCTTTTCTTTGTCCTTCTCTTCTTCTTCTCCTTCCCAGGCCGGTCCGGTGTCGCTCCTTCAACTTGTGTATAGTACTACCGTACATATCTCTACCAACGCCCCCGATCTAATTCCAACACTCGTTCACAAATAGTAAATGCAATAATGTGTATACATCTATTATCGACTTTTATACAGACAAACAAACGCCATCCCAAGTGCGTAAACTTCAATAAATAAAAAGAAAGAAAAGTATTTCAAAATCACGTCAACATATCATCCAACCGCTCGCCCAACACATCCTCAATCATCTTCACCCATCTGCGCACCTCGCGCTCCACACTCTCATCCTCATCCTCCATCAGCTCGCTAATATAAGGCAGCATCTCAGGCAACAGAGCAAGCCACTCCTCGCCCAGCTGCTCCGTGAGCGACTGTTCCGCCTTGAGGGCTGCAAGTCGCGTGTAAGGGTTCTCGCCGCCTGCCGCCTTGCCGGTCGGTCCGGCGGACGGCCGCAGGTACTGCATCAGGATGGTGTTCAGCTCCTTGTGGTTGTCGGTTGAGTCGGCTGCCACGGCGAGCTCCGTGATGGCCGGGACGGTCTCGGCGATGACTAGCGCTGCGGTGGCGGAGGTCTTGGCTTGGCCGAGCTGGGAGATGAGCGGTTGCGAGATCGCGCTCAGGTGCGATGGGGATTGCCAAAATTCTGTGGTTTGTGTTAGAGTATGCACGTTGTATGTTATAGGGGTTATAACGTACCATCTTGGTCGTGCTCGAATGCCTTCTGCAGCATGCGCATCGTGGCGAGCCAGAGGGGTTTGCTGTTGGGGTCGCTGGGGTTCGCTTTGCGGAGGACTGCGACGACGCTCTCGATGATGTAGCTCGCGTAGCCGGTGACGATGGACTAGAATAAGACTGTTAGATATCTTTGTCGAATAAGATCATGGGGGTTAAAAGATGGGCGCATACCTGGAGAGTGCCGAAGAACGTCTGCAGGAACTTGTAGAACGTCGTCAGTCGAGACAGGTTACCCTGGGTTTCCTTCTTCGTGAGACCGGTGGTGGCCCACTCCAGGAGCTTGGTGAAGATGGGGCGGAAGGCGGTGTCGTTCAACTTGTAGATCATCTTAATCATGACTTCGTTGAGCGTCTCCTCGACCTCATCCAGATCAGAGGTATCCAACGTCGCCTTGGCTCCCAGCGATACCTGCTCACGGCGCAGATCAAACACCTTGAAGAGCAAGTTCGTCAGAGCGGTCAGGTTCTGCGCGGTCGCGGACTTGGGGTGCTTCTCGATCGCCAGGCTGACAATCTCCAGAGTCTCCTTCGTGGCGGTGGGGCCCGCAGCCACGGCGTGTTGCCAGTTGCGGTCCACTGCTCCCAGAGTAGCAGCCAGATCAGCCTTCCGGGCCATGAGTTGCAGAGCCTCTTGTCGGCTCTCGTCCTCGTTTCCTTCGGAGTTGGCAGACTTGAAGGACAGGATGAGCAGCTTATCAAGGTATCCCGAAGAAACCATGTACGGGAGATGGACAAACAGCGCAGAGAACCACGAGTAAACGGCGTCGTGCAGTCGGGAGTTCGTCTTGCCCTCCTCCAGGCTAAGCTCCAACAACGCCAACGAACGACGGAGTGCCTCGGGGAGCGCCGGGATCATGGACTGACCCAAGACCTCGGCCATCGAGGCCAGGCACAGCACACCCATAACGCGAATGCGGTCGTCCTCTTGGCCGATGCAAGAATCGCTGGCGATAACCTGGGCGGCACGGATGACCTTGGACGGGTCCTTCTTGCCGTACTGTTCGGCAATCCGGTCGATACAAGCCACCGCAGCGTGCTTGAGGAGAATGTCAGGCGATGACTCGACGACACTGACCAGGGTGGGCAAGAAGTCCAGCATCCTGACCTGCGATGCGCCGTCGCGCTCGGGGTTCTGGCGCAGACGGCCTTCGAGAAGTCGGAAAACCTTCCGGCGGAGCTCATCACTGGGTCGTTGGAGCAGCACTTCGATAGTGTCGAGGAAGTCCACAGCCGACAAGGTGCCGAATAGCGCGCTGAGGACCTCACCACTCGCCTGGCTGACGGACTTCATGTTGTTCTGGGTGACGTCCCCGATGGACAGGATTTGCTCCAAGATCTGGGAGAACAGGGTCCGGATTTGGGTGGTGGCATCGCCCTCTGCAGCGAACGCCTTGTTCATCTTCGACTTCAGGGAAGAATGTCTGAGAAGATAAGCCAGCGCGCGGAGCAGGTCAACGGCGACCTTCTGGGGTTCACGGCCGTCATCGCTGCCAATTCCGAGAAGGACGTTGGAAATGCCCGGCTTGGGCTTGAGGGAATCGCTGACCAGTCCGAGATACTTGCTGTAGGTGCTCAATTCAATCGGAGCGCTCGCGTCGGAGGCCAAGCCGGACATCAAGATAAGAACATCCTTGTCCATAGAGTACCTGTTGGCGAGCATGGCAAGAACCGCGAACAGGAAATCTTGAGTTCCAAGCTTGGTGATGAGCGCATGGAAGAGTCGCAGACGGCGGTGAGATGGAATGTGCTCGAATGCAGCCGTAAAGCTAAGCAGCAGTTCCGACGTTCCAGAGACGACGTCCCGTTTCTGGTTACGTAGGGACTGGATGAGCGCGGGAACAACTTGGTCAATGGTCTGGTCGATCACAGAAACCGAGTACTCGTCATCCTTTCTCAAAACACTGGATCCCATGAACGTGAAGATTGGCATGACGCTGTGGAGCACCAACTCGGGCGCAATAACAGACAGGCCAGCAACAAGGAGTAGAGCTGCATTTTGCACTTGAGGGCTCTCCGTGGTGCGCACACAGTCCACAACCAAGTCCGCACGAATGACCGAGGTGTCAAACTGCGCCTTTGCAGTAGCCTTGGATCTATTGACGATGGCCAGGAGGCTGCCCAGGGCCAAGCTGAGCAGGTAGCTCATGCCCGACTGGACCTGCGCCTTGAAGTGATGGAGGGCGGCCAGAACTTGGAACAAGCCATCGGCCAATTCCGGGTGAGTCTCGGGGGAAGACCCGTCCACCAGTTCCAGAATGAACGTCATCTGCTCCATGAGCTGGCTGAGCTTGGCCTCGTCCTTGACGGTCATTGCCACCATGTTGTTCTGACTGGTGCGTCTTCTCTTGGGGGCCGGACCCAGACCCTCAATATCCGTAACAGAAGCGGGGATTTTCAGGAGGAAGTGCAGAAGCACGGCGCCAGGAAGCTCAACGGCTCTAAGAACATCCCTGCATCCACTGGCAAGCGGCGAATCGGAGCCGATCGAGATATCGAAGAGCTTCTCTGCAGAGACGACCCGTCGGTCCTCTGCAACGTTGGTCCAGATGCCCCTCATGCGGTCGAAGACGGCACTGGCAAACGAAGGACGCAGCGAATCGGAGTACGGGCTGATAGTGGACAAGAGGATAGCAATCGCATCCTTTTCCTTGGGCGTAACGGTCGAAACGATTTGGTTCTCCATTTCCGGCACGGGTACGCGTTCCTTATCACAGGCCTCCTGGACCCGCTGTTCGCTCATCTCCTTCCACGTCTTCAACAGAGGTTCGAGTTCCTTCGTGCGAGTGGCGCCGCCCGCCTTGTCAATGCCGTTAACAAGCTTCAGCAACACCAATTTGGGTGCGAACAGCGGCATATGCACGATGTGGGAACAGAGGAAACTGAAAACACTCAACCGCAGAGGCTTTTTGAGCTCAGACGCTCCGGAATCAGCGGTAGTACCGCGGAGCGTAGCCTCCAAAACCTGCCCGATGTGAGCCGCATCAAGGACATACTCTTCCAGTCCGGGGATCAAAGCGCGCTCAAAAAGTTTCTGTGCATCGCGGTTCGAAAGCCACTGGACGCTTTTGGAGGATTTTCCTTGACCGTAGAGCGAATCCCGGGCCCAGATGTCATCCTTTCCGTCACCTTTGATTTTCGCGTACAGCTCCGCCACAGCGAGCAGGGCACCTGTCGCTTCGCGACGGATTCTCTCCGAGGAGTCCGTCAAGGCGACCAGCAGAAAAGGGAGGAGACCCTGGTAATCGACGGCGGCGGAAGTGGAAAGCACTGAGGAGACGAGGCTGAGAGCACTGGCCCGGATTCCGGTGGGAAAAGGGCCAGAGAAGACCCTGGTAAAGAACGACAGATATTGCGGAGACTTGGTAGCATTCGTCTTTCCAAGGATCGGCAAGCCGGTGAAGGAGTCCAAATTCTCTTGCGAACCGACAGCAAGCGCGAAGGTTTGAACAAGACGATCAAATACAGGACTGGATTGTACGCCGAGGAAAGAGTCCTTGAATAGGCTCTCTTTCTGCAACGACACCAAAAATGGCGTGAGATCTTCCTGCTCCTCTTCCTTGTCTGCATCGTCCATCTCGACATCCTTCACGGCTTGGGTCGTGGGCACGGCCTCAATCACAGTCTGTAGGCTATGCTCCAGGTTTGTGACATCAATAGAGCGCTCCTCGATGGTTTTCTGGAAGATAGGGCCAAGAGTTTCGGATCGGCTGAAGTCCTGGACTAGCTCGGCAAGGTGTGTTTGGAATTGCAGAGGTATTCCGCCGTCCTTGTTAGCAGTGGTGACCGCATGGAGGACCAGGGCCATGGCAGGGCCCACATCGGCCTCTCCCAAAAGCTGAGTCTCGAACATAAGCGAAAGCATATCAAGACGCGTGGTATCCTTCTGCTTGTGAAGGTCTCCAACGCACCCAGACACCAGACCCAGGAGAAGGTTAGATGTCTTGTACTGGCCTGAGATCTCGGCAAGCTTTTGAATAGGGTTCTCCAGTCGAAGGATTGCCCTGAAAGCCCGCTTAGGAAGGTTTGTGTCGGGCTTCCGCTGCGCTAACACCGAAAGACAAATGAGGCCCGAGTTTAGCGTTTCGTCCGTCCAAGAACCCGCGATGGCCTCCATTAAGCTATCGAGCACGTTGTCCTGGAGTGCAGCTTTCTGGGCTAGAACGACGCAAAGCATATAACAGCCAATCACAAGCTCCGAGACTCCCTTCATAGCCAATCCATCACTGATGACAGGAAGCACCTGAAGGACAACGTCGTCGTGCTTTTCCTTCTCCTCTGCCCGCCGACCCGCACGTCCTGCGTCCAACATCCCAGCAACAGCCTCCGTGGCGATCCCGGCCCAGAACGTCAGAAGCGCGTGATGACCGGCATCTTGTCGGCCAGCCTGGAGAACATAACTGTTCAGGGCGGTAAAGAACGGCTTGTTTGTCGTCGCGCTGTGCACGAGGGGATGGCGAGGGGGATTGACGGCGCCGCTTTTATACGGGTACAGGATCTTGAAGGTGGGCGTCAAGTCCTCCGGTAGGATCGACAGCAAATTTAAGAACAAGGGCGTGGTGTGGTAAGGTAGGAAAGTGAGGATGGTGAATGCCGTGTTATATTCATGAATCCTGTACACAAGTTAGCCAACGGACGTCGCGTTGGAATATTATCGCCGCACCTGAAGCGCCTGACAAGCCACTCCACGGCTTTGACCGCAGGGCTCAGCAAAAGCCTTCCCCCGACCAACGTCAAAAATGCCTCCAGAACCGAGTCAAGCTCTTTATTCTGGGCAGCGTTCATTTCCGTCCGGTCCTCGGCCTTGCTCTGCTCGCTGAAAATCGTGCGCTCGAACGGCGCGAACCGAGGGTCCAGCTGACATATTTCGGTGAAACCTTCATAGCATATCTGGTAGACCGTTTCAAAGTCCTGCGAGCCAGCAACTTTCGTGTCAAATATCAAGGATTTCGCATGCGCTAGCCTCTGAGCCTTGAGGTTCAACTGATTCGTAGAGTTTGCCGCGACTTGCGACAGCTGCGCGGCGAGGGACGAGGCCATTGTGCAACCGGTATTTATTCTTTATCGTGACACAGTCAACACATCCATCCCTCGGCAGACTTCTTCTTCAATCTCGACGGGGAGATCTGTGGTTTGAAGCTGACGGCGTAGTTCCGGTGAGGGTTTGAAAATGATTCCACCAAATCTACTGATTAAACGGGGCAACTTTTTTTTTCTGCCGCTTTTTTCTCCCGCCAATCAGAGTGCGCGATGTGAGAGCGGAGCTTTTTCCAGCCGTTGTCCACCGCCTTCCCTCTTGGGCGCTGTGGTCCAATGCCTCACCTGACTGGCTGTTATTGACGTCGTTGGAGTAATGGATTCATCGCGCTCCCAGGTGAGTGACCGTGGTTTTGGGCGCGGTCTAGCTTGTCGCACTAACTTGCTCTACAATGTCTCAGGAGAGGAAGCCCATCCCCAAATTCTCGAGCTTCAAGCCTCCCCCAGCCCCTCCACCCGCACCCGATCGGCCTTCCGAACGCCGCACCCGCGACAGCGAAAGACGCGAAAGGTCGAGGCACCATGAAAAGCGTCATTCTAGACACAGGAGCCATCGCGAACGCTCTCGGTCTCGCGAGCATCGGAGGGAGCGCAGGGAAGGCCGTTCCTCCCGACAAGATGTCGAGCCGCGAGCGCGGGAGCTCCCGACAGAGCGTCGAACTACACCAGCGAGCACCGTGAAACAGCCAGCGGACGATGCATCTAATTTGTATTTTGTCGATCGCAAAGGGGACCGCTACAACATCGTCTATGGCACGATACATCGGTACAGTGTGCCACGTTACCATCGGGTAGGCCAAGGCAGCGTGCTGGGCTTGCCCCCCAATTACAAGATCGACCGTGATACAGTGGAAGGGGATGCTATAGTCGTCAGCCCGAACACTTGGCGTCCGGACGCGTCGCGGACAGGAACAAAGAGTATTCTATCTGGGATGAGCAAGGAACGGTCTAGACTACTTCGCGTGCGGCCTACCTCACTGCTCGAATCAGCCGCCGATGCTTCGAAGGATTATCTACCTCTGAGTGATCATAGAAGCCGAAAACGCAGAAAGGTCCTCGGTGACTCGGATTCTGATGATGAAAAACACGCATACCGTTCGATACTTGGCAAGGCGAAGCCCGATGAGGATATCCCGAGCGATCTAGAAGCCGTGTCGGACAGTGGTGACGAGGGCGGTCGATATGACCCGGACGAGGAAATCAAGCAACGGAACGTTGAATTATTCCGCAATGTCGAGCAGACACCCCATGATGTCGGTTGCTGGCTTCGACTCATCGATTACCAGGAGTCACTTCTCAAAGGTGCTGAAAGGGAGTCCAGCACGCTAACATATGCGGAAAGGAAGAGCCTGGCAGACATCAAATTATCGTTGTACGACAAAGCGTTGAAACGAGTAGGGGCAGTGCCTTCTCGAGATCGTCTTCTTCTTGGTCGGCTCGAAGAAGGTGCACAGCTTTGGGATTCCAAGAAACTTGCTTCTCAATGGCAAGCTATTTTGAAAGCAAATTCTCAATTCATCTCTCTCTGGGTCAAATACCTTGACTTCCGTCAGACGCAATTTCTGGATTTCACGTATGAGGGGTGTCTTTCCACCTTCGTTGAATGTCTCAAGTTGAATAGGGCTGCTCCGGATCACCCTCAAAAATCGCAGATTCAAGTTTATCTCTTCCTGCGCCTAACGTCGTTCATCCGCGAATCGGGGTTCACCGAACATGCAATCGGCCTCTGGCAGTCCGTCTTTGAACTCGCCTTCTACAGACCTGACTCTTTAGACGTTCATGATGAAGAAAAGCTCATGTCAGCTTTCTTGGAGTTCTGGGAGTCAGAAACTGCGAGATTCGGTGATGTTGGTGCGAAGGGCTGGAGAAGTGGATCCAATACTGTCCCGAGCCCAAAGGTCTTCACGCCACAATTCCAGCTCGATCTGAGGGCGACATTCGCGTCATGGGTTGTGTGTGAAAGAGAACGAATCGTTGAAGCACGGCTACCGGCGCGCAGTTTGGACGAATCAGACCTAGATGACCCTTATCGCGTCATCATTGCATCTGACCTCGCAGAGATTGTGCCCTTGGTTTGGAACATGCATTCTACGCAAGAGCTGATAGATGGCTTCTTGCGTTTCTGCCACCTTCCTCCACTTATGTCGTCGAGCAATTTGGAGACAACCAGCAAATGGTCCGGAGACAGCTTCTTACGAAATGATCTGATGAGCAGTCCTGGCACCACGCTCGATAAATGGATCCCGACTATGCTATCAGACACCGAGCAGTCTCCTGTATCTCCGGTTTCTTTTCATCATCAGAACTTCATCCACAGTGGCGATACATTGTTTGCTGGTGAGGGATGGTTCTCTTCGCTCAAGGCGTGGCGACAGGTTGCTTTGGAGTCGCAATCCGATATCGACCCCGACTGGGTTCGAAGATCACTCCGGTCATTGGTCGAGGCCAGTCCAGGGAATGAGCAGCTAGCAGAGTACGTCGTTGCCGTGGAGTTTGCGTGCAATCCCAAAGAGGCAAAGAAATACGCAAAGTCTCTTTTGAAGAAGAGGCCATCGAGTCTGCGGCTTTACAATGCGTATGCACTGATGGAGCGCCGGTCCGGCAACCAGGCAGCTGCTGACCATGTCTGGGCAACATCTCTTTCTATGAGCAAAACGTTCTCCGAGAGCAGTAGCGTAGAGAGTGTTTACCTTTGGCGAACGTGGGTCTGGGAGTTGCTAGAAGAGCGGAACATAGCCCATGCCTCCCATCTCCTCATCTCCATGCCACATAGTAGTGTGGATTTGAAAGACTTCCCTGGGACATCTGATCAGCCGGTGTTCAGCCCGACCAGCTTATTGAAGATACAAAGCTACCTGGCGGAAACCCAGGAGATTATACTCGCCAACCGAAAGTCCCATGCATTTGTCGCCTGGTCGGATTGTTACGCTATCTTTCTCTACCTCACCCATTCTCAAGATTTGACCAAAGCATTGGAAGCGTACGATGGGGCTATCAGCAGGGTCGGTACACTGCCGGAGCAGGATCGATTGTTCCAATCCTTCACGACCGAGTTACTCCATCAGGCCCGCGCGCGATTCCTCTACTACCATGTTCGTACGAGTAGCATGTACAAGCCTACTCATATCCGCTCCCTTTTCGCGGACAGCATCCAGTTGTTCCCCCACAACACGATGTTCCTCTGCCTTTTCACCTGGAACGAAACTCGATTCCGCATTGAAGAGCGCGTGAGGGACACCATCAGAGATATCACCGAGACCAAGCGTCACTCGGGAGAGTCCCTCACGATGACCCAAGTCCCAGTCACGACGCATCTCTTCTCCATATACACCGAGCTTCTCCGTCCCGAATACGCGGGATCTACGCTCCACTCCGTCAGGGCCGCATTCGAGAAGGCCATCGGCGAACAGAGCACCGGCGCAACCAACACTATCATGTCTACCACCCGCTCCAGTCTTTCCCTCTGGAAACTTTACATCCTTTTCGAGCTTTGGCGCGGCAACATCGCTCGCGCCAAGGATGTATTCTACCGCGCTATGCGCGCTTGTCCATGGTCGAAAGAGCTCCTCATGCTCGCGTTCACCCACCTTCGCGCGGATGTCGTTCGCGAGCGCCACCCGACCGCCTCGGGGCGCGATGAGGGTATGGGCTTTGACGAGCTACGGCATGTGTACAATGTGTTGGTTGAGAAAGAGCTTCGCATCCACATTGACATCGAAGAGGAACTAGAGGAGATGGCGTCCAAGATGACACATAAGTCAGTGGCACGGGGAATGCCGATTACCATGCCAGAGGATGCAAATAGTGAAGATGAGCAGATGCAAGAGTGATCTTGATTTGTACATGGGGTTATATTAGGTAGACTATAACTACATCTGTCGAACCGCTATCAAACAAACCGCACATACCTTTTCTCCACAACTGAATTTCTGGTAAAAACGATTGGATAGACTATTCGAAAAAGGAAGAAACCAGGCACCGGTTTGCCACCACCAGTCCTCGTATTGGATCACGTGCCATGCAGGCAATCAAGACCGCCGGATCGTTCTCGATTTCCCTCGATTTCACCTCAACCTTAAACCAGTGTCAACTCACTTATAGGTGGTCTATCAGGCGTATATTCTATCAACGAGTAACACTGCTAAACCAGACTACATCGTATCAGCTCGCGCAATGTCAGCACCGACAATCGCAACGGAGAATGGCCTCCAACACGAGGATAACGACGTCCCCGTCAACAAGACGACCACCTTCAACGGACGACTAAACCAATACTTTCACACCTCCAAATTCATCACCGACAGAGAATCACCTTTGTCAAAAGCCGCATCGTCTGACCTCCCCACCCCAGCGCCAACACCATCCATCAACCCTGACCCGCGCAAACGCAAGACCCACGACGAAGAAGATACCAGCGAAACAGGAACACGCCCACGAGAGCGCAGCAAACGCCGCCTAAAGGCCCCAACACCAGCCTCTCCCACCACACGCATGGTGACACGCTCTCGATCCGCGCCTCTCACCTCGCCATCACCATCTTCATCAACACCACCAACAACAGCAACACCCCCAGCCAACCAACAACCCCCACCACCCCATCCACCCCCAACACCAGCAACTCCCTCCTCCGCGACACCATCCCCCCAAACCTAACCCTCCTCCTCGTCGGCGTAAACCCCGGCATCCAAACCGGCCTAACAGGCTTCGCCTACGCCCACCCGTCCAACCTCTTCTGGAAACTCCTCCACGCCTCAGGCATAACCCCCATCCGGCACCCCCCCTCAGACACATACCGCCTCCCCGCACTGTACAACATCGGCAACACGAACATCGTAGAGCGCGCCACGCGCGACGCAGCGATGCTCACCCGCGCGGAAATGAACGCCGGCGTGCCCGTCCTGGAGGCGAAGATCGCGGCGCAGCGGCCGGAGGTTGTCTGTCTCGTTGGGAAGAGTATCTGGGAGGCGGTGTGGCGCGTGAGGCGCGGGAGGGCTATTCGCAAGGAGGAGTTCCGCTATGGGTGGCAGGATGAGGGGGAGAATATGGGGCGCTCGGAGCAGTGGGGCGGTGCGAGGGTTTTCGTCGCTACTACTACTAGTGGGTTGGCGGCTGGGATGAGTAGGGCGGAGAAGCAGGCTGTTTGGGATGAGTTGGGGGAGTGGGTGGTGCGGAGGAGGGAGGAGCGTGGTGGTTAGGGAGTTGGCTCTTTCTTTTCTTGTTTTCTTTTCTTTCGTCTATACAACTGTATCAAGACCTATCTATATGGAATACGACCAGGGCAGCACACTCTAGATCAACAATTCAACACCGAAAGATATTTATATATAGATAAGAATAAATATTTCGGACAAGTAATTCTCATGCTAATATAATATTATTGTTTATCCATATGCAGCTAAGCAAGTCCGCTGTCCTCTCAACACAACCAACGAACTCCCCAGCAATTCATAACATAACGCATACTCGTATCGTATCCGTAAGGTTTATCCCAAACCCATTCGCTCATAAAAAAAAAAAAAAAACAAAAGACACCCATTCATGATTCAATGGACCAGTCATGCCCGACCCGATCATTCGACCATCCGTAGAGAGGAAGGGCACAAAGATTCAAATTCAACCTAGTGGTTGATCTGAGGTCCCTTGCTCATGTTGGTCTCGCCCGGTCGCCCATGCACCTGCTACAGAGAGAGTTAGTATTCATCAACCATTGAATTGACCAGGTAAAGGGGGAACATACAGCCGTCGTCTGATAATCTCCCTTCTGCAGGATCTGAGCAACACAGTCCTCCTCCTTGGACGTCCCGAACTCGCTCTCGAGGCTGCCGTTGCTGGCTCCGTCGAGGATACCCTGCGTTCCTTGCCTGGGGTGCTGTTAGCTTCTTTCATTCATTCATTCTTTTTCCTTTCCCATTTCTTTTTCTCTCCAATTGAGAAGGGAAGGAGTTACTTGGCTGAAACATACTTATGAGTAACGAAAATCTTCCATCCGTTCACGACCTGAGCAAGCGGGATGGACTTGTCGTTGCGCCACTGCTTGAGGATCTCCTGGTCGTCGACGAAGACGATGAAGTCGTCCGTGGAGCCCTTGTAGATGACCTTGGAGACGGATTCGCTGCCACGAGCCATGATTGTTGGTTTATTGAGTTATTGAGTGTGTAGGGGGGAATTGAGAGGTGTTGATTGAGGAGTTGGAGGTTGGAAGAGTGATGAGGTGGGAGAGAGCTGTAGTAAAGTAGGTGTTGCGATGACAGGTGATGACGTCACTGGGATGGGTAGCTGTCTAGATGGTGGCCTGAGGCTCAATTGAAGGATAACAATGAAGATGTGAAGGTATTGAGAAAGTGTAGAATAGCTATGCTTGGTGATAACTTGTTGAGAATGAAGAAGATATTATCTGGAATTGCTGGACAAAGGACGCCTTTATGTAGAGCTCACTCCATGGCATGGTCCAACCCCTCCTCTGTCGACGTCATCGCGGGCTTCCTTGGAGCTCTGACACCGACCCATAAATAATTTCAGCGGTTACAGAATGGGCTCCAATTGTCCCAAATACTTCCAACAACCAGGATCCGCTCAGCCCCTCCGAGGGAATGTTTTCCTGTCACCTATGATCATTGATTTCCTCTTGTGACTCGTCGGTGGGGAGAATTGTTAATGGGAATTCCGAATTACTACATGTCGCCAAGCAATCCCACCAGCACAATTCCAGCCCACTTCCCTCCCCCCACCGGTCTGATGTAATGGTGCAGCTCATCCCCGAGGCGATTGCATCACCATACCCCACTGCCTGCATCCACGCGAGGATTCTTCTTTGACCTTCTACGGGATATAGAATTGAACATCGTGCGAATCGAGGTTTTGAATGACATTTCAGGGGTCTCGGGGCTATCCCCGTTTTTCTGGGGCGAAGGCAGGGTGGACGTAGCAGCTGGTCCGGTAACGCCTTTGCATCGTAGCGTCTTCGTCCTCCTCACAGTCCCTGGGCCCTTTGCAGCCGTCTCGACGTGTCTTTCTTTCGCGTGTGACAACTTGAACTTGAACGTATCTTGCCTTCCACTACTCGTGGCGGAGTAGATGTTGTCGGTAGCGCCCTTGCGTGCCCGATTGTAAATGGCAGCCGAATCCCGGGGAGGGATATTCACGGAGCTCGAACGCCTATACAGCCCCGGACGGTAGCTGAGGCGCCGCATAAGGGACTCCGTTCCAAGTAAGATGTCACCTTTCGCGGATACCATCCCGGGGTATGGTAAGATGTGCCGCGTGTAGACACAGCGGATATATCGCTCCAGTCGGATCCGGTCTTGTCTCTTAGCAATCAACGTCAACGTTGGCCACGCGTTGCACGCGTTAAACCGCTCGATCTCGCTATCGTTCGGTTTGGCCTCCTCCGTCTGGTTTGGACTGTGCGTTTTCTTGATGATCATATGTTGCATGTTAGGTTGGGACCAAGAGGGGTTCAGTGAGTTCATCGAAGGCCTGCGTGTCAAATGAGACGTCAAAGAGGGATCGCCATCCAACGCCTTGAGCTCCATCGACAGTAAAGATGTGTCACGTAGCTCTGACAGAGTGGACTTGGACACCTCGGCAAATCCTGAAGCGGCCTTGAGCATCTCGGTATTCCATCGCATTGCTTCCGTTGCGGACGAGGCGCTCAGCACCAGTTCATATCTGTTGCCTTGGTACTGGAACTCCAGCTTCCAAGAGTATAAGCATCCGTGGCAGCAGAGACCTATGCATCATTAGTGCCAACGTGAAGAACTCAGAAACAGGATAGCCACCTTTGCGATTCCTCAACACGTCGATCTTGATGTCGCAAACGTACAAGCACAGGAGGGGTTGGAGCTTGTGATAGCTGTCGTTTGGTTGGGCTAGAAAGAAGTGGCTTCCGAACAGGACGCAGACCATGAAGCTACCAGTGATAGTCGCTGCCGATTGGTACGTGACATGGAGGACGCCACATAGTACCATTGCACCAAGCTGTTTATAAACATTGTATACAACTCCCGAAGCAGGGAACTCCAACATAGCTTGGAGTAGGACTGTCTTGTGAAGAAGGTCCTTGTTGACTGGATTTCCGGGGATCTCGTTAATACGCCCTACTTGGGCGCGCACGGTCTCCAGAACCTGCCTGATCCCATCATGTGCAGAAGGGCTGTCTTGGATGTGGGTATGCCTGAGCAGTTCTTGGAGCAGCAGCGGGTATTTACAAAGACGCTGGATGGGCTGGTTCTGTTAGTCCCAGAAGAATCACCTAACATCAAGCCAGGCGAGGAAGCGTGAGCTGACCTTGATAAGGAGATCATTTATGGTCATCGACTTGTTTTCTAGACCCTGGATTTCGTTGGAAGCACCGCACTTCGACAGGGCTTCTATACCTTGGTCAAAGATCGGCCAGTTGGGGACCGTTCGCCGCAGCAGATACATATCCTGCTCTAGCTGCTGGTAGTTGTTACAGAACTCCTCGTAGGCAGCTAAAGAGAGCGACAACCTTCCAATCTCTTTCGCAACGGCCAGCGCTGCACTGGCTTCCGCTGCGAGCGCCCTAAAGCGCAAGTCCATGGATGTCTTGAACTTTCGCGTTCTCAGCGACTTATTATGGAATGCCTTAATACGGAGGTGACTCAGGTCAACTGTGCCACGGTGCGTATGTACTCGATTAGACATGGCTATGTCAAGGGTTCCGTTAGCAAGGCCGGACGGAGGTGCCACACCGCGTATCTGCGTGAGGAAGGTCTCATGTGTTTCACGAATGTCGAGTACATTGTGGTAAACCCCGGGTCGAGCCGAAAACAAGAACAGAACCTAGATTTCACGCGTCAGTCAAACCGGTAAGGCTGTATCAGAAATGGTATCCCTGCCTCCGCAAGAGCCTTGAGTCCAAACACGTAGTCTGCCTCGGTCGTGACAATTTCTCGAAGGACCTCACGCCTCTTGATGGCACGAACTTGCGCCTCCTCGTCGATTGAAAACCTAAAGGTTGGCCTTAGGCTGTCGATAGAGCCACGCTGGTCTGATCCTGCGCTATGATTACTCGTAGTCTGCGTCGTCGCTCGCGATCTCAGAAGGCTTTGGCTAGCAACACTCATCGTAGCCGTGTGGACTGTCCCTAGATTCGATGAAGTCCCCGATGAGCTCTCCCACTGCGGTTCCGGAAGCCTGGTATAGCAAGCTAAATCGAACTCCGTGTCGCGTTTTCTGTCTTCTAGAATCTCGGGCCATCCATCCACGTAGCGGGAGGGCTGGTCGGAGCGATAGCGCTTCTTGGATCGAAAACCATCCACCCATCGCCTGAAGGGAAAGAAACCCGCCACTCGGTCGGTTGATTCCCGTGTCTCATTTGATTCCAGTGGGATCACCAGTGACCCGTATTTCTCCAAGTGGAAATCATCCGCCACACTCGTATCCTTGTCCTCCATGATGACGGACGAACTTGAAGACATGCTGGACATGATGGAGTTGAATCGATATGACTATTGAGCTTTTGAAATCAAGATCATGAATTGATGGAATAAAAGTTTCAAGTTAAGAATTCCCAGATAGGTCATGTTGTTTGTTCCAGAAGAGATCAAAGAGGAAAGAGCCCTGGAAGGCACGACCCAAGAATCAGGCCTTAGGCGTTCAACAGACCACAGATGTACCTCCACGTTTCCAGGGGCATTATGCATGATGTCTGACTCCATCGTGGTGATCTTGGGCTTTGCCCGATGTATCTATTCCCCTCAGTACAAGAATAGATTCCATGAGGAATTCGGCTTCATTGTAGAGGGCATTGCCAGTTCACTATGTCCTACCGAATCCTTTGACTAGATCGTGAAACGTGCAATTACCCATCATAGAATGAAAGACCAGCGCAGAGGTCTATGAAACAAATCATCGAATAAGAGGAGAAAGACTGGACAGTAGATGTATAGGACATCAAATCCGAAGACGATGTTGACCGGGCGTGCCAAGAACGTGCCTTAACTAGTTCCCCCCCAGATTCCTTTCCCTGACAACTCCGTCCCCACCACCTCTCCCGATAACGAGCTCTCTATCTTTCAACAATCTCAGCGACCGAACCCATCCCCCTTCTTCGACCATGACCGATTCTTCTTGAGATGGGAATTCTCATGGACGACAATATACATGCTCCTACTGTGACCTCCGGTCCGTCGACGGACGGAGGTCCTCCGCGCGACCTCGCCAAGCTCACCATCGTCGAGTTGATGCAAGAAAAGCAACGCATCGAAGATGAACTCTCTGCGCTTAGTAGCGTGCTCAGCTCTGTGAGCGATACGCTTGGTTTTACATTTGTACGGTAGATGCTAACGAATGCCTTTTCAGCATGGCGTCACCATGAATTCGACCCTAACCACGTTCGATGGATTTCCTCGGGACGATATCGATGTCGCGCAGGGTAAGACGACAGTACCTAGGTGTTCCCCGACACCAGAGCTAATTATATACAGTTCGGTCTACGCGCGTACAAATCATCCGACTCCGGAACGACCATAAAGACGTCATGCGGTTCATCGACTCAGCCATCCAGGAACATTTCGCCAACACCCGTCGCACGCAAGATACATCTACAGCAAATGGGATATCAGGGTCGGGGAGTGACTTGGGCGGCAATACCACCCCCGCTGGGTCGGCTGGGCCACCGTTTGCGCGGGTGAATAGCGTGGTCTCTGCAAGTCCTGCAGATCAAGCTGGCTTGAAGGCGGGAGACACCATTCGCAGCTTCGGAAGCGTGAACTGGTTAAACCATGAGCGTCTCACGAAGGTGGCCCAGACTGTGCAACAAAACGAAGGAGTAAGCTTTTCGTGGTCCCTGGGATGCGGGCAACCATTATTATGCCGAATCATTAACTGACTCTCCCAGCGCCCTCTCATCGTTAGCGTCTCTCGCAAATCCGACTCCGACCCAAGCTGCATCAGCGAACTTCAATTAGAGCTTGTGCCGCGTCAAAATTGGGGTGGTCGTGGTCTACTGGGCTGTCATCTGGTTCCACTGTGATGTCCATCAAGGACTCATTGGTTTTATAGTTGCTTTATGGCTGTCTCTAGAAATCGAGAAGGAACGGGATATGGGTTACAGACTGGTTGGGTCGTTGGATTCTCGGAAGGCATCAAAGGGCGTTACGTTAGGTTGGGCTGAATTCATCATTGTCATCCAATTCTCTTCCAGGGCCTGACTACCGAGGTAGTCTCTGTCAAAGTTAGCCGAGTAGATACGGTGCATTGTACCAGTAAGACCGTACACACAGGTATACAACAGATGACGTGAAGCTGTCCGCGGGGCAGCCTGCCTGAGGCACACTCCACGTGACCCGGGCGAGTCGAAAATTCACACCTTCTTCACCTCCTCTTTCCCTCCTGCTTTCCTCTCCATTCTGTGATCCTCCCCCTCCCCCCCACTTTCATCGCCTCTACTTCGGTCGCGTTCGTTGCCGACTTTTTTTTTCTTCTTGACTTGTTCGGGTCGATTCTGTTTTTATCTTTCTTCCTTCCACCCCCTCCTTTTCACCTCACATATCCATCACCATGGCTGAAGCCCCACCTACCTTTAAGCTCGTCCTGGTCGGCGACGGTGGTACCGGAAAGGCAAGTAAAATACTTTAATAAAGAAAAATATATATACAAGGAAGGGAGAAAGAAAGCATTCAGATGATGTGGATTCTTTCTCATCGTCGTGGCCTTTTTTTGTCCTCGATTGTTTTGCTCCCTTGGCTTCCCCGCCGTCAACAAAAAAATTTACCTCCAGCCACTCGAAGAGACATGAACACAACAGTTTGGCTAACCTCTGTTCAATACAGACCACCTTCGTCAAGCGCCACTTGACTGGTGAGTTCGAGAAGAAGTACATCGCCACTCTCGGTGTCGAGGTTCACCCTCTGAACTTCACCACCGTATGCACCGCCCCACCCCCGGCTGGAATCGTTCCATCGCCTCGCCTTGATTGTATCGACTAACCTCTCTGCCAGAACCTGGGTGCCATCCAGTTCGATGTGTGGGATACCGCTGGTCAGGAGAAGTTCGGTGGTCTGCGCGATGGCTACTACATCAACGGCCAGTGCGGTATCATCATGTTCGATGTGACCTCCCGTATCACCTACAAGAACGTCCCCAACTGGCACCGTTAGTCGTCATCTCCCCATAGGACTATCCAACCCATCGCTGATCCCCCAATCTAGGTGACCTCGTCCGTGTCTGCGAGAACATCCCCATCGTCCTCACCGGTAACAAGGTCGATGTCAAGGAGCGCAAGGTGAAGGCCAAGACCATCACTTTCCACCGCAAGAAGAACCTGCAGTACTACGACATCTCCGCCAAGTCCAACTACAACTTCGAGAAGCCCTTCCTGTGGCTCGCTCGCAAGCTCGTCGGCAACCCTCAGCTGGTAGGTTCCTTTGGCTCCGTGTGACCCGAGCTCCTGCTAATTTGGCGATTCCAGGAATTCGTTGCCGCCCCCGCCCTTGCTCCTCCCGAGGTGCAGGTCGACGAGAACGTCCTCAGACAGCACCAGGCCGAGATGGAGGAGGCCGCCCAGATGCCTCTGCCCGACGAAGAGGACCCGGATTTGTAAATTCGTGCGTGACGAAGTTTTGGGGGGAGACCGGATGTCAGCCCTCGTGGCATCGCGCCCACACCCCATCTCGCATGGCCATGGCGTGACGTCCAGAGCATGACTGCCATCCTTTCCGGGGAATTCCACTGGGTCTGGTTCGTTATGTCAAGTCTCGGATTACGATACAACGATAGCGGTTGGCGGAATGGGAAACGTCCATGAAGGTCGGGCACGATTGATATGCATTTTGTTTTCCTTTTTTTTTTTTAAATATCACAACAACACCTAGTAGTCTAGACTCCCTTTTTGTCCTCTTTACCCCTACTACAAAGTTTCAACTTTTTTTTTTCTCAACTGTTTTATCTGTGGTCTGAAAACTAGAGCACCAAAAGCACTACACTATCAATATATATGCCTTGTAGGCCAGCCTATGTTCTTTCACCTCTCGAAATCTCTTCCAGCATAAAGGAACAAAGAAAAGGAAAGACACATACTATATACCTATTCACACGCATAATTCCTACACTACTGGCATACATCCATCAATTATCCATTGATCCACCACCCAATCATCCAATCGCAGCCACCATGGATATAACATGTGTATATTGAAATAGGGCAACCGAATTAACCACAGGGCTCATACCTAAGGTTGTATAGGTGTATCCTCAAGACCAAGTAATAATTAAAACTCTTATCACATGTTTTTATCTAGCTTTGAATATCACAGGTACGCATATCCATACAAGTACTCATACACACATATACTCTCTTTCTCTCTCTCCCTTAAAACACATGTCAATGATTACTGTCTCGGTTATCGTCATCTGGTGTAGTATGTTTGTCAGTCTCCTACTTTATGCCTGAACATATCATCAGGCAAGCGTACAAGAAATCGCTGCGGGACAGGAATTGACGGATTGCTGATCCTTAGGTTGCACCATCCATGTCTTCTTTGATACTGTAGAGGGGCGCCGTTTCTGCTCTTTTTGTGATAAAGCCGGTTTTACTGGGTTTTGATCATAGCATTTACTCAGCTATTTCTGTTTGCATTCTCTCTCAAGGAAGAAAAGAATAGCCCGTGATACGGGGCTAAGAGGATCAAATGGGTAATTTCCTTGATCAAAGGATCTCGATTCTACTTGGGGCGTGTCACTATTTTTATAACACGTGTGATTTATGAGAGTTGATAGATAGATAAACAGAAAGAAAAGAAAAAGGAAGATAAGTAGGATCTGTCCGTTCAATTTCATAACAATCTACCCCCACTTGTATTTCTAATTCGCTTTGTGAAAAAGTAAAATCTGAAATCTGAACCTGAACAGGTTAAACGATAGAATAGACTAGAGAGACGAGGAACAAACAAACAGACGGGGACACCATTGGTATAAACGGGGTATGGTAACTAGGGAATAAGAGAGGCATGGATGGGGTATCTTGAAAAGGTTGCAGCAAAGACCATTTCCGGGGTTGGTAGCGAACGCCGTTGCAAAAAAAACAAAGTAAGAAGGTAAAAGCAGGCGAAGGATAGAGTCATTAGTGAACGCCCTACAAGATCAAAGTTAGCTGATATCCAAAACGAGGTAAAAGGGGGGGTAGGTGCGCATACAAATAAATAAGCAAGCTCACGCGTCCCCAACCTCGAAACATTCTTCGAAGCGTTCTCATCTAGCGCACCCTCAATCAGCTCACGCTTCTTATCCTGCAGCTCCAGAATGCGGTCTTCGACGGTATTTTCCACCAGGATGCGGTGGATCTGGACCTTCCGCTGCTGGCCGATGCGGTGCGCGCGGTCGATAGCCTGTTCCTCGATGTAAGGGTTCCAGAACGGGTCGAAGATGATGACCTGAGACGCGGCGATGAGGTTCAAACCTGCGTTGCCGGCTTTCAGGGATACCAGCATCACGCGGCAGTCGGGGTTATCCGTGAACTCGAGCACGGCGGTGTTCCGGTCTGCCGGCTTCATGCTGCCGTCATAGCGCTTGTAGCCCCACCCGCGCCGCATGATGGGCACTTCGAGGAAGTCCAGCAGGGAGGTGAACTGGCTGAAGATGATGGTTTTTTCCCCGGCTTCGCCCGCGTGGATAGACTCGAGGATTTCGAGAGTCTTGTCGATCTTGGCGCTGGGGACCCAGGTCTTTTCGAGGCGGCGGAGGTACTTGCGTTTGGATTTTTGGTTCTTGGAGGCTTCTTTTTTGAGCTCGGCGATGGTTTTCTTTTGCGTTTTTGTGGGCGCTTTGCCTTTGCGCTTGCTTTGGGTTGTGCTGGTGCTGCTGCCTGCTTTGCCGTCGTCGTCGACGATGAAGCGGGATAGGCTGCCGTCGTCATCATTGTCGTCGCTGTCGTCGTCGCTGGGGTCGTCGTCTGCTGCTTGGGCGGGTTCCGGCTGTTCTGCTTCGTCGGGTCCCTCGTTGTAGTGGACCTTGCGGAATGAGACGTGGTCGGTGTTCTTCTTGGGGTCGATACTCCTGCGGCAGTTGGGACACCTGGCTTCCACCGAACCGTCGTGCCCCTGACTCACTGCCCGCGCCGGGTCGCAGAGGCGGGAGAAGCATTCGGCACAGGTGCTGTGGCCGCAGGGGAAGAAGATGAGCGGGTTGTCCACCGCGTCCATACAGCACGGACACTCCAGGTCGTCGTTATCCTTCAATCGAATGACCACGTCGCTGCCGAATGCTTTAGCGTTCGCGATGAGGTCCACCTCGTCGGTGTTCGCATTGACCTGGACGCTGAAGTCGCTGATCAGGTGCGGATGGCAGCAGGCCTGGCGGAGGCGTAGGAGCAAAACGAGGATGTTGGAGTAGTTCCGGCCCACGGTGCCGGCGGCGAGGTATTTGTTGAACTGCAGCTGGGTTTTGGTCTCGAGAGACCGGTACAGTTCTAGTTCGTCTTCGCTGAATACGGCGTGGATCTTTTCGGATACCCGCGGCGGCAGTTGCAGGATAGGCTTGCCATCGATCTTAGACTCCTTTGTCCGCCGCAGGAGCACTGCCTTGAGCAATACTTGTAGCTGTCTCATTGCCTTGTCACGCGCATCGTTGCTGCCGCTCTTCAAGGGGCGGGTGAAGTCCTAACAACCGGTTAGCTCTGTATTCAACAAAAAAAAAAAAAAAAAGACGGGGCATCTGTGAACTCACCTTAGTAAATCTCTCTAAACTGTTATACGGGCGAATGCGTAAGAATTTCAACAAAGAGTGCAGTTCCTCGACATTATTCATCATCGGAGTCCCAGTCATGCACCAGCGGTAAGTAGAATTCACCCTGCAGCAAGCAAGGGCAGCCTTGGTGTGTCGATTCTTGATGCACTGCGCCTCATCGATGATGATACGATGCCACTTACTGCTCGGACCAAGGCACGGCATCGACTTCAACATGTCTTTGGCCTGGGCTTCTCCAGTAGTCCCCGACGCGTGCAGCTCATCGTATTTCTCCCGACGCCTCAACTCCGAAGACAAGGTCCCGAAGGTGGTCAGGATCACGTCGTAGTGCTTCAGGTCCCGGAACGCCATGGTGCGCCGCTCTCCGTGCAGGACGTAGGATTTCAGCTGGTGCTTCCCCGGCCGGAGGGTTCTTTCAATCTCACGCTTCCACTGCTGGAGCAGCGCGACGGGCGCAACGATGAGAGTCGGTTTTCGGTCTAGGTCGGTCGACGGCCGAGACACCATGAGGGCGATGGCCTGGATCGTCTTCCCGAGACCCATGTCGTCGGCTAGGACTCCGCCCTTCTGCTCGTTCTCCTCCATGGTCTTCATCCACGCCAGGCCCAGCTTCTGGTGCTCCAGCAGGTTCAGCTTGAGCGCCTCGGGGGTGCCTTCGCGGTTCTTCAAGTCGATATCCGAATCCGGTCGGATGGTTTCCAGCAATTGCTTGATCTCCTCGTTGACTTTTTTGGGATCGACGCCATCCTCGAACTTTTCCCAGAAATAGCTTGGCACCTCGTATTCACTGGACAAGTCATACGGGGCTACTTTGGAATTCGGGAACAATTTGTTTAAATCGGCCATGGCGGACCTGCCAGCATCCTCGAGCATCTGCTTCCCTTGGTTGAGCCTCGCCATGGTACTGTGCAAGACGTGGGGACCAAACATGGGAGTCGAGCCTCTCATATCCCCCGGTCCCGGCCCCGACCCCGGCCCCGGCCTGGATGGACCCCCCAGCGACGCGTAGGGATTGGGAAGACTGGGAAGACTGGAAAAGTTCCGAAAGCTATTCATCCAGGTATTATGATACGGCGCATGGGAGGGCTGGCCCGGGAGAGGCGGCAGGGTCGGGCGGTCGGTCATCCGAGGCATCTGCGAAGGCGCATGCCTCCGGAAATCACCCGCCGTGATCTCCGCAATATCACTATCGTCACTGTCGGCCAGGTAGATAGGCGCCGGACGCTGAGAGCTCGACGGGCCCATCGAGTGCAAGGCGGACGGCTCCACGTGCCGAGGTGGCGGGTTCGGTAGGGTCGGGTTCGGGTAGGGACGATAGGGATACGGATGTCGATCCATCGTACTGACGGGGTTGGTCTGTTGGGGCCGACTGGGTAGCGGCGAGTCGGAATAGTGGGAGGGAGTACTCTGGCTTGACGATGGCGGCTCCCAATAACCTTGCTCAAACTTGCGGGCGAGTTCTTCGTCCTGCCGTTCTTGCTCCTTGCGCCTCTGAATGTCCCGTTCCAGTTCTTTCTGCGCCTCTTCCAGTGCCTGTAGATCGCTGCCGCTCAGGTTCAGCAGCTGCATGAGAGAATCATCGGCCTGGGATTCTGCGGACGCCTCTCTCTCGAAGCTCGGGTCCGGCAGATCGCGGGAGTCCGGTCGCGGGGAGGGTCTGCTCAGTAAAGTTCGCTTGGGAGGCGGTCGTTCGAGGTCATCGGTGTCGTCGGACGCATCGGTCTCGGGGGTATGGGGGCGCTTGTGGGCGGACGACGAGCCCAACGAGTGTAACACGGTCGTGGTTCCCTGGCCCGGTGGCCCTGGCCGCGGCGGCGGTGACATGGCGAAACGGCCGTGCGGGGGACTAACAACCATTCGATGACCATTATCAGCGCTTCCATCCAGTTGCGATCGCGACAACTCCGATTCCCCGGAGGGCTGATGAAACGGCGGGGACGGGGGGCGGCTTTCTGAAGGTTGGGGTTCGCCGCGGAGCTCCGCCAGACGAGCCTCGAGGTTCCGAATGGTATTCACGATATCTTGTCGATCCTCGACGGCATCGGGGCGCTCCTCGTCTAAGCTCTGCAGGATGACATGGTTGAGTTCGATGTCGTCCAGAATATCGTCAATGGACGGGGAGGTGGGAGACGCCATCTGTTCGCGCTAGAGTCGGGTCCAGCTTATCGCCTCAGGCCCGACGGCCGTTGCAGAGCGTAGCGATCGATTTCGGCGGGAATGATACAGCGAATGGTATAGTCGATAGTCGGTAAGTAGCCGAGCAGGTAGACAGAAGACAGAAGGTGTGGCCTCACGAGGGGCGAAATGGAAGGTGTTCAAGCGCTATCGGGGGATGATGAAGATACACGTCGAGGCGGCTGAAATCCGTGAGATCGGAAGATCGTTTCTTGGCGGGAAATTGATTGTCTGCAGTCAATCAAAGAATAGAACATGAAAGAAGGAGAAATTACTCCGTAGTAGGAGAGTCAAAGGATATCTGGAGAGTGGATTGACCAGATCTATTATTATGGTGGCAATTCTGATTTTATTTGATTTTTATTCGATTTTTTATCCCCTCCAAGGTCAGGAACCTGAGGCAAACAGGCATTCCTGTCAGAACCAAGAATAACAGGGACAATCCACAATTTTTGCTTGGGCTTTGGTTCAACCAGTTGTTGTACCGGTTTATTCTATATATTCTAAAGTACTTGATTGTAGTATTATCTATATGTATGGGTCTGGTGGATTGTTGATTTATATTGGTTTCCATATACGTAGATATATATATCTATATCTATGGATACTATGACCACTTAATATAATATGGTTACCTCTTTATTTTTATTTTTCATCTTCTTATATCATTCACTAATTAATTATTCAATGGTATTCTACTACTATAATCCCCCGTCACCTACATGTACAAGCAGATCTAGATCATATTCAACATGATAATCTGTTGGGACATCCTTCAATCGTCAGTCAATAGCCGGGTTACGAGGTACCTGAAGTGGAGTCATGTTATGCATGTGGCAGATTCTGGCACTTTCTGATCTAAGTTGGAGTGGATATCATCATACCCAGACATCTGAATGAAATCATACTTAATACTGACAAGGCAGTCGTTGCGAGTGTGGACACAGACAGACAAGACAAGAAATCCCCGAGGATCCGCAGCCTCGGTCCAACCAGTCCGACCGCCTCCAAACTTCACATGCCCCGATTTCCCCGGGAAAAAGCTTCGATTGAAATATAAACTCTTCCTCCCCAGTTCATCCTTTTCTCTCCCCCTTTCTCTTCTCCAGGTTTTGATCATTCAATACATCCACAACCCATATACACTTCTTCACCATGTCTCTCAAGAACGGTATGCTCCCTCCCCTCCCCCTCCCCTTGTCCCCGTCCCCGTCCCTGGTCCACTTCGGTCCCCTAACAATCCTGACCTAGATGCCTTCCCCTCGTCCGCCGCGTTCGACGTGATCAACGCTACCCTCAAGGCCGACGACGCCGAGCGCAAGGATGCCGTCGAAAAGGCCAAGGCCATCGTCAGCTTCAACATCAAGAACGCCAGCGGCAAGGAGGACAGCTGGTACCTCGACCTGAAGGAGGTCGGTGAGGTTGGCAAGGGTGCTGCCCCGGCTGGCAAGAAGGCTGATGGTGTGTATACCTTATTCAAGAAAAAGAACAAAATCAAGAGGATTACCGAATGCTAACGTTGTGTAGTCACCCTCTCCCTTTCCGATGCCGACTTCGCTTCTCTCGTCGCCGGCAAGGCCAACGCCCAGCGTCTGTTCATGGGCGGCAAGCTCAAGATCAAGGGTAACATCATGAAGGCGACCAAGATGGAGCCCGTCCTCAAGAAGGCCCAGGGCAAGGCCAAGCTCTAGATACCCTGTATTTAATGTATTTCAATCTTTCTCTTGATGGGTCAATTTGTAAATCCACGCAGAAGGTCAATGTACAATTAGGAGCTATCTGATCTACAGCTCTGTAGCATAGTACCCCAGTAGTGGATATATTCTATCCATGTCTGATCCGACGTCATTCAGACTCATCCAGACTGATGTTGATACACTAAATGGGTTGTGTAATGCTTGCCATAGAAACAAGCGTAATCCCCTTACCCGTATGGTCACTTATGCCCCACTACCACCGGCAGCCTCGCCGCATGACACGTACAGACGGCGTATGCACGATACCTCGTCCAAGCCACCATCAAACCATACCAAAGACAACGAGATTATCATGTCTTTTATCAATCTGTCTTCATGAACAGACCTTTATATATCTGTCACTTCTGCTACTCTGTATAATACTTTGCATCTCTGGCTGTTCTCCTTAGAATGCCAGTGCCAAGACCAGTGTCCTTGCATAGCATCACGTGACGGTATTTTTTTCCCTTTTTTCACCATTCGGTCGCGGCTGAACCAGCTTAACCAAGCTTCTTTTTTTTTTAACCTTTTATTTTTGGAGTGATTCCCATCTAATCACCACTTCCTCCACTGAACACTCTGCACCCCACAAACCCCCAGTGCTGGTTCTCGCTTATCACTCGATCGCGCTCATCCCTTTGGCTCCGCCTTCTTGAGTCGCCTGTCACTCTTCGTCGTCTGGTCACTGCGCGCTCCTTGCGACCTATCACCACTCCCTCATCCAGCGCGTCTGCTGTCCAGTCCATCCCTCCTGTGATTCCAAGTCACAGCCGGTCGCATTACCTGAACGCTGGATAGCATCTCAGTCCTATCTAGCCATCCAAGAAGATCGCGTCGTCGCGTTGTGGCCGACCCGCGCACACATCTCCCCTCCCGCCCCCGAACGAAATCGCCGGCCGTTGGCACAACAACGGGTATATACCATCAAGTAAAGGACCCACGAGCGCATACTCGACCTGCAGGGGATCCTCAACGGTTGTAGCGCTGGTGCTTTGGATGAGAGACCGCTGTTTGAGCGCGTCCAGATCGAGGTCCTCGAAGGGGGGAACTCTAGCCGACACTCGTGCCTGCTAGGGTGACAGACTCGTTGGTGTGCCCATCTCCGTGGAGTATGTCCAAGAGAGGTGCTCAGGGCCCGCAGGGTTCGAAGGAGTCCAACCTGTTTGAATTCAATATGTCGGGTACTCCGGATGAGAAGCCGCAGCGGGCTACCGCTGCTCAGCTGGCAAACAGAAAGTGAGTGAATCTATCCCCAGTGATTCCATTTCCAGTGATACACCTCAGTTACATCCCCCGTGATCCCCGTTCTTCATCTTCCTCTGCCCTTTTGGGTAACTCTTCTGCCACCGGAGTTCTGTTGTTATCCTTCAGTCACTGCGACAGAGTTTTTCTCGTTGTCGTCGCCGTCGTCCTGGACTGCCTATAAATACCCCCTCTTCCTCCCTCTCCCATCTTCCCATCTCTCCCTCTCTCCATCTCTCCATCTCTCCATCTCTCCCAGCTCTCCATCTCCCAGCTCTCCAGCTCTCCATCTCCCAGCTCTCCCAAGCTCCACCTCTTTCAGTCTTCATCCTACACTCATCCTCTCCATCTTACACTCACCTCTTGTTCTCCAACGTCCATCACTAACACACCCGAAGAATCAAAGACCCAAGGAAACGAAGAACAACCACTGCTCCCACAAACGCTCCCGCCCCCTCCTTCGGTAGTCCCTTCAACTCTTCAGACTCCAACCCCGTTTCCTCCCCTGGGGCGGGTACTCAAGCCATGTCGAACGGTTTCTCCTTCGGTCAGTCTCAGAGCTTTCCCGGAGCCGGATCGAATCCACCTCCGCCGACTCAAAACGGATCCTCTCCATTCTCCTTCGGAGCTGGCTCAGGTTCCTCATCCTTCAATTTCTCCACCACGGGCGGTCCACCCACGGGGGGAAACCCGTTTGCTACAATGAATACCGCCAACTCGACCGGTCCTAGCCAACCGCCCACCGGTGGTGGGTTCTCTTTCACAGGCAATACTTTTAGCACCCCGTCAAGCAATGTGCAACCACCCTCTCAGCAAGCCCCGCCTGCCGGTGGGATCTTTGGCTCGGGCCCGCAGCAGAATAATGCCTCCGCTGGATTGTTCAACTTTGGTGCGAATGGCCCGGCCGCGAGCAAGCCCGCATCCTCGGCTCCCGCTTCCACGGGTAGCATTTTCGGTCAAAGCACCACGTCCACCAGCGCCCCTCCCTTTGGTCAGCAACCCTTGGCCAAATCGCCGCCATTTGGGAACTCCGCCGTATTCGGCAACGACTCGATGCAGACCTCCCCCGACGCCAAGACCAATGGCCTCGCAGCGAAACCATCCATCTTCAGCGGAGGCGCTTCGACCGGGTTTGGTGCCTCCACCGACCTGGCCGGTTCGGGCTCTGTCTTTGGTGGCTCGCCGGCTAAACCCGCCCAGACCCCGTCCAAGCCCGTGGAGACCAAACCGGCTGGGACTCCTACCCCCTCCCTCTTCGGAGCGACCACACCAGGCACCACGGCCGTGGGCACGTCTTCCACCCCCGCTCCGGCTACCACTGGCGCAACCCCATTTCAATTCGGTAGCCCTGCGCCGGCCAGTCCCGCTGCGACCCCCTTTCAATCCACGAATCTCTTCGCAGGGGCACCAAAGGCTCCCGAGCAAAAGAAAGAGGACAAGCCCAGCGAGCCGCCGGCCAAGAACCTGTTCCAGTTTGCGCCGTCCACCAGTGGCCCCTCCACCACCAGCCCGTCCTTGTTCTCCAAGAGCGAGACGGCAGCGACTCCCGCGGCGCCGGCCAGCGGATTGTTCCAGCCCCCTTCGTCAGGAAGCCTGTTTGCTCCCAAGCCCGCCGTCTCGGCCGAGCAGGACCAGTCGAAACCCGCAGAAGCCAAACCCTTCGGTAACCTGTTCGCGCCCAAGCCCGCCACGCCCAGCCAACCCGCGACGGAGCAGCAACCTCCGTCTTCGGGCAATCCATTCGGCAACCTGTTCGCCCCTAAGCCCAGCGACGGGGAAAAGCCAGCCACCACCCCAGCTCCGTTGTTCTCCGCACCGGCGCCCAGTGCGTCCCCGCTGAAGCCTGCGACTCCTTTCGGTCAGCCGTCTAGTCCGTTTGGCCAATCTCAGGCACCGACTGCTGCTACTCCGTCGGAACCCAAGACCCAAGCGCCCGCCCAACCTGCTTCCACCTCGCAGACCAATGGGACCAAGGTCTTTGTCCCGCTCTCCACGGATTCAAGCGAGAAGGGTGCTGCAGCCTTGAAAGAGAAGCTGGGACCGTCTCGACTCCCCGATGCACTGACACCTCAGACGGCAGAAGAAGTTGAACTACTGCATCGTGTCCGCTTGTTGAACAAATGCTTCCAACTTGAGGTCGCCAAGTTGAACCCCGCCGAACACGACTTCCTCAATGTCGTGGAGTTCTACGTGCGTGTGCGTGAGACGTTCGGCGCGCCGACCGGATCTGTGACCACCAAGCGCAAGACCCGAGATGATGAAAGCGAGCCGGTCGATGGTCAGGATTTGAAGAAGATCAAGGCCTCTTTTGGTGGGTTTCAACCAGCTGCCGCCTCGAGCAAAGAAAACTCACCCGCAGCCACCCCTGCTTCCGCGGACACGACCACCCCGGCCAAACCTTCTGAAACAACCCCGCCTACGCCGGCCGGGGGAAAGAGGAAATCATCGGACGATTCCGAGGACACTCAAGGATCGCCACCAAAGAAAGTCAATGGCGAGTCCAGCACGGCAAACATCTTTGCGCAGTCCTTTTCCAAATCAAAGTCGTCTGATTCTCCGAGCGAGCCTGCCCAGCCGGAACCTTCCCCATCTACGCAACCGTCGACTCCGCAGACTCCCAAGTTCAGCTTCTCCACGACGCCTGCAGCGTCGCCCTCCAAGCCACTGTTCCCTACTCCCGCGGCCGCCAGCCAACCCGCAACGGGCAACTCGCTGTTTTCCGCGTCCGCGTCTGTCTCAAAGCCCACATTTGGTACTCCCGCGGCGAGTAGCTCCCCAGCGCCAGCACCTAATCCGTTTACTCTGAAGCCGTCGAACGGCGAGAGTGCAGCGGGTGCCCCTGGATCTGCCCCTGCGATCCCCAAGTTTGGCTCTGGTGGAGTTGACTTCTTCGCCCAGTTCAAGTCACAGGCTGACAAGAACGCGGAGAAGGAGAAACAGAAACGGAAGGACGAAGATTTCGATTCCGACGAGGATGACGAAGCCGAGTGGGAGCGCAAGGATGCCGAGCAGCAACGCAAGAAGCGTGAGGAAGCCGAGGCTCGCGCCGCGAAGCGTCCCAAATTCGTCCCCGGGAAGGGTTTCGTCTTTGAAGACGACAACACTGACGTCGCCACAAAGCCCGCGGAAGAGACGTCCTCTGGCCCTTCGGTATTCGAGACCAAGACCGCCGCCGCCCCGGCCAAAGCCAGCAATATCTTTGGTCATCTCTCTGCCACTCCATCGGAGATCGAAGAGCCCGATAACGATGGGGATGTCACGGAGGAAGCCTCCATCGATGGCGACGAGAATGGCACCACCTCGAAGGATTCCCTCTTTGTCTCGGCTAGCGAGCGAAGCAGTCGGGATGTCAGCGAAGCCGGCTCCAAGGGGGTATCAGGCAGTGGTGCCGAGTTCTCTGCCAACGACAGCAGTGACGACGGTGATCTTTCCAAGGCGCTCAAAAAGTCGAAACCGGCTGCCGCGCAGAAAAGCGAGCAACCAGGCAACCGCAGCTTGATGGGCCGTGTCCAAGAGAGCGGCACCCCCAAGAGCCAGGGCGAAGAGGAAAAGAAGAATCCGTTTGCGAACTTGTTTGCCGCCCCGAAGCCTCCATCCTCCACCGGCACGCCTGCATCATCCACCCCCAACCCATTTGCCCCGGTCAGCAAGCCGGCGTCTGAGCAGAGTGACGCTTCTGCGCCCAAGCCTGCTACTCCCAGTCTTTTTGGTGCCCCGGCACCCGCTGGGGGACTTTTCGGGTCTTCTGCTCCTAGCTCTGGCGGCTCCACCCCGTCTATCTTCGCTGCAGGCCAAAGTCCTTCGAAGCCAGCTGGTGACAACACGTGGAAGATGAACTCGCCCATCAAGTTCGCGAGTGACTCAACGCCCAAGCCTGACTCTGGGTCAGAAACGCCCGCGAGTAACGGGTCGAAGCCCTTCTCTACTCTCTTTGGAGCCCCCGCGGCCGAGCCTTCACCAGGAAACGGCAACTCGCAGCCACAATCTGGCTTCTCGTTCGGCAACCCCTCGCCCTCATCATCCTTCCTGGCCCCCTCCAGCATCAACTCCGCCGCCGCAAGCCGGTCCACAACCCCCGGTGCATCAGACACAGGCGCCGACTCGTCCGGCGATACCGAAGGAGCGGAGTCTCTCCCGCAAGTCGACTTCTCCAAGGGAGGCGCCGGCGAAGAGAACGAAGACGCCCTGATGGCGACGCGCGCGCGCGCCATGAAGCTCACCCCCGGCACCGGGTGGGAAAGCCAAGGCGTGGGCTTCCTTCGTGTCCTGAAAGACCGCACCACATCCCGCTGCCGTGTCCTCCTTCGCGCCGATCCCAGCGGCAACATCGTCCTGAACACCTCGCTGAAGAAGGAGATCAAGTACTCCGTTAAGGGCAACAGCGTGTATTTCATCGTGCCTCAGGCTAGCGGTACCCTCGAACAGTGGGCTCTCCGCGTGAAGACCGAGGAAGCTCCCAAGTTGGGCTCCGTTTTGGAGGAGAATAAGTGTTAATTCAGACTTGCATGAATGGGAGGGCAGGGGGATTGAAGTTTTTTGTTCTTGAAATGTTTTTTTATTTTACCCTATCCTATTCTATTGCTTTGGTTTGGTTTGCTCCCATCCCCTGCCTCTTGAGACCCGTTCTTGTCTCCCTTTCACTCCATCTGAGACCCCGTCTTGCTCGCCCATCTCCCCCATCCGAAACCCGTCTTGTTTCCACCCCTCTACTATCTCCAACCTAAACTTTCCTCCTTCCGATCTCATCACTAACCAACTCAATCCTCATGACCGTCGCAGAGACCATGGAACCCTACAAGACACGCGAGGTCCCAGGATCTTCCAACTGGGCTCGACGCGGTCGTATGGATTGTGGTTGGTTGGTTGGGGGGATTGGGAGGAGAGAAAGTGATGGCTGTAAATGGTACAACGGGGAGGGAACAAGGACGGGCTTCAGTTGGGATCATCGATTTTGTTTGATCTTTGTTACTGTTTTTGTTGTCATTGTTCTCGCCTTGCAGGATAGACCCGTCTATCCCCCCCCACCTTCTACCATACCACTACGCATGCAAAGCATACCAAACCACGCAAAGAGATCGATCAAATTCACCATGTTACCATATCATTGTCATTGTTTTCTCACTTTGCCATTTTCGTTTCCAATTTCCAGTTCCCGATTGTTCTGTTGTTTATCTCATTCTGGCCCGACTACAGAAAAAACAGGCGCGGCGCACTTTTAGCATAGCGGTATGGGTTTTTGTTCGCAATGGAATCTTTCACTTTACAAGAAATTTTTTTTCTACTCTTTTTTTTAAGATAGGATAGTTTGTGTATTTTATTTATTTGCCTCTTTTTTAATGGAGTACCTAGGTTCTTTCTTTTCTTTTGGAGTTCGAGTAAGTTCGCTAAAAAAATCGAGTATGTCGACTTCGCCTGGACTGAATGAGAAGTTCTCTTTGGGACTACATTATACGTACGTACATATCGAATACGACTTATAAAGGAATAGGTAGGTAGATAGGTGAGTAGGGGTATTAAACTTGATTTTGTTGTCCTTCGCAGCCAGACCAGACTTAGCTAGGCAGAATAGGTAGGATGAATAGATAGCTAAAGAGCAACCATACAAAAGAAAAGTACAGAGTAGGCAGGTAGATAGGTCCAGTACGAAACCAACATCCACTGGCAGTAATTTGTTTGTGTGCTTGATTGCAACCCGGTGCACCATTCATTTCGTCAACCCTATCTATCTAGATCATCTTTTTCATTTCAGGATAAAAAAGTGACGATGATTTACTCATCATCCACAACGGCAGTGTGCAGACCCTTGGGGTTCTTGACGTTGACGGCCTGGACGAGCGAGTACAGGCGCTCCTTGGCGTCCTCCTCGTCGTTACGCTTGCGCGAGATGCGCACGCGCAGACGGAAGGGAACGCCCTTGATGCCGGCCTCCCAGACCTTCTTGTTGAGCTGGGGGTCGAGGCGGACGTCCTTGGTGCCCTATATTTATTTAAACGATTAATATGGTGTACATACATACACGCATATATGCATGCATGTATAAAGAGAGAGAGGGGGGGGGGGGCATACCATAGCCTGCTCGGCAAAAGCACGGATCTCCTTGATGGCGCGGGGAGCACGCTTCTTGAAGCTAACACCGTGGGTCTATACCAAAGGGAAAAAAGAAGAGAAATTAGTCTTCCGCCCAAATGCCATCTGAATGAGATAATCAATCGGAGAGAGAGAATCTGCAAGGATGATTGCGATTTGCGGCCATGAGGTGGACTTCATCAAACTAATTTTTGAGTTTCTTCTTTTTTCCATTTCTCTTCTTTCCCTTTCTCACCTCCTTCTTCGGTTGTTTCACTTGTTTCTCAAGAGAAAGGAAGATAAGAGCAGAGAAAAGAAAAGAAGAGAAAAAGGAGAGAGGGTTGGATCCCGCTGCATTCAAAATTGTTCCTCCACACAGATTTTGTATTGTTCACATCCTGAATGCCTCGTTCTTCCCCAATCCCACACACAAGATCTTCTCACACCAGGTCGTCTTTCCTCTGTTTCCAGCTGAAAACTCTGATGGATTGGATTGACTGTGTTGTTCTCCGTCCAAGTCCTCATGATCCGTCGAATCGTAGGGATAGATAAAAAGGTAGGTAGGGATATCTGCTGTTCATCTTTGTGTCATATCATGTTTCAACGTACTCTCTTGTGCAGGTTGATGGTGTACTCGCGCGACACCACATCGGCGATGGCCGAGCGGGTCTTCTTGCCGGTCTGGACGTTGGACATTTCTATTAATTCGTCGATTAGTGGCTGCCAAATAGACGACGGGCTGAAAGTGTTGAGATCAACTCACTGAACGGGTTGACGGCGTCGGTGTCGGTGGCTGCAGCAATGGTCGACTGTCGGAGGAGCAAAGTCGAGATGTTCTTTTTTTCGGGTGGAAATTCAGTGCGCTCGCTTATCGTGCGCCCGCGCTGATTGGGTAGCTACCACGTGACTGGTTTCCGGGTCTGTACTGGCTTAGTCATACACATTGCCAAGCCTCTACATATGCAACCGTAACAACTACTGGTGTAAAATGATTGAAGCGGTTCCCAGCAGGTTTGACAGAATAGTATTATCTATCTATATATCCAGCCCCCTTCTCAATTCTCCCCACTCACATCCGGGTACAGGTCGAACCGTCGCTGGCTGTAGATGGGAATGCTCTTGCGGGTGTTGACGATAGCATCGTTATCGAGATCCGCGTAGACAATCTCCTCGGCGTCACCCGCCTCCTGGACGATCTCTGCCATGGGCGTGCTGATCAGGGTATGACCCCAAGCGTGGTAGCCAGCGTTGATGTCGCGGGCGGGACTGCACAGCGCGACGTAGAGCTCGTTGTCGACGGCGCGGGCGCGCGCCAACAGCGACCAGTGCATAGGCCCCGTGGTCATGTTGAAGGCAGCTGGGTAGACGAGCATGAAGGCGCCCTTGCGCGCGGCGATCATGGCCGCCTCGGGGAAGCGGATATCGTAGCAGATGGCGAGCCCGATGCGGCCGTACTCGGGCAGATCGACGAGCGTGAGCTGGTTCCCCGGGGAGAGGACCTCGCTCTCCTTGAAGGTGATCTTGCCCGGGATGTCGATGTCAAAGAGGTGGGTCTTGCGGTGGGTGCCGATGAGGGCGCCTGAGGGCGAGAACACCAGTGAGGTGTTGTAGTATTTCTTCGAGGTGGGCTCCAGTTCCGGGATGCTGCCGCCGACGAGGTAGGCTTTGGCTTCGGCGGCGAGGGCCGACAGGGCGTGGTAGGAGGGCGATTGCTCTTGCGACGGGGGTGACGGCAGGAGGGTCTCAGCGTACTTGGGAAAGTGCTGGGTGCCGTAGGGTGAGTTGAAGCATTCTGGCAGGACGATGAGCTTGGCGCCGGCTTTGGCGGCCTCGAGGACTTTGGTGCGGGCGTGGGCGAGATTGACGGATTTGTCGGCGCCTGGATCGTGTTAGGGATGTATCTAGGAGGGGTCAGAGAATGGGAACAGTACCCGATGCCAGCTGGACGAGGGCCAGTTTCAGTGGTTGTTTCAACAAGGCGGCCATGATGGGTGGATTGGTGGAGTGGAGAGGGAGAGGGGAGGAGGAGGAGGTTGAAGTATGCGGGGAATCGGAGATGTTGCCGATAGCTTATCTCATGGTGGTATTGTAGGTAGACAGTGGACCGATAGGTAATCACTAGGTGAGATCTAGTAAGGAACCCATTCTTGCTGAGATAGAAGAATGAATGAATGAAAATACTTCAGATAATAGAATAAAGGTCTCTAAGATGGAATGAGGATGTTGTGGTGCTTCTGCCTCGATGTCTTATTGCCTTACTGCCTTGAGCTTACTGCCTGATACCTTACTGCCTTATGCCCTATGCTTATTGCCTTATTGCCTTAATACCTTACTGTCTTTGCCTTACTGCCTGATGCTTGTGCTGGCCTTATGCCGACTTAATCCATATTAGATAATCAATGCTGGATGCCTGGACACCTTGAACTCAACCACTTAACATTGATATCAATGATTCTATAATTCCTAATTTAAATTCTTTGTTAAATGACAAATGAAAGAATTCGGAGATTTCCTCAATCAAGTGACAGCTGGACCTCGATTGATCCAGTCCCTATGGATCCTCCCCTTAATCTATCTGGGAGATGATCCTCGTGTATGATCCCCCAAACCCCTGAAACCGTCTGGTCTCGGTCGGTCGCGACCCCTGAGATCTCCCTCTAGTGGATGCATCGGAATCTGACAGAATTAAAACAAAAGAAAACGATCAATAAGGAGAAAATAGGGGAATTTGTGATCCTATTTCATTCTTCTGTTGTCCCTCGTTTTCCATCATGGTCGGCACCCACTTCCACCATCGCCACCGACCAATTCCATCCATGTCCACTCGTTAAAGAGACTCCACCGCGTCCACTGTCCAGTCGCCTCTTTTCGCCACTGCGCTTCCCTTCATCCTGTGTCTCTCAAATCTCAATGGAAAATTCCTCTTACCCAGTGGCCACCGTTTGGTTTTCGCCTATATTTGAGTAGTCGTCTTTTTTCTACGATCCTTATACCACCAATCTTGCCTCGAATTGTTCCTTGCGGCAGACTGAGTGGACGATATTCGATATATTAATCAATATCAATCAATATCAACCAACCTTAACCAACGTCAAACAAGGGAAACAAAGAACAAAATGTTCGAGGACTTTTCCTTCTCCTCGCCCTCCTCGACGAGGCCCCCTCGTCTCGCCATTGACAGCGACGACCGCCTTATGGTCGACTGCGACACCACCCTCATCTCGCCCATGTCCTCGCGCTGTCCCTCCCCGCGCACCTGCAACCCCCCCGCAACAGCCTCACATCGCTTCCCGCGGAGTCTATCGCGCGCCCGCTCCCTCCAATTCCACCGCTCCCCGCAACAGGCGCCCACCTCTGTCCCCCTCTCCGCCTACGAGAACTTCCTCCACAACAAGCGCCTCTCCATCACCACCCTGACGCAAAAGCTCCACGAACACTCCCTCCACTCCCAGTCGGCCTCGCCCTCCCCGCGCCCCGCCGACCTCCCCATGGACACCCCGCCCCAATCCGCAACCTCCGACTCCTTCCCCGGCTACGTGCTCACACCCCCGGACACCGAACACGGCGACAACACCGACGACGACCTCGACGAGGGCTTCTTCGACTCGTTCCCACCCCCCGGCGCACAACGCCCTCCCTCCCCATCATCCTCCCCATTCCTCAGCCCGACCTCCGCCCCAGCCGCAGACTCCATTCTCCTCCCCCCAGTCGACCCCCAGCCCGCGGATCCCCAACCCGCCCTCGACAGCTGGTCCATCCGCTCCCAAAGACAACACATCTCCCGCATGCAATGCAACCCCTCCACAATCGACGCCATGCGCCGCGCCGTCCTCACCGAGCCTCCCACATCCTCCTCCTACTTCCCCCCCACCTGGTCCTTCCCAGACACCACCACCACCACCAACAACAACACCAACACCAACATAAACACCACCAACCACCTCAACGACGACTGCCACCCCAGCTCCCTCCCCCCGCAACAATCCCCCCGCCGCCGCGCCTCCACCCTCCACCGCCACACTAGCCGCTTCCGCCCCTCCCCGCCCTCAACAGCGTCCGAATCCTGCGACTCCTCTTCCTCCCGCAACAGGCGCAAAAGCAGCCCCATCTCGGCGCTCGCAGCGCAGTCGCACGGCGGAAGCCGCATCGAGAAACACTACCACCATGCTTCGGCGGCGGAGATGCGCAAGAAGAGTGAGCAAGGGTTGAGGAGGAAGAGTCTTGTTAGTGCCGCTTTGGCGTCGATGGTGGAGAATATGCCGATTGAGTAGATTCTCTTGCTGTATTTTTTCTGGTTTTGTAGATGGTGGAGGAGGAAGGATGGTGGAGAGAGTGGTGTGTGAGTGCTTTTCTCTTCGATGTATATACCTATCTTGACTGAGATACCCCTGGGATTATTTTCGTGGATTGTTTGTATTAGTATAGTTACTTACCTACCTTACCTTGGTATATATTACCCAGTATATAGTGGCGTGACATCTCCGGCGTCAATTTATTGCTTTTAACAATCGCTATCAATTCGCTATCAATCACTATCAAGTTATGAATATCCAATTCTCCATATTTAGTTGCAAATTCAATATTGCCTGGTAATGTAGTCAAGCATCCAACGTCCAACCGGACATGCGCATCCTTCTATCCCGAGAACACCGCAAATCCATAGTACAACGCATGATCAACGCTATTGTCAAGAGAAGAAAAAAAAAAAAAAAAGAAGGAAAGAAAAGAAAAGAAACAAACGAAAAAGGGACAGAATAGAATACCCCCGTGATGCTGGTGCGGTGCCTCTCAGAGGCGAGGTTACCTGAAAGAAAAGAAAAGCAAAGGGATATGCCGAATGTAGAAACAAGCAATTGAGAAAATGAACGACAGGCTCAGCCAATTGGCAATAAATCCCGGCCAAATCAAGAAGAAAAAAAAAAAAAAAAAAAAAAAAAACTAAAAAGAGGGAGAGAAGAGAGAGAGAGATGAAGAAGAAAGAATGATTAGACACCCCCACAGCAAGTGATCCCCCCCGTAGTCTCCCCCCTCCGGCGTAGCGAGCTAGCCGCTCCCCACAACCGCTGGAACGACTTCACGGCATTGTCCGACAAATTCCGGCCGCGGTTCTTGCACCGGCGCGCGGGGTTGGTCGGCTTGCCTTTGAGCTGGATTGCTGTTCGGGGGATCTGTGCCGGATCAGGCGGCGGGATAGCCGGGTTGTAGAAGCGCGCGGCGTGCTCGATCCAGAAGGGGTCGTCTTCGGCTGCGCCGTCGCTGAAGACTCGGGAGGAGATGATGTCGTAGTCGCTGAGGTTGTGGGGGTAGTCGGGGACTAGGTCGTCAGTCCCGCGGGTGAAGATGTCTGGTGGGAAGGTCTCGCTGATTGCGGAGCCGGGCTCGCCGATGTCGTCGTCGTCGCTGTCACTTCCGCTGTCGCTGTCGTCGTCGTAGCTCTCGTATGGGTGGTTGCTGCTGAGGCCTCCGGCCCCGGCGCGGGGACGGGTAGAGCCGAATTGTGGTGCTGATGGGATAGGGTAATCCAAGCCATCTTCTGTCTCGTGCTCCTCTTCTAGGCGCTCCGAGATTGAGGGCATGGGGTGGTGGGGGGAGTCGCCGACGAGAGCCAAGTGCACGTGTTGGTCGTCGCTTTCTTCGTCGTCTTCTCTCTCCCAAGTCTCGCCCGCCGTGGTTTCTTCGTATGCTCCATACATGCTGTTCTCGTCCAGTGGGTTTTTGGATGGCGAGTCTGTCAGCTCCTTCGGGGAGTAGCTGTCCACGTCTTCAATGTAGGACACAATACGCGCGAACCTGAGCGATTCCTGGGGATTCAAAATTTCGAAAGACGCGCCGTGGTAGAACAAGGTAGGGGCTTGCTGTTGGACTTGTTGGACTTTCTGTTGGGGGGTAAACAGGACCGAATCAGAGTAGTTCTTGGTGTGGATGGGGAGCCTGGGAGAGATGAGGGCGTTGGTTCCCTGGTCGAATGCTGCCGGATATCCAGTATCTTCTGGCTCTACTTCTGGGTAATTCTCCAGCCTGTGGCGGAATGTCGTCTAATCTAGTTGTTAATATCATATTCCACACAAGCATGTGAAGGAGACGCGGAAGACATACCAAGATGCGATGTGGATGAAGTCGGAGTGGGTTGAGTTTTTCCTTGGAATATAGATCGAAGTCGACCAGATTTGGAGACGCTGCGTTCATACATTAGCACACATACACCCGCCAGAACTCGGAACAGTCACTTACAAGCATAACCATCCAGGCTTTCCGGCTGTTCGCTGATTGCACTAGGGGAGTACGACGGGGACAGCGGCGGTGGGCTCGAGGCAGCCGACGACCCCGAGAGCAGGGACATCGACGGCCGGGGCGGCTGATAATACATCATCATGGGGTTCTGGTTGAGATTCACCGCGGCATTCTTGCGCTTCACTCTTTTGGAATCATGGTTGTCGATAAACGGGTTGGACTGCAAACCGTCGGACAGATACTTGCGATAGTGATGAAGGGAAAGGTTTCCAGCTTGTCCGGCTGGGTTCAATGGCGAAGGCGGATCCAGATCCAGATCTATGGACGCGGAGCCCGACCCCGGGCTGATAGGACTGACGGGACTCATGTGAAGGTCTTCATAAATGTGGTGGGTTGTCTCACACTGTGCTAGTCGATGCATCATCTTGAGGGGTAGATCTTGGAGACTGTTGGTAGTTGATCGCCAGAAGGATGTAGATCGATATACCAGGAACCGAGCCTACTCAAACCGAGGAAAAGAAAAGAAAGGAAAAACAAGAACAAAAGACAAGAAGGCCCTCCAGGCCAAGTCGGGTGTCGCCGAATGGCATTACCTCTTGGGCTTTGAAGCTGCAGCAATAACGGCAATATCAATGGAAGCTGCGAGCTAAGCCAAAGCCAGGACAAGCCAAAAGCCAGCCTTTCCCGCCGGCCGGTCTGGGCTTGAGCCGAAGATAAAGAAGGAGACCCATGACGACAAACAGGAGATCAGACAATAGACAGGTCAAAGCAGAGAGAAAAAAGAAATGCCAAAAAAAGAAAGAACAGCAAGGATGTCACATTGCCAGGTCAAGGTGCAGACTGACGTGCAGAAAGTTCGAACTAGCCAATGATGAGCCCCGCAGGCGGACCGCGACGATGACGAGTCATGAACGAAACGAGTAGGCAAGACCACTCCATTTGCAGCAATATTGGCAGTAGTTCTCTGTTCTCTGCCCCGTTGTCGCAGGAGGAAATAATAGACCGTGTTATGGGGTAATCCAAACCCAACTTCACGGGGGGCGCTGGTTGGGCCGACAAAACGTGGACCTATGAGACAGCAGAAGTAGGATCCTAGACCACAGTCTAGGTGCCTGGCTTAGAGGGGTCGAAACTCAGAATGGGGGGATAGGCCATCATGTTCCAGGGTTTGCGAACCAGTGACCTTATCCATCTGACCACAGTAATTGGAGGAATGACCATCCAATCGACATATCGATCTCCCGGGTCTCCCGTCTCATTGGAGTCATAGATACATCAGATGGGGCCATGCGGCTAACTGGACTCCATTGTTGTCGCCCTATCCCAGTTTGGAGCCTCTCTGTAAACCAGTCAAAGCATCTCCTCTTTAGACCCTACTGTTTCAGGTTCTTCGCCTCGAAGTAGCCGGCCTCTTGGACGAAAGATCGGGGTCATGTTGTACTCCCGGCTCAGACGGGGAATGTTTCACAAGAACAGTGGACGGACAGTCCTCACTGCAAGAACATTGGAACCAGGTGATCAGTTATGTGACTTCGACGGCAAGTCCGGTGGTACAACGGGAATTGGAGGGCGGACGGTGTTCTGTTCTCGAAGGTGTGGAAGGTGGTGGACTAGTGGAGATGTTGACGTTGACGATGATCGTGGTCAAGAAGGGCCGGCCCGTGACCTCGGCCTCAGGCAGCTCAACCAGATATACTTCGAATATCAAGATTCAAATATGAACCAGAGTACTTGGCTTGTTGTGCATGTACTTACTATATGTACAGACTACAGAGTATACCAGGTAGTAGGTACCTCATTCCATAGTATTCAACAAGCCAGGTAAGTACTGTCATCAAACCCCACATTATCCGGTACATAGATAGTCCAAGCGACATCAATACCCCCGTCTACTTCTATACTATCCAGGAAGACTCCCTCATAATCTCCCAGTTTCAGCTGATAGATATTTCATGAAGACATGCCATTCACCATCAACCATCCGCTTTGACCCTTCTCCAGGCGCGAAGTGAACGCCGAAAGACTACAGAGTACTCCCGCAGAGTACTCAGAAGCCTACCGTCCAATCTGACCTCACACCCAGGACAAGAGGCTCGTTCCCTCACAACCAGCCAGTCGCATATGACTACCCTTCCCTGTCCCTTCAGACGGACGGACTTCCCCTCGGCGCAACATCCCCATCCGGCCCCCGACAAACCCCCCTGTACCTACAACATTCAATATAATTTTATCCCGGCAGCCTCACACCCTAGTAATCCCGCCCATAATCGCCGACTAATCAAGCTAGTCAGTAAATGAGCGCAGCCCCAGAGGCTGAAGTGGAGAATATAACCGAACCTTGAAATAAATGAAAGAAAGAATGAAAAGAAGAGAGAAAAAAAGATATGACCGGTCATAGCTCCACCAACTCCATACAACAACAACAAACAGCACGGGGCTAAATATAGCAGCACGGGAAGTCCTTCATTCAATCAATCAATGGGGATGCCCTGTCACAAGAGGCGCTGACAATGGGTCAAACGAATTAGCTTTGTTTGGGATGGGTAGCCTTGTTTCCTTTCTATCTACCTGGCTACGTATGGTCGACTACTCGTGCCATGTGTACACGATCTATAGTGACTGCTGAGATGTATAACTGTGATTCGGGTTTCATCTGTTTTGAGATGATTGGTAGGTAAGCTACATATTAGCCTCGAGTCTTTCCTCTGTAGGCTACCTAGATGAGATGAAATGTGGAAAATTCATTCAAATCACACTTGATATCCAAGCTCGCTAGGGATCTAACTATGTCACAGGGAGGGAAAGAGAGACCAAGAACAAAAAGAGAAATATAGAAAATGAAAAGGAAAAAAAAAATAGATAAAGAAAAAGATAAAAAAAGCAATCGCTGTTTCATCACGGATATACATTCTGCCAATGGGAATCAAAACTCAGAACGCAGTAAGGTAGGTAGCAAATCTTTCCCAGGTATCCCACGCTTGAAATTGATTAACCAAACACCATCCATGGGTAGTCGTAGCACAGTCATGTTATCGTCATG